CCTGTTCGAGTGCCTGTTCGAGTGCCTGTTCGAGTGCCTGTTCGAGTGCCTGTTCGAGTGCCTGTTCGAGTGCCTGTTCGAGTGCCTGTTCGAGTGCCTGTTTAGGTGCCTGTTCCCTGTTTAGGTAGAAGGGAGGATATGGACGCGTAGAAATATATAGGTAGGTAGGTAGGTAGGTAGGTAAGAGAGCGCGTACAGCGCGTGTAGGGGCCTCAGGCAGCAAACCGGGTAACGGGCCAATAAGAATTCGAGAAACATCCTTGTTTTTACCCTTGTTTTTACAGGGGGTTTTCGGCAAAACATCGGTCCATTTTCCAGTATAAGGTAGATCTGACTTGATTCCCGATATCACCCCTCGCTGGAGTTGGCAGGACTTGTGCCTGGATATCAAGGCATAGATCGGAAATAGGAGAAAGGAAGTGAAACGGAAGTGGACAGCAAGGGAATTTAGAGATCAACAGGCCCGATTTTTGAAAGCAAGAGCAAGAGCAAGAGCAAGGGAAAGAGAAGAAGGAAGAGGAAGAGACGGGGCGGAGGAGCTCCTTTATATTATACTCATACCGTGCTGGAATGACGCCTGTGGGGTTGCCATCAAGGTACACTGGTACGTACCTCAAAACACCAATCAGGCAATTATTCCCCGTTACTACGTAGTTTAGTTTTCCATATATAACATACTCGGGATAAGAAACTGGCTTCGTTCTATAACGTGGGCAGTCAATCACTGCTGATCGAACGTGGCCAACTTACCTAAGCATTACACCCGTGATCGAGGGTCAAACTCAAGAAACAGAAAACGGGGTTTGCACGTGACATCAATAAATTCGAATGCGTTATCGCGATAACATTAGCGTGAACTCGCTTATGTAGCCATCCTCAGCTAGCGTGTAAATTATTTTGGCTTCTCCACAGGAAATTTTGGTTTTCGGAATCTTTCCATCAGCTAGATAAGCCAGTGCCAACGACAAACATTAGAAAAGATGAATCCCGCTGAGTTACACGGCAAGAAGCGCAAGAGAAAGCATGGATCCTCTAATGTTGAGAACAGCGACTCTGTCGTTAAGGCAACCGCTCCGGATCCTGCGATTGAGGAGGAAGGAGAATCGAAGCCGTCGGGGTCAGAGAAAGTAGAAAAGACTGTCAAGAAAGCCAAAAAGACTCACAAATCCGAAGACGAAGAAGACGAGCTCGAGGATACAGCACCACAAGAGAAACGCAAGAAGACCAAGAAGACCAAGAAATCGGAGGACGAAACCGAAGTTGACGATGAGCTACCGGAAGACATTTCAAAGGACGAGACTACAGCCGATGAGACACCTGCAGGTACCCAGGCTGATGGAGATAGTGAGGGTGAAGATGCTGGCACAGATCTCATTGAAGGAACCGTGCCGCGGGCTGGTGTACTCTCTCTACCCAGTGCTGGCGCAGAGCCTCAAAAGTTCTCCGACTTGAACCTGTCTGAAAAGACAATGAAGGCCATTGAGGAAATGAAGTTCGAGAAAATGACCGAAATTCAGCGGCGCGGAATACCACCTTTACTGGCGGGACGAGATGTTCTTGGAGCTGCGAAGACAGGTTCTGGGAAGACACTATCGTTTTTGATTCCTGCAGTTGAGATGCTCACCTCCTTACGTTTCAAGCCCAGAAACGGAACCGGTGTGATTATTGTTTCACCCACAAGAGAGCTGGCCTTGCAGATTTTTGGGGTTGCGCGAGAGCTCATGACACATCATTCGCAAACCTATGGTATTGTCATTGGAGGAGCAAATAGAAGGGCCGAAGCAGAGAAGCTTACAAAGGGTGTCAACTTGCTGGTCGCAACTCCTGGCCGCTTACTCGATCATCTCCAGAATACTCAGGGCTTTGTTTTCAAGAATCTGAAGGCCCTAGTCATCGACGAGGCGGATCGTATCTTGGAAATCGGATTTGAGGATGAGATGAGACAGATTGTGAAGATCCTTCCTAAGGAGGACCGTCAGACTATGCTTTTCAGCGCAACGCAAACTACCAAGGTCGAGGATCTTGCACGAATATCGCTACGACCCGGTCCACTCTACATTAATGTTGATAATGAAAAGGAGCACAGCACAGTCGAAGGCCTTGAGCAAGGCTACGTTGTGTGTGATAGCGACAAGCGGTTCCTTCTTCTGTTCTCTTTCCTCAAGCGAAACCTGAAGAAGAAAATCATTGTTTTCTTCTCGAGTTGTGCTTGCATCAATTACTACGCCGAGCTTTTGAACTATATCGACCTTCCTGTCCTGGATTTACACGGAAAACAAAAGCAACAAAAGCGAACGAACACCTTCTTCGAGTTCTGCAACGCTAAGCAGGGCATTCTGCTTAGCAGTGACGTAGCTGCAAGAGGTCTCGATGTAAGTATTCCTTGCCCAGTGCTCCCGCCAACTTTCTGACACATTTCAGATCCCAGCTGTAGATTGGATTGTGCAATTGTAAGTGTCTACACACACCCTTTCGTCCACATTCTGCCAGCTTCGTGAACTCGCCAGAGTTACTGGAGAGAACGAATGATTCTTCGGCTGATAAACCCCACTTCGCAACGCCAATTTTGATCCCAATCAAGAGACCAATACGCTGACTTGAACCAGTGATCCTCCTGATGATCCACGAGACTACATCCACCGTGTAGGCCGAACAGCACGTGGCTCCAATGGCAAAGGCCGCTCCCTTATGTTCCTTCAACCATCTGAAGTAGGATTCCTCACGCACCTGAAGCAAGCCCGCGTTCCCGTCGTGGAGTTCGACTTCCCCGCCAAGAAGATCGTCAACGTCCAGTCACAACTCGAAAAGCTGATCTCCCAGAACTACTACCTGAACAAGAGCGCGAAAGACGGGTACCGGTCTTACTTGCAGGCGTATGCTAGCCACAGTCTGCGCACCATTTTCGACGTCCACAAGTTGGATCTGGTGAAGGTGGCAAAGAGCTTTGGGTTCAGTACGCCACCGAGGGTGGACTTGACGTTGGGGGCTAGTATGAGTAGGGACAAGAAGACGCAGGGTCGGAGAGCATATGGAAGTCAGCCGAAGCAGGGTGGGAGCTTCAAGAAGAGGGGTTACTCATGAGGTGCAAAGAAAAGCGTATTGTAGATACCTTGCATGTGCTGGCGTTAAACTGTAATAATTTTGTTTTCGAGATAGCGTACAGCAACAAAAAGAATTATCTCAAAGAAAACATGGACTCAAAATTGGTATTTCATTTGTGATGCCTATACCTTGGTCATCGGATATCATGCTATAACTATCCCCATGCAAGCAGCTCTATCAGCATCACTTGCTATGTTCACGCCCTCTGCCCTATTCACGGTTTGCCGTACGGCCTTTATGACGTACGGAATAAAGAAAATAATCACCCTTCTGATGGTATCATGAAGTGTCGGGTATCTTTGCACGAAGTTAGGCCTCGGCAGTTTCAGCTTCCTAGAAACATCACGTCTTGATTGCCGGTCTTCCCCTCCCTCTGCCTCTCCTCGCCGTGCTTGTTCCATTCGATAGCCCTCTTCCTCGCAAAGCCATACCGCCACCTCGAGATACCCTTGCAGGTCGGACGGCGGGAATACTTTCGTCGTCATCGTCATCGTCGCTGGAAGATTCGTCCGTAACAGATTTTGCCGACTCACTGAAGTCTTCCTCAGACTGATCGGAGGGACTCAATAGACGTACAATAGTATGAGTCTTCTTGACAGGTTCCACTGGTGCCGCAGTTGCTGGAGCGCGCCCGTTTAACTTCGTAGCTGAGGTCTCCGTGGAAGGAGTCCTGGAGCCTACTGAGGATTTCTCAGGGGCTGGTTTCGCTGGGCGTACTGTATTGTTGGTATCGATCCCATCAGCTGCCGGGCTGAATTCGGGTAATTTCAACGCCGTGGAAATTGGCGGAGTGCTTCCTGCGCTTGGATGGCCCTTGGAAGAGTCAACTGACTGGCGTGATTTTGCAGCCACAATCTTGAACGGTTTGCCTTTCTGTGCAAGCTTCTCTTTCAAGGAAGGCAGCCTCTTTAGACCCGCCGGCTTATCGACATTTGAATCAATCCTTGACGGTCCACTTCTGCGCTTAGGCATTGGCTTTTCAAGCTGCTCCTCCTCCTCTCCAAGGCCCGATTCCTCCTGCAAGCCACCTTGTTCTACTGATTTGTTTTTCGATACATGCACCGTGATGCCTTCCTCAAGGGAATCTTTTGCCGCTTCGGGATCGCCAAAAAGACTATCTCCACTATCAATTATAACGCTCTCATCGTCCTTACCTCCAGATTCAGAGATATCGACAACAAGCGAAGTATCTGGCTTCTGCTTAGTAGCAGACCGTGGGGGCCTACCCCTTCTTCTGGCAGGTTCAGCTGGTGAATTATTTTCGCCATCAGATTTAGAGCTATTGAGAGACACTTCCGGTCTCTCCTTCGCAACAGTAGGCATAGCCCTTCCTCTTTTTCTGGGAAGTTCGCTCGGGAAGTCCTCATCGGCTTCCTTTGCCTCTTTGCGAGCAAGCCATTCGGATTTTCTTCTGGCAGGTTTAGCGGAAGCCCGCGACGTTGCAATACTAGATTCTTGACTGTGTCTGGTTCTCCTCTTAGGTCCCTGCTCGCTGGCTGATTTTCGAGTGAGACGACGCATCGCTTGTCTGGCAAGGTCCGTATCGGAGTTTGCATCGCGACCGGCATTAGGCTTGCGAGGCACTACCTTTATAATATCTTCTTCTGATATAGGTATTGAGTCTTCACCCAAGTCCGTGTAGGTCTGCGGCTTTCTAACATTACGACGAGGGGACCGTTGAGGAGGCCTCGGCGTATACTCGACCTGATCCGGAATGGACTCTTGTGCGTTCATACCAGAAGTTCTCTTAGCTTCAGCGAGCTTCTTCTGGCGTTTCGAAGTGAAGAACTCGGTATCGTCATCGCCGTCACTACCAGACCCATTCTTCCTCTTTCTTGTGCCCTCCTCCTGCGGCTGGGGCCCTAGAAGATCCGAAAGTGCGAAATTTGCAGTTGTGGACACGCTTGCGTTCTGAGACTCATCCGCAGCGCCATCTAAATTAGGTGGGTCATACAAGATCTTGTCAATACCGTTGCCCTGCTGATAATATCCTATACCCATCATTCTATTCTGCCCGAGGTGCGATGGTTCAGGATCGGATGGCTCAGGAGCATGCATAGGAGCGACCGGTGCAAAAAGTCTCGATGGGTAACTAGCTTCCGGTTGGATATACGAGTCAAAATCAATATCAAAATGATCATCTACCGGTTCCTGCGACTGCCCTGCCTCAGGTGCACCAAGGGGGAGATTACTACCGCCGTTCATTGAATCCGTGGGCGGGTAAGAGCTTTGGTAGTGGCCATTTTCGTGTGCATGCAATGTCAAGGAAGCTGCAGGATCCCGAAGCTGGGGGTCTATCTGATCATTTCCGTCTTCGGACTGAATAGTCATTTGTGGATCATGACTGTCGAGGTAACTCTCGTCGATAACGTCTTCACGAGCCTTTGCTGCTTCGGCTTTCTCTTTGAGCCTCTTCATCCGTCCAGATTCTTGCGGGTTGTGGTCGTTCTCTTCACGAAGCCATCCGAGGTTCGTCTTCGAGAAATCAACTAGGCTTTCAACACTTCTGAAATCTGCTACTTTCCTTGTGTCATGGCCTAAAAGTGTTCCCTTGGGAGCGTATGGCTTTTGGGTTGAAGTTTTCCGACACTTCCCACATGAGCATATCCCTTGACATTTCGGACATGACCAATCCCTATCCTCCATAACATCTTGCGGCATCAGATCAAAACCGCGCCATAGGACACCATAACAATACGCATTGCTGCAAGTTGTGCAGAAGGCAAGCCTCCAGTTCCAATCATGATGGCAACATACATGACAGGCGTAGGTCTTATCTTTAACCCGTGGAACCCTCCCTTTTCTGGGTCTGCGGGGTGTTTTCTTCTTGGGACGGCCTTCGTCGTCGGCCTCCGGTTCAACATCCGATTCTCCGGGAGACGGTTCGGGGACAAATGGTTTCGTGATGTCGTGCCATGGTCTGATCTTCAACTCCTCTTGGCAGATCTGTGCCACAGGCTTTCTGCCATATCGTTTCCTCGCGACCTCCAAAGGTTGTGGCGACTTCTGAACGTCAAAATAGCCATCACATTGCACTATGACATTACGCCACTCTTCGTAATTTTGTGTCAGAGTTGACCAGTCCCATTGCTCAACCCAATCGAAATTCGAAATACAGCCACAGGAACGGCCCATAGCAAAGCATTCCATACATATATCATACGTATCTTCCTCCCCCGTTGGTGCACGCTCGATGCAAGTTTTGCAAGTAAGGAATCGGTTGAAGATGTTGGCTCGGCAGTATGAGCAGGTGACGTTTGAATCGTAGGGAAGGAACTCGACGTTTCGCTCGGTGGGGAGATTAGGTGCGAACATTTCGCTAACCAGAATCTCGGTGTATAAAGCAAATAGCCGTTTGAAATCTTCCAGCAGTTGCTTTATCCGACCATATTTCCACATTTTCGGCTCGATGGTATCCCGTTGAAGCAATCCATGGTATTTGATGAGGGTATAGTAAATAATGGCCTTATTCTTGTATTGCTCCTCTCGGCAGACTAATCGAGCTCGTGGGAGTGCCTCGTGTAATGCAAGCTCCAGTGTATCGACTGTAGTCCTGTTCCATGCGGCCTTCATTGTGCGAGTCCCCCGGTTCCAAACCTGGTGCGGAGCTAAAGGCGGTATCAAAATCAGATCACCAACCTTCTGCTCAACAACCCATACATTGAATGGTGCCTTCTTCCAGGCATTTATTTGGGCGAAATGCTTTTCAACTTCGATATCGTGGCCGAGCATAGACAGGAAGTACTCTGAGACAACCTCGCGCTCCTTAGTTTCGGTCATGAACCAAATGGAGCTGCCTGCTTTCTCTCCATTTCCATCTTGAGAAGCTTCAACCATGATATTATGACCAAGGCTAGCACACATCTCTCGGTGAGCTGGCGTATATGTCCCTTCGTGACCTATGTAGCACATCATATTGAGAGCCCGCATCTCCGGTGGAAGACTGCTCATCAAGTCGCCTGCAGGTGCAACACCTTTTCCGTACTTCATTTGTCCATATTCGTTGGGCTCAAGTATTGCCCCGTCGCCACCCGTTCTGGGTTCAATACACTCGTTGAGATAGAAAAATGTCTCGGGTATAAACTCCTTCAACTCCCTCGCCCACTCATCAGGACAGTCAATATCTTTGAGATAGAGCCGCTGTCGTTTGGGATTGCGGTAGTTGGTCGGTGTAAATTGGTTGGTCAGTTGCGGCATGGATTTGAGGTAGTGACCAATAGTCATAGGAATATCTACGGCGTTGGGTATATCGCGAACTTTCTCAGCTGCGTGGATTCCAGCGTTAGTTCCAGATCAAGAGGTCGGCGCATTCAAGCTCACCCTTCTTTCCCATGTTTTCTTGCAGCCATTGCGGGCTGAATAGCCAGGGGTCGATGCAATCTCCCCAGCCCTCGATCACGAGTGGCTTCCCACCAATAACAACATGCAAGAGTACTAATTGCTCAAGGTGTTGGATGGAGTGGCCATTTAGCATCTCGCGAGGTAGTCTGGTGACATAGTCGAAGTTATTCGAGTTCTCAACCAGGGCGTCAAGGTCCAGATCTGGCGGGATTGGCACAAATTGCGCCTGGGGGTGAGAGAGAGACGGCATGTCTGTGGTCGCAAGTGGAAAGGTAGGAGAGTCTCGACTCGTTCTGCTAAACAGCTTTGGCGCGCATATCCCAGCGGCTGCGGAGAGCAAGCCAGCGAAATAAATGGGAGTGTATGAAGCGACGCGCAATTGTTTGTCTATGTTGAAGGGAGAGGGGATGCGTCGAGGCAGAGAGGCTGCAATAGAGACAGAGCGAAAGCGAGGTTATAAGATCGGGCCGGGTCGCGTGAATTTGATACCACTGCGCTTCAGGGCGAGCCCTGGTAACGAGGCAAGATTGCCCCGACAGAATCCGGGAGGTTCGTGGACTTCGCAGAGAACAGTTATTGAAGTGGAATTGGAGATTGGCAACAGACGCTCACTGCGGTCTGAATTTAACCAGATTGCGATTTGTGAAAGCCTTCCGTAGATATACGCTAACCGTGCGGTCGCCCTATCACAGAGTCTCGAACTTCAGCCTCCTCGTTTGCGAGAGGAAGCTTGGACCACGCGAAATCTCGGGCCCGGACGGTTACCAGAACAGACTACTATAAATATTATTCAGCCGCGGAACTTACCTACCTTGGTAGTCAGTCTTCACCAAATAAACGGTATAAGGCTGAGGTTGGAATGCTGTAGAAGCTTAAGACTACCTATATGGTAGGGCTTGCTAGATTTCTTTAGGGCAAACGTGAGTTGCAGCTCCTGGAGCCTTCATTGCAAGTACTGTGCTTCTAACTCCTATACAGTAAATAGACGGGAGTCCTCATCATTACTCTGGTCAGGAGATCCGGCGTTGCTGCTCTTAACGCGTGTGTTCCCAGAAATTTGCACGATTTGGAAGTCGTATAGTAGCTGACATGATGGCAGTGATATAACTTCTCAATATGCCAGGCCCAATGGCTTCCAATGGTCTCTTGAGGTTACCGACGGGGTTCCGCAGTGCTCTGTTGCGAACGGTTACCAGACATCCGAGGTTGTCATCCACGCCTAGAGCAAACTGCCTCATAACTACTGCTGCGTCAAGCTACAGACCAGCTCAGCCAGGAATAGGCTCTTCTCACTATTCACGAAGAAATTTCCGTTCTTCTTCCTTGAAATCTACTTCAGCGACTGTGGGCCAGGATATCGACCAGACTTCCGCGTCAAGTTTGGATGCTGACTCGCCTCCCGCTCAATACACGCCTCCGACTACTGGCATCTTGTCAAAAATCCCTTCTTCATGGGTTCCTTATGCTGAGCTCGTTCGGCTGGATAAGCCCACGGGCACTTATTATCTCTTTTTCCCCTGTCTCTTCTCCACCCTTATGGCCGCCCCCCTTGCCGTCCCTATCGCGTCCCCCCTCTCAGTTGTGGGCACCTCCATGCTATTCTTCAGCGGTGCTCTTATCATGCGCGGAGCTGGCTGTACGATCAATGATCTGTGGGACCGCAACCTTGATCCGCAAGTAAGACGAACTCGACTACGGCCCATTGCTCGCGGAGCCGTCTCTCCCTTCAACGCTCTCGTCTTCACTGGTGCTCAACTCTTTGCTGGTCTTGGCATCCTTCTCCAATTTCCGTATCAGTGCTTTTTCTATGCCGTTCCGAGTTTGCTTCTTGTGTCCTCCTACCCCTTGGCCAAGCGAGTCACACACTATCCACAATTCATTTTAGGACTGACCTTTTCCTGGGGTGCCATTATGGGGTTCCCTGCTCTCGGTATTGATCTCATCAACAATAGTTCCGCTTTGGCAGCTTCTGGATTTCTCTACGCCTCAAATATTGCATGGACGGTGTTATACGACATGATATACGCTCATATGGACATCAAGGATGACGCGAAAGCTGGGATCAAGAGTATTGCCTTGAGGCATGACGCACAGACAAAACAGGTCCTTACGGGTCTCGCTATCACTCAGATAGGACTGCTGGCCGCGGCTGGAGTTGCAATGGGAGCAGGGCCAGTGTTCTTTGTTGGTAGCTGTGGTGGTGCGGCTATTACTTTGGCAACTATGATCAAGAGAGTGAACTTGAAGAGTGTAAAGGATTGCTGGTGGTGGTTTGTGAATGGATGTTGGTTGACTGGAGGGGCGATCGCTGCAGGTTTGGGTGGCGACTACCTGGTACAGTATCTGCAGCAGCAAGAGAAGAAACCAGAGGAGAATGTATGATAGATGTACTTGTATAAACAGGGAATCCGGCGCTTTGCCACGTTGAAGGGTTAAGGGGGGGTGTATCTCGAATATCATTGGGCTTCACAGCACGTCACAGCTTGGAACTTGGTTACGCGAGTGTCTGGCCTCGAGAATATTCCACTCGTATCAGCAGATCTCAAGGGTTCAATTCTCGCCAGGGTCTTATCACAGCCCTATTAAAGTGGTCATGCGAGATTCTTCTACAGTACCATATGCCTCAAGAATATTATTCCACGTGTCATCGGGTCTAGAGTCCGCCTGATAAAGGCTCGCTCAATGTGAGACCTTTAAAATGCTACGTTTGCGTACTTAGTGTACTCCGCAAGCAAGGGAGCTGAGAGTTGTATCAAGCACGGTGGCTTGGCTAACAATGCCCCCGGCAATTATACCCAGGGTTCGCGGATTCCCGGTCCTGGAGTGTAGAGAACTTGCCCAAAGTTCACGGCGTCATGGAGAACGGGGGTTGTTTCACTGTACAGGGAAAGGCCTCTACGCTACAGCAGGATTCAGGGCCTTTCTAGTAGAGCGTCGCTTTCTGGCCGGGTTTAAAACTTTAAGTCTAAACGAACAACACAACTAAAAGGGCTAGTTTGGCTCTTAGAGACCTCGAGCATCATTACCTTGAGCAATACTGAAATACGGAGGGACGCTGACTCGGCTGAGGAGGATATTCACATGAGCGCGGGAACTCCGCGACTCCTGATTGGATGTTGCAGGAAGTCGGGCCAAGGCCAAGAGGGTCGAGAGGGTCGAGAGGGTCGGTCGAGAGGGTGTTGATAGTCAATACTGTCCTTGATAATTGTATGATGCTGAGCCGCCTAACGTCAAGAGGAGCAGGTCGTGAGAAGAACTGCCGGGGCTTCCGGGCTGTGAGTGAGCTCTTGGTGTTGCCTCGTCATATCGCTACCCAGCCAAGTAGTCCAAGTACGTTGTAACCACAGGGAAGCATATGTGCCCGAGGTCTTATATCCCAATCAAAAGATACAAGACAGGGACCGTCCAAACGCCCTTCAAGGACCCTACTATGCCGAACGCCCTCGACCTGAAGTATCTGCGCCCTTGCATCCCTCTGCGAGGAGTGGGGTCGCAGTCAAAACGATCAGATCATACATATCCTTAGGTACTAATTTTTCACGGTCGCGTCTGGTGTTGACTCTCACACGATCCTTGATCTGGCAAAGGCACACTGATGAGGTCATTGCGCTCAGTGTCATCATTGCCCCGCAAACTCCGGCCAGCAACTTAGAGTTTGGCAGTGAAAGCATTAAAGGCACAAGATCCTCTTGACGCCCCGGTTTCAAGCAGCATTCTTCGACACTCAACAGCACCTCCAGGCCCTTGACGTTCTCACCCGTTGTTCGTCCTCGTCCAGATCAATCGTCGCGCATTACTCGTCTCGCAGCCTTATACCCCACCGCCAACATGGCTTCCCTGGCGCAACTCATCCTTCGCTCGTTCCAGTTCCTCTGGACCCTGCTGACCAGTGCTTTGATCGGTAACGTTCTGGCTATGATATATTCGACCAGCCCGGCAAGCGTCAACTATTGCATGTTCGTTTCAGCGTTCTCTTACATCCTCGTGTTGTACGGTTTTGCGGCTGCCATCATAGAAAGCATAGCTATACCAGTCGTCCTCATTGTCGCCGATACCTTGGGAACGATCTTCTCAATGGTGGCCGGTATTGTGTTGGCCGCCAGGCTGCGCTGCCATAGCTGCAGCAACCACGTAGGCCGAACCTGTTCCCCTCAGCTATGTGTACGTGGTTAACGATTGTTCAGGATTACCTTCGGAGCACCAGCGTAACAATCAACACACACCACCCCGAGAAGCAATGCCGTCAGTTGCAAGCCTCCACGGCTTTCTTCTGGTTCCTGTTTGCCTGTTTCGCTGGATCCCTAATTCTCGACATCATGGGCGCTGGTCGGTCTATGTCGACCAGAAGGGCCGGCGTCCGCAAACCTGGGCCAGCCATGGCCCAGGTTTAAGCGACCAAACTAGTGAGTAGTTCTTTCTGCTTAGTTGCGGGCCTTCTCACTGACACCGATCAGGATTTGGAGTCTGATGCAGGCATCTCGACAATGGTGGAAGGTGAAGATCCACGTGCTGCATCCAAGCACCCGCGTTACGAACTATACATACAATGAGCCACGGTTTCTTGTGGGGTGCTATTTTTTCGTTCATGGCGTTAACGTTGTACTATCATTTTGCCGATCAGTGACTGGCGTCGCTTTGGGAAGATACTTAATGTGTATATCAGGAAGGGAAGAAGTAGCAGTACTTGGACAAATCCTCATGGAAAGAGTTAAAAAAAACAATGTGTCTCGAATCAACAGTGATACGTAAAGTGTACAGCAGTAAGGATGGACGGCAACTCAAAAGTGTCAGAACCACTGATTCCAGAAGCCCGATCAAGGAATTGTTGATTATGTATGTCCCTAGGCGTCGAGAACCCAGATTATATATGCTGTGTTTTGCTTGCTTGCAAGTATGATTCTATACCACACTCATATGCCGTTTCCTAACGCCATGCCCGCTGCCATCACCTCTGCAGCTAATCCCATATAAACAGTGTCGTTTTCTGGACAGTTTTGTTCTTCCGTAACACTCATCCAGCTTCGTTACAAAGTCGCGGCAGCTTCTACAGCCCCAGCCGCTCTGAATGCGCCCTTGTTGGTAAACCGGACCTCGACGGGGTACATCCATTCCATATACTTCGCCCAGCCTACAATAGGAATATAACATCAGCACGTTTCCTTCACTCAGCATAAATTCGTGTCAGACTCACTCCAATATGCGAATCTCCTTCCAAAGTATTTCCCAGCATACGGCACAATCATCATCGTCAAGATCAATTCTAGCTGCTGCAGACTTGCCTCCCACTCCCTTTGTGCATCTGATTCCTCCTCCGAGTCTATATCACTGCTGTCTATCGAGGAGGGAAGGGAGTCAATCTCGTCTTGATCGTAGGAAGATTCGGGAGACGCATCTTGAATTATGTAAGAGTCGGAGGCAGACATCGTTGTTAAGAGACGGTGAGGATTCGTAAGGATCGAAGCACTGGAGCGCTACCGCCAGGGACGCCTATGCATCGAGTACCGCGAGAGGTATGGAGATGAAAAACCAGGATATGGGTACAGTATCAGATTCGTATGGAGTTATGCTGGCTCAACTGTACTTGATGATTTCACTTTATCCGAATGCCAGCAGCAGCAGTAACTTGCACGTGACGTCCGCTGACTCACTTTCCGAAGTGGGATTTCGTGAATGTTCTTGTGGTTTTGTTTCCCCAAACAACCCCACACAAGGCTCGCCACATTCAGATCGAGACAGCCAGGATTTCAATATTCTGCATAAGGCTAGATACATCCAGCCAGAAAAGGATTCCCGAATACTGTAAACCGCGATCATGGCGGAAATAGTAAGTACATCACCGTCCCCACACAACAATTTGTTAACCATTATATAGCAGGAAACCCCCCTCGTCGACAGACGACCTCGCAAGTCGGTTGCCTTCAGCGAAGGCACAGTGATCGTAGACGAGAAGGGTGGTGTTACGATGAAAGCAGATGGCCACGATGATACGAAAGACACGGCGCAGTCGCACGCAGCAAGTACGCCACTCTTCCCCGTCGCGTTGGGTATAGTTACTGATCCAATCCAAGGCTTTGACGATGCGGCAGATGAGCCGACCAAAGACAACGATGATGTTGCAGAAATGCTGAAGGGCATGAAAAAGAAGAAGAGCAAGAAGCCCAAGACGGACGATGGCGAAGCTGAGGGTGGCGATGGCGAGGCAGCTGCCGATGGTGGACTGGACCTCTCAACTATGAAGAAGAAAAAGAAGAGCAAGAAGCCAAAGGAAGGCACCGACGATGATTTCGCGGCCAAGCTTGCGGCTCTTGAGATCGAAGGCAAGGGAGATGAGGGGGAGGCAACAGCGGAGAAGAAGCCTGTCGATGAGGGTGATATGGAGAAGGGAACTGGTATCTGGCAACACGACGAGACTAAGGCGATCAGTTACGAACTCCTCCTCTCCCGCTTTTTCACTCTCCTCGCACAAAAGAACCCTGACCACGCCTCAAGCGGTTCGAGAAGTTACAAGATCCCACCTCCTCAGTGCTTACGTGAAGGTAACAAGAAGACGATTTTCGCCAACATCGCCGAAATTTGCAAGCGAATGAAGAGGACTGATGAGCACGTTACCTCCTATCTGTTTGCTGAATTGGGTACGAGTGGTTCCGTGGATGGTAGCAGACGTCTGGTTATCAAGGGTCGATTCCAGCAGAAGCAGATTGAGAATGTCTTGAGGAGATACATCAGTAAGTCATTCATTGGTTCCAGAAATACGACTATACTGACCATAATCTAGTGGAATATGTTACATGCAAAACCTGCAGATCGCCCGATACCGAGCTCAACAAGGGAGAGAACAGATTGTACTTCATTACCTGCAACTCTTGCGGCTCTCGACGAAGTGTTACGGCCATTAAGACTGGTTTCTCTGCCCAGGTTGGCAAGAGACGGAGACAACAGGGTTAAAGGGTGTATTGATTGTCGGTCATGGCGTCACAAGTCTTCTCACGAAGGGTATGGAAACACTTTACGCATTGCATTTGGCCTGTGTTCCTTTTTTATTTGCATCTGGAGGCCCTGCAAAAATAACTACATAGAATAACTACGCAGGAAATTGGCAGAGTATTCAAGCATGTCTTATGTATGCGATCACATTAGATTGAGACCCTGTGACATCTCCACTGGAGAAACCATTGTGTGTTTGATTCGCAGCCCTTCGAGAGAGCAGTCCAGCAAGAAGCCTGCAGTATCAGCAAGGCACATCTTAAGCGCCCGGCAATGTACAGGGTTCTTGGCAACCCTCGCGTCTCCACCAAGTGGTTTGAGACCTTGAGATGCCAGCTGCATCTCATTGGGTGTAGACATTTCCCTCTGGTTTCCTGATCGCCAATTCGCTCTCAAAATAGGCACAGCCACCCCGCCTTGTCAATGGACGCGCTGACCCAGCTCGCTGATTGATATACCTGGACAAGCTGCTGTATTGATTTCTTTGCTATCGTCAATATTTTCTACTTTTGAAGATTTTCTAGGTGTTGAATAACCTCCAGTTATCGTACTTCGCTGTGAATATTATTCGTTGTGAGCTTGGTGAGATCTTTCGGGTGCGGGGTTGATAAGACCCCTGGAATCCATTCCAGCTTCTTGCTCGAACCAAGCTGAATAGTTTCAAAGTACGGGAATATATCAGCGATCTATTGCTGTAGCTCTTCAATCGCATCACAATGTCTTACTACCCTCGTAAGTGCTATTCTTTTACATCCTCACGTCCGAGATGAACCTCTATTGACATTGAGCAGCTCCGCCAAACGCTGGAAACGGAGGCAAGCATTCCAAAATTTTCTGTGAAATTCATAGCTCACTATCTTGTTGCAGCCCAGCAACACTATGCTCCTCCTCCATCCTCCCCAACTCCAACACAGACATCCCACACTCAATACTATCCACCCCCACCACAGCAGCCATCCCCGAGCCAGCAAGCTAGCTATCCCCCGCCTCCTCAATCAGGTTCCCCGCAATATCAACAGCAGCAGCAGCAACAGTATCAGTCACCTCCGAGTTCTTCTTATCAGACTCCACAGCAACAGTCAGTTTTCGGGGGTCAACCAGGTTCGCCGCCAGTCAGTCAACCAGGTCTCCCTGGTTACGAGCAACCTCCACCATCTGGAGGACACCATGAGGGTTACCCATTAGAGAAACCTGCTTTGGATACTAGCAGGACTTCGAATCTGGACCATGGAGCTCCGGCGGCTGGCCATTTCCTTGGAGCTAGTACGACACAGGACGACGTGGGAACTTTTAATGGAGGAAGCTACAGAATTAGTCACAGGGACACAAATACTATTCTCACCTTGCAGTTGGCAGTTGGTTGCCCATTGATTGTAAAGCCTGGTAAGTGGCCTATTCAGCTGATGTGCGGGTTGTTACTGATTTGTAGGCGCCATGATTGCCATGACTCCAACCATTACCCTGAAAGGTACTGTCAGGTTCTCCGTGAAGAAATTGATAGCGGGCGGCGAGATGGCACATTCGACCTTCACTGGCCCGGGAGAGTTGCTCCTTGCTCCAGCATCTCTGGGCGACATAACAAATATCCGACTTGGAGGAGACGAACAGTGGTCAGTTGGCCGGGACGCTTTCTTGGCTTGCACACAAGGTATTGTGAAGGAGTATAAGAGGCAAGGTCTTGGAAAAGCTATGTTTTCTGGGGAAGGACTGTTTGTATACCGGATAAGTGGAGTAGGTCTCTTATGGATTACCAGCTTGGGTGCTATCATCAGGAAAGATGTAGGAGCCCCCCCCCCCCCCCCCCCCCCCCTTCCTTCGGGTAGCGTTTCTTTCGGTTGAAGCCTACTGACCCGGACCTAGCTTGCAGAGGGTGAAAGATATATTGTGGATAATGGTCATTTGGTTGCTTGGAATACGAAGTACATCCTTGAACGGGTGGCTTCCGGAGGTATTATCTCGGGCCTGTCGTCCGGAGAGGGACTGGTTTGCAAGTTCACTGGACCTGGGACTATCTTTATGCAGACACGAAATCCAGTAGGTCTTGTCAGTCGTCATGTTATCCTGGATACTGATTTTATCAGGCTTCGTTTGCTCAATGGCTCAACGCTAATGCAACAGCGGTTTAAGATTGGGAATTTGGGTGTTCAGGATTTTGAAGTATATTTACAGCGTAACGACTCAATGAGAATGCTTCACTGGAAGGTTCATTTTACTATGGCCCATTTTTACATGAGCTCCTATTTCTTCGATCGTTCCTACAAAACAGGTTGTTACCGTTTCATTTCTTCTCCTTAACTCTTTCCAATCGTGTCGAAGCTTTCTCTCCCTAAGTAACTTTATTTCAAGGAGCAGTATACGCTCTTTCCACTCTCAATGTCAAGAATTCCTATGATCTTCGACGAAGATCTTTCTAAACTTTTAGCATCCAGGTCATCGCATGAGACACAGCATTGCTACTCACTTCGACTAGAGACTATCGAACTCTTCATCCAGTCATTCAGTAAGTTCATTGGATAGACTGCATATATTTCAAGCCTAGCTACATTATTTGGGGTCTTTTCTTGTGGACGAACAGTTGCGCTCGTCGCCGTAAGGAATATCGATACGTTTTCTGGTGTAAGGTTATATCACACAGTCCGTCAACTCTCCACGATTATTGACTCACTATACAGCTCGATACATCCTATATTTCTGGGGAGCGACGCTGCTCATCGCGGAATCACGATTTCTTCCCCACCCATCGATGAAGCAATCTCCGAGCGGTTTCCCTTACAAACATAAATACTTCGGAGAACGACGCTGTATTCCTCCGTGGCAGGATCCTGTTATTGAGATCTTACCATATTTCTTGTCAGAACACAAGCTTATCCGAAGGGCTGCTGGGACTGTCGCGGACAACCAACGGATCTTCACAAATGGGAAATTGCTATACAATATCAGCTCGCCATTATCAGTGACCAAAACAGGTTCCCCAAAGTGTCCTACTGGTTACCGTCCACAATCCCTGATTCCAGATTCGAACCCCTACGTTCAATACCCACAGGTGAAGCGTGAATCATCACTTAAGGACCTCCCATACTACCAAAGTGGAACTTACCAACGTCCTTCTGGACGATCATAGAACCATCTATCCACGATGGTTGAATTCGATAGCCAACCTAGCCGTGTCGCACTGCGGATGACTCCAACTAAATCTCCCTCGCGCCTAGTGCTGCGAAACAAGCCAAAAGCTGCGGGAGCAAGCAAGGCCGACGTCAACTCTAGCCGCTTGCGAGTGATGAATCTATTAAAGACTCCCAGTCCAAACCCAAAGTCGGGTATTAAGAACAGGACTGGAAAATCTATTCCTCCAAAGGTGGAAACCCCAACATTAAACAACGAAGTCAAAGTCCCGAACGAAGGTGAGGCTTTAGAATCGAGAATCCGATCCGCTCTCTCTCGTAACAGTTGTCGAGGAAGTGGGAGCCCCCCTTCGACGGTCAAATCCTCTAAATCTGTCAAATGGGACCCAGCAACCGTCTTCTGCGGTGAGCCTGTTGTTACTGAACCCATTTCGACACAAGCAGGCGAGCTCCAGGATTGTATGAGTGCGATTCTCAAATGTAAGAAAGATGATAGAGGGAAGCTTCAGCTTTTTATCAATGCACTGGAACACGCCGACAACGATGAGAGGAAACATACTACAGAGGCTGAAAGTCAGAGCACCTTGAATCCCCTAACTCCTCGGGAACTTGCTATCCGAGAGTTTTCCTCATTGAGAGCTGGATTTAGTCAGAAGCAGTCGGGAACTCAGAGAGTCCAGGCATCACAGACGGCCCCAAAACGTCAATCCCATGCACGGCCAGCCCTGGCTCAGGATATGTTTGAACCTCAGACTCCAACTCGGATCAACAAACCCCAACCGCTTCCCCCATCTCCGTTCATCCTGCAATACCAGAACAGCTTTGAGCCTATGTCTCCGGGTTGGATTGGTACTGCCGTACCTAACTATTGGCCTCCTGCAAACCAGCAAGCTCAGCATAGTGTTGAGACTTCGTGTCCAACTTGTGTTAATACCGTCACACCAAATAGTTGGCCTCTAATCAATCATTATGTCCAAGATAATGTTGAGCCGCAGCCTCCAGCTTGGATTGACAGCTCAAGCCCCACTCCTCAGCGTCAGGTCAATCAGCAAATCCAGAATCGTTCTAGGCCACGGCCTCCAGGTTGGTTCAAGACTGCCGGGCCTATTCATCGGTCTACAGTCAATCACAAAGCTCAGAATACTCATCAAAACTCACTCAGGGTTCCATGCCTTTATCCGGCCTATGCGAAGTGTCAAGATACTTTCCCAGCCAATCGATTCGACGACCATGGACCAGGGAGGGAAGCACTGGCGACTGATTCAGACAGGGCGGAAGCCATACTAAAGGAATTTGTGCTGAAGTATCCAATGACAGGGGAAAGAAATAAATCCTTACGAGGCACGTCAGATGCTGCAGCTGTCCAACAGCTACTGGAATTTAAGTTAATGCAGAAGAAGGAGAGGGGAGCGCTAGAAAGGCGCTTCAACTCAGAAGGCGGAATATTAGGTCGGGGTAGCGAGAAGGAAACGGTGGAAAAGCGCTGGGAATCAGAAGGCTGAATGAACACTCGATAGGGTTGCATTTCTCTTTATTGAGAGCAAGGGCAAACGTGAGCAAAGAAACGTTGCAACTTGCAAGGAATCCCACAGAACGATCTCAACGTCTGAAAAGACTTCAGCAATCGAGTTCGGATTATGGATTGGCATAATTAGTATAATTAGGGCCTCCGATCACTGAATTGTAGGTAGTCAGTGACTTTATTGCGCAGAGAATCATTATTTATGATGTTCCGAGAAGAATGCGGCTGCACGGTTTTCTCCTGTGAGGCTGCTACGAATCCCGACACGTCTATTTCTTACAACGCGTGAATTACATCTTGTTACTCCGTAAATCCTCCTGAACAGAAACCATTTCGAGTCTGAAGCAATTTGTGAGATGAGCCTTACATGAACCCACCACCGCGTCGAGTTGCGCCCTGTGTTTAGGATATACCAGCAACCGAAGCTTTGCCTGAGAGCAATAATGATATCAACATTGATCCATTCACCTTAGGTACGAAACGTATTCATTCGAAATGGCGACTCCGACAGCAAGCAAGCACGCGCCCACACAGGTGGTCGCGACTCCCCCAGTATCGACACCCTTTTCAGCCTCGAACCATCATCCAGCCTTCTCCCCCCACGGCCCGCGCTCTGTTGTCCCCTCACCTCAGCAGTTCAAAAAATCCCCTGCGAATTCGAATACATTATATGGGTACCCCAGTGGAAGTGGAGGCGGACATCCTACGACCTCCTCTTTTGGGGGCTACGACAGTCCTTCTGCCGCATTGGCTCTGGGTGGGGTGCCAGGTCTAGCTGAGTTGGGGCTTGATGGGATGAGTGCGCCGGGTATGGGAGGTCTAGGCGGGCCTGGAAGAGGAGACGAGGATGACAGGAAGAGGAGATTGCAGCAGGTTTTGGAGATCTTGAAGGTATGCAGCACCTTAACGGGAATTGCGATTGAAGACGCTAATGTTCTTATGCAACAGACGAATAAAGGACGCCTGAGCGAAGCTGGCATTGAGAGATTGGCTCGGAGGGTCGGATTGGACTGTGTATGGGAGGATCATATGGGAAGTGGCGGCAGTACGAGGACACTGATCATTGCGGGTTCGGCATTGGCTCTCGACATCGACTTCTCGAATAATGTGGTCAAGAAGGTGTCCTTGTCGTTCCCCGAATCTGCAGAGATTGTCACAAGGCATACGCAAAAGGCGGGAGATATTCTTCTACGGGATCTGCAGTTTGGCCCGAACGAGAGCCCGTTGACGAAGATGCTGGATAGATTCGCCGCGAATTTGGAAAGGTTGGCTACGCTGGACAAACTGAGTGTTATACCAGGTTTAAATTGCCACGAAGCCATCGCGGGAATCTACGAGAGTCTTGAGAGATTACATAAATGGGAGGTTGCACGGTTGAAGGAGCAAGACAATATGGCAGACAAAGACGATGAGTATATTGGTAGGACAGCAATGTGTAAGAGGAGTGGGAAACCGATCATGCATACAAGAGACAGGCTTGGATTAAGCATCGATTACTGGCAAGAGCGGCATCAAATCAAGTCCAAGAGCCTAAGCAGAGACAAGGAAAAGACCTGGGCCCTCTTGATTGAGTGTGCTTCATTGCCTGCTTTAGTTTACACCCCTATTCGAGTATCCGAAAAGTGGATATCTCCGGAGATACTCAAGGCAGATCCAGCGGCTGAGGATCTGTTACTGACGGCAGAGGATGGCCCGGTATTGGATTGGCTCCAACCAGAGAACACCATGCTTCCCTCAACAGAGCCCCCTAAGGCCGATGCAATGGAGGGAATAGATCAAGCGTCAGGCCAGAAGTTTCCCGAGGTCATGTTCATCGCCAAATTTGATCCGCCTTTAATCGTACCTTATGGGGTGGCAATGCAAATCTACGGTTCTGTCAACGCACCTTTGGACATGTATCAAACGAGCACTTTTGATGGGCTCATGTTTCCCCCTGGACCAGAAGATAAGTCTGAGCCGGGGGAGGCTCGGATGATCAAGCAGCAGACGACAGTTTCAGTTTTTGATGAAAACGGAGAGAAATCGACAAAGATACACAAGAACACTCTATTCATCGACAAGATCGACTATGGACGAACATTAACAGAGCTCCCCTTTTCTCATCCAAGGCAACTGGTGGAGATGCTACCTCGTCTTCGACAGTATGCTTTCTTATCGACCCTACTCAGAAATAGCTTCAACCCCGAAAAGGCCATCCCCGAGGAAGAGAAGAAGTCTCCTGGAAAGACTAAAATGGACAAATTTGCGGAATTCATGTCCCCAGCTTCGGCTGAAGAAATATCAACGCTTCCTCTTGACGTGTCCTTGACAACTCAACCCCTTAGTCTGAAACTCGTGTTTCCTTTCAAGGATCGAACGGCCAATGTAAGGTTTGATATAAATCTCAATGGGGCGGTGGATGTCAAAGAGCAGAATTTGCTTGATGAAGATGCGATGGACGATGGCAAGAGGTTAACAGTGGCTGACTTGGGGAGAATGCTGGAGATAGCAGAGGACTTGGGTATATGGGCTGAGTTTGTCAGGAGGCGTTTAGGGTAATGTGTGGTTGTGATACCCAGAGATTAGTTGTCTCAAGCTCAAGGAACGGGCAAATAGGAAGCTGCTTCTTAACGTGGTCAGCTAAGCCTCCTACCATAGGTCTAGTCTCTATCTTATGTTACTCAAAAATACTATATCCCTCCGACTTTATTCGAACATGTCTGAATAGTTAGTTTTACTTGCTGTGTGGCATATCGAAAGGTAAGGTACGTACACGTACATACTCCGTAGGGACTGGGAATATTGACCGTGCCCCCATTAAGCGAGACTTCCCCGCACAAGCAAGGTAAGCAGCGGATATGACTGCAAAAAAGACAGCCAAAGAACCTTTGTCAAGGGAGGCAAAAAAAAAAGGCAAAAAATTTATTGACAACTTCAATGGAATCTAACCATCTGCATTTTCAATCCAAGATTTCTCTTGGCGGTGCTGGGAATCGAACCCAGATTGAAACGGATCAGTGTGATTATTCCGGCGAGGGAACTCCACAACGTCACGTGCTACCATTACACCACACCACCTGAGCCAACTGCGTTGGCTGGTTGTTTTGTTTCCAGAATTCTTATTCTAGCTGATACTGGTGTGAGCAAAATTTGGATAGGTTGTACCGACCTAATACGATGGCATGCTATTGGTTGTCGTTTACTAGGCGAGAAAGCAAAGAACACCTCATCGCTGCTTCTCGCATCATATATTGGTTTCTCTACATTTCCGTGATTGCGCTCGTTCTTATTCCCATGGCCCAGATTCGTTTAAATTGGACATATTCAAGATGGACTTCGGTGGCTTATTTCCCCAGCAGCAAGGTATGACAATAAATATCCAACAGTCTATCCATCATCTGCACAGATGACTCCCCCCTGTGCTTGCATGTAGGTATATGGATCGATTCAGTAGCAAGTATGTAGCAAGCCGTTTATTTCATTCTAGCCAAAGGCCCTTGTTTGGATCAAAGATTACCTATCATTGTTGGCAAATCAATCAGCCATTTCCTCCTTTTTAAATTCTAAGACGGAAGGTTGGATTTCCGAGTTAAGTGTCAAGTGCGCCAATGCAAGACTTCAAAAGATCACCCCCGCAATCTAGGCGATGGGCTACAAACATCCGGTCTTCTACCTATCTATCGACATTACTTTATAATTTAGGCATCATATTTGTCATTTAATCCCATCCTAGCTATCATCCCAGGAAGCTTTCTATTGTTGTCACCATCTCGTGCAATGAATTGGACTGGTGGGCGCCTGTCCAGGCATCACAATGCAAAAGGCTCCTTGAGCGCTCGGCAGAAGCAGCACTTTGCCAAAGTACAGGCCAGTATCCGCAGTGCAAAGAAGCCAAGTCCGCTTAAAGTGCCTATCTTTGACAACGTCATAGAGGACTATCATCAGTCTTCCAGCAGCCATCGTTCAGATCATCATGAAGAGAGCCAGACTGCCAGACCACGTCGAAATACCCCCTACAATAGCGATGGCCCCTTCAATGGCGGTCTACAGTGTCTCTCACAGTCGAATAAGTCTCAAAACAAGGCCCAGAATGGTCGTTTGCTGCAGAAAGAGAGAGAGCCGAATCCGGCCTCAGATGACGACCTTTATGGAGCGACCCCACAACCCTGGGAGACAAAGCGGAAACTCAACTCATCGGTCGGTCAACTAGAGAAACAAAGTGTGGGAGACCCAGAGGAGGAGTCGGATTTTGACAAGAGACGGAAAATACTTCGGAGGGGAGACTGGGTTGGCATCAGCATCCAACGACCTCTACAGCTAACCTTTACTTCTCCGAAACATGGCGAGCAGGTTGGCAGAAGGCGGAAGATAGCCGATGGCCACAGAGCGCGATACAATTCCAAGATACAATCCCTGATACAATCACCATTCTCAGCACGAATCCGGAGGCATTCGCCTCACAGCTCCAATGGACAAGACAAGGGGAGGACGTATCAAGGAACGGCAGATGTTAGGATATCTATTGGCGGCAGATTGGTTCCACCAGGCGTCAGTTCGGGTTCGGCTCCAAGTAGAGGGCGCCAACACTCTTCACGGAGCTACCTTTTCGAACAATCACAGGGATCCTCGTCGGATGTAATGCTGCTTGATAACGAAGGACTTGGGGAGAGAAAGTTGGCAGGAGCTGGCGACGACGGAATCTCTCCGGAAGAGCAGACGTTCGAAATTTATGATGGCCGTTCTAGAATACAGCATGAAGAGCCGGATCCGCCTGGGGGTTATTTTTCCGGAAACTTTGAGGATGTTGCCAAATCAACCAGGGACAAGGTGTTTCACACAAATCGTTTTAAAAATAGGTTTGAGACAATTAAAGACCCCGAAAACAGGCCTCACGACATAAATGGCCCTTTCTTCACGGAGTATGACCATGGACAAAGCTTCAAGCACCCCGAAACCAGGAGAGTCAACAAAGGGCAACCTATTATCGCTTCCTCTACGGCATCTTTACACCATCCCAAACCCCGAAGTTCAAGGACCTCTCGCCTGCTCCGCTCTGATTCATCTGAAATAGCTGCCAGCAGTGTCGCTACAGTTGGGAAAATAAAGCCCATAGTCCCCAGCTCCCAAATCTATGACCACGAAATCTGGGAGTCTTGGGTGGGACCACTGCTGGGCCAGAAAGCACAACGAGGGTCCGATGAACTCCAGGATCAAATTGATGACACCCAGAGAATATCGATCAGTCCTGGAGTCAGTTATGCTGCTGTTATCCGCTACCCCAAGGACAGCACACCGTCGGACCATACCACTGGTCACTTCAGCCTAGAGGAAAGTCGACCATCCAAGGATGACAGCTCCGAATGTTCACTGAACCCATCGTCTCAAGACCTGTCAATCAGTAATATAGGCTTGAATGACCAGGAAGTATTTAGTCTCGGGGTAGAGTATGAAGATAATCTCCCAGCGAAATACTCCGAAACCCAGGTTGGTGACTTTCAGGGTGGTTTCGTGTTTAAAGACGTTGATGCTGAGACTGATCAACCGCCCAAAACATCGAAAGAACCGGACCCGGATGAAATATGGAAAAAGTTTGTTTTTGGCAGTGGCGATGATGAATTTAAAGCTGAGCAGAGCCACGACTGGAAACGTAACTCATCTTCCAACGTTGAAAGACGATCGTCCCCTACTTCTTCGCTGCTGCTGGTGAGCTTAGAACCACGATCGTTTGGCTCGCCTACTGCCTACAATCCAACCGATGAATATCCATCATCTCATTCAGTAGCTAGTGGTAGCTCGAGTAACGTCGAGTTCACATATTCGAGGCCTCCTACCGAATTCAGACCCAGCCGTCACTCCACACAGGACGAACACACCAGCATGCATTGTTCTAGAGACTCCTTACCTTCTTCGATTTCAGATCTAGCTGAAGCTTCGATGGTAATTGCTACAAATTCGCAAGCAGGGTTTTCGAAAACTAGAGCTAGCACACCTTTGTCCCGGTCGCCAGAAAGGATCATGTTCACTAAACCGAAACCGTTCGTGGGATTGAAGGCCAACAAGGGCGGAGATATGGATGAAAGGAAATTATCTTATCTTGGACTGGGCTTATTACTGAATGGCGAAAGGGATAGCAGCTGGAGACGGAAGCGGGTGCGAGACATGTATGATTCGGATCAACTGGAGCCTATCGAAGATGACTGAAATGTTATTTTGATTTAGAATAGGCTTTTATCTAGAATCTCGAAAAATCTACGCTTGCTTTCACTCCACTCTGTATGAGCATCTGCACGTTTAGCTAATGCAACTTTATCAGGTTTGCACGTCCAGTCCAACTTCTTCGGTTGCTTTCGTCACAACCGTCCACCTCCTTGTTTCTCCAAAACGTTAAATATGTATCCTTATGTCAAGAAATAAATTTGAGGTCCAATGACAAATTTGAAGGAAAGAGCAATGGGTCAAATTTTTATTTGGACATTAATATTCTCGTCCAGGAAGATAGGGGAGCAGAAACGGATTTAGTAAATAACGGGGTCTGATTATCAAGCACTATCCATGATGTCAATCCACAGTTTTGATATCACATTTTAGGACCTCGGACAACCGCGATAAACGAAACAACAGATTCAATGAGATAGATTTTACAATCCATATCGCAAATCATGACTTTAACAAGGCTTGCTTTCCGCTCTATGCGGCCATCAATGACCTTCAATAGGTCCTTCTCGACAATTCCACGTCGATTTGCTGGCGCAGGAAACGCAAAGGAACCCGAGACCTCAGCAGAGCACCGAAAAATACAAACCGAGAAACCACTCAATCCACACTTGACGAGCACAAGCTCTACGATTGCCAGTGGAATGCCATCAGTTGGTGCCCAGAATTCTCCTCCCGACCTTCTTACATCCATCGACCCGAATTTCGTCCCGAAAGACTCCTCCCCCGAGAACACTGAGCGGATGACAGGAGGTACTCAGAAAGCAGCACCCGAGGCTAGCCAAAACCCAGAGATTGGTGTTGGGGAACTGCAGGGCGCAAAATTCAAGATCGAACCATTACGAAGAACTGGCGAAGATCTGAATACGATGAGGGCGAGGTTATTATGTTCGCCTCCATTCCAACAGCTCTTTTCTTTGAAAGATATCGCTGACACTTGTTGAATGCAGACCAGAGCCGTAAGAGAGGCACACTAGAGAGCGATCTCCTCATGTCCACCTTCGCAGATGCATATCTGAAGAAAATGACAAGGGCTCAATTGGAAGCCTACGACCGCTTTTTGGATGAGAATGACTGGGATATCTACTACTGGGCAACTCAAGAACCTAAGCCGACAGCTTCAGAAGCTGCGGAGGGTTCGGTTGCTCCAACAAAGGAGACTGGTTCGGATCCGGAGACTGCCGGATGGTCAAGCGGACAGCAAAGAAGTGGAGAATGGGCGCAGACTATCGGGACATTCAAGCCGGCGTATCGCCCCGTGCCAACCCGGTGGAAGAACAGCGAAATCCTCGCTATGTTGAGACGACACGTTATTTCGAGATCAGCAGGCGGTGTCCATGAGGGAGACGCCAATGTTAGTGGAGATGGAACAAACCAGGGTTCCAAGACCACTGGCGGTGGAGGCAAGTATTTTCCATGGCCTCCTAACAGCACATTCTGACGTATTCTTATAGGCATGGCATTTATGCCTCCTGTCTTTGAGACAGACCAACGATGATTAGCTTCTAGCTAGCTGTTCTATGTACAACATTTTGTCGAGCTGAGTGTATGTATAGTTATTTCAAGAAGGAGGTCGTGGACTCGCCTCTTTCTGGTTCAGCTCCTGATGGGATTGTAACTTGATTTTATGTTCAAAGTTCACTCGCTGTAGTTTTGGGATTTACTCAGTAGTAGGCAATATGATCACTGGCTTTGGATCTTCGCAGAGTTGTGGAGTTTTTCATATCCAGTCTTCACTCATTAAAATCTGCATAGGCATAACCCCTTCACTTTCTCAGTGCTTCTTACTAGTGCAGAACACTATACTTTCCTGTCTATTCTTTGTATAGTGTATTGGGATATTCTCTATCAAGCTGAACGAGACAGACTCGTTGGATCCTGGTGTTTGATGAAATCGACTTGATTCATAGATACCAACGCGATCGGCTCATGGGGGGGTCTAGAGTTTGCTGGAACTGCTTTCTGTGCTTTTCTCACGGTCTTAACCTTTTTGTTCCTGCACTAATACACGGGTTAATTGATTGATGCGCTTGACAACTTTGCACCAGCAAACCATTGAGATGTGGTACCTGCAGTAGTCACGCAGGTACAGAATTGAAGCGCACGGAATTACAAGAGGTCTACTTTTTCACTTGCCCGAGGTGGCGCACAGTTCGCGGGGCTGGGAAGTAGAATGTTTCTTTGTTTAGCTCCAGCTGTTGGCGGGGTTGGCCCAAGTGCATTCCAAAGACCTGTCCCGCATTCTCGAGTCGCAGGACCTGCGCCAGGCACCCCATGCACTCCGCAATCGATTGAGTCTCAACCCTTCACTCATTCTTCAAATGCCTATCGGCCTGCGGTGAGGGTGGCCTTCTGACCACCCTGTCGCTGAGTGGGAGTCGAAGTTTAACACAGGAGTCGAACTTCGGCTAGCCGCGCTTGAGCTTCAATCTAGGTACTTTATACTCCGTAGATGGCAAGTCTTCAATACTCGGCAGAAATATGCTGATGATTGGACTCCCTTGATTACTGGCTGGCCAGTTCCCTAATATCTGTTCCTCGGCCACTCTACGGAATGGAAGCATCCCGACACACCAGCACATTTCCGGTTCAAGCTCCCCTAGGCCCCAGCAGCCACTGAACGCTTCATGGCGAAGCATCGTATTCAAGTCTCCCTGATGAGTATTTCTTTGTTTTCGACTATAGCGCAAGATGTCGATATCACGCGTGAGTGTGGGCAGATTGCAGATCGACCCCTACATTCCTAGGGCTCATTATGCAAGTCAATGCGGATGGCTGGGTAATTTGGAGACTTGTCAACTTCTCATAAGTACACCCTTCCTGGCATCATCACACATCAACTTTCTCTCTGTTAATTCGCCCTCTCAGCATACGCAGCCGGGATCTACATCTACGTACCATCACGATGTCGTTTCCTGCGGTTGCCACTTCTCCGCGCAACAAACATTCTGATTCATTCGGACAAAGCTACGAAGCCATAGGCAGCGACTTCTTTGACGAGTTTCTCACATTCAGCCCAATCGATAGTAAGGAACCTAACTATTCTGCCGTGCCAGAATTCCCTTTCTTCGAAAGGTCAAGCAGTGACAGTTATTCCGCGCATACATCTTCAAACTCTCTGGACGATGGAACGAAAAAGCCTATTAGACAGGATCAATGGCGAGGTGAACCATGGGCTCAATGTTCAGTTTCATCTCAAGGAAATCACCTTTATTCGGAATCTTCCGGGAAAGCCGCAGTCTCTGACACCGAGCTACTCAGCCTCGAAGGCATGACCTTGCACTCACCCAAGATTCATGCATATTGTCTTCCATCTCTTCCATCATCCCCAGCCCATGCTTCTCCAGCCTCGTCGATGATGAAAATGTTTCCTCCCGAGACACCCACAAGGACCTTGAAGAGGTCAACTGGGAACCTGGAGAGAAACTTCCGAAGTTCTATTCGGAAATCTAGTTCTTTGCCTAGAATGATACACAGCGCCCACAAAAGCAACCCCGACCTCTGGGGTATAAAACTTGAATCTCCAAAATTCAGCCTCGATTTACAAGATCCAATGGATCCCTTCACCCCGCCAGGTTCTACCACAGTCTCTGATACCCCGGAAAGTTCAAGATCAAGGAAGTTTGAGGAAGACAATAGATCATATAGGAATAGGGCTGCCCACCATTTCACCACTGGACTTATGGCTTACGAGACACCGCTGTCAACTCCATTACTGGACGCCGAACCCCCATCAAGAACAACACATGGGAGACAAGCGTTGGACAGCTTTCCCTTTCCGCCGACTCCCCGAACTGGGCACAGTTCAGATGGATGGACTCTACCAAATTCCTCAATATTCGACTCATACGCAAGTCCTTCACTATTTACATCTGAAGAAGACCCACCATTATGGTGGAACCACCCCGCAACAGCATCGAGAGCTCAGCCTTCCCCAAGTGCTGGACATGTCAACCCACAACGAGCGACGAAAAGTATTGTTCGCCAACTGAGCGAGCTATCATACAGTCAAAACAAGCTCGCCCATATTCCACCCAACATGGCATCTGGCCTCATGATTCAGATGCCCGAGATACCCACCCAGCAATCCTTCGTCGTGGAGACACCCATGCTCCAGCAGGACCATTTTAGCCAATCTCGATCGCAATATCAGGCCCGGTCAAGGCAGTACGACAAGGCCCCCTTATCCAGACAACTACGACTATGTAGTCCAGTACGCAAAACTGGGTTTGTAGCTAGCGAATACGAACCCCCGTCTCCCAAATCACCATCAGAACTTCACGTCCGGAAGCGCAGGAACCAGAGAACAAATAAGCATCCTACTCCACGGACACCATCACTAGGAAGGTCGGTCGATTTTGTTAACTTCACGCCGGATGACAGTAGGAAAATCCTGACCGGAGTGGCGCCGAGCGGATCTTCCAAAACAAAAGCCAAAAGGGAAAAGGAGGCGATGGAGAGAAGAAGGAAACTCTCAGAGGCGGCAATCAGAGCTGTCAGAGCTGCTGGTGGTGATGTTGAGAGCCTTGTTGAGGAATGCCTCATTGATTGATCCCATTTCTTCGGTCTTGGTAATGATGGAGTTCGGCATAGGAGCAAATGCTACACACATGGAAGACTACAATCCATCTGTACGATCAAGTGTGTGAAATATGAGATATTCGTATAATGTGTAGTGTTATTTTCCATGTTGGCTGTTGTTGATTGGTTGTCGATTGCCAGAGGGCCAAGTACTGGCCGACCTTCTTGAAAGCGTTGCACATCTGTCTCATCAAGAAAGCGTAATACCCTCTCCTCAAATTTGAGGGAGTCGAGCTTAATGCCAACAATCAATCGGCCCCAAGTGTCGGTACATGATTACACAGACGTGGTCCATACATCCTTATCAGGTCTATCTAGACCGCGCTTAGATCGTTTTACAATTGGTACTTCGCTGGCACCCCATGCTGCCGAGTAGCAGCAAGCGCGAGCGGATATGTTCCTTTCTTCAGAAATCCTCACCAACCAAAATCGATTCGATATGAAGCCCTCATGGCTCAATGAATTGAACATGGGCGGGAAGTATGGGATATTAGATTCTTCACGCCATTGGCGGCGTCGTACCGACTGGAAGATGGGGGGAGCGTCGACTAGCAGTCAGCCTTGCGCATAGCCTCCACGTGCGATAATGACCAAAAGCCTGTGGTCGCCTCATACATCGTGGAAGGGCCGGTACCATATCCTGTTTGGCGTCGAGTATTGAGTCTTAAACATCTCCAAGCCTACTTGTCCCTCGTTGAGTTCTGGAAGAACGACATCGTGGCTGCCAGAGTATTTTGCGTGCTACAAGTATATCACTGGAAGCTTTGGGCGATTGAACAGCGCGGGGTGAGCAAAGCTTTTGATTCCTTGATTCCGTTCGATAGAGGTCCAGCGATTAACAAGTGTGTCATAAGATCTATATTCCCCCCCATACATATAGACTTGTACAACGGGGCTGAGGAGGACGGGGTATATCGGGCATGGCCCATCACGATCTAGGTGATGGAAACCGTGCAGATGAGATTGAGCCCAACTCGAATAGAAGTCAATCAAGTTTAACGCTACAGATCTCTTCCAATTTGGACGTCAATTCTCGAGGATCGATACCTGGATCTGACCTTCGAAGCCCTGATGTATCAACCCCATCAGATTTCGAAGGTCACGGCCCCTACAGGAAACAAGAAGTCGATATAAGCCATGGACCCGTATTGTCTATCGGGAGTAGCGCTGTGGCCTCTCCCGTTGGGCGCCGCGATGTTTTCATGAAGATTCCGGAGGCACGCGTTGGAACACAGCCAGCCAAATCTCCAAAAGGCTTTAGACCCTTTCGAAACACGGTCTCATATAACTTCATAGCTACTCCCAGTAACAGCTCATCCAGGAGATATTCTTCAGGTGCACTGGGTATGAAGCGTTTTTCGATAAAAGGAAGGGGTCCATTTATCGTCACAAGACATAATCCCATACCAGAGGAGATTGATATGAGCTTATTGGGCTCTACTCAGCAGATTGGGATGAGCTTTGCCAAGCAGAAGACCGCTTATAATACCGGAGATGAGGACGAGCAAGAGGATATGCCGTTGGTGTCACCAATGGCGAATGGCGCCTATGATATATCGTCGTTGCTTGGACCTACTAGCCCTCAGACTGATGCCCAGTTAAAGGAGGCTAATCGACAGGAAGCAAATGGCATACTTACTGGGGGGCTAGGAGTTGGTTGGAAGCCCAAAACGACTCTCACCATTACTGAGCTTTACGCGAGTGCACCCCAGCTACCACTTTCTCCCGTAGCTATATCTCGCAGAGTATCCAAAAAGCTACCATTTCGAAATTCCGGAATGGCAAGAGCATCAACTCTTTGGGAGTTGGGCCAAATTGAGGCCAATAAAAGGGGCGAGGCTATAGAAGTCATCATTGAAGAGGAGCACAGGCCAGAAGAAGAGCTCAATTCTCCGAAAATCGATATCAGCTCTATGGAAGGTGGCGGCGGTACCACGAAACTCGATCTCGATTACCATGTGGAAGACCAAAAGCAAATGTGGAAAGATAATTCTACATCTTCAAAAGTAGAAGTCTTCTATCCGCAGGGAAATTGGAAGCCATTCTGTATGCGATGGCCCTATCTCACTGCTCTCACCCTGATCTCGGTCACACTAGCAGTAGCCCAAGAGGTCATTTGCCGGCGGGGTGCTCTCTATACGTTCAATTCCCCTTCAGAACTCACCACCTGGCAGTACTTTACCTTCAAATACTTGCCAACTCTCGTCGCTGTCCTGTTTGGAATATTGTGGCAAGTTACCGATCTCGCAGTAAAGCGTCTAGAACCTTACTACCAACTGTCGAAGCAGGGAGGAGCGCTCGCAGCGGAGTCAATAAACGTTGACTATATCACGTTTTTCACTTTCTTTCGACCTTTCAAGGCCCTGAAGCTTAAACATTATGCGGTTGTCGTCTCTTCAATTGCAACTGTACTTGCCGTTTCTCTCGTTCCAACCCTGCAAGCTGCATCTATCAATCTTTCACCGGACCGAGCCACGCGGGATGCTTTTCCCCATGGCGAAAAGCAGATCGTAATCAATACCGTATGCTCTCGAATTTTGAGCGTCTTCTTGGTATTGACCGCCGCATTTGGTTGTGTCCTTATCTATCAACTTCAAACAAGACCCTCCGGCTTGGTTGGTGATGTCAAGGGTATCGCAGGTATTGCTGCGATGGCGAATAGGAGTCATATCTTGATGGATTTCAAGAATATGGACACAGCGTCTCCTGAAATGATCCATAATGCACTCAAGTCACATCGATATTCTCTTCGAAACTCATCATTAGCACCGGAAGACCATATACCTCTTACAAAAGAAGAAAAGGACAAATACGACTTTCAACAACGGCGCAATCAGAATCCACATCCACGTATGCTTCAACTCATAGCGGGGATCCCATTCATCATCGGAATGGTATTGTTAGTGGTCTTGATACCTATTCTCTTGTTCAACCAAACAGCAAATATCGTGACGGACAAGGTCCCCTTCCTTCTCACCGGTTTATCTGTGTGTATCAAGCTGGCATGGAGCACCCTCGAAACGGATGTTCGAATGATCGAACCCTTCTACATTCTCTCCAAAAGACACGCATCGCCTAAAGTGCTGACGCTGGACTACAGCTCCTTGGCGTTCGGCTGGATGCCCATACGTGCGTTCCTGAACGGACACTTCTTAGTCGGATTTGTAGGGCTCGGCTCTGTCCTTGCAGAGGTCCTCACTGTCTGTGCGACGAGTTTCGGCACCGTATCTGGAATGGATTTCGTATCCCGTCCTCCTGATCGTGGCCATTCTGGCCAAGGTACCCCAAAGAACAGTTCATCATATGCCGGGCCAGATGGAGACTCTGGCATCGATGCTGGCGAAGAGACATATTTTTCCTTTTGGGTATCGTTCATTCTCGCCCTTGCGATCCTTATTTTCCTCTGCCTGGTTGCAACATATGTGTACGTTAGACGTCGGCATCCCTTCCTACCTCGACAGCCCAATACCATTGCGTCAATCTTGGGCTTTATCCACCAGTCGAAGATGCTATATGACTTTGTAGGTACAGAGAAGTTGAATAATGATGATATGGTGGAGAGGCTCGTTGGGATTGGAAAAACTTACGGGTTAGGGTGGTTTACGGGAAGAGATGGGGAAATGCATTGTGGTGTTGATGAGGAAGAGTTGGCGAGTAATTATAAACATGGTGATGATGCGAGAAAGGCTACTATGCCGTGGACTACTAATTGGTCAGATTATTGATTTTTGCTTGTGTTTGACGGCAGTTGCACCTAGTATACCTAGGCGTTAAGGGTCTCTTTCTATTCTATACTAATAGATAGCTACCTATAGGCAGTGTTGTAGTTTAAAGGGGGGAGGGGGGGTAATTTTGTACCTAATGTAAATGCTGTGCCTTAGGTAAGATGTATATAAATAGCTGCAGTCGTCTCAAACGAACGACAAAGCGCCAACTTCACCACATACCGAAAACTCTCTCATCAATTCTACCACTGCTGTCGGCCACATTCGAAGACACATATTGGTTCTCCGTTTCACCTAGGAGAGGTATGGACATAGATCCAGGCTGGAAACCGTACGTACATTTCATGCGGCGCGAAAGATTGGTCAACTGCCCACCTCGTGCCCTGGCGCATGTCCGAGTTATTCAACCCGATGCCTGCTTAATGCTTGCAACAGAACGTCTCTCTCTATTGCCAAAAAGCATCGTAACACAAAGATGTGTTAAATTAGACCAATACGGGCGTATAGAAGTCTATATCCGCTCCTAAACCCACTACATACACCACAACTGAAGTTTTGCAATTTGGATCAGAGTCCAAAACAGAAGATACTCTTGCATCGACTGTACATAAAAGACTGCCATACCACTTCGTCGCCCCAGAATTTCAAGGCAAAAGAGCTTCCCGCAAAAGGCAGCACACGTCATGTGACAGACTAAAGGCTGTTCCCGTCGGCAGTATCCGCATCATGGCTGCCACAATCCAAAGTATTTCTTCTGGCCTTCCGGGTTCCTCTTCCTCTTTTATCATACCTTCGTCGTCTGAATTACTTTCGTCGTCTGAATTATTTTCGTCGTCTGAATTACCTTCGCCGTCGTCTGAATTACCTTCGCCGTCGTCTGAATTACCTTCGTCGTCGTCTGAATTACCTTCGTCGTCGTCTGGATTACCTTCGTCGTCTGAAATACCTTCGTCGTCTGAATTACCTTCTAGTGCTTAACAATACTTCCCCTACCAGTGAATATGGGCTCACGCGTAATTCTGCAGTTCTCGCCTTTAGAGGTAGAGTCAGTCTCCTCGCCACCACAACGTCAAATTCAGCCTTCGCTAGAGAAAAAGTGTCTTGTATGCACTACTTTCATCTTGTCCAAGCGGGCTGAAGTGGCGAACACACCATCAGGATCTCCAGGAAAGAAACGTAAAGGCGAGCCAGACCTAGTTCCAGGTATGAATCCCTTCCCAGATACTATAGATATGTTGATTGATAATCAAATAGTCTCCCACTTCGACATCAAACTAGGCGAACAGAGCAAAGCGACCACAGCTCTTCATGAAGCACTCGCAACATCAAAACGGATTGAGCTTGATCATCCATTCGTTGAAAATGGCCGGATTTGCGGTCCTATAAATCTCAACGACTTGTTGCATTTGTTCCCGACGACACGCGGCGTTAACGTCGGGTCTTTCGTAACCTTTTGGGTCCAAACCCTGCCCCCGAAACCTTGGCTGCTATCAATCGGAGGACTGCCGGTACATTTTTCGACTAGCAAGCATGATAGTTGCTTTGATCCAGGCGAAAGCGCCAAGGGCCCACGGATACTAAATCACATTAACCTTCAAAGCCAACGTTATTTCTCATACGACATCCTTCGAGAAGTCGTCGACGCCCTGCAAGGGATAAAAACCATCAAGCTAATAAGTGTTTTCTGGCTTACAGGTATATGGCAAATTACTATCGCCGAACGTGTAGACAGGAAAGTCTTACCATCCTTCATTTGCTCTAATGCCGCTTTCTACAAGTTTGCCTCAGAGATCGCTTATCCGGATCCGTCAGTACTGAGAGAAAAGGCACCACAAGGCACCGAGTTCGATAATTCCCTATATGTGACTTCACTAAATGCGCTACTTCGCCCTGGCATTATTCTGGGTTCATCAGCTGTACGCGGCGTTGGCGATAGCAAGCTATGTTACAAGCAGACCAGCTCCGGGATCCTCGTCAAAGATCAGCAAGGTTCTCTCTTCATTACAGTTGCGTCTCACGGCTTCGAAGATGATGGTCTGGTTTACCACCCGGATCCAGATACCGGTGTCATTATAGGTAAGATCGTAAAGGACCTCCCAGGGACAGGTATATCTCTCGCGAAGCTAAATCCGGGGCTTCGATACGTTAATGAGACCTTCAGAACGAGTGGCCACCCTCTCGGCATTCAAGTGGACGGAATTTCACCAGGCCATTCGCCTCAGCTTCGATCATTTGATACTATTTCGATGAACAATCCGTTCTCAGGTGATTGCGGTGGACTTGTCTTCGGGCTTGGTTGCATTATTCCGGAAGATAGTGATCACGACTATGTGCAACATCAGTGGATCATTTTAGAAGATGGGGACGAACCAGTTGACAAGAGTTGTGGCTCCCCAATAATCGATGCTAACGGACAAGTTGTAGGCTTGTTTAGGTACAAGATGCCGAATTCGCGCGATTGCTTTGCAGTTTCGGCTCAGACACTTTGGGATTATGGATATGAGATCTGTGTTGGAGAGCATACTTTTCAAGATAGAGATACTACTTGTGTAGTTAGCTAGTCCTCCTAGTGGGCCAGGCTTCCCGCTGATTTCCCTGATCATCATCCGAATAGTGGGCACTTTGTACAATACTCGGAGTTTGATGGAAGCTTGTTTTCCACTCTTTCTTTTGGAGTTTTTCCAACACGGCAGCCTGAGGCAGCACTTTACACTGTTATTGTTGCAACAATCTAGCTAGGTAGATAGGTTTCACTTAATTAAATCCATTTGTCTAGACAGCATTTCATCTAAACGAACTTTGTTGACCTTGTGCTACAGTGATACGCTACCTACTTGCTCGGTGTAGTTGTGCCTAGGTACGTAGTTGAGGTGTCGATAGTTTTAGTGCAAGTATATCTACTAGTGCAAGGCAAAGAGCTTTGCCTTCATAACCGCGGACCTCGATCCAGCCAGTCAATAATACGCTTTCCTTAGTCAGGAACGAATATTACTCGCAACATCTTCTCCTTCGCGCGGTCTCAATCCTCCCTCTCTGTACCCCTTCAACCATGGCGAAATTATCATCATCTGTACCGCGTCTTGCACTAAGCGTGCGTGGAGCTCTACGGCCCATACAGCGCAACCATGCGAGATGTTTCTCGGCCGCCACAAGGTATCGAACGGATGGTGTTTACCGAGAATTGACGGCGATGCGAACGCGAACTCCCTTCATTGAGGCATTCAGGAAGCAACAAGAAGATGCAAATGGGTCGAAGCCGGTGTCGACGGAGAAGGTCGAGAGAGACAGGAGCCCCAAAACCATGTCTGATAGTTTCCATCGAGTGGTCAGTCACATGACCGGAAGCACCTTGTATTGCTTTTGAAGGTAGTTGGCATCTGATGGAGACATAGATTTTACCATTGGCTCGAGACCCGTGGCTTTTGGATTCTTACATTACCTCTTCCGGGCATATCCGACTCGGTACTATCTTCATGGATCTAGATGCTCTGGCCGGTGTTGTTGCATACAAGCATACAGGCCCCTCGGTGATGACAGTTACTGCTGCGGTTGATCGTATAACTCTGCGACGTCCGCTGAGTCAAATCTGCGATTTGGAGCTCAGTGGCAAGGTGACCTTTGCAACGGGACGGAGTAGTATGGAGGTGTCGCTGCAGGTTGCAAAGGCACCCGAGGAAGGCAAGCCGGTCGAGGATAGTGATATCTTGATGACTTGTGCTTTCACCATGGTAAGTGCCACCACGCCGCTGAACGGTTCATCCTCCATGTGCTAAATCCATAAAGGTATCACTGGATCCAGCTACAAGGAAGCCTGTCTCAATCAGTCCTCTTATCACAAGGACTCCTGAGGAAAAGAAGCTCTTCCAAGAGGGGGAAGCGAACTACAACTTGAAGAAAGCCGAATCAAAGAAGGCCCTCCGGAAACAAGCGCCAAACGATGAAGAGTCTGATTTGATCCATACTCTCTGGCTCAAGCAAACTGACTACCACGGTACGAGTGCAGTTCCCCTTTCCTGCCCGTCTCATCGCTAACAATTCTAGACCCCAACACCAGCGCCCGAAAGCCCGACAACGCTCTCTGGATGGGATCCACCCAAATCCAAAGCGTGATGATCATGCAGCCGCAATACCGCAATCGCCACAACTTCATGATCTTCGGCGGTTTCCTCCTGAAATCCACCTTCGAGTTAGCATTCACGTGCGCCTCTGCCATCTCGCACAGCCGGCCCACGTTCATCGCGCTCGACCCCTCGACCTTCGAGAACCCCGTGCCCGTCGGCTCCGTGCTGTATCTGACGGCAACGGTGGCCTACACGGACTCGCCGATCGTGTCCTCGGGCGACGGCGACGCGAAGGTCTCGCCCGAAGGCAGCACGCGCATCCAAGTGCGCGTCGACTCCAAGATCCGCGACGTCGCGCACGGCGAGACGAAGCCGACGGGCCAGTTCAATTACACGTTTGAGGTGAAGAAGGATATCAAGATCATCCCGGAGAGCTACGACCAGTTCATGATGTATCTGGATGCGAGGAGGAGGAGCCACCGGGCAAATGCTAGCTTGGCGGGGAGCGGGAGTAAGATTGAGAGCGTCATGGAGTAGAGAAAGAGGTATGTAAGGTAGAGAGAGGTAGAGAGGGCAGTGGAGTAGGAAAAAGGGCTGTGTAAATTGTTGTAAAGTAGGTAGAGAGCATATTACGGAGTAGGGGCAGGATACAGGTGCTTTGAAACTTTCTGATTGTCACATAGATTCTTCCGCCCCGATGGTGGCCTCTTGGCGTCTATAGATGTGGAGGGCGTGGCATGACTAGGTCAATATTGTAACATGAGTCTTTGTATATATCAAAAGAAAGGCGCCGCCACCACAATTGGGGACCGCTGCATGGAATACCTACCTCCATACCTATTCCCGTGACGTCCAATCACGTGAAATCCTCTCACGTGATGAGCCTCAAAAATAGACAACACTTGCTCTGATCGGGTTAAGCAGCTTTAAGGTTCTTTTCGGTCGGCGCTGATACTGCCGAAGCTTCAGAGGCTGCTTCGGGTTTTGCGCTGACTGGCCAGTAGCGACCGAGGAGAATGACATTGAACATTGATCCAAGTTTTCCGGCACACACACGACGACACGCGCACACATGGTGGCGTTGAGCGGTTGTGCCAAGTTCCAATACGATACATATAACATACATACATGAGGATACGGGGTACATGTACATGTACTAATACCTAGGTACGTTAATAGGGAATGGCCGCTCCTCCGGGGCAACAAAAAGTTCAAAGCAACAGAGGGATTACGCGGTTTGCGCAGGAAGTGGAAACGGCAGCAGACCCACCCTGCGATCTGATACGATGCACCCTTCGTACATGCGCGGCGCTTGTTCCAGGTTGGCGAGACTACGAGGCAGGCTGTGCAAGGAGAAGAGGAAATTATGTTGTTGTTGTTGTTAAGGTATGTTACCCATATTTATTTATTTAGTATTAATACCTGGGTACTGCGTCGCATGATCGGTGGGAGGTGTTGCTCTGTACGTGCAATGATCGATCTTCTGAGACGAACGAGGTGATGGGGCTGGATGCCCCGGTTTGCCTGTCCGGGCATGATCAGCGAGGAGATGAGCATTGAGAAGGAAAGGAAGAAGGAAGGAAGGAAATAAGAGAAAATAAACATATACATAAGTAAGATGGGAAAAGACAGCAGAATGAAAAGCGAAGAGTAAGAAATATAAGCATCTGCCATCAGCATCCTTCGTATCATTCATTACCTGATGTACGATGTAAGATTACACCACCACAGTTCATTTACGCGTAGACTTTTAGTCCTGTAAAAGTGTATGTGTATTATATAATTTCGATTATATATATAGAATTTACCTACGTTTAGGCCCAGCCAGAAGCCCAGGCCAGCCAGGTCCGACCCCTTTGGTCGCCCGGCTCAGTGTCCGCCCAGCGTCCGGCCGGCTGTGTTTCTAGCATTTCATTCCTCTCTCTCTCGCTCTCCCGCCTCCACCACCTCCTCTCGTCATCCATCAAACCCGCTTTCCCCCTTACTGAAACCTCCTCCGCCCTTCTCTCCCCTCCTCCTCCTCCTCCTCCTCCCCCCCTCCCCCCTTCAATCCTCCGACAAACATATCAAAAAAAAACCACTCGTGGTCGACATCTCTCGTTTTCGACTCTCCCAACCACCCCCCCGTGAGCAGGACACCTCACGCCCACAATCGCTCGTTCCATTTCCCTCATCGTCGCCTTTTCGCTGCTGTCTCTCGCGATAACCCGCCTCCGACTTTCCACCCCAACAACATTTACGACCCGACTCTCGAGAGACCGCAGAGTGCACGACTATCATCAAATAATCATAACTTTTATTGCCGCGTTGCTTCGCTCATCTGGTGGAGGGGAAGATTCGTGTCAACCCCCGATTCACCAACGACGTCGTCGGTAGTCCCGGGACAACAACACCCTTTCCTCTGCGCCGCGAGCAGCAACCATCATCAAAACAACCGCCGCCATGAGGAATTCGATATTCCTCTCGCCCTTTGTCTTCCTGACATCCCTTCTCTCTTTCCTTTCAAGCGCCTCCGCCATCCGGTTAATCGAGACCAAGTCCCTGAATACCTGCCAGGCCAATTCGAGTTTGACAGCCAGTTTATTCAATGTCGTCTTCACACCAGATAACTTAACGCTCACATTCGACATCGTCGGTGTTTCTTCCATCCAGGGCAATGTGTCGTTCGGGATCCAGGTCTCGGCCTATGGTTACGTCTTCCTCCGGGAGACCCTCAACCCGTGTACTATGCCCAACCTGAGCGGCATGTGCCCCATGAGCACCGGGCAGATCGATATCTCGTCAGACCTTCAGCTCTCGCAGGACACCGTCAACAGGATCCCAGGCATTGCTTATGGAGTTCCGGATCTCGATGCTAATGTTAAGGTTCAAATCAACTCTACGACTCACCCAGATGTTAGTTTGGCCTGTGTTGAAGCCAACTTGTCGAACGGGAAGTCCGTGTATCAGAAGGGAGTGGGCTGGACGACTGCTGTGATCGCTGGTTTGGCTCTCGTCGCCTCCGCTGTGACCTCCGGCTTGGGACACTCGAACACCGCTGCCCACGTTGCTTCGAATGCACTGTCTCTGTTCGGTTACTTTCAAGCACAGGCAATTGTAGGCTTGACAGCGATTCCCCTCCCGCCAATCGTGCAATCCTGGACACAGAACTTCGACTGGAGTATGGGTATCATCGAGGTTGACTTCATGCAATCAATTGCGACATGGTACCAGAAGTCTACAGGAGGGACGCCGGCCACGCTTCTCAACAGTCTGACCACGACCTCTGTTCAAGTCGAAAAGAGATCGCTGGCTCAATTGGGGAAGCGATCTGTCGATACGACTATCAAGCTGCTGACTCGAGCCCATGAGCTGGCTACGCGGGACACCAGTCCTAGCACCTCTGGAACCTATATTGTCAAGGGCATGAAGCGAGTCGCATTTCGCGCCCAAATCGAATCTACGAATCTCTTTTTGACAGGTCTAATCTTCTTCATGATCTTCATTGTCTTCACCATTATCTGTGTGGCTCTCTTCAAGGGATACTGCGAGATGGCTGTCAGGGCGCGCTGGATGAAGAGTGACAAGTTCCAGGACTTCCGCAATGGATGGCTTACTGTTCTCAAGGGTATCATGTACCGCATGGTTCTGATCGGGTACCCGCAAATGATCATTCTCTGTTTGTGGGAATTTACGCAGGATGACTCCGCAGCCGAAATTGTCCTCGCCGTCTTCTTCTTCTTCGGTATGACCGGGACCTTGGCCTGGGCCGCAGCGAAAGTTATCCTCATCGCAAAGCGTTCAGTCCAGATGCACAACAATCCCGCCTACATTTTATACTCCGACCCATCTGCTCTGAACAAGTGGGGTTTCCTCTACGTCCACTTCAGAGCCACGGCCTACTACTTCATCCTGCCGGTCCTGGTGTACAATTTGATCAAGGGCATGTTCATTGCTTTTGGGCAGAACGCCGGGATCGTCCAGGCCATCGCACTTCTGATAATTGAGGCACTCGCGTTGATCGGATCTAGCGTTATTCGACCATGGATGGACAAGAGCACGAACACTTTCAACATCTCTATTTGTGCTATCAATCTGTTGAACGCCATCTTCCTCCTGGTCTTTACGGCCGTTTTTGACCAGCCGGGCCTGGTTACCGGTGTTATGGGCGTCGTACTTTTCATTATCAATGCGGTTTTCTCATTAATCCTCCTCATTCTTGTGTTGGTCGCCACCATCTACGCGTTCGTTCGAAAGAACCCAGATACTCGATACCAGCCGGTGGCCGACGATCGCGCTTCATTCATCAAGTCTCAGACCCAGTTAACGACTGAGCTGGATGCACTAGGCGCTACTGCTAGAGGCGATGTCAAGGGCGGGTACAAACACAATCTTGACCTCGATGACGACAATGAATCGTGGTCTTCAGATTCCATGAGGCACCCGACGAACCAACAACAGCCACCCTCCACATCCAACTCCTCTGGTATCTATAGGGAGCCGCCTCACTCGCCTGTCGACCCATCAGTACCGCTCTTCCCCGCTGGCAGCCGTGGAGCTCCTCCAAGTTACATGGACGATCCTCGGGCTATGTATCAAGGGGGTCAACCTGAGAGCCGGCCGAACAGCGATTTGCCATTGATGAGCAGATCCAACCTGGGCCCAACGGCCCCCTTCTCAAGGGACTCGGCAGCATCGTCGAATGCATCAGCATTTAGAGCCCAAAACAACGCCAGGTAAGAAATCCGTAGTTCATTTAGTGGATGTTGAAACTGACTGTCAATAGTCCTTGGCAACGCGGTGCTGGCTACGAACACTAATGACGGGGCTTGACTGGCGTTCTGCTCTACCGTATTTATTTGAAAAAGGGGGCTGGTGTTTGTTTTATTATTGCATATCCCGAATAGCAGCGGCGAAAGGCAGCTGACTGCGTGGAACGAGGATCATTTGTGCTTTGGACCCACGAGTCTGGATGGGTCCTGTATAAAGGCATAAAACCACGGATTTCGATCATCACATATTTGGCCCACATTGATGGCCTACACCACGGACCTCGTCCTATGTATCGAGGATCCACCACATACTACTAGTGTTGGAAACGAACCGCACACATTTTTCGTTGCGTTCCTGGGCTTGGATTGGGATGGGATCTGATCATTGTTCTGGTCGGATTGTCGGTACTCGGTGCATAGGTCAGCTTGAATTGCCGGAGATCTTCGCATCCGGCAGTGTGCTATATAATCAATCAAATTCTTTTTGAGGAAGCGGACATGGCCATTGAAGGCTAGTAGATGGTGTATGATAGCTTTTACTTACCTATTGATGATTGCCTTTTGCTTGTGATTGCGGTTCTGTGGACTCCAGCTATGTGAGTTTGTCTTTCAATATGTTCTGAAAGTTGCTTTTTAACCTTCTCCACGCTGGCTACGCCGCGGCGCTCGATTCCTGGTATACATTAATGGGTGTTTTATGATCCTGCCATAGTTGGCACGCTGGGCGATGGATGAACATAGTCGTTTCAATCAATCAAATGTCCTAATCATGGCTAATAGGCCAGCGTCGCTTTCTCAAATATCTAAAGCGCAGTTCCTCTCCTCCCCTCCCCTGAGCTCACTTGCAATACACGATCCCATTCAGCCCCCCTCTTCTCAATCCATAATTCCTCTCCCCGTCCAATTCTTAATATCGACTCACCTCGACTTTTGCGAGGACTAGTTATTCTTTCTTTCTGTATCTTACTAGGCAGCTCGGGGCCGTACCTAGCCAAGCTATCAAGGTATGCCCGCTTCCACAACCTTTCTCCCCCTACCTACGTCACGGATCCGAGTATTCATTTTTCTCCCAACCATCAATTCAATCTGCTTCTTGAGGATTTCCCAGACTTCCTCCTCCAATTTACTTTTCTTGATTCAAAATCCAAGAGAGAAAAAGGAACACAAAAACATCACACGATGCAGCAGCAGAACACAGCACCACACACCGCGATATCCCCGCAGCCCTCCTCTTCCTCCTCGCACTCGCACACAGAAAGCCCCTCCCCGCTTTCAAAAAAATGCATAATCCCAAGCCCCACCACAGAACAAGATCCTGAAGGCGCTCTCCGCGCGCTTCTCCATCTGCGCCGCAGCAAACATAACCAGATCGGCGTGCAACAACCGTATGATGATAGCATGACGATTATCAGGCCGAGCTGCGGGGATGAGAAGAATGATACGGTGTCGCCGGATGCGCGGCGGGAAAGGGAAAGGGAAAAAGGGGAGCAGTTACAGCAGATTGGGATGTCTGGGTCTGGGGGGGAACAGAGAGAGTTGTCGGTGTGGAAGGGTGGTATGGGAGGGGAGGGTGTGGTGGAAGGACGGGTGGTGGAAGGAGAGCTTGTGGAGGGAAGGGGGATGGTGGGCGTGGTGCTGCTAATGGTTGTGGTTGTGGTTTTGCTGATGGGATTGGGATTGGGAGTGTTGGGGTGGAGATGCTGGGTGAGGTGGAGGAAGAGGAGAGCAGGGAGGAGGATGATGCGGCCGTGGGATGAGAGAGTGGAGGAGGGCGTGCTGTTAGATGATATGTTTCGTGATTGAGTGATAGATAGATAGATAGATAGATAGGTAAGGTACCCAAGATCATTATCGCTGATGCTAGTAGGGCAGTGAAAAGAAAAGAATAAGGAGGGAGAGAGGTGGAAGGTACTTGTATGTAGAGCAGAGCAGAATCTATTTTATATCCCTGCAACTCCATGGGAATCGGGTCGTTTCCCCTAATCCAACTCCCGCTATGTTATGTCTACCTATCTACGGCCCTCCTTTTGTGCTTGCGCCCGAGATTCACGGGCTATTAGTATCTAGCACCCGTCTATCGACACCACCTCAGGGGCATTTTTTTATACAGTTTGCTCGAGCGAGAGAGAGAGAGCCTTATTATACAAGAATTTTTTTTTATCCCCCTTTTTCCGTAGGAAGCCATCCTATTATCCTAGGCACTCTTTGGCGAGTTCGCGGCGCGCTTGATAGCCTTCGCCTCCTTCGACGTCCTCTTCCCGATATCCCAGCCCCAGCCTCGCAGGACCTTGACCACCTTGGGCGTCAGCGCCGCGGTGAGAGGTACGCGGACGAAGATGAAGGATTTGTGGAGGGCGTATGCGAGGGCTAGTTGCGTGGCCAGGCCTGGACGGCGTCAGCTATTCCCATCACTAATCGCACAGTACCTTTTGCCTGTTGGATATGAGAAAAGAGAGGGGGGTACTGACTAGCTTTGCTTTTCTTCCCGGCTTCGTGCACGTCTTGGCTTGAATGGTCTGCGTGCTCGTCGGTCTCTTCTGCACCCGTCACCTGGCTCTTGGCTTTCTTCAGGGAGACACTCCAGTTGTGCCAGGTGTTTTTGACGGATTCAGGGATAAATTCCTTGACGTTTGACACGATCTGGTGTTCCCATTCTCCTATAAGCAGCAGTTAGTTATACGTCTGAGTTCTTGAAATGTACAAAAGGCTGATATAGTGTCAGGCAGGAGATATGTAGCAAAGGCGATGCACCCTGCGGCGAGCATAGGAAAATATAACATCTCCCACCGCCTGTATATGTAGAGCTATACCCCTGACACTTGTCTCCCCGCAAGGCTGAGTTGTCCCATCCTGTTCAGACGTCGTTTGTTCGAGGGAGATTATCTGATCTCCGCCATCTTCTTTCACACACCTCACAACTGTAGCTCTTGTTCCCTTCTATTGTAGCCGGCGCGACAACATCCCTCACATCCCATGCCCACGAGACCAAACACCTCTGCCCGCCACATATCCCAAAGAAAAATCCAGCTTACCAATCTTATCAGTTCCCAAATATCTAACCAACAAATAGCAGAATGGGAAATCCAGAGCGCTCAGAGCCAAGTATACACCCAATGCCGACCAGCCATACTCCCTAGACAGCTTCTTCATCCGCGCTCCAAGCGTCTGTGGTTCAGGTTCCGCGGCACCATTCGGGTTCGGTGTCGGCTTCCCATTCAGGCGTGCGCGAGAGCTGTGGAAGGATCGGAAAGAGGAGCGGAGTCTTTGGAGGAGCGAGGGTCGAGCATGGGAAGAGAAGGTGAAGGAGGTGAACGGTTTCCGGGATATGGGCGAACGGGTCCTGAACGTTCTCTGGATAATCGTGCGAGGTGTTCTGAAGAGGCGGGGTATAGAATGTGTCCGTAATCCAGGTCGGGCTGCCATGGAGAGCTGTATAGCTCCTCGTGCTCCAGTGGCTGGCATCGTGGTCTGTAGCATCTCCAGATAGGACAGTAGGTGGAATACGAAGCGGAAAGAAATAAAAGAGAATGGTCGCGTACAAATACAAGTTGGTGATGACCTCACGTAATCCTCTCTAGGCTTCTCCTATCCCCCGCCGTGAGAGCCTACTTTATTGTCCGGCTGCTTCTTGGACAATTCAGGTCTTATTTCGAGGTGTCGTGAGCTGTCCGACCTTTCCGACCCCAGCGTGATGTTTTCCTTCTCAGTTCCTGATCTCTCTCTGTGGTGCGCAAAGGATCAATTGTTCACCTGGCTTAGCAATATCAACGACGCGGGGTCCGGAGGCACGATTTACTATTATCGAGCGTGGTTGTCATGGTCTCGAGTCGACAAAATTATTTTGCGGCAACTTCTAGGCTCGCAATTGGACGAGGTGAGCTCCTGCACAGTGATGCCACTCGAAGCTTCGAATACTGTTTACGGCGTGCGACAAGAGCCGTCTACGAACCTTTCACCCTAAAGTTCTGCGGCTCTAATAACTCTATCTAAACATAACACAACCCCATACTGAGTGACGAGATTCTTGAACTCTGAAGAAGAATCATAATTCAAACAGCATTGGTGGTAGATCCAAGGGGTGCGGAGAAATCTCTACGGAGCATAATAATCCCGGCCGCTGAGAAAGACCACCAGTCGGCTACAGCGGGTTTTATTGTTTACTGCCAGCATCAATGTGAAATCAACCTGAAAGCTACAGCTTTGTATGAAACAAGGAGCTTGGTTCAGGCTCCCCTCCTCATCCTTAACCAATTTTCCTCAACGTGGGGCATGGCATGATGATCGACCGAGTATCGGACATTGATACTACGGTATAAGAACCATGCAAAAGTCCACGAGCCTTCTTTGCAATCTCGCCCCTTTTCTGCTAACGTCTGTTCATCTGCTGCTCTTTCTACGCTCGTAATTGATACCATTCTCTCAAAATGATTTGTTCTGTCGAGTTTCTCTTGCTTATTCTCGGTCCAGCAGTTCTGGTGTCCGCTACTCCCACCCCAACCACAGCTCCTGATCTCAAGAACGCAGCCGTTCTGGACCGAAGGACTACCTGTATTTTTACGGCTGCTTCTGCGGCGAGTGCATCCAAGACCTCATGTGCGACAATTGTCCTTGACAATATTGCTGTCCCATCAGGAGTGACGCTTGACCTGACAGGTCTTAACTCAGGCACTCATGTAAACCACAGGCCCCTCCTTGGCCTAGATGCCCGATTCTAACCTTTCTCTTGCAGGTTATTTTTGAGGGTGAGACTACATGGGGGTATGAGGAATGGTCTGGCCCTTTATTCTCCGTTTCAGGGGAGAACGTCGCCATCAGCGGTGCCCCAGGGCATTCTTTGAATGCCAACGGCGCTCTGTGGTGGGATGGCCAGGGATCAAACGGCGGGAAGACCAAGCCCAAATTCTTCGCTGCGCACAGTTTGACCGGAAAATCTTCCATTACCGGTCTCAACGTCCTTAATACTCCCGTCCAGGCGTTCTCTGTTAACAGCTGCACTGGCCTGACGATTTCTAATGTCACGATTGATAATTCTGCAGGCGACGTTGACTCGTTAGGTCATAACACGGATGGTTTTGACGTTGGATCTAGCACAGATGTCACTATATCAGGTGCGGTTGTGAAGAATCAGGATGATTGCTTGGCGATTAATTCTGGAACGGTAAGTCATGAAGCATTCTCTCTCAAGGATCTCTTATAACAAATGCAGGGCATCACGTTTACGGGAGGGGCCTGTTCTGGCGGTCATGGGCTCTCTATCGGCAGTGTGGGAGGACGCTCTGATAATAACGTCTCTGACATTACCATCTCATCCTCCACCATCACGAACTCCGCTAATGGGGTTCGCATTAAGAGTAAGAGTTCTTGGGGATGATCGCCTTGCCCTTTCCTTCTTGAAATACATGTTTCAACTCGAAAGCCATGTTGCAAGATCTTTTCCTTTCATACAAAGGCGTCCTCAGCTGACCTCTCTCCCAGCCGTCAGCGGAGCAACAGGCAGTGTGTCGGGTGTGAAATACGATAATATCACACTCTCGTCCATCTCCACCTATGGCATTGTCATCGAGCAGGACTATGAGAATGGGAGTCCTACGGGCATTCCAACTACGGGCGTTCCCATCACGGACTTGACGCTCTCTAATATCAAGGGCACGGTTGACTCGGACGCTACGAATATCTACATCCTTTGCGGAAGCGGGTCTTGCTCGGATTGGACTTGGAGCGGGGTGGCGGTCACTGGTGGGAAGGAAAGCACTGCTTGTGAAAATATACCGAGCGGGGCCTCTTGCTAGATGCTGGAGGGGTTTGTGGCTTGCATGGCTGAAATATAGGGGTCTTTGAAAGGCACGAAGAGCTACGAAGTTATATAGGTCATGGTTGGTTCTGTTTGTACGCAATGCCCCGGAGCAGCAGCCTCTTTACACCTGATGGGGTATAAGTCTAATGTGTATTCTGATATAAGCTCTTCAACGACGACGCACCTTTATTAGTTGAACCGAGTATGTTGCACTCCCAGAGCCAGTTTCCGTTACCCCTGCGGTACCAAAACAATTTTCCATCCATACCATGCCAGTTCTACAGACGCCGATCCATGCTCATAATCATACAAATCCGATCCATGACTTTGTTCATACAGAGGTTATTCCCTTAGCCTTTCTCTTTCGCCCCGCCGCTCTTGGGCTTCGGCATCTTCTCATATGCATTCGGACTCCTTGCTCTTCCCTTCCCCTTCCCCTTGCCATGTGAATGCTCACAATCATGTCCATGTCCATGTCCATGCTCGTGCCCGTGTCCACTCCCCTCCCTCCTCGTCGGCCTCGCTGCCCCATCATCCCCACTATCGCTATCGTCATCATCCGACGAGCTCTCATCACTCGATTCATCGATCCCTTTCGGCGCATGGTATATGCAGCACACTGCGTACCCATCAGTAACCTCATCTCCAGCATGCCCAGGAAGAAAACAAACAAACAAAACAAACAAACCTACCTTTACTCTTCTTCCGCCCCAGCCCCTCATTATCAACCACGTCCTCCGCCCACTGGATCCGCCGCCCCGTACTCCCACTGCTCGCCTCCCCGTCCTCCTCCCTCTCCACCGTCGCGCCCCTCAGGTGCAGCACCGCTTGCCGCGCCGCCGCCGCTGCCGGCGCCGAGGCTGGGCTCTGCACTTGCGTTTGTCCACCGCGCGGGGGCGCGCTGGCTCTTTGCAACGCCGCCATATTCGGTGAAACGATCTTGTCTTTTTTCAGTCTTGAGACTGCGGAGACGTCTAGATTGCCGTGGGATTGTCGGTGCAGAGGCGCTTTCTGGGTAGGAAGGTAGGTCCTTTGGAATGCACCCACAATCCTCAGAATAGAGGACTCGCGTAGTTAGGTGTGCAACCTTGCAGGACGTTGAAAATGCCTGAACGAGAAATTTGCAGTGCTGGGTGCCGCAGAAAAAAGATGTTTCGTGGGCGATGGGCAAGAGATGATGTTGTTGATTCTATGGATTCCAGAAAGGTTGCCCCACGTTTAGGTCCCAGATTTACGTAGCTGATCACGTGATAAAATAGATAGAGAGTACCTACGTGAGGTACCTCTTAGGTACTTCCGCCTTGTTCGAGTTGAAAAGCTCAAGTATTATATATACGCTTTATATATCGAGAACATGTCTACACTAATCTTCCCAATTTGGTATACTATATCCAGACAAGCACAATCATCAAACTCATTAAAAGACCAAAGCTACCCCGCGTCCCCGCATTTTTGATACCCGAATTTGGACTGTCCTTCTGTCTTACACCTGTTTGGGTTGGGGAGATTGATGTGCAGCTTGCAGTCCCACACTGCCATCCACTTGGACAGCAATTCCCACCGAGACTGGCGGGACAGCTGGACCACCCCGACGCGCAATTCCCTGACGGCGTGGCTACTGTAGCAGCTGAACCTAATGGCACCACAACTGAAACGCCACTGCTTATGATTGTTGTGGAGGTGATAGGCGGGCAGGATGTTGTATCACAGTTCCTTCCTGTCCTGCAGCATCCTCCGGCGTAGTAGGCTTCGCAAGCGTAGAAGCCAGTCGGGCAAGAGTCGCCACTTACTATTGGCGCCTGAGTGGTTGTGGAAGAGCCAGTTGGACGAGCAGGGGGAACGCCAATAGCTGTCGAAGTAGCCGTAGTTGAAGGAGCCGTGGTTGAAGTAGCCGCAGAAACGTGGCTTGTGGATATTGTAGTCGTTGTCCCTGTTGCAGGACAACATCCCCCGCCCAAGCTGGCTGGACATGGTTCAGCGTCAGAGCCGCAGCTAAGTGTAGTTTGTGGTGCAGTGCTTGTCACTATGGTTGAAATTGTTGGAGACGTTCCAATACTGGTGACGGTGCTGCTTTGTGCCGATGATAGAGTAGGGGATGATTCCGACACTGTCACCGTGACAATGAGGGAAGGATTTGGAACACCTATATCATGAATTAGTGAGTAGGTATAAATGCAGTGGAGTTAAAGCTTACAGCCAATACCGGCACAAACATAATTTGGAATACAGCAGCCACCCCCTTCGTAGTTCCCGCTCGCATTCTCAGAACATGGTGTATTTGGGCTATTGCAGGTCGTGATAGTTCCGCCACAAGTAGCACCCGATGGACAGCACCCCACAGGGCCTAATCCTGTATCTTGAATCTTAAAACAAGTCTCACCAGCTGCACAGCAGCTATTCGGGTATCCAATCGAGGAGCAATCAGAGGTTCCAGTCGGACACATGAACTGCCTCTTCTGAAGTATGGCCAGTGCAGCGGCTGCATCACGACTCGGTATTTCCCCCCGAGCCTCGAGATCATGGTAGGCTGCGTAATCTTCTGTGTGTAGAGCTAGAGGAGGGCTGTATGGTAGAGGGGCTGAAGCATTCACCAGTAACCTGGTTTCCTCGTCTTCGTCTCGTATCCTTAGATTTGTGGCCGGTGCCGCATCAGATGGGCTTGATTGCTGCAGCTCTTCTTCATATTGCCAGTATTCCATGTAGAATTTCTCGCCCGGGTCGTCACTCATCTTCATAACACCAATAGGGTTCCTGCCCCTGGGTGTTTGCTCGTTTCTGGCTTCGAGCCTTCGTCGGTGGCCAGCCGGATCATCGGCCCAATTTCTGGCATTGTGAGAAGCACTGTTTACCCGCTGTGCTAGGGAATCATCATTGTAGAAGGCTGCGGTTGTATGTGCGGTAATGAGGAGGAGTGTTGATGCTGGGAGACCCAGAATTCTCGGGGCGAGCCGCATTTCGTCGTGGAGATAAATAAGGCTGATGATTGATGGTGGGGAAAAGATCTACTTGACAAGACACACGGCTTTCAAGGCGGGCCTATATTAAATGTCCTTCAAAAACTGAAATGTCATCAGAGGAAGGAGAATAATACACGAACGAAATAAAACCAATGCACGATGGTTAGATATAGGATATAAGCACGGAAGATCGCAAGTACCTTTGTCCACATTCTGGTGGCTGGGACTGCCAGCCTTCCGAGATGGTGATCATGATTGGTCAAATGTTTTCGCTTTTGAGGAACAACAAACAGAATCCTGACTAGGATCGTTCTACAGAAATATCGTGACAGTTGGCCGGCTAGCTACCTAAAAATGCTGGATCTTCTAACACCTTATACTGAAAGTGGTCCTCTCTAGATCCCTGTCGCGAGTTGTAACGCAGCAAAGAGGCTGGGCCGCTTTAGATCGGATTATCAGGGGTTGTACAGTAGCAACAAGACGCTCTATTCGATGATTCACGTACGGGATTTAAGTGATCGATTTCAAGAGTAAAATTATATAAATTGAAATTATAGCAATAGTACTTATCCCTCTTCCCTATCCATCTCGTCTCTATCTCTCTTCCCACCCTTCGGCCGTCGTCCTTTCAAAACACTACCCTTCTTCCCCCTGTCCTCGTGCAATTTCTTCATCTCGTTCCTGGCATGCCGCTGCGCATCCTCAACCCTTAGTTTGAAAAGCATGACCTCATCCTTGACCGTCTCATACACCTCCAATTTCTTCCCCAGGCTCTTCTCTATCCGCTGCCAGACCTCTATATCGTATTGTGTCACAATACTTATTGCGTGGCCAGACTTCCCTGCTCGTGCCGTACGACCGACACGATGGATGTATGTCTTGTCGTCACCCGGGAGGTCGTAGTTGAATACCACGTCCACATTGGGGATATCAAGACCTCGGGCAGCAACATCGGTAGCAAGAAGGATGTTGCGAGAGCCAGCACGGAATTTATTCAGTGCCCCCAAACGAGCGGACTGCGAAAGTTGGCCATGAAGAGGGATTGCGCCGAAGCCCAACGCACGTAACATCTCGGCCAACCGCTGTGTCTCGTTCACGGTTCGAGTGAAGACAATGGCAGATCTTCCAGAAAATTCGTTTAGAAGGTACACAAGATAGGTGTCTTTGTGTACGTGTGGGATAAAAACCAGACTCTGGAGCAGGGTGGATACCGTCTGGTATTTGCTGCTGATACTGACTTTGAGAGGGTCCTTCAAACTGGCTCTCTGCAGACTCTCGACCTTGGAACTCATTGTTGCAGAGAAGAGGTATGTTCGCCGCTCTCTGGGGATGACCTTGAGAATCTTGTCCAAGATTGGTCCGAAATCGAGGTCAAGGAGTTTATCGGCCTCGTCCATCACTAGGTATTTAAGTGCTCGCAGAGAGAAACCCTTCGTATTCTCAAGATGGTCCAGCAATCGACCAGGAGTAGCCACCACGATATGTGGTTTCTTGCCTAAAGAGATTGCTTGCGAGACCATATCCATTCCTCCAACTAAGACCGTGCATCGTACATTTATGAGAGACCCAAGCGCTTCGAATTGCTGAGATATTTGGAAAGCCAGCTCTCGGGTGGGTGCCAGCACGAGTCCGAATAGAGGCTGCGGTTTTTCAAGTAGTGCTTGGAGGATGGGTAGGGCAAAGGCTGCTGTCTTTCCGCTACCTGTTTCTGCCAGACCGATCAAATCTCGTCCTTGAAGTGCGAGGGGTATCGATTCAGCTTGGATAGGTGTGGGCGCCTTGTATCCAAGCTTCTCGCAAGCTTCGCATAGTGAGTCGATGATTCCCTGGCAGTTGTTAGATGATATTCGTCAATCTTGAGTAGATGATTCGTACCAGATCTTTAAACGACTTCGGTGCAGCCTCTTCCTTCTGTTGTTCTGGTTCTTCAGGTTCTCGCGGCGGTGAGCTTGGAGCTGGGTTTGCTACCGGTGCCTCTTTCTTCTTATCCTTGAGGCCCGAAGGCACATCTCCATCGACCTTTCTCCTCTTAGCAGACGACATGTTGATGTTTTGAAGGTCGTCTGTACGGCATAAGGTTGACGACGGTTGTACCTTAGTATAAAAGCTTTAGAAAAATTTCCCTTCTTATCGAGATCTCGCCTCTGATTGGCTAGCGCAAAATTTCCAACCTCGAAACATATTTTTCCAGCCTGATCTTCAATCGACCACATTACACCAAAAAAGCCAACAAAATGGCACGAAGAAGAACCAAGAAACGCACTCATGTGGGCGCCAATAATGGCACTTCCAAAGCCGCGTCTGCAAACCAGACTCGGCGAGACCCAAAGAGCATGGTGATTCGCATCGGGGCTGGAGAAGTAGGACCAAGCGTGAGCCAGCTGGTGAAGGATGTACGATTGATGATGGAGCCTGGCACGGCATCGAGATTGAAGGAGAGGAGAAACAATCGACTGAGGGATTATCTTACCATGGCGGGACCATTGGGCGTCACTCATCTCTTACTCTTCTCGAGGTCGGAGAGTGGGAATACCAATATGCGACTTGGGATCACACCTAGGGGACCGACCTTACATTTTCATATCGAGAAGTATAGTTTATGTAAGGATATTAGGAAAGCATTGAAGCGTCCGAAAGGTCTTGGAAAGGAGTATTTGACTCCGCCTTTGGTACGCGCTCTCTCTTTGCTTAGCCAGCATACTTTGCTAACAAGATTTCTAGCTTGTTATGAACAACTTCATCTCCAAAGAGACCGACAACGAGTCGCAGAAAAAAGTACCTAAACACTTGGAATCTCTTACAACAGAAATCTTCCAGTCTCTCTTCCCGCCTCTCAACCCCCAAACCACACCACTAGCTTCCATCCGCAGAGTCATGCTCCTGAACCGCGAAAAGACGGACGACGGGTCATATATCATTAATCTTCGCCATTACGCCATCACCACCAAAGCCACAGGTCTCTCTCGACCTATCCGCAGATTAAACGCAGCAGAAAAACTTCTGCATTCGCAGAAGTCTGGAAAGGGCAAGAAGGGAGGATTACCGAACCTAGGAAAGCTAGAAGATATCGCTGATTATATGGTTGGCGGTGCTGACGGCGAGGGTTACATGACGGATGCTACGAGTGGGAGCGAGGTGGATACGGATGCCGAGGTTGAAGTTGTCGAAACGAGAGCGAAGAAGATACTCTCGCGGAAGAAGAAAGACAAATCTCGCGAGGACGGAGGTAAACCCAGTGTTGAGAAACGTGCTGTCAAGCTCGTGGAGACAGGCCCCAGAATCAAGATGCGCATGACTAAGGTGGAGGAGGGCATGTGTAGCGGGAAAGTCATGTGGCATGAACGGATCCACAAGTCAGCCCAGGAGATCAAGGAGCTGGATCAGGTCTGGGAGAAGAGGAGGCAAGAGAAGGAAGCGCGGAAGAAGATCCAGAGGGAGAATGTGGAGAAGAAGAGAAAGGCTAAAGGGCTGGGTGCCAAGGGCGACGAGGACGAGGATGAAGATGATGAGATGGATGTCGATGAGTGGGATAGCGATGGCTTGGAGGGCGATGCGGAGATGGATTTGAATGAGGAGCAGGATGAGAAGGGCGAGTGGGAGGATCAGGAGGAAGAGATCGCTGCGGGTTGAGTAGGAGAGTTTAGGTAAAAAAAAACGCGGAAGCTTGCTAAAAAGAAGTTGCGATGGTTGGAAGTGCTGAAATTGCTGCTACATCAGGAAGCTCGAGAGCTCGTATTGATATGGTCCAGGTTATGTTTAGGTAGGCTAGAATCCTGTCTCTACCCAGCCCCCTTTCGTATTTTACTTTTCCGAAGTCCATCAAATCATTTCTCAACTGCCATCCCCCCTTTGTCTTAACCTCTTTTTGGATTTCTTACCCTATTCCACCAGTAACGAATTCTGGATACTATAATGTCCCAGCTGATATCTTATCTGGGTGAGTCCTCTCCTTACTTTGCTCCACTTCACTCACCTATCTCTCCCCTAGCTCAAGCCCAGCACCAGAGCAAGAGAGACCAACTGCCTATCATCTCCTACACAAACACGATTGCAACCACTCAGGAGGTCTGGATATCCCACTGGGCAGAGCAGAGTCGTTTGCCGTACAGCGAAATCCCGGGTTTCCTCGCTAGGTCTCTTTTCAGCTGATTATGATCTGTCAGGCTTAGGCGAAGAATGGTTTGTTTCGTCATGCGGCAATCATTGTTCAACTTGACATCAGGCTCTGTCTTATGGGATAACGATCACTAGACATGAGAAGAAGATCACAATGGAGCGAAAAAATTCCAGCTTCAATGGAATCAATGTTTCCGATATTGCTCGCGGCAACTAGCTACCTTGGCTTGAAAGAAGCCTGCGAAATATGCATTCCTATCGTCTCTAGGGATTCTCATATGCTCTACCAACATCCTTCGTAACGCAATCGGAGGTGAGGGATTGACGGATTTCGATAATTTCCAATAAAAGATTCAGCAAGCAGTGTATATCTCGCCAGTCGTCTTATCCGCAAGTTTTTCCTGAAAAGAGGTGGGGCTCCAATCAAGTCAAGCATGATTTCACTTTGGCTTGTTATGTGACGGGATGTCTTGAGGGGGATCAGACATCAAAGTTGTCAAGTGGCACTGTAGCTTGCAAGCCAAGCGCAATCTTGATGATACTAATGAGTAATTCGAGCTGGATATGGATACTTTGGTGGAAACAAACATGATCGTGTAAGCTCCGGACAACAAGAAAGCCGGAAATACTTTCGCAGTTCCTCAAACTGATCAACAAGGTATCGGAAGGTTAAGGCGACCGAGGTGATTGCTGGAGCAAATGCCAGTTGCTATGCTCATAGTGCTAATCGATCATTCCAATTTGTTTCTTCAACCACGAGGCTCGTTTCCCTTGCTTCCTCCGAGAATAGAACTAATTGGCAGGCAATTAGTATTAAAGCAAGAAGGCTTCGCTGCCGACTAACCACGAAGGATTACTGCTCTCACTGATCCATTCCAATAACATTTTAATACTCGTATTACACCGCTGCAAGTCTGGGTGGTCGGAGGCTCGAGCATTGAGAGTAAGAAGCTCTCTCTCCATAACGATGGATTGGTGATCAACGTCCAATGGCAGGCCTGATGGTCCAGTACCAGGCTCTTCGTACTCCTGGTATACGCCACGGTTGAATGCAGATCTCCTCACCTCTCTCGCTAACTTATAAATCCGTGCCGTGGCCTGTATTGCAAGATATTCAACAGTCGGTCTCGCTTCTTCCGGGATCCCTTCATCCCGCCACGCAAGTAAAGCCAGGTGACACCGTAATAGGTGGTATGTGCCATCGGTGATGAAAGGTGGGAGTTTGCTGAGGAGGAGGTGGGTAAGGGCTCGACGATAGTGACTCAGGTTGGGTTCCTTGAGTAGCTGAGTAGCTAGTATCAGCGCAGCCGCAGGATCGCCATGAGTTCTTAGGTATCGGATCTTGATTCTTAGTCTCGTTCAGTGACACAGAGCTGGAATCTTACCTCGTCGTATTTCTGCTTGTGATGTATAGCGGAATGCTGTTGCTCACTGAGAACCTCTGAGTCTGGGCTCCGTTCTAGATCTGAGTGTCCGTTACCTGAATCCTCGGTGTCCGAGTCTCCAGGTGAGTCCCTTTGGGACTCCTGCGTGGTCGTTCCGGAGAATGTCCTGCTTTCCCAGTCCTCAATGCTTACTCCTCCGGATGAATCAAATTCAGAGTCTTCCGTGGTCGCTTCGGAGACTGCTTCGTCCTCCTCTTCCTCTTCTTCATCCGCCGTTATTGGAATAGCCACCATATTCTTCTTCATGTCCCTCAGTTTCCGGACCTCCAAAAATTTCGAGTGGTAGAGGAGACAACCAGGTGGCCCTGAAAAAAGTATTCCAAACTTTCAGCTCGTGTCTTGATACAGGCTACTTTGTTTGAGATGTGCTTCTTTCAGATATGATATTGGAAATGTATGTCGACAGGTAAGAACAGCCAAGAGAGCGCCTTCCATCAAGGGGTGCAAGCGTCAACTGCTTCGCTTTTAAGGTTCCACGAATCCAACCGCACTTGCCCCGGATTCATAGTCACAACCAAGTAGGACTTTCATGAAATTGATTTCTTTACAGATAGTGAAGCTTTTTGGTGACCCCCTACAAGTCATCTTATGAAGAACATCTTCTGAACCGCGATATTTCTGGGAATCTTGAGACGCTTAGAGGGTATCAAATAAAAAGATAAATAAAAAGCAGGCGGGAGATGTGTGTGAACAGGTAGATATTAAGATATATTGCAAACTGTTGCGGCTGCGGGGACATGACTAGACCAGAGAAACAACCAAAATTCGAAGATACCTCCAGAAAGAATTGTATCTACTGCTATATTGTTTTCTAAAGGTGGTTTAGAAAAAAGAAGAGAGGGTGAGGCCGCCTTGCATAAAGAGTAGCAAAAAGGGGGGAAAGGCTCAATGCAACAAATGTCAACGAATTAAGAAAAAGGTTCAAAAAAAGAAAAATCTATACAAACAAGTGGACGATGTGGGGATTGAACCCACGACCTCTCGCATGCAAAGCGAGCGATACTACCACTGATCTAATCGCCCAGGGATACTTGTTTGATGTGTTTGTAAAAGCCGATGGTATATTGTTTTATCCCCCAGCATGCTTTGGATGATTGCCTGGGATATCAAGAAAGCTGAACCGGTGCGCGCCGTGAGTGGTTAAGCGAGATATGTTGCTCTCTCAACCCACCAACCCACCAATGAATGGCTTTCAACAACCCAGCCCCTGGAGACCGGACAGCGAGATGATATTAGAGGCTATAATACCACTTACACGCGGCAGGTTACTAAACACCTTTAACGGGTCCCTTGGGCGGTTAGATCAGCGGTAGTATCGCTCGCTTTGCATGCGAGAGGTCGTGGGTTCAATCCCCACACCGTCCAGTTATTTTTGCGCCCCTTTTTCCTGTCATCTATTTTTTTTGTCACTTTTTTGGTTGGCTCTCTCTACCTTAAGCTCTCTTTTTTTTGTTTTATGCCGTAGGCTAATTTTCGCTTCTGCTTACTTTTGTCGCACAGCAGTAGGCCAGACCTTAATATCCTTCTGCTTAATAGCACTAATATCGAAGCTTCAGAGCCAAAAATGGCGAAATGACGCGCTGGAGACTGCCTACAGGGCTGTGATCGATCACAAAGCAACCTTGTGACAGATACCCGCTGAAGAGAGGACCTTGTCTCCTGTAAAGTACATCTCAGAATTGATATTCTATCACACTATCAAGAACCAGCACAAAACAAGCTTTAAAAAAACCAAATAGGATTCCTTAGACACATATCCTGAATAATGCATCCTTCACTGCCATTCCACGCCCCCGTCGGCTTTTTTTGATAAAGTATCTTGTGATACTGGAGCTCTAGATCCAGCCCGAGTCTACTTTGACCGGCGGATTTACACAATATCCAGTGTTCCCGTTGACCGTACTATACGATAGCCCCTCCTTCAAGTAGTACCACTCCTCGGAGCCTGCACTGCTGGCGGCTGCTTGAGTAGATGAGCCCTCTCCAGACTCCAGCATTACCGTGATCTGGCAGGTCCGCGACAATCTTGGTGTGCTTGAAGCTCTTTCTCATTGAAGTTGACTCGAGAATATCGAATTTCGGCGAGTACTTCTTGAGCTGTTTTGTGACCGCTGCCCGTGTCACTCTCCCTCAGAAATTCTTTCGCGTCGGAATCCTTAATATTCTTGTTGACTTGAAGATAGGCAATAGCCATACCAGGGTTTTCGAAACCTCTATGAACGTCGGTGCGTACATTTGGGGTCTTCACGACGCTACTGATGTGGGTGGTATTTGCACCCAGTTGAAAACCATTTTCTTGGTGGTGGCGAGAGGAGCTTTCTCTTTGCAACGGTCTTTCAGACCTATACTGACTTAGAGGGCAGGAGTAAGACAGCGGTTCGAGGAGATGTATTTGGGGATAAAAGGATGAGGAAGAAGGCTGGTATGTATGAACTGAATAGATTCATGCAGAAGATTTGAGCTCTTTGAGATGACTGAAGGTGTGCTTCAAAATCGTGAAATATTCCTTTTGTATACCTAGTAAAAGACCGCACTTGGGTATATCTTATAACTCTCCGGCAACTTTGACGCCAGGGACACACAGAACGGTCTCTCCAGGTGAAAATTCATAATCTCTTTGGGAAGATCCACTCCCAAGATATGGACTCGTTTCCAACAGACGTACTTAAGACACTGCGCAATCTGGACAACGGCCATGCTGTGTGTTTGGCTTGTTGGGGATCTTGGCCGACGCGAATTAAGAACAGCAAGGAGTGTTTCGGCGCTTAAACACCGGAACAAGGGGAAGGAAATAAAGTTTTGGCACAGAAACAGAACGAGTACGGACGAAAGGAGCAGCATGCAAAATGTTTTATAGTTGGTGATAACTCGAAAGCTGGTCGTGAGTGTTCCTGTGAGGTTAATTTGCAAGCCTGCTGATATTGGGTGCCGAAGTGACGGCCCACGGGGCGGTAGAACTGTAGGCTAGCTGGTGTAGCGGGGAAAAGTTTTTGACCAGACTTCGACACCAAACAGCGACGCGGCTTCGGTGGAAGCAGGGGAACGAGGGATTCTACCCTCGTTTGGAGTAGACAACGAGAAATAGAATCCAGAAGTCTATGTATCAAATGTCAAAAATACCCGCTGTGGAATGTCGACGCCCCGAGGCTTGGCGAACTTAGCGCGAAACCTGCTCCTGATGAAGCGACTCCAGTATTGCAACGTACACCTACGCGGTACCCTTTCGAGAATTGGAACAAAAAGTAGGTATGCGCCGTCCGCATATTTATTCCATTCTGCAGCGGCGGCCTGTACCAAAGCCCACTGCAAATCCCACTGCCAACTATGGAGCTCGATTCCCCTTTGGACCATCAAAGACATACTGGTGCACGACTGGCTCGCGCCCCCTGAGTATGATGACTTCAAAGCAAGCGACAGCAATGCCTCTCCTCCTCGCAGTGAGGAATGCTAACACCGGTGACGATTTACCTCTCTATTAGCTGCATCAGTCACTCATCTGCGAGTAGTTGTGACAATATCGGAAGAGGATCTCTATAAATACACGAGACATCGCTGGGCGTTCGTTCAGAATCCATTTCATAACAATGCTTGACACTGACCTTCAATAGAATAAATGGATCGTCCCGTTTGGAGGAACGGTACCTCAAGTTTAACCTTCAAGCACTATTAGAGGCCGCAGTTGCAGCATGCTTTAGCAATGGGGCCCGTTGTTGTTCGTCTTTCATTACCACCAAGCTATGAAGCTTCCGAACTGAATCTAATGTACCCATGTGACAGGCACTAGAATTTTGAAGTGTAAAGAGGGAATGAATAACAAAGCATATATCCTCACAATGGATAATGGCGTTGAAGTGTTAGCAAAACTCCCAAATCCATGCGCTGGGCCCTCCTTCTATACAACGGCATCGGAAGTTGCCACCCGCACATTTGTAAGTCCCAAGTTGGCCAGCGATAGAGACCAGGCACTAATTCTACTAGCTGCGTGATGTCTTCAATATTCCAATTCCTCGCATAATCTCGTGGTCTGCGGATCGGAGCAATGCTGTTGGCGCGGAATATATTATCGAAGAGAAGGCTGCAGGGGAGCTTCTTGGAAACTTTTGGAAAGCCTTAGACACATTGCCCATGAATGATCGAATGGCCATTGTGGACGAGATTTTAGAAATCGAGAAGAAACTCACGTCAATAAAGTTTGTTAAGTCTGGTTGCATCTATTTCAGGAAAGATATTCCAAACAGCGAACCCCTCCAGACTAACCCGCCATTATCATCTCAAATACTAAACTGCTTCACAATGGGACCACTTGTCTCGAACGAATTCTGGAGCGGTCAAAAGGCTGGAATGGATCTCAATCGCGGACCATGTAAGTCTGCTTATCATTTTTTTGGTTTTCGGGGCTAACAAGTAGAAGATGAAAAGCCCGAGCAATTTATCGAAGCGATTGCACACAATGCAAGAAAATTTATAGAGAAATACGCTCATCCTCGCATGAACTATCATCGTTCTCTTACAGAACCAGAGATGCCACACGAAATGCTTAATCTCATAGATCGGTATCTTCAATTGGCTCCAGCAATGGTGCCTTCTCAATCGACCGAGGATATCGATATCCACTCACCGATACTTTGGCATCCAGACCTTCATCCTAATAACATTTTTGTCGATCCTGAGTCGAAGAAAATATCACACATAATTGACTGGCAATCCACATCGAGTCTCCCCTTATTTTACAACCACCACGTTTCAACCGTAATCAAGCACCGTGGCCCTGCACTTACAGTGCTAGACGACCTGAATTCCTGGCCCGAGCCCCCACAGAACTACCACAGCATGCCCCCGGATGAGAAAACATACATTGATAACGCGATCGCCAGTGAGTTCCTTCACAAGTACTACCTGTCTTCCACACGAGTGAAAATCCCAAGGCGATGGGCCGTCTTACAGAGAGTAGACGAGCTGAATTCACGCACTGAGCCTGCGGGTTGGGTCCAAAGCGCATGGAGTGATAACGACACCTTTTTCTTTCGCCGGGCACTGATGCGCATTGCAAATCGATGGGATGACCTTTGCCCTGCTGCCGGTCCCTGTCCTTGGGTCTTCAGCGAGGACGAAATCGCTTCTTACGAGCATGAGAAAGAGACCAGAGGCTACGTTAGCACTATTCTGACCTACTTTCGAGATAATTGGGCCGTGCCTGCGGATGGACGCATAGAAGTTGAACGGTTTGATGAAGTTCGAGTTGAAATGAAGCGCATGAAGGATCATTTTGTTGGCAGCGCGGATGATGAAGAGGAGAAGGAACTTGCTGAGAAGATTTGGCCGTATGAGGATCGTGCGGATGCTTGAATCTGAAGATGTCTCGCCCCCTACAGACGGGATTATTTCTTCCGAGTCCACAATGAGATGATGAAGATGTCGCTCGACCAAGTGCTAACGGAGTAAGCGCTCGCTCCGACCTAAGAACTAACTTTAGGTTCAAGATAAACTCAAGCAACAAGCCTGGCATTCATATTATATATCCGCTACCTCTAAGAGAGCTTGTACCTTACCTAATTCACAGGCCGCTACCCCTTACGCTAGGCTTTCTAGGCTTTCCCCCTCGATTCTCCTTTAGTGACTAGGTACAGTAGGTAGTCTAAGAAGTGACGTTCTATCTCTGCCTAGGTCTTGTCTTTGTAGACTATCTTGGCTAACAGAGACTCTTGGTTCTGTGTCAACTCCTTGCTAGGCTTATGGTACGTGAAGAGATTGTAGTATCGGCTGTCCCCCTCGACCTGGTATAGTCACGTGACTATAGAATAGGTCTCCACAGCGGCAACACCACAAGTCTAGCCGCGGTATAGGAAAAGAACCGCAGATTTATCAGACAAACCAATCAAACGTGGGCGGTTAGATCAGCGGTAGTATCGCTCGCTTTGCATGCGAGAGGTCGTGGGTTCAATCCCCACACCGTCCAGTTACTTTTGTCTCCATTCTCCCCGGTCTTTTTCATTTTTCCAGCTTTTTTTTTGATATTCTGGAGGTATGTCCTTATACTGGTTTCCGGGCTATTCTTTCTATGCTTGGCCAATCAATCAAGCTAAACATGGGCGGTTAGATCAGTGGTAGTATCGCTCGCTTTGCATGCGAGAGGTCGTGGGTTCAATCCCCACACCGTCCAATATGGTATATAATCTGTATATATCTCTTTTTTTTTTTCTCTCTTGTCCAGTAGTTGGAAGCTGGCGGGGGTGTTGCTACTAAAGTTGATTGGAGTTAACGATGATCCACAGATTTCCTTTTCTTTTACCGCGTGGGTTTTCTCATTAGGGTTGTAGGGGAGAGTTAGGGAAGAATGAACAGAAAATAAATGCAGGAAAGGGAAAAAAGGAAGAAGGGGGGGGGGGAAAAGAGGAAGGAATAAACACTTTTTTCTACCATGAATACATGGAAATCATTCGAGGTATCACCATGAACATACTACCCTGACCTATTGGAAAGCAATTCTGGATTCTACAGACTAACTACGGACCGAGGTCCCATCATCTACTTCCGTCATCTACTTCTCACAGATAGGTACCAATAAGGCCTACCTTTGTGTATTGTTCGGTGCGCTTTGCGCTTAGCGCTTACCAAGGAACCAAGGGGAGGCCAGGACTCAGGAGCCAGTTATCGGGAATCGAACCCAATTTACCACTGCCTAAGACACAACAGGGTCTCGATCTTTGTCAAAGGGGGGGATCGCTGTTGGCCTTCCAAGTCCTCTGAGCACCTCTCGTTCCTTTCAGTCTCCCATATCTGTTTCCCAATCACTCTCCTCTTGGGAGATCCTCCTTTCTCTGTTTAGGCAGCAGCGGATATCGGCGTTAATTCATTGCCTCTTATCTCTGCCCTCTGTAAATTCACAACTTGTCAACACATCCACTTTCACTCCTCCAATTACTCCATACCCTCCTTCGCAAAATGCCAATCAACCTCTCTCCGCAAGAAGAGGAAGCCATCAAAATAATCTCATCCCAAAAATTCCATCGCCTTTTCACTCTCGCCGCGACCGAAAATCATGGCCCGTTGAAAGTAACGTATGCAATAGCTGGGCCAGAAGACGGAGACATTCCCACGATTTTGTTTTGTGGGGGAATGTTCTGTACGAGATGGCATATGATTAAGTATGAGCATTTAGCACAAAAAGAGGGCGTGAGAATAGTTTCTATAGATAGGTCAGTCTCTCAATCATTCTCTCCTTGAATCCTCGAATCACGACTTTCCGTTCCGATTTCACGTTACGCCCTCTTTCCCTTTTCGAATGCGACTCAACTACTTTCACTATAGAACTAATCAGCCACTCAGACCTGGTTTCGGTGGCTCTACGCCCGTCCCCCTCTCCTCCCGCATCCTCATCTTCCAGGAAACCATCATCGCGCTCCTTTCCCATCTCGGCATCAAACACATCTCCCTCGTCTCCCACAGCGCTGGGACCCACTTCGCCTTAAACCTCCTTTACCACCACCCATCACTCCTCCCCCCAACTCACCCAACGCTAACCCTCATCTGCCCCTGGGTCCACCAATCTCATACCTCGGTCTCGTCCCTCATTGCCGCTTCTCTCCTCCCTAACTCGGTGTTAAACTACTGGGACAATTTGAACGGCTTAATCATAAATAAATTAAGTCCTACGCTCGCTACTAGCTCCGGAGGTTTATCCGCTTTTGCAGGTGCTTTTAGAGGCAAAGCTGGAAATGAGACCAACAAGAAAGTCGAAGAACAGGAACGGAAATGTGAGGAGGTGTATGGGATGAGTTTGTCCGTGAAGAAAGAGGTTGAAAAAATGATGCGGCAGTATATATTTGAAGAAAACACAAAAGGGGCGAACGATGAAGCTCGACTGTGTTTGAAATCAACAGAGGGCTGTGGATGGGATGCATGTGAAGATTATCCTGAATTCGTGAAGAATCTGAAGCAGAGTTGGGAGAAGAAGACTAATGGAGAAGGTGAAAAAGAAAAGTTAAAGGTAAAGATTGTGTTTGCGGAGGAGGATGCGTTGATTGGAAAGAAGGGGATGGAATATTTCAAGGAGTGTTGGACGCAGGAGAAATGTGGGCGGGGGATTGACGCTGAGTGTGTGCAGACTGAGGGGACGGATCATGATAGTGTTATAGATCCGGAAAAGGGGGTTATGCAGTCAATTTTGTCAACTGGGAAGGAGAATGAAGGTAGAAGGTAATGTCGTATTCGTGTTTTGTTTTATTAGTCTTTCCAAATGTCCGACTTGTACTGGCCAGTGACTAATCATGTGATTTGCTTCCCTTCTCTCAAAATATCGACATCCATGTCATAGTCTGACAGCTTGCCATAATCCTATGCGGTCTGAGGTTGAATTTGTTCATCGTATATGCCCTCGACATTTTGAATGCCTTTCGTAGCCCCCAAAGTCTACGTCTCTGCCCAATTTGCTGAGATGATATACGCCCAAGCCGGAGTAAGAACAGCAAGGTAACTGCCTTCAACTGAATGCTCGTTATTGTTCTGGACTCCCGGCAAATTACTAAAGCGAGAATCATTAGAGAACTGGCAAGCACTTGACTGCTGAGTTCTATGAAGAAGCTGTTAGCCCAGGACCAGGGACTCAAGATTCAAGAATATACCTTCTATCCGAGGTTTTCCAAGTGGAGATATCTCTTATGAATAGCTTAGATTTTTTACTCCTCGGTCGTCGGAAGAATATCATGGAACCGTGTTTTCCCCGGTAATGCAAGGGAAATTCCCATCTTCCTGCACTAACAGGACACGGCATTTTCGGACCTGTGAGTCTTGATGCAGTAGAAGTATGCCATCCTGCCGAGTAATTAGCATGAGAAGGCGGCAGAATTTACGAATAAATTGACAGAGAATCATAGGACGGGCTCAATATGAACTCCACTAAAGTCTAACGGAAGCGTTGACTCCGCTTCTTGAGAGGGCCAACTTGCCAAGTGCTGGTAGATCTTCTTGTCTTCCTCGTGGGTTGCGGAGTAAAGCCCCCATCATCCCAGGAGAGAAATCTAATAAACTCTGATAAAGCGCAGTCTAGAGGGGAGAGAGGTGAAATGTTACAAGTGAAGAGAGGATGTGGGCAATGTTCGAGGTTTAGAGGTTGTGACGAATGCGGTTAGCGGGGATGTGCTCATCGGATCAATTATACGCCTAGTTTCCGGCGGGGTCATCGGTAAGAACATCGCCAGGCTGAGCCCGCTGCTCTGCGACGTATGAAGTACGGAGTGTATATAAGGTGACCGCAGAGAAACCATGTTTACCGGCATCGTAGAGACAGTCGGAGGTTTGTCTCTTGATCTCCTGGCAAGGTCTATTTCTGACGATCCACAGTCGTCTCCGAACTCAATCCCCAAGCCGAGGACGGCGGCACCAACCTCACCATCTCGAATGCGTCCGAAATCCTAGGAGACTGCCATCTCGGCGACAGCATCAGTGTCAATGGCACCTGCTTGACCGTGACCGCCTTTGACAAATCTACCTTCAAAGTGGGCGTTGCGCCCGAAACCCTTCGTCGCACGAACCTCGGCTCCCTGAAACAGAATAGCAATGTTAACCTAGAGCGCGCGGTCTCGTCGACGACGCGGATGGGGGGGCACTTTGTTCAAGGACATGTTGATACCGTAGCGACGATATTAAAGGTTGAGCCGGATGGAAATGCCTTGACCTTCAGATTTCAACCCAGGGATAAGGGCATCTTGCGATATATAGTTGAGAAGGGTTACGTTACACTTGATGGAGCGAGTTTGACCGTCACCAAGGTCGATGATGAGGCGGGGTGGTGGGAGGTCATGTTGATTGCATATACGCAGGAGAAAGTTGTCACAGCGAGCAAGAAGCCTGGTGAGGAGGTGAATGTGGAGGTGGACCAGATTGGGAAGTACGTCGAGAAGGCCGTGGAGGGATACTTCTCGAAGGGAAGTAGTGGGGAACCTGCAATTCTGGAGAAGATGGTCGAGAGAATTGTGGATGCAAGATTGTCTAAGGCCAACAAGTGATCGAGTAACCCTTTCAATTTCTGTCAGGTTGGCAGTTTTTAATGCAGTCACGAAGAAGAAATAAGCCACGAATTAGCAACCAAAAACACAGGAAATAATTCAATGATTCTAGAAGGTTGGACATCCGGAAGCGGGTTGGTGACAATTGCCTTTAAACCGCACGCACTCTCTCCTTTCCTCTTCTCTCCTCAAACTCGAGAAGCACAAAGACACAATACCCCTTGTCTCTCCGCTACAACAGCCTGAGTACGTACTTCAACCATTTCTCGTAGGATCTCTATATTGACATGTACTCCCAGTAACTTGTTAATTACAACAAACTGTCGCGAAAAGCTCGTTGAGAAAGGAAAGGATGTGAGCCCAGTTCAAGACGTATAATGATAACTTCTTTTGACTGGAGGCTTAGTGTATACAACAGTACGAGAACCAAAGATGCCTTTATTGACATATCTGTTCGCAATGAATATCTGTTCGCAACGAATATCTGTTCGCAATGAACATCCGTTCGTAGCGTATATTAAAACGACAATCGTAAATCATCACACACATACGAAAATCCCTGCCCTATTTTTGAGATACCATTGAGCCTGCCGCCTTTCACGACACCATGATGCTGCCACGATAGGTTTCGATTGCTCGGCTCCAGAGAAAATTGTTGTCTTCTTCTTTGATTTCTGGTTTCTATATATACCTGGTTGCGCTGTCTGCTTCCACAACGATCAGTTAATAGCTAGCCTAACTCTGGACTTGCTATCGAAATAGGACAGTGCCACATGCTTGTTAGCAGTATGTATTCTGCAATGGCTACCTACTGTTGAATGACTGTTTGTTGTGCCACTGAAAACAGTAATTTTAGTCTCATGTTCATGTCTCATCACTTCATTCCAATCTCCATACCTCCCCGCACCTACGATTTGATAGACCCTTCCAATTTGCAAAGAGCTGCCACCTTGCTCGCCAGATCATCCGCCTCACTCCTTGTCGCTGCCTCTGCGTAAACCCTCAATGCATCCTCAGTCCCGCTAGCCCGGGCAAATGACCTTCCATCCTTGAACTTCTTCACTAATGCATCGATCTGCTCCTGAAGTCCAGAGGGCTCCACGAGCTTTCGTTCAGCGTCTGTCGTCTTGAACATGTTCCTGTCCGCAACCTCCACGCGCACTAATCTGTTCGGCAGATCTGTGTAAGTAAGGTCCCATTCGCGGGGCGTCCAGGCTTTGTGAGCCAAAATGGTCTCGACGAGTAGCATATCGGAGAGGGCATCACCGACAGTCTGGTTGATAAGATCGGTTAAGGCGCGCAGGGTCTCGAGAGCCGAAGCTTGGGCAGGGGATTCGGGCTCCTTGATCTTGAAAGCTTTAAGAGCTTGTTGTGAGAAGACAACAGTTCCATGACCGTTGGCTTCGAAATAGACTCCTACGTCAAATTTTGTGGCGGCGTGGTGGAGCCATTTGACTCCGGTAGGTGTGCAGACTACTGGCAAGCCGAGAGTCTTTTCGACGTATTTAGTGGAGGCACCGTTCGCGTATGCTGTTTGTACGACGCCAATCTTCAATTCTTCCGCGAGACCAGCTTCTCGAGCAAGATCTCCGATGAATGATGCGGCTAGAGTGGCGATTCTATCACCATCTAGCAGACGGAAACCGTGTTCTGGGTCGTTGAAGTAGTAGATTAAGCGGTCGGCATCGCCATCGAGGGAGCAGCAACGATCGTTGGGAGCTGCTTTGGAGGACGGGGGGGCTCTCTGCTTAGTTTTGACAAAATCCGCTCCGCACTAAGGAGGTCAGCACCAAGATAAAAAAGGGTGAGTTCGGACGGACCTCATGATTCAGGGTCTCCGGCCTCAGAACATCATCATTGACGATCTTGATATCGATTCCACCCTCCGATCCTTTCGGCAGGTATTTTACAAGTTCGGCGAGTTTCGGCCCTCCAACACCATTTGCGCAATCCACCGTAACAGGCCCAACAATCTTCTTCCCCTTGATCGCTCTGGCAAAGGCCGTGCCAAGCTTTTCATAGTACCCCTTCTCACTCACATCCCCGTAACTCTGTGGAGTGCCCTCTGTGTTTGTGCAACGCGTCAAATAATGCAATTGTGGCGTCGTCAACAATCTGTAATCTGTATACTCGGCTCCCGCCGCCTTCAACGCATCCACCAACGCGGCCACCAATTTTGGCCCCGATGTTCTCGTATCTCTGGCATATATAACCCTCGCTGGTGTTTCTGGGTTGATCTTCAGATCCTTCTCCAACTTGTGATAAACGTTCTCGACCTCAGCGTCAGGAGCGTTGGCCAAAGTGGTCGCGTAGGCTTCCCATGAGTTTTCAAGCATCTCGCCCATTGGGTCCACGAGCTTGACGCCATTGTCCTCGGGCGGGTTGTGTGAGGCAGTGATCATAACCCCAATGGTGAGACCTCCCAGTTTGCGGGAACGGAGAGCGGCGACCAGACCAACGCGAAAGACGACGCTGTCGAGGAGGTTGGCTTTCATGCGAAAGCCTGCGGTGCCATATTGGAAGGTGAGGTCTGGCTTGGGATGCTTGGCTGCGGCGGCGAGGATGGCGTCGGCCATGATTGCAGTGGATTGGGGTGGTTTCGAGGGATCGAGAGGGTTGAGGAGGCGGAGAGAGGAGAATGGAGAGAGAGAAAGAGAGGGTGAGTGAGGCGAGGGGAAAGAAAGGCGTCGCTGGCGCAAGCTTCGCAGCTCGTGTATTGTGGAGGGGCGCTTCTCACCGCTTTGGAAGTTTTATGCATAAAGCGTGCATAAATAGTGCAATGAGGCATATTCGCGGCTAAGCTTGTTTTGCGCGGATTTACGTGGTCACGTGCTTTCGCGTTTACAACGGGAGGTCATGTTCGTAGGTAAAATCACCCACCTCGTTCAATTGATCTTAACATCTACTGCACTCTCGCTATTTTTTGGATGCGGCGACCTTCTTGCATGTCTGCTCCTTTGATCTCACTTGTTTCCCGCCACAATGGCAGAACAATGTGCGAATCCTCTGCTCTTGAAATGGGTTGGCGAATGGCTCGACCAAGCACGAGAACGCAACACAAAAGGCGTGAACGCCTATAAGAGGGCATATGATTCCCTCAAAGCCTGTCCCTATCCTTTCACCCACCCATCTGAAGCACGCCAACTGCAGAATATCGGCGAGAAACTTGTCGAACGCTTAACGGAGAAGATGGAAGAGTATTGCAAGGCAGCGAATCTCCCCATGCCCAAACCTCCACGAGGAAAGAAGAAGACGGTGGTCCCAGCCGATGGCGAAGAAGGTGAGGCTCCTCCTCCAAAGAAGCGGAACCCCAAACCATACGTGCCCGCCTTTCGATCGGGAGCGTATGCTATAATTCTCGCGCTATCAACGTCCTCAGGCGGACTTTCGAAATCGGAAACCATTGCATTGGCAGAGCCGCATTGCGACTCCTCATTCTTGGCCCCAAGTGAGCCTGGCAAATTCTACACAGCCTGGGCCTCGATCAAGACCCTGGAGAACAAGGATTTGGTCTATGAACAAGGACGACCCACTCGGAAATATTTCTTGACGGAGGAGGGGTGGGAGGTGGCCAGACGGATCAAAAAGACAGCTGAGCCTAAGGGATCGATGGATGATTTTGTTGATGGTGGAAGGACAAAGTCTGGGTCCAAGACTGGAGCGAACGATGGTTTATCCATGGATAGCAGACTAAGTCCTGTTCGTCAATCGCCCCGTCTCTCGGAATCTCCTGAACCGGGGGTGTCAGACATCATTCCCCAGGGTACCTCATCATCTGAGCTTCCCTCTTTCGAACCTCTGGTGCTACAACCCGGAACGTTCATAGTACAGCTCGTTCTCGATAACCGTGAAGTCCGGGCAAAGGATGATCGAGACTACATTCAAAATGAGCTCGGAAAAAGAGGCGTCAAGCCAATCGTGCGACCCCTAGCTCTTGGTGATATTCTTTGGGTAGCCAAGTGTCATGACCCCCAACTCCTGCCTTCACTTGGCGTCGAAGGGGATGAAGTTGTGTTAGACTATGTGATTGAACGGAAGAGACTTGATGATCTCGTGGGCTCTATAAAGGATGGGCGGTTTCATGAGCAGAAATTCCGACTTCGAAAGTGCGGCGTCAAAAACGTGACCTATCTCATCGAGGAAATCTCCATGAGCGCGGACCATTTCCAAAAATACGAAGAAGCGGTCCAGTCGGCCATTGCTAGCATGCAGGTTGTGGACGGGTATTTTGTGAAAAAGACGCAGAAGATGGATGACTCGATCAGATATCTGGCACGAATGACTCTTATGTTAAAGGAGATGTACGAGAAAAAACCTCTCCATTTAATCCCGACGCGGGTGATCACGACTCAAAACTTCCTGCCCTTGGTGAACGAGCTACGGGCCAAGGAGCCGGGAACAGATTACCACATAACGTACGAAGCATACGCGAGTCTGGCGAGCAAATCAGAGACTCTTACCCTCCGAGATGTCTTCCTGAAGATGCTGATGTGTACGAGGGGTGTGACCGGCGAGAAGGCCCTAGAGATCCAGAAGAGGTGGAAGACTCCCAAGGCTTTCATGGAAGCGTACGAGCGATGCGGAGATGGGGAAGAAGGCCGCAAGAGGAAGCTCGAGATGGTCAGCAAGGATATGGCACATTTTGTGGGCAGGAAGAAGATCGCCAAAGCGGTCAGTGCTAAGATCGCAGAGGTTTGGGGTGATGCTTGATTTGTGGGACCTAGGTGGAGTATAGGCGTTTTTTCCATGGAGAGGACAGACGCCTGGGTTACAGGGAAATAGAGTCCGCGAGGAGAGGCATATTTTAACTCATAGATATATTCTGTGTACGGATTTGAGAGGCTCGAAACCCCGAAATCGTCGGTCGTGTTCTCGAAGAGCGAACGAACCACCGCACCCGCTGCTCCGAACATCGAATTGTGTCCCAGAAGAACAACATTATGGTATTGGCACTCTAATATATATGACGCTGAGAAGGCACTTCCCCAGCATTCCTCTAGCCCAGGGCATGAACCCCAACACAAATCACATGGAAAACGGCCGAGGAGTCTGGATCATGACCACTTATTGCTGAGCTGGGGTTAGATCTGGTTTGGCCGAAGGGTCGAGACTCGAGCTACAGCGCGTCGAGAACTCAAGCGTAGCTTCCCCGCATCTCAAAATCGCAGATCATTGGATAGCGTTACATGGCTTTTTCCTCCTGCAAAGCGCTGAGGCGTGGTGGTTCTTCTTCCCGGACCCGATGTACATGTACCTACTGCTTGAGATACAGCTGTAAATGCATGCTTGTTTAGCTGTGCGAGGGTTTCTACGAGGAAGCATTTCTGAGTCTTGGTTAGCGGGCCTAAAGGAGTCTTTCTAGACTTTGAAAGATGGGCTGATTAGAAGAGGGAAAGAGCGAGTGAGTGATGACTGGGCTCTACGGACTCCGAAGTATAAGGTCCTGTAGCTGACTAACTGCCAGGTACAGCCGCACAAGATCTAATCATCGGATCTTGATCTTCGAGATCTTTTCTAGGGTAGATTAGATTAGGTAGGGATCTCGTCGGCTTGATCGCCCGCCTAAGCCCCCTATATCAAAACATGCATTCCTCGTATAAAGTTACGTCCGTACGCATGGTCCTGCTCATCCCACAGTGCCGCTACTGCCGGATCACGACGGGATCCGCTGGCCATGCGACGGCATGGCCTCGGACGCCTAGGATGCCATGATCCGACGAGGATAGGGATCCGGAATGAGAAGAGGGGATTGAGGGTAAGGGGGCTCAGCTCGAAATCCAAATTTAAACCAAGAGCAGGCTTATCTATGGGCATGATTGAGCGTCTTCACCTCACATCAAGCTGGCCTAAAGGAGGACGAAAGAGGATACGGGAAATGCAGATGGTAAACTCCATGCGGAATTCACGCCAACTGCTAGAATATGGCCCGAGTCCTCGGAGACTCGGAGAGTTACAACTTACGAGTTAGGCTAAGAAGATGGATGGATGGATAGGTACCTTACCTTCATCTCATAATTGTTCGGCTGGCCAACTGAATCTTTGAGCTAAAGTTCAAAACTCAGAAATCTATATCGATACCAAGCGTTTCATCCTGAATAAGTACAGAGTGCTACGTCGGATTGAGTGTGGCTTGCCCCGTGGCTACGGACGTACCTCCGTAGAGCAAAGGCCTTTGGCGACATAGAAAGAGGCTTCTGGTTGGCTGCTAGGACTTTAAGCTCAGATAGTGTACTAACCGCCCATCTCCAAATACCTCCAGCATTCCTAGTCAAGACAAAATGATCTTCAGGGCCATGCCGTGTTGGGCACGTGACTTACCGGAGAGGGTGCGTGCCGTGCCGTGTGGATGCTGATTGGATAGTTCTGGCGGGGCTATAAATAGGCGACCCCCCCTTCCCGAGGTCACGCCTCGCAGCCGCATCTCTCGTCAAACAACTCGGTCATTGACACAGCTTAACCTTCTCTGAACCACTTCGCTGAGCCGCTTCTGAACCGCACGCAACGCGGCCCATGAATCTCATCCCGTTTACCAACGAGCCACCGTTTCAGGGCTACCGGCGCAGGCGGATAGCGTTCTCAAACTGCTTGTGATGGGCCCAGCCGGGAGGACAAGACGGGTGAAGAGATGTGCGTGGGTGCTTTTTGCCAGCGACCAGTTCAACGGACGAGGGCCTCGAGCGGCTGCAAAGAAAAGCATGCAAAGAGAACTTCCCAAAATGGCTGTTCAACCTCAAAATATGGGATCGAGCCGTCCCTGTGATGCAGCCGTTGCTGATCAACACAGGGGTTGCCTTCAAGTCTAAAAGTAGAGCCTTCATGGCCTAGGTTGGCCTACGCTCCCGTCTCTTCACACATCCTGTGTGAAGCAACGAGGTAACGTAGCCTCCTGGTACTAATCGTGCAGGACGAAGTAGTCCTAGTGGCCTACTGCACAACTTCCCGCGATCCTTTTCGCGCTGTCCCGTCCCGTCCCTGGCATGCTCTTCCTCTAGATGGGCCTTTATATCTTGATTTCCTAGTAGGCTGGTCCTTGGTCTTCCGGAATTCCTTAGCCTGGAGCGGGAGGGAATGTCTACCTACTGTTGTGACCTGTATATAAGTATATAGGTATCTTGAGCAAGCTGCTTGGTACTTTTCCTCCAGGGCTTTCATTCTCTACCATCTCAACCCCCTCCATTCTTTGGTCATCAAGTCATTCTTTGTTTATTCACCATGACTCGATTGTTATCAGTTGCCGCTGTTCTCTCTCTCGCGTTGCGTGCCTCTGCCGGCGCCGACTCATATCAAGTAAATGCCATCTGTACTTGGTACGTGCGGTCTTTGCCCACTTTTCGCAAGCGGACTGGCTAACTCGCCTCTGCAGTGATCAGTTGATGCGTTGGTATGATTGGAACAACGGTATCTGGGGTAGTTCCTGGTGGGAGTCGGCCATGATGATGTCTGCTCTCGCCGACCTCTCGGCCACGGACTCAAGCTATAACGGAACATACTTCAACGTCTACGCCAATACCTTCACCAATGCTCCCAAAACGCAAGGCCACACGAACTTCTTGAATAATTTCTATGACGATGAGGGATGGTGGGGTATCGCGTGGCTTAACATCTATGATCTCACCCAGAACCCCAACTACCTAAACATGGCCAAAACCATCTTCAATGACATGCACGGCGGCTGGACGACACCCTGCGGAGGCGGGATCTATTGGGAGAAGGGCCAGCCTTACATCGCCTCCATTGCCAACGGTATGTCCCTCGTTTTCTCAGCGTCCCTGACCACCCTCAGTGCTAACTCTACTAGAACTGTACATCCAACTGGCTGCAGGACTCGCCAACCGCGTGCCCAGCCAGAAGTCGACGTATCTCGGCTATGCCACAGCCGGCTGGGACTGGTTCTTCAGCATCGACGTCGTCAACGCGGATAATTTCATTGTCGATGGTGTTGACGGTAATACGTGCAAGTCCACTGGAAGTACCTACACCTACAACCAGGGTGTCATCCTCGGCGCTGCAGCAGAGCTATACGAAGCGACCGGCAACGGTACCTACCTAGACCTAGCGAGTAAAATCGCGGATGCCGTGACGACGAAGGGCTCACAATTTTTGAACCCCAACGGCATCCTGATGGACGGCTGCGATAAGACGGCCTCGTGCAGCGGCAATGGCGAGGAATTTAAGGGTCCCTTCGTCCGCAATCTGCGCAAGCTGTACAGATGGGTCGTTTCCCCCACGTGGCGCGACTTCCTCGAGACCAATGCCCAATCCATCTGGAACAACGCCCTGAATGACACAAACAGCCAATGCTTCGTCGGCGACTACTGGGCTGGCCCCTACAAGACCGCTGACGCTATCTCCAACGGCATCGCCCTTGACGCTCTCAACGCCGCTCTTTACGCTACCTCGTGAGCGCGCCCCAACTCGCTCACCCACGTACAATCTTTTCCTTCGTGCACTTAAATACGCGGCTACCCCACAGCTATCAACTATATAATTGAGGAATGGCCGCCCCCAGAACCTTATTACTTGCGTGTTCATACCACGAGTTCGTCCAATATGTATATACAAGAATTGGACATGTTCATTTCCCTGCCAAGGCTTTATTGACTGAAGGTTAAGATGCTTTTAATCATAAATGAGATGAGATTATGAGATGACCATTATTCGCTACTTGAAAGGAGAGGGGGAAGGGGGAATGTTTGATTATTGAGTGACCAGTTGTCTTTTTTAATTAGATAGCTAAATCCGCGGTTGTGCAGCAGTTGTCTAGCTAACCCCCAACAGTATCTACGAAGTAGAGACTTTAACATGCGAATTAACACCTATCCTAAACGAACTGTCGAGTTTGGTTAGTCTATCGTTCTAGAAAACTACGTTCATAAACCACTTGTCCTTTACTTGTTATTAGCTTCATGTTAGTATGAATCCTCTAAACTTCTTCTATTTTCCAAGCAAGGCAGAGGAAAGGTGGGAAATCATACCTTATATATTCAAAGCCAACGGAATTCTATTTATAAACGAGGTCACATCACCCATCTATACATGAATGAATGAATCACGGACAACCGACCCTATCCATCGCGCGAGTATCCTATCTCCCTCTATAAAAACACCACATCTCACATCTATCAACCGCCAGTCCACCCGGACGAACGGGATTTGGAAACTAGGAGCTTCGCTGCGTTCGAGGAAAAGGGACTGCCTATCTCAACCATTTCTCTGCTATAGACGGAACGTGTGGATAAAGGACACGAATCCTTGGGAACGTTTGTTTCGTTTCACCAATTAGAGTAATCGTTGTGAATTCGTATTTTCTCTCGTTCTCGAATTACTATATCGTTGTCATTATTATAGTATATCGTCGCGTCGTTGGATCAGACTTGAAGGAAGCAGACTCAGACTTAGATGAGCCAATGGTAATCAGAGGGGAGGATGAGGCAGGAGTACGGGGAGCGGGAGTCGAAAGGGGAACCACTAGTAGGTCATGTTCTCTGCTATAGACAGAATTACGAAAAGCTCTTTTTCGACAACGACACTAATCCTTAAGGACAGGCTTTTCCCTTTAAAAGCCGTTCATGAATCGCTTGTGCTAGTTAGACAGCTTCAAGATACTGTGGAGAATCAGACCATGATCTAGCAAGCAGCTAAGCAATCCATCCAACTTGTTATTAATAGCAGGAGACATGAACCGTTATCCCGGCTCACTAAAAAACTCAAAATCCGTTCTTGATATTCAGATGTACCGTACAGAGATCCCGGATCTATTATATTCAACAACCTTGCCGAAGACTTAGATGGGTTTGGTTTACTACCAAGACCTCTTGTCAAACGGCATTTTATCATTAGATTCACTCATCGTTGTGAATTCCTTTCCTGTCGTTGTCAAATGATCATATTATTATTGTCATAATGTATCGTCAAACCAATTCACTTCCATAATTCGAATTCCAGAAAGTAAAGTACGGAATCTGAAATATCCACATTCTATCTACCTTACTTGTCCAGCCTCTACTGTTCTCTTGACTCCTGCAGACTTTGGGCGTTTGTTTGTCTACAGAACCAGTGCTGTCAGTGTCACCATGAGGACTATCAATGCCAATTGTGTGATTTCGAGCCAGGAAGTCAGGATCGCGGTTGATAGAGATTTGTCCTGGAGGAACGGGACTCACAAAAGGGTAGAAGAGCAGAAGGACTAGCATGGCGGTAGAGCAAGGTGCTCTAGATGTTTGTCATTAGGAAACTATTTGCGAAGAAGATACAAGCCTACAGGTGGTGTTCTGGCACGGAAAGTCGGTATTCTAAAATAGCCGCTTCTAGTCCTGTGGCGCCAAAAGGGAATCAAACTCGAACCGGTTTACTCCTGCTGGTCGAACGCAGCCTAAATAGAATCTCTTTGGGTCCCCCCTGAAGTTCTCTTTTGCTTGATGTTGAACTTCATCGTGGGATTTCATATTAGAGATACGGATATGATTTGGGATAGCCGAGTTTGGATCTTAGGGCGGGGGGAAGGAGAGTGGTGAATGTGGTGAGGTTATGAGGAGAGGGTTGTGGTATTGGAGGGAAAGGCGGGGAAGAAAGTGACCCTGAGTTCTGGTCCAGAAGAAAGTAGTTTCATGACACACAGGCCGCAATATATCACAGTAGGTAAGAGAAAAATAATGTGAAGAGATCTTTGTTGACCGGCGATACCAAGCATGTAGGTATCGGATTACCACCCATATTGGTCTGATGCTGCAACCCTGTTTTGATCCTAATCATCATCATCAAAAGATACCGACATCTAGGTATCAGATCACCACCCATATGGGTCTGATACTGCAACCCTGTTTTGATCCCTGTTTTGATCCTAATCATCATCGTCAAAATCTCCCATTGTGCCATCCATATCCTCTACATCTCCCATGCCAGGATCATCGTACTCTTCTTCGTCGTAATCATCGAACATCTCCTCGCCGTCTTCTGGACGAGGCTTCTTGAAACCGGCGCGCCAATCCGCGGTCTCGTCCTCTGTCTCAGCCGCGCTAGCTACACTTGGAGCCACGCTAGGTTCCCGTTCACGTTGGACGGGGGCCGGGGCGGCGGTCTTTGCCTTCTCGGCGGCTGTATTAGGACCACTCTCCTCATCCTCGTCTTCGTCGTCCGCGGTTGGTGAGCCCGCAACCGAGCTTGCAACCGTCGAGCCGGCGACACTTGTCCTACGGCTGGTGGTAGCAGAGCCCAGCGAACTGCCCGGGTAGCCTAAATCATCAAACATTCCCCCAATGACATCGTAGTTAATCTTCTTGCTCCATGTACGTGATTTAAGAACACTGATTGCAGCCTCGGCTGGTGAATTTGCTGCGCTGGTCTGTCCCTCTCCAATACGTGGTTTCTTCTTGCGGTTTCTGGTTGCTTTTGGTGGTCCATCTGCTGCCATGCGCTTCTGGTATTCTTTGAGTTGCTGCTTACGTAGCCATGATTTGTTCTCATTGACCCAGACCCTTTCCTTGGCCGCTACATCAGCGGGGCTGAGCATGCAATTCATGACTTCTGGGTCGTCTGCGAACTCGTCCTCGCCAATATGCACATCCATGCTGATTTCCTTCTGTGGGTAGGTTTGTCGGAGGAAGTTCATGTATTTGTTAGCACGCTTACAAGCGCGAGCATAGGCAATGGCGTGCGATTGGGTGTGAGGATCAGAAATCATCTCGGAGATTTGGTCTTCAAGATTGCGCTCATCAGCGGCCCACTCTTCGGGAACATATATTGGACGACCACCTGAGTCTTTGGAAATGTTTTCGTCATCCTCGTCGTCCTCGTCCTCGGAGGCAGGGGCATCAAGTGCGTCGCCGAATTGTGACACGAGCTGTTCAAAGGAGGTGCCGGATTGGTCTTCAATTGCAGCATCAACGAGGTTTGGATCGATAGGGATGTCTTTGTTTGGTTGACTTTGTGGAGTTGGGGGGGGAGGAATGGCGAAACCGTCAGCATCACGGCGGATTTCTCCTGGGGTTAAGGCTGTCTTTCTGCGCTTGTTCGCATCATCTCCTTCGCCCTCGGCCCCCTCATTGTTCTCATCAGCAGACTCACCCTTGCGCTTTCGCTTTCGGGTCTTCTTATTCTTGATGAACTCCTCTTGTTTCTCATAGAAAGATGGTGGATCGTGAGCCGATTCCAAAAATTCGTTGTTCAGAAATTCTTCGACGGTAAGAGCGCTACTGGGCGTTCTTTTGAACTCATCTAGACGCTTCTGAATTGTATGTGTTGTGACTTTGACAATATAGACGACTTCAGTCACAGTTCGACGGAAATTATTCATGCGAGCAGCCAAGATAAGACATGCACCACAGACACCAGATGGACGTCGGCCCATGACCATCCAATCCAGACTCATACGCTGAACCATGCGGACTGCATCTTCGGCGACCTTATTAGTAGCGGTCTTGAAATCAAGCTTCATTGCGAATCGATAGATCAAGTCTTCAGGGAGGACAGGTTGAATACCATCCTTCGCCAGGGTGACCGTATTATGCAATGCCTTGAACGTGTGACCGAGTTTGAAAACATTGACCTAGAGGATATTAATGATAATTCAAGGCTGAAGAAGACTGAGGGAAATTGGTATGGAGTAAGATCAAGGTGAAGGGTGCATAATGAGACGATGGAGAAAGGTGGAAGGAGTGGAAGGAAGCAAGGAAATAGGATTGAATGCATACCTGAACCTTGTCAGCAAAGTCAATGAGCATGACCCTGCATGGCTTCTCCTTTCGACAAGCACTGTATAAGCAGCAAGCAGCCACCATATCCATTCTCCGACCCTGGATAAAGTTGGCCATAGCAGCAAGCTTGAAGATCTGCACTCCGCTATTGACAATAGCCTCTTGGATGTTAAGCTGATTTGCCAATGCAGTCATGATACGTTTTCCTGTCGCAAGTCAATATACTGCTCAAGATCAAAGAAAAGGAAACTTACCCTCCCGGATGGTACTCTCTCTATCTTCACCGCCTCCTCCGGCTCTCCTAAACGCAGGTCCCAGGCTGTTCGCTACCCCAGAATCGGCACTGACGAAGCTACCCTGGACAACTGCGGCACCCTGGCTCGTCTCGCCGAACTGGACCTCAGCAACGATGTTGGAATCATCGACAATTGTACCGCAATTGTGACAAATGCCGTCCTCAACCTGGGGGCTGGAACATTCTTTATTTGGACATGCGCGCTTGGCAGGTTTGGCGGCATTGCTAATTGCTTTGCGGGCGAGGGGCGTGGGAGCCCGAATCTCGCGTTGGTTGCGCAGAGGATTCGGGGGACGCGGCGGGGGGGCGGTTGGACGACGACCCATTGCGACAGATATGAGCCAGCGCCCGCTATTACCCCGCGATAGCTAGATAGCAAGCCGCAAGAGAGTCAAGATCTGTGGCCGGGAGGAGTAGCGAAGCGCGTATGGTACAAGGATGAAGCTGTTGATACCGGCCACACGTGATGATAGAAGATGAAGATGTAGATGTAGATGGGTTGTGGCGGATGGAAGAGATTGAGTTTGGTGTTGTGGTGGGGGACGAAAGTGCGAAATTCTCGAGTCACGGTGGTCGAGTGGTGCTTTTGGCCATTTCGGATCTGGGATTCTGTGCGCATGACGAAGCGACTTCTTTTGGAGCGTCTTGGGTGGTGGGCTAAGCGAGTGGGTAAGCGATATATAAGCGAAGGCCGGAGGGGAAAGAAGAATCTGAAGTGAATTCGGAGAGGAATTCTCGACGGAGCACAAAGAATTGATTGTCAGTTACATTCATTGGCAATAGTGTATATATATGGGAGGGGTACAATTCCCATGCCCGTTCCCTTCTTCAATGCAGGTAAATGGGAGTCTGTGCTTGTCACGAGACATGTAGGCACGTGACTGTCCACCGCCCTAGCCCCACGCGATTTCTTCTGGGCGGTGTCCCGTGGCAGAATAATTTTGGGTTCTGAAAAAATCCTGGGCATCCAGACCGCTCCACAACACCTTTTGCCGCTCCCTCACAAACCCTCAACATAATACCACCCCCCGTGTTCTCGAGATCATAGCGACATCATGGCGGACGAAAGACTCAAGGGAATGGACCATTCCGAAGTCCATTACTTCAACAGGTGAGTTCTGCCGTGCCTCGATAACCACGCATGAAAGAAGGTACAATACTGATCGCGAACAGTTACAACCACCATGGTATGCGCAGCAAATATCTTGCAGACCAACAGAATATAATGCTAACGTGAATCTAGGCATCCATGAAGAAATGTTGGTGTGTACCAGCAGCTATGCTTCCCTCCCTTGACGACCTCGCTGACTCGAGCAGAAAGATGAGGTTCGCACTCGATCGTACATGAATGCGATCGTACAGAACAAGCACCTGTTCAAGGACAAGATTGTTCTCGATGTCGGTTGCGGAACTGCGATTCTCTCCATGTTTGTTTCTCCCTTGCGCCGCGTCTACCTGCAGTACTAACGAAAGCAGGTTCGCCGTCAAGGCAGGAGCCAAACATGTAATCGGTGTCGACATGTCTACCATCATCGAAAAGGCCAAAGAAATTGTCGAAGTAAATGGCATGTCAGACAAGATCACCCTTCTCCAGGGCAAGATGGAAGAAGTCGAACTACCATTCCCAAAAGTAGACATTATCATCTCCGAGTGGATGGGATACTTCCTGCTCTACGAGTCTATGTTGGACACGGTCTTGTATGCCAGAGATAAGTATCTGGTGCCTAATGGTTTGATTTTCCCTGACAAGGCCACTATCTTCATGGCTGGGATTGAGGATGGCGAGTACAAGGACGAGAAGATTGGCTGTATGTTGTCTTACCCATAATCCGCAAATCCTTGCTGACGGAGTGTAGTCTGGGACAATGTCTACGGCTTCGACTACTCACCCCTCAAGCAAACCGCGCTCACTGAGCCCCTCGTCGACACCGTCGAGATCAAAGCCGTCGTAACAGACCCAACCGCAGTCCTAACCCTCGACCTCTACACCTGCACAACTGCCGATCTGGCTTTCGCTATACCCTTCACACTCGATTGTCGCCGGGATGATTTCGTTCACGCGATCATCGCATGGTTCGATATCGACTTCACTGCCTGCCACAAGCCCATCCGCTTCTCCACGGGCCCGCACACCAAGTACACGCATTGGAAACAAACAGTGTTCTACTTACGGGATGTGTTGACAGTCCAACAAGGGGAGCAGATCAGAGGTGTTCTCGAGAATAAGCCAAACGACAAGAACAGACGTGATTTGGATGTTAAGATCTCGTACCAGTTGGTGACAGATGATAGCATGAGACAGGCGGAAGGTTCTTGTGAATACAAGATGTGTTGATGAGTGGGCGGTACGGGAGTGGGATGGGAATCTTCGCGGCTGTGAGCGCAGACCCTGGGCTTTTTTTTTGTAGATGATTTCTTTACTGGCTGGGAATATCCGCGATGGCGTTCTGAGCCTATGACTGAGAGATTCGAGGCCTGGAATAGGCCCTCTATATTCGATTTCAATGACGATGAAGGGCACCTTTCATGAATGGAGGTATGAAGTCGGCAGAGAGCTCCGAATAATTGCTGTTTTCTATTGCCAAGTGTGCGAGTTGCGAGTTTTCCCTTTGCAATCTGCCTTTACTTTTGGCGGAGAAAGATCTGTGAGGTCTGTGAGGTCTGTGGTCTGTGGTCTGTGGTCTGTTGTGCGTTGATCGTCTCCATTATCCCTGTTTAAGGCTCGGCCCGCCTACCGAGATCTTCCCCCCTCACTCTCACCTGATCCAGCCCCTGATGCGCCTCATTATGATGTCAACCATTGTGCAGAAAATCCTCATTATTCCAACCCATTGCCTCCCTCTCAAACTAAACCTCAAATCTTGAATGTCCGATGCGTTCCCTCCTAAACAAGCCTAGAGTCACATATCTGCCCCCCACATAACCCCCCTATCTTCCCTTCAACCCGTAGCCCTTCCTCAGGAAAGCAAAATGTCGACCGGTATCCCATCGATGACTCCACATATATCAAGCTCGGTTTCCAGGCCGGAAGATAGGGACATCAACACTGCAACCGGTGTGGAGCTCACCCCGCGGCAGAGGATAGCAGTGGGTAGTCTCTTAGAGGTATGCTCTCCTTTTTCCCTTAAGGTTCGGATATATCACATATATAAAACGAACCAGCTAGTCTGGGAGCCGCAGAAGCTAATCCGAGTAGCTATTCGCAGGACGACCGAGCTTGAAACACCTCCAGATCTGGACCGTATGTGCCACATCTCCTCCACTCATCTACCTCTCAGTTCTTCTTCTTACGCGGCACTATCTCTTCACGCAGACAGTAGAACTGAAGTAATAACCAGCGCCGACGCAGGATGATGCGAAATTCAACAACCCCCTAACCAAAGCCCAAGGCCGGCGACAGTACGAAGCGCAATGGTATGGTCTCGCGAAAGCATTCTCAGAAATCGTACGCACCACCTCCTCCCTCCCCCCAGATTTTATATATGTTATACACTTTTCCACCCCATCTCACCGTTCTGACAAGATCTCAAGGAACAACTCTCCCACACCGTTACCTCAGCTGGAAATCCTCTAACTATGGACCTCTCGACGCGTTATAAATTAAAGGGGATTGGGAAACAGCAGATTATTAATAGTGAAGTGAGGATTTTCCTGGATGCTCAGGGACGTATTAAGGAGGTGCAGGACAGGTGGAATCATACGTTACCTGAGGGAAGGGTCGCTACTGTGGGTTTACTCTCTTTTTCTTTTCTTCCTCCTGGGTGATGAGATGGAGAGGAGAGATGCTGACAGGGGTAGTTAGGCATTCAGGAATATGAACGCGATGGTCATACCAGCAATTGTGAGAGTACCGAAGAATCTAGCGGAGGAGAGAAAGATGGGTGGTGGATGAGGGATGGCTGTTTCTGTTTCGTAGGAGGAAAGGTGTGCTGGATAAGGGCTGGGATGGTTGGCGGTTGGTTATCCTGGTGTTCAGTTGGGAGAGTAAATCAAAAGTTTGGTGGATTTTATATATACCTTATGCATGACTATTAAATTGGGGTGTTTTAGGTTAGGTAGTACTGAGGAGGACCACCTATATAACCCAGAATCATCATTAGTTTCCGATAGGCATCCTGACGTGGATAGGAGGAAACTGGAATCATCTAGAGTGAAGTAAGCTAGCAAATCCCCCTCCTCTTCCCAAATCGTTTGGGACGTGACGTGTGGTTCGTGATGGATGTAGGTAGTTATAGGTTGCCGAAGTATTCTGGTACAATGGGCCATTTTGGCAAAAGGGAAGAATGGAACAATTGGAAGAAATGGAAGAAGAGATTGGGTCTGCCTAGGATTTTGAGCAGGGCTCAGACTGAAGTAAGATCTGTGGCGCGAAATGAGCGCGTGCTAGATGTAGGCTGGGCAGAAACCATGGGTTCCTGGGTTCTAAATCATAATATGTCTGAACCCATGGGTCCGCCAAGAATCCAAAACCCAACCCATGGGGACCGACCCATTGCGCAGCCTAGACGCCAAACGGTTCAGCGAGATTCTGTATACTTGAGTTATCTAACCCATTTCAATTATTCACAATCACTTGGAGACTATGTGCACTCGCACGTAAGCCAAGGAAGTTAGGTAGGGAAGAGACACAGGTAAGTACTTGTACAGGATCAGTACATGCTCAGGACTGCCAGGTTTCAACCGACCTGAACTCATAACTTCATAAGTCATAAATTCATTCTCCTATCTCACCTTTTCCCAAAGTCCCTAACACATTATCCAAATGCCGCATTGCCTTTTCCAAACTAGAGTACTCCCATGCTAACCTGCCCATCCTGCCCCTCACAAACGACACAAACCTTCTCACAGCAAGCCTCTCACTCTCGCTCTCGCTCTCATTCTTCACAACCCTCTCATCTCCCGTTGCCCCCTCGATACAAACCCTCAGTATCTCATCCAACTCCTTCTGTTTCCGCAAATCATCCCTTAGACCCTGAATCGCTTCCCGAACCCCCCTCTCATCCCAGCCCTCACATCCCCCTCCCCCCCTTTCCTCCAACAACGCCCCTAGCTCCCCCCAACTCCTCAGCGCCCGCTGCAACACCACCATCTTCCTCCCAAACGTCCCCGCCGCGCAATTTCTGACTCGACTCAAGATCCGCAAGAGCATCCTCGCCCTCGCCTCCCCATACCTCCTACTCCTCAGAATACTCCTCTCCTTCCGCGCTAGCAGCAACCCCACATTATTGCTGAACTGCGCAGTCTGGTACTCGAGTCTTCGGAGCCGATGGACCATCCCGCTGAGGTGGTGCAAGAGGACGTCGCGCTCGCGCGGCGTGAGGACGATACCAGGAGTGCGGGGTGGTGTGGGAATAGGTGATGGAGACGGTGAGCTGAGCTTACTATCGTGCTTGTGGATCACCTTCACTTTGGCGGCCACCTCTGGCGGTTCTGGGGTCCGGGAGGTGATCCATTGGGATAATCTGTTGCGTTTTCTGTGCGGGGCCTCAGCCTCTTTATTCGGCTTTGAGAAGCGCCGCTGGACGATGACCGGTGCGGTGCTGCTGTCTTCCTCTGGGTTTCCGTCCCCCTTTACCCTGGAAGCTTCCAATACGACAGGCGCAGAGCATTGCCGTCTGTGCTGCTTCGCCTTCTCCCCTTTCCTCTCTCGATCCAGATCGAAAATCCCAAGCACCACTTTCCAAATTTCTATGCCTGAATGCCGCGCCTGCGCTTTTCTTTCCGGCTGCTTCTTCCCCATCCCTTCCGCACTCAGCTCCTCAGCTATTTTCGGGGGCGTTGAAAACAGCTGCGAGAAGCGCGATCGCGACGCCATGGTAAGTGTATCGCCGTCGACATACATCTTGAGCTTCCGACGACCACGTGGGGTGCTTGTGCGCTAATGGTAAATCGGAAGTTCCAAAGACCCGTCCAGCGATTTCGATTCTTATCTCTCGCGCTCGGAAGCTCTCTGTATCCCCAACGATGCTTTCGTGCTCCAGATCCAGCGAGCGATTCTCGTCGATCCTGTCGTGCGAAGAACCAGATGCTCGGTTGGTGGGATTCTTTTTTTATCTCTTGATCCCCTCGGGAATCTTCTGTAACATTCCACAGGCGACTGCAGTCCAGATAACCCAAGGTACAAATTCCTCCCCACTCAATCACTATCTCTTGAGTGAAGAAACGTGGCGCAAAATAGAAAATCAAAATAAAATAGAAGAGGGATAGATAGATAGAGGAGTATAAATATTTTTAGAACCCGGGAAAATGGTAACGAGGGTCTGAAACGAGTCTCAGATCAGGACTGCTGATGCATCAGAGGGAACAAAAATGAGATAAAGAAATAAAAATAAAAATAAGACGAAAAAGCACTCTACGTAGACCCGGTGGCATTGATGGCTGTGAAACGCTCGAGTCAGCCATCCTGCGTACAGTGCGCCGTCGCGCGAGGGGCTGAGCAGAGAAAGGTGGGCGGTGTATGCAGGAGATAGGGGGGGTCTGCGCTTCTTCGTGTATTGGACGAAGGAAGGACAAGGGCTTTGACTGGGACGGGACAGGACAGGACAGGGCTGACGCATAAGACTTAGCCGCATGGCTGGAAAGGGGAGATGCTTGAAGTCTCAATATCATCGCTGGGATATCAATAAATATTGCACAAGTGCTCATATGCTGGAATATGCTGAATGTGGAAACGCAAAGGATTGGGAGGTGCGCACGGGATAGGGAAGGGATAGGGATATATGTAGGAGAAGAAACCTTTGGGATTGATAGGGCCGAGCGACATGGGAGGAATGAGATCTAGGGAACAGGAAAGCAGGTAGCCGCTTGTACATCCTTTTTCCCTCCACATTTCCGATCCGGCTTTGTCTTCCATTGTTTCCGTTGTATCCAGTAAATGTCCGCCCATTCCTTTTCCTTCCCAGATATATATCCATGCAATATTGTGAACTAGCGCAGGCTGTCGGCGACCGAAGTGAGTGATTCCTTTATTCTTCGTCGCCATCACCTCCAGCCTCAACCGCCTTCTCTTCACCCTTCTCCTCATCGCCTGTCTCTTTAGCCGCCTTCTTAGGCGCAGGGGCAGCTTTCTCATCGGCCTCTTCCTGCTCTTCCTGCTCTTCGGCCTCTTCCTCCTCTTCCTCCTCCTCATCTACTTCAGGGGCTGCTTCCTTGTCGCCATTAGCGGTCTTGGGAGCAGGCTCTGTTTTGCGCTTCTTGGCTGGGGGTGCAGCTTCTGTTGTACTGCATCAGTTCCAATTCCAAAAATTGAAGATAGATGCGATCAAGTGCGCAAATTGGGCATCTTGCAGGGTCCGGGCTGAAAATCCCGCATACCTTCAGGCTCCTCCTCTACCTCTACCTCTTCCTCTTCCCCTTCTTCATCTTCATCTTCCTCTTCATCAGATACACCGTCTTCATCTTCAGGTTCGGTTTCTTCATACCTATGATGCGACCGTTAGCTTGTGGTTGGCAGTTCACGACGATGACGTTCTGGGAGCTTCCAGCTGACGAAGCAGCTTTGCCGCTACTCCCATCGCATTTCATCCAATATGCTCTGGTTTACAGCTCTGTTGCGATGTCTGAAGCTCCATTGAGTTCAATTGAAGCCGCATAGCGTCTATGATGAAGTTTGGGGGCGCCAATAAGAGAGGGAAACTCACTCTTCTTCCTCCTCGCTCTCGCTGGGGAGCGCCACGAGCTCCTCATCATTCTTTCTCTTTCTAGTCGCCATTCTGTCTCTGTTCAATGGAGTTGAAGCTGTTGGAACCTGCAGCTCGAGTTAAAGACGGAGCTGTGCTGATGGTTGATACTGATAAGGATGTTGGTAAGTGATGGAAGCTGGGGGAGCTGAGAGGAGAGAAAGGTGAGAGCTGATTCGGGGGGGGAGAAGGGGGGGATGAGCTCAGCTTACGATTCGCGGGCAATTGGCCGTGCTGTGCCCCAGGCCCCCAGGCGCTTGGACCTGTATGCGGCCTTTCCCAATGCGACAAAGATATTTCGTCACCGATTGGCACTGATTAGAGGCCGCTAGGCTGCATGAGGTATGGATTGGCGTACGCTGAATAGGGCTTAGTGTGTCGCCTTAAATAAGCAAGCGACGGCAAAAGCTTGTGCAGACACCGGATACTCGAACATTCGGACACAATACCCAAATACTCCTCATCCGTACGACCGGCTGCGGGGATTTGAGCTTCGAGCCGGAGGGCCGTACCGCCACTTGTCTCGGGAATATTGGGGCTGTCATGATGAAGGCAAGCCCATTTTCTGCTCTTCTTTGTCTTGTTTTAACCCATAGCGCTATGCATGTCCTTCGAAGATCAAGTAGATCTTCTCCTGCCTCGGTATACTCTTTGATCCCCTCCATAAACTGGTCTCTCCAAGCTCATCACGAGACAAGAGCCCTTCTCGTACGGGATGTTGTCGAAAATCTGGTTTGCCTCTGACGGATCTTGAATCACGAGCTCTACCGCTTGAACTACTTTCAAGTGAGACCAGCGTCAAGGCAAGTTGCAAGGTATTGGACACATAATTCTCCTATACATGCTACTGCGGAAAGAACTTGTCTGCAGCAATCCAAGACATGCAGGTTGCGAATCATTCCTTGAGCCATGGTCCGTCCCAATACCTCATGGTAACAAGATTCCCAAACCATTGATGGGATATTTCGTGGAGCACTATCTCCGCAACGAGCTTCTTCTTTTCTAGTCCTCTGTCCTGGGTCAACGGGTAGTAAGGCGGTTGGCGCTTTCAACGAATTGACACCTGGCAAAGCATCAGCCAAACTCTCAGAATCGAGACCGACCCAAAATGAGTGCAAAGAGGTTGGTTCCAAGATCACTTGTATTGAACTGATGTATTTCTAGATAAATTCCTTTCTATCAACGCTTCTAAATCGCTCCCTGATATCGAAAATGGCACTTATTCCATGCACCGTCTTGTTCAAGAAAGATTCATCAGCAGTCAAATCGATGAGCCACAAAAACATGAGCCCTTGAATCTGGCGCTCGACATATTTCAACTATTTCAAGACGCGTTCCCGAGATATGATTCATTCCGGAATAGACTTCTCGATTCGTGAACTACCGTCTACGTGCGGTCAAGTACTACCGCATGTAGTCCGAATCGCTCATGTCTTCTCTGGCTTGAAGCCACAAGGCAGTCGGATCTTCCTCGATATGGCAACTTCTCTCGGAATGAGGAGCTTGGTGTGTCAGCAAATTACATCTCCAAACATATTCGAGATATAAATCAGTGCATATCCAAATCATGCCTCACACCTTCATGCTAGCAGTATTATTCCTCATGCAACCAACGACCCAAGGCGTTCACAAGGCAGGAGCGCCCTTGGAGATAAGGCTATTGCACACCACCTGTGCTACAATTAGTCTTCCTGGAACAGGTTCGTTCAAGGGCTCGGCGCCCCCGTCTTACCATATGGAAATAAAAGGTGACAGGTCTGGTCTCGTTGATTTGAACTCCGTCTTCTATTCTGGCTCTATGGGATTGTAGTTGATTAAGCAGGAATGACTCCGTATCCCCGTTTTCACCGTTGTGGAGTCCTGCCAGGAGTCAGTAGCCGCTCTCCCCATTGTGACGTAGGGAGGAATCGAAGATAGCCTACATGTCTATTCAGAGCTCTCGCCGTCAAGGGAACCTTGTTGCTTAGAAGCAGGTTCATAGGTAGGTGAAGGGGAGGAATTAAGAAGTCGTGAAAGGAAAGGTAGGAAAGAATTCGACAGACGGTGAGAAAGTAGCCCTTTCCATAGCAATCTCTATACTCCACTAATATGCCTCAGAAATTGACTCATAGTACGATCTGTCTATTTTAATAAGGTGAATCAGCCTAACAAGCAGGATCAAAAGGTTATAATCGTCGGCCTCATTCGGTTACGAGTCTCGAATCAACAATACATAATCTTCAGGCCGGTAACAGATTCCAATTTTTCGATAGTCAGGTTCAAGGCCATTTGTATGGTCCATGGGAGTTGTTTCCAAAGCGATATACAAATCTATCGCCTGATGAAGCAGCATTCTAGATTGGTTATCCTCAATCTTTCGTCCGATTCACCGTTGTCATTATCCTTTATCGCTGTCAACCTATTTTGCCGTTGTCAATCTAATAATCATCTCATTCTAGATTTCCTAATCGTGAGTCCTCAGATCGCTCTCAGGGAGAATATAACTCACCCCCAAGTACAATTTTCTTCCATGGGTGGTCTTGCCCTTTGTGCTATACTGCAGCCCTATCTATGAGACCGCAGCTGAATACCACTTTCATTCTTCGAATCATTTCCTCCTCTTTGTATTCCGATGAATTAGTTGATAAACATCAGGAATGCAATATGTTCAGTTCTATTCCTGATAAACCACAATGCCGTGGTTGAAGTTCCGATGGGTAGATTGAATGAAGCCGAAGACTTCTATTCATTTTGACTTCAGCTCTGTGTATATATCTAGTTTGTATCTGCAAATAAAGAGACTATCTCCGTACAGTATTGTATCCATTTGCAAAAACCTCTTAAGTTTCGGTATCGCGGAAATTCTGAACTCGGGATGAAGCTAAATATCCTGCAGCTATAGATACAGACCTCACACACCTCTCTCTTTTTCGAAAGCGGGGCCACAGACACAAGTCCTCCCATTTCTCCTCATCAACAATATCCAACTTCCTCCATCCCCCCTTCTTCTGTACCTCACCTTCCAAACCAGTTTCTCAACCCCACCACCGCCCAATTCAAGGCTGAACGCACGCACCCCCGGCCCAATAACCTCCCGCCACCAATGCATTTCAGGACCACATGTAACGTTAAACAACTCCTAAGAAGCAGCCCCGCCAGAATCTAGGATCGCTGCGTCCGGGGTGTCGATAAGGAAGGCGGCTGATGAAGATTTAGTGTTCGGATGGACGGACAGGGACAGGGGGGTGTGGATTGAAGGAATGGATTCCTTGAGGGGCGGAATATTAATGTAACTCTAACTCCCGAAAAGAAGAAAAGAAAAAAGAAGAGGGAAGCGGAGGGAAGTGAAGGAGAAGAAATAAAGGTATTGAGAAATCAGGTTCTTGGTGTCATTGATATTTGTGTAGGTATGTATAGTTATGTATACTGACCTGAGGTTGGTTACCCCTCCTCTCCCCATATAACCTCATCCTCCCGCAGTCTCCCGGAATCCAAGTCCCGCCCGCGCCATGGACGCCACCCAACAGCCGGCGCGCAGCTAGGAACGCAAGGCGCCTCGCTTGACACGCGGAGATCGATATAGAAGATCTAGATCGCAGGGTAATTGATGGAGTTTGCGCGTGAAGAGCCGGTTTGGAGAGGGGTGCTGGAAAGTGTTGAACAGAAGAGACTTTTGGTGATTGGGAATTGGGTAGGGTGTCCAAATAGAACACGGTAGTTGGGACGGGTGGAAAGGAGGAAAGAAAAATGGAAAATGAAATTGGAAGATCAAGAGAAATCGGGATACTGCGAGGTTTTACGACATTCAGTCATCGATTTTCATCGTTGTTTACCTTATACAAAACTCTATAGTTTTCGCATTATTCTACTGTACATAATGTCATATATCTGATCCGTCAATGCTCATATATATAGACTTTTGCACATCCATCGCCATTTCGCGAGGTCAGTCATTTTTCAATCCTTCAAAGCGCAGCGGGGGGACTGTTCCGCCTCAAAAACAAAAGCGGCAAGGAGCACTGTTTTATTACTGGCCATACTGATCCGTCGGCATGACCCCCCTCTCGAAGATAGGGCCGTGGTAATTCTTCCTCCCCCAGATGGCGTAGAAGACGAGGCCGATTATAACGCCGCCGCCGAAGACGAGCGCGGACCAGTTCATGGAGATGAGCGTGACGGGCACGACGGGCGGGAAGAAGGAGAAGACGATGGAGATAATGAGGAAGCACATGGAGAGGATGTTGATGATGAGGCCTGCGGGTCCAAGGGTCCAGGGACCCCAGACGATGGAGGATGGCTCCCGGGAACGCTTGATGGCGAGGAGAGTGATCGGGATGAAGTAGGAGGTGTATAGGCCGGCGATGGTGAGGGACACGATGGCGTTGAATGCGACGGTTGATGCGATGTTGATGATGCAGATGATGGCCGTGACAGTGGCGCAGAAGATGACGGCGTTAAGAGGCAGGGCGGTGCGCGTGTTCACCTATTCATGAATAATTAACAAGGCCGCCATCGACAGCACACTGCTTTGAAAGTACTCACATGAGACAGGAAATTTGAGAACGGCAGGCCTTGATCACGAGCAAAGGCCCAGGTTTGACGAGAAGAAGAGGCCAGGAAGCCGAATGTGGCGCAGATCACAAGAGTGATTAGGGGCGCCGTCATGGCAGATGTTCCACCAGTGCTGTTGGTGGCATTATAGAAGACCTCGATGAAATCGTATCCGGTGGGTGAGGTGAGAGCGGTCTCGAGATCGCCAAGGCAGAAACAGAAGGCGATCACCATAGCCAAGCCCAGAGTTCCATTGAGCAGGATGGTGCAGATCATGGACCATGGAACAATTGTCGAAGCATTCACGACTTCTTCCGCCATGTGGATTGGTCCGTCGTAACCTGGAGAACAGATCTGTTAGGCATGAAAGCAAAAGGTTCAAGAGTGCTTACCGATAAACGGAAGATTGGTACTGATTATGCCAACGAAGAAGGCTAGTCCACCAGACGAGTATCCAGACGTATCTCCCGCATCGATGAAATTCTTGAAGACATCCGCAGCCGAGCCATGGGGGGCAAGGTAGACAAGGGGAATCAGGACAGCGAAGAAGCCCAAAGTGTGGATGATGAGGATGAATCTGTCAGATATCAGTAACTATTGGAAGCACAGATGATTGAGATTCTTCACCCTTCAATCTTCGGCAATATCTTTGCGCCGACAGTGTTCACAATCAGGACGAGCAAGAGTGCTGCCCACATGATGAGGGTTCCCTGCCACCGTGGGGCCCCGTAGTTTGAATCATTAAGAACCAGGAGTCCCTGAATCATCGTTGCGCCAAAGAAGACTCCGGCAGCGCTGTTTGCGTTCCAACCGATTGTCGACACCCATCCTGTGATCCAGCTCAGAAACACCGAGTACTTCTTAGGCGCCAGCATAGCCACAAAGTGATACTGCCCTCCAGATGTCGGGAACCTAGGTCACTAATTAGACGGCGGCCTCTGGAACGCGCAGACCCGGAAACGGTGGACCATACATCGAGACCATCTCTGCCAGAGATGCGGCGGTAGCAAGGGAGCCAAAAAAGCAAAAGATAAAGCCGTAGACCAAGGTGACGGAACCCCCATTAGACATGGCAGTGCTGTTGGAGCTAGAACCTCATCATTCATTAACGGTGATCGAGGGGTTGTGGGGTGGGATTAGATGGCCCCATACAAAAAGACGGCCTCCCACGAGCACATCATGGTGGTGGTGAAGCCGAGCATAGAGATAAAGCCAAAGTTTCTCTGCTTCGTCAGGGATGAATGGTGCATGCGGAGATGAGCGTAAACGTACGGTAAAGCGCTGCTTCTTGCCAACTCCTGCCATATCTGCCTGATCCTGGGACGTCGAGCCAGCGGCGATGGTTAGGCGATGTGGTGAGACAGGACTCTCCTCAACGGAGAGCTCACCATCTTTGAACGCCATGGTGAGGAGGGCTGGGGAGTGAGGGGAGGAAGAAGAGAGAGGAAGGAGTTGGGAGACGGGGAAGAGGCGAAGAAGACAAGAAAAATAGGAAAGTAACGATATATGGTAGATAGTTGCAACTTGCAAGCAAGAATCGAGGAAGTTGAAGAAGGATACCACTTCAGAAATAGATACGGAAGATTTGATTTGACATGATATGGAGGGGTCTGTTTTTTTCACATTGCGGAGAAGGTCCGTCCTATCTCGTGTCTCTGTCCTACCTCTGCACCTAAAAACACCGAGTCCTGGTAAGACCTGGCCAGTCCTGGTACAACTTTGTCCTGGGCCCTGGCGTGTGCTGTGAAGAGGAAGAAAGACAGAAGCCAAAATCCAGCGGAGATCTCTAAATTCTGATTGGCCTGTTCCATCCCGTGCCGCCGCAAGGGTCAGAAACCTGGGATGTACGTCGGCTACTGCAGCCTACGGAAACCTACTACGCACTACGGCGGGGCAGGGTCTCAGTGCTAGCTACTATCACTAGACCGCTCCCAGCCTAGCGTAAACTTTGCTGCAACCTGCAAAGCCAATCCCTCCAATAACTCAACTCCTCAGCGGACTCCAGATTGGAGTTGCAACTATCGCCAGTTGAGCCTCCCGTCCAGTCCTGCAGACACGTAAGGATGGAGCCGCGCCCACCGCAAATATTCACGTACACTCCATTGCCACGATGGTGAATCGGAAGCACGTAGATCCTTGGACGCCTGCATACATCCATGTTCTCGATCCATGCTCCTCGGTTTTCTGGGGTCCGACGAGGTCAGCCCGCGCCTGGTAGTACCATGACTGGCGTGGAGGGCTGCTATTTGGGCTGCTATACTAGGCTAGCACCAAGGGCCAAGGCTGGCAGCATTCCGTATGGTCGTGCAGGTTGTATCATGGTAGTATCATGTACAGAGAGGACTGCATGTCTGTCCCTGCATAGAACGAGGTTACGGCCTTACGATCGAATGTCACCACTGGGTAAATTCTACGAAGTAGTATTCTACGCCCCTTCTACAAGGTACGCTAGAGCTCTTCTACCCTTCTATTGCGTCTTCTACCGTCCAAGAATACGAAGTCATAATCTGCCCTCTCCGACGCCACCTCGAACTGTTTCTACAGAGCTCTTATCTTGGACCTTGGGCCGGGTGGCTTCGTGTAACAGATACGTACAATGCAGGTACAGGACATTGGACGCGGGTCAATAATCCGTGACAATGAGCAGAGAAAGTTGTAACACGAGTCCCGTTGCAAAAGAAGTCAAGAGAGACACAGGACAGCTTGGCAAGAGAGAAGCCTCTCCCCTCCTGACGTCCTTTTTACCTGCGTATGTGCCTTTATCGTCCCCAGATGTCCCATGTTTAATGCACCATGTATGCCTTCTTCCCCTCTCTTAACCCCCACCCCCCCTTCGGATCTATCTTGTCCCTCTTATCTCTTATTTTCTCTTTCTGTCCTCTCTTGAAGTATTGTCTTCTCCCTTGAACTCTACTATGCTTCTTGTCTTCATCTTCAGTCAAGGATGAGCCCTCGGGCCATAAATACAGAGTAGGAACCATTACTCTGCCCATTCCCCTCCCCGGCCGGATGGTAAGACCCTCGAATAGGATTCAATTGATCGTCCGTGGCGGATCGGCCATATCACGGTACATGTTTCCAGGATCCTGCCCCTTGCATCTTATGTCATTCTCCGACCTCCTAAGTCTATTACTGGCCTACCAACCTACCAACATGATAATTATTCCTCTCACAGCTTAATCCAGTTATCGGGTGCGGGCCCTGGGCCCCGATCATGCATGCATTGCTAGCTCTTAGGACACCACCATCGCTCTCATCACGTCGATCATGACCCTAACTAATACCTACGACCTCCTTCGTTGCTATACGTAGGACGCGCTACTCCCGAACTTAATCCATGGGTGCTCGATTTGGATTTTTGAGATGTTGATATCTTCTCTGCATCGCAGAATACATATATGCAGTATATTGACGCCTCATCCTGCTCTCACCTCGCGACAATTGGCAGTCAGGAAACGTGCCTTCTTTACGCTTTGAGATCCCTCCCTATGGCCAGAAATGGTCCAAATGGGGCAAATCATGTGCTGGTTACCGCTGATAATATCGGCCCCGTCCTGGCCATTGTCACCTGGTTTCTGCTCACCATGATGATTGTCGCCATCTTCTTCAGGATGGTGATCAAGCGCTTTGTGAGGCGGCGCTTGACCTCCGACGACTACCCGGTTTGCGCAGCATTGGTAAGACTTCCAGGCAAATACCCCTCCATTCTCTATTACAGAAATCTAATGTCTGCTCTACAGCTGTTCGGCATTGCCCAATCAATTGCTGTCTCTATATCGATAAAGGATGGCCTTGGGAAACGCAAAACGTCCCTCAATCCTGCTAGTCTCACCAATATTCAAAAGGTGAGTTTGGATGAGAGGCTTGGGTGAGGATGCTGCTAACCAAGGTACTATCCAGACCATTTACGCTGCAGATCTATTGTTTATACTAGGTTGTGGTTTTGCCAAAATATCAATCCTCATGCTGCTCGGACACTTGAGCGTATCCAAGGTACACATCAGGATTACGAGGATTACGATATACGTCACCGTAGCTTGGATGACAGCCGCCTTCTTTGCACTCGCTTTCCAATGCGGTATGCCTCATCCTTGGGCCACACAGTCAGGGCGTTGTTTTGATAAGGTGAGAATTTCAACTCTCTCGCCGATGGCTACGCTAACTTCCCGCAAGTTTGCGTTCTGGGTCGCCATCGCGCCCGTTGATATCATCATAGAACTTGTGGTGGTGAGCCTACCAGTTTTCATGATGGCGTCGGTGAAAGTAGCTTTCTCTAGGAAGGTTGTCGTTGTCGTGGCCTTCTTTTTCCGAATAGCGTATGTATATTACTACTCTCCCCCTATGATCTTATCACCTGCATCTCCCTTCTACTCCCCGCTCCGGTATCAAGAATAGTTAATAACACTCACAAGCGTCGCCGTCCTCGTCATCGTCCGCGTCTGCCTCCTCCACACCTACCTATCCTCATCCGACTTCGTCTTCGACTACGTCCCCAGCGGCATCGTCACTCAAGCCCTACTCAGCATCTCCATCACCACCGCCTGCATCCCGACTCTCAAGCCCTTCCTCGACAGCTTCGACTCCGGCCTGCTCGGCGTCGGGCTCAAGAGCGAAGCCGAGCACACCAGCAACAGCTATGAGCTGCGCAGTAGCCGCGCCAGCAAGAGCGTGCTCCGCTCGCGCACCCGCGACGTCGACAACGACCTCGAGCTTGTCCCCGAAGGCACCACTGGCTATATCGCCGCCGTCAGCGGCCACACCGCGCGCCGCCAGCGCCGCGACAGCCACAGCGTCAGCCTGGATTCCGGCAAGAGCGACGCCATGATTATCAAGCGCACGGATCACTGGGCCGTGCAGTACGATTCCAGCGAGCCGACGGCGCAGAGCAGCGTCCAGAGCGAGGGTGAACACTTGGATGAGGAGCGGTAGGGAGGTTGGGTGGGGGAAGGGTGGAGGGGAGAGGGAGTCTTGGGAGGTTTTTCTTTTTCCCCCCCTCTTTTTGCCGGGCAAGGAGGGGGCTGGACGGGCACGAGAACTGAACGAAATAATGGGCTAGAGATCGGAAACTGGAGATCGGAGACTGGCGTTCTGGTATCTGGATCATCATCAATAGCAAGGGTCACAAAACAAAGGTAGGTAGTGTAGATAGTCTTTTTGTTATCACTATATTTAGCGCTAGGCCCAGGCCGACCGACTACTCCCCGGAATAGGGAGCTGGCCGCACTGTAATTACTGTAGTTGCCTAGCCTAGCCTATAGCAAGGCGCTTTTACTCTGGATGGAAGTTGAGCGCTTCGTGCTGTATGCATCTCTGTCCCAAGGATCAGCCCCGCGAACAGCATACTGGATTCGCGCAGCGCCAATGCCAATCGCCAATGAGGGAAAAAGCAAAGACGAAAACGCGGAAACAAAAGAAAAAGGGAAAAAAAAGAAATCAGCAGCCGATCCAAAAGAAAAGAAAAAGAAAAAGCAAATACGGAATCGAAACTAGCGTGACGGCACAGCACCGGGTAGCTACTCTGTAAACCTGGGCCATGCATCATTGATGCGGGAAGATCAGGAGCAGGACCAACGGGTTGGGGAGACGCCTCGTACTGTAAAGCCGAGGCAAACCGGGTTTTGGATGGGGATTGATGCATGCGCATGTGCTTTGAGAAATGAAGAAGGGGGTTGGAGGGGGATTGGTCGATTAGCCTTGTGGTAAGGGGGGGGTGTGGACCGTGGAGGGACGGAGAGGGGAGCAATTCAATGATTTCCTCTGTTAGAGGGTAAAAGAAAACATGGAAATATGAATGAAAGCTGTTCTTGAATAGAGTGATCTATTTAGTGTAAACGGGGGGAGAGGGGGTGTTTGAACGGAATAGAATAAATTTGGATAAAAGACTGCAAAATAGAGGGGGTTAAATGGGGTTCTACTGTATATATACGTTCTGTTTGATCATCATGAGTCTTGTCATGTAGTTGTTTGGGATTTATACAGAATATCGAGGAGAAAACGAAAATATGAGGAGACTTTGGGTGCTGATGCGTGGAAGAATGAGAATACAGGTGTGCAAGAGATAGTTAAGGGATATAAGATGAAGCTGCATTGAAGTATGAGAGGAAGGAAGTTGATGGATGAGCTGAGGGCTATATTTTGACAAGCGAGATTTTGGTAATAAACTCATTGCTTTCTATCTATGGAAGAAGAGTACGTGCTCATCTGTATCAAGCCTACCTAGTCAGTCAAGCAGCCTGTAATGGGATCAGAGTGGTCCACATCACCCGGTCATCAAAAGAGGTCTCATGCCCCTAATTTGGGCTTCTTCTGAGACTAGAGTCACCAGACTTCCAGAGATCTTGTCGACTACAAAATTCATTGATGTATATACCTAGGAGAAACGGACGCAGACATAATAGCTCTAGACCGAGTCGCTCGCTCCTCACTGTGAAATAGAGAAAGGCAGTGGCATCGCAACTTACGATTTGGGAGAGGAAAGATTCATATTTCTGGGTGAAACGAGGATAAGGAGACTGACAGAGTTGGGAAAAGGAAATTATGTAGTGCAAACTGTCAAAAGTTCCTAGACTATGTGAAGATTTGATAGAAAATGTGGTAGTGATGACCAAATGATCGAAAAAATCGCAAGCTGAGAGAAGGGAAAGACGCTTAAGGTAATTCCGGGAAGCAGGAAGAGTTTCGATATAGCCCTGTCCTAGACAGTACAGACTGTGCTATTCGGCAAGTACAATAAAGCGTATAAATCAAAAGGATAACATATAGTGAAATGTTGATGTAGGGGTTGCGTAAACACCAACTGAACGCGACGCACAAGAGAAGAAAACCGACCTGATAATGAATACTTAATGTATACAACAAAAAAATATAGAGCCTTCTCTGAACCCAAGCGGAAACCTCAAGAGCGAAAGGGGAGAAAGGGGGGAAAGAAACACATCCCATCCATCGGCCTTCCCCCCCGCCCCTCCCCGCCCAGACAAAAGTACCCCGCCATGTCATGAATATCAAACCATATCCGCCCCGCCCCGCGCCTCCCCTTCCCCGCCCTGAAATCCGGGCCGGAACAGGACAGGCACAGGTACAGTCCCTAGGTACGTACTCCTAAGGCCCCGCACCAGGGAGCGGGTGCGAATCTCTTCATGCTGCACGACGGGTTGTTGGATTCGAAGTGTAGATGAGAAGACGAGGAGATAATGGTATAAAAGAGCAACAACCGCCCGAATTTGCCCCGAATTGCCGTGAAGTTGGGTGTGCGAAGTGCAAGGTGGGGGGCGGGCTCTAGACCTGCCTTTTATCAGGGTAGGCGAGATAAGGAGGTTCGGCAGTTGAAAATAGGGGAGGGAACTCAGGGAAGTATCTTTTTTCTCTTCTTTTCGCCCCGTGCCTGTATATATCATATATCGCTGTTGCCGGTTGCATTGTATCTTGCTGAGAACGGATTAGATGCACGGATATAAGTCTTTCCACTCTCCTCCCCGTTTCCGGTCAGTAGTGCTTGTCTTGCAAGTTGCAGCTCTTCCCGTGAGGTGGATATGGGGTTTTCCCGGGCTCTGCTCTGCAAGACTGCAACGAGCTACGGCTTGATAGAAGGATCATGCGTAAGCTCATCAACTCTCCCTTCGTATTATCATACGGGGACTCGGGACGGAGTAAAAAGAGGAAAATGGCTGGTTCAGTCGTGGGACCCGGCAACATTATTCCGTCCGCACCGCAGAACAGAGCAGAGAGAAGAGCGACTCCCGCGACACAATACCGAAGTGCAGAGATCTAAACGCTTCTAAGCACTTAGTAATAGGTCCACTGGACGCCGAAAAGAGGAAAAAGCTTCGTTTTCATGGGTTAATAATAACCAGAAAACATGACATCCTGGGGCAGATCCAGGGCGGGAAGACGCATGCGAGAGCTTTCTGTCCACCGATCTGCTCTTATCTCTATCATTTTAATGTTTCTCGCTCAACCCTTTTCCCTTTTCCACGCGCCGTATTATGCCCTGGGTCCCTGGGTCCCTTGATACATCGACAACAAAAATAAAAAAAAATAACCATCTGCCACTCACTTCTCATCCTCTCCCGCCATGACGTGGGGTTCTAGTGTGCCCAACCCCCCGGAGAATGCGGAGTAAATACAGTAGGGCCCAGTCAGTGGCCTGTAGGGTTTCATCATGACAGGATAGCCCCTCTGCTAAAGGTAGTTTCCAACGGCAATTGAGTTGAAGCCTTTCCAGACGCTCCCTTTTATCCACAAACCCGTCCCCCTCGCTCGGCCTGCCCCTCTCCCAACCTCAAGTGAACCTGCTACTCTGCTCAGCGCCATGGAAACCTACAAGGACGACCTCGACTGGTCCTTCAAAGCCGTCCACAAGTTCAAGGTCATCATCGTCGGGGCTGGCATCGGGGGCCTCTCTTCCGCCATTGGCCTCAAGAAAGCCGGCCACGATGTGGTGATCCTCGAACAGGTGCCCGAGATTGGTGAGGTGGGCGCCGGCATCCAGATGGCTCCCAACGCCGCGCGGATCATGGGCAGGTTCGGATTGCTGGAGAAACTCATGTCCAAGGCGAACGCGCTGAAGCGCAATTCTCTCCGCCGATGGAAGGACGACACCGAGCTGGGCTTTGCGCCGTTGATGCCCTCCGTAAGTGCCATGCAGAGGAGACCCGGGTACGGCGCGGCCTGTTGAGGAATCTTATACTGACCTTTGCGTGTGGTGAATTAGATCGGTGAAAAATACAAGGCGCCCCTCTCGGTTATCCACCGAGGCGATCTCCAGGCCATCCTCCTGCAAGCCGTGAAGGACCTCGAGGTCCCCATCCGCCTCGGCGTTTGCGTCGAAGAAGTCGACCCCTCGTTTGCCGCACGCGTCAAGCTGCACACTGGCGAATGGGTACAGGGCGATGTGGTGATAGGTGGTGATGGGGTGAAATCCGGCATCCGCAGCCAGATGGCCCAAAAATACGGGCAGAAGGACCAGGCGCACCCAACGGGCGATGCCGCATACCGAGTTCTGATCCCGAAAGAGATGATGAAGGACGACGCCAAAGCGCTTGAGCTGCTGCACTCCGATATTGCATACCGGTGGATGGGCCCCGGTGGCCACATCATGGCCTACCCGATCAAGAACAACACGGTGCTGAACATGGTTCTCCTGCACCCGCAAAAGCCGACCACCGAGGACCAGGAGAGCTGGACGCGCAAGGGCGACAAGCAGGAGATGCTGGATTTCTACAAGGAGTGGAACTCGACCGTCCGGAACCTCCTCTCCTACGTCCCCGAGGGCGAGGTCATGGAATGGGCCCTCAACTCCCACCTGCCCCTCAACACCTGGGTCGAGAACCGAGTCGTCCTCATCGGTGACGCCTGCCATCCCATGCTGCCATACGTGGCCCAAGGCGCCGCCCAAGCCATCGAAGATGCCGGCGTCCTGACCTGCGCCCTCAGCATGACTGACAATGCCGACCTGGCCTTGGCCGTCTACGAATTGGTACGGAAGGACAGAGGAGAGAGGATCCAGAACAGTGCCGCCACGACACGGATATCTCTGCATCTACCAGATGGCCCTGAGCAGAGGGCTCGCGATGCTGCTATTGCGGGGAGTACGAAGGAGGGCGCGCACAACCCAGATCTGTGGGCTGACAGGGAGTGGCAGAATTTCATGTGGGGTGAGTAGTACCTGTTCCCCCTACTTTTACATGAGACTGTGCAGAAGGAAAGCTAACTCTACCTTTTTTCCTTTCAGGCACCGATGTAATGAAGGACACTATCGAGAACTGGGATAAGCTGGTTGCCCAAGTCAAGGGGGTGCATACGTCGACTGTGAAGGCCGTGAGCTCTTTATAGATAGGTACCAAGACCTCCCCCTTCTCCCAGCATCCGCATTCACGGCGTGAGGTTTTAAGACGGCACGATGTATATGTATGGCATCGAAGACAATGCAGGTACGATACGAAGGTAAAGAATAGAGCATGAAGTATGTCAGACGATCTTTGCGCAGTCTTTCCATGCAGCGGTTTTACTATTTCCATCTTGCAGTCTGATTCCCTAGAAATAACATAGATACTTTTCGTCCCACGCTTTTATGACCACCCTTCCCCCTTGGCCACAGATATCCTGTTCCATCAAATCCAGTTCCGAGTTCGTGTTCCTAGTTCGTGAGAATTGGTGAGAAGCCGACGTCTCAAGTCCCATAACAAGTGTTCGGAGTCCAAAATCACAGAACTAGAAATTCATATATAACCCAATCAATACAAACAAAAACGCCTCCATCCCTATATTCCTCAAAACCAATCCGAAAATCCCCGCTGTCCATCTCATCGTTATCGTAAAGGCAGACGCCTGGCTCGACGACAGCTCAGCCAACCCAGCCCGTAAGGCGGTTTGCGATATCACTAGCATACGAAGCCGTCGCCCCACCGCCGTTATCCAAATTCTCGACAGGCGCCAACGGTCCACTATTGTACCACCTAGCCGCGCGATAGAAATCGGCCACCGTGCCCGTAGCGCCCTGGTTCACCATGCTCACCAGACTCATGCCGCCCGCCGCCGACGCGCCCGCTACGCCCTCGGTGATCATGCCCTCGATCTGCTCCTGCGGACATGGCGACAGTACCGTTCCCCATGTGCCGGAGTTGCAGGTCGACTGGCCGTCGTGGTCTTGTAGGAGGCCTGGGTTGCGCACCCCGTCAGCGCTGTAGGTGGTCGGCACGCGCACACACCCTTTGCTCTCCTGCAATACGCACGCGAGGATGAAGCGGTGGTCGAGCAGCGTCGTGGCGGCGACTTGGTCGATGGTTGAGAAGAGCGTGTCGGTTTCGTCGGGCGTGTTGTCGGCTACGCCCCAGCCGTTGGTGGAACAGGAGTTCATGATCAGGTCGTAGTTGAGAGCCTTCCTATTGTCGCATTCGTGTTAGTGGGGAGTGGAGGTGGGCTCGGATTTCGTGACAGGACTTGGGGAGAGACGTACATCGAGGCGTATGAAATCCACTGATCCTGGGTTGGCCAGCCGTCGGCAGGTGTCCCGTCACCCGTGTACGTCTTATACGCCGTTGGAGTAGTGGCATCAATCCCATCATCCGGATCAACGCCCAGGACCGCAACGGCCGAGTGCTGAACCTGCGCGCTCCAGGGTGCCCGCGGAGCAATTCTGGACTTCTGCTGCTTGGGGCGGGCTACGGCGTCTCTTTCCTCGGGTGGACCCAGGCTGATCCTCAATTCCAGGGGTCCGTCTCCGAAGGAGTCGAATTCGGCAGGAAGAGGGATATACTCTTTGAGCGTGGCGATGTCGATTTTTATCTCGAGGGTTTGATCCGCTGCGTTGTTGGCCTTGCTGCTGGGGCCTTGAGCCGTATATTGGGCCTTGCTGGATGCGTCCTGTACTGTCGTCAGTGCGATAGGCCCTGCAATGATGGGGGTTACCATGCAGAGCATGGCGGGGAGCTGGATGAATATTAGCAACGGATATGACTTATGAGGGATGCGGCATCTCACAAGTCTAGAATGCATGATTATGCAGGAACCGTATATATGTATATATATTTATATAACTTCTTGTGTCCGTATGCGTGTCTTCTTGGTGTTGCTGTATAGGAATCCGAGGAAAAGATTTGGATGACGGTGAAGAAATGACGATTGGAACTTACCAAGAAACAGAGCAGTTCTCCCGGATCATATATCTCTCATGCCATTTCCCACCCTTTCCCAAACATCCCCACGATCATCCCTCCCAAGATTCTGAAATCTCTGGCTCGAACCCTGACAGCCATCTGTCATAGCAACGGCATCCCGATGAGTGCACGATTGGCCAGCCTTACCGCGTCCGGCGGAGCATGAAGGGACAACTAGAAGGAATTCAGAAGTTCGTAACTGCTTTCGTCGAGGTTGCTGCTGCGTTTTCCTCATCAGGGTCAAGAAGGGGACCGGCGTGCTCAATAGTTGGATTTCCGTATCTGAGGTTACGCCCCGCTGATGTCTCTACAGGTCCCTAGCGCTGGCTTTGGGGTCGGGATTTTGGACCGCGCCGCGTTGTCTTAAAGAAAAAGGTTAGGAAAATACGGTTTGTTCTGGGTGGAAATACAAATACTTATCTAGATATCCATGGCAGGTTCAGTGATAATGATCTGTATGCATTTATACTCTGGACACATACCTAGGTACGTCGGAGGGGTGTGGTGGGGTTCTGCGCGCTGTCACCTGGTTTGGACGTCACCTGACCGACTCATCCAGCTTTCCGGCTCTTCCACATAACTTCAGCAAGGTAAAGGTACCTTAGGTAAGGTAAGGTTACTTTTTATTTACTTATTATTTCCAGGTCAGTATCGTCTTCATACATACTTGATCCTCTCAATTTGACTCCCTCATGTTCTGTTTGTCTTGTACTGGCCCACAGAGCGCAGACAAAGTTTTCAATTCCATGTTCATGTACCTTAAGTATCTTCGCCTCCTCTACTACAAACACCTGAATCAGCACATTTTCCCTCTCCAAATTACTAAGACGCCGGTTTTACCATCATTATAAAGACAATAGTTCGTGGTTGTGGTAGGCAAGAGTTTCTTTCATCCTGGTTGCCGGGCCAGGTTGGGAGGTAAATAGTTCAAAATATACTGCCAAGTTGCCAACCCCGTGTTACCTTAATGACACTGTTTCTGGTAGCGTCGGGCTAAAGTTAACCCACCAAGTTCCAACTCTACGAGACCGGCTCATGTAAACAGATCGGCATGTTTATCAATTGAAGTCTGAAGTGCTGTATAATGGCCCCCCGTTCCCCCCCATACAATGATGAGAGGAAGAAAAGTAAGTCAGTAGGCTCGGGCTCCTGAGATCCCCTCAGATAACTTCCCTAGAATCCCCATTTCTCCACTCGAGACAGATCTGCCCGCTGTCTAAATCCGCTGATCCTCTCCTCTATGCCAAGATTATGAACCGCCACCCCATGCATCTCGCCGGAATGATGGGCTTTCCGACTAACACAAGCCATGTAGAAATGCAGAATCCACCCCGCCATAGAAAAGACCGTCCCCATCCACATGAACACAAACATCTGCACCCCCAACCCCGCGCTAATATTCAATTCCTTCTGCGAAGTGATCACCTTCTGGAATATAACATACATGACCGTCGCAATCGTGCTTCCCGCAAACGTCAGAAGCGCAGAGATGAAAGCTAGGGTCACGTAGTGGTAAGAATACCAGCGCGAATGCAGCACGATGGGCGAGAGAAAGATGGACACAAAATTCATGCATAATCCAAGCATGAAGAACCCAAACATGAGTTCTGAGACGATGCGGATCAACGTCAGGATCGTGGTTATCTTGGATGGCAGCCTGATAGTTGCCCCGGCAAGCAGCTCGCTGCGAATGATTTGCACGGGGTCGAACCAGTATAGATTCTGCGGTTTGGAACAGTGCGATATGCCTCTAATCATCGGTTAGTCCTGACTCGAATACTTCTGGATCGTCAGGGAGCTTGCTCGTCATTGTAGCCTCCGCAGAAATTCCAGAGACCAACTTGGTAGAAATCATAGATGCCCAGGCTGCGAGCGATGGAATTTACAAGAATGGCATCGCTCGCTGATGTCGAGGGGAGGATATCTGCAACGTTGATCTTCAGGAAGTAGCCAGAGCGGAGGACGGGTTTGTCGTTCAGATTCCCGATTTCTGTCTACGAGGGTGAGTTCTCGCCTTCTGAAGGAGGTGGCCAACGTACGAGGATGAGAAATATTACTGAGAGAAGGTAGAATGAACTCGACAGGATAATGAGGTTGCGAGTCTTCACTCTGGTGATTTTCACACTAGCAACTGCTGTTGTTTCCGGGTTTCGAGAAGCTTTCTCCATCTTCTGCGTCTCATTCGCCCTGTCTTCGTCTTTCTTTCAATACGTTGCGAGTGAGACTGATGATTGAGAAAACGAGAGCAGTCAAGTCCAAGAGCGAGGAATAACGGGCATCGCGTGGCTCAATATATCGAGCGACAGAATGCTGAGGAGGTAGGTAGGTATGTAGTAGGTACCTAGGTAGGTACGAGCAACACAAAATCGGTCATATTATGTTGCCAGCCACGTCTATTCGCGGGCTCATCGCAGGCTGGAACTGCTATAGAGGGCTGGAGTTACATAGAGAGATGAGAAGTCCAGCTGCCGAGAAAAGCGATGGGCGTTGCATCGTTGCATCGTTGCAGCGTTCCATCATTCTGACAGCGCGTGATCGCCAATGATCCAAGACAGCCAGGACCGGTGCGCAGGTTCAAGTCATGTCGGAAACTGAACCAATGTCTCTTAAAGATCCCCTGATATTCTGGGACATTTAAATGGCCACACATCTGTCTCAACCTCTCACACTAGAAAGTCAGCCAGCCCGTTGACCGACCACCTGGACGCTCTTTTTGTTGCGCCTGAACGAACGTTGCCGCAACGATGAAGGCAGCTGAGTGGCGCCTTCCAACCCAGCTTTTGAATGACTACCTGTTTCCCTCCTAGTATTTACATTAGCAAGTCTCTGCTTTCACCGCATTGTTGAGTTTCAATGTCTTCTGTATCAGGATTCACCTGGCTACAACGAAGCCATGTTGCGATTACAGCTCTTTCTCTCCAGTTATCTTATAGCTCTTGCATCGAGCGCCGAATCAAGCTCTAGTAGTATTGAGAGCCAACTCATATTTTCCAGTTCTGCGACCGGTCCCATCACTGGTTTATCAGAGGCTACTGTTCCAACTGGAAGCTATTTATCCTACTCTTCGACCATCACGGCCTATGATACAGCTGGTGTACTGGGCTCAATAGCAAGCGAGACTCCTTCAACAAATGTCATCTCAAGTTCATCTCAGATCCTACTTGAAGGTTCAGTAGCCACTGCTACCACTGGTGCAGCATCCTCAAACCCGTCAGCAACCTCGACATCAACACCCTTCCAGCCATCAAATGAAACCCCTTGCAACAACTATCCCGAGTTTTGCTCACGGAAATTCAGCAATATGACTGAAGTATCCGCACACAACTCTCCCTTCGCTAGCATCGACAACCTTGCTTCAAACCAGGCGTATCCTGTTACCACCCAGCTCGATGATGGTATTCGACAACTGCAAGCGCAGATACACTTCGTGAATAACATTCCACACTTCTGCCACACCTCATGTGACCTCCTGGACGCCGGTCCCATCACGACCTGGCTCACCACCGTCTATAACTGGGTTTCCACACACCCCTACGATGTCATCAGTATCATCCTCGAAAACGGCGACTACAAACCCGTCACCTCCTACGTGCCCTTCATCGAAGCCACTGGATTGGTCAACTACGCCTACATCCCGCCCAAAATCCCTATGTCGATAGACGACTGGCCGACCCTCGAAGTCATGCTCCTAACCGGCAAACGCATCGTCTTCTTCATGGATTACAACGCTAACCAAACCGCCGTCCCCTGGATCCTGGACCAGTTTTCCCAGTTGTGGGAAACGCCTTTCGATCAAACGAACCGCAGCTTTCCATGCAATGTCCAACGGCCCCCGAACCTCTCGCCTTCCGCCGCGAAGAAGTCCATGTATATGACGAACCATAATCTAAACTACGAGATCAGTCTCCTCGGTAACGATATCCTCGTCCCGTATCTCCCGCTCCTCGATGCCACGAACAACGTCTCAGGTTTTGGGTCCTTGGGTCAAGGGGTCCAAGATTGCGTGCAGATGTGGAACTACCCGCCGAAATTCCTGGATGTAGATTTTTATAATGCAGGAGGTGGGTCGGTGTTTGAGGTCGCGGCGAAGTGGAATGGTGTGGTGTATAATCGGCCGTGTTGTGGTGCAACAAGTAAGGGAGCTGGAAGGAGGAGGATGGTGGGAGAAGGAATGCTTCTCCTCGTGGCGTGTGGCTTCGCTACTCTTCTATTAATGTAGATATAGAAGTCTAGACTCGTGAATCATAATGAGCCTCCTCAGCTCCCCTTGATAAATACCGAGATAACAAGATCCTACTATCCTTTTCTTCTCTCCCTACTATCGAACCTTTAAGAAGTGGCACATTATCAATAACCCCCTGCTTCAGAGCACTACCTGTTCTTTCCAAATCAAAGGAAAAATCAACTCCGTACAAAACGGAATACTACACTGTGCCCATTTTCTCGATCGGGAACGAATGAATCAGAGGTGGCGGTCAGATTGGTTGTTGAATAAATAAAATGAATTCAATAACAACGAAAACCACACAAACAGAATGACAACGCTAATGAAATCTACAACGACAACGACAACAAAAACCACGATATTCACTTCACTTCACTTCTTCTAAAAAAATAAAGTAAATTTTGGGCCGCAAGCCCACTCACTGCCCGTGCTTCTTGGTGGGATAATCGCTACTCCTTCTCCATGATATTCTCTTCTCTGTTAGCTTGCCCTGTTCAGGTAGGATATTATCTCGTGCGTGGTCTGCGAGGATTGAGAGAATGGAGAGGGGATATAGAGGATTACCGCGGACGCGGGCCGCTTAGCAGGCTTCGGCTACGTAAGGCAGGAGCGTTAGTCTATAGGCAAGTAATAGGGGGTGCTAATAGTAGGGAATGCACAAACCTTTAACAGAGTATCTAGACCGATCCAGGCGAAACCTTCTTCTAGCTCTCTAGAGGTAGATCTACGGGCACTAAACATTATAGGGGGGCCGGGCGAAAACATCCCGGACCCGCCCTAAGGAAGAGTAAAAAGGTCATTATTATTAACATTATTATTATCGTCGAATCTACTTAAGACACGAGCGTTAGATCGTGTAGGGATAGACCGATCATCGGCCGAATCGTCACATGTCTCTACTATAGAAGAACTAGCCCGGGGAGGCTTACTAGTACAGACACGCTTGCTAGTAGACTAGCGAAGTAGAGGGGAGTAGTCGCGTCCCTACTTCTATAGGGTTACGGTAGGGGCGGCGCGAGGCATCTTAAAGGAAGGAACGATTAGGGGATGTTAAGGTTGCTTTAGGATTCTAGTTTTAGAAAGGGGAGTTTAAGAGTAGATAGAGAGGAGGAAAAGGTTGTAAGTAAATTAGTAAAGAGAAAGGTAGAGAGATAAGATGTTTATACAGAACACAATAAAGACCCCTTACCGGCAAGTAACCGAACAGGCGATAGGAACTAAACTAGATTCGGTATAGAACAACAATTAGGACAACAATTAAGACAGCCCCGGGCCTGTATTAGGACAAGCCCGCGTAACGTCCTAGCTAGTAAACAAAGGCTACGCCTAACACGCGCACGAAACTAGTACCTAGGGCAGTCATAAAAGTAATTTACGATATAGAGAGAGGAGGAGGCTTGTAAGATTAGAATTTTTATCTTAGGAGTCTAAAGAATAGCGTACGGACAAATAAAGGGCAACCCTTAGGCAGGAACTAGGGTAACCGTAGGCAGTCATTATTTTCTTATTTCTAATCTAAGAACAAAGTAGAGTACTAAGAGTAGTCTAGCGTACAAGAGGCGTGCTATATCTGTAGCGATATCTACAGGCTTATGTAGAGGAGATAAGGACACAACAAAAGGACCGGCGATATAACGGCGCCTTAGTAAGAGGGTTTTATTTTCTTTCCCTCCTGTAGAACTATATGTACACTAAAACTTAGATTAAACTCTTATAGTACCTAGTATAGGTATTCAATAGAGGAAGATGTTACTACTACTACTATAGAGGATTAAGAGAGGGGGGTTTGAGAGGTGCGGGGGTGGTTACGCTTAGGGTGTAGGGATAGGTGAGTCGCTTGGTAAGTGAGGTAAGTGAGGTGAGGTGGTGGGGTGAGAGGATGTGAGAGGATGTGAGATGCTTCTTACTGTTTGGGGATGGAGGGATTTGGGATGGGGGGAGAGAGGAGGGAGTTGCTTTTGGATATGTGGGTAGATATCTGGATGGAGGGGTTGGTTGGGCTGTTGAGAGAAGAAGGGATGGGATGGGTGGATGGGTTGCACTTTGGATGTGGGATAGAAGGATATTCCATGATAGGATCTGAGCTCTTCGCTCAGGAACGGAGGGGTCTGTATCACACGATTGATTGCTCATCTCTTTCTCGGTATTACATTATGCTCCTCTCTCTCTTTAGCCGTAAAATAGGAGATACACGCTCCATTTCTATTAATGCGTCCCTGTCCATTGATCCCTTCCTCAGTTCGAAAACCCATGCACGCAGAGATCGGAATCAGACAAAAACATTGTACAAAAGCAACAACGCAAATAGGGGTCGCTCGTAGACTCCCACGGTCAGCTTTCCACCCGAATTATTTGTCTTTGTCGCTGTAGGAGCCGTGCTTGTTGTACTTGTATGCATAGTCGTCCCATGGGAGGCCGTGCTGAGAGAAAAGGGGGCAGTTGCTGAGGTTGACGCTGTTGATGTTGGTGCCACCGAAGTCTGTGCCGCTAAAGCTGGAGCCATTGGAGCCGGGGTATTTTGAGCAGCTGCATTGATGATTGCTGAGCCCAGGGTTGGAAGCGGTGGGTTGCCATTGACCAACCATCTTCCGGCAGTACTTGCGGGACATGCAGGGGCAGAGTGAGAAGGAGCGTATGCAGCTTTTGCGACACCAGAAGGAGCTATGTCCTTCCACTGACCCATCAGGTTGTTGTAATCTGGCTGTATGGGCACTGGAGCTTGACCTTGGTAGATTTTTCCATTGCCGTAAGTCACAAGACCGTAGTTGTTGGCCTCTTGAACCCATTCATAGACGATGGATCCGGACCATGTATGCACCATATTAGGACCGAAGATCGCGGCTTGGTCTGCAAACGTCCGTTCACCTCCCACGTTGCAGCCGGTCTCGGAGAAAAAGATCGGGATATTGTATCCTTGAGCCATGGCTTGAAGATTGGAGTAGCCGGAAGTTTCGTATGTGGCTTGTCCGCACCACTCGTAGGAATTGAGGCCGAAGAAATCAATCGATTGCTTCTGGTCGTCGCCGCATGCGAGGTAGTTCTGCAATGCAGGTCGAAGTTCAGCGATATCAGCTGCGGAATAGCCAACCGGGATTTGTCGGTATTTCTTGACAGCTAAGTACGACTTCATGTCCGCAACAGCAGCCTTGATGTAAGGTGCACTGGGAGAGCCGGCAATGGTGTTGATGATCTCGTTTCCAATCCAGAAGCCCGCAAGGTTATCATAGGCTTGAAAGACATCCATTACTTTGGTGAAGGAGACAAATTGATCAGCATTCCAGGTCGGGCTGGTTTGCTGAATGCTGGTATTGAAGGTGTCCAGATCGAGCCAGACATAGATACCATGCTTGGAAAAGATCTCCATGCAGCCGTCGTGATTTGCATACGGGTTGACATGATAGACGCGGATTGAGTTTGTGCCGATGGCAGCCATGGAAGTTGCATCGAGATTGCATTGTTTAATATCGACGAGAGGATCATCTGGGGTACCTTGGTATGCCACGCCTGGGGATGGTCAGCTTCGATCTCCGCAGAAGACCGTGTGTAATACCTTTGAGGAAGAATTGCTGGCCACCTGCAAAGAACTTTGCGCCTTTGACTGTGATAGTTGGAATTGCATTGACGGCAGCAATTGCAATACTGGCAACTGCAAGGATTGATTGAACGTTGACCATATTGATGTTGAGATCACGTCCAACGAGGAACCTGAAGGTTTTGAATTCGATCTTGAAGGTCGAAGTGGAGGGATGCAGAGTTCTAATGAAGAAGTGAGAGCGACGATTTTTCATTCAGTGCAACGCGACGAAATTCCAGAGCCTTTCCTCTCAACGATGTTGTGGATGCAGCAGCTGACTTTGATTCTCCGAATTTACCAATCTATCCCGAGGACAATGACCAAATCCGAGTGGCACAAAATCCTCGGCCAACAAGGAAGTGTCAAGGGCAAGAGTGAAAAAGCACCAAGAAAACGAAAGCCTGGGAGGAGAGAAAGAGTGAGAGGGGAGAAAGAGTGGGAAAAGGTAGGACGTTCCTATTCTTTGTGTTATTTTTATTTGCTTGTTCATTTTCGTTTCTGCTTCTCGACGAAGCAAGGAAATCGAGACACTCTCGTGATGCTCAATCGACATCATATTAATTGGTGTCGTAACATGTCATTTCGAGACGATCAACCACGGCCAAGCACAGTGTGGGCGCTACTACTGCCGACCTATCAGTAGGAGCCGCTGTAGAGACCATTGACCATCACTTGAATGTCTCTGGATAATGGAGTTGTTGAGTTGGTAAGGGCTTTCGCTGGGACTGGGCCGCCCCCCGGCGATGCTTCCCCGTAGTAGTACGACGAGCCTCTTATAAAGAACTGGTGCGGCTTTGACATCAGGGAACTGGAGTGAGAAAAGGTACTTAGGTACTTGTACCACAGTAGTGGATAATGCTGTGTTAGAGTTGGGGCAGCAGTCGTGAGTATATCTCGACCACTTGGAGGTGGTTGTAAAGGGAGGATGTACGACGACGACGCAGATGTCAGTGCAGGCAAAGCTTAGGTAGGTAAGGTAAGGTAAGCGAAACGTGCACGTGTGAATCCATGGGGACCCATGGATGCATGAAGGGGCGTCTGTGGAATTTTGCGATGTGCAACAAAACACGTTATTTGCCTGCCTCAGGTATGAATCCATATGGGTCCCCATGGGTCCATATGCAACCCATTGTTTGCGATGTGCAACAAAAGTTTTCAAGACTTAACCTAATCGCGCGCTTATCTGCACAAAATTATACCTACCAGAACAATGTATATGTACCTCGTATAAATAAATCCATGGGTCCCCATGGGTCTAAAAGGGGACCCATGGGTTTCTGCTGCGATGTGCAACAAAATTCATTTTTGGCCTAATCATACGCTTATCTGCATTCCATACTCAACACATGAATCCATGGGGTCATGATGGGGACCCACCAAACTGTGCGTTGTGTAACAAAACCTGTGTCTAAAAGAAACTCGACTTTTTGGCTCAATTACTACGAATGGGGACATTTAGAAAGGGAATAATTACACTGGCTTATACAGAGCAAAGAATCAAAATTCGAGCTATCAATCAACAAATTTGACGCGCTTTGTTTCCTCCGACTGGTCAATTTGCAAATAGATCATCTCCCTGCCCTCATCATCCTCAAAATCATCCCAGCAGGCATACGGTAACAGATATGGATCAGGAGGAGGAGGATCATCTCTGTCGCTGTATTTCGGGTTAGGCAGGACCACGAACTTCTTGTCTTTCAGGTCGCCCTCCAGATCACCCCAATTCCACCATTCAACATAAAAATCCGAGTCCAAGCCTAGCTCGAACTCTTCGCCTGGCCGTGGGATGTTGTAAGTACCCGCCCACGTCTTAGAGAATAAGTCCTCACGCTCGAGCGTGCGGGTCACTAATAGCTCTTCACCACTAGCATATGACGGGATAGTGACGAAGCCCATAAGGTCACGCCAGTTGTCCGCCGGATATGGATCCGCCCAGTGAATGCGGAGGTGCCTAGGTAGTGGTCCTACTGAGAGGCTCCGGCGAGGCTCAGTGATCGAGAGCATGCGGAGATGCCTCCGCACGCTTCCACCACCGAATTTTAACTCGGGGCTAGTGTCGAGAGGAGTACGCCATGTGCTAATGGTGAGGGGTTGAGTAGGATTGGCGCTCCATTTTTGGCGTATAGAGAAAGTGATCAGAAAAGGTTGATCAGAGTCTGATGCGGAGATCGATACTTCAGATGTCGCATCTTTGACTGAGATCAGGAGGATGGCTTGTAGCCTTGACCTGCGCACGCTTTAGAATAATGGCTCATAAAACCATTGGCATGGTGTATTATTAGTATGGTGCAGTCAAGGGTACCTACGTATTTATCTCAGGGGTTGCCCTGCCGCCTCTGGTACGACTCATGTTGGATAATGTTGTGGGAGGCAGATATATTTGTCGTGTTGTAGTGGTGCAGATGAAATCCTAAGTGAGATGGATTTCACTTGCCTTAAATATCTACCTAGGTACCTCAATGCCCAACATGGTTGGTAACACAGGGCAGCAAATGGCAATACCAAACGCAAGCTACCTTCTACTGAAGCCGAGAAGACAGAGTGTTGCAGTCTGAATGGGTGTTGCAGTCTGAATAAGTGTTGCAGTCTGAATAAGTGTTGCAGTCTGAATGAGTGTTGCAGTCTGAATGAGTGTTGCAGTCTGAATAAGTGTTGCAGTCTGAATGAGTGTTGCAGTCTGAACGAGTGCAAGCGGGTGACAAAGTATTATATATAAACCCTGCCCCCTCCCCTGTATGAAGGTCTCTCTGGTATCACCCCCGCCGTGTGCTGACAACTGTGTCTGACTCTTCGCCTTTCCACCTATATCTACACCTTCGCACCCTCACTTCAAGCTTTTATATAGCTCAATAATGGCCCACCTACCAAAAGATTCATTTGCTGACGCCGACTTCAACTCCAAAAAAAGTTACATGCAGGTCCGACGGCAGCGGAGGCGGATTACCTGGACCCGATTTCACCTGTCCCGTGAGCAAGACTGGCCGAGATGGACGATGGCGGGCGACTCGAAATCGGATGATGCGACCTTTCTCGGCCCTCTCACCGGCGTGGAGGGCTGCGAGAAGGTCTGGCTCGGGAGACAGGTCGAGGATCCCGAGAAGGCTGCCTTGATTGTCCGTACGTATCGCGGCCCCATTGTCCATATTCCACGACCATACAGGACTGGGTGGGAATCCTCGCCCCTTTTCTAACACGCAAGCGGTGAATAGTCTGGGAGTCGGCCCCCGCCCTGGAGATGTTTGAGGCCTCTCCATTGTGTGGCGAGTTCCTCCGGGGCCTGGGTTGCAAAGACGACGACCCCCTTCAGACCCTTCTTGTTAGCTTCCAATGGGACGCCGGCTTCTGGTTCGGCGACGACCTGTACGGCCGCGTGACGCGCACGACTCTCGTTATTCCGTACACCGGCCTCCCGGAGCGCGAGGCGTGGGGGTTCAAGATTGGTGTTTCATTCAACGGATTTATGCCGGCGGGCTGCGAAGCCCTCCGCCTCAGCCTCCCGCGGCCGTTTGGGTGGCAGGCATTCGCCTGGGTCGACACGGTCAAGCAGGCGCTCGCTCTGAAGGACATGGTCAAGCAGGCACAGCCGTCAGCCGTGACCGGCGGAGCTGAGCAGCAGCGGGACGTCGGCGACCAGGAGAAGGCCGTTGGCTATCACTTTTTCCGCTGGAATGGCAACGATGCCAGCCCCGAGCGGGAAGATGCCACGGCCAGGGACCCCAAGGCAAAGGAATCGTGGGACAAGACGCTGGCGAAGACTATGCCCCCAGTTAGCTTTTGGGAGCAGGAGCGTTGGGGTGTGGAGCTGGCGCCGTGCTATCGTGTTGAACCTGCTTCTGAGGATGAAGAGGAGGACTAGGACGAGGAGAGCGAGGCCTTGACGGGGTTGGACGCAGAAGATGCTGCCTATCCCGTCGATGACGCCGCTACTCCCTCGTCCCTCGCCCAGTACCAACAGCAAGAAGAAGATCACCGCCAGGGTGAGCTGCTCGACGGTGCCCTGCATTGCGTGGTTCCCCGGCTACCTGCCGCCCAACGACCCCAGCTTCTACAAAGTACACACATTACCGTGGCCTAAAGAAGGAATGCCTCTCGGTAAGTATAACCCTGCCTTACGACCGTGTCACTTTCTCGAATTCGAATCCTGGAAGTGAATTGATTTGACGATACCTTTTGATAATGACAATAATATGATCACTTGACAACGACAGGAAATACGAATTCACAACGATGAGTGAATCTAATTGATAAAACGCCGTTTGACAAGAGGTCTTGGTAATAGTCGGCTTCGATATTCGCAGCAGCAGCCAGATTTCCCGTAACGACACAGCGTTTATCTCGATGCCGCACCTGGTTTACGAACGCATCATCTTCGTCTTCCCGTGATTCTGATGAGTGTGTCATAGAGCGGGTACGGTAATAGAAGCGTTCATCACTTATCCGCATCTGCTGTCCTGGGCATAGCGGCGTAAGGACATACTGCCCGTGCACCAGAGGCTGCTCAATGGCAGTGATTGGCGATAGCATAGAACCTGAACCTCCTAGCAGGCGTGCTTGGAATCCCCCGTCGTCGGCACGGAACACCACGTGAAGCATATCAAGGAACTCGCGCTGTGTGAGATTATCGGCGGCTTTGAGTCCGCCCTGCACGACGCCAGGTTCGGAGGCGAATTCGATCCATACGTTGCGTCCGATTGAGCGCCCTGTACGCCGAGGCATGGTTTCTGCTTCACCTTCTTCTGTTGTGACGCCAGTAAGGAAGGAATCAGGGTGGCTATCAGTGCTGCAGTAGAGATGCGATACACATTGAGGCAGAGGGAAGAAAGGGGGAGCTTAGACATTAAGGAGGGTTCTCTATAGACTAAGTACAAGGGCTATAAACCTAAGCGTCAGCTACATGGACGGTTTCTTATTAAACTCATTAACTCGATGTTTGGTTCTGCTACCAGCGTCCCAATCCATAATACTTATACATAGCTCCTGTATGCCCATTGTTATTGCCAAATATCGAGGGTATCCCGAATCCACCAGAACCGTCCTCATGTAAATGCCAAATTAACGCCTAGGTCTTCCTTTTGGCCTCTGCTTTACTGCCCAATATCATACATTATTAGGATCCGCACCTGTTTCTTTAGTGGACTCGTTTGCTACCTCCGCTTCCCCATCCCCGCCATTACTCTCTCTTGGACCACTCCTCCTCGCCAGCCCTGGGAACATCATTCCAGTCTCCGCATCATCCATATCCGGCACGTCACTCAAGTCACTCTCGTCATCCGCGCTGTCATGGAGACTACCCGGGGCCGATTGCTCACTTTCCCCTTTGCTAGTCTCCAAGTTCTCTTCATCCTTAACGTTTTGCAACGCTGGGTTCTCAACCCTGGGATTGGAAGAACCACGAGCGCCAGGGTCATTAGGGCCTGAAGCCGCCGAGTTTGATTCCGAAATTCTAGATTTGGCAGTCGACGGTGCTATAGGTCTGAGGGGATCAGGAGCACGATTGATGGCCGACTCTGCTTTGCGCAGCACCTCACGACGAGAGACACCAACTTTTCGGGGTCGAGAGGTTTCGGAGGAGCTGGCAAATGTGACAGGAACCGGGATTTGAGTACCGTCCATATTCATCACCAGATTTGTAATGGTCGTGGGACCAAGTGTCCTTGGAGTATCGTAAGCTCCATCATGTTGCGCTTGCTGCTGCGTAGACGAAGCATCAGGACCGGGGAGGCCCGGAGCGACCTGTGTGTAAAGCACGCCCCAAATATCGTTGATAACGTCGTCGATAGGGGTAGATTTCATTTGATTCGCGTTTACCTTTTTCAGTTCCAGGGTTTCGCGCAGGGCGTCGAGTGCAGGGTGAGAAACTTCAGGATCATTGGCCCATTGCGCCAGGCGTTCGGAGAAGACCTCAAATTCTTCGTGGGCCACATTCTTAAAGACTTCATCCATGCTGACAGGGATTTGGGCGGCGCGACGGATCAGGCGCAGATAGACTGTGCAGCACTCGGTCCAGACCTGAGAGAAACGGAAGAACTCGTTTGCTTTTTTTCGTACCCGCTTGACAAGTGCCTCCATATTGGATTTGTCGTTGATAACCCAGAGTAACTTGATCATGAACCGTACATATCGCTCCATATATACACAGTGTCTGCCCGGTCGCTCGGCCTCCGGCTTCCAGACTTGAATATGCATTGTCTTTGTGAATATAGATTCACGAAATTCGGAACGAGCAGCTAGCGCCTGGACGTATTCAGGCTTGGTATCGTCATACAAGATACTTGCTGCTCGAGCGATCATTCGATGGTGCCAGTGTTGCTTATCGGCATTTCGAAGATGTCGGAGACATTCCAAGATGAACGATTCCCACCCTTCAAGATCTGCAATGGCAATATGCTCACCCTTGCGAATCTTATATGGCTGTTCTTGTAAGAGGTCAGCGCCAGCCTGAGGTTGAATATCACCTTTCATAACCAGCTTATGGACAATTGACACAAGTTTGTAGTGAGGTTCAAGAACAGGTTCCTGACGATTGTCCTTCTGCTTTGGTGCTGTCTTGATGGCCTTTACAAAGGCATCCAGGACAGATTGCATTGTTGGTCTGTTGGCACGATCCTTTTCATCCAACTCGTCGGCGGGTTTGCAGTACATCTTCCAAAGGCATTTACCAAGCATGAAATGGTTCCTAGGAAGTTAGCTTCTTATTACATATCGTATGTTCCGTCGATGAACAACTCACATCCAAGAATTAGGCTTGTCCACCATAGCTTTCCTGAAAAGACCAGCAGCATACTTCCAGAGTTTGTAGCGAGTCATCTCTTCATGAAGTGCTTTCTTGTACATGCCTTGGGTTCCACTGAAATGTTTCTCAAACCCATCAACCCAGAATGCTTCCATCCCAAAAGGTTCCCGTGAAGAAGCATAGAGGCGCACTCCAAAATCGTAATACATCTCGGATAATTTGGCAGCGGTCTCGAAGGAATCATCGGCTGTTCGGATAGCACTCGACAATGCCATTATATAGCAATGAATGGACCCTCTTTGCAGCCGCACCAGGTCTGCACGATGATTGTTGATCTTGTCTGCGCTCCACATCACCTCGTCTTCAAGTTCGAAATCAAAACACTGTGCGAGTCGATACCACGCCTCCCAATGCTCAGCAGTATATTGAAGTTGTAGTCTCATGAATGTTGCGCTCACTCGCATATCATCTGTCTGGCCACCTGGACCAAGTCTCTTTTGTGACCGAAACTTTGTCAACGCAATCATACCCTGTAGGAAATACCAGCCCTTCTCCGCAAGACAACTATCAGGTGTTACCACAGGTACCGAATCGATCTCAACCTGGCCTTTCAAAGCTTGATACATCCGGAGAGGACGGATGGATGTTTTGAGGTATTCTGTAAGGTTTCGAAGGTTGTGTGTCATCTGTGGTGTTGGTTTGGCTGGGCCTATGGCTGTCTGCATTCGCTCAATCGTAGTACGTAAGTCATGTTTAAGAAGATCTTTCATCGACATTCTATTCGCCAAGACGATGACTTGCTCCGCAATATTCAGGACGGTACGTCGATCGAGGGTCTCCGTTGGACAGCCATGCTCTTCCAGCAAGTATGTACCAACACCCAATCGTATACCGTAAAGATCGTACAGCACCTGGCCGAGATAATCCTCCCATCTGTCAACCTGCTTCAGTCGTATCATTTCGACCTTCATCATTTTCAAGAAGATCTTATTGGAAGCCTTGCAGAATTTTCGCAATCCCAGCGGATAGTGAACGAGAGCCAAGAAGTCTGCAAGATCATTATCCGGAGTTGGGAAGAGCTCACGGTTCTGTGACATTGCTTCCTTCACCATCGAGTATTGCAAAGCCCATGTACGCACTTGCATTTCTCTGAGTTTGTTCATGAAGCTGTTGAACGAACCATGCGGTGCATAAGCAGGCGTTTGAGGTAGATGGGTCATCCCAACTCTAATCTCGTCATCAAAAATTGCTGCGGAATGAAGTACTCGGTTCAATTGTGCGAGAGCAGCACAAGTCGACTTGATGTGACGTTCGTCAATGATCTCGAAACATGTAGACGCATCATTGAGGGCAATGGTAAGAGATTTAACAAGCAAATCGTCCACAGCCTTCAGCCATAACAGCATTTGGTGTTGGCGCGGCTCATCTGCAGATTTGACATACTCTTCGCTTCGCAGGTCCTTGACGATAATCTCAATGCTCTTCAAGTAACAGGAGAAAACCTTGGTGTTATATCCAATGCTGAAATACGCTTCTCTGAGTCGCTGCCATAAGAAGAGGCGCAAGGATATGCTACCTGTCTTCAAGAACTTCCACATATCGCGCAAGGCTGCCGGGGTACTGTCCGCAGCTTCGGGTGTTGAGGCATTTTCACCATTTTCAGGATCAGCTGCCTCACAAGCTGATTCGGGATCTAACACCGGCTCCAACGTTTCAATGATAGCGGCTGGATTTGATGTATCTGTCTGAAATAAGTTGTAAAAGAAATCCATTGTCGTGAGTCTAGAAACCTCCCGCTCTGCCGCGCTTGCAGAAATCTCGGGCATGACAGCGTTGTTCTGCAGCTCAATAATTGGCTTTCCGACTTCAACAAGGAGCCTTTGAAGATCAGACCAGCAGAGGACTTTGTGGTCGCGAGAAACATCCTCTGCCATGGTAGCATAAAAGACAGAAGCCCAAATATACCTCAAGGAAAGCTCATCCTCATAGTTGGAAGCGCGCGATGGGATAACGTAGGCGGCAAATTCTGCCCACCTGTCCAGTCGCTCTTTGGTTGTAATCCGCGTCTCGTAATGAACAATGCTACTCGGATTAGTGATCCTGGAATAGATGTCCAAATGAAGCTCAAAGAGCGTTTGTGTCATGTCCTCAAAAAATTGCAGGTCATCGCCATTGATATCTTGGGTTTTAATACGCTCAACTTCTGACTGTATCCGACTGAAAATGTCTGGATCGGCAAAGCTAATGACGCGAGCCACGGCGACTTTCAGGTCTTCGGGCCATGAGCTTTGTCGATAAGTTGGGAGAACAACGCGAAGCCACTCGAAGATGACGTCCTGGAGCGGCATCCAGCCAGTTTCAACTCTTCGCGAAAATGAAGCAAGACCCTCAGATACATCAAAAATTGGCTTGGCGTTGATCTTCGGGGGCCCAGATTTCGAATGCTCAAGGAATGCGGCTAGGCCAGCATTTGCGCCACCTGCTGACGATCCAAGGACCTCTGCCGCATTCGCGTTTTGGAAAATCGATGCCTTATTGTCGTCCCAAGTCCTTAATATATCCCATAAGTCTCTTACCGCGGTATTTGAAATGTTGTCAGTAGAGTCGGACTCTCGCTGGCTAGACAACCCTGCTTGTAGCTCTGGAAAGGTTCCCAGGTCATCAACACCAAGTTTACTGAGTAGACCGTGAACAAATGAAAATAAATCTTCGTCAGCTCGGACAGAAGTCTTGAGCTGTTCAGCGTATTGGGTGGCAGGATCAACCTCCGAAGTAGTATCACGATCCCGAATACGCTTGCTTCTTTTTTGCATTCCACTATCGTCCTCGGGAGTATCACGAATACCAGCTGCAGATTGAGACCGCTTCCTTGGAAAAGCGATACTCTGTGAACGCGCTCGACCATCATTTAGCGGTATGGTTGTGGTTGTCGCAGTTTCAGCAGACTGATCATCAGATTTTGCCGTAACAGGAGTAGCGATAGCAGGTTCGGAGCTTTCAGCGAGTGGCAAGTCTGTCACATTAGTGTCGATCATGGTCTGGTCTTCAGCTGAGGTCATAGTTGGTATGTTTCCTTGATCTGCATTTCCCGCTGTTTCCGGAAAATGAAGGACAATTCCGGCACCAGAGACTTCTTGAGAGAGTATCACCGCAACAAGCGCCTCGCCCAGAGATGCCCAGCTCAAGCTCTGGACTTTGATCGCTGTCCTCACTTGCACAGTTTCGATGGGTTCACCGTAGGGTTCCTTGTGGCCGAGAAGTTTGACGGTATCGGGAAGAAGTGGATAGGGATCCATATGCTTTTTTAGGAACTCTGGCATGGACTTCTTCAGGAACGGGGCCATTATAGGGTGAGATAAAGCAACCTCGTCCGAGATGACTTCCAGAAGCTCTTTTAGTTGTTCTCCTGCGAAGCCTTCTTCCAAAGAGGCCGGTTCTACCTCCGCCACTGTAGGGTCATCGTCGACTTCTACAGCGGCCTCAAGGCAATACCGAGATATCGTCCTGCTCCCAAGCATCGAAGCTATACGTGCGGTGCGCCTCCATAAGTCTGTATCGGATTCGTCCCAAGCCGTCGCAAGGGCAAAATTGTCCAATGCAGTCTTGACCTGATAGGGAAGCGCATCGTTATCCAGAAGCTGATCTGGTGGAAGGTCGGGCTGTCGAAGGCGAGACTTGACACAATCCAATATAAACTGCCCATGATTCTTGTATGCCAGGTATAATATTTGTGGTAAGGAACTAGCATCTGCAGCAGCCGCTGCGAGATCAAGATCAAGTGGAAAGGTGGTATCAGCAAGTTCGAGTTCAGGATGCTCATCTATTCGTGTAAACTCAGTAACGCTTTCGGGATATTTGAAAATGTCCGATTTGAAGAGATTGGCGTATGCTTCTGCAGCCTGTGGATACGAAGATGGACCTTGTGAATGCAGTTTGAGAGCGGTTTGGTACAGTTTAAGGGCCTCTTCTATCTGGGTTCACTGTCAGCTGGAAAATGGTAGTGTTCGAGGGTGTGGTGTACTTGTAATTCTCTTGTGTTATCGACCTCGTCATCACTCTGGTCGTCGGGCTCAATGTTCAGAGCCGTAAAATGCGCCTACCTCACATATATTAACGCGCGATCTCGGTTTCTAGAAAGAGAAAGACTTGCCATCCTGCTTGCTCATGTGGGAATGAAGGCGGTCCTTGATGTAAAGATCGGTAGGCCAATAGGCGATCCCGATCCGGGCTGCGGCCAGTTTGAGCCTAGAACAGCGCAGGGACGAGAAGATAGCTCCTCAGAGAACCAAAAATGTACAAAGGTTCTGTAGAATGAAACGTAGGACTTATGCTTCTCCAGGACCGGGGTAAATGGGGATCGTTGTCTTCGAGACACTAGGTTATGCGTCCAGCAGTATCATACTACTGACACGCTGGGACATAAAGCGCTTGGTATTCCAACTAACGAAGGTGGATGCGTCCATTCCTCGGTCTGCGGAGAGCCAGGACTTATTAGAACGCGTTAAAGTCCGCGTTCTGGTTTCGACTGTTCTTTCTATTAATTGAGTTACCTGTCTGAAGTCATTCTACCGGTTAAATATCGGCATATAAGATCAAACGCGCGCTTATATCGTCGGCTCGCTTCACTGTGATTTGCTTAGGCGCGCGCATTTCCCAGACTGAGCTTATGCCTAAGGCCGATTATACGTACAGAACAAAGGCACGCTCAACCTTGAACCAAACTTCTACCTCAAAGGCTAGGTAGTGATCGAAGAACTTATAAGCACCTACTATGTCAATATCCTATTATTCAGGTGTAGACTTGGAAGTACGATGTCTGAATGCCTAGGCAAGACGAGCATATTTACCCTCTCGACCTTCTTTTCCAAGACTGCTGATACTTGAGCGTTTTCGTCTCCTTTTCTTCTTCCTCGCCCTTCTCGCTATTTCTTATCGTCTCCCTGAAAATTATGTTTATTTTGAATCAATTACCTATTTACTGCCAAGTATTCCGGACAATACTTATCTGTTGCAGCCTCTTTCTAAAAGTGACGAGGAATTTCCGGGAGCCTGCATGCAACCGTTGGGCATGGGGCTTCTAGAATTGAGGCACAACTGAAAGGTTTCTTTGATTCACTAATCTTATATATTTCATACACAGCTCATTGGAGCTTTGCCTTGCTTGATCGTTGTCTTTGCGTGCAGGGTTGGCAGCTGATGATGCCTTTGGAATGTTGTCAAGCCGGTGCCGGATTGATAGAAGCATATTGAAAGGAGCATTTTACAGGGAGTCTGAACAATAGAGAATACCGAATGACAGCTTCAATGTATTTCATAGCACTCATTGATGGATAAGTAATAGCGTGGCAAAAGGTAGCTACCGTACCTGTAGGTAGGTAAGGTAGGTAGTACCTGAGGGTTTTAAAGGAAATGAACCTGGACTTTATGCCCGTGCCTAATCTCAAATAACAGGGCACTTCATCGATCTGCTACCTAGGTAGTATACAACAAATCTCGGGACCTATATGACCTAAAGAAATAGTTCCCATAGTTTCCATAGCTTGCCACCCGCCCACCGCCTGACGCTTTTTCTGGGTCAGCACGTGATCACAAGGCTGAGAGTTCCCCTTGGTGGGGGCCCGTGCACGGTGAAGGTGAAGTGTCCAAGTCCACATTCCGCACCTCGTTCTATCACGACGACCACACAAAGGCGCTCGCTCCCCAGCGACTTTCACACTTTCACGGAGTGAAATATCATCGCCAGCCCTCCATCCAGGAGTCCCTCCAGTTCCGTCTCCATCTCCATCTCCATCTCTCAGCAGGTTTAATTTACCACTGCTGCCCTGGTCTCCCATCTCCCACGTCTGACATTCAAAACAAGCGTGTGCGAGCTCAGCATGGTCGCTCCAGCTGTCCCTGAGTATGTGCAGCATTCTCAATTGCATGTCTTCTGATCTGCAGGCCTCTTATGCTGACCATATACCTCAAGGTTGACTGAGGAGGTTCTACACGAATCCATCGATGCACGAACAGAAACCCTCGATGCGCTGCGAGAATTAGGCCCTCCTGATCTCGTTCAATTGATCAAGCAGGCTCCAAGGAACCCGGTGAAACAGGTAAGCTGTCAGATCAGGAATACCTCTTAATTCGCGTGCTGATAGCAAGTCTAGATTGGCGTCTATCATCATGTCACTGGAGTTGATGCGTCCTCCTCCGCAAGCCTGGCAGCCTACATCAACACTCTGACCTACAAAGAGAGCCACCAGTCCCCCACAAAAATAGTCGAGGGCGTTTATTGGTACGCAATTTCATAACAGGAAAATTGAAAATCCTCTAATGCGCTCTAGCTGTTATAATGCCTTCTCGCGATTGGATATGCGCGTACATGTCACCATTCCCGGCAGCGTCGAGAGCTACTGCATAGATGAACGAGGCGAAAAGCGAGTGGCTTCGGACGAATTATGGCTGGAGACATACCTTTGTAGTGTCCTCCGCGCATACTCCTACGCAGATGATGGAAGCGGGGATACAATACGGAAGATAATGGGCGTGCGAAGATTTAATCCTGTCACAACTACGGAAACAGAGCACAGATTTCTGCAAGCAGCCGAACAGTTATTTTTCAGAGGTACGCAGTGTTGTGCATAGAGGGAGACATTACTAACTACGGCAGGTTGGCAACTCGGGTCCGAATCTGTGGTCCAAGTTCCAAACAACGTCTCGAATCACCTTACAGTTGGCCTTCTGAAATATTTCCAAACAACTGGACGGTTTGCTTCTGGAATCAATCTTTTCGAAAAGTTACGAACGCGAAACGTCGAAGTCTCTTCTCTCCTTGCAAAAGTTCTGTTCATGGGCAATGAGGAAGTCCAAGCAGTCAGGGTCCTGTACGAATCCGTCAAGGCATCACCGATGGATTACGTTATGCTCGATCTCCAAGCAGAATTCCTGAAAAAGAAGGCCCTCGACCCCAACCATCCCGAACTGAAAGAGGAAAGACTGAAAATGGCTCTCGGTTGCGCAGATAGAAGTACTATTGCAGCGCCGAGTGAGTTTGGGACCTGGGCACGACTGGCAGAGGTTTATGTTGCTATGGAGGATTGGGAAAATGCATTGACTACCCTGAATTCATGCCCGATGTTCACATATCAGGATAAGGATGCCCCAGTTCTCCCAGAACCAAAGGAGGTCCATCTACCGACCCTCCCCGAAACTCGGTTGGATGAAATCGACAGTGAGCCCGAGTCGAAATATGGAGAGCAAGTTCATCCAAGTCTGTTAACTTTACGAGCTGCTCAGTACAAAGGTACATTCAAGCATGCATACAGTATTCTGACCGAGATGACCGCAAAGATTGGGTGGGATCAGCTACTGAAGATTAGGAGTAACGTGTTCGTCATGGAGGAGGAATACCGCAGCGAGAAGCAACCACCTGTTGGGCAGGGCGAAACTGCGAGCAAGCGGACTGCGAGCACCGATGGACTGAGAGGAAGCCCAGGGCCTCCAGTGAATGGCGATGATCATACGGATGAGGAGAAAAGTACTAACGGCGACTCCACATTGGTAGCCGAGAATGGCACGAAAGGCTCAGCAGGTGATGACTCCGTTGAGAAGCCATCCCATACCATCACACCGGAAGAAGTAAAAGGCAGTAGTGAAGATGTGAGTCCAATCCCTACCATCCACCGCCCAAAAGCTAAAACATCCCAGAATGAAGCAACTGAGGAGCAACTCTCCCGCTTCAACAACAAGCGGCTCTGCGAACGCTGGCTTGACAGTCTCTTCATGGTCCTCTATGAAGACTTGCGAATTTATACTATATGGCGCACTGAGATGGCCCAGTACCGGGCCCAATCCATGCAGTACAAAAAGTCCGCTGAGGAATGGGAAATCCTGGGGTCGCTGGCTTCCCGCTTACATCACCAAGCCGAAGCTATTGAAGCCTATCGCCAGTGCTTATCCATACGCTTCTCTCCCAAAGCCCTGGCTGGCATCTTAGCCGGTTTTGAGAAAGAGAAGAACACCAGGGAGACAATTGCTGCCATGATTAGATTGGTGACTTGGCAATACAGGTGGTATTCAGAGTTTTCGCCGGAGTTGTTATACACAATCCGGACGCTGATTGAGGATGAAGGTGCAGTGAAGATTAGGAGCATCATTCAGGCAACAAGCCTGCCACAGAATGTGCTGGACTTGACGCACCATTACGCAGCACTCTGTGCGGCATTCAGGAGCTCGGGGACTGAGGGTTGATGTGGAAGTGTCTGAAAGTGTGAAAAGTATGGATTGGTGGGGTGGACATTTGCTTCAAGGATTAGCGCGAATGAGTAATGTCTTTTGAGATCTCGTCTTGATATCCAGGAGAGCAGGGGGAGATCGAGGTTGCCCGATAAGAGGTGCGGATGTACTATAGCTAGGTAGAGGCCGGGTAGCTTTACCAAAGGGATCCTTTTTCTGCTGTCCCAGGTTGCTGGAACCGTCTTACGGTCTTGGAGACAACCCGGCCGTCTCTTCCACATCTCAGTTCCGCCACACCCGGGCTGCATGAAGGTATCACGTGACGTATATCACGCACCGGCAGATGGACAAAAGGATTGACCGGGCAAGCATGGTTTGGAGGGTAGGGTGCACAAATTGATAGATAGGTGTCTCATCGTAATGGCTCATAACCTACCGTTCCTACAATCTACCTTATCTTACCTTACCCTACCTTGGACTCGATCTGGGCTCCCATCCACGTGACGCGTATCACGCGCTCCCCCCACCATTGAAAACTGGAGGCACGTGGACACCATTCCCGATCCGGCCGGCTTGACTAAGCGCTGCTTACCCGACGCGCCCACCAGCCGCACGGCTTTCCAGAACATCGGCTTCGCCAACTTTACTCAGTTGGGCTTTGGTGGTTGGCCCATTAGAAGAGCTATGTACAACGTCGACTCCCTCCTCCCATGCTGCTCTCCGCCATGAGCTACGCCTCCCGCCCTGTCCGCCATGCCACCACCACTTCGACGGAATGGAAAGCAGCAGGCGTGTGAGCCCTGTCGCAAGGGCAAGCTGGCCTGCGATCACGCCGCGCCGTTTTGTGGGAGATGCGTGCGGAGGAAGATAACCGCGCGGTGTATCTATCACCCGGCGCCCATGACCAGAAAGAAGGTGCCGCCGGAACCAGGTCCAGGTCCAAGTCCAGGTCCCGTGTTGCCACAACAGCTCACGCCCAGCAACTCCACCGACCGCTCAAACCACATCTTCTCTCCTTCGCAATCGTCGGAGGTCTTCAGCACGCCCTTCCGCCCGGATCTGAATGCCCAGGAAACCCCGCGTAGCTCGGTCCCTGATGTGCCTGACGCGCGTAACCCAGGCGCCAAAGAGCGCAATCACGGCAACGGCAAGGTCGTCACTCCAGCCTTCCGGCGGACCGCCAGGTACTACGGCCCGACCAGCTTCTCTGCCATCTTTAGTGAGCATGCCGACCTGTCGGAAGGCCTCTTGGATGTGGGCGATGATGGCAGAGACAACTCCTCGGCGTGGCCTTTGGGCGTGCCGTTGCTGGGTAACGACAGCCCTTCATCCCCGGCTGTGAGAATGAGCCAGGTTATCAAGGCTTTAGAAAACTTGCCTTCCAAAGAGATATGCTTCAGCTTGATAGACACCCCTAAAAACACCCACATCAGTATGAACATTGTGCTTATCCGCCACGCCATCGAGACTTTGTGGGCCACCTTTGAGCCAAATCTAGCAGCGCCTCGCACGACCGAGAAGCTTGCTGGCATTGCTGAGGTGCTCTTTGCGAACGAGTTGAGACCATTCCCTCCGGCCCCGGATGATGGGATGGATTGGCTCAACACTTTTATGGGGCCGAATCTGCGTTTTGAGATGCTCGGGATGCTCTTCTGCTTTTTTGGCATGGCGTATCAATCCCTGAACGACTGGGATGAGCGATTCAAGGTCCCTGAAAACCAAGGCCGTGATAGGAAACAGACATCCTGGAGGATGAAAGAGTGCGCCGACGTCTGTCTGAAGATGAACGAAACCTCTGAGGAGAACAATGACATCTCACTGGCTCTACAAGTTTGTACAGCAATATTAGAGAGTGTCTGCACTGGAGATGAGAGTAAGTCCTGATCAAACATCTCCTGGTTATCCCTTCAGCTGTAGATGCTCGTACTTTGCCAGGATATTTAAATCTTCAAGTTCAGAGGAATCAGATCTCTGCAACGTAGAGGAAATCAAAATTCTTTTGACCACGTCGAATAAACAGGTACAAACCTGGCGTTGGTGGAAGAAGTACTCTTCTCTTCGCATGAACTTTTTCGGGCGAGACTGTTTTTTCCGCAGCTGAAGAAGTCGCATTTATATAAATTTACTGACTATAATTTCAGGTTTACAACTGCGCCGGCGTCATGGCGATATTATAGTCTGCACAATTGCTGCTGGCTTGCATAGACTTCCGGACTATGGTTCTCATAAAATCACGGCCGCTTCAGAATATAAGAGGAGGCTCTTCTCCTCAATATATGGCTCGGACAAAAACCATGCGTTTTTAAACGGGATACCGCCTGCTCTAAGCGCAAGATTCTGTAACTTATGCCTCCCTCTGGATATTGGAGAAGAGGAGCTCTTCCTGCCTCAGCGTGAGTTGGTTACTGTTATCTCGAAGCTGGATCCTAATGGATGGAATACCGCTGGGGAACTGCACAAAGTTACTGCCCGCCGAGCATTCCATCTGCTCTCTGGGATCCGCGAGGAAATTCTTGAGCTGTCACTTGGAGTTAACGTACAGCTCTCGGCATCCAGAGTAGAGTAAGTTGTTATCTCTATATCAGAATGAAGGCTAATTATGCGCAGAGATCTGCATCGACGGTGTCAGGCAGTTTATGATGCACTGCCTCCCCAGCTTCATTACTATGCTCATGATAAGATACCCAAAGATTGTGAGGGCAAACATTTAACTGGCAGGGCATATTTAATGCTTAATTTCTTACAAAACAGCTTTCTCATTGACCGGGTGGCCATCGCCCGTGGGCTGCCCAACGAGCAAGGCCTTCTGGATACCGCGATGGAGATGATGGATGTTACTATAACGTTCTGGATAAAACGGGATCAAGTCATGCACTTTTCCCCGTCGTTCGACTGGATTGTGAGTTGCTGCTCGATATCGAGGCATCGGAGTCCACTAACGGGTGTGAACAGATCACCTACGGGATTCCGAGTGCGGGGGTAATCTGTGTTGAGCTACTCCGTCAGGTTGCGAGTCGGCACGACCTTCGATTTTCAAGGTCGGATGCCATCCAGAAGCTTACACTGTTTATCGGCTTCTTGGAGTGGATCCGGCCAACGGACGGGAATTATATGCTCGCAGGGCGATTGAAGAGGGTCATCCGAAGGATCTTAGATCACGTTCTCGACCCGCTGCCGAAGGAGACGACTGGGCACGACTTCATGGACGTTCCAATCGATCCGATGTTAGCGCCTTTCGGCGAGGTGGATTGGGTCAACACGATAGATTGGGCGCAGGGGTCGTGGATGGATTTTAATTGAGCCGTGGGGCTGACCGTCCATCGTGGACGGGGGGATTTGAGCAGCTCTCGGTAGAGCCCGGTGTCAGAGGTTTTAGGCAGACAGAGAGGCACCATATTGGATAATGTGAGTGGCTTCGGGGCCTCTCGCGTACCGTCTCCCTGGTCCCGGGCACGGTAGCAGAGGGAACGACTAGCGGCCGGTCTGTCCTTTGGAGGGGTTCCAGGAATCCTCCCTACCTAGGACGTTCACCGCCTGCTTCGAGACTCGAGAGTGACAGATTTATCGATTGGTCTTTCACAAGACCCTAGCGAGAGAGAGACACGATAAGCTTCCGAATAGGGCCCCATGGAAGTTCTGGGGCAGTGTACTAGAAGGGAGTTTACTTATTTATTATAATTATTTATCTTTGTCGTGTATATATATCCGCTATGCGACGTCATCTCGAAGAAGACCCGATAGATAGGTAGATATTTAGAGCAGGAATAAGAAAAACGCAATCTATGTACAATGAATGCACTCCAACTTCCAGATAGATGATACATACTTCGAGATATCTGCTGCATAGGTACCTAGGGTATATTTGGATAGCCACCCTTCTTTCCCCTTGGATCGTAACCCAGCTAGCCTGTAATAATGTCATGTATGTATGTATGTGCCTCTAGGATTTATTCATTCTTCTCATCCATTATCCATATCTCCTCCGAATTAATCTCACATACCACATACCCTGAATCTATCCATCTATTTAATCACAATTCCAATCCTTCTATGTAATACCCTCTGAGTCTATCTATCTATCTATATATCTATATATCTATCTATCTAATCCGACAACAATCCAAGACAATCTCAATCATTCCCATTTTATATCCCATCAACCTTTTATCTACAGAGTTATTTATGTATGTACAGCGTAAGGTACGTACGAAGTTACCTAACTTAACTTAACTTAACCACCCCGGAAAAAATATTTCACCGGCTTAAACAAAAGATGTCGGGATGAGAACAGACAGGCAAGTAGGTAAGGTAGGTAGGTAAGCGAATATAGCGGATTTGATAATGGTTTTTACTGCATTTTGATAATTTGAGGGAAAGATTGGGAGAGGAGAGGAGGAGGTGATAGAGAAAAAGAGAGAAGAGGAGGGGGGGGGGTATCAACACGTGATATAAAACCCTTCCCCCACCAGCACCAGCACCAAGATCTCAGCGCAAGACCATCTCAAACAAAGACAAACAAAAACAAACAAAAACACCATGAAAGAACCTCGTCTCCCACCAGGATCCTCAGATCCATTAACATACACATGTACCTGTTCCTCACCGAACGGGCTCATCCTACTCTTCTACCGATACTACAACTCCCCGCCTACGCTCACGCCTTCATTCACTCCCGCCGCGCTCGCAGCTTTCCACTCAGACCTCGCAACAAGGTATCAGCTCGCGGGCAAATTTAGGATTGCGAATGAAGGGTTTAATATTACGGTTGGTGGGTCCAGGGAGGGTGTTGGGAAGTATGTGAGGATGTGTATTGCGCATGAGAGTTTTGCTGGGTTGGGATTATCATTATCAGAAGAGCAAGAAGGAGGAGGAGGAGAGGGGGGGGATGTTAAAGAGAAAGGGGGGCAGGAGGAAGAGTGGCAATTCGGCCCCATCGCAAAGAAATTCTTCAAACCGAGTACCGGCTGCAGCTGTGCATTCTCCAACCTAGCGAGCGTCCGCATCGTCGAGGAAATCACGCCCATGGGCGTCAGTGGATATGAACCCAAATGGGGAACCGTGGAACGGCTCTCGCCTGAGAAATTCCACGAGCTGTGCTCGCAGAAGGATGATGATGATGATGATGGGGGGAGGTGCTTGATTGATGTTAGGAATCATTATGAGTCCCGAATTGGATATTTCGTGGATAGAGGGGCGCCGGAGGGGGAGAGGGTGGCTATCAGACCGGGAATTAGGAGGTTTGCGCAATGGCCTAAATACGCGTCGAAATTCCCTGCTCCTCCTCTTTCTCAGTCATCCTCACCAGAAAACTCAAACTCAAACTCAAACTCAAAAGGAAATAATGAAAAAGGGGCAGAAGAAGAAGAAGAAACCAAAAAGCAGAAAAAGAAGAAGAAGATAATAACATACTGCACGGGCGGCATCCGGTGCGAAAAAGGCGCCCACTACCTGGCCGAGCAACTCGGTCCATCCGCCCAGATCTGCACCCTCGAAGGCGGCATCGCGGCCTATCTCCTCTGGCTGCAAGACGAGATCCGGCACGGGCGCAAGACCGCGTCGGATTCGCTCTTCCGCGGCCGCAATTACGTGTTTGATGCGCGGGGCTCGCTGGGTATCGAGGGGCCCGCTGCGCACCATCATCCGGTGGCTAAGTGTCACCTGTGCGATACGCCGGCGGATGCACTGGGGAAGTGCGAGACGCCTGGGTGTCATTTGATACTGGTGGTTTGTGGATCGTGTAAGGAGGGGGGAAATAGATTGGTGTGTTGTGCGGATTGTGGGCAGAGGGGGGAGGGAGCAGAGAAGAGGATTTGTTTGTGTGAGATGAGGAGGGAAACGGAATTGTGGGGTGAGGAGGAGGTTAGGAGGTGGGAGGAGAAGGCGAGGATGAGGAAGAAGAAAGGGGGGAAGGCGGGGGATGGGGGAGGGGAGATTAATATTCGGGTCAAGCGTATTGAGTGAGTGAGTGAGTTTTGATATCACGGTCATGGAAGCCCGGCATTCAGGGGTAGGCGGACTGAGACCACCAAACGCATCGATTAGACTAGATGCTCCTTCACTCATGCATATAAAACCGACCCATAGAAAAATCTAGAGATCTATATATGCAATCCCATTGCACACTCTAACCCACCGGGTGGTATAAGCTCAGATCCAACTCCTGCATATGCAACTCCCAAAATGCACACCCGAACTCCCATCAAGTCTCTCTTCTCATCTCTAGACATAAACCATACTTCATATTATACACCCAGCACCCGCGCCAGGTCCTTCCCCTCTCGGATCATTGCCCCGATCTCCTTGCCGATCGCCTCGTTCGCGACGGGTCCAAGGTTGAAGCCGTCATAGAACAGATACTCGGCTGGCTCCCTGCACACCAGCAGGCCGTTGACATCGACGAGTGGGTCGTCGTCGTCGGGCGCGGCCTCGCGGACGCACGGCTCGGATACGCTCTCGAAGGGGCTCTCGCCGGTCCCGAGGCCAGCGGCGTCGGTCAGTCCGCTCTCTTCGAGCTGGTGCTCAAGGAGGAGGTCGAGGAGGTATTGGGGGAGATCATAGTAGAAAATCTCTTTCTCGACAGCGATCGGCTCTTCCCAGTCCAGATCCTCGCTCGGGTCGGCGACCTCGTCCGCTTCAGCCTGCTCTCCCTCGGCAGTCTGCGCGTCGTCTCCTTCGACTTCGCTCTCTTCCTCCTTGATCCATGTCGTCATCTTGTTCTCTAGTAACAGATTCCAATGGCTAGTTAGATGGACCGCATTCTTCTGTTGTTCGGAGACGCTCGATGGGGCCAGGGGCACCGGTCTCTGAGAGAGCCAGCCCGGGACTAGGGTCGGGTCGAAGAGCTTCGGGATCACGAGGCGGAATGGTGCAGGGCTCGGATTTATACCACCAGTCGCATTTGCGGGAAGACCGCTCGCAGTCAAATTTGCTGCCTGTCGCGCATAGTGGTTGTACAGGATGTTGAGCTGCGTGAAGAGCTCGTTGACCGTCGTCTCTGTCGCGTTCTGACCCAGGGTGTAGCTCAAACCTGCGAAATGATAGATATCCCAGAAACCGAAGGACACTACGAAGATGGTCTCTCGTGGTGATCGCGACTGGGGCAGTGCGATGAACTCCTGGATCTGAGTTGCGAGGTCAGGAAGCAGGTTGGAGACCGGGCTTTCGGGAGGTTGCGCGGAGGAGTTCAGGGACGAGATATAGACCTGGTTGGAGGTTATGGCCCCCGTCGGCGGCGAGGCTGGATAGGATGAGGGGGGCTGCGAGGCGGCGAAATTCAGATGAGATGTGCAGTTGATCTATATCCATAGTCAGTGGTCTCTTGCATTGTAGTACTTGAAGGCGAAAGTTCATACCTCTCCACACAGCACGTCCACCCAGGTTCCCCCCCTTCCGCCCGCGCCCTCATCAAGGCTATCCACCCATGAGTCCCCAAACGTGACTATCCGAAACCTATCCTCGAAATCATCGTCCGAGCCCCAGTTCCACAACCTGCTCGCATATTTGTCGATCGAAGACACCAGAGTGATCTTCTGCAGCTGGGTCGAGACGCGCGAGCTGGGGAGCAGCAGGGTGATGGACAGCAGCGAGAACACCGTTAGACATACCGAGGCTCCAATTCGCGTGTGTAGCCGCATGGCGATGCGCGGGACTGGTGCCAAGGAGAATGAGGCTGGGCGCTGCTGGGGAGGACAGCTGCCAAGGAGACCGGCTATTGGCGACGCCGCAATGGCATGTATCTATCCACCTTGCCGCAACACACTCGATGAGGCTCCTCTCTTCTCTGTTCACAGGAGTCGAAAAGGCTGGCGGGGAGAGAGACAAGAGAATGAGAGACAGATGGCGAGCATGGCATACGAGGGGAGGTAACGAACGTCGGGGCTGTTTGTAAGTTGCAAGTTGCAAGAGGCGTCGTCAGCGGATTCATAGCGGTCAGGGGCATTTCACAGTAGTCAACGGGGTTGTCGCAGGGATTATGGTAAGAGTCGCGTCGGTTACGTAGGTAGGTACGTTGATGTCTGACTGGACGAGATGATCGGTTTGGACCTGCATTTCTGCATCAGAGCGGGATGCTCGATAGTAGATGAATGTACACAGTTCATTTCCGTGGGGATGTTGATGTAGAGTCTGGTATTTTGTATAAGGAGGGACATATGGTGGTGACTCGTGAGGGACAGATGATCGACATGCGAATGGGACCGTGCGTTAAGAGAAAAGGAGGGTGGATCTAGCCTCGCCCCCCCTGACTGTCGAATATAGCAAAAGCTTCGACTCTTGAGACATCAACTCGACAAACACACACACCGAGATTCACTGGTCAATGCATCTGGGAAAAGAGACGGCAAAGCATAAGGATACCCAGAGATTATTTTATCCAATATCCTACACACATTCGAGCCATTCCACAAGGTATATCACGCTTGTACCTATGCTTCTTCATGCTAAAACCACATATGTAACTTATCGACCGAGCAAACGCCTGACCATGCAACGCCGCAATCAGTCCGCCGCCATTTATCTCTTCCTCGACGACAAACCGCCCGTCCTCGGCAGTTTGGAGGGCGGCGCTCCCTGGGCACCATCGTCGCTCTCCTCGTCTTCTCCCTGCGAATCTAGATCGTCGTGGTCCACCTCATTCTCATCAGCGTCGTCATCATCCGTCTCCTCGGCCTCATCATCGATTAAGTCGCCCTCGTCGCTGCTCTCTCCCTCCTCGTCCTCGGATTCTGCGACCATACCATTCCGCATCGGCATGTCTTCCGATATGTCGCTCTCTCCGTCTGAGATATCCTCCAGATCTCCATTCTGGGTAAGTCTTTTCGGCTTAGCAGCCGCCTCCTCGTCACTCTCCTGGCCTTCCACGTAGATCACGCCCTCGTCATCGTCCTCCTCGTCGGATTGCCGCCGTTGGCCTTGCATGCTCCTCCGCAGTTCAATCTGTGCCTCCAGCATGTCCAGCTTCCCCTTGAGGGAGAGAAGACTCTGTAACCCCTTTGCCCGGTCATCAATGACCCTGTTCAGCTCCGCCAGCTTCTTGACCAGATTTCGCTGCGTTGCAAGATATCCACCGTGTGTAACCAAGGTCCATTGGACCCAGACCATCAGACTTCCCGCTCTCCCCGGTCTCCTGTGTAATCGCTCTGCCAATTTCTGTAGTAAGGTGCCTGCGAGAGGCGAGTCAAGACGCTGTATCGTAGCGCGGATCGTGTTGATGTCGGTGATGTGGAGACAGGATTCGAGGAGGGCGACGTCGTTGGTCCTGAGAGCTTGGGACAGAACAGTGCCGAGGGATGCACCGGATGGCGCCTGGATCTGAGCATCGGGGGGGAAAGCGAGAGCCGCGCGAGATGCAGAATCATCAAAGGCGCCGGCCACATCGATGGGCTCGGACACATTCGCCCGGACCATGTCCCCAAAAGACGGCTCCCCAGCTTCCGCTTCGTCGCCATCTTCAGGTATCGGGGAGGCGTCCTCCATGGGGACATCTGGTTTCCCGTCCGCTGACTGGGCCTCCTGTTCCTCAGCCGCATCGCTCTCCGCATCCGACGCGTCTTCCATCTCGTCCTCGGCACCGCTCTCGTCGCTCGAGATATTGACGACATCACGGACACCGTTCAGAGTGGGCTTGGCCGCATAGCCTCCAGAGGATACTACCGCCTTGGAATCGTTGAGGGCGCCGTTGGCCACAGGCTTCGCGCTCTGCTTGACCAGCGGCTGGCCCAGCTTGGCGGGGAGTTTGCGTTTAGTCGACATTGGGAGATAAGGGAGGGGGGTCGGGGGGAGGTGAGGAGGTGAGGAGGGGAAGGAGAGATGGGAAGATGCTGTATTTCGAACCAGTTTTCGGGATGAGGCTGGGGGGGAGAGAAGGGGGGGGGGATTGCGGGTGGGTGGAGTAGAGATTGGTACTGTAACGATGGGTTGCGATATTTTTTTTTTTTTCTTCCTCTCGGTGGTTCCTCAAAGCTACTCCGGGCGGTCAAGGACCAGTACAGTACACCGTAGGGGACTCGGTGACGGAAGAGAATCCAATCACGGGCAGGGAAGGCCGGAAAAACGATTTCGAGGATCCGACGTCACGGGGAAGCGCGTGATTGGCTGGGCAGGGCCAAGGGGGAAAAGGGAAAAGGCGAAAAGGCAAAAAGTGCATTATTGGGCCGTAACACATGAGGATCTGTCAGTACAGGACGCGGTACACGCTGCCCGCGACACGGTCCACCGTAGGCCTACCTCCTTAGACCCAGACCGCTAGACCCGAACGAGCACGCTTTCCCTGCTTAACGGGGCGCAGTCATCGAAAGGCGGGCGTGTGATTGGACGCGGAGGGGCCACTGCAGGACGCCTTCCTCTGAGTGGCCTAGCGGCACACCGGCGGGAGGCCTGGCAGCTCTGGGTCGACTCGGCTGGCGGGCGATAAATATTATCACGCACGCACAAGACACTTTCTCTTCTCACAATTCTTCTTTTTCTCCCTCCCCCTTCCCTTTTGCCCCTTCCCCCGTCCTTTCCCCCTTTGCCGAAGTGCTGCCTTCCTCTCCGGGCTTCCCCCCCTCTTCGCCTCTTCGCTGGCCACACCACTCCACGCTGCTCTCTCCTCGACGCCTGATCATTGAGGCAGTCATTATCTCTCTGTCAATCCATCCCTCAGGCATCAACAACTCATCCATCCATCCATCTTATTTCTGGCTTCACCTTCACCCGTCGCCTGCTACTCTACTCCTTTGTCTGAAGGACAACAAAAACAAAAACAAAAAAAAGAAGAGAAGAAAGAGAAACAGGCGCGCGCTTCTTTCTTGTTTATCTATTTCTACTTTTTTTTATTTATCGCCGCCCCCGCGCCCTCTTCCTTCCAAGGCATCGGCATTCAGTTGCTTGTGTGCCCCTCGCCATCGCGATCCGCCCGACACACGCGATCCGGTTCATCTTTCGCCTTCTCGTTGATCTCCTCGACGCGCGCATTGCTGTGCTATCGTCCAGTCAACGAAGAGGAAAGAGAGAGAGAGAAAGCGAGAGAGAGAAAGAGAAAAAAAGAGAGAAAAGAAACAAGAACAGGAGAAACATTATTCCAGGAAACGCGCGACACGTCCAAAAAACCAAAAAAACAGCACGCGATCAGCTCTCCCCGCCACCGTCGCCACGCGATCACGGGTTTTGTTGTTCCCTCGACGCGCCTCTCGACAAATCAGTCAATCGTCACTCCTTTTGCCGATTACCCGCGAGGCTGGAGGGTACAAAAGAAAAAGAGCCCCGGATCCAGCCCCTCGCCTCGCATCGCATCGCATCTCGCATCTCGCATATCGCAAGGCTGAACTCCAACCTTCTCCTCCCCTCGTCTCTTCTTCCCTCTTGACACTTCTTCTTCCTCCCCCCTCCTCCCCTCCCCCACAACACAACATCAAAACATAACATCAACACAACACAACCACCACCCTCATCTCACTCATACTACTCTGTCCTCTCCCTCTTCTCCAGCGCCCACCCTGATATCTCAATCGCATCTCCGCGTCTCTCTTCTTTCTCCTCTCTCTTCTCTCTGCCAACCCCAACCGCCTCTCGTCGTCGGTCGAGGCCTTCATCCATCCTCGTGCCTCCGTCGCGCCCGGCGTCGCCTCTTGGGGAAGAGGTCTCGTCGCCTTGTTGATGGCCGTCATGACCACCCAACTCTCTGAAGGGGTCGCACTGGAGCAAAAGACCATGCCCGTTCCATCATCAGATACGATGGCTTTGGATTTAGACATCAACGGGTGAGTCTACCTCGCGTCCCTTTACTCTCTTCCGTCGTCTTTCCCTTCCTTCCTTCCTTCCTGCTAGTCTATGTATATTAAATAAACCTGTGCAGAAACTCAAATCACGATGAGACCAAACTTGACTCCGCGCCCGCTTCTGCTGATGTTCTCGCTCTAAACAAACCCCTCGACGTGCCGCCGGCGAGTCCCGTCGGAGTGAATGGTGCCGCAGACGCAAACACCCACTCCTACTCTTCCAATCAATCCATAGACATGTCCTCCGCTGATCTGACCTTCGAGTCGCAGCCGACAGACGATTCCTCTAGACCGGCTGAAAACCCATCTTCGCCGTCCCAACTCCTAGAGATCACCACCGCGACCACTGACCTCGCGCTGGCGGCTGACGATTCGCCTGCCGATCGACCTCCTCCCTCTTCTTCTGTCTTTGACTCTGCCATCGACACGGCCGTCGAGGACAGCGCCGCGTCGTCGACCGTGCCCCCGGTTGTCGAGGCTCCCCCCTCCGATATTAGAGATACCGCGCCGCCGCCTGCCACCGCGCAAGAAGCTCCCGCACAACAAGCACAGCCAGAGCAAGATCCCGCGAGTTCCAATCCTGCGACCGACCGCGAACCCCCGAAAGCGACAGAGACGGGAGACAAGGCTGCGAGCGATCTCACTCTTGCCACCGCCACCTCCGCGACCGATCTTCCTCAACCTTCGAACCACGATCAACACCCTCCCAAATCACCTACAGACACAAAGATGCAATCAGGAGCAGAGCAGGACCCACCGGCCGCGTCTGCGACGCAGCCCCGCGATACCGTGATGGCCGACGCGCCGCCCGCACCGACCAAGGTCGCGCGCGAGCGTGAGGAGGATCATGTTGTTGAACCATCGGCCAAGCGCGCCAAGACAGAGGACGGCGAAGGCGCGTCACCTAGTTTCTCCGCTCCCGATGCCCAACCTGCGACCCAGAACGGGGAGTCGGCGGCTTCCAAGTCGGATGACGGACCTATCACCCCGTACCAGGCCAAAGAGATCGTCAAGATCATCAAGAACTCGCTGCGGACAATGGGTGGCAAGAACTTTAGATTGCCAGTGGCGGTTCTGTGGCCTGGTTTCGCCGAAGCCTATCTCGCAAGGATCCCAAACCCCATCGATCTGAGCACCATCGAATCCAAGGTGAAGGAGAACAAGTACTCTTCCATCGCGGATTTCAAAGCCGACATCCACCTCCTACACGACAATGCGCTCGCCTTCAACGGCGAAGGCCATACGATATCGAAAGCAGCCGTTGACGTCCGAGACTCGATCCTAGCCAAGGTTGATGCTCTCCCTACTGAGCCGCCTACGGCCCCCGTGAAGGCGCCTAAGAAGGCAGCAAAGAGATCGACTCCCGCCGGCGACTCGGTCCCGCGCGGCTCGCAAGCTCGAAGACCCTCCCGATCGGCGGGCACAGGTCCCGCCGCAGCTCCGGCTCAGACCTTCGCGCTCGACCCCGCGACGAGTACACCCTTGATCCGTCGAGACTCGACCAAGAACGAGGGCGGCCGACCAAAGCGCGAGATCCACCCCCCGAAGAACAAGGATCTTCCCTACTCCTCCGTGAGACCAAAACCCAGAAAGACGGCGACCGAGCTCAGATTCTGCGAGGAGGTCCTGAACGAGCTGAAGAAGCCCAAGCATGCTCTGTTTGCTGCCGCCTTCTATGATCCAGTCGACCCGGTCGCGCTGAACATCCCCAACTACTTCACGATCATCAAGAACCCTATGGACCTCTCAACCGTGGGCAAGAAGCTCCAGAGTGGCGCGTATCAGAAGGCCAAGGAGTTCGAGGCCGACATCAGATTGATACTCTCGAATTGCTACAAGTTCAACCCCCCGGGGAACCCGGTGCGCGAGATGGGCAAGCAGATGGAGTCATTGTTCAATGAGAAGTGGTCGCACAAGGACCAGTGGATCGCTGAACATGCCCCGGTCGCCCTCAGCCCATCCAGCTCTGCGGGCAGCGATGAGGAGGAGAGTGAGGATGATGGTGAACCCGAACAGCCCGCCCATTCGAATGCCTCGACGGCGCTGTCTGCGCGACTGATTGAAGAGCAGACAAAGCTCATCGCTCTGATCCAAGCCAAGAAGCCGGACCCAGCTCTGATCCAGATGCAGGAGGAGATGGTAGCCATAGTCCAGAGTAAGATTGAGCAGGATAATGCCAAGAACGCTCTGTCCGCAAAGAAGGCTTCTAAGAAGCTCAAGCCCCCCAAGGCAGCGAAGAAGCCTGTTTCTGCGAAGCGATCGACCGCATCCGCCCCCTCCAAGAAGTCTTCCAATAGCCGCCCGAGATACCTGGGTACCTTGGAGAAGGAGACCATCTCGGCCGGACTCGCTTCACTGCCTGATGACGTCTCAGCCTCTGTCCTCGCCATGATCAAGGCCGACAAGCCAGACGTAGATGTAAGTGTCTTTGCCCTGAAGTCAACGTATATCGCATGTACTAATGACCTATCCAGACTGCTGATGACGGAACCCTGGAGCTGGACATTGATGTAATCAGTGCTCCAACCCTCTGGAAGATCCACGCTCTCATCCTGCAGTATGCTCCGGAGGTCGAGGATGAGATCAAGAAGCAGATGCAGGAAAAGGAAGCACCCCGCAGCCTGGCCAAGCCGGCCCCCAAGAAGAAGAACAAGCCGATGAGCAAGACCGAGCAGGAGCGCAAGATCGAGCAACTCCGAAACTCCGTCCAGGAATTTGAGAGACAAGGTTCTGGCTCAATGGAACCTGTCATACCCAGTAAGTTGACTCCGATGGGCAAGATGGAGTTCAGCGGCTTATTCTTAGATCGCGCAGCCGTCGAACAACCAGAATCTAGCGGCGATGAAGATTCCGACGATTCCGAGGAGGAATGAGCTCGATCGTTCAACGCTTCTTGGACATTGGACTAGTACCTCTCACGATTTGCGAACCCCAGAATACTTTTGATTGTACCATACCCTCTGCCCCTGATCATGAACAACACTACACTGTACATTACATACTCCTTGCATCCTCGATCCCCCTCCCCTCCCCTCGACGCCAGCGGCCTCCTCCGGATGGGGTAGTGCATGGCTTTTCGCGATGGACTTTACTGGCGTCACGTGTTGATGCTAGGCTGGAAGTTAGACCTTTGGTGTGAACACCACACATTTTACGTCTATGGCGCGGAGGATGGCCGGGATGAGAAGACCTGGGGATGAGAAGCTCACGCGCGACTGCAATGTGTAAAATAGAGCTGATAATTGCTGCCGTCCTGCGTAGAAATCAGCCGGGGAGAGCGGATCTTCTCTGAGAAGGGATGCTCACGGCGTGCGGTTTGCAGCGGCATGAACGAAAGTAAAATAATAATATGAACCCATGTGCAAGTACATTACGAGTTGTCTCCTCCTTGTTGCGCGCTGTCGTGTCATGTCATGTCTTCGTAGGTAGGTGAAGCTATTCGTGTCTACACACAGTAACATGCTTAAGTCTAGAGTCCAGAGTCAAGAGTTCCTCTCCCTGCCTCATGACTAGGTAAGTACCTAGACAAGGAATAACAAATACCTTACCTACCTTACCTACCTTACCTACCTTACCTACCTTACCTACCTTACCTGCCTAAAGCATCTAAGAAATCCCAAACCAAGAGACACAATAGTTCATTATTAGATATCACAGGTAAAGAAAAAAGGATATCAATCAATCAATCATAGGCGACAAGCTTTTTTCTGATTTCTTTCTTTGATTGATTGATTGATTGATTGTTGGTTCTTTTACATAAAAGGGCCTGGTGTGGTGTGGTGTAATATTATCTGTCTATCTATCTACCTAAGGTACACATTTGACTCCTGTAACTAAGGTACCTACTATATCATACCATGTATTGCATTGCGCTGAGGAAAAGATAAAATTAATTCTTGTCTTCCTGTTTTTCATTTCATTTTTATTTTCTTCTTGTTACCTTTCATGTATTCCTCGACTCGACTCGACTCAACTCGACTCGACGCGAGGGGTTTTGAAAGGTCTTGATTGTAATATATTCTACCCGTATGCATAACTCCCCCTCCCCCTAAATTCCAAGGGAAAATCTCGCAGTGGAAAGCACGAGGAGAACGAACCAGCCCGCTCATCGCTTCCCCTCTACATAAGCATAGCTGCTACTTCTCTCATGCCCTGGTTTGATATTCGCCTCCACGCTCCGCCGACCCACCGTGCCCAGCTTCTCGTCATCGACGAGCCCGCCCGCGCCCCATGCGAACACGTCCGGCGGTACGGAACTCAGCGGTGCTGAGCTCTCGGGGCCGCCGAAGCGAGGGAATGCTGGCTTGGTTTTGCGGTTCGGCGTCGGTGGCCGCATGGGCATGGGCGTTGGGTTGTCGCCGGCGTAGCCCATGGGGCCGCCTTCGCCGCGGGTCTTGTCGCGGCTTCTCATAGCGATGAGGGTGCGGATCAGGCCGATGAGGACCACGAGAAGCCAGACACCGACGATACAGGCGGAGATGATGGCTTCGGTGTTGATGGCGCTCTGCAACTTGTTGGTGACTTTGAGGACGGCGTTGGTGATGTCGTTGCTGGCGACGTCTCCAGGGGAGCTGAGAAAGGAGTCGGTCGTGGAGGAGTTGGTGAGGCTGGCTGCAGCACCCAGAGAGAAGACGTCGGGGCGGAACTCGGGGATCGTGACGTGAGCGTTGTTCGTAACCCACGTGAGACCCTTTTCGATCCCGGCAATCTTCAAACCGATGAGGCAGTTGAGCACTTCGGTGATGGGGTCGTAGAGGATGGTGCCTCCGAAGGTCTCATTCAGCGCCAAGGTCATCTGGTCAGTGAAGGTGTTCAATGTGTTGTTCGCTGCCACGCTCGCATTGACCGCCCAGCTGAAGACATCATGATTGATCTTAGTATTGGTGCTGTTGAGGACGTCGTTTGCTGATTTGGCCCAGGATTCAGAGGCGTTGTTCAGTGCTGAGACGACCGTGTTCGCGAAGTCTCCCACCTCATCTGCAAGGACGGGTACCTCTTTTTCTATGGCCTTGAGGACGATATACTGGCAGAGACAGGTGAAGAGACCGGCCAGGCCAAGAGCAAGGACGAACAGCGCAGGGAGCGTGGTTATATATGCAATAAACCAGCGGACATGGATCTGACGCTTGGTGCTCTTGAACCGAGACGCCAGTTTGATTCCAGCTGTGCTTGTATATGGTCGCGAGGCGATGTAGATCACATCCATGGGGTCGAAAGCTTGCTTCTGTAATAAGATTGATCGCTGCCGCATTGTTCGCCAGTGCCATATCTCTCGGTAGGCCATCGGTACACAGGCCAATACAGCCGCCAGCGTAAGCACGATGATGAATATCTTCCGAGCGGTAAAAACAACTTTGACGAGCCCCTCAAAGAAATCGTCGATTGCGGTGCTGTTGGAGCAGAAGGTAAGAGCCTGCTTCGGGGCAACAGGGAAAACGCTCTTATCGAAGGTATAACCTGCCATGGATGAGTTGATGGCGTCCTTCACGAGCCCAAAAGGATAACTAATAGCCTTATTCGTGAAATTCTGGACCTGAGGAAACGTGGGAAGGGACGCGTTGAGCCTGGTCAGATCGGCATCCATGGTTGTAGGATCGATTTGGATGCTATTCAGCGCCGCAATCTGTGACGAGAGGTTTACGGTAGGAGGGGATTTGGAACCCCCAAAGAGACCGCCAATATTCAGATCACTCAGAAAGCTGTTCAGGCCGTTTTGGAAGGTCGTGAGATCGCTTGAGATATCGCCCGTGATGCTGTTGATGGACTTGTTCATGAAGGCACCAACCTCCTCAATCATCTGGATCGCGACGTGTAAGCTGCCTGTGACAGCCAGGGTAATTAGACAGACGTAAGTCGAGGTCATCATATTGATGACGAATAAAATAATGCTCTCCACGCCGGTGATGGTGAGCATTAGCATATCCATCAGCCCGTTGATGGCTTTGGTGACCCCATCGGCAGCGAGTGCATTAACACCATCTGAGAGGTAATGTGGCATGGATGCCATCGCGCTGCCAACATTCTCAACACTCGTACATGCCGATAATGCTTCTTGTTTTGCGTTGGCTAGGTCGTAGTTGAGATCTGTGGTTGCGAGGAGGAGACGGCATATGATGAGGACCAGCAAGATCGTCCAACGGTTGATCCATACTTGTGAGAGTCGTGCTCGGAGACCGAGATATGGAGTGTGGTAAGGTACTGTATTAGGGGGGACGCTGTGATCTGCATAGTAGTCCCGCAGCTCGTGATCGTAAGTGTTGAGGGATGATGGTATGGCTGGGAAGTCTTGAGTCGGTTGCCTCCTTGCGGAAGACATCTCTGTGTGTGAAGCTAGGAAATGTCTAAGCCCATCCAGTGGAGACATCCTGGTTATGTGTACGCTATCTGATTTGGAGTTGCTGTCTGAAGAAGATCGAGTGTGCTATGATAAGGAGGGGAGGAGGGATGAGGTTGTATTATTTGTATGACTGTATTAAGAGGAAGTTGAAAAGTGGATGAGTAATAATAAGATCAGAAACGAAACGTGTGAATAATAGACATGTAGTATTGTACTTATAATGAGTGGAGGAGAGGGTCGTGGTATTATTGTTAAAGACAATAGAACGCAAGCAAGTGAATAGGCGGGTCAGAGGGAGAAGACTCGAGAAAACGAAATCGACGTACATTTAAAATGCGACTTGGAGACCCGACCAAGGCCAAAGAATCGAAACAGCACTCGAAAGATGCGAAACAGAGAGAAATCTTTGTTTCCGATTCAAGAGGTTATTTTTGGCGTTGACTCGATTCCTTTGTCATGGTCATCGCGACTCCAAAAATAAGCGCTTTGATGAACGGGCGCCTCGCGACCAGTCGATTCTTTGTTTGCCGACTTGACTGAAATCCGAAGAATCCTGGGGTAAAGTGGTTCGCCTCACCAGCAATCCAGAGTCCTGGGACTGGTAGGTAGTCACTGCACCTTAGGACTTGCGGTGGATCTCATTTTTATAATGCTGAGGATCTGCCGATGAAGGTTCCTCGGGTGAGAGGTGAACCTGTCATATCGAGGCTCAAGGGGATGCCGGGCAGCGCGATCCTTTGATGGTGCCCATCCCTCGAAACAGTTCGCCTCTGGCGATGGCTATGCATCTTTTATGTCCAATTAAAAAAGGAACGTCACAATCTAGTGATCCAAGCCAAAAAAGTTTCTATGTAATTCACAACGCGGTCCACGCCCATGGCAACTTCATGGCAACTTCATGAGTGTCCGACGGGTGGCTGTGTCATCTGACCATGGATATATATCAGAAGTATTCCACTCTGACGGCACTGGCTGTCAATGGAGGTGGAGAGTACTTTCTAACAGTGGTGAAGTACTTGGAGATCATGGAACTCAGAAGAGTCAGTCGTCGTCAAACCAAGGTTCCACGCCGCCGAGTGGCATCCGCTCGGCTAGATCACGAGAATCAGGGGCCGCCGTGGCAGGCTTACTTTACCTACCTTATGCATCGAATCCCACCGGCCTTACAAGATCTTCAGCAACCACTATCTGATATTCAGAATCGAGGACATTTAGCTGATCAGAGGGGCGCAGGTCACATGCATCTTCAGAAAGTCTTTGCTATTGGCTATCAGCGTTTCTGTTCTCGAAACGAGGCCTGCTTGTCCCTTAACTATTGGCCCTGGCAGCTTCAGCCCATATTACGCCTGGAGCACCGCGTTTAGACACGAAACAGCGCGGTTGTCCAGACACTGTAACCGCTGTCAAATGAACGTGAGAAGATGACAGTGCCAGATTGGGATTCAATGATCATGCGTCATCAAGTGGATTCCTATCCTGCCATAGTAGTAGTACAAGAGCATCTCAAATCCTCAGGCCTCTCCGATGAGCGCCTTCACATCGCCTACCACTGTCCTCGCCATCTTCTTCAAGAAGACCCTCTCATCCGCCTCTCGATACCTGTCCCAACTATCTAATCCTTCTTTGGCCTGGATACTCAACGTTTCATAGCCTTGTTTGATAACTCCCGCAACCTGCGCACTGGTCAAATACTTCCCACTCCTACCAGTCGACCCATCAGAAAGTAGCTGTTTGTAATGTGTGCTGACGCTAATCAAGGTGTCTATAGAATTTGTCGGCCTTTTCTCTAGGTCGTAATTGTCACGGAACTTCACTAATACTTCGCCTGTCTCTACAAGCTTGTAGAACAAGTCGTCATACGCTGCCGGATTTGGGAGGAATGCCTCACCGGCCGATAATGAGAGAGCAATCAGATTGACCAAGCTATCGAGTAGAATTTCAATGCGAGGAAGGTGCTTGAGGTCGGCCGTGTAGCTAGTAAGGAAGCGGACAAGAGAAAGGAGAGACCGGAATAGCTCTGACCAGTGATAGGCGAGCCGCGTGCGCGATCGAGAGAGGTGTGAGATAAGGCGGAGGATGATTCCCACACTAAGGATGTACAGGTCCACATCAAGCCGCCGCCTTAAGTTGTGGTTGATTCCGTCAATCATCGTGTCCAATATGCTAACCACCAACATTCTGTCGCCCTTAACTAAGGGTAGGTATGGCTGCCTCTGTCGACATAATCGGACAGGCATTTTACTCTCGGCACTGCACATCCGTTTGCATAGGACTTGGTCTTCTATCAGGAGTCGTAAAATAAGGAGGTTGAGATGGGAGTAGAGGGCTGTGCGCGTAGATGCATGTGCATGTTGAAATACATATGAGGTGAGTGATAGAAAGCTGCCAATAGGGGCTTCCATGCCCTTCTCAGCTGGCAAGGAGACGAAATTGAAGCAGAACAGCTTATTGGCAAGCGCGAAGTCATAAGTTGCAAGAAGTACAGCTGCTTCATGGCTAGGTCTGCTCCGGCATTAGTTTGAATGACAGTAAAGGATGTAAACACATACAATTTCGCAAACATTTCCTTTGCAACCTCTGGATCAAATGCCGGACTGGCAGACTTCGGACCAAGTCCTATTATGCTCAAGGTATTGGAGATTGACCATCCTTCAGGAAGATCGTCCTGGACCGCGACATATTTTGCACGTGCATCTGCACAAGTGGTCCCTACAGATCTTATTATCTTCTGTATAGATCCCTCATTCACGAAGTCGTCAAGTCGTAACCGATATGGGTTTTGAAATTCGAATTTGTTGTAATTTGCTAAAAGACCAAGAAGGGTAAAGGGTTCGAATGCGCGGGAAGTGGTATCAGAATCTTGTATGAACTACTCCGGTCAGCGTAGTCTCTCTCTAAGAGATAGGATGCTTGCCTTCATAAGTGAAGGAAAAAGATCGCGGTGCGTGAAATATGAAAGGAGACTCGTTTGATATGCGCCCGAAACCACTGACAATGCAGCTTGGATTGCCTTTTGACGTATGTCCACTATATCCCTATCAGCTTGTCCTGCATCTTGCCTACCAAGACACCTACAATCTCTTCCTGTTCGTATTGTAACGTCCAGCGCGGCAACGAATTCAGTGAAGATGGCATCTATGTGATCCAATCCGGCCAAGACATTGATTATATCAGAGCTAGGGTTCGTATATTTCTTCGGGAGGATCGAGGCAAAGAAAGTCGTGCCAGTCTTATTCTATCAGCCTCATATCGTATCGCAGGAATCGCAATCTTACATCAAGAGCATGCGCATCTGCTGGAGCACTTCCTGCTTTGATGCATGCTACTGCCCTAGAGAAAAGTTGTCGCGTTTGTACCTGTACTCGAATCAAATCGGGCTTCCCCACAACTCTTTTCTGTAGCCTCGTACCTGAAGTTGCAACAGATCGTCCGGGCTTAAGTCGAGCAAGATGCGGTTCAATGTCGCTCGGTCTGGTTTCAACAGGAAGAACTCCCTCCAGAAGCCCTCGGATTTCTCGCGATCATCATCACTCTGTTGAGCAATCAGCGACATACTCTCTTATCGCCAACAGGACACTATCCCCACCTTGAACAGAGATTGATAGAGCTCAACGATCTTTTGCTGGAACACCTCGGGCCGAGCTTGCTGAGTGAGAGGAGATGGGTCCATTCTTCATGGCAGCAGAGACTCCGGGGATATTCTCATGTAGATCAGGGAAATGCGGGAGACCTAGTTGTGGAAAGTAAATGCAATAATCTGTCTCTTCTTGACTCAATTCCCTTGGACGCCTCAGCTTCGTGTTCTTTACCTTTCAACTCGTGATTCACGCGACGAGGGAAGGTTTTGCCGGGCCGCATCGCCGATCAGGTTAGCGTAACCGAGCACATTTGCGTCACATCCGTCACACCTCAGTCGGATGCATTTCTGGAGTCAAAAGACCAGTTCCTGTAGGTCGTGATTCAAACCTCACATCTACTCAAACATTCTGTCAATTTGATCCAGCGCCCCAATCTTCCCTTTGACGAGTTCCTAGAGCCTCCAGCAGACCGACGGTTCCTTTCTTCCATCGCCAGAAAGCTGACAAAAGGATCTGCTTTGATTGGACGAGTGCCGACCGGTTCCCGAGCAGTCAGCTAACTGCTACTGTACAAATCGACTGATTATTCATACTGAGCGAGCTACTTCTGATCTTCTATCGATTTATAACCACCATCTTCCCCTCCCCACGTTCAACACATGATAGTTGATACCCTCTTCAAAACATCACTTCGATGACCTACATTATGTCTGCACAACGGGCTTTTGTGCCCCTAAAATCCTCGTCAAGCATCGTCTCCAGATTCGCCTCCTCGTCGGCAACACCCTCATTACGACCCTGCCAACATGCCGTCCGATCATTCTCTTCTACTCAGTTCTCACACATGTCAACGAAACGCAAGATGCAAACTAGCACTGCATACCACCCACACTCCTTAGACACCCCGCCTCCGCCGCCCCGAAATGTCGGCATACCAGACACATCCATTGCCGGCGGAATCCCGCAAGTCAACGAGACAAGGCCGCCGGCACAAACTGGTCAATCTGAATTCGATTTCAGCAGACGGACAGAGGACAAGCCAACAATAAGCGTCACTGAACAAGAGGCGCAAACGTCAAAACCCACGCCAGCACCTGCGGCACAACCCCGAGCCAAGCCGAGGCCTAAGTTACGGGCACGGAAGGCTGCGATGCACCTTACACCTACTGCTGTCAATCAGATTCGGAATCTGCTGAACCAACCTGAGCCAAAACTCATCAAGGTTGGAGTTCGGAACCGCGGATGCAGTGGGTTGGCATACCACCTAGAATACGTGGAGAAGCCTGGGAAGTTCGACGAGGAGGTGGAGCAGGATGGCGTCAAGGTGCTCATTGATAGCAAAGCGTTATTCAGCATCATTGGCAGTGAAATGGACTGGGAAGAAGATAAACTAAACCAAAGATTTGTGTTTAGAAACCCCAACATAAGTATGTCCGTCCTTTCAGTTCTGGGGAGTCCTTGCTAACGGTATCTGCAGAGGAGCAATGCGGCTGTGGCGAATCCTTCATGGTTTGAATCGACTGGCATGAATCGACGACTGTTATCTTTAGTGGGCGTTATAATACTGGCATTGGGACGGCGTTGGATACCAGCATCAGCTTCGCATTAGAGCTGAATAGATTGTTGTATATTGAGTGCATAGCCAATAGCGAAAGAGGCCGCATCATGGCAACTACAGTCCAGACTACTCAAATGTAAAATACCATTCTGAGCTGGAAGTGCGAATATCTGGATTGCGTGAAAGATAACGAGCAACCGTTGATGACGCTCATGACTACCTGTCCAAGATCAAAACTAATATTCTCCCGGTGTATAATCCACAACCCTGACATTCTGAATGATCGGTCCTAAGCTCTTGACAAACTCCAAATGAACGGGATCCTCCTCCAGATAATACCTCCTATCCTCCTCATTCGCGAAATGGGAGACGAAGCCGTGGGAGAAGCCGCCCTGGACACACGCACATGCCAGTCAGTAACCATATTACCATCAAGCCAAAACAAGCATAGAAGCGGGCTGGGAATTCAACAACTTGATGTCCCTCGGGGGAATGGTCGCGGCCGCCGCTGGCCTCGAGAATGTACGGCTTCTTCGACGTCGGGTGGATGCAGTTCTCGCGCAGGGCTAGCATGCGTCTGCAGACCTATTTTTTGTTGGGCGCTTGTGTCAGCTTTTCCTCTACAGTGTGTATGAATGGATGAACATAGGTATTGTCGTCTCTCTCTCTCCTGGGGAGTATTCTGAGGAGAGTGAGGGGTATGGTGTGTTGAGGGACCCCGCAGTGTCACCCCGCGCCAAGATAGACTTCGGAGCGAAACTCACATCTCGAATGACCTCATTATCAACAGAGGGTTTGAATTCAAAAAGGACGATGTGGACGATAGTCATGATTTCGGATTCTAGGGAGAGGAGAGGGGGAGAGGTAGGTAGGTAGGTATATTAGGAAATGTACTGTAGTTCTTAGTTCTTATCTGAGGGGCCTACTGTAATCAACCTAATCCGGAGTGCGGGATGGAGTTGATTACTCATGCTGGGAATATCCATACCAACGTGACGTTTGTACGTATTTAAGGTAAGGTACCCTGATGTACCTAGGTAGGTAAATCTAAGACAAGGGCCTTACCCAAGGTATCTTAGATTCCGAGTGCCTACAGTATAAAGACATTTGTAGACCTACCTGGGTAAGGTAAACGCAGGTACTGGCCCGCCTTACATCTACTGTGGAACTCCTTCTGGATGACTCCAGAAGTTCAATTCCAGATGATAAATTTCCGAAACTGATAAAGGTTAATAAATCAAACACGATATTTCTTGCAGCCGTGGATCGTTGTATGTGACTACATCATTATCAGGTTGTAATTCGTTGGGTTTCCTAGTGCGTCTCCCCCTAATGGTCGGCGACTGTCAGATTGTTGTTCTTTCTCAACCAAATGGTAAAGAGACCTTTGAAATGTTTCCTTATAGTGTAGTAAATATAATATAAAGGACTAATTCTAGAAGCATGCTTTGATAAATCAGAAAATTTCAAGAGTCCATATAGGACTACCTATATTTTGATTACAGGCCTTCTAGTAAGTGAACATACCATCATATCCGAAGGAGATAACCACCACATTACAGCTTCTTTTGACCTCCTATTACCCAACTAGTTTCAGTCATGGACCCCATGAACCGTGTGTCCTACCCTCGGCAATTTTCCTCCGATGGTTGACTTCAGGCTGTTTCAGATTCGCAACAGATAGTTTCTGCAAGCCTGAGATCGCAACCCCTAAAACCTGCGCTTACCGTTTTCCTACTCTTACTAACATCTAGGAGGATGCCGGTGGGCTTGATGAACAAGCTGAGATGGCTCCAAAATATTCCCCATGTGCGGTCACACCACCGGCAGCAATGTCAGCGAGTACCCCCAATCCGGTTTTTGCTCCCTCGTTGCCACCAGTTTCAAAAAGCCTTCCCTCCACAACCTTGATATTGGCGGGAGTGACCGTTCCGTTTCCTATGTCGATCCAGAACTCAGGATAGTAGTGATCCCAGTCACCCGGCTCATGCTCTGGAAGCTGTGGTACGATATCGTTGTAGTGGGTAACTCGATAGTTCATTCCTTGAGAAGGGGCTTGATTCTGGATGTAGTTGGAGATGTCTACCTCGCCGAGTTTAGGCTGTCCAAATGTATACTGAAATCTGTTAGTAAAGGTCTATAGCACCGGCACCGAGACACCGACCATATCAACAACAATCCCATTGTTTCTCAGCAGTGTGCCCAATAATGCAGATACGGCCGCTCCAAGGCTGTGTCCAGTAGTGATTACTTTGTAATCAGGATACTCTTGCAACGCTGCTTGCACAGCGGGGAGGACAACAGTTGCAGCATCTTGCATGGCATTGTGAAATCCGTCGTGGACCAGGCAGCCGTCGGTTGTATTGGCGTCGCCACAAAGGTCAGTCTTGGACCGGATTATATCGACATCGGTCAGGACATTTACAGGGTTCGTCGAAACTTGTGTGCCCTGTATAGCACAAACGATGAGCGAATTCGTGGGATCTACTGCGACATAGCCGAGAGTCTTGGTGCTACCAGCTCTAAGATAAAATCAGCACTGCTTCCTCTTCAAAGGAAAGACTGATTAATCTCACTGAAAAGCATTTAGAACCGAGGCATTAGCACTCTCGACGAGCGGGCAATTTCCACCTCCAGATGAGCAACTGATGGTGCCATTCTTGTGAACGCTATCGAAACAATACGCAGCACCAGAATATTGAGCAAATAACTCGAATGTAGCCAGTTCACTTGCCGATACTGCCACGAATCAGAATAGCAATTAAATAAGAGATACGGAGGAGTGGACCTGTGTTATCACGCTGCACAAGCGGAGCAGCATGTATTCCTACTGAGTACAGAGCTGCGACATGAAGTAACAAGGACCACATTTCTTGATTCGGCGTTCAGAAACGAGCGGATCTCTTTGGGGGACGACTTAGGGAAAGCGGCCTGGGGAGAATGGCCCGCAGAGGGGCTGGAAATGCAAGAGAGGTGCAATGGAAATTGAACTCAACTCGAAGAAATAGTTCCAGACTTTATACTTCAAATTCCGAACCCCCCAGGACCCATTAATTAAGCTTTACGGGGACAACCACATCCGCGATCTTAGAGGAGATGCACTTGCATCCTCTAGGGAGGTATGGGCGCATGCAGGAGACGGACACGAGCAGCATTGCAGCTGTGCCGTGCCATCCCGGTGTTCACCGGCGCAGCATTTGGTTAACCTTTCGGCGCTTTTGATACCTCACGCTTTTGGCGTTTGACCCACGTGGCACGGTTAATCGAGACTCGAGGAAGGTAATCGGACTTCCCGACTACTAAAATTGTGACAAAAGAAATATTGAGGAAGCATTCTAGTCATGCTGTACAGAGTGGTAGAGTGAGTCCAGGGAAAGGTATTGGATGGATGAAGGCTGTAATGAATATATCTTCTCCTATTACCAAGGACCCTTTGTTCACTCGAGAAGAGAGGCCGTCGAAGGAATACGATTCCCGGGAGTTATCCTTGCTTGTCGTCTCGGCATCGGTTTGGGAATGGAGACAGATACGCGAGTCGAGTGGAGGCGGAGCGTGTATACGGTAGTCAGGTAGCTAGGCACTGTGCGTAGGAAAACTGTTTCGTCCCAATACGGCAGTTGGCGTTGCGGGATCTGCACTTGGGTGATGGAGCGCATGGCCCTAGAGGGTATGGACTATGTAAGTTTGTCCCTGAGTCGTGTTCCTGGGAATGTTCCTGAATGCTGAGTGATGTTGGTGTTCCTGGGTATTTTCCCCAAGGTTAAGGTACCCTAAGTCCCTTGATTCTCCGTTGGGGTCAACTTTATTTCCCCGGCCCCACCCGGGGCTTATATCACGTGATAGTACCCCCATCTTAAGGGGCGGCGCATGTACCGTCTCCCCGTATGCAACTTTACTCCTTACAACCCTGACCAACTCTAAGGCGGCCAGTTCCATCATGCGCCAAGCTTCTTGATCCTCCTGATGTCAAACGATAGAAGCACACCAAGAACAAGCTTCCTGCGAATCCCTTCGTTCGACGAGCCTTGTCTCAAGTGCTGGAAATGTCTGAGCATACTCCCGCTACTCCCACTACTCCCATAACTGCCAAGACGTTCAAACGCAGTTACAAGAAGTCTACAAAAGGCTGTAAGAATTGCAAGCTTCGCAAGATTAAGGTAAGTGTCTTTACTTGTTTAACCCCTCTTACATAGTTCAAAAGGCAGAGAAATCCCGCCCTATATACCTACCGCCTTTCTCAAAATGACCGTTTGTTTGATGGCCAGAAAGATTTGAGAGGTGGATAGGATTTCTTTCATCATAGCCTTTGCTGATGTAAATAGTGTGATGAGTTACGACCAATTTGCGGAAACTGCAAAAAGAGATATGTGAACCCCGATTGCTGCCAATATGACCATCAGCCTATCGGCAGGCCTGGCAAACCTCCTGTCAAGCATGCAAAACCGTCGGCCCCTCCTGAGATAGTGAAGCCTCCATTACAGCAAACAATATTGTGGAAACCTCTTGGTATCAGTGATGCAGAAGAAAGACTGCTTGAACTTCGGCTTCTTCATCATTATACCAAAACAACATGCAACGCTCGATCCCTGAGCTCCATGGTCCCTGTACTATGCCATCCTATGTGGGAAATAGACATACCGCAGATCGCCTTCTCATCTGAGATTGTGCTCAACGCACTGTTGGCGCTATCGTCATTGCATCTTCTAGCCCTAACTCCGAACGATCCAATTCTACCCCGCGCTTCAAGGTCGTATCTCGACAAAGCTATCACGAAGCACCAAGTGGCAATTACTCAAGTCGACCAGCACAATGTCGAGCCATTACTGGTGGCAGCAGTTCTGATAGCTCATCACACTTGGTTGACGGCCCACAGCAAAGGCACTAAAGAGCGGTATAATATTGATCTACAAACTTACCACATGTGTAACGGGATCAAAGCTCTGGTTGAGAGAACGAAGCACTGGCTACCGAAATACGATTGGCCTAGAGCAGATCACAAAAGGCCCCAGATCGACGATCTGGCTAAGAAAGGATTTATGCGCTGTGCCATGCAAGATCTCGATTTGCTTTCAACTACATTCCGCAAAAGCAACACGCCCTTTGAGGATAAAGCGGCATATGAGGCCGCAGTAGATGAGCTCATTGCCATCTATTCGATGATTGCAACCGAATCTGATATTTCAGAAATAGAGCAGGATATAGTCACACTTTTGCACAGGCTTCCTCCACAATTCCTCCCCCTCTTGGAAAGAGAAGATCCAATAGCTATGGCTTTACTGGCACGGAATCTATCCATGCTCAGCCTTCTTGAACGGTCTAGTGCATGGTGGCTTCATGGTGCTGGGGAGAACAAGGTAGCAATAAAAGCTGTGCTGGGGATTCGTGAATTGATGCCATCTGACTGGTCGTGGACTATGGAGTGGCCGCTGAATGTCATTGCGAAGAAGATAAAACTGGATTCTGATTGGCCTGAAGATGGTATATCCGAGCCATTTGAAGGCGAAGTAAAGCCTGCCCTAATAACTTTCCTTCCTCAAGCAACAACTTGAATTGATGGGACCTTTACTCCGTACAGCCTCTTTTCCATCAATTGATTGCCACCGGCTGATTGGCCTCCGTCCTCAACGCCCCCTCCAATGACGCCTATTCATTGCTCGTAAAATTTTGGGACTGCAAGGTTGAACACGTTATGTGGGTCATATTTCTGCTTGAGTTCCAACAGAGTCTCATAATTGGAATCTGGACCGTATATCTTCGATAATGGAGTGACGCCAGGAGGAGTAAGGGAGATGTATGTCCCTGGGAGCAAGTTTTCAGGTTTCATTTGCAAGAGTTCCTTGCGGAAATTGGTAGCCCATTCTCGGGATTCCTTCTCGTCTTCCTCTTTGGCCACCGTCGAAATGAATTCCAACATGAAATGGGGCTCCCGCAACCCGAATACAGAATTCGACTTTGGAGCTGCGGAGGGTCCGCGAAGTTCATGGATGGTAAAGGCCGTTCCGAAGCTCGAAGGCATCTTCTCAAAGTTCCTGCTCATGATTGCGGTGGTCTCATTGTTCAATTTTCGGATACTGAGTGTTTGGCACGCCCCATATGCGCTGGAGGGGATTTGCGTACTCAATATGTCCATATAATCGGCGACTGTCGTCGGCCCGACAGTGTTCATAACTACAGTGCCTAGAGCTTCAATCTTCGCAAGCTCAGCGCGGCCAGCGTCGTGGTCGTCCGAGGACCAGATGATTCCAACAGCGAAGGCTCTCCCATTAGGCGAATTGACAACCATTTGCTGCGAACTCAATGCAGGTGACAGGCCTTCGTCTAAAAGGGTTTGGTAGCCGGCATTGTAGCTTTGATAGACTGAGGTGATATCCTGCGAGTCAAAAACTATCATGCCGGCAAGGATCTGATCAAGAGTGAGCTTCCATTTTCCAGAGACCGGGAATGGCTTACACTTTTGAGCGGATAGACTTTAACAGTCAATTCGACTATGACGCCAAAGGCTCCCCCTGCTCCACGGATGCCCTTCATCATCTCCTCATCCGCGTCGACAATCTCACCGTTCCAGTTGACAACTTTTGCTGCGAGAATGTTGTCTACACCCAGACCATATTTGGCCGAGAGTGATCCATAACCTCCGTAGCAGCCCCAGCCGATGAAGCCTACAAAGCCAAGTGACCCCATGGCAGTCACAAGTCCTTCTTTCGATAATTCCTTGGCGAGCTTTCCCTGTAGAATACCTCCGCCGACCCTAGCTGACGATTTCTCCTTGTCGATATCGACGAAGGCAATGTCTCGCATGTCGACCATCAAAGCATCTTGCACACATGACGCTCCGTACAAGTTATTTCCACCAGACCGAACAGAGAATTGGATTCCATGAGTTGTACAGTACGATACCAGCGCAGCAACATCATTTGATGATTGAGGGCGGACGATCGCCAGGGGGGTTGCGGTGATGGTGAGGTTGTAAGTGGCTTTCAAGGAAGAGAACTCAGGAGCAGCAGGTGTTACATATTTGATGTTTGTATGGTCTTGGAGGAAAGTCTCCAAAGCAATCCGTTTCTGGTCAAGGGATACAGCCATGGTTATACACAAAGAGTCAGGAAAAAGGATATTTATCCAAGAGAACGAATCTTTTAGTGGACTTTCCTTACAGCCCGCTTTATATACTGTTTCACTCCAGATCTGCAACTTGCATACGCAGTAAGAAGTAAGCACTTGCTACGTGAATGCGGTACTGTCAGCCTGCCCATGTTAAACTGTGGAAGAGCCACTTCGCGTACGGGTTCGGGTTCGGGTTCGCGATGGAGTTGTACGGCGGTAAAAATCCCGGGCCGGTCCATTGAGATACCTTACTGTCGACGTCCATTACTCCATGCTATGAATTGGTCGTTCAAGAGCATTTAAAATGATATTACGCTACTGAAAAAATCAAGCCGGATTCTGGGGGAGGTGTTCAGACTTCTAAATATAGGGTATTCTCCGTCAGGTCAAGGGTATGTCAGTTATAGCGTAGCGTGAACGCGAGGCGCGTCTCCCGAACGCATCGAGCCGCGCCTCCTCCCACTCTCCTTGAACCATCGACTGGCTTACGAGGAAGGCGAGCAGAACACAAGGATTTTCAGTATGGTCGAATGCCCGATTTGCGGTAAACCAGTCAAACCACGGGATATCAACAGCCACATCGATTCAGACTGCGTCTCCTTCATTGATACAGGCGAATCCACCCAGCACAATGGATCGTCGTCCCAGAATCCGACTGCCTCACAAAAACCCTCTGTCTCGAGCTTCTTTCAGACCCCGGCGGCGAAACGGGCTGCATCTTATCCGACTCCAAAAGCAGATTCTGGAACGAAGTTGAGCTTTCACCAGAAGCAGACCAATTCGAGCTCTCCGGCTCAACCACCACAACGCAAGAGATCATTCGAAGATGTCGACCCTAGCCCTCCGGTCAAGCAGGAAGGAGATAGCTTCGAAGGAAATTCGGATGAACCAGCTACAAAAAAGACGAAGGCAAACGCATTCCAAAAAGCCGCCCCGTTAGCAGAACGAATGCGACCACGGACACTAGATGAGGTCTGCGGACAAGAGCTTGTTGGACCCCACGGCGTGCTGCGGAGTCTGATCGAGCAGGATCGTGTACCATCTATGATTTTGTGGGGCGGCGCCGGCACGGGGAAGACTACAATAGCACGATGTATAGCTTCCATGGTTGGAAGCAGATTCGTGGAGATCAACAGCACAAGTTCTGGAGTTGCAGAATGCAAGAAGATATTCGCAGAGGCACGAGGGGAACTTGGGTTGACTGGCCGGAAGACAATAATTTTCTGCGACGAGATACATAGGTAAATCCGACTACCTAATCCTTTTCAGGCTTGAGATCTTTACATACCAAGAGTTGAAATTTAATGTTATATTGTTATAGGTTCTCGAAATCCCAGCAAGACGTCTTCTTGGGGCCTGTAGAATCGGGGCAAGTTACATTGATTGGAGCTACGACAGAAAACCCTTCCTTCAAGGTCCAGAACGCATTACTGTCACGATGCCGAACGTTCACACTCCAGAAGTTGACAGACGAGGACATACTCCAGATATTAGAGAGAGCTCTAGCGATGGAGGGCCCCAACTACACTCCATCGGATCTTGTTGATTCTGAACTCTTAAAGTACCTCGCATCTTTCTCTGATGGTGATGCTCGCACAGCTCTCAACCTTCTCGAGCTGGCTATGGGGTTATCAACGCGACCTTCAATCACAAAAGCCGATATCAAAGAGTCTCTGACCAAGACCCTTGTCTATGATCGGGCTGGAGACCAACACTACGATACCATTTCTGCTTTCCATAAGTCAGTAAGGGGCAGCGATCCCGATGCTGCTCTCTATTACTTGGCCCGGATGCTGCAGTCAGGCGAAGACCCCTTATATATAGCAAGACGGATGATCGTCATTGCCTCAGAAGATGTCGGACTTGCAGACAATAGCATGCTAACCCTAGCAACTAGTACATATGCAGCAGCAGAGAAAATCGGCATGCCAGAGTGCCGGATTTCAATGGCTCACTGCACAGTTGCGTTGTGCCTGGCCCCGAAAAGTACGAGGGCATATCGTGGCTTGAATAATGCTTTTGCTGCGTTGAAAGAACCTGGTGTGGCATCTCTGCCCATTCCAATCCATCTAAGGAATGCACCTACAAAGTTGATGAAGGAATTAGGATATGGTGATCAATATAAGTATAATCCTAATTACAAGGAGGGTAGGGTAGTTCAGGAGTACCTACCCGAACAATTGAAGGGGAGGAGGTTCTTGGAAGATAGAGATTTGGGCACAGAAATTGATCCCGGGGCTTGGCCTTGAAGGATTGAGAAGAGGACAATTGGGTATTTGATATGCATTGCGATGGCGTTCAATGGATAGTGCATACGACTGAAGTCAATAGGATATAGATATCAAATTAGTTTAACCATGTTTCATTATTTTATCGCCATCCCTTATCCATCTCATGCTGATGCTTCAGAACTCAACACATTATAAGGGGTATCAGTATTCCTGTTCTGTTTAGGCATTGTCGAAGCACTGGCCGCAGTAGTATTCGCATTGACTTTCTCAAAGTTCAGCTCCGCTGCCCGTCCTGGGTCGTTGTTCGTTCCAATATCCGAACTTAAACTTGCATTCCACCGATCATCGTCATCAAATCCACCCTCCGTCAAGTTCTTTCCTTTTGGCTTTCCAGTGTTTAGATGTTGCGTACTGGCGATGTAACTTGGTGCTGTATCAGCATGGCTCGATGCACCACCAGTCTCATAAGAGCCTTGGGTGTTCTCGACCGCAAGGCCTTTGGCTTGGCCACCAGCCGCATCGGGATATGAGGTCGCTGCCGCGCCGAGCTTCTTCTCCTCGGCCCAGTCATGCTGCGCCATGCGGGCTTCTGCGTCGGAAGCTGGATCTAAGCGGGTGGCTGCTGAAGTGTTCGTGTTGGCGAAGGTGGAGTTGGAGCCGGAGACGCCCTGAGGCTCGCTGTTGGGGTTGCGTGAGAATGCACCTCCTGCGCGGCTGGACTCTGCTGCTAGGGAGTCTGATGCGATGGCTCCTGTAGGCTCCCGGCGTTCGGCATGGGGGTCAGTGACCTGAGAAATATGTTAGAGAAATTCGATGGCTGATGAATGGGAGCTCCTTGCAGCAAAAGTGCATAGGAAGCTTTGCTGGCGTGTTCGAGGAAGTCTACATACCTTTGTTCCAATTGAAGTCATTGTGCAATAGATTTCCGAGATAACGGACTGAAGGCAATTGATTCTTTACTCTGTAGATAAGTTTTCCAAACGATGAAATCTTCCAAACGATAAAAATCTAGTACTCAAGAGCAGCTTTTGTAATGAAGCCCAACTCCACCCATTCATTGCTCTTGCGTGTTTGCCATCATGATCAACAGAGCAATGACATCACCTAAACGTAGTTCTCCATGAACCCCCGCTGGTGTCAGCATCGGTTCCTTTCCTTTCCCATTGATTCGTGAGCCGCAAAGCTCCAAAGTTCGGTCCTGGTTGTGGATCAGCTCATGGGCGTCAGTGGGAGCTCATATTGGGCAGATCCGGTTTTGTGTTCGCGGGGAGACGTCAACCGCCCACAGATATCATGTAGCGAGGGGGCAAATAGGGGTTCGCTCTTGTGCAGTCACGTGCTGCGCGACACTCTTGTAGGTACTGTCTAGGTGCACGTCGTAGCAATTTTGCCATGGAAGTAATAGCATGGTTCCAGGTAAAACGTTGGAGGAGCCAACTTCTAATTGAATCCTGACGCTCCTAGGTACAGTACTTGGTATCTCATGCAGTTACTAACAAAAATAATCTCGTCCATCCAGGAGATCTCCCAAAAGCAGTGGACGTTCAGTGCTGTGCTGTCAGTTTTGGTAACTGGTATCGTTAATCATCCATTAAGTAGACGCCGCCCGGCCAAAATATGCCCACCTTCACCTTGACTCCAAACTACCTCATTCAGTGTGCTGCATCCCTTACTTGATTCATGGGAGTCTCTTATCTCCTGCCTCTCCTGCCGGTGCCTTCTCCCCTGCATCGGGATTAAGGTAATCTGCATCTTCTGCAGCTTCATACTCCGCGATCAAATCTGTCACTACCTCTCTCGCCTCATCAAACTCGTTGAGGTTATCGGAAAAGGGAGCCGTTTTTTTGTAACCTTCCATGAAAGCATTTCGTTTCCGCATACCGTCGTACTGTCGTACAATACGCTTGAAAAGCTGTGAGAATAATTGTTAGCTCTCACACTGTCTTCCATTAGGAGGGTAGACTTACTGTAGCGATACTGGTGTGATTTGCCAACATGAGCCCACTGACCCGATGATTCATTGGGATATATGGGCTTTTCTTGGTCAAAGCGACTTGAATACTCGCAGGTCCCCAAGGGATGAAAGTTGCAAGTCTGCGCTCCCTGATCCGAAGAAGACTCTTGTGAACATCGGTAGGATCAACATCACCTTGGATGACGTTCAAAATGGAAATATAACAGCTCTTCTTCCCAGGTATAGTGGAGACCATTCTGTTCTTTGGTTGAAGGAGTCGTCGCATCACATCCAAGACGGTGGTTTTGCGAACAGTTTTAGCTTGCTCGACACTATCGCCCGTGAAGGGTGTATAAGAAGTCATGAGGAAGTGACACCGCGGGGTCGGGATCAAGGATGCAACGATGCTGACCAGATCGTTGTGCATATAACCAGGATATCGGAGGGTAGTAGTACTAGCTGACATGACTGTAGATACCTGTTTTGGCCGTCAGTAAAAATGTTTCTCAACACCTGGGAGTTGCTAACCAGTTGGTTCGTTTGTTGGAACGACGGTTCCTGAACGTGTAATCTGTCTGCCGCAATACGGGATAATGCACCATTATCAAGAACGACCACCGAATCGGCGTTCTGTGTCAACCTCCGCATAGAGAGCAAGCTGTTGTAAGGATGGACTACGACGTCGCCAGAATTGGTCGTGTCTGGGAAAACCGAGTACGTCTGGATGATCTTCTTGGGGAAGCGATCATTCAGCCTTTCCAAGAGAAAAGAGCCCAGACCTGATCCAGTACCTCCTGCTATTGAGTGCAGCATCATAAAGCCCTGGAGCCATTAGTATTGGAACATAAGCCTGCATTGCTCTTCTCAACACACCTCCAACGAATCGCTCCCATCGGCCTCTCGGTCAATCATCTCCATGACATCCTCATGAACAAGCTCTCCTGTTTGATACCCATCTCCCCAATTATTCGCAGCCCCTATACCGTTTTTGCCAACGAAGAAATTTTCAGGGTTGTAGATATTCTTATAAGGGCCTGATTGGATTCCGTTGATAACCTAGGTAGAGACAGAACTAATTAGTACCCAGTATGCATGCCTATGCCCAAGTTATGTCACCAAATGTACATACACGAGGTTCTAGGTCGATCAATATAGCTCGGGGGATGTATCGCGTATCATCAGATTGGTAGAAAAACACGTCTTTCCTATCCCCGCCTTCGGTCGCAAAGTCCTCTAGGTTCCCATCCTGGCTTATGCCATGTTCCTGGCACAGCTGCTGCCAAAACTGACTACCAACTACGAGGTAATCGTCAGAATATGATCCAAAAGGCAACAATCTTCAGGCGGGGTCAAAACTCACTGCTGTTGCCGCATTGGCCGGCCTGAACCGTGATAATTTCTCTGATTGTTGTTAGTCAAGACCAAATCAAGAGAAACAGGAAAAAATTGTACCTTGGCATTATGGGAACATCGATACCAACTTGAAGATAGAATGAAGGTGAAAGAATAAAGGTTCTTGGATTCGCGTTGGGCCTCTAGGGGAGACGCGTTAAGATCCGCGCTAGTCTCTGGCAGTGGATTTTAAAGTTGATGCTCGCTCGTTCGACAAGAGTAAATAGATGGGTATGCAACTCACTCCAACAGGCCAACACAACGACTTCGTTCATGGTCGCGACACTAAAAGTCGCATCCTCCTACTCCAGACTCGATATCCCATAGCGCGCTCTTGAACGTCGACGTACACAATGTCCGGATTTCAAGTACCTTTCTCCTCCAGCCCTCCTCCATCCACACCGGACAGGAGATCCAGCAATGGCAACAACCTTTTCGGATTTGGGGCTTCAAATCCTTCTACTACCCCAGCTGGACCCCCGCCTTCTTCAGCGGCATCATTTACGCCAGCGGGACCTCCTCCCTCCTTTCTGGGAAGCTCAATGATGGGTACCACGAGCTTTGTAAAGCCATTATCCTTCTCCCAACAAAGCACTTTTCAAACTTCGACGCTCAATTTCAATAGTTCTCAGTCATCCCCATCCGCTGCCTTTATGCGATCAACCACTCAGCCCCGTCGATCTGGTCTCAGCAACGAGTACTCTCCGCAAGGGAAATTCCAGTCCCCGCCAAATCATAGTGTGGAAAGTGACGAAGAAGGGGGCGAATACCTTGAAGAGGAAGACGATAGTCGCCACGGAAATGGTCGGGATTATGAAGACGAAGACGATGATGCAATGACAGATCAAGATGGAGAGTATGATGGAGACGAGGATATGGATGACCTTCACTCAAGGATTCCTGGATCAAGATCAAATAGGCAGAGCTACGGCCAAGGCAGCAATTCAGATCTCTTATTAGCAACACCATCTGCTTTAAGAGATAGTAGAGGGATACTAGGTCTCCGAGACTCCTTTTCAACCCAGCCTAAGGCTTCGACGTACGGGAAGATAGCGAAGGATATCTATACTCAGATGGGTATTCCTCCGGTGCGGGAATCAGACGATCTAATACTCAACACGGAGGCGATAATTACACGTCTTTATGAAGAGGGTATTGGGGCGACAGATAACGAAGATATGCTCCAACGTGCATTGGTCACCATTCCTGGAGAGCTCACAAAGCTTTGGGCAGCCTATCGCAAGAAAACTAAAGTCTATGATTCCGAGGAGTACACAACAGCTATTGGACCAGGACCCAAGGCCTCTGATTTCGAGAAAGCGAACTTTTTAGCTGGTCTTACATTGCAAGTTCATCATCCTCAACCAGTGGATTCACAAGTGTTTGAGCCCAAGGTCAAGCCACTGCCACAGATCATGCTAGAATGGATGGATGAGTATCATGACCCTTATCCGCACCAGTTCGTGGAAATCCAAGCACACAGACCAAGTCCAGCCAACCATCGATTATTTTGGGATACTGTACTCAATGGCCTGCTTCGTGGCAAAGTCGTAGCAGTCGTCAACATTATGAAGAATGCTGGATGGAGGGATGCGTGGAGTGGTCAGAGTGGTCAGGCTGGATATTCCGGCCTAGCTTTAGCCAACATTGAAAGGGCCATCAGCGCAGCAACGCAGGTGCTTTCTCAATGTCCCGCCGTTCACGGAGATTGGAATATTCGAGGGAGTGACTGGACGCTATTTCGACTACGGATTTCTCAAGCTGTGGAGGATCTGAGAAGCTTCGCTGAAGGGAGAGGCAGAGACCGTGAGGATGAATCTGTAATTGAAGTGGATGGGTTCGGGAGATCCTCCCAAGCAGGCCGTTCTGGGACTTACACCCAAATTGCGAAAAGAGCAGAGAGCCAGGTCCCATGGCACATATACCAAAATCTGCTCACGGTGTATAATCTCGTAATGGGAGAATCGAACGCCATCATTGAAAATGCACAAGATTGGTGCGAGGCCACCGTTGGGTTGCTTGTTTGGTGGGATGAAGGAAAAGAAGATAGGCGATTAGCACTCGGCAGATCTCAGGCAAACCATCGTGCTACTGCCAAAGACTCAGATGCTGAGATATATCTACGGAAGTTACGACGGTCCTTTCAATTGGCCACGGCAGAATCGACCGACTTTCAAGTGAACACTCTGAATCCTGTTGAAGTTGGATTGGCATCACTCCTCGAAGGGGATAATGAAGCTGTTGTGGGTTTTCTACGAGCTTGGTCAGGGCCGGTCTCTTCTGCTGTAGCAGAAGTTGCTTCTCTTGCTGGATGGCTACCACATGCTGAACCACAAAGCCTTATAAACATGGGCAGTCTAGATCAAGACGATATGGATCTGCTCGGAATTCAGTCTTCCCCTGAGAAAACCGACGGTGTAAAGGATCAAACACTTATTGCCTACGCTAAGTCGCTGGCACAACGAGGACAACTAAAGTCAGGGGAAATTTCCCGGGAAGGCTGGGAATTATCTATAGCAGTTCTTGGCAGACTAGACTCCACTACCCGTTCGGAGGAGATGGTTGGAGATTTCTTGAAAAGCCTCCCGTTGGATTCATCAAGAACCGTGGATAAACTTTGGAAACTCCTCAACGACATCGGCATGACTGCCCATGCTGAGAATACCGCGGAGGTAAGCAATGAGTTTCTCCGTTATTCAAAACTTACACTAATTGACTCCAGGCATACGCGAACCAACTTGCGGAAGGTTCTCACAACTACGGTGAAGCATTGTGGTACTATGCTTTATCACACAAATCACAAAAGGTTAAGGATGTCTTGGATCTACTCATCTCGCTTTCTTTGGTTCAATCCGTAGCATACCCACCAGAGTCCGAGCTGGATGACTATTTGAAACGTCTAATATCAAATCCAAAGGATGCCCTAACTGAAATCTCGAAGATGGATCTGGAAGCTGCTGAGCTACTTCACAAAATGCTCAGCGGCTATGCTACGCTTCGCAGATTCTACACCTTGCGAGATGAGGAAGTGCAACTTCCAAAGGGTGGAAAGCCGAAGATGGGCCCCATTGCGCGCAAGCGCGAAGCAGCCTCGGCTTTACTGGCTGTCATTACAAGTTCTGATGACAACATTCGAGGTGGTCTGTATGACGAAGAACGGGGAGCGGTTGTCAGTGTGGACTTTCTTCTCGCATTACTAGGCGAGGCCATGGTCTTCGTGAACCAACCCGGGCCGGCCATCACGGTATCACAAGTCGACATTCTCCTCAAGGCAATTGAGGATCTTCAAACCGTCGGTCCACGTGTGTATTCGGCTTGCAGCGAGTTCTTGCAGACGGTTATAGCCTCAGGCCAAGGCTTGAAAGGCTCGTCTCCGACTGAGCTGCTGCGAAAATCCACGTCGAACCTAAGTGGAACGAGCAGTTTCTCCCTCGTTGGTAGCTCCATGCTAGCCTCACAGCTGAAGCAGTCAATGGCAAGCAGCGGAGTCATGGTGAAGGGGAACATCAAGCGTGGATGGGACTGGCGACAGGGGATCTCGGCGAGCACTTCAGCGGAAGATGTGCTTAGGATACTTCGACTTGGATTAGCTAAGGATCTTGCTAAGGCTTGGCTCGCTGAGGTTGACAGTAGGATGTAAGATGATGTGAAGGATTAGCACGGATGAAGCATTGGTTGGCGTTGCAAATGGCACCATACTGTGGGAGATAAATGTATAACATAGGTAGTTATCGGCCTGTAGCTTGGAGAAGAAAGTAATGATACCCTCAAAACACATGTGGAACTTGGCGCTAAACATTGTCTCTCTCCCGCTAGACGTATGCAAATACAAACATCAGTGTCTAGCCTGATGATGGCACTTTCGAACCCAGAACCTCACGGGGTGTCTGCTGGACTCCACACCACCCCACAACACCAAAATAACCAGATGGCGACGGACCCCGCCTAAAACCCATCAACCTTCACCCCTTCCTTCTTTTCCAACGCCAACCTCTCCTTATTTGCGCTCACCCACCAAGCATGCGTCGGGTCCTTTGAGATATTATTCCCCTCCTCATCAACCTCATCCCACGGCTTCGGCGCCAAGATATAATGCACATTCTTAACCTTGTCATCCCTCCAAATCTCCGCATGGACGCCCTCCCACCGCAGCGTCTTCAGCGCATTATATATATACGGCAGCGGAACCCAGCAGCCCCGGAAGAGGTCCGATAGTAATGACTGGTCGGCGAAATCCATGTCGATGACGGCGTCGGATTCGAGGTGCGCGAGGATCAGGTCGTAGACGGCGCGAGACGGGTTCACGACCTGGAGCCCCCCGTTCATGAATCCGAGGGGCCCGACTTCGGGGGAGGGAGCGGTGGTTTGAGCTAGGTCGGGAGTGGAGTGCTGGCTGGTGAAGGCGCAGTTCGAGGGGATCCTGCGGTGGAGCAAATCCCATCGTCAGTTTCGTTTCTCGAGGGCCTTTCATGCAACGCTCCCGCGAGCGCAATGCTGCAGCACGTACCAGTCTTTAGGATAATGCGGTTTCTTCAACGGGTTGCAGACGCAGGCGTGGCCAGCGGCGAAGACGCGCTTCCCCTTGCCCGCCATGCTGGGCGGATCCAGCTCGATTTCCATCAGCTCGTCCATGTTCTGGGTGACCAGCATGTCGCTGTCGAGCTGGACGACGCGCTCGTACTCGACCAGGCTGAAGGGGGTTAGTTTGGACCAGCAGTCGTAGAAGCGCGGGTCGGCCGAGTAGTCCTTGCCGTTCTTCGGGAGGAGGTACTCGATGCGCTGCTTGGGGATGCCGCGGGCTTCGAGCGCGGCGTGGCCTTCGGCGGGGAAGGCATCGGTGTAGAGGGCGACGAGCGGGTATTTCGACTTGTGCTTCTTAAGACTGTAGTCGAGGGTGAGGAGCCCTGAGAGGTATTTCGTGTTGGTTATGAGGGTGGTCCAGACTAGAAGCTGTCAGTAACTCTGGTTCGGGTGCCTGAGGGGGGATCAAACTGGCCTTTCTTGGACTCCGTTACCCTTCGAGCCTCACCCATCTTGCAAGATATGTACGTGGGGGATAGATGGAAGATGCAGACTGGGTGAAGGCCCGACTTTATATCAGCAGAACACAGCGCTCATAATGGTCAATGGATGCCAGATATCAGAAAGGCGAACAGAAGCATCAAACCCCGGGTTGTATAGGATCGAATTTCCAGGGACGGCCGCCAACCCCACTTCAGACGGGAGGTGGGATGGTGAAATCGCTGATAAATGGAGACCTGCGATTGATACTGACACATCGTATCTTAACTCCGAATTGCTCCGCAGCATCCAATGCTCTGTACTACAGAAAGGAGAATAACATAAAATAGGTAAAGTTTTGGGGTTATTAATCTTCTTCCAGCCACCAATGACTTCAAAAGGGCGATGATAGAGTTATACGACAATTTGTTCAACCATTGAAAAGGAGTATCGGGTTGAAAAGACAGCCGGCTTATCGAGACTTTTCGCCTCATGTATTAACAATCAGGTACCTGCTTTGCTTAACTTACCTACCTTACCTTACCTACCTAGGTATCTAGCAGTAGGGATACTTCAATAACATCCTAGGTGTATCTGGCCTCTGGGTCTTGGTCTAAGACTCATCGTTGTCTAATTCTTCTTCATCTGCTTCTTCAAGAGTTTTGAATTCAAAGTATCGAAGAGTTCTTGAAGTTGAAAGGTGAATCAGCAATTGCGGAGTCCGCGATAAAGCCGCAGTCGGATCCTTGCTCTATAGATGTGGGGCATTTGCGGATCAAGATCTTTTGAACATTTCTTATAATTTTTGATTGAATATACCTCCGTAAAAGAAGATAAAAAGAAGTAAAACCCACATATTCGAGCGCCCCGATCGTAAGCAAGCAGTCCTCAATCCTCTCATCCATCGAAAACTGCATGCTTGCATCCTCGGACCTCGGTATCCGTTCCCGGAGAGAGCCTTGTCGCGTCGGGGCGCGTTTCTTCATGTCCAGCTTGCAGGGACTCTGAGATTGGAGAATACCTAGGTAACGGCCGGGTCTCTTGGCCCCATGTCGACAACCACCACAGGGCAAGCGGCCGCAGAGAGGACAGCAGCGGGAGACGATGCGGCGGTCAGAATGAAGGATAATAAGCAGGAAGGGATCAAGAATTATAAGGGCTTTGTCGCGGGGGTGTTTTCAGGCATTGCTAAACTAACCGGTGAGTATCCTTACTCATTCTCAAGTTCCGCTCCAGGACTCTGGAATGATTGATTGGACGCTCCTCTTTCTTATACACATTCCTCCCTCCTTCAGTTTCTATCTATTCTCTCTCGAAAGATCCTGCGCTGACATCCTCTTCCTCTTCCCTAAAGTGGGCCATCCATTCGACACGATCAAAGTCCGCCTCCAAACCTCCGACCGAGCTCGATTCTCCGGCCCTCTACAATGCCTCGTCCAGACGGTCAAGAAAGAGGGATTGGCCGGCTTGTACAAAGGCGCCACGCCGCCGCTCGTGGGATGGATGTTCATGGACTCCATCATGCTCGGCTCGCTGACCTTCTACCGGCGGCTGCTCCACGAGACGCTCTTCAACCCCAACCGCGGATCCGCGTCGTCGTCTCCCCTCAGCATGCTGCTCCGGCGCGAGATCCCGCCCCCCTCTGATAACGACGAGGCACCACCGCACAAGCTGCCCACGCTGGGGCACGCCATGGCGGGGGTCATGGCCGGCGCGACCGTCAGCTTCGTAGCGGCGCCCGTCGAACACATCAAAGCGCGTCTGCAGATCCAGTACTCGAGCAAGAAGGCGGAGCGGCTGTACAAGGGGCCGATCGACTGCGTGAAGAAGATCTACCGGTGCCACGGCGTCCCGGGCATCTATCACGGGCTCTCGGCCACGCTGCTGTTCCGCGGCTTCTTCTTCTTCTGGTGGGGCAGCTATGATATCTTCTCGAGACTGCTGGCTGAGAAGACGAGCTTGAGTACGCCGGCGATTAATTTCTGGGCCGGCGGGCTGAGCGCTCAGATCTTTTGGATCACGTCGTATCCCTCGGATGTGGTCAAGCAGCGGATTATGACGGATCCGCTGGGCGGAGGGTTGAATGATGGCGTGAGGAGGTTCCCGAATTGGAGGGCTGCGGCTAGGGCCGTTTATCAAGACGGTGGATGGAGAGGGTACTGGAGGGGATTCTTGCCGTGTTTTCTGAGGGCATTCCCGGCGAATGCCATGGCTCTTGTGGCCTTTGAGGGCGTTATGAGGGCGTTGCCTTAGATTGGGTTGGCACGGGTTCAATTGGAGACATCCACCTGTACTAACAAGATCAGATTAGATTAGAATAGACAAATCTCTCTTCATTTGCGAGACGATTTCACAGGTTTCACACGCGAACAGTGGATATCCAGATAGTTCATGAGGGAAGACGTGGTCCAGCATTGATCAGCTATATGTATATAGATCCATACGACCTTTCCATCCACCCATCATGATAACCCCGCCAGTCCCTTACTCGTCATCCTCATCAGCCTCATCGTTGACGACGTTGAAGAATCTGAGCTCGTAGACACCCTTGGAGGTAGAGACGACACGGAGCCAGTCTCTCAGCTGCTGCTTCTTGAGGAACTTCTTGGTGCTGCGAGTGAAGGAAGAAGAAAAAATTAGCATTCCTGAACCCCTAGCGCAAGAACAAGAGAAGGAAAAAAAAGAGGTTTCTACTCACAGGTACTTGAGGTATCTTCCAGAGAATGGTCCGTGGGCAGTGACCTCGATCTTGCCATCGCCGGCCTGCTTGATTTCCACAACATCACCGAGGTTTCCGACACGGCCGTCGACCTTGATCTTGTCCTGGAGGAACTTCTCGAAAGCGGCGACATCGAAGATCTTGTCGCTGGCGGGTTGCGAAGCGTTGATGATGAACTGGCAGTCCGTGTTAGCCCCCAGTGTCCCAATTGCAATATTGGCAAGGAGGAGAGAGAGAGGAGGGAGGGAGTAGCATACCTTCTTCGTCACCTTGGCTTGCTTGCCCTTGGGTCCTGACTTCTAGAAAAAACAATGATCTTAGCCTACTGTATCACGCCGCAACCTCCGGAGAGGCGGGCCAACAGCAAAGCGGTTTCATGTACATACTGTTGATGGTGCCATTGTGTCGGAAAGTGGTCGCAAAGAGGTCTGATCCTGCGCCTTTCGCTGATTGATGTTGGTTGTGGATGAGGAGGGGTGGAAAGCAAAGTTCTCGCTTTGGGAATTTTTGTTGTGCGCTTTGCCAAGACTTGCACTCGCTTAATATTTTCGGGTTAACTTTCATGCTTGCAGGCCTTCATGCCATGCGCTTCAGGCATCAACCGCCCCAGATTGCACTTTACCGTTTCTAGCTCCGAATTGCCGATCGTGATCTCTTTCCCCCCCGAAGGATGGGGAGAAACATGGCAGCCTTTGGAGAATCCGTGGCTCAGCTCAATGCCTCAGTCACCGAAGGAGAATTCATTCATCACATTTCATTCAGTACCGCGAACGCTCCGCTTCAAGTTGGAAATAATCAAGAATTGTAAAGGGTATCGAGAATCGTTGGATTATTCTACATATTAAGTTGAGTAACGTGCCATGCTATCAGAATCCGAAAAGCGCAGCCCGTAGACCCCTGGCAGAAAGACACCAAATGAAGATCCCGTGCCCATCCACAAGAGCATGCTATCGTGACCGCTGAACATCCATGCCTCCCGTGTGCCAACTTCCGAGATTCGAGGGATGTCGAAGCCTCAGCCAACCGCAGTCGACTGCCAAGAACCTGAAGCCGGACATGCCGGAACCGAGAAGGACGTGAACTTGAGCGATGAGCGAAAACGCCGCGAAGAAAATATGGTACGCAAAAGGTGGATGAGGTTGTAGGAGTCGGTCCTCATCAGAAGTCGAAGCGAAGCCGAGGTATTAAGCAGAAGTGTTTATGGCAACCAACGCTTCGGAACGATGCACCTGGAGATGGAATCAGCGCTTCGAACTGGAGGTTTCGAATATCAAGATGGATGGGGGAGCTTACAACACCATGGTATTCCTGTACTCCGCAAACTCCACTAGTACTTGAGAATGATATACAGCGCGTGAATGATACCCGGGAAGTAACTGCGGCGCGAAACGTTAGCGACAGCGGTACCGCGAACAGGAACGGGAGGATACGAACCCAAGGATCGTGAGGAGGATGTTGATCAACAGGTCAGCCCCGCAGCCGCGCTCGAGGAAGACTCCGAGGGGAGGGAGGATGATGGCAAGAATGATCTTGCAGATATCGCTGAGCAATTGTTAGTATACTCGGGGGTTCCGGGGTAAGGTAAGCATTGGACGCTCGGAGATCGGGACGCCGGAGAAGAGGTGACGCATACCTGGAAGTGAAAGGCATTGTGATGGATTTCGCGAATGTGAGAAGCGTAAGCTGGAGAGGGCGATTGATTATGGGGTAAGATGGGGTTTTGATGGGAGTTGGTGTTTCTCGTATATTTGTTTGTTGTTTGTTGTTTGTTGTGATGGGAGTCTGACAGAGATGTACGCGCGAAGCGAAGGGCGAGCGTAGCTTATTTATCACTTAACGGCATCTCGGTTGTCCTGACGTCACACAGTCAGCAACGACTCACTCACGAGTCTTGATCCGGGCGCGCGCGATTCCTCAGCCACTCTACGACGTCATGTGGAATTAATGGCAGTGCTAATTAGGTTCTTCAGCAGAAAAAAGAAAGAGGAAAAGAAAAAAGGGGGGATTATTTCATTATTCCGGGAATGCCTTTTAACACTTCATTCATAGTGCGAGAAGATGAAATAATCCTTTTAGAAGACGAAGAAGAAGAAGGCCTCCTCCCAGCTGGCTGGCTGTTCGAGACAATGGGGCCATGAAAAGAAGGTTGGTAATCTGGACTCTGGAAGGTCGGAATCCTCCCTGTTGATCCGCCAACCAATCGCCAGGACTCTCTCTACACAGATTTCTCGATCACGTTCCTGATCAACAACCTATCAACCAAAACGAAAGCAAATATTAACTGCGCTGCGACGCATTCGCAAGGAGATCGCCTCGGATCGTCAAGGTCTTGCAAACGCATTCCGCCTTGGCATCTTCTTCCATTGGTGTCCTTGAACAACGCCGTGTTTATTTCAGGGAGAGAGAGACAAGCAATATCTAGGTATCTGTGCAACGCCGCAACTAAGCCACAATAATGCCACATAGGCATGCAGCATAGCATAGCATAGCATTACCTCCCTACACAGGCGACAACAACGTAGTTGATCGGGCCTGTGACAGTAGGTAGTAGTTGGCAGAAAAGAATAATGGGTTTGAGCAAGCTTTCTGATTCGTCGTCTCTAAAATCCATCTTAGTATGTTTGGTTGTGTGCTCCAGTAAAAAAGCTCCACTCTATCTAGTCAAGACAGAGAGGTGTTCTAAAACTGATGATCAGGTCCTGAGCCCCTTATGCTCCTCCTAATCTTACGCAGCACATCGCTCTCTGCCTTTCTGATTTCCAATACCGTTTCAAATGAAACTTTGTAAGCAAAGCTATCTTGGATATCGATCAGAGTACATCAGTCAGGTGGGATACTTTAAGTAATCATGAACTGCTGCTCAAAGAACCGCGCGCACTCTTGAACCGCGTTGTAGCACTTGAGGTATAGGTCTCAGATACCGAAACTCTTTCAGAAAAATAGGAGATTTAAGGGGCTGTAATAATCTATAAGTACTCCCAAAAACTAAGATTTCTTCGTTCTTCAGCTTTTCTTCATGAATGGTATTCATTCGAGACCCTCTCTTGATTCTATTTGCAACTACAACCTCTTTCAAATGCTTATTCTACTTGTATGCTTTTAAAGCAGTTTGTCGATTCTAAACAGGTATATATTGACGATCACTTGAACGTCAGTATATGTAAAAGGGCCCTGTTTGAGCGACTGCCTTCCATTTGCCATCCAACGCCGATTGCTATGCCTCATTGCCCGATATCTAAACGCCAGATCCCCATCATGCCTGCCCAGAGACGTTTACGCACGACCGACCTTGAATGAGAGGATCTAGAATTGGTTGTTAGAAAAAGGGCGTTTTCCTGCTGCTGGGAATCCAATAGCTTACGTCGTTTTTGCCAATCCCGACAACGTCGTCCTCGCCGACCCTCACGCCTCCTACGCCTTCTACGTATGCCAAGGGGACATCACCCATAACCTTGCGTGCGACTTCAGCCACTGTGGTACCCTTCTTGACAAGGACACAGTCCCGAAAGACGGCATTGGAACCGGCAGCGCCAGACCCGAAGGAGGAGACGTTTCGGACAGGAAAGACCGGGACGAGGCCTAGCAATTCCGCAGCTCGGGATAGGACCTGCACGACACCCGTCGAGCCGAAGCGGTAGAGGACCATGTCCTTGATATTCTCGATTCGATTCTTCAACTTCTCGTCGAGTTCCTTCAGTCCGCCCCCGGTGGGATCCCCGTCCGCAATGAGATCGTCCCGTGTGTCTACGAACTCGCTCCCTTCTGTGTACTTGATAAATCCCTGCTTCACCAGTCGTCTCAGGAGGACTTCAGTTATCGCAGAGCCCAGAACTAATTGTTTTGAATCATACATCCTGGAGATCTTGCTGATATTCTTGTCGGCATCGGCATGATCAACCTTGTTCAAAAGGATGACTGTTGGAAATTTCTCGTCCGCAAATGCGCTGACAACCTTGTCAATCGTCTCGTCAGACCATTCTTCTAATGGTTCTTTGAGGCCAATCTTATCCAAGGTCCTTGCAACGACGGCTGATGTACTCCCATAACCAGAAAACTGCCCTTGTAGAGTCTCCACAGCCGTAGCCTTCACCGCCACATGTCTCCGTTTTATCGATCCCCACTTCTGCATGAGGTTTCCCCGGATCCACTGGACGATTTCGGAGCGTAGCCACACAATGTCCTGCGAAGGATCGTATCCTCTCGTCGCCTTGCCCTCGGCATCGGTCGTGCCGCTCACGTCCACAACGTGGATGAGCGCGTCCGCGTGCCGCAGGTCGTCGAGGAACTTATTCCCTAGCCCCTTGCCTTCGTGCGCGCCCGGTACCAGCCCAGCTACGTCGAGAAGCTCGATAGGGACAGACCGCCTCCCGTCGACGCAGGCGCCATAATTCGGTTTGCATCGATCGGAGAGGTTGAAGCGCGCGCAGGCGCACTCGATCTGGAGGTAGCCGACGGCGCGCTGCGGATCGATTGTGGTGAAGCTAGCACTGGTTCAGCAGATGTCTGGAGTCAGGCGATATGAGTGCCGTTCTTACGGAAAGTTTCCTAGGGCTTATGAGCTTCGAGGTGTTGAATGGAGGGGTAGGCCGAGTACGAACCAACTTTGGAGGACGCATCGGTCAGACTGTTCAGGGTGGTACTCTTGCCAGAGGATGGCTTGCCAACTAGTCCTATCAGCGGATCACGTCCCATGTTGTAGTAGGTGGTCTGGCAGGTTGCAGGTGTAGAATCTCTACCGTATAAATTTATCACCTCGCAGCGGTTCAGGGCCCAAGGCCCAAAGGGGTCTTGACCGCAAGTGGAAAGGTCGGAAATTTTATCTTATCCGGGATCACGTGCACAGATGTACTTCGACGACGTATCGTTTACCCCGCGTTGCAAGTTGCAACTACTTCAGAGGCGTCTTTTGGCTTTTGGCTTATCTTTGGTTTTGGCTTTTCTGGCCTTATAGATATAAGATTCAGACTCTAAAATATAGATTTAGATGCAAGGAAGACTCGCTTTATCGACTAGAATATGACAGCAGCATAAGTAGGTAAGGTAGGTAAGTTCAATTGTGGACGGTTCAAGACCATACCAGACTGAAAGTCACATACCCAATAACGAAGACTATAGCCTCTTTCATGGCTGCTGAACTCAGTACGGACTTTGAAGACTCAAGTTCGAGCGTCTTATGATACATACACTCGCGCAACCCGTTCATTCCCCTTCTATATCTCCTCGCCACTCTTTGTCCCTCCTACTTACTACCTTTGTACTCGGTCGGTTTCCAACAGGATGCACATTTCCTCCACCACGAACCGCAATATGCACCTCCTCCTTTTTCATCCCATCCATATATCTCACAACCTAATGACCTTTCCATAACACATCTCTCGTCGATACACACATCCCATTTAATTCCATCCCATTCCGTCCCATCCCACAGCCTACCTCAATCGCCCCACCCCCCAAAGCCCAACGACAAGAGGAACAAGAGCGTACTACTCAGCCCACTCTTCTCCTCATCCATATCCGCGCCCTGCTTCTCCTTCTCCTTCTCCTTCTCCTCCTTCCCCTCCCCATCTTTCTTCTTCTTCATCTTCTTCATCTCACCTCCGCCCTGTTTTTCCGACCCCTTCCCCGACCCCTTCCCCGCCTCCAGCCCCGCCGCACGCTGCTGCTTGTTATGCACGTCCATCTGCCGCCCCGCCTTCTCACCTCCGCCGCCCCCGCCCCCGCTGCTGCTACGTTTCGAGATCCCCCGCTGACCAGTACTCGTACTGAACATGCGGGGGCACGCGGCGGGGACAACACGACATCGTCGTTGTGTGGCGAGGACGGGGGCGCGAGCGAGGAGGAGGAGGCGGGGCGCGAGGAGCCGGAGGCGGGGCATGCTTGTTCTTGTTGTGAGCGAGCGACCTATTCTTATCGTCTCTGAAGAATAATAAAACCTCTTCCGGGTATAAGAAGTGAATAATAATAATCGATTCAATGTTCAGAAACTTTTTGTCTGATTTATGTTCGTTTTTTTTTGGGGGGGGACTTTTAATTAAGGGAAGTCCTAGGTAGGGAATTGCGCAGGGCGTTATTTTTATGGATTTAGGTATAGAGGGAGGATGGATTGGATCACTGGGTCATGATCTCAAGACCGCACCGGTTCGTATAGTGTAGTTAGTCCTCTCCAAAATCGGTTGTTCGTCACTGGGGCGAAAGGAGGAGCGCCACTTCGCACGCACGTGACGGTTCTTAATTGGAGAAGAGAGGAGGATTGGATTGGATTGGATACAGCGATGCAGTAAGGCAAGGCACCGTGGTTGTTAAGGTATTAATTGATTGCTGAAAGGTGAGAAGGGGAGCAGGGCGAAGGGGTGTTTTGTAGTCTTCTTTCCTTTCTTAGTCGCCACCCCTTCAACCGACTTGTTCCGAGGACATCACGATATTTCAGCTTTTGACCCTGCTGTATTTCGATTCCGAGAATACTCGGAGGTCAGGTCTATTTCCCTCGTTGTTCCGAGGTAGGTAGGTTTAGAGGTGTGAAAAGGAGAAGAGGTGTTTGACAGCACTTTTGAGTGTGAAAGGGAGAAGAGGTGTTTTGACGGCACTTTTTATTCCACTACTTTGCTACATACCACGAGCGAGCGTAGACACTTCGTCAAGAGCTCCCGGGCTATCCTCAAATGAAATTTCGTTCCGCGTGTTAAATCAGCAGATAGATGTTCGACATCCAGATCGTTAATACATAGTAGCCAAATGGGCGTAGAAACGATCAGCCAAGCAAGGATTTTGACGCCTTCCGCCTAACCAACCTAGACGTATATATATCCGACAACAAATCCAACATTCAGAAAACGCCCACAACCGTTACGGCGCCAAAACATCCGATCCCATTGAACACTCATAAGCCGAAGTTGCCCCCGTCTAAGCCGTCAAGGAGGTAGGCATACCCATCACCCGACGTCGCTGTTCCAGGTATTATAGGAGGATTCTTGTAATCAGGGACAGTATCGGGTAGTCCCATCTCGTTCGCCGAAAGCTCCTCGCCCGAACTTAAGCTCTCTTCTGAAAAGGACAGTACGCTCCGTGGAGCATTAGCATTTGTGAAATCGTCCACCATTACTGGAGTATAATCCCATGAATCTGGAACCCAGTTATCTGGCTTTGAGGGATGGGTCTCGTCTGTCGACGGGGGGACTGTAGCTGGCCCACCACCGTAGATGGCATCGTATAGATGGCGGTCATCAAAGGAACCTAGCAGAACCTCCCATTCTGTCGGTACTGGGTTTGGTTTCGGGCCAGTGTAAGCAGAGGTAGGGAATAGAGAGCCGTGCGAGTTCTGTGCGGGAAGACTCGATCGCCCTGGAACAGGTGATTGAGGTTGCGACGATACGGGAGTGTTGTTGAGTGAGAGGTAGTCGAGATTTGGCAGTTTAGGGTTTTTGATCGCTCGTGCTTTCAACAATGTCGGTAACTGAGGATGGGATTTATACATCGGCGATTCGGGTCGCGCCGAGTCCAAAGATGTACGTCCGTACTGTTGACTCCCGGGAGATTGAACCGCGATGTCTGGCAGAGTAGCCCGTCTGAGCTTCTCCTGCTGCGACATGTTATTGATTTCGATCATGTTGGCGCATGCATGCCCCTGAAATTGAGGCTGCAGCTGCTTCGGGGCTGAAGAAGGTGATGGAGTAGACTTTGCGCTTGATGGAGCTGACAGGGTATTCTCTCGGCCATTAGTGGGCTTGGATTGGCCATCTAGATTGATCATAGACGCTGCGAGTCTCTTGAAGTCGGCTGCTCCAGGTGCTTTAGAATTCTCAAGGTACTTGATAACAACGAGGACCAACCGATGACCATCTTGCATAAGTTTGCCCTCTTGTTTCAGATCCAAGCTCTGGTACAAGAGACTCAAACCACAAAGCGTGAGCATTTCATTCCTGTTAAGACAGAACGAAAATGACATGTTTCTCTCATCCAGAAGTTGCACAATTTGGATGATGTGTTTACTAGAATCGGCAAGGGAAATCACAGACGGGGAAGATTTGCTGCCTAAGCTTGAACCGACCGCAGGACGGTGAATCAGGGAACGAATATAGTAGTATGCAAGGGACTGCAGCACCGTTAGCGGAATTACCAATGCCAGTTACAGCTTTATAACCAACCAATAATGCGGAACGGTTTCCAGTGATATCCGTTGATGGCTTATCTTGAACGAATGTGAGCTTGAGATGTGCCGGAAGGACATTGGCCCATTCGTTCAGCTCGTTCTCCAGAGAAATTAGGGATTGCAAAGACAGGTCATGGGTCGCCGCTGCGGGATAGTTCTGGTCCAGGACTTTCGAGAGAATTCGTGACACGCGGAAGAGAGCCAGAGCACTTGAAATTTTAGTGCATTCGCCAGGAAGTGTAGGTTGGAAACCCTTCTCGGTAACATACTCATCATCTGCATCGGAGGGGTATTCAGCATGGATATCTTCCTCCTTAAGTAATTTTGGGAGACCCAGTAGAGCTGCGGAAAAGCTAGAGAGAAATTAGACCGAGTCACAGAGAGGGGCTTTTGAAGGATGCCTACCAGTCCACAGTATAGAGAGTCCAAAACACTTTCTTCCGCGTCTCGATGGTCAAAGCGCCAAAGGAGAAGCGTTTCTGATTTTGGTGCAAGCCGAGTCGATGAGAGAGTGCAACAGCAATTCCCTTGTAGTGTTGTAATCGATTGTAATCGGCCTTGGAGATACAGTAGAGCAGAGCAAGGATTAGGCACTGAAGGGTCACAAGGGTGTTGTCCATAAGGACAGCTTCGAGAGAGGCGCGCCATTGATTCTCACACAGGGCAATCTGATCCCGCTCCGGCATATCGCTGGAAAGCCCCGCAATTCCAAATACGAGATGGAGTTGCGCTAACTTGTGGGGATCCGTCATCTGGTCCGGATTCGACATGTACTCTTCATACAAACGCAAAAAGCTAGGTTTATGAAGCACGGGGAAGAGAGGAGCCCACTCCTGGAAGAATACATTAACACACCTATCGGAAAACATACGTGGAGGCGCTGTTGAAGGGTTTGGAGTCTGAGCCGGAGAGGCAGCTGTCCCGCTCTGGACATTAAGAAGCGCTCCGGTGTTCAATCCCGTGACCGACTTCCCACTCTCCTGGATTCTATGCTTGAAGGTATCTGTTGAAAGGGTTAGGCGCGGAAATCTGTAAAACACACGACCCAAATACATACCGACAAAAGCTCTCCCACTTGATGCACCCACGAAGTACGAGCCCGAGTCCGCGTTTTCCGGTCCCAGCAAGACCGGGGAAGCTTGAACCCTGAATACATCCTCCTTCGGGGGCGTAGCAGACGGTTCCTTCGGGTTCTCCATCCGGGGAGAGGGCGTTGCCGAAGACATGGAAGGTCTCCGGTTCGAGCGCATCTTCGACAACATGTCGATCTTCTCGTCCTTCTCATCCAGCAGGTCCTTCAGCTCCTTCACCTCAGCCTCCAAGGTGCGCACCCGCTCCTCCAGCGACTCGGTATAGCCTCGAGGGAAGGCGCGCCGGCTGAGCTTATCGCTTGTCCGGCATTCGAAGCCGACATTGGCGCACTGAGAGCAGCAGGGCCGGATGCCATCGCAGCGGATCTTCTTGCTGCGGCAGCGATCGCAGGCCTGGGCGATGCGGCTCTGGGAGCTAGAGCCCACCTTGATGACCTTCATAGGGAGGATTCCAGGCATCCTGGCGCGAAGGTGAGGGAAACCTGGGAAAGTGAGGAAATGGGCGCACTCGTGGCACTCGGCCCTCGGTCCAAAGGGGTCGCCGCGATGTCGGACCAGTCAGACCTCAATAACTCATCCACCGCGCAGCTCGGGAAAAAAAAAGGCCAAGGGGCCGTTGCTCAACAAGAAAGACGCGTTTTGGGAGACTGATTGAGAGAGGGCGCAGGTCGCAAAGAGATGGTGAAGCGGTTGGAGGGGTGGAACATCGGAGAGAAGGAGAGATGGAAAGATGCAAAGTGTGGAGTTGAGTGGCACAGGAGGTGTGGAGTGTGTGGAGGGAAGGGAAGGGAAGAAGGGGGAGAGAGTGAGCTTCGCGGCTGAGTCAGCACTGCAGGAGGACGCATCCCGCAATTCGGTAAAAGTTCTTCGTTTGGGCTCTGACGGAAATCGTGGGCATTACTTCAGCAGGAATCTAGGGAATCTAGGGAATCTAGGGAATCTAAGGAATCTAGGGGGGAGACGGCGGCGTCTGGTTTGTCGAGAAGGACCTGGAGTGCGCCCATGTGATGGGACTAGAAGGACGCCTTTTTTTTCTCTTTAGCACCTCCATGGCACTGCGATTTAGGGTTAGAGCCTGGGCATTTGGCATCTTTTTTCTCTCTCCCCACGACTTCTGATCTTCTTGTGTCTCTCTTGTTGAGGGACGAACGAATAATTGTGAAGGCGCCGGGGCTTCACGCGCGGGTGGGTCTCTCAGGCCAAACCCTGCCTGGCCCAGTGGCCCCTAAGGTAAGAGAACCCCGCGTATGTCATCCTCTGCAGCTCTCCGGCATTTCCTGGTCCCGAACGGATCCGTACGGCATTCTTAGTGCTTCCGGCCACTCCCGATGGCATCATACCTTTACCTCGTCTCCCCTTCTGATGCGCTGGGGTCTGGAGACGGAGGGAAGGTGGAAGAAGAGTCTGGAGAGTAGTAGTATGGTTAGTAAACATGAATAGACTATGTATGTGATGGTCAGATTACGGAAGGGTGGCCAACTAAGGTACTTGCCATCCAGTGACATCCCCCCCTAATGCTAACAGTCTAACTGTTCCCAACAGCAGGGCTTTCCCCTAGGTGGTTTCGTCTGTGAATCTATAAATCCCGCACGGGAAGACGGTCTCTCCGAGTCTTCTCCCTGCCCCCGGCCCTGCCTCGGATGATGACTCCGGCCCTCGACCAATCACTGGCCGTGCACTAGCCGACCCGCAACTGTCCGACCCCGGCACCCCAAGATCTGCCCTTCCTGGCCTTGTGAGTAGTAGTGAGGGGATTCACGTTTGGCCCTGTTTTCCCCGCATTCTCGTCGTCGGGGGGCCTCTATTTTAGGACTTTAGGCATGCTCCAGATATGGAGTTGCATGCGATAATGCCGAGTACCTCATCGCACTTTATTTCTCTTAGTTCGCTTCCGTTGGTTTTTCCATGCCTGAGACGGCAGGACAACGACCCCCCATTCCCGTGTCTTTCCCGCGCTGAGCCTGCCTTCCAAGGCCCACCCCCGCAAATTGAAATCACTCCAGGCTTCGGCACTCTTAACCCCACTCAGCCATGCGCACTGTGCTAATGCTAATACTTCTACGTTGCAGACAACCCCCAACGACTTGGCCGCATCCCGCAAACCTCAAGAGTCCGCAGCTGCATCATCTCCGCACTCGTGAAAGTCCGGGGCAACACTGGCCGATTCAACTCCTGGCGGACTTTCCCCAGGACCCCCAGCCTCTCCGCTCCACCCCCGCGCCGAGAGGACAGCCCTAGCTCAACTAAAATCCTCCTCTTCATGATTATTGGCCTCGTGTGACTGTGGCTGTTCTTCGCTGGCGTTACCCATCCCGAGATATTCCATCACCTTTTCGTTCTCCAAGAGCTTGTTCTTCTGCCCAATGAGTTAGCCATCACAAGATCATGAACCATGAGGCATGGGGATTGTCTTCCCCTCACTGACCTGCATGTCTGCGGCGCTAAACGCAGCCTCCAAGATCGCTGTCTCTGTCTTTCTCAACTCCAAAGCGACGTGGCGCCGATACGGAGAAACATGCGTCATGGAATTTATTGATTGCAAGGTGTCCTCACTCTCGTAGAGACGCTCGAGCTGCTGGCGGATCCGATCTTGGAGAAGAACGACGACTCGGAGTCCGAAAACATCCTTGAGTTCATGGTTACTGATAAGAGCCTCGAATGTGCTGGTCGCGTCTGTTACATCGGAGCCTTGCCAAAACACCTTCAATTGGCTGCAGGTGCCGTCAGTCTGCTGCAGGATCCTGAATTCCAAGCCGTCTTCTTCGTTGAGACACATCAGGTACAAGAAGGGACTTTCCCATGTAATGCTGCCCCCTACCTCGGATATACTGATGATTGGTGGCCCACCAAATGCTGCCAGCTTTGCTCTGCCCAACGGATCATCTGAGACAGGCTCTAGTGTCAGGACCAAGCTACGCGTGGTGCTTTGTTCGTCAATGAACCCATAGCTGAACAGCATCTCAGCTTGACTTTTGGAAGTTCCATAGCTTATGGTGACTTCCGAACCTGCGTCAAGTTTCTCATCGCGACGATGGAGTAACAGAGCAACACTGTTGTTGGAGGTTTCTTCATAGAAAGCGTTCGCTTGATGTGAGTGGTTGACCATATCCAGACAGGGAACCATAGACTCGCCAGCGTTCGGGAGCTCCAGGCATCTGGATCTGTACCAGGCATCCACAAGCAGCCAGTCCGAAAACTGGAGTGCCTCCGACTCCCACCAACATTTCTGACACCACGGGATCTCCGCTGTCCTCTCACGAAGATTCCCGAATTCCCGAGAGAGCGCCGCCATCTTAGCGTTCAGGGCAGACTAGAGGATCTCAATCAGACAAGAACCCTGCATTATAAATCCACAATTTCCAATTTCTAACTTAGTAATGACGACCGGCACTGGATGCCGCGCGAAATCATTCAGATAGCAATGCATGTTGTGGGGATGTTGATGAACGCGCGTCGAGGAAACTCATTATTGACTTACCTCCAACGACGTCCCCTGTAATAATACCTCTTGCTCCCCTTCGTTCCACAGAGTCGGAACTGGCACTTCACTTGGAAGCATCTTAACATACTCCGTCCAGGGACTTGACAGTCCTACGTTCTGTCCGTGGTCTGGCGAAGCAATGGTGATCTGCATCAACAAGAACAGGAGCACATCACCCCTCAGGGACTATAGATGTCATCAGCACATTGAATCCTCATACCAAGAAAAACCTATGATAAGATAAAAATGATTTACCTTGCCGCCCGCGGCATCTAGCAATTGGCGAAAATGCTGGTCAGCTTTCGCATACTCTTCAATGGTCTCGGCGCACAGGGTAAGCTCGCGCGGGATCAGAAGAAGAGTAGGAGTGTCGAAGGTGTCGTCTGAGCTAAGTGCTCTCTCAGTAACCAATCCGAAGCCCTTTTCTCCCAGATCATGAACCCCAATATCCAGAAACGAGATGTCGTTCAATTTCGAGAACGCCGCCAACGCGGTAATCGGGAGCTGGGTTCTCCGCATCATAGATTCATATACCTCTGTATCGGATCGGATAATTCCTAGGGGTGGCTGAGGTCTGCTGAAAAGGAGGATAATTCGATCCTTTTTTGGGCGGAAAACGCGTGACGTGACGAAACTGGGAACGGCTGCGGGATGAGATGGGTTGGAAAATCACGTGATGCTAAGACAGCCGCTGTTTAAAGCAACGTTCGACAATCTCAAAATCATCACAGATGCGATGTGCAACAAAACCCACTATATCATGTGACTTCAATCTCAGATCCATCAATTTTGCGTTGAACAGACCCTTGTTTGCCCGCACACCCTGAGATTCCTTTGGCGGGAAGGGACGAGGCAGGGTTCTCGAGCGATATGCAACAAAAAGCTCTCTGCCATACGGTGGTTTTATAATCACGTGATATAGATCACAACCTACAAGGCACTTTAGGGTAAACAAATACCATATTTCTTTGGCGGGAAGGGTTGGGGTGATTCTCGAGGGATATGCAATAAAAGATCTCTCTTCAGCCTTGCGCTGATTATGACCATGTGATATGGATCACGAGCACTTTCTTTACCTAGGTACCTTAAGGTAGGGTACCTTAACATTGAAATCATGCCAATTCCTTTCTCTCATTAGAAAATCATCGAATGCAAATTAGAAAATGGTATCGCTCGTTCCCCATCATATATCACGTGCAATCCCTGTTGGATGCCCCTGGCGCCTTACTCCATATACCTTATATCGAGCACCATTCAACAGTCACCGATCATAGCCCTTGTAACCCTCCCGTAGTCTTCTCTCATCATACTCTTTGAGCCCCCTTTCTACATCCATCGGCTTCCCTATACCCCTTTTCCTATCCATCACGCGGTCCTCATGACTCTCCCCGATCTGAGCTCCCCCAAACCCCTGAAGCAAGCCAGACTCCGTATCTTGCCCAATGGCACTTGCTATGACCCCAGACCACGTCGTTGCCGTTTCGACATCCACCATCTTCTTCGACGGGCTGCGCCGGTCTTCAAAGCTTGTTTTCTGTAGATTCGGGTGCTCGTCCAGAATACTCCTATATTCCTCGGCCAGCTGCTCGCTCGAGCGCGGTGCTGGCCCGCCGACATACCCATCGTCCATAGGATCCTCAATCTGCTTGCCATATTCCAGATCACTGTTCTTCCGACGCAGCGCGTGCCGCCTGACCGATCCTACCATGCGCATGATGCTAACCATTGCTTTCCCCCTGCGAGAGCTCGGCAGGTCGGCGAGATCGTCCGTCTCCTCATGGGATGTGTAGCTTTCGCTCGGTTTCCGATCGGGCTTGGTTGCTGGTGCTGCTGCTTTGGAGGTGGTGGGAGGGGCGGAACAGTGGGGACAGAGGCCGTGATGCGTCGAGTAGTAGGTGTTTCTGTCGCACTTCTCTTTGGGCCGCGAGAGGTTCTGGGGGCAGCGTATCTTGTCGGCGAGGCTATGCTCGCACACCGTGTAGCGGAACACTTTGATATTGCACATCGTGGGCTTCTTGGGGGAACGAAATCGTTGCAGAATGAAGAAAACAAACTAGACTTGGGGCGTTGGACTCGACTTGGATATATTGGTGAGAGTGAATATTCCGCGTGTTGATTTGAATAGCCGACGGTTTGATACTTGTCAAAAATCCGGCAAGGCTATCTCCAAGAGAGAAAATGGACATTAAAAAGTGAAAGTTACCAATAATGCATTGTTTCTTGCATAGCTGCTTTCTAGGTCACTTCTCACCCCTCTGAGCTCTTGAACTCCTTTCTGCCATTTCCAGCGTCTACTTTAACTCCGTATTTCCACCAGAAGAGAGGGCTGAACACGACAACCAGGATGTTCATCCAAAGAGCAAATCCCCATTGCTTTAAAGGCAAGTGGATCTTCTCGCCGTTATACTGCTTAGAGATCTCCAAGAACTTCTTGGGGTCATCCGTCACGACCCCATCGACCTCCTTGCGAATGCTCCATTTCATCCATGTTTCTTCGTTGACTGTCCAAAGAAAGATGGACCGCTTAGCCTTCTTGACATCTCTGAGGAAGGCATTCCCGAACGGTCCAACCATTGCGTGCTGGAGCATGTTGAATCCGACGCCAGGGACCGCCAAGAATCTTCGCGCATAGGAAATCTTGAAACCAATATGTGTTATAGGATAACCCGGCAAATATTTCGCGCAGAGTGGGAGATATTGCTCCTTGTTAGGTCAGTATCTGTCTCGAACATTGTGAGTTTCTTGAATCGACTTACTGCCCAACAGCCCAGTAATACCCTCTTGTTCCAGGGACTTGACGTCTCGACCTCCGCCAAAGTTGCAGCTATTAACCTCATTATGTCGTCTGCATCATTATCGAGCTTGATGTCCAGCAGAAGCCAAATATCCTCTAGACCGGGCTCAGCCAAATAGATGAGCAAGTCCTTCAACCGTGGCATAGGCTCATGCGGCTCTTTCAACGTGCGTAGTGTCTTCAGGTAGCTCCAGTCGCAGTCAATGACCTTTTCTGGTTTGCCAAAGACTCGTTTGAGATCGGCATCCTGCCATATGAGCATTGGGATCTCCAACAGAGCTCATGGTTCCTTACATGAGATATAACAACCACACCATCTTTCGAGAGATGGAGATCTGTTTCGATAGCATGCGCTCCCACATCTACAGCACCCCTGAACGCGGCCATGGTATTTTCGGGATACACGGCTTTGTAGCCACGATGTGCGATGCATTGGGGCCGCTGGCCTTTGGCAACGGCAAATGGAGCTTGCGCATCATCAGCAACGTTGGGATAGGAGGTCATATAACCAGCGGTGACAAACCCGGTGTAGCACCCAAGTTTCCCGATAACAAAGGTTGTGATTCTGCCATCTTTGCACCTTATACGGGACGATGAACGGCTAAACTCTAGCGGCTAACTCGAATCGCGGGACGGCGGGTTTAACAGATCGAAGGTGAAAAGAGACGAGCGGTTGTCCATATCAACAGTCGTCCATGTTGATGTGTTGTCAAGTTATACACGGTACAAGGGGCCGGATTACTGTACTCCTGTACCTTATGACGGACTCTTCGGGAGTGGAGCGCAATGATGCAGCACACGGGATGTATGCTTATTATAGCTGTCGGCGCAACTCCAACTCCGAATATGACATAGGTGCGGTCTTGCCTTACCCAGAAGAGCTATAAAAATGCCACAGAAGAGCCACAAACGCGTCATAAAGAGCGCCATTTACTTTCCGAGGGACTTGGTTGCTGTGGAATGATCGGTAATGATACCTGAATAGTTTCGAGCCTTTACAGCCAAACGATGCGGCTTGCCTCCATCGTAAACCAGTCTGATACGCCAAGGGGTGAGAGGTTGCCAAAGTCTAAAGAGCAAGGGCTGCCAACCAATGGCTATTTATGATAGTGCTATCGATAGCGATAGCGATAAAGCAAAATAATGCCTCACGGAATACACCCACCTGTTCTTCTATTTTCAGGGTCGAAAATACAGTCAAACAACAGACGACCATCAAAGGCTTCAACTCCAATCCGGCCTCCCTCTGGGGTCGGCGGCTTGCAATCCGACACTTCTCTTGCTTAACTCACATCTCCGCCCTCTTTGATCCTCTCCCTTGTCAGTAGATAGCTTCACAAGATCATGCAATTGTGATTATTATTTCTCGAACCTGAAAGCTCAAGTATTATTCCGTTCCGTTGGTCCTTTTCCTGTGTCCCCGGCTCGGCCCGCAACGCCAATCAAACTTTTCAACGTGGAGACTCAACTCCGGTTGATCTTTTTCTGTTCCTGACCCCCGACTCCCTGACTCCTGAATGCTGGAGGGCGACATCGACCACTCTTCCATTTGCGCAAGTAGGTACGTCTTATTTCATATTCGAAAGTTCTGGAGTTCCATCCTATACATATGCACCATGTCATTGCATTGCGCGTGTTTCTTCGGGTCTTAGTTCAAGACCAAGTCCAAGGCCAACTCGTAACTCCTTTTGAGAAGTGAGAGTAGTCATGGCCGGATCTGTCGTTGACATCGTCCTTTACGTCTCCACCTAGAGCATTATTTGCACCAGGCGGCTATCATGGTCTCGAGACTTCTGACCTCGAGTCTTCAGTCCCCGAGCCTCCTGGCCACCGCTTGTCTCGACCCTCCAGATATTTGTTTTTCCCATCTGCATTTGCCCCTATTTCCATCTTCACTCCTTCCCTCTCCCTATCCTATTCTATGCGATCTGACCCCCTTCTATGCATCCCCATTTTATCTATTTTTTCCTCAGACTTGAAAAGCAGACCTGTCGAAATACACTCATTCTCCTCCCTTCCTAAATTCCTCTTCGGGACTCGTTAGAGTATGGATTCGTACACGACCTCTTACACCCCACTGTCGTGCAGACACGCCTCTCGCATCTACCAAGATCTCACGAACTCCGGCCTGTTCTCGAGTCATAAATATACCGATGTCAAACTGTCAGACAACATCATGGAGCTTTCAAAAAAGGTAGGCAGTCCCGTACAAGCCCGAACAGATACAAGACTTTTTTTTTCCTTCTCCTTTTTTTCTTTAGCTCAAGAGGATCAACATCAAATACCCCCTGTACAGCTTCTTTCCCATCTCAACTTGGCTTGAAATACCCCAGTAGGAGATCGTAATCCATTGCTGAAGTGTGGATTGTCTGGGATGTTCATGTCTAGCTGAAATCAAATTACCAAGACCTCGCTAACCATGCATCAAGCTCCGTCTTACGGGTTCTTCGATGATACCCAGAATATGCGTAGTCGGCGCTGGAATAGCTGGTCTTCGATGTGCCGACGTATTACTTCAACATGGATTCAAGGTCACAATCTTGGAAGCACGGGATAGAATTGGAGGTCGTCTGCACCAAACCAAGCTTCCTTCGGGTCAATTGGTTGACCTTGGTCCCAACTGGATACATGGGACCGAACACAACCCAATTTTGGATCTTGCAAAGGAGACCGATACACCCTGCCACACTTGGGAAGGAAGATTTAATGTATTTGATGAGGCAGGTCACGAATTAAAGAATGGAAAGGAGTTAAGTGAAGCCATGTGGGGTATCGTGCTCCAGGCATTTAAACACTCTACTGAGAACGCATCAACGATCGATCCTAAAGAGAGTCTTCACGATTTTTTTGCCGAGAAAGTCAAGGAGGTTTTCCCAGATGCAGCCAGCCACGAACAACAGAGAAAGCTTGTGATGCAGATGTCCGAAATGTGGGGCACTTTTGTTGGAAGCCCGGTCCAAAGGCAAAGCTTGAAGTATTTCTGGCTGGAAGAATGTATAGAGGGAGGTACGTCGGTTTCCCATATTCATATATCAATTCTCTGCCAATCAGAAGCATTGTTTTCCCGATGGGTTTTTATATTAAGGCTGCTTTATACCTGTCAATTGTTACCATCTATTTGCTACTTATTTCGCTACTCGTATTTTTCTCCTTGCCCTGTGTCACTTGTCAACTTATCAGCAATAATGTCTTTATTCTCAGGCCATATATCCTCATTTGGTAATTTAAAAGGCTGACAGTTACCAGAGAATCTATTCTGTGCGGGCACGTATAAGAAAATACTTGATCATATTGCCAAGCCAGCGCTCGCAAATGCCGATGTCAGGCTTTCAACAAGAGTCAGAAGCATCGATACTAGCGCCGATACTGTTAAAGTCTTCACTGATGATGGAAATGAGTTCCATTTTGACGAGGTTATCGTCACGACCCCACTTGGATGGCTCAAGAGAAATAAAGAAGCTTTCGTCCCGTCGTTACCCCCACGTTTTGCCCAAGCCATCGATGCTATTGGCTACGGCTGTCTCGAAAAGGTTCAATCTTCAGTTTGGTCATTGGAACTCAAGAAAATATCTAACTGCGCATAGGTATATATAACTTTCCCTCGAGCGTTCTGGTTGGAAGATTCAATCCCATCCGAAGAGCAGACTTTCACCGGGTTCACGCAGTGGCTGTCCCCTATGCACGCACCCGACACGAATCCTCAACGCTGGGGTCAGGAAAGTGTTGATATGTCCACTCTTCCCGAATCTTGTTCTCATCCCACCTTGCTATTTTACATATTCGGTGATCAATCAATATCTCTCTCAAAGGAGCTCGCAGCATTACCATCACAGGAGGCACGAACTGCTCACCTGGTCAATTTCTTCAAGCCCTACTACTCATTGCTTCCTCACTATGTTGATGGTTCAAAAGACTGTACTCCAGCATCATGTCTCGCGACAAGCTGGGTAACCGATGAGCTGGCTGGGTACGGTAGTTATAGTAATTTCCAAGTCGGTCTTCAAGAGGGCGACAAAGACATCGAGATCATGAGAGAAGGGCTGCCTGGTAGAAACCTCTGGTTTGCCGGCGAGCACACTGCACCGTTCGTGGCCCTGGGAACCGTCACAGGTGCGTACTGGAGTGGCGAGGCCGTGGCGAAGAGAATCGCGGACGCGTATGGGAAGGGAAACCTATGATAGCGTCGTTCGCGCATTATGAACCAGCGAGGTAATTAAGGCGGGGTCAGGGTCTGAAGACAGATCACTAGAGGTAGGACGAAGCATCATGTAAAATTAGGCATTTAAAGAATTTCAAAATTTTAGGATTGCGTGGGATAGGACTGTCAGAATTCATAATATCGGCGCTAGTAACGCCTTCAATCTTGAGAGGAGAGGTTTTGGATACTTGAAATCCATTTGCGTACTATTATTGTGGTGGTATATGTATAGAAAATTACAATCCCGAATATACAATGAAGCAATTCAAAGTAATTGCTCCAATGGCGCAATGGTAGCGCGCAAGACTTCTAATCTTGAGGCTGTGGGTTCGAGTCCCACTTGGAGTGTATTCTCTTTTTGATTTTCTTTTTTTTTTTGGGCCTGAAGCGACTTAACCAACACCTCCCCTGTGTTTTTGTTTGAAATGGAAGTTCTGTAGTTGAAATTATTTTTGATTGAATTGGTTTCCGGACTAAGGTTCGTTAAAAATGCCGTCGTAGTTTATCGATTAATTGATAGACATATACTGCAGTACAGCCGTTATCTACAAGTTCACACCCCCTATTTCTTTCCCTTTACTGGCTCTATTTCTCCACGCCCGATTTTCTCTGGCCTCCAGTAGCTTCCTTGTAATGACATCAAAACCAACCTGGGGGATATCTTAGTAAAGTTAATCAATATCAACGTTGTACCTTTGCTCATAGGGGTTATCTATTCGCTTGAAAAAGGAAAGGGGAGGAAGGGGTCTTCCGAGCCCGCTCGCTAAACATTCGCTCTCACTTCCAACTACAGTACAGTACCTACAGTGCAGTACTCTAGGGATTCCAGGACAGCCCTGGATCCCCAACTCCCCTAGGATGCGGACGTCCAGAATCTCACAAGAGACGTCCAAGCTCGTGGCCGCGAGCACCCCAGCCGTCGGCCGCCGCACTCGCTCCTCGCTCGCACGGTTCGCGCACGACGAGAGCTCAACCCCGGATATCGAGGATGCCATTGCTCCGCCGTCGCGAAAGCGGAAGCGCGCGGGCACGCCGCGAGAGCCCGTGAAACGGTCGCCTTCTCCTCGAGCAAGCAGCACGGTGATAAAGCAGGAGACGGAGGTTGTCGAGGCCGGTGTCGCGGTGGGCAAGGAGCGGCGGGTGAGGCGGGCGGCGCGGCAGGTGAAGGACGAGGAGACGGGGGCGCTGGAGATGCAGGCGCCGAGCGACTGGGAGGAGATGTACGCCGTGGTGAAGGGGATGCGGACTGAGGGGCCGGCGCGTAATGCGGCGGTGGATACGATGGGGTGCGAGAGGTTGGCGGAGAAGGGCGTCAGTCCGCGGGTCAGAAGGTATCAGACGCTGACGGCGCTGATGCTGTCTTCGCAGACGAAGGACACGACGAACGCAGTGGCCATGGCGCGGCTATGCAAAGAGCTGCCGCCGCACAAGGAGGGCGCGCCGGCGGGGCTGAACCTGGAGAACGTGCTGGCGGTGGATCCGAAGCTGTTGAATGAGCTGATCTGGGTGGTCGGCTTTCACAACAACAAGACGAAGTATATCAAGGCGGCGGCGGAGATCCTGAGGGATAAGTGGAATGGGGATATCCCCGATACGATCGAGGGCTTGACGTCCCTGCCAGGTGTCGGGCCTAAGATGGCATATCTCTGTCTCAGCAGCGCCTGGGGCCGGACCGAGGGCATCGGTGTCGATGTGCATGTCCACCGCATCACGAATCTCTGGGGTTGGCACAAGACCAAGAACCCAGAGGAGACACGGCTGGCTCTGCAGGCATGGCTTCCGCGAGAGCTTTGGCACGAGATCAACTGGTTGCTCGTTGGCTTTGGGCAGACTGTCTGCCTTCCTGTTGGACGCAAGTGCGGGGAGTGCGACCTGGGTCTGAAGGGCCTATGCAGAGCTGCTGAGAGAGCAAAGGTTAATATTGGCAGGAAGGCTCGAGAAGAGCTGATCAAGAAGGACGAAGACGGCGATATCGTCGAGAAGGTAGAAAATATCAAGGTCGAGCAGATCACCGAGGAACTGCCGTCCTTGCCGATGCTTAAGCAGGAATGATATTTCTGCACTGTAATAGCGTGCAATCCTGGAGGATGCCCACAGAATATCCAGGCCTCGGGCGTGTATTATATTTATAAAGCCTAGCAGTGAAAGGTCTTCGATGTTACAACATCTGTCTAGACTGGGTGTTTAGAATCAATTTAATAGTTGCAAGCAAGCGAGACAAGTGAGAAGAAACAGCAGTTTCAATTAGCTACGGTAAGCAGGCGATTCGGAAGCCATCGATCTCCTCTTAAGGGCTGCATACAAAGTAACGTAGAACCGGTGCTCTCCATATCTCTGGTCTCAATTGTCCTCTTCATCCTCTCCATTCTCCTCTGGCGGAAACCACACGTCCAAATCCTTCCCATCCAGATTACCAGGATCCTCAAGCACCTCCAAATTGTGGGGAGAAAACCCGGGACCCATCATCTTGCTGAAAATAGACTCCCAGTTCTGCGGGAATATTCCGTCCACTTTCACCTTTAACTTTCCATCGCGAACTGCCTTGAAGATCTCCGGCTTGAGGATGGGTTGGAGAATTGTGCGCAATGTCTTATGTCCAACCAGGCCCGACGACTGAATGACGAGCGAGAGGGGACAGGCTCCACCTCGCAGATCATCGACTTCCTTGGATGCCAATGCAGTTATTGTCTTGCAAATCGGCCAAAAGGTTCTATGGCATTCTGAAACCCAAACCATGTTCATGTAATCTTGTAGAAGGGTCTTATCGTATACCTCAATCATCAGTTCGACATTACGGAGGCGATGGAAGACGTGCTCGTATATCAGACCATCATGCTTCACCATATCGACAGCTCGGCCGTTGCGCAATTGACGTATAGTTGCAGAGGCATCTCGAGGACTGTCCACACGATATGGAACCCCACCATATCTGCAATTCCATGGTAAGTATGGAACCTGGAACACGTTCTCATGGCAGAGGATCTTAGAGGCTTCATTGTACACCTGCAACGTGCTGTATCAGTATCAAATTCAGGATAATATTTTCCAACCAAAAGATAGTGGAAAGGGCTTATGAACACGGTCCAAAGATATCGTTTGTGTACGTAGGATGACAGTCTAACTCAGAGGCACGTACCTGGCGGTTTGCCACTAGTATTGCGGTCTCGATTCCACCTTGGGAAAGGCAACCACTGAAGTCAAGGCGGATAGGGTAAGGGGACTTGGAGACAACCAGGTATCGGTAGATCATGTTCCTGATCTCGGGGGAGAGGCGAAGAAATGGGAATGGATCATCAAGCTGAACTTCCTGGGAGGACTTCCGAGCCTTGCTACGAGCTTTGCTACGAAGATAGCGGTTGTATTCGACGGTGGTGAACGATGTTGTCTTCTTGACCTCCGTCTCTTCGTCCGTGAGTTCAAAGGTATCGTCGTTCTCTCTGTCAGCGCGGCGAGTATCAGGTTCGGTCTTGATTACCGACTCGTCCTCGCGACGACGACGCTTTCGGCGCTTCGGGGGCATGGTGAGCAACTCTAGGTCGCAAGGTTAGCGTCATACCTTACTCCCCAAATGGAGTTATGAACTCGATAGAACTTACAGTGAGGTTGCTGGTGGTGGTGGCGGTAGTGTTGGGGAGTTGGGGTTGGTGGTGTTGGTAGATCGAGGTCGGGTGGATCGCGACCAGAGCGAGATCTATGAACTCTCGAGGTGGGAAGCGCGGGAGCAGAGGGCCTCATGTTTAAGAAGTGAATGGGAAAGTCTGATCGTAGAAGTAGATCAGCTTCGATTTCTCTTCTCCGATGAGGTGGGTGTTGCGAGACGTCCAAGAGCTTTCCGGAAACGTTACGAAAGGGACGCGAAAAGCGATGCTGGCAAGGGAAACGAGACGGCAAAAGGGGGCCCTTTTGGAAACATGCAGTGGCCTAGGTCCTTCACGTGTGAATTTAATCATGAAGAACGACTCTCTATGCTGCTATCAACCTTGATAGTCCTTTATTCTCAATGCAATGACCAATTTGTTAAACACAATAGAAGGCTCTAGCAAGCTTTTGTCAACAACGTCAACAAATGCTTCTATGAAGCTCTCGAGAATAGAGAAGATAAACGGACTCAATGAGCGGTTTCCCCCAGGAAACTGCTTTGCAACGGTAGGAGAATCAGGTCTCAAGGCCTTGTTGAGCTTGATCAGCCATAAGAGAGAGACATCAGGACCGCTTGTCAGATCAGGAACTTCTCTACTCTATTGTTGGAAGGAAATTACAGATATTAAGAGCAGTAGGATACGGTATGTATAATGATGGTAAGGGTTGAGAGGCAAGAAGGCCTTCCTTCTCCTGATTCTGTTGGTACAGGAAGACAAGCGCAAGAGAGCGATAGGGTCGTCTCCACAGCCGCACAAGAGACTGCTCTCACATCATTTCTCAACCTCTCTGGGCCTCGCTCAGTCCAGTCCTACCTACGAGGGATACTAGGTAGGTAGATACTGTTACCGTGTCTGCGTATAGGACTCTGTAGACACGACTCTGTAAGTAGTATTGTGCTGTGCTGTGTTGTGCGGTATCCTGTCCTTACTAAGGTCTTATAGGAGATTCGTGCCTCCCCGCCTCGCCCTGCAAACCGCAGCTAATTTGCTCCATCAACTTACATAAGAATAATAATGATATAGATCTTGTCGTTACAGCAGAGTTACAGGACGACCCGATATAGACACGCGGAACGGTGGACGGTCTGCACACGACTGTATGCCGAAACGGCTGGAGTTCCACAGTGCCACAGTGCCAGCCAGCACCACAATTCGAACTGCCACCGGCACGGGGACTGCGATCCCCAGCAACGATCGACCTTCCTGAACGGGCCAGGCCAGTCCACGCCACGCCATATCAGCCCGGGGTGAGGTGATCGTGCCATTGCGGTGATCGCGGTCATGCGAGGCCTGGCGGACATGGGGGCCCCGGAGGGAACCTTGGCAAGATAAGGAGAGAAACCCCGGAGAGGCGGGAATGCCGCCAGAAGCTGTTCCCGACCGATTCCCGCGGCGTTCTGGAAACTTTCCTGTTGTGGCGCGCATGATCATGCGGCGGTGTTGCTCTGGAGGGAAGAACTGGCTATGGAGGAGAACGTTCAACGTAGAAGTATAGAGGGACGATCATGCGAGGAATGAACGTCGGGGACTCTAGTCTCTGGGCTACGTACCTGAAGGATTGCTCTCACGATAAGCTCACCACTAGGCAAGGTTCTGCGGGAGCCTTTCAAGCGGCCTTTAAAGCTGGTCTAAAAGGTTGACGGAGCAACGATGGCTGATCATAGGGGGCGACAACGTACTACCTTACTCCAGAGTACAGAGTGAGCTGTCCACACGACGGCACGCCCCGCTCAAGGCTCAAGGCTCAAGCCATGCCAGACTCCATATCTCCAAGACTCCAAGATCCTCCAAGTCAAGGCAGTCATCCGTCGTGCTCACTACAGAGTATTGAGCAAAGTCCTCACCAGGCCACCTTATCAGTATGCCGTGCAAGGTCCAGCCGCAGCCACAGCCCCACCGCAGTGATCGAATTATTTCAATGCTGATTGGCTGGTGATACCGTCTTCTCCAAGTTCCAAGGGAAGAGGCGCTCTTGCTACTCGAATTATCACAGACTCAAGAGGCACAGGCCAAAGGGAATACCTCCGTAATGTATCTGGTCGATAGCAGGCTGATCTTTTGTCTCCCCCCCTTTACGTGGTAGTCCCGATCCAGCAACGCCTCCAATTACAGTATACCATCTCCGTAACATTGCAGATCAGTGCAGAAAACCCCCCTCCCCCATGCTGCTTTACGGAGCCTTCCCTTTTACAAGAATCTTGATACTACAGTACTACTATACTTAGCAGTACGACCTTAATTTACGGAAGAGCCCTGAAACATGCGTCAACTTCGATGGTTACATTCTGGAGAACAATAATCGAAGGTTTGCTAGAATAGCTACAGGGGAAGAGGGAACGGGGGAGGCCCAGGTTGACCCACAGAAAAGAGTACATCCATCACAGTGCATGTGGCCTGCGCCAAGGATGTACCTCCATATTGTTCCATGGCTCGATCCTTCAAAGTTCGGACGGTCAGGCATTCTTACTGGCAGATAGCGGTCTCGCCGAAAACCCAAAATCGACGGCTGGGAGCTGATACCACCCTTTGCGTCGCCGCGCTTCTCTCTCGAGACATCGTATGCTGATAGCTCCGATAAACCTGATACTCCCAACACCACAAACAGGCGCAGTCTCTCCCGTAGCGACGACGTGCAGAAGGATTGAGGAGACGAGATCAACTCCAGTAGTGATGTGGTCGATTTGCTCTCAGTACCTAAGTACAAAGTAGCAATATACATCCGTACTAAACTGGATGGAAGCTCCGTCCTGCGTAGCGCGGCATGAGCGTGATCTAGGACCCCAGCGAGAGCCCGACGGGGGGGGGGCTGGCTAATCAATATTACCGTAACGGTAAGGAGCCTATTGGTGTGGAGCGGCTGTTAGTTGGAAGTGCTCCAATGTCTCAATCTGGATCCCCGCCAGGGCTACCCAGGACTCCAGGAAAGTCTGCCAGTCTCATGCCCGCCTGGCACCAGCGCTGCTGTGCAGGACTGCAGTAGTCTGCAGCTTTCCTGGGGCGGGGACTTGGAGTTGCCTACGGATAGCCCGAGGAGGCGGGCATCCTTACAGAGTACCTAGGCTCTAGAACTGAGCCAAGGAGTCGACTACTGCTGTCAAGGACTCGCAATGCATGCCGGGATTCTGGGCGGGAAGGCTGCGAGCCGCGAGGGATGCTGAGGCGTGAAGGCGTACTACGACTGTGTGAGCAGATCCAACGAATACTCCGTGGACTAAGTCAATCCTACCGCTGCCAAAGCACATGGGCATCGTGGGAATCGCTGTGTAGGGCCCCTTGACAGGTAGTGGCGCGCTGTGCAACGCTGCAGTCCTGTACGAACTGCAAAGCGTTGTTATAAACCGCCCTCTTGGGACCTGTCAATCAACTCGCAACTCACCATTTACCAATTATTCACCTACCGCATCCATCCATCCATCCATCCTTCTGCGCACCGACCTGCGTGCGGAGTGTGGTGTATAAAGCAGAGGCAGCCCTCCTCTGTTGCTCACAACTCTTTCCCCCCCCTCTTCTCCTCTCTTCCCCTCTTCCTTTCTCTGTCGTCCATTTTGTCACTTTCCTCCTCCCCATTGGGACTTGCGCAGGACTCGCAGTCATGGAGAAGGATCAGTTCAATGTCCACGAGACATCCGACTACAACGGGCATCCTCATGCCACCTACGTCGATCCCGCGACGGGCATCGAGAGCAAGGATGGCCGCATCCTCGAGGCTTCAGGTGTGTATGGCGACGTGGCAACCGCCGAGGAGTATGGCTATGTGAGCAGAGGGTACGTTCAATCCGCGACGAGAGCGCGTCGAGCTTCAGGGCTGATCACATCCCCGCTGTAGGCTCAAGTCCAGACATATCCAGTTTATTGCGCTTGGTGGTACCATTGGTACTGGTCTCTTCTTGGGTATTGGGAGTGCTTTCACCCGTGCCGGGCCCCTGTCTGTCCTTCTTGGTTACTCGTTCACTGGTATTGCCGTCTTTGGGATGATGCAGTGTCTGGGTGAGATGGCAACTTGGCTTCCCCTACCCGGTTCCATTCCCCAGTTCTGTGCCCGTTACGTCGATGATGCACTTGGGTTTGCCGTTGGGTGGAATGTGAGTTATCTTTCTGTTTCTGGGTCCCCCTCCCCTCCACCCCAGCGCACCACAGCGTCGCAAGCTCGCGTTTTGAACCTTCCTGGCTACGAGGACACTCCAGTACTGATTCCCATGATTGAAATAGAACTGGTATGCGTCCGCGATCACTCTCTGCGCTGAGATCTCTGCCGCCTCCATCGTCATCGAGTTCTGGCATGGCGCGGACCACATCAATGTCGCAGCCTGGATCTCAATCATCATCGTTCTCGTTGTCTGTCTCAACATTTTCGCCGTCTCAATTTATGGCGAGGCCGAATTCGTCTTTGCCAGTGTGAAAATTATCACCATTATCGGACTCTTGGTGATGGCTTTCATTGTTGATCTCGGCGGTGGACCACGCCACGACCGTCTTGGCTTCCGATTCTGGAAGCACCCAGGCCCTATGAACGAGTATGCCTCAACTGGAGGAGCTGGTCGTTTCTTGGGTCTCTTCTCGGTGCTTGTGAATGCTGCTTTCTCATATGGTGGTGTCGAGCTGGTCGCTGTGGCCGCTGGTGAGGCCGAGAACCCTCGCAAAAACATTCCTAAGGCTGTTCGCCGTGTCTTCTGGCGTATCCTGTTCTTCTACGTGCTTGGCTCTCTTGCGATCGGTGTCTTGGTCGCTTCCAACGACCCGCATCTGTTGTCGGCACAGGAGGCAGGTTCTCCAGGTGCTGCCCAGTCTCCGTGGGTTATTGGCATCACCAACGCCGGTATCCCCATCCTACCATCCATCATCAACGCCGTCATCTTGACTTCAGCCTCCTCGTCTGCCAATGCGTTCTTGTATACTGGATCCCGGTACCTTTTCGCACTAGCGCAGAACAGGCAGGCCCCGCGCTTCCTCCTTCACTGCAGCAAGGCCGGTGTGCCATACTGGTGTGTAGCGATCACTGCCTCCATTTCCGGCCTGACCTATCTCTCTGTCTCTTCTGGTGGACCGTCCGTCGTGTTCAACTGGTTCCAGAATTTGACGACCATTGCCTCCCTCTTCACTTGGTGCTCCATCTGCGTCGCCTACCTCCAATTCTACAAGGCCCTCAAGGCACAAGGAGTTGACCGCAACACTTTGGTATTCAAGAGCCGCTTCCAGCCATACACCGCCTGGGCCGCTCTCTTCTACTTTGTAATCATCATTCTTTTCAATGGTTTCTATGTTTTCACCGGCGAGCACCACTCGCACTGGGACGTGACCGGTAAGTACTTCTTCGAGACCCCCGCACCCCAATCAATACTGATTCAACCCAGACTTCCTCGCGGCCTACATCGGCATCCCCATCTTCTTCGCGTTGTACGGGTTCTGGAAGGTCCTTAAGAGGACTCCGTGGCACAATCCAGCTGATGCGGATATCACGACGGGCAAGGCCGCTCTGGATGCCGAGGATGGACAATGGCCTGAGCAGATCCCCAGGAATATTTTCGAGAGGTTCTGGTTCTGGCTTGCATAGATGTGGCCGGGCGCTTTGCTTTTGCCGCGTATTTTGTGGAGAGCGTCTGTCTTGGTTGAGAGTCACGGAGTTGCGTGTCGTAGTTTAGAGATATCCCCAGATAGCTTCCTCAATGTTTAAAAACAAAATATTGCTAATAATCTTGAGCAACCTTTTTAATGAATCGTGGGTGCGGCTCATAGTAGAATTCACCTGCTTCTCGAGACCTTGTTAGCCGCTTCCTTTCAACTCCAGGGCTTCCAAATACAGCTTCCTTTTAAGTATCAAAAAGAACCCACCAATCCAACATCATCAAGAAGTTTCTCTCTCTTCTTTCTCTCACCCCTCCTCTCTGTTTCCGCAAAATATTATTCTCCCTCCATCTATCCATCTATTCATTTCCCCAGGGTGGTCATCCAGCTCTCTTATATATAATAAAGCCCCATCCACCACTTTTCGTTGCCTCTTACATAATAGCCACTAATACCACGCCCTTCTGGGAGCAGGGGTTGTTCCTTTTTGACATTGCGGCGCGAACACGAGGCTGCTGGGGCGTCACGAGGGGGAAGGGGGGCTTCTCCGAAGATCGGATCGCTTTCTTTTTTGGGGGGGGGGGGGGAGGTGCCTATTAGTGTACGGTACGTACTGTGGTCTCTACGACTTGAGGCTCAATTAGGCACCTAGAGGTACTGAGAATTATGTTTGAGGCTGAATTTATAAGAAAGTTAGTTAGTGATTGCAAATGAGGATTGTTGGTTCTGGAATTCTTTGAATTCTATATACATATTCTTTTCTTATACAAAAAAAATGGTTATATACAACAATGCTAATATCTATGGTATCTTCTTCTGTAGCTACATTACGATTCTTGGAATACACTCTTTAGAGAAGAATTAAGAAAATGCTGGAGGGCTTTAACCACTCGTGTATGCCAAAAGGGCTCGCTTTGACTATAGTCATTGTTGTCGGCCGAGAACAAGAAGGTTAGTTATTAGAGGGTGGGAAGATTCGAAGCTCGCAGACACCGTCCCCGTAGAACAAGTCCTCTCTTCGTCCAGCGGACAGATTGGGCTCTTAAGAAAACGTGTAAGAACAGCTTGGCCTTGCATGAATCAAACAGAGACGAGCCTCTCAATCAAACTCAATCCGCTTCCCCTTCAACAGCTTCCCACCGACCAGCTTCCCCACCACATATCCCAAATACGCACCCGTGACGATGGTCACCGGCCACTTCTGCCACTCCCGATCCCAATCCAGCGGAATCGGGACGGCTCCCAGCCAGGCCCCAAGGAAGCAGCCCGCGGCGCCCCCGAAGATCTCGTCGATAGGGCTGTACGCCGAGATTATCTCCCTCCACTTCTTGCCCTCTAGTCCATGCACATAGATGAGCGGGAAGACGGCCAGGAGAGCTAGGTGTGCCGAGCTGAGGACCGTTTGCGGGACGTGTGTCGTGACTGGAGCGCCGAGGAGGACTTGGGCGGCGGTGAGGACGGGCACGGAGAGGAGGGCCCCAAGAAGGGCAAAGAATACAGTCTAGCATATACCCATCAGTACAAACGTAATCCACAGAGCGAGAAGGGGGAGGGAGGAAGTGCTACCAAAAACTTCGACGAGGAAGTAGCGTCGTTCGTCTTCTTCGCGCCAGGCTTTGGTTTTTTTGCAGGCTTGGTACTCGAGCCGGTGGCGGGCAGGCAGAGGATTGCATAGCTGGTCTGAAGAACGGCGAGGGGTAGGAGAGTGTTCAGGAGCGTCGTGGTGGGATCTGCTACCAGAGCTTGGAAGCGCAGGGCGTATGCGGACAGGAGCAGCGCTGGGTGGGCGTGCGAAAAGATGCGGGCGAGGTCCGTGGGAAGAAGTTCAATTGGCAATGAAGGCTTCACTGGGGAGGCCGGCGCCAGTGAAGACATATTGACGGGTCAATGAGGGCGAAATGTAGTGGTTTCTTGAGATCCCGGCGATTGAACACGCATCTGCAGCTTTTCGGTCGTCACGAGAGATCTTCAAGCGAGGTACAGACATGGATAGATGGATAAGGTATGCCAAAGCCTCATTTAGCTAAACGGCAACTACCTTACGCTTGGGGCCTATAGGGTCTGTCTAGGGAAGAAACAGTACTCGAGAGATCCGCTGCAAACGACTTTGTTCTTTTATTTTACTGATCTTAATCCTTCCAGTTCCGAGACCCTGAGACCCTGACAAATGAATGCAGATAATAAAAAGTGTTTACATGCCGTCCAATGTGAATCAATATCACCATTTTAACAACTCTTCTGCAATAGTTTTGTAGGTCCATCCATCATGGTGCTGTTGGTTCTGCTTTTGGGACAAGATTCCGCAAAGAAAGATCATACACAATGTCCTCGATCTTCTTGACATTGTACTTGATGCTGTCACTTCTACGCCTCAACGAATCATTCTTCAAGTTCAAGATCTGGAAGCCTGCATGGATGTCTTTGACGAATTGGCTGATCTGTAGAGGACGCTGGTAATCGCCCAGGGTGACTGAGTTGATGGCCAATCTTGAAAGCTCTTCAATGAGGGTGATAAGTGACTGAAGATATTCCTCGATGGTGATGTGGAAAGCATCTCGATCTTTGAGGTTGACAGGGACTGTAATTATTAGTTCTGGCCTGGATAGAGGCGATTGTCTTACCGTTGAGGATCTTTCCCACTTCTTCGATCGTGAATAGCTTGCCAGGCTCTGTAGCTACACCGGATTCTCCCACCCCACCAAGCCATCCACAGAAGAGCACTGAGAATACTACATTCTGGACGTCCCGTGTCCACATGTTATTGTATCTATACCATGTCAGCAAATTCGTGAAGACTTCGTGGGCAGCCTACTTGTAATATGGGGAATTGGAGGTTATATTGGCAAGCTTCCCAATGCTTTCAACCTCATCTTTGATAGCTGCTTCAGCAGATTGGATGACTGCCTGGACTGTAGGAAGTCAGAAACGCTCCAAATGAGGCATTAAAAGTCTCTTACGATGTGCTGCTGGTGTAGAATGCGCTCGAGAGAGGATTGATTGTGCGGTTCTGCCTTGCCTGTCCAGACTCTGTAGGACTTCACGGATCTGATCTCTGACTTCGGCGTCCTCGTCGATTTTGCTCTGGAGACTTTCGAAGATCCTGGGATCTATCATTCCAGGAGGGTTTGCCATGATGGTGGAAGTGAGTTCCAGATCAGATAATTAGGGCTTCGTCGACGCACTTTTCGCGATGTCACATTCGAAAATATTTACAAGATGGCAAACACAGCAGTGGCGGTAATGGGACACAAACAGCGTCTTCGGATTGACGTACAGTAGTTACCAAGTGCATATAGGCTTAGGGAGGGTTTGGCTTCGCACACATTTGGCAATCACAGTAACAAGTCTCAAAAACACTACTATGAAAGCATCTTATCTATTCCAGCACCGAAATGCTATCATATCCACCAAGCAGAAAATGCACACTGAAGTCTCTTCTTCACAGTCCTGGCAAGCCAGAAGTTGCAATGAAAAGAGGGTTCGCGTCAACTGGAGGCAGTGTAATACCAGTGACACAGTGGGATCTGACACTGGCAAGCCAGGAGGTCAGTTCCCGGGTGAGAAAAATAAGTATAATCAATGTTTCATCCTTAGATGAATTTCAGAGATTAAACTGAAAAGAACAGATACTACACTTGATCTAAGCCAATAGGCAAAGCTGGATAGAGGTCAGTAAGAGCCCGGTTGAAATGTTGGGGGTAAGAGTGGAGGGTACTCACAGAGCTGGAGAGGAAAGAAAGGATGGAGGAACGCCGTCCTTATATATCCATCGAAATCCGCTAATTCTTAGCGCCAAAGCCTACCGAATGCAAACTTTTGCAAGCGAGTAAGAGTTTGCATGGCGAGCAAACGAAGCAAACAGCCCTTCGCCAAAGTCCAAAAGTTCCAACCGAGGAGGGGTAGCTGCAAAGAAGAGGCACGTGGAAAATGATAACCTTATAAGGTACCACAGATGCACTCGGAAATACCTTCTCCATATTCTTACCTATAAGACCTAGGTAGGCATCCGTACATATCTCCGTGCTTCTTATCATTATCCCCGCGCTCATGCTCATGATCACATACGATCGACCACATACCTAGGTACAGTATTGTACCAGGGTAGCAACCGCGCTTTCAGAGTGGCCTTCCAATTTCCAATTTCCAATTTCCCGTTTCCTGTAGGACCTCCCTGTATTGATGTAAAATTCTGGCGGCTATGATTGACTTCATCATGATTAATTAGGAACACTTCTTACCTGAGAATCGGATTCTTCAATTTTGCCGTTGGCACCATCATAGGTAGAAAAGGCAAGGTACCTTAGGTAGGTATAGATTCCAGTTTCCTCTAGAGCCTCTGAATACCCAGACAGCTTTCCTTGCTGGAGGCCTACAATTGAAGGATTTATGATCACCCTCCCGCACCCGTACATTTACTCCGTGAAGCCTTTGCGGCATGTGAAACTCGGGAATCTACTTCTTCCTCGTACCCCATACCCCAGATGACGTACCTAATCTGGCATAGTGCGTGAACACTCCACTTGCCTCGGCTGTTTTCATGTGACGATGGGACCTGCGATCCAACATCTTACCTTAATTTACATACCTTAACTTCCCATTCTTCGATTTCTGCTCTGCCACGTTTGCGCATCCCTTATCATTATTCTCGCAGTATATTCCTTCGATTCCTACACCCGTTTCAAGCCGCACAACATGTCTCTCAAGAACCGTAATCCACCCTCCTGCTACACGTTGGACAGTAACTTACACTGCCGCAGCTGCATTTCCCTCCTCAGAGGCCTTCGACGTTATCAACAGCGCACTCGCCGCGTCCGAAGCCGACCGCAAAGATGCTCTGAAGCAAGGCAACGCCGTATTTGCCTTCACACTGAAGAACAAGGCCGGTGAGGTTGAAAGCTGGCATATTGACCTCAAGACGAAGGGAGAGGTTGGAAAGGGTCCTGGAGACAAGCCTACAGGTAATTATACTTTCTCCTTGGGAGTCCAAGCCTGTGAAGAATCCGTTTAACAGCGCCGACTATGATCCTCCATTTCCCTCGAGCTTCATGACTAATTCGCCGCCTAACAGTCACTCTCGCTCTCTCGGACGACGACTTTGGAAAATTGGTCAGCGGAAAAGCGAACGCCCAGCGATTATTCATGGCCGGAAAGCTGAAAGTGAAGGGCGATGTCATGAAGGCCACAAAGATGGAGCCGATTCTCAAGAAAGCGCAAGCTGTCAAGGCGAAACTATAAGCTACCCGACGACATGTATAGTATTGAACTACATTAGTTGTGTGCGAATTGAGATGAGCAGCTTGAAACTTACCGGCCGCTATTCCGCATGATGGTCGTTCTAAACAAATCACTTTTGGTTTCTTCCACAGAGAAGTGAGTGAGTACCTGTACCTTGCGGGATGCATTGTAGAGGCGGGCGCAACAGAGCTTATATGTATCCACCTTTTAATTATGGACGGAGTGAATATAAAGACCCTCTGCATAATAAACATAGAAATAGCATCCTACTTTCTCGTTGCAGCATTTGCTATCAGTGTTGTCGCAAAGCAGCACGATCCATGATTCTATGCCTTGATGCCTGACGCCTCCATATTCGTGCCTTGGTGCCTTATAGGTGGGTTGGCGACAATGATTTTCTAGTCATTTGTGTCAGGGTACCTACCTACTCTCTGTCTATGCCCATCAGGTTGATTCACTCAACAACGCTGCGGCCTTCATCTCGAGGATTTCGTGAAGATTCGAGATGCCACACAATTAACTAAAACCTTGCGTCAATCAAATACCATCTTCAACCTTTGGTTTTTCAACGATACATACATGCGCGAACATTAACTCGAACACTCGCGATCCGTCATCTCGAGTCCTGCGCGATCGACTATTTCATACGTCCAAGGATTTACGCCTGCGTCTGTGGCCTTCGGTCTCCAGTTCCCTCGAGGAGAGGGCTATTTCGAGAGATATCGATAGTACCCTGAGATCGTCGCGTCAGACCAGACAATATCAACAATAACGTCAACATCAACATGGAAGGTCAACAACGCGCTAATGCTGCCCAACTTGCAGCACGAAATATCAAAGCTGCAAAAGGCTCCAGACGGAAGACGCCTTTAAAACCTAACGGAGCGGTCCAACAATCAATGCCCTTCGGAGGGGATGGAGGTGGTGGTCTCTTTGGCGGGGGTGTACAGGCCACAGGCACCTTCAATTTCTCCGCTCCTGGAGGAGGAGGGCTTTCCTTTCCACCGTCTCCATTTGGCAACGGCAACATGATCCCTGGAGGTGGTGTCTCATCGCCGGATACATCGGAGAATGAGAGTGACCCGAGGGCAGACACAACAGGAGAGGAGGCTGCGCGGCGCAAGAAGGATTTTCGAGTAGGAAACGACCAAGGCAGCCAACCTGCTTCCTTTCACACACCGAACGCTTTTGGCGGAAACCAGCCGGCAAACCCTCTCAGTCAAGCAGGTTCTCAGGGGAGCCAAACAGGGAACATTTTCTCCTTCCAGCCAAGCATGTCACAACCACCAGCATCGCCTGCGTTTAACTTCGGCTCAACCTCAACACAGGAGAAGCCAGCGAGCAACCCGTTTACCTTTGGCGCATCTCAACCTGCTCCATCTAGCCCTGCCACTGGCTTTGGTGCTGGATCTACCCAAGATAAGCCAGGAAACAACATCTTCGGTAGCTTTGGTCAGCAGCAACCAGCACAACCAGCCCCCTCCTCAATCTTCAATTTTGGCTCCCCAGCAACAAAAGACAAGCCGGCGGTGCCCAGTACTCCATTCACCTTTGGTCAAAGTTCGACACAGCCATCGAGCTCTGGTATAAGCTTTGGTGCTACCCCAGCAGCCGAGAAACCTACGACCAGTATCTTTGGGACACCCCAACCTACTCCGTCAGCGAATCCTTTCGGATCACTTTCTCAGCCAGCAAGCCCCAGTATGAGCTTTGGGTCTACCCAAGCAGCCGAGAAACCCACTACCAATATATTTGGAAATCCTCAACCACAACCTACTCCAACAAACATCTTCGGATCACTTGGACAGCAATCAACGCCCTCCAACATGTTCGCAAATCCTACCACCTCAGCCCCTCCTGCCAGTAATGTCTTCGGACAGCTGGAGCAGCAACCAGCTCCGAGCTCAAGCAGTTTGTTTGGGGGACAAGGCCAACAACAGAACACGAACAATATATTTGGCAACTCCAACCAAGCACCAGCTACGCCCAGTGCCGCTGAAGAACCCAAGTCGCAACCCACCCCTTCAAGCAACATATTTGGAAACCTCAACAATCCTCCCCCTTCAAGTACCAGTCTTTTCAGCAGCCCAAATAAGCAGTCTGCACCAGCGAGCACCCTTTTCGGAGGCTCTAATATTCAGACTACATCTACAGGCGACCTGTTTGGACATTTGAATAAACCGGTTGATCAAAAATTGGATCAACCAAAGGTCAATGGCAATTCACTGAATGGCACTAGCTCAAAGACCGATTCACTGCCGAGCACGTCTAATACAATAGGCTCTTCACTATTTAGCCAGGCACCTTCGTCCAACCTTTTCGGGCAATCAAAGCAATCGGTAAGCATATTTCTCTATTGTGCGCCTCGCATGGAGATACTGACCTTACGTAGTTCCCTGCATCCGGCGCTGCTCAGTCAGATTCCAACAAAGCACCCAAGACCCCTACGATTACATTTGGTGCAAAGAAAACTTCTTTCCCCTCCACAACTGACGCCGCTAAGAAGAACGTCGACGATTCCACATCTCCGGTTAAGCCGTTTGATACACCTAAACCTGCTCCACAAGCACCTCCTAGCGGGATGTTTTCAACTCCATCCCAGCCAACACAGAAGCAGTTGGAGCCGAACAGCTCCTCGGTTCAGCCGACATTATCCACTTCGTCCGCATCTGCCAATGGTCTTCCCAATGGTAATTCTACCCAAGTGATTGACAGGAATAAGTTATATGAAGACATGGCAGCTGCAGCACGAATCACTGACGAGTTCATGCAACCGCTTGTACCGGCTCGATTCAATGAGGAGCAGAGAAAGGAGTTCTACATTGCCTACCGCATGCGTTCTCTCAACAAGGCTATGCAAGGCTTTTTCACATCGTTGGATATGGGCACTGAAATAAGTAACGCACTCGCGTTTTACCACGAGCAGCGACTCGTGATTATGGGGGGCAGTCCAGATTCGATCAGCGGTCCGAAGAGGAAGGCTGCAAATGACGAAGATCACGAGAATGAAAACCCCATTAAACGAAATAAGCAAGCTGAAGCTTCAGACTCGAAGCAGCCCGAAAGGGAGCAGACTGCTAAGAGCCCAGAAAAATCATCTGGTGGCAGCAAGCACCTCTTCTCTAATGGAACCGCGAGTCCAAAAGCGCCGCCTCTGGCAGCCCCACAGTCCTTCACGCCAAATCTAGCCCCTTCATCATCTCCTACAAAGGGAAAGAGAAAGGCGGAGGTTCAGTTGACGAAAGATGATGACGAGAGAGACGAACGAGAATCAAGACGTTTGGACCCCAAATTGAATGGAACGACTAGTGGCTCCAACACGTCAAACATTTTCAAAAACATTCTCGGCAGTCCTAAGAAGGCTAGCAGTCCTACGAAGGCTAGCCCAGAGAAGAAGCAAAAATCCTTGCCCGATGTTTCAAAGGATGATGCACCCCGGTTCAATCCGTTTGCAAGTTTACCGGTTCCCGCTTCACCCACATCTCTCACTTCTACTGGTTCTGCACCTCCTGCTGTATCCTCCAACAATCCCTTTGCATCTAAACCCACATCTACAACAGCCAATCCCTTCTCGCCAAAGCCCACATCTACAGCCGCCAATCCCTTCTCTCCAAAACCCTCTTCCAGCATCCCAAGCACGACCGCGTCTAGTTCTGCAGCGCCAAGTCCTATCAAACCGCCGAACTTTGGCACTGGGCCGGTGAATTTCTTAGCACAATTCAACCAACAAGCATCAAAGTCTGAGGAAGAGTTGATGGAAAAGGAAAAAGCCGAAGACATGGACTCTGACGAAGACGAGCAGGAATGGGAGGCTCGGTGGAAGGAGAAGCGAAAGGCCCAATTGAAGTCGATAGAGGAAGTTGCCAAGAGTAAACGTGCCACTTTTACTGGTGGAAAATTCACGTTTGGGCAAGAAGATGGTTCAAGCACCTCAAAAGCAACTACGGCGGACACAAGCGCTGCATCATCTGACAAGAGCATTGATGCCACTCAAGAATCATCGTCAAAGACCCTGTTCGCGAGCAATTCCACAGCAGGAAGCCCTGGAAACAGTATGTTCGGCTCAGTCAATGGCTCGCGGACGCCAACTCCTGGTCTCGCTGGGAGCAGTACAGGCTCGGTGCTGGACGGACATGTGCCAGGGAAACCCGTTTCTTTTGGCAAAAACATCTTTAGCCATCTCTCCGATGCCGATTCTGGTGCTGATAGTGGGAAGGATAACGACAAAGATGAAAGCGCAGATGAAGACACCGAGGCTGAAGAGGACTCCGAGAATAAAGATCCGGGGCATCGGGACAGCAAAGATAAGGGTAAATCCGATGCAAAATCTAACGAAACCGGCCAAGGAATTACACCGGCGAAGAAACCTCTGTTTGACTTTGGAGCTTCCAAAAGCAGTGGGGCTAGCTCCATATCAGGTACCAGCACGCCTGGAGGAAGCCTCTTTGACCGAATCACGAGAGACAGTACTGGCAACCCCATACGCCAAGTCTCCTCAGAAGAGAAAGAAAATGCCAAGCCAAACACAACTACTAACGTTGCGGAGACAAACAACCCCTTTTCCAAGTCTTTTACCGAGTCTTCTGATGCTCCGGCCGACCAAACCTGGAAACCAGATAGCCCGATCAAATTTGGTGCCAATCCAACAGTCAATGTTACAGCCGCTACGCCAACAAAGCAAGCGACCCCTTTTGCCAATTTGTTTGGTAACTCGGGTAATTCGGAGCCATCTTCTAGTGCGAACGGATCTCCAAAACCCTTCTCAAACCTTTTTGGCAATTCCACTACTTCAAAGTCACCATCCACATCAGGAGGCGTTGGTTTCAACTTCGGTGGCCAGTCAACTACGACTTCCTCACTCTTCCCCTCTGCGGCTGCTTCAACCACTACATCGCGGGCTACTTCGCCTGGTGGCACTACCGACGGTGACAGCGCTGCTGAAGGTGATCCCGATGCTGAACAACACGAGCAGATTAACCTTACAGCTGGTGGCCCCGGCGAGGAAAACGAAGATATACTGCACGAAGTCCGTGCCAAAGCACTTCAATGGATCTCCAAGGATGGTGTCCAATGGCAGACCAAGGGGGTAGGCCCTCTACGTGTATTAAAACACAAAGAGACGAACGCCACCAGGATTCTGCTTCGCGCCGATCCTAGCGGTACCATTGTCCTCAATAAAAGCCTTCTCGCCGGAGTCAAATATGAAGTGAATGAGAAAACGATCAAATTTCTGGCTGCGGGTGAGGAAGGCAAAAGCTTGGAGACTTGGCTTTTACAAGTCAAAACAGCTGAATTTGCTAAGAAACTTGGCGAGGTTTTGGAGGCGAATAAACCATCGTCTTAATCAGGACCAAGTCCTAATCGATTAACGGCCTCATATAGCGGTTGGAACGATACTCGTTGAGATGGATATGCTCAGTCTTACGGTCCGCTTGGAGAAGGGCGGTGACATGAGTGTGCACCTACTTGTAGAAATTGCGAGAATCATGATATATGGTGCATTTCTTCTTGAATCAAAAACACGGATCATCGGATGGCATGGGTTGGCGTTGCATAGCGGATGCTTTATAGTGCGCTCCCCATATATGTACAAGTAGAGTTTTCGCATTGTGTTGATATAAATCCTTCATCGTATTGCAATAAGTTCTGGTATATCTTCAGACACATGGTGAAACTCGACCCCGTACTCCTCGACCTGCATGGCCAAACCGTCATGGGCGTGACTGAAATGGATTTCAATAATTCACGTTTGTATTTTTGAATCTAATGTTGAGATTAGCTCTGTTGGAACCCCCATACCGACCGTTTAGGGTCTGTTCTTATCCCCCCTTATAAACGCCATCAACGCTGGGAATGGTCCAATCCTAAACACTGTCTATCTATCAACTCTTCTCCTGCTTCCCTATGCTCTCCTCATCATCCCCGAACTCGGTCACAATCCACAAGCAGAATTTCTCCCATTCTATAGACCACTGCTTCATTCTCTCCGCCCTAACTCCATTTCCAAGAGTAGCCTCTTTGATATCTTTGACCCAATCGGCGGCCGTCTGGTCTTCAAAAGCCGCATAGCGAACGCTATTTTCTGCCAGGGCCCCCAAGCCAGCAAGACCGAGGTTATCCCATCCTTGCAGAGCCTGCCAGAAGTCGTGCGTCATACCAGCAGTATCTTGGCCTAGGATAGCGGGGTCGTCGTTGCAAAGAGAGCAGGAGACACCTCGCGCAAGCAAGGCAGGTAGTGGATGGGACATGACCGATGCACATAGGCGAAGAACCTCATTAGAGATTGGGCAACTCTCGACGAGGATCTTCTTTTCCTTGACCATGTCAATTAGTAGGGGGTGTTTGTATAGTGAGAAACCGTGCCCGATCCTGCGAGTGCCGAGGAGCACGGCGTCGAATAGATTCTGGTCTGTGTCGCTACCATCGCCTAGGCACTCCCCGGCGTGGAAGAAAAACGGTATCTCGACTCCTTCCTGAGCACATTGCTTCCGGAACCAGAAAAGCTCTGGGAGCAGGTCTTTGAGAGGTCTTCCAGCGTCCTCTTGACCCACCAAATCGTAGCCAGCGATCAGATGAGGATACGCTAGCTTGATAGCGAGACATGCATCCATGTCCTCCACGATTTTCCTCTGGTCAAGAACTCGAATCCCTGTCCAGATCATTCTTGCTCCCCAGAACTCCTTTCCTTCCTCGGAAGCCTTGAAATTCTCAATCTCTTCACCGAATACCCGAAACATCTCATGAAACGTAGGTTCTGGAGTCTCTTTGCCTTCTTTGTAATAACGAAATGTAAACGACAGCCTCAGATCAACCCATTTGACACCGTCAGCGAGCAGCTGCTGCAACATTCGTCTCATGAATGCTCTGAATATTGGTTCGTAGAATATTATAGTGTTGAGGATTGTGAAGACAGAAGAGAATTTCCGCCAAACAGCATCGACTCCGTGGTGATGCTCTATTGATTCAGTACTTGTAATGGTACAACGCTGCTTCAGCCAATTCAGAAAACCTGGTCTGCCTCCATGCGGAAAAGAATCAGCTGCCTTTGTAAGGAGAACCGGTGTACTTGGAACATAGTCTGGGCTCCATATTGAATGTTCGCTCACTGTGTATAGTTAGTTATTGGGCATATGACCAAGTGCGAACAGGAGGGGGGATACATACCTTTTTCGGACTCATAGAATCGGAACTTCACAGGGGCGACCTCAAGCTCTTGTGCAGTAGACATTCTAGTCAAGCTGTATATGTGCATGCCTTTGGTCTCCAGCAGTGTAGCGAACAAAAAGTCGAAGTCAACCATGGCATCCATGTGAGCATGGAGAAGAGCGCCTTTTGGCATTTTTCTGATAATCTGCCATAATTGTGTTTTCTCCATGCGTTCCTTTGCGAGGCTAAACATCATTCCTGGGTATACATTCGTGCCTGTCTTCTGCGCGAGACTGTTCTCGAATTCCGCCGTCCATACGGTGCGTTGTTCATGCTCTCGAATACGACCGACAATTTCACAGGCTTTTTTCGCAAGAGGGGAGAGCGATTGTCGAAACGAATGATCTGGCGCTCTTGTAAGCTTCATTTTGGGAATTATGAGGGTCTACTTGCCGCTCCTCTGATTCTTTTCCTGGGCTATCAGGGCCTCACGGCCCGTCTCATACTGCTTGATAAAGGGTTCATCTTTAGCAGGCACACCTTGTACCAATTCTGCCCATTCATCTTCTGGTAGCCGTGAAGGCCAATCCATATCTCTGACCCGCGCCATGCTGTTGGAAGACGAAGAGGCTGGTCAAATTCGATGTCAAGAGCATTCGACTCTGCCAACGACTCTGCAAACGAGAGAGGGTTAGATCTTATAAGGTGTCCAAGGTCCACCTACGAGAAAGGCAAATCCTAAATAATAAAGACAGGTATCACAGGGGAAACGGAGACGCCCGAATATCGATCGAATCCCACTTTATACAGTATGAATCAGGGTACCCCCTCACACATTTCTGTCCACTCCTCAGGTTGCTCTCCACTGCGGGGCTTCCCGATAACAGAGGGCAGGACGAAGATACGGATACGGAGGGTTTGTTTATCCAGGGGGCACCGCTGTCAGGAACGATCCCTTGTCGTCTTAGAAAGGCGAAAGGCGGAAGACGAAAGGCTATAGGCTATAGCCCACGATTAAGAAAGAGTTGCGGGTCAATGATTTTAGGTCTCTTCTAAGTTCTATCGTCGGCTCGCTTATCGTTGGCCTTCAACATCGATTGGCAAAGGTGGGACGACAACGGCCAGGAATGAATAAGCGCAAGCGTACAGTACTTGACGCGCGGGTATAGGCTAGGTATGGCTAAACAGAAGCAGTGGTGATATAATTCTTGATCTATACATTTACTCTGCCATGCTGCAAAAGCAGTGACCAAGCATACAGAATCTAGTAAGGCTTCTCTTTTCCGGCTATATGTACCGTACCTAAGTATATAAATGGCCGTTTCAAATTCGTCCAAGAGAACATCCTACAGCATGCTTTTAGGCATATTCTTCAGTGCCTGCCGGACTCCAAGGTCACCCAAAACCTCTGCATTCAACTGTCAGTTGCATCTCATATATAAAAAGGGGATCAGACTTGCCTTCTGCGCCTCCCAGGATTGCATCGAACTTGTATCTGCACACCAGTCAGTACAAGGGAGCCACTGCATAGGACTGCCAACTTACGTTCTGTGGAACATCTCAATTGTCCTTCCCATGCCCGTTTGAGTGAGAGCTCTTCCGCCGAAGATCTGAACGGCCTCATCCGCACACTCATGGGCACTCCTTGTAGCAAACATCTTCAGCAGTCCGATAGGACCAGCAAGGTGGATAGACTGTTGCTTATATGGCATGAGAGTCATTTGGTATGTAATGTTCTCCAACCAGGCTTGGTTTGCTTCACAGTGTGCGATCATTTTGGCCAGCCTAGAATTGTGAGATTCTTTGTATGGGCCTCATGGCACAAAAATTACTTACTTTTGGCGTATTACTGGCTGCTCAATGAGCTTCTTCCCAAAAACGAGTCTCTGGTTGCTCCATTTGAGACATTCTTCTGTCACAAGTCGGCTCATACGGACCACGGCACCTAAGGTAGTTATGAGCGGAGTACTCTAATGACAACGAGGGTTCCTTTCTTACAGGTCATCATCCATCTTTCATGGTTGAAATTCGACAGTATCACATGAATTCCCTTGTTCTCTACACCAAGTAGGTTCTCCACGGGAACTTTCACGTTGTCAAAGGTGATGCTAAGAAATTTCTGATTAGTATGGACTGATTGGAAGTGAATGAAATGGCCGAACGAGAATGTACATACAAAGTTGTACCTGCTGCGGCAGAGTATGCCGTCTTAATTGGAGTTGTTTCTACCCCCTCACCTCTCTCGATAACTATCACCGAAAGACCCTTGTCTGTCATAATTCAATATGTTAGCATACTCCGATCTTCACCAAATTATGACATGTTTCAGTGGTTGGAGAGTTACCAGTCTTCACTCCGGTCACGAAATACTGGGCACTGTTAGTAATAGCTATCGCCAAGTTTCAAGAAATCACTCACGTCACAGAAGACTCCGTTTGTGATCCATTTCTTGGTTCCATTCACAATGTAGTACTTTCCATCCTTCGTCTTCTCTGCAGTTGTCCGGATACCGGCAACATCAGACCCGGCAAATGCTTCCGTGATGGCTAAACATATCTTCTTCTTGCCGCTAAAAACCTCTTGGGCAATTTTGTTTTTCCACTCTTCATTATTCGCAAATTGAAGGACGGCCGTAAGAGAAATGGTCATCCTATGTAAAGTCAGCTACGTAGAATCCCAACATCTTTCTCCTTGACCTACCCAGCCATGTTGCCATCCTGGAATCCGCGAGCATTCGCGCGTACCAGTTCTTGTGTTACAATTAGATCATGGAAGTAATCAAATTCCTCGCCCTTAACAGCTCCACCCATCAATTCAACGCCATGCAGATGTTTCCCTGGACCAAGACGCATATGGAGAATGCCAGCTTTGGACATCCTATCAATCAGGTGCTGAGGTATATGCTGGCCTGTTCTCTCGCATTCTTGAGCCACAGGAGTTATATACGTGTCCGTGAATATCCTCATCGCTCTCTGGAGACGACGATGACTCTCCTTATAGTAGGGGCTCTTGAATTGGGGCGTAAGCCATGTCGGCTCGCCGTATGGGACGACGCTTAAATCGCCTGGGTGGTGCTCAATGACCTGAGGCTTTTCTCCCTCGATTGTCCCAATGCAAAGATTCCCATATTTCTGGAGGACTTCCTGCCGGTGGAGGTTATAGAAAGCCTCTGTTGCGTCTTGTCCTGCCACTTGCTTCAAAACCGATTCTCCGCCAGGGTGCGCAGCCAGGAATTCGGTCACATCGTATACCTTTGAATCGATTACAAGCCAAAGTGAATCTTCTGTGTTGTTCTTCGCAACCTCGGCACGAGTCAACGACTGGTGAGGCATTGTGACGACTCGAGTTTGGACTTGGGGATAGCGGAGAGCTGCAAAAGGATTCCAGGAGGATTTATCTGCAAAACAGGAGAATAATGGATGGACGATTTCATAACTTCAGATATAAACTGGGGCGGCATTTGATCTGGAGGTATCGAGTGGGGTATCAAGGGGGGGGGTTCTCGGTATGCCGACTTGGCCCGTACTATTACCACGATTAACTGGCATTGTATGCGGCTGGAGTCGAAGATGCCGAGGTCCATTCAACCAATGAGCGGGACTGAATTACCAGCCTTACAGCTCAGTGCGGAGTCCGCTTGTACGGAGAAACGGAGAGGCATCTATGGTAGTACGGGGTACTCTAGCGCTGTAAACATCATATGCACGTGATATGTATTATCAGGTGACATGTGGAGCCCTTATCGATAGGGCCGTGTTAATCATGGACCGCGATGGACAGCGAGTTGTCAACGCACGTCTCACCTCCCGTCATTGTCGAGCATGAAGAACGTGGCGGACCCTTCACATACTTTTCTTCGAGTCTCATTATTAAAGTAACGGCCAAAGCCTCAAGCCGCCTACCAATAATGAGAATCAAGCAAAGGGTAGCGCTTGAGATTGTGCACGGCAGCACGGGGCCTTCGTGATCAGCAGCCTGCTCTTCACGAGTCACTACCGGGCTGACTTCAGAGCCTTGCCAGGATCAGAAGACCCGGCAGCAGTATAGTGTTATATCTTCATCTTTGATTTGGCTCCTGTCACCATGGCCTCCTACTTCCAAACATATTTCCAGGCGTCCTCCATGCCTAAACGCCTCCTCCAGTACGCTCTCTCACGACTGGAGATTCTCGATACCGATGACCTTGACCTTGAGAACTTGGATATTGCTTGGGGGAAGAAGTGTGTATTTGAATTCAAGGACATCGGCCTCCGGTTGAGGGTAATCTACTCCCTTGCACGCCGCTGACGAGGTCTTGGATGCTAACGTATTACACTAGAAATTAGAAAATCTTCTACGGCTACCGCCCTCGTTCGAGCCCACAAAGGCCCGTGTATTGCTTCTGAGACTCACCATACCTGTCGATATCTATAGCAGTCCAATAGTGGTCGAAGTCGACGGAGTTGAGTGCCAACTGCGAATCAAGGACAAGAATGGCCCCTCCACACCTCATACAAACCATGACCGGAAACGAAAGCGAACACGCCTGAGAGACCCCGACATATCGGATGATAATTCTAAGTCTTACACGGGGAAGGGGGATTCCAAGGAGGGGAACGATGATGAAGCGGACCCTGCCATACCAACAGCAGTGGACCTAGCCGAATCCTTCTTGCAAACAGAACCAGATGAGGAGAAAGTCGAGCTAGAAGCTGCTATCTTGTCAGAAACTCAGGACCTTGGCAAATCTGTTGCTTTGAGCGATGATGGAGAGAGTGATATAGCTGTGGGAACTGGCACAGCACTATCACTCCCAGCCTTCATGGCCAGATTCCTGAGGGGCATCGTGGATCGTCTGCAGGTCAGGATTCACGGCATCACACTCACGTTGAACGTTGAAATACCCAGCGATACTTCACGATCTTCACACTCACCCTCCACAGACCCGGTTACTGTTCAATTAAAGGTGGATGACATAGATATCGAAGGAGTCACACATGAGCTCGGGCAGACATCTACAGCCAGCGATGTCGCCCCAAAATTTATGTGTAAGAAGGGAAAGCGTCTAATTTGTCTCAGCAATATTCGAGGAGCTCTGATATCAGAAGCCGACTTTTTCTCTAGCCTTGCTAGGTCATCTGCCATGTCCTCACCATTGGTTGCCCACTCGACCTTGTTTGAAGAAACAAGAACGCCTTCCAGACCCCCATCAAGCATGCAGGGAAGCGAAGCAAGGAGCTCTGATGCCGTCTCTGAATCTCCTGATCGGTCATCCACGGCCTCAACTAGCAGGTTATCATCAAAATCGCTTCCAAAAGAGACCGACTTTCTCCCTTCGCTCCATGCCTCAGCCATCGCTAGTGACAGTGGCCGTTTTGATGATGCCTCGGAAGACGGGGATGATGCTGATCCATCGGAAAGCCTCAACGAAGATATCGACAGTGAAGCCGAAGCCGGAGATAGTATATATCAGAATTCTGCGTATCTGGACCAGGTTATGGAGAGCCAATACCTTCTTGAGAACGAGCAAGAAGATGGCAGACCCACATCTCCTCTCTTCCTCAAGGAAAGTTCTTCAACCGTAGCCGCCAGATCTCCTCTTTCTACTCCGAGGGCTTCGACTCATGCTCCATTATCTAAACGAGAGGAGGGCGATCGAGGTTATTTTGACTTCCGTTCTGGCACTGCAGGGAGAAGCGACCCAATGTTGCAATCAACTATATTGCCTACTCGGCAGCATCCTAGGTTTTCTCAAGGAAGGGTCTCACAGTCGCAACCATCCATTCCGATCGAGCCATCCTCACCATTAGATGTCGGTCAGAAACATCCAGTTCCAAACTCTGCTCCTGTGGCAGATGACACAGTTGAAAGTGGGCCTGATGACGATAGTTCAACGTCTGTTGGGGTAGACGACCTTGCTCAATCGCAACTTTTCAGTCATGAAGATGCTGAGAGTATGTACATGAGTGCAATCTCTCATGGATCAGCTGCTGAGAGAGTTCCTGGTGGCTGGGGGCACTCAAGTATTGGTAATGATGACTCGTTATCCGCAGCTCAAAGTCCAACTTCTCACGAGTCGCAAAAAGGACCATTGGATAATCTAGAGCATGCTCGTCGTACCTCTCCTGTACAAACTTCATCGGACCTCGCTGGGTCAGACCAGTCATTTGCATCTGCCCCACAATCACCACAAAAGCCAGGGGACGCCTCGTCTACATTGCCAACGTCGAACCCTGCTCAACAAATTCTCACAATCCCCCAGGCTTCGAGCAGCGTATCAGAACGCTCTACAGCCTCTTCTGATGAACACCACAGGATGACCAAGCACATCTTCAATATTGACGATGTCGCTATTTATCTTCCCGGAGCCACTGATAGAGTGTCCCCTGAATTAGCAGAAGTTGATCCAAACGGCACGATGTTTAGCAGTACTTTCAACGGCCATGGTGAAACTTCACGTTCCGCATCGATCAACGTTCCAGGAGCGTTTTCTACACATCTTCCCGCCAAAAGCCCGCCGGCGCGACCAGCTGTGCCACCAGTTTCGGAACCGGAAGCCGAGAGGGCAGAAAGTGTTGATAAGTCCATTGAGGTTGAGCTGGGCCAAGTCTCCGCCCACTTTGATGTGTCGGTCGGAAGACTCATCTGGAAGCTCGTGGATAGACTGAAAGATGCCCTGAAACAGCAGCCACCAGCCCCGGATCTGCCGAAATCAGGATCAACTTCAGCTGAAATGGATTTAAAGTTCAGTGTGGAACGGATTTCACTGATATTCCTGGAAAGACTTGAAGGATCTTTAGGGGCCGCTGCTTCTGAGTCTTATGGAAAGCCCTGGGTCAAACCTCCTGAGCCAGATATTCTTCTACAAACCACCATCGAGGGTCTTCACGTTAACACACATGCCTCAAATTCAAAGTCCGAAACTGCCGTGACGCTAAGGAAGTTTGCTTTTGGGTATGCGCGAGAAAGCATTATTTCTTTTGATGCAAGCCTCCAAATGCGAGCTTCAGTGCGAGACCTGAAAGCTTCGGCTGGAATTGATGTGGCGATAGATATTTCTAAAACAGCAGACTTCACTCGCTTCGACATAAAAACGCTGCCAATGCACATTTCTATAGACCTTCAAAGGCTTGATGAGACCTTTAGCTGGTTTGGTGGGCTTAGTAGTGTGCTGAATCTTGGAAACTCGATTGCATCAAATTCAACTGTCATCGCTACGAATCCGAGCAAGGCCAAACCTCGTGGTGTCCGATTTGAAGTACCCATCGATCCTGGTGATCAATCACTAGCTTCACAAAACAAAATTGATATCAGAATTGGTGGCTTCATCCTTGATTTGGTTGGCACAGAATGTAGCGTTGGAGTCGAAACATCAGCCGTCAAGATTGTTAGTCGTGATGAAGGAATAGGGGTCGGCGTCCACAAGATCAGATTATCTGGTCCCCACCTCAAGAGTTCCAACAGAGACCCAGCCATCAACGTAGAAATTACGACAACGCGAATCGAATACCTCCCGTCACCCACCGACGTAGATTTGGATACCTTATTATCTCTCATCACTCCCTCGAAAGTCAAATATGATCAAGATGATGACATTCTGCTCGATACCCTCTTACGCCAGCGAAAACAGGGGGCGGTCTTGAGACTCTCCGTCGACGATTTCCAGACCCGCATGGGTAGATTAGATGAACTTAACTATTTACCTAATCTTGGCGAAGAGATCTCCAGGTTGGCGACGGTAGCCAAATATCTCCCTGATGATGACCGCCCTGGATTGTTGTCCTTAATCACATTGAAGAAATTCGAGGCGCAAGTGGATGCTAGCCACAACTTGGGCACTTTACAACTTGCAGCAAGGGATATTGAGGTAGCACAGATTACGTTCCCGACACTTATAGCGCTCAGTATAAGTACCATATCTATCCGCCGCAATAAGACAGAGGAGTTGATCGGACCCGCAACTGATCCAGAGCTCAGAGAACCAAGATCGCGAGCTCCTGCCGTCATGGCACGAATGATCGGTGATGAGATGGAACCGATTGTGAAAATCAAGTTGTGGAATCTAAACTTTGAGTACCGAGTTCCTACGTTGATGGCGCTGCTCAATCTTTCAAACAATGCATCAACAGAGGATGTCTCAGCCAGCCTTACCGCATCAGTTGCAACGCTCACAAGTCTTGCACGGTCGACGGTTTTAGGTCCCAGGCTCAGGGAGACCAGACGACTCGAGAAGCCTAGCTCTACCTCAAAGCCTGTGACAATCGACGTCGTTGTTCATGATTGTACGTTGGGCTTAAATCCTCTGGGCCTACCTTCGAAGATGCTCGTCGTCTTGACCGAAGCCCATCTATCGGCCGTCTTACCCAAAGACAAGCAATCCAGTGCAACCGCGGAATTGGGTAAGGGCTCATTGCTCATCATTGACAATGTTGCCAATTTAACTTCGGGAAGCCGAGCAGTAAGACCTAGACGGCAATCCTTCGATGGCGGTAGTAGTCAAGTTGCGGATCTGTGTGCAATGGGTTTTGTATCGGTCAGCTACATCTCATCAGCCAAGGCTATCGTTCAAATGTCTACTGATGAAAATGGAGAACCGTCAATTGATGTGGAGTTGCGGGATGACCTCTTTGTTCTCGAGTCATGTGCCGACTCTACCCAGACTTTGATTGCCGTGCTAAATGGACTGACACCACCCGCCTCACCAAGTACAGACATCAAGTATCGTACCAAAGTCATACCAGTTGAGGATCTCCTTGCATCTTTATCGGGCGACGCTTTTGGCACTGCCGAAGGGGACTATAACTTCGATGATGATTTCGGCATCCCAGAAACGGGGGATTTTGGTGGAGAAGATGCAGACGATTTTGACTTCGACTCTCATTACTATCAACATGACAATGATCAGCACGACGATGATGCCCTAGAGGGGGAAGGAGCGTCTGCAGCTTCTACACATCTGACTACTCGAGACACTCAAGATGGTGTCCTGTTGGAGAGCTTTGTAGAGCCGGAAGAATCTTCTGATGGAAGTGATTCTTTGGAGTTCCAGGAGAATCATTTTGGTACTGGTTCGATTCTAGAAGGGACCGCACACAGATGGAACTCTGCAAAGAACACTTACGACAAATCAAATGCACAGAAGATTAGGAAAAGCCCTCTTAAAGTCTGCGTTCGCGACATGCATATTATATGGAATCTCTTCGATGGCTACGACTGGCAACATACCCGCGATACAATTTCCAAGGCTGTTGAGGATGTCGAATCAAAAGCAATTGAAAAACGCGCTCGAAATGAAAGGCGCGCAACATTTGAGCAGGATATCGATGATGAAGAAACGGTCATCGGTGACTTCCTCTTCAACTCCATCTATATTGGTATACCTGCCAATCGAGATCCTCGGGCGCTCGCTGCAGCTATAAACCAGGAACTCAACGACAACACCACTGAAACCGAATCTATCGCGACGACGTCTTTATCTGCGTCATCGAGTAGGCAAAATACTTCTCGAGGAACAAAATCGAACAAACTTAGACTGAAGAGAAGTAAACACCATAAGATAACCTTCGAGCTCAGGGGAATTTGTGTTGATTTTGTGGCTTTCCCTCCTGGAAGCGGCGAGACTCAGAGTTCAATTGACATACGTGTGCATGATTTCGAGATCTTTGATCATGTACCGACTTCGACGTGGAGGAAATTCGCCACGTATATGCAAGATGCCGGAGAAAGAGAGACCGGCACCAGCATGATCCACATTGAGCTTCTCAATGTCAAGCCTGTTCCTGAGCTTGCGGCCTCCGAAATGGTTTTGAAAGCAACAGTCCTTCCTCTTCGATTACATGTTGACCAAGATGCGCTTGATTTCATAACAAGGTTCTTCGAGTTCAAAGATGATTCTGCACCAGTGCATTCATCACCTGGAGATGCCCCTTTCCTCCAGAGGGTGGAGGTCAATTCTGTGCAGGTCAAACTGGATTTCAAACCAAAGCGTGTAGATTACGCCGGCCTTCGCTCTGGCCATACAACCGAGTTCATGAATTTTCTAATTCTAGATGAAGCAGATATGGTTCTGCGACACACCATCATCTATGGCATCTCTGGGTTCGAGAAGCTGGGCCAAACGTTGAACGATATTTGGATGCCAGATATAAAGCGCAACCAGCTCCCTGGGATTTTGGCTGGGTTAGCACCGGTTCGATCACTTGTCAATGTAGGTGGTGGCTTGCGGCACCTTGTGGTCGTCCCAATGCGTGAATACAAGAAAGACGGTCGCATCGTACGAAGCATTTCAAAAGGGGCTGCCGCTTTTGCCAAGACAACCGGTACGGAATTGGTCAAATTAGGTGCGAAAGTCGCTATTGGTATGCAAACGGTTCTCCAGGGCGCCGAGGGTCTTCTCAGCCAACCTCTCGAACCTACTAGGACTGGAATAGAGGAGGGGGATGAAGACGAAGAGAGCAAGCAGATCAGTCCATATGCCAACCAACCTGTAGGCGTACTACAAGGCCTAAGGGGTGGATATGCTGGCCTGCAGAGAGATCTCATTCTGGCCCGAGATGCTATCATTGCCGTACCCGGCGAAGCCATGGAAGGCGGTAATGCCGCTGGGGTTTTACGGGCGGTTAGGAAACATGCACCGACGGTGATACTGAGACCTGCCATAGGAGTTGCCAAGGCAGGAGGCCAGATCTTAATGGGTGCAACCAACTCGTTGGATCCCGTAAATCTACACCGAGCAGACGCAGTAAGTATATACTCGTGATGTTTCTAGAGGACAAGACACGCTGACCGGCTTCTAGAAATATAAGAAGCATTGACGAAGTTATGATATGAAGGACTATCTAATCTCTGCATCGAGATCGGGGCGAGCATTGACGTATTCTCATTCATTGGTTCTCACGCAAGGAGTTTGGGGGTTAGGGGGAGGAAGCGTCTCCAAGACTGTCGTATGTAATAGAGCAGCAAGATTGCGTTTAACATCCATAGCATCCATCCATAGCATCCACCATAGCATTCATCCACAGCATCCACAACGACGGCAATTAGTACCACGTCAACAGCAAGGGGATCAGACAGTTCACAGTGCACGAGATCAACAGCCCAATTGAATGCAGCGTTGTAAGAGGGACCTGTACAGCACATACATGTGGGAGGACGTTGGACGACGCATGCGGAAGGCTGCATGCGTGACCCGGGACGTTTCGATGTCTGTCGAGTCATCCGTGGGCAAAACGAACATTGCCACATGATTCAGGTGATCGAGGGATAATAATAGTGACGAACCGAAGTACTAAACGCCGGCAAGTATTCTTCATTGACGGCTAATAGGCCCGGAGTAGACGAGGCTAAGGTAATCTGGGGGACCTAAAAGGGCGGGCTAAGATCTAAAGGTGCCCTCGGCCGAAACTCTGCGTGTTCTTTGTCCTTCTAGGGCCTCGCCGGTCTCAGATCGAGAACGCGAGAACTTTGGGCGTCTAAAGTAGCCGTCGGGTAGTTGTCGCTCAAGCCGAGAGGACCCGGGAGGCGGATGGATAGGTGGGATGGGCGGATGGAGAGATCGACGGGTAGATGGCGGGATATCAGGATTCGAACGAGATGAATACGAAGGAGTGGAGGAGGAGATAAATCATACAGAAGTTGAACGAATACCTCGATTGCCCAAATAAACAACCAACTGGAAGGTGCCTTATCGATCAATACATCAGGTGTCGGTAGTAAAAGAGTCTCGCTTCTCTTCGCTTCGGCGCAGGCTGCGCTTAGTCAGCGGCTATAAGCGTCCAAGCGCGGTTTCGGTCTGGTCTGCCGGTCTGATGAGAGTCTTCGCCTCCATCTCCACGTTCGACCCCTTCTGTCTCTCTCCCTTCTCATTCATATATATATAACCACCTCCCGAGCCTCTGACTCTTTTCTTCTACTACTTTTTCACTTCCAACGTTCAACACTCAACATCCACCTTTTTTCAACGCCGCATCTCTCAAAACAACCGTCCCTTTCTCGTCACCTTCAAACACCGCCGTCTACGGCAGCCTCGTCATCTCCAAGCGCCGCGACCCCTTGATAAATAGCTTGGCTTCCGCCTTATCTCCCCGGTCACAAGACATTACCTTCTCCCCAACAACTCCTCCAACCTCCTCGCACATCTCACGCTCAGCGCACTCCTCTCACCTCTCACCTCTCACATATTCAACATGCCTTCCACATTAATGTCCCGATCCGCCTCTCCAGAGCTGCCTGAATCCGCCGACACCATGCAGATCTTCGTCAAGAATGTGACTGGTGACAGTAAGCTTCCTGCCACGCATCCTCCTCCTCCTCCGTCGGAGCTTCTGCTAACAGCCGGCCCAGCAATCCCCATGACCGTACCGCAAGACCTGTCCATACAAAACCTCACCACCCTCCTCTCCGTCCGAACCTCGCGCCCCGAAACAGACCTCCGCCTCGTCTACGCAGGCAAGCACCTCTCGCCCTCAAGTACCCTCTCCGACCACCACATCCAGCGGGAATCCACCCTCCACCTCGCCTTCCCCCTCCGCGGCGGCATGCCTCCCAAGAAGATCCGCTGCACGTACAAGGACTGTAGGGAAGGCGCCCAGAGGATTATCGGCGACTGCGGCTTCTGCAACGGCCACTACTGTGGCAAGCACCGGTTGCTCGAGGACCACAAGTGCGACGGCTTGGAAGACGTAAGTGACTCACCCTGCTGCGGAGGAGAGCCGCAATGGTGGCTCGTTGGCCTCGATCAGGACTTTCTTACTGACATGATGCTCGAATAGTGCAAGAAGGAGTCGCACGATCGGAACGCCGCGCAACTTAATGCCGAGCGCACGCAGGTTATCAAGGGCATCTAGTTAGTTGGCCCGCACATCGTTCTTGTAGATCTGGGACATTGGGGCGTTTGTTCGATGGGCATCAAATCATCATGTATTTACAACGTTTCCCCCGGCCTCTGGGTTATTTGTTTAGCGGGCGTAGGATGAGCTGCTCCCCGAGGTTATTATACCTAGCATGACGATATATTCACGATACTTATCTATGAATCCAATTTCAATTTCACCTCTGATCCGTTTCTCTTGACTTCGGGTAGTTCATTTGATCTTCATATTGCTCACTTTTACTACTACTAACATACTACGCCTACCACCCACCGTCCGTGATGCAACCCATTCTCCTGAACCCCCGATGCTTTTTCATACTACTTATAGATTTCTCATGTCCACAACGCAGCGGATGCAGTCACCCTGCTTCATGGTCTCGAAGGCAGAGTTGATCTCGGGGAGCTTCTTGCGGTGGGTGATGAACTCATCAACCTTGAGCTTACCCTTCATGTAGTCGTCGACCAGGTCAGGGAGTTGGGTGCGGCCCTTGATACCACCGAAAGCGCATCCCTTCCACACACGACCGGTAACGAGTTGGAATGCTGGTTGAGAGGGTTAGCACCTGGAACTATAATTAGCCGTGATCGGACTTACGTCGTGTGGAGATCTCTTGTCCGGCGGCTGCGACACCAATGACGATGCTCTGGCCCCAACCCTTGTGGCAAGCCTCCAGAGCCGCGCGCATAACACCAACGTTACCAGTGCAGTCAAAGGTGTAGTCGCATCCTCCGTCGGTCATCTCGATCAGCTTCTCCTGGATGGTCTGGTTCTTGAGCTCGGATGGGTTGACGAAATCGGTGGCACCGAATTTCTCCGCCCAGCTCTTCTTGTTGTTGTTCAGGTCAACAACAATGATCTTGCCAGCCTTCCTCTGCACGGCACCCTGGACGACGGACAGACCGACACAGCCGGCACCGAAGACGGCGACGGTGGAGCCTGGCTCGACCTTGGCGGTCTCAACGGCGGCACCGTAACCAGTGGTAATACCACATCCCAGCAGACATGTTCGGTCCATTGGGGCATCTTTGGTGATAGCAACGACGGAGATATCAGCTACAACAGTGTATTGAGAGAAAGTGGAAGTTCCCATGAAGTGCAGCAGGTCCTTGCCCTTGCACTTGAACCGCGAGGTTCCATCGGGCATGACTCCCCTTCCTTGGGTTGCTCTGATCTTGCCGCAAAGGTTGGTCTTGCCAGACTTGCAGAACTTGCATTCACGGCACTCAGGGGTGCTGTAGAGATGAGATTAGTTTTGGCACTGGGGGGACCTCATCGGAGGGGGCTCTTACTAGAGCGCAACTACGTAGTCTCCTGGCTTGACAGATGTGACACCCTCACCAACAGACTCTACGATACCAGCACCCTCGTGTCCGAGGACAATGGGGAAAGCTCCCTCGGGGTCCTTTCCGGAGAGTGTGTAGGCATCTGCAGAAGCAGTCAATCAGCAATGCATTCGATCACAACCTCCCGGAACCCGAGGCCTTACCAGTGTGGCAAACACCCGTGTAGAAGATCTCAATTCGGACCTCGTGGGCCTTGGGCGGGGCAACCTCAATGTCTTCGTAGCTGAGGGGCTTGCCTGCCTCCCATGCAACTGCAGCCTTCGCAAAGTGTCAATGTGAATATTCGAATGGCAGATGCGGACCGTGGCGGTGGAATTACTAACCTTGCAGGTAATGGTCTTTTGGGAATCCCCATATCAGTATATGACGTAGCCATCTCGAGAGGGGTAAACTCGACTTACCTTGCCGACGGTAGAGGCCATGACGGAGCACGGTTGATGGATTCGGGATGGATTTGGAGGGGATGTCTTCGGAGGGGTGATGAACAAACCACTTGAAGATATACTTCAAGTTCTTGCTCTGGATGATGTTGTAAGAAGGAGAAAGATGGGATGGAACGGAGAGTGGGGAAGGGAGAGGTTAGAGAGCTTGGGGAAGCGTCTTTCAATAGCTCATGTCATTTGAAAAGAGGGGTTCCTTTTAAGCTTTTCTACGCTCGGAGTTTGCTCGCAACGCTTCGGGAAGCGCACCAAGGCCCGGAATCTGCATTCTTGAGGGCGGGCAGCCACTCGTACAGCTTACAGATAGCGCATTATTGTGGGGAGCGCAGGATTAAGGATTGACGAGGGCTTCACGACTTTGCTTGGACAATGAATGTGATGGATGGTCTCTCGATTGGTCATTGGAGAGAGAGACTCGGGGACGCTCTTGACTCGGCGGGCTTTGATGATGGAGGATGGGAGGATTGGAGGGGTAACAATGCTGGGAGGATGCTTCGGTGTGTATCTTTAGGTATCTTTAGGTATCTTTAGGTATCTTTGGCGATAGAGCTGCTTCGACGTAACGCCATCGAGCTTAAGTCCGAAGACGTGCCCCATCAACCCCGCGGCCAAGCGAAAACACCGGAAATCATTGGACGAGCGTGGTGTCAACAGCTTTACTGGGCTGAGATAGTTAGGTAAGACATAAACGTACAGTCAGCATTCTTGTCATCCGCAATATTGGCAATCACCGGACTCCCTTTCCTATACTGAGTAAATAGTACCTTACGTCAACAGAGCGCTTTTGCCCATCTACCGACGCCGGATACTGTATACAGTAATATAAAACCATCTAATCTAATCTATACCATCATCTAATATCATCGTCTATGGTACTACTATATGAAGTAATAATGGCTTGAAGAACCAGAATACCCCAATATGAACTGATGCATCTAATAATAATAAATAACTATTGCTAGCAAACCTGCACCGCCGGCGCCCCTTCAAGTCTCACTACCTGCCTGAACCTCCCGACCTACCTCTGTACGCTCAGGCCCAGACCATCTTCTTCAGACTGTGCCCGAGGTGCTCGAGGAGCCCCGTGCTCTTCCGTGCCTCTTCTTGGCTGATGATACTGCCCGCTTCCACAATGCTCTTCTTCTCGCTCCGCCCGAGGAGCACCACCCGCTCGATCTCGCAACAGATCGTCTTGACCGTCTCAATTTCGCTCAAACTTGGCGCGTCCTGTCCGTTGGTCACGGCAGATCTCGAAGGGAGCGCCTTCCACGCCAATATCCGATCCGCAGGGGGGGACTGCTGCCGTCCTATCAGGCCGACTAGTCCCTTAGCGGGCGGTGAAGCGGACGCGTCGCGCTGTGGCCCCCCCTCCTCTGGAAACGGAACAGTCGACATGGATCGTGTGTTAACCCGAGTAACGTCATCCGTCCCGGCTTTGTAGGTTATTATAAATCCAACATTCCTCTTTTCGTCTGCCTGGGCGGCAGATAGCGTGGAAGTAATGTAAGCCCCGTACTTGAGACTGACAACATGACCCAAATCTACACGCTCGAAGGAGATCACTTTCTCCATATTCCAGTCGAATCTCGTTGCATACAGTGCGGTGTCGGTCAATAATAATACCGCCTCCTCAAATGGCGTTGACTTGATGGTATTCGGGATATGCGGAGCAAGAAGAGTCCAGCCACCTATGAATTCTTCGTGCTCGTCAGCTACCACAAGTTTCTGGCTTACGTCGATGGCTTGCTGCCGCAATTTCTGCATGGATACAGCAGGATCACCGCTCATCAGGTTGGCTTCGAAATCTTCCCAGACCAGTGAAGTGACATTTCCAAGGAGGAAGTCGATTGCGGCTTGACTGAAGTAGTCGTTCACAATACTTCAAGGAGGGTCAGCATTGGAAAATGATGGCGTACTATAATACTCACCCGCTATAGAACCTTGAAATAGAGAGTCCCATATCTGTCAAGGCTCCTTTATAATCCCGTTTTCTGGTCCGAGTGAAGTCGCCTTTCAGTGCTGCAGTCGAAGCATATTGCTTCGATATAGCATCACCATTATCTGCCCATAGCGTATTGAACCACTGTGTACTTTGATCTGCTTGCAGGCAGAAATCTATGCCTTCGGCCTTTAACTGCATTTCCAATGCTCGTCTTGCGCACGCACTTTGCACCACATTTGTGCGGTCCAAACAATCCATGCAGTTGGTTCTCAGGACTCCGCTTTGCCTTGAGAGCTGCTGGCCCTCAAGCTCGACCGTGTCACCGAACTTATCAAGCTTGCTTCCTATGGCATCCATAAGCAGGCTGACGTTCTCGAACTTCATGCCCCGACAGATCGAATGAAAGTCAAACCATTCGAACCCAATCGAATCTCCACTAGAAGCTCTTTCGAGATTCAAACGATCCATATTTTTCTCGTACGCATCGCCGACTATCGACTCTGGTCCATGTTTTTCAACCAGCGAGACAACCTGTACGGATCCATATCGATCTGATATGTTATCAAAGTGCTTCTTGAAGGCTCGGAAATTGGTTTCTGCTGAATGCTGTATCTGAGGCACTGGCTTAAATGAATATGGCGATTGAGAGAAGAAAATTGGGACACTGCCCCGTAGCTGAACGAAAGAGTGTATCTTGCTTGAGGGAGCCCATGAAGGTTCTGACAGAATCTGTTCCGTTTCGACTCCGTTGGCCGTGTGGCCCTCCTCGTCTACACCTCGACGGAGATATCTTAAACCAGCACGTTTGATTGACCTCCGGGATATTAGAGTCAATAGAAACGGCCGTTTGGTACTGCGCCCATCCCCGGATTTCTGCCCATTCGGCGAGTCTGACTCGCCAGCATCTGCGTGATCTTGATCTTTGTCTCCTACTGATAAATCCGTCATTTCCATTGCTGTATTCTCGTCCCCAGTTAAGCCTATGGCAGGTTTGGGAGGATTCGTGTCCATTTCAAACCATCGCTGACCAACAAATCCTTGCATAAGTGGCAAGACTAGAGATGTCTGCCCAGCATCTATGAAAGGCTGTATGAGATGACGATTCCAGAAGAACAGGGGATCAACTTCCGTGTACAACGGCAGTTCAGAGTTTGTTGTCCTTCGAGTTGCAATGCTCCTGGTGATATCATAATCGTAGGAGAAGAAAAAGCTTTGGGATGTCCCGAAAAGAATCTGTGTTGTCCGTAGTAATTTTGGCAGAAGACGTTCTGCCACATCATTAATGTTCTTCTGTTCTTCATCGTCCTTCTCAAGAGGTTTAATAATTGGGGAAGGCTGTCTTCTTGATTCCCCTGTCTGATCAGATCTGCTGGTGGTGTTATCTGGCTCAGTCAAAGACATTCCCAAGTTCCGTCTTTGGCCAACTGTCCAACCTTTCTTCGAGAACCATTTTTGGGCAAATGGTCCATAGCCACCTTTTCTTGAAATGACATCTTCAGCAACACTACTTGTCCTCCTGTGCTCTCTGAGGCCCTCGCCGGATATTGACCCTGAAGTTGACGTTGCTGGGTGTATATCCTCGTCATCTATATCATCACTCAATGCTGCCGAATTATCCGCCTCGTCACCGTCCGTATCACTATCGTCCGTGGCATCTCCGCCAGCACCTGCCTTCTGTAATCCTGCCTGTGTCTGCAGAATCGACGATTCAGCTGCATTCCTTGAACTCAGAGGTGTCAATGCGACTTCCGTGACCACATATATTGGTTTCCCTTGTATCTGCGCGACCTGCTCTCGCCGTGTAATGGAGATCAAGAAGGAGTATTTCGAAACCGTCAAGAGACCTACACTCACTCATATCAGCACGGCGCTCTTGTGCGACCCATCTCTTAAACAAGAAGAGCAGAATAAAGGGACCCCAGATCAAGTAAAGACCTGGTATTGCTTTGTGTGCTGGGGGGTCTTTATCGGTTGGATCAAGGCCCCGAATTGCGGGCACGTACCAACAATCCCAAATGCTTCGAAACTCTTCCCAGCCTTGTAACCTTCACCTCCATCTTTCCATACGTACTCGATATTGTTGTCTTCGTACGCGATCTTCGTAGCGGGCGCGGGGCGTTGGCCTCTTTGCGCCAAAGGTTGCAGCACGAGCCCGTCCACGGCCGCGAAGATAAGGAGCTTTCGCACAAGGCCAGGCATACCGGCGATTCCTATCCCGAATACATCGAGGAAGTAAGAGGGGTGTTGAAACCCATACAGTCGTTAGTAGTGTCGGAGTCCACGAGTTGGTGCGATATCCGTTTCAGACGATCTAATATCTCCGAGAATTGAGCAATGAGCATTGCGTCTGCGTGAGAGCTCCAATTACCCTCACCAACCACTGAATTTCTTCATTTACGATAACAGAACTGTATAGTTAGATAATTCACAATGCTTGAGTACTGTAGATTAATATTCTACAGTTACTCTGCGCTCAGATTGCCTCCAAGAAATTGAAATACTGCATCAACGCAAAGGGGACCCGACTGTGCTCCCGAAATAGGTATCGCGAGGCCATTGGCCCTCAAGACTTACCTTCGCAGGTAGAAAAGACCTTTATTCCTCCATTACATGTCGTCGAGCAGATCAATTCTGCCAGATAAGGTGGTACTCTATCAAGAGAATCGGCGCGCGTTGGGCTCGGCAAAAGTCAACCGTAGCGAAAAGAAAATAAATATTCAGATAAAGAACGTTACTCTAGTGTAGGTTGTTTTCTCTTCTTTTTGCTTTCCCTCTTTGATATACGCACAGATCCGAAACCACCATATTGAGATTCTAGAAGTCATCTTTCACCATGGGCAAAAATGGCAGGTTTGGCAAAGACTACGGAAAGGTCGTCGGGAAGGACTCACCATCACGACCCGGCTGGAAAGGTCCTGGATACGTCAAGAAGGCTGAACCTCCAGCAAAGGCGAAGGCACCGGTAGCAGAGAGCACCAAGGCCGCCTCGGAATCAATGATACCAATCGAGCTACAGCAACTTCTTCTCAATATTTTCCGGAATACATTCCCTGGGGTTCTGACATCAGGCACGCTCCAACCTCTTTTACAAGATGTGAAGGCAGCGCTCTATGAAAGGGACTTTAGCAGAGCATTTGGAAAGCAGGAGTATCTCGAAGCCTACTCAGTCAGATGGAGTCCAAGCCGAGCCCTCTGTTATTCTTCAATTTTGGTAGATCTCCAAAAGCACATGACGGAATTAAACAAGTCCACTCTGAAGGTGGTCTGTTTTGGAGGAGGTGCAGCCGAAGTAGTTGCTTTCGGTGGATTTCTCAGGTTCTCGCATGATACTTCAGCTCCCGCCCCGGAGGAAACAGCAGCAGAAGCAATGGCCAATTTGTCCATGGACGACAAAGGGCCAGAGATTGATCTACTACTTGTAGACACGGCTCAATGGGGTGGTGTTGTCCAGATGCTCGATCAAGCCCTTGCTACACCGCCACCACTATCAAAATATGCAAGCTCCTCGGCCAGGGAAGCGAATTCCTCCCTTATTGCTCCTGGAAGTATCGTCACAACTTTCCGCCCCGATGATGTTCTCGGACTGAGCCAAAGTCAACTTGACGATATTGTGGGGAAAGGACCAATGCTCCTTACACTTCTATTTACACTCAATGAGCTTTACACGACCTCCATCGGAAAAACAACCGCCTTCATCTTAAATCTGACCTCATCTACCAAGCCCGGTACCCTACTGCTGGTTGTTGATAGCCCTGGAAGCTATTCGGAAACGGTAGTTGGCACAGAGGCAAAAAGATACCCTATGCAGTGGCTACTGGATCACATACTTCTTGGGACTGAGAAGACCAGAGGCGAAGAGAGCGCAGCCAATTGGTTGAAAGTCTTTTCTGATGACTCGCGTTGGTTCAGATTGCCTGATGGTTTGCGGTACCCGATACCTTTGGAGAATATGCGATATCAAATCTCGCTCTACCGGCGACTGTAGTCATCGAGAGGCGAAATCATGAACCTCCAGCAACTCACGATATGAGATATCATAATTCATTACTCATAACTAATACCGACTAAACATCAACGGCACCAAGGCTGTATTACTTTCGTGTCCGATGAACCCCTTGGATTTCCATCTCCCTGAACAGGTGTTCTTGATGAAGTCCGTTGCATAAGCTTTCCTCTCATTGTTCTTAGAAAATTCCTTCCCCAGTTGCTTTAAGACAGCCTCCCTTGCTTTCTTCAATGCCGATACCCGCTTATCAGGGTCATCAGCGAGCTCCTGTTGAGCTGCTTCCTGTTCTGCATTGCGTTGAACGCCTTGCACATTCGAATGGAAGATTGTAGGCTGCAAGTAGTCTACCGCCGGATCAGGTCTAAGTATTGGACTGGATATCTCTAGTTTCACAGCTTTTTCTTTATGCTTACGCCTACGCCGGCGGCGATGCACCCTCTCTTTCTTGAGCTTGGTCATATGAACCGATGTTCTCGCCAGTTCAGCGGGTACATCAAGACGTACACCAGCAGTGGTATCAATAACCTCTTCTAGATTATTCGATTGATCAGAATTCTCCTGGCTATGCAAGCTTCCCAGGGTTGAACTGCTATCAGCATCGGAACCGCTCTGCTGTGATAGCCACTCATCGTTTCCACTGATCTGCGATAGGGGTGCCAAGGCCTCTTCCCAAGTGCCGCCCTTAATCAAGAAGATGTTCTCGAAGTCAAACTCGCGGACTGTATGGCGATGCTCAAGGATGAAATCAGCGACCTGTCCCGCTGCCATCGTGGCATTGCGAACTTGCATGTAGCGTAATTTTGGGAAACTCATTGCTGTACGAGGAGGTGCAGCGGGCAACGGCGACATTGGCGACGTCACTTCAGCGAATAATTTTGCCGTCGTCTTCGGGGGCGCGAACAGGGGGTCTGTGAAGAGCGTGAATGGACAAGGGCCTTTTCTTCCGTTCCATCCAAAGCTGACCTTCTCGAGGTTGGGTGAGAAAGATCGGATATAATCATCTAGAATCTTGAGGTGGTCGAGTCCAGGTCTTTCGCCAAGGAAATCCCAAGAGTCCATTGTTATGCTGAGCTTTTTAATCTGTTTCCACCGACGTCCTGCCGATGGTGTGCAACCAAAGCCAGACCTATAGCGCAGATAATGAAGCCCGGATGGATGGATGTGGCTAAGTGAGAGTTTCTCGAGGCAAGGAAGAGGCGATCGTTCAATCGCTATGCGCAGACTTATGAGGGCATAGTCGACGGCATCTCGACGATATCTTTGGGCTGGGTCTTGATCAGGACATGATATCGTAAGATGTCTAAGATTTGGCATATGTGACATTGCGTTGATGAACGCGGGCACATTGGTAGCGGCATGGAAGATGGGAGGGTACTGCTGGGTCAAGATTTCACCCAATTCTGGCGATCCGTATTTCCGACGCTGGATGACTGACGCCGCAGAGGTTTGAGGCGTATATAAGAAGGTGATCTCTCGTCCGGTCACTGGATTCAAGAGAGGTGGAAGGAAGGTTGCGTCCGTATGTGGCATGGAGAAGGTTAGGTGTTGGATGTGATGTCCTATTCGGCGCAACGCCTCGAGGCGAGAATGTCGAGTGAGAGCACTTGGAGTGAAGGTCAAGCGGGTTCGGATGAAAAGAGCTGGAGTCGTGAGCTCACAGTATTCAGATGCCGTGAGCCGCAGGGAAGATATAGTGGCTGTGTCCATATACGAGAGAAGACTTGAGCGCAGCGCTTCGTCCCGCCAGAGGCGGAGGAAACTTGGGCTATCAGTGGCCATAACTTGCACATGTCGTCTAGGAACTAGACGAGGGTATTCGAGGCGAGAGTCACAAAGCAATGGATCAGTTACTGAAAGATTTGTATGTGAAATGATCAATTATCGGTTGAAGAAGGTAGTTGTTGGATTGAGTATGTGAGTCGTTGATATTGACCTGAGACTCTCATACCCCACACTCCAAGAAGGGCAAGAGGTTGTCTCACACCAATAATGAAAGATCGATGATAAAACAAACGACTAAGATCTGACCCGTCCAACGGCCATGATATAGCCAGAGATGCCCCATCCCCAGAAATCGCTCAGTCCCCGCGCCCATCTCTGGTAAAGAGAACTGTGACTCACATTTCCGCTGTGAGAGAAGAGGAACATGCAGCGCAATGCATACAAGCGTCCATAAACACGAAAATGTCACGATCGCGAGAGCCCTCAGGCAGCGTGGCAGCCGCGTCTACTGGATTCAAAAAGGACGCATGCGGGTGACAAGATGCTGGAATTCTGCAGATGCAGGCGGCCTGCATGCCTTAGAGGGCATCGTTTCAACGATCATCTGCTGCTGGCCAACGAGAGAAGTTGAAACGTTCAGCCTGCAATGCGCAGTGCCGGCCAATGGAAAATGGTGGCTAGGAGATACCCTGAATCCCTACGCGCAGAATCGCGAACAAACGCGACACAGACGCGGCTGGTCGTTTCGCGATAAGGCTGATGTGATGATGTATACTGTACTGTATACACTGGTGCAGAGTGCAGTAGATAACGATAGGTAACCTGCCGAGTGGCCCGGCGCGCCTTTTCGCCTTTCCTTGGCTTCTTGGCTCCTTGGCTCCTTGGATTCTTGGCTTCTTGGGAAGAGGAGGGAGGCAGGGAAGTGATATCCTTTTGCCTTTTGTTTTGTTTCAGGGTATCTTGAGGCTGACCCAGATACTCGTAGAAAGGTTCCCAGATAGAGTTCCGGCTCCCAGATTATGGGTCCATTGGCCAAAAACAAGTGGTTTTAATGTCGCGTTTCAGAAGTAAAGTATGTTCTGTGTCTCGTAATTTACAAGAACCTCGATGCCTTTGTTGGAGACATTGGTATTTCGATCAACCTGATATCACGGAAAGGCGGTGGTAGCTTATTAGCAAGTTCCCCCGTTGTTTACGTTTCTGGGAGATGTTTACTTCAGCCAAGGTCCTTGCTCTTCGATGCTTCTCCAGAGAGATGACATCAAGGCAAGGATCTATGGAGGCAAGATGTTGAACTATGAGATACGACGTAAGTTGCAGTATGGTGATCACATGTAGTCCTCCAGGGTCCAGACTCCAGACTGCGAGTTCTCGAACATTTCGGGGTATTTAATAACCCTGGCATTCGAGGATACAAGCACAAACACTGCAATCATGTTCAACACTAATATCAAAGGTAGGACGGTCTAAGGTTCGCTTCGTTTGAAGAACCCTATTACTATCTTCCTCCCGAGTTCTTGTGCGATGGCAAGACTTTTGGGGAAAGCTCACGTCGACCGAGAATATGCATAGCGTTTCCTCCTACTCGGCACGCGTTCATGTGAATAAAAGGCCAAGACGTTGGAGACATCTCTATTTCCTTTGGGCCCGTGGCCAAACGACCAATTCTGTACCGCCGACTTTCTGAAATTATGGCCTTATTCTAGAAGAGCTTGTCAATAAGTTGACAGGTGGTCCAGGCTCTACTGTTCGCCCCAGATCTCTACTATACCTGTGTGCTCCGCAGTACTCTGGACGATATAAGCGGATACGGAGTAGTGGGACTGCCACCCACGGGTTTGGTCACCGCCTTTGCCCATGGAATGGATTTCATTGGTCAGATCTTAGCTCTATTGATTCCGTCCACCTTATTCAGCAGAGAGCCTCATACGGACGTACCTTATACAGCACAGCAGAGCTCTAGGGCACGCTGCTAAAGAGACACAGCGGCTATTATCAAATAGCCTTACTCTAGAGGACCTGGAAGTTGAAAAGCGTCTTTTTGTTACGTCAACCTTAACTCAATTGAGGCCGTGTGGATTCTGGAAGTACACTGAGACTCTTATTGAGCGCGAGTCTACGGAGACTGCTCCGTTCCAACGACAGGGCCCGATAAGGCGTCCAGGACAGTAACAAGATGGATGGAGTAGAAGGCTTGAAAGCAAGAGGTAACTTGCAATGCTTGTGTTGTTCTGAGAAGAAATTATAATGACTGATGATGAAAGCACCCCGTATACTCGCACGAAGAGAAGCGGTTGTGGCTGATGGGCAAGCCCCAAAAGCCACCCGAACGCTTTAATACGATTCTGCCGTATTTCTGCCGTTGCAACTTGCAGGGGTTCCTGTAGGCGGTGGCAAACCTGTCTATCTATGTACGGCGTAGTAAGGTACTGTAAGGCAAGGGAGTACAGGCTACAGCCAGGCCTCTGCCAGATCTGCCCTCCGCAACGTCCGCGTGCTGCATTCCCTTCTTTCCCTTCTGCTTCCCCACAGAGTCTTGAAGCCAGACTGCCTCACATTACGCCCCAGCTCCCAGGCACTTTGTATCATAGCTTTTGTGCGTTTCCTGTGCTTCTGAATGATTGCGGAGTTTGTGCTTTCCGAGCTCCGACATCAAAACCACGAGCGTCCCTGATCAATATTGATCGGCCCTCGATCCCTCCCTCTCTCGACCGCGCCATTACGCCCCTCCAGATGCTGGGCAACGTCCATAACATGCGCCGACTCCTTTGACTCGATTATTCTCAACTCATCGAGGGCAATTGCCGGTGGTTGGAGGCAGCTAGAGATCGTTCGTTACATCTGAAGCTCTGAAGGACAAGGGAGGAGGGTTTGGGGCCGCAGGATACCATATGCAAGGCTGTGGGATTCAGTCTTCTAGGAGGAGGTCGCCATGCGAATCGGTATTCGAGAACAACTGGCAGCAGTCGTGCTAATAACCGCCCTTGTGCCTTTAGCCGTTCTGGCCATTGCTACCTGGGTGAACAATCGAGACTTTGTCACCAACATCACATCCAATTCGCTCGCGCTCATCGCCAGCTTGAAGGCCGCCCAGATTGCCTCAGATCTCCTTTTGATTCAGTCAACATGTGCCACCATCGTGACCCGGATTCTCTTGCAGGATGCCATCAAATCTTTTTACAAAGGGAACAGCACGGCGGAAAACTGGACCGAGGCTCACAGCGACGTTTCCGGCGCGATGGCAAGTGAGGGACTGTCCACCCTCTTACAAGTGATTGTCTTCCCGCGAAATGATACTGGGAATGTATATGGGTTATTGAACGCAACCGCAAACACCACTGGGATCCCGCTTCCCTACACGAATCCCAATGGATCCCAGGTTATGCTTGGAGAGGATGGCCTGGGCTACCCACCTGCTCTTTACCCCAATATCACATATAACACCACCTCAACTCCAGATCCGGCAGACCCATCAATCAACGCAACTCGTGCATACGCTTTTAACGATACCCCTCTCAACGGTTCATCGCCGCTCTTATTGGGCCCATTGCAAATTAACGACACATATGCACTCATTTCCCTAACATTGCCCATAATCGACAACTTGAATTCCAGCATCGTGTTGGGTTTTATGACGGTAGTTGCAGCCGCATCATCTTTGATGGACGTAGTCACGTCTCGAGAAGGGCTGGCCAAGACTGGAATCGTTCTAGTCGTTGGACCGAATCGACCCCAAAATCATTTCGACTACACGGATAGACCTGCGACTGCGAATTACCTACCTCCTAGTGATTTAGACTCAGCATCTGTTAGATTTGTCTTCCCCCCCGTCCCTCGTCCAGGGCAGGCAGACAGGCATTCCGCCTACAACGCCAATTTAACGAAATACAACAGCTCGGCTTTTACAGAGGCTGAATATCCCGCTGTAGTGGCTGGATTCCGTCGCCAGATTAAACACGGTAATAACGCCAGCAGTATGTTAGAAACCCACAACGAGAATAATGCTAGCGTTGCTGTTGGCTACGCAAGACCTCGAAGTGCTTTGGTTGACTGGCTTCTCATCGTCGAGCAAGGCCACTCCGAAGCGTGGGCTCCTATGAACCAACTACGGAAGATCGTTCTTGCTTGCGTTTTTGGCGCAATCGGGTTGGTACTCATCTTCATTGTACCGATGGTCCATTACAGTGTCCGGCCAATACGCAGATTGCGTGAGGCAACCAAGAAATCCATTTCTCCCCCTGGATACACTCCTAATGGGAGCATCCGCTCGTATCGAATGGATGATCCACCTGATGCTTCCGGGGATGAGGCCCCTGATTTGGAAAATGCTCTTGCTGCAAGCCAAAATAAGGGCATTTTCGTTCGACTAAAAAACCTGACATCTGGTAATAGACGAAAGTCGAAGATGGAAAGGGACGAAGAACGCCGTAGGAAAGGATTTAGAATTCCTGGCAAGGTACAGGATCATAGACACTTGATCAAAGATGAGCTTAGTGATTTGACAGGTACGTATTTATTTATACATCTGTTCGATGCTGCATGTTGCTAATTGGGCCAGCCACCTTCAATGAAATGGCCGATGAGCTGCTTCTCCAATACACGAGTCTCGAATCCAAAGTCGCTGAACGAACTCGAGAGCTTGAAATCAGCAAGAAGGCCGCCGAAGCAGCAAACGAGAGCAAAACTCTGTTCATTGCAAACATTTCTCATGAGCTGAAGACACCTCTAAATGGTATTTTGGGCATGTGTGCAGTTTGCATGGGCGAGGATGACCTTCCTAAGATAAAACGTTCATTACAGGTCGTCTACAAATCCGGAGATTTGCTATTGCATCTTCTCAATGATCTTCTAACTTTCAGCAAAAACCAGATTGGGCAGCAGCTGAGCTTAGAGGAAAAGGAGTTTCGATTAATCGACATCAAGACACAGATCCTCACAATATTCACCAAGCAGGTACAAGAAGGGCGCATCAATTTTGAGGTTAAGTTCGTTGGCACAGATGCGGACCCTACTTCTGAGGCCACAACTGAGAAACCTTTACCTGCTCTTGGTCCAAATGGAATTGGAAGACTCAAGGACTTGAGGTTCGTTGTTTTCTTGGTCTCATCACCAGCGTTGTTCATGGCATAGCGGCCCCCCTTGGAATCGTGGGTTGGAAGTTGACCCTGAGAGTCACTGAGATCATTACAGTCTTCCTCGCAGGATCATACCATAACTCAAAACCCCTCACCCTCAAACCATTGGATTAAATCTAGTGATTGATTCAGGTAGTGACAGCAGAATCTCTAGCCACAAATGCTCCATTCACCTCTCCTTCTCAGGTCATCTGCTATATACTCAATTTCCTTGTAGCAATAGCTAACCCACTTTAACAGTCTCTGGGGGGACCAACATAGGATCATCCAAGTAATCATCAACCTCGTCAGCAATTCGTTGAAGTTTACACCAGAAGGCGGAACAGTCTCGGTAAAAATAAGCTGTTTGGGTGATGCTGAAGTTCCACCGGAAGGGGCCCGAAATTCCATGGCATCTAAGCGAAGCTCGCAGCGTACGTCGAGATATCAACTTCACGAAGGCTCAGGATCGAATACTCCTCAGGTCTCAAGAAAAGCCTCTATCTCGGGCTCCGGTCCCAAGAATTCAAAAGGTACAGCTCTTACTATAAACCCAATGGATCCAAGCGCAACTCCTAGAGTTCAGTTCCGCGAACGGTCCCCTACCCCACCTCCGCCCAACGCAAGGACATTGATGTTCCAATTCGAAGTTTCAGATACTGGTCCTGGCATCCCCGCTCATTTGCAAGAACAGGTCTTCGAACCTTTTGTTCAGGGGGATCTTGGTCTCTCGAAAAAATATGGTGGTACCGGACTAGGCCTGTCTATATGTTCTCAACTCGCTAGTCTTATGGGTGGTGATATAAGCCTTGCGAGTACTGAGGGCGTTGGAAGTACATTCACGATGCGCATCCCTTTAAAGCATGTGCGATCACGCCCCCCAAGCACAAGCAGCTCTGACATTTATGTCGGCTCGCGGTGCGGTAGCATTTCATCTACTGCGCCTCAAGATGAACAACCACGAAGAACATCGGGGGATGGAAATCCTACTGCAGGTGTAGTTGCGGCCAATAGTAATAAGGGATATGAGAATGGTCCTCAGACTCGGTTGGTTGGGCTCAGCCAGCCATTCTTTGCGTCAAACCGAAGCCCAACTCCCACAACCATGAAAGACTCAGGTGGACAACTTGCCGCTCTCGATAGCGTCCATAAAGAGTCTGGCACAAAACTTCGGGTTCTTGTAGCAGAGGACAACCTTGTAAATCAAGAGGTTGTACTTCGGTGAGTGGTTTTCTTTGCAATCGAGCTTACAGATGACTGACACCGGCGAAGGATGTTGAAACTTGAGGACATTTATGATGTAGTCGTCGCGAAAGATGGCCAAGAAGCATATGAGATGGTAAAGGAGAGCATGGCTACTGGCCAGCATTTCAGTCTCATCTTCATGGATGTCCAAATGCCCAACCTCTCAGGTATAGAGAGCACGCGGTTGATACGCCAAATGGGATACTCCGCCCCAATTGTAGCCTTGACTGCCTTCTCTGAAGAAAGTAACGTGAAGGAATGCTACGATAGCGGAATGAACATGTTCTTAAGGTGAGACAGTTTCTCAAAATACATTTTGAACTCAGGCACTGATCTCGGTATTTTAGCAAACCCATTCGACGTCCGGCACTCAAACAAGTTCTCAAGAAATTTGCAACAATACCAGAGGAGGCTGAAAATTCCCCTCCGCCTAAATCGAAGACGACCTCAGCAACAAGTACGACACCAGAAACACCCCCGGTTACTCCTGTAAATGGGAGTACCTCAACATCATAATGACACTTCGATAATCACCTTCGAAATCTCTTTCCTGTACATACGAAAACAAAACGATTCCTTTTCTCAACAAACCGTCGGGTGCATGTCGTGGAGACACCGGAGTTATATAAATACGAGATACCAAAGCACACGATCTGGCCTGGATAAAAGGGCCAATTCTTGATACCATTTTTATTTCATTTGTATAGATATACCTCCGCCTCAAGGCCGAATGGTGCTATGAGTTTTTGGGTATCAAGGCACACAACTTAATGGGTGATCTAAGGGCCAAGGAGTAGCCGCTCAGGCTAGGAGTTCAGGGGGCTGCGGGACGAGAACCGCTTACGGAGTATGGATATAGATAGCAATGATCTCGTCTTCAGCTATTTAGTAGTAAAAAAATTCAAAACTATGAACTGATTCTTACAGTCTCCTTGTCCAATATCAGAATAAATATAAAGCTTCCTAGTATCTTAACTCGATAAATTGACAGTTACCTACGTCGTGGCAAAATTGGCATATTGAATTACTCCTAGGTAGAGAAGCCTAAGTATCTCAGAAGCTGTTTCTGCCATGGGCATTCTTACTATGAGGAGTACTACTAAACCTCAAGATCTCAGGGGCTCGGTATATAATAATGCCAACACATCCTGCCATGAAAGGCTAAGGCTGGCAAAATATATGAGTGCTCGATGAATACATACAGCCCTTGAGAGCCCCCTGAATATAACGGGATTCAGGCATAAACCTATCCTCTGTGTAATCTACAGCTTACTCGATTGTTGATAAGGATTTTGACGAACTCAGCACAACGCTGAATCGATTTTGTCTGGTTTGCTTGAATAACTCCAAGATTTGGTATTGCGGCCGCAGAAACACCAAATATTCTCTGGTTCGTGCTGTAATTGGGAAATTGTAGTCACACTTTTCCAGACACCTAGATTATGAGCCTCTCCAGTTGATCCTTCAGGCTCCTGATTGATCACTGGCTTCGTTGGTGGTGATGCTGGCAGCAATCACGGCTTCGCTGGCCCCGCATGGTCACCCAGCGCCGTCTTCGATGGCAGGTACACGTATGGGACGTTCTCGTCTTCGTAGAGCAGATGAAAACGGAGTAAAATGGCGAGAGTAGTATCGGCGGCGAGAGCACTTGGAGATGCCACGGTTCCGAGTGCGCGGGTGAAGCCTTCAGGTCGAAAAGGATCCAATGGGTCGACTGACGAAGATAAAAGGTAATCAGTATAGCTGGTAGGGTCCCTTGAGTTAGTTCGCCCTGTTTCTGTCCAGATCTTGAGAGTTACTGTAGAAAAGATTGGTTTTCCTCGGATCGAATCTGCCCATCTTCAAACATTCAAGGAGAGCTGTCCGCTAAGGTAGCGAGCGCCTCCCCAAGTACGCTAGTCCTAGAGAAGACTAGCCACAGAGGCTATTGGGTAGGTAGAAGCAAGACGGTACGAAAGCCTCTCCTCTTGTACCTCATCGTCGCCATCAAGACAACTACCTGCAAGCTCGACTCCCATCTCGCAAGCCGTCAATCGCCATCGTCGAGCTCTGACGATATCCTGCATTTACAGCTACCTCTCAAGGACGACTCAATAGTATTTGTCAAGATGACTGACGTTACCGATTACATGAAATGGTGAGTGTTGCTGTCCTCTTCGCCTTGTAGATAGGCTCCCTTGGTGCCGAAGCTGCATCTCAATTACTTCTTATATTTATCATGCATCAACTGACGATATATCATTCAGCCCGGTCTATGCGGTCAGTAGTCCCGAACCTCGTCCAGCTCGTCCGAGACGGTCCATAATCGCAGGCATCCTGGAGCCTCGACGCGACTTCCTCATAACATTGGAGCTATCATACTGATGCCATCTATAGCCATTCTTCGGTGCCATGGGCTGCTCGGCAGCCATTATCTTCACTTGCTTCGGCGCAGCATATGGAACAGCTAAGTCAGGTGTTGGTATTTGCTCAATGGGTGTTCTCCGACCGGACCTGATTGTCAAGAGTAAGTTGGGGGAGGTTGTCGATTCGAATTTCCGGGACTGATGGTATTTTAGACATCGTTCCAGTCATTATGGCTGGTATTATTGGTATCTACGGGTTGGTCGTCTCGGTCTTGATTTCCGATGGACTTAAGCAAGAATTGCCATTGTACACTGGCTTCATCCAACTTGGCGCAGGTCTCAGTGTCGGTTTGGCTGGTTTGGCTGCAGGATTCGCTATTGGTATTGTTGGTGATGCTGGTGTGAGAGGTAGCGCCCAACAACCTCGACTCTTCGTCGGCATGATTCTTATCCTCATTTTCGCTGAAGTCTTGGGTAAGTTCATTCCCAGGAATGTATATGGGGCAGTGCTAACAGAGTGGCAGGTCTCTATGGCTTGATTGTTGCTCTTCTGATGAACTCGAAGGCCAGCTTGGACGTGAGCTGCTAAACGGATCGATTCGAATATCGGAGAGCCGGAAGACAATATGTGAATCCTATTCACACTCTCTCCTCTACAATTATATGTGAATAAGGGTACGGGTTGGGACCCATGGAGGATCTTGGGTTACTCAGGAAAGGCTGGGGAGCAGGGCCATACCACGGCTGAAAGCATGTGTAGTTTTGCTTGTTTGACCAGTTCGGCGTTCTTGAAGCATAGAAGCAGAGATGGCTGTGGAAGTGGAAATGGTCAGTCAGGCCAATGTAACCTAGTATTTCAATTTTGGCATAAGTGGTGTTTCCAAATTACCGGATTCGATTTCAAATCAAAGCTTGGGTTCGTGAAATAGTTAGTGGTTTGTCTGATATGGCTCCCCAAGCAGATTGCTATCAGCCGCATGTAACAGCCGCGTTGTGAATATGCCTTCAATCTGGATAGTCATTGGCCAGTCCGCATAACTAGAACTTGTGGCTATACCTCACGGATGAACAACTGATGAGCTCCCCCCATTCCTGCCTCTATTAAGGAATAAGTGGAGATTCTGTCACGGGATGCACAAACTACTTTACTCCTCATTCATATACCCCGTAAAATCAACCTCGCGGCTATTGACCTTCGGCAATCCTTCAACCCCACGTCCAACACCGAGCAACTTGACTACTCAACTCAATTCAGCACGCATTACAAGTCACAGAGGAAAGCACAGCAGAGCCGGAACCATGCGTTTGCCGTACGTCGACCCAGCCGATCCAAACGCCTTCAAAACCCCCGAAGAGAAGGCCATTGTCTCTCGGGTCGAGGCGAGACGTGCCCCACGTCCATTGCAACCGCTTGATCTTACCCTGCTGCACTCCCCCGCATTCGCAGATGGCTGGAACAGTTTCCTCGGGGCCGTCAGGACGAGGACATCCTTAAGTGATGATATAAGGGAGATTGCTATATGCAGAGTGGCTGTATGTAACAAGGCTTGGTACGAGTGGGGGCATCACGCACCGCTGGCCAAGGCGGGGGGTGTTAGTGAGGAGGGAATGAAGATATTGGCGGAGGAAGAGCCGGCAAAGAAGAAAGGCGAGCCTGGATTGACTGAGAAGCAGTGGGCGGTTATCGATTATACCGATGCCATGACCAGGAACGTGGCCGTTGAGCAAGAAATCTTTGATGAGCTCAAAAAACACTTTTCTGACCAGGAGGTGGTGGAAGTTACGGGCACGGTGAGTGCAGTGCAGCAGTGCTCTTGCGATGAAGTCACAACATGCTAAACGGTGTTTCTTGTTAGGTCGCCGCGTATAACTGCGTTAGTAGATTCCTTGTAGCATTGGATGGTGAGTACTGCATGCAACTCTTTGCAAACCTGGTGCTGATTTGTGATCAGTTGGTGAAAGGAACGGTACGAAGCCGCCTGCGTAGTACGGGTCTGAACGATGACATTGAATAAGAGATACCATTGTCTATACCCACTTGCGTCTCCCCGATGCAAGTCCGAAGGGTATTCCCTTCAAAGTGCTCTTATCTTCAAAGTGAAGAACCCGCGTCGGCCGTCCGAGCCAGTCCCACTCTGGTTCGGAGTCTTTTCGCAGATATGCTATCCATCTCTCGTCAGACCTAGATTTCAAATGCTGGCACTTCAGATTCAGATGTGGAGCTCCATTGCCCCCTGTTCCTGCTTTCTCCCGCCCTTCAAATCCAATTTGTAAGGCATTTTTTGTCAGCCGCCTAGGCACCATGTAAGACCTCCTCCACTCATCACTTCTTAACTCCGAATTTATGATAATACTTCATGCTCTTTTGCTTCTCTGCCAACCTTTGGCCTGAGTAATTCCATTGCACGCACTCTTGAATCTTGATAGCGCTTAGAAATCAACTATGGCTAGTGGGGAAGTCTTTCACTACTCTGACCTCTTTTTTCTCTATATCTACGTTTCATCCTATTGCTTGCATACAAAGTATTGTTGAAAACGCCCTGCCGCTAATTACCGACAATTGCCATGAAATGCCTTCAGTTGCCTTAAGTTGTCTATCGGGCTCGGAAACACTTGTAAATAAGCAAGCAAAACTTTGGTGTGTAACTTTATGTATGTAGGGTGCTTTGAAAGTGCTGCATCTATTTTCTGAGGGATCGATGCTCCCCATACTTCTGTCGATAAAACATTACTCGAATGTGAACCACTTCGATCCAGAGCGTACTATTGCTTGGAATTCAGCTCGGGAACTATTCGTGCCCGTACAACTTAAAACGCGGTCTTTCCTCTATTACCAGCAAATAAGCAACCTGTGGATAATCAAGCTTATCTGATGCCTCCAAACATCAATGCTGGAATAGATGATGGTACAGGTCAACTCTCAGCAAGCTCGCCTCCGAATTCCAATGCTAAGGCTCGAAAACATCGGTATAACTTCAACAAGATTTTGGTAATATATATGCATATCCAGCAATTTCAGTGAAATACGCCGCGATGATGCTGAAAGTGATACTAACAGCGGAATATCGCGGGTTGTTTCTGGATTCATAAATGTGGGAAAAGGAGCAAAAACGGGAATGTCGTAGCTCCTCAAGTACAAGCAGCTATAACAAGATATACCGACGAAGAATAAAGCTGATGATTCACGCAGCGAGCTCAGAATAGAGCCTTCAGAACAGAATATAAATGCACACCAAAAAAAATTGAAGGATTGGCCGAACTTTGATCTACCTTTACTAGAACATGGACCGAAGTTCCACCGAATAATAAGGATTGAAGACGACCACAAACACGAGAGTGCATTTTCAGATACTCGAAGCTAACATTCGGGACACAAAGAGTGGGGGTTGGTGACCAAATTTAAGATTTTGATCCCTTGTTCCTTGACGTTCCTGCGTCTGCTTTAACCACCTGAGCAGGAAGTTGACATGGACAAAAAGGAATAGGGAGGTTGGGGGGGTCTGACGTCGACCGATGGCGATAGATAAGCGGTAAACAACGGTGGCTGACTTGCCATTGTACTGACACCGAGTTGTAAGAACCTTTTGCCTCTGGTGTAGTAGCACTGCATAGAAAGATACGAACACTGAAAGGAGGAATTGTTATAATGTGGCGAAAGCGTTGAGGACTGCCAAAGTGGAGCCGTCTCTGGGCTATGTACCGATGCCATATGCTGTACCCCCCAAAGATTGTGGAGTGCGGAGTGCGGAGGGTGGTCTCGTCGAGGAATGACTTTTACAACCTACCATATTGCGGTGTTATAATGATATGATTCTCCACGGAATGGCCGGAGATCTGAGTAGGATTTTATTTCTGGTGTTTTGTCTTTTTGTATATTAATCCCAAAAAAACAGGGTAAAAAGGCTTTGGTAGCTCGATGCTGCTGAGTAAGCATGAGGGGCAAGCGACCCCACCTCTCTCAACACCCTCGTACGTCAACGTCTCTTTTCTCTTCCATCCTCCGCAAACCCTTTGCAACTCTCATTCATAAGACCATCGAACCATCGCGATCATGGGCTACACAGACGTTGATAAGCTGGCTATCAACACCATCCGGCTTCTAGCCGTAAGTTCATCCCTATTGTCCCTATCTAGCTCCCTGATGCCCCGCCCGCTGGTTGCGGTCTGGCCATGTCATCATCACCGCTCCTTTTGGAGCCAGCATTTACATCGCAATTTGATCAGCAAATACTGATCGCTTTCTCACCAGGTCGATGCCACCTTCAAGTCCAACTCGGGCCATCCCGGAGCTCCTATGTAAGTGCTCAGAGATCTGGAAGCGGAGGAAGCTTCCTACCCGTAGCTGCTAACGAATTCTTGCTAGGGGAATGGCCCCAGTTGCCCATGTCCTGTTCAACAAAATCATGAACTATAACCCCAAGAACTCAAAATGGATCAATCGGGATAGATTCGTTCTCTCGTAAGTTTCTCGATTTTCATTTCGTTGGTTCGGCGGCTTGTCACACGAAGCGATTGCAGCGCGGAATATCTTTACCAATCATCTTGGACCCCATCGAGCGGAACTTCTGATGTAATCGGACTCTCTGTACTGTTAGTTGCTGGTTACAATTTTCCGGAAAAGCTGTCTTGTCAACTCATTGATTCTAGTTGGCGCCAACATTTCAAGGAGTTTGCAGAACGACGTTAACTAACAGCCCAACAGCAACGGTCATGGTTGCATGCTCCAATATGCTCTCCTCCATCTCTGCGGCTACAAGTTGTCGATGGATGACCTTAAGGCTTTCCGAGTGAGTCATATCTCAACAGCTCGATTACCTACAATATCTAATGGGTTGTTATACAGACATTAGACAGCGTCACTCCCGGTCACCCAGAGGCTCATGACACCGACGGCATCGAGGTCACGACTGGACCTCTTGGACAAGGGTTCTCCAATGCTGTTGGTCTTGCCATTGCCCAACACCACGCATCAGCCGAATTCAACAGGCCTGGGTTTGAACTGTTCAACCACTACACATATACTTTCTTGGGTGATGGATGCATGATGGAGGGTGTGGCCAGTGAGGCCGCCTCCCTTGCAGGTCATCTGCAACTAGGCAACCTCATTGCGATCTACGATGACAACCATATCTCTATTGACGGTGACACCAACTGTGCTTTCACTGAAGATGTGGTAAAGCGATTCGAAGCTTATGGCTGGCACACCGAGATCGTTGAAGACGGTGACCATGACCTAGAGGCTATGGAAGCAGCGATCAAGAAGTGCCAGGCTGTCAAAGACAAGCCCTCTTTGATCAAGCTCCGAACCACTATTGGCTTCGGTTCAAAGATGCAAGGTACTGGTGGTGTTCACGGCTCCCCTCTCAAGGCAGATGACATCAAGCAAGTCAAGATCAAGTTCGGGTTTGATCCCGAGAAGACATTCGTCGTTCCCCAGGAGGTATATGACCTCTACCACAAGCGCGGTGCCGAGGGTGCTGCGAAAGAGCAGGAGTGGGAGCAGCTGCTCGCGAAATATAGCCAAACGTACAAGGCTGAAGCAGCAGATCTCAAGCGTCGTCTGACTGGAGATCTTCCAGAAGGTTGGGAGAAGAACCTTCCAACATACTCTCCCTCGGATGCTGCTGTGGCTACCAGAAAGCTTTCTGAGACAGTCCTCACCAAGATTCACCAAGCAATTCCAGAGCTTGTTGGTGGCTCTGCTGATTTGACCAGCTCTAACTTGACAAGATGGAAAGATGCCGTTGATTTCCAGCCCCCGTCTTTGGGTATTGGTGACTGGTCTGGACGCTACATCCGATATGGTGTACGTGAGCACGCCATGGGCGCTATCATGAACGGTCTCGCTGCATATGGAACAGTCATTCCATACGGCGGTACATTCTTGAACTTCGTCTCATACGCTGCTGGCGCTGTGCGTCTGTCTGCCCTGTCTCATGTTCGCGTTATCTGGGTCGCTACTCACGACTCTATTGGTCTTGGTGAGGATGGTCCTACGCATCAACCTATTGAGACCCTGGCTCACTTCCGTGCGCTTCCCAACTGCATGGTTTGGCGTCCAGCTGATGGAAACGAGACCAGCGCAGCCTACTACGTTGCGTTGACCGCCAAGCATACTCCTAGCATCATTGCTCTGTCCCGTCAAAACCTTCCACACCTCGAGAACTCCACCATCGGAAAGGCTATCAAGGGTGGTTACGTCGTTTCCGAGGCCGAGAAGGCGGACATCACCCTCGTCTCCACTGGATCCGAGGTTGGCATCTGTGTTGATGCAGCCAAGTATCTCAAGGAGAAACACAACTTGACGGCACGTGTGGTGTCTATTCCATGCTTTGAGGTCTTCGATACTCAGTCTAAGGAGTACAGACTCAGTGTCCTCCCAGATGGAATCCCCTCCCTGTCAGTTGAAGTCATGTCAACCATGGGCTGGGAACGATACACTCATGAGCAATTCGGTCTCAACAGATTTGGTGCTAGTGGTGCTTACAAGGATGTTTACAAGGTTCGTAATATCCTATATCCCTTACTGTTGAATAGTACTGACGCCCCTATAGAAGTTTGAATTCACCCCTGAAGGCATTACGAAGCGTGCTATCGCTACTATCGACTTCTACAAGGGTGTTCCAAACCTTCGTTCCCCCATTAACCGTGCTTTCCAACAACTCATCTAAATCGGGTATAAATGGTGTGTCATTGGGGAGTAGAGATGCGTGTATAGCAGGCAGATAGACCAAGAAAATTGACATTTTGCGAGATATGGACCAAGCCATTCTGATTGCTATGAAGTGAGCTAGCTCTACAGCTATAGATTCCGAATATCAGGGATTGACCACGACTGATTATTTTTCGACCGCCTGGTGCCGCACCTGAGGATTGGACTTATATTCCTTGCATTCATCTATTTCAAGAAGGATAAGCTGGAATCAAAAGGTCTGGAATAGTTCTGTGAATGTCCATGATAAATTACTGAAATGATTCCACTAATCTCTTCCTATGTTCACAGCTTTCTGGTAAATAGGTATTCGCCTGGGATCCGTCACAGACGGGTAGGGTGCGGTAACTTTGTTACGACTTTCTGTCATTCCATTCCCGTCTTCAGTCCCCATTCATCAAGATAAACTTCAAGGCCGCAATAGGCAAGCCCCCATCAACCATCTTCTCCGCCAGTCACAGATTCGCCAGATTCTTCCTGTACCCTCATAAATTCCCTCTGGAACTCTCTGCCCATCCTCTCCAACCTCGCCGCTGCTCTCCTCGCCTCCAGCGTCTCTCCGGCACTGGCTGCTATCACAGAAGCTATGAGCATTGGCGGTTGTTGTACCGCACCATCCTCCTCATCGGCTTGCTCGCCATCTCCAATGTCTGTGCCTCTGCCGTAATCACCACCATTAACAACCCCATTCACCACCTCCTCACCCTCATTTCTATGAGCCGCCACACTACTACCCTCCGTTGTCCCACTCAAAGGCCTCAAGTCCTCTCTTGCCTGCTCCACAATCTCCCTCTCATTAAGGTTAATCGTCCTCGTATGCCGTGATTGTGGTCGTTGGGAGCTTTGCGGATTTAAATAAGAATGAAGTATTACCGGGCCGGAGGAACTTGTCTCGACCAGTATTCGTTGTGGCAGTCCAAGATCTAGACGAGAAGCAGAATCGTAGGCTGTGACAGCGGCGGTAGTAAGGGAAGTAAGAGCCTGTGCTTGCGATTGCGATTGGGAGGTGTTGGATCGCGAGGAGGAGATTATAGGTATGAGAGCACGGTCGGTGAGGTGGATTGATATTTGGCTACCTGACGCTGCGAGGTCTGCCATAATCGTGTATTGTGGGTGACAACCTAAGGCCCTTGTACGCCGTACAGTCGCCGTGGATTGCAATCAGAAAGCAATTCGAGAGCATACCCATGATGCATACCCCTACCGAGTCGATTATGTAGGTCAGTTTCCACTGCCCCTCAGCGAGCGGGAGCTAATTTAGCGCCAAGACCGCCTCAGGCATTTGGCCTGGAGCTGCGTAGCTGTCGGAAAAGGCCATTCTACAACAGAAGCTCGAATTCAACACGCGCCTGGAACAAACGTCAACTCTTGACTGATAGGACACTATGGCTGATGAAGATAGGGCTGAGAAGCTCGCCGCGGCCAGAAAAAAAGTATGTCGCTCCACGTTGTCAATGCTCAAACTTGTCAGCTCCAGAAGGACACGCTAACAGTTTCTACGTGCAGGTCGAGCAGATGAAGAAGAAGTCGGCGAAGAAGTCTGGCGCAAAGAAAGAAGAGAAAACAAATGCTACGGAAGCCTCTAAACCAGAAGACACAAAGGAAGAAGATGCGAAATCAGAAGATGCGAAGCCAGAAGATGCGAAGCCAGAATTGGAAGTAGAGGCACCAGAAGATGCAAATGGTGATGATTCAAAAGGAACGGAGGGCAGTGATGGTAAAGATGCTGAGCAAACTGTCTCTGAACCTGCCTCTGGGCTTACGACCCCATTATCACATCAACGAAAGTCCTCTAGCTCAATATCTCAGCAATCGAAAATGCGGTCATCGTCATTTCGTTCATCAACAGGGCCATTATCGCCCGGCCATGGTTTCCCCCCAGAAGAAAACAGTGCCCCCGAAATCTACCGAAAACAAGCTTTGAGAATTGAGGAGCTGGAGAAGGAGAATAAACGGCTCGCAAAAGAAGCTAGTGATGGCGAAAAGCGTTGGAAGAGAGCGGAGGAGGAGCTGGAGGATTTGCGAGAGGCCGAAGGTGACTCAAGTTCGAAGAAAGATGCATCATCCGCTGTTGGATCTTCCGGGGAATTGGAGAAACTGGTATATCTGGAATGCTCTATAACTATAGTTACAGTACTGACTTATTTAGAAAACGGAGATCGCAGCTCTTCAACGTCAGAATTCCCAACTTCAAGCACAAGCTTCCCGTCGACATGGCTCGTCCCCGTCCATGTCGTTGACAGCACCACCAGGACTTGAGGCTGCATTGCAGTCAAAGAACTCAACAATTGAATCTATGGAAATAGAAATATCAAATTTACGAGCTCAGTTAGATCGTGTAGCCTCTGGTTCATCGGTTGAGAAAGAACAAATAGCAGCTCTAGAGGACAAGCTAGCAAGGAGTGAGCGGTCCGCTGCTATTGCGCAACGCGAGTTGGGCGATTTGAAGAAAAACCTTGAGCGAACGACCGAGAAGGCCGTAAAGGAGGGTAGTGAGCGGACATCTGCGGAGACAAAGCTACGAACGCTCGAAAGGGAGGCTGAAGAGGCAAAAGTCCATAGTGAGGAGCTTCAGAAGAAAGTCGATGCTTTAGAAAAGAAGGTAGCAACCTTAACAACGCTCCACAAAGAGCATGACGCACGCTTCCAAACGCAGAAGCGGGAGCGGGAAAAGGCCGAAAAGGAGTCTTCTGATCTTAGGGCACGACTGGCCGGTCTTGAAAACGAAAACATTCGTTTACGGGAAGAAAGAGAGCGAGCGAGGAAGCGTGATGCAGAAGGTATCGACGATGATGGTGTGGACGAACTTGAAAACGAAGAACGACAGCGCCTTGAGAAGAAGGTCCGGGAGCTAGAAGGAGAAGTGCATGAGCTTCGAAGAGGCATCTGGCGAGAACGTAGGAGAGAACTAGATGGCGAGGAGTCCTCTGGCGTCACGAGTCCCGGAGCTAGGTTCACGGATGTGGACCTTGGTGGAGGCACGTATCCAAATAGACGGAAAAGCATTCCTCATGGCGGGAAGGGCATCGGTGACTTCCTCACGAGCGGCTTCAATGCCATTACAGGTGGGACTTCTGGGGCGGACGGTGGCTTGTTGGAGGACGATGATCTGGATTTTGATGAAGATGCCTTCCGACTTGCACAGGAAGAAGAGGCGAGGAAACGTATCGAGAGAGTAAAGGAGACTAAACGAGCTTTGAAGAACTGGACGGGCTGGCGGTTAGATTTGGTGGAGAATAGAAAGGGTGGTGGAGAGGGAGTTGGAGAAATTTTTGAGATTTAGGAAGTGATGGGATAATGGGTATATGTAACACTATGCAGCTTCTAGAAGCCCAGGTAGCCTTCTAATGATTTGAATTCGGTATCTTGGTATTCTGAAATCTCTCTACTGGTTCCAAGGGCCAAAACAGTGAGGTACTTTAGATTTTTCAGGATTAATACTTGAGGACGTGAGGGAGAAGAACATCGGGCAGAGTGAGAGGCTACCAGTCCCCGTCCGCTTGAGAGCTATATACCGGAATCTGGAGCGTTCGCCAATCTCAATTTAAACCAGAAACACCCCACGGAGTTGGGTACCGTATTAAAAAGGCAGCCGTTGGAAATGAATTGCTATCTCGTAGTATGGCAGCCTCATACTGTATCAGATCCTTGTTTGCCTGGCCGCGAAAGGAGGCAGTACTCAGGCACTCAGCCACGCTTGATGAAGAAAAGTCGCAAAAACTAGGAATCGAAACAACCGCACGTCAAATGTCTCCTCCTCCTTATCAACGTTACGATCCGCAACTTTCCTTCACCGCGACTCGAATCGATGCTTCCAGCTCTTGGGGGGGCTGAGCCAGAAGAGCAACTCCTCCGATTCGTCACGGCCTCGATGGTTCTCGCCCACCAATCTCTGCAGGGCCCGTAAGGCTGCAGGAACCATGGATATTGTGCTCACCGACTCCCCATTGATAAAATCTTCGATTCCCGCTCTTTATGCGCATCTCTAGCCTCTCATATGCGCCAGATGGCTGCTAGTCATTGTCCCGCACCCCACACTGCGCGGTGAAAGGAGGAGAGCGTACTCGGCCTTGTCTCTGCAGCCGCGTCGTTCCCATTCGTCTTGAAGTCTCAAGAGCGTAGTAAATGTTGAGAGGCTCTCGTTTATTAGTATGTGCTGGACCTCCCCCGCGCTCGGTCATGAACGAGTGATTACAATATTTCCAGTTACTTGATAGAAGGTCGTCATTGTGCCAATAATGTGGATGGCCCATATTTCCAAGCGAGCAAGTGATCTCAAGTCGAAATGAGGCTATGAGCAAGTGCCATATGGAGATGAGACGTTGCCCCGATATATTTCTTGATAATCGTGTTGTATTAATTCGCCTTCGATTTCCTTATATTTCTGTCCATTGATCACTTGGGAGGAAGCTTTATTGCCAATCCATATCACCTATTGTGAATGTTCGGTCCTACAATCAGATTCAAGACCCCAGCGTATTGTCGAATAACACAGCAACTTCTGAGTCCAATTTGTCAAGCCTCTTTGTTAGCCCGCGGCTCTGGTAGGATGCCTCACGTTGGCAATCCTTCTATCAAGTCATATTGAACTTTGCCTCCCAGCAGAACAATATCCCTATAGCCTGGATGTTTGCAAAACCGACTCGGCGAACCATTTCCTCGATTGCGCTCTCTATCAGCGTTGGGCTAGTTTTTCCAGGAGTCCCGAGGCCGACAATTACCCAAGTTGACGTGGCCGTAGGCTTTTGTGAAGCCTCGCTGTTGATTTCATGCAGCGCATTCTGGATGTTCGCTATGGCTTCTACCTCCAGGGTATCTCCCCGCTCAGCCCAGCAACCGTATGCTCCTCATGTCTACGCCCCACGGGCATTCCCTGATGCACCCGTCCTCTACTCCTATTCTGCTCCTCCACGGCCGAGATTTGATATTCATGGTAAGCACCCATTCCATATTACGTATCATTAGGTCCTTACTTCATCTCACCTTCAACAACGTTCTCCCGGAGTTGGATGGGATGGTGAACTTGGAACGAGGCCTCTTTTTCAGGAGAGAGCCGAGAGCCTCAGAAACTTGGAAGGATTGACGCCTCTTCACCAGCTAAGGCTTTTCAAGACCGGTTCCGACAAAGTTGCCGGGATGGCTGAACGTTTCTAATAGCTAGATCTTCCCGTCAAGAACGTGACCAAGATTCACGGTCAACGCTTAGGAGGCAGCCTGGTGAATGCAATATCTCAGTGAGCAAGAGACGCAGTGAATGGCCAAAACGGAAAAAAAGAATCTCGCGTAACGGCTATCACTGACGAAACAAATAGATCTAGATACACCAGAGATACCAATCAAAAGGGAACAAGACAACGGCCATCTACGTCTGGTCGGCTCTCGTATTCCCCCACCGGGCGATGACTGGGACCGAAGAGTCCAAAACGACCACGACCACGTACACGCACCCCAACACGCACGCGCACAACCGCCGCGGCCAGTCGAAGCAGTCGAGCCACTCGAACGACTCGAAGTCTTCGCGCAACGCGGCGCGCAACATCCAACTCATCGCCGAGCTGACTGGGCCGCTGCGCCCGACGCTCTTCGCAAGGCAGGTGAGTCATCCAACTTCCAAGGCAGAGGCAGATCTTTGTGCTTCTCATTGTCTCAAGCGCCCCAAAGAGTTCTCCCGAGACCCTGGCCCATTTGCCTATTTGCCTGGGTAGCCTTGCACCAGAGACATGTGACTAATATCAGAGAAGCAGCCATGTTCCCCTCTGCTCAAGGCTTCTACGGTGCCACCCCCGATACACATGTCCGCCGGTACTCGCGGTTGAGTACAAGTACAAGTACAGGTACAAATTCAAATGGAAGTGCAACTACAAGCGCAAACGCAAACGCAAACGCAAATCCAAATCCAAATCCAAACCCCAATGCAGACGCGCCCGCTGAGGAATCCCACGACGTGGCTGGTGTAAGTACATCTCTCCCGATTCTCCCTCTCTCCTCTCTCGCGCGTTGTGGCGGTGCTCGCTTATGGACCTCGGACGCTAAACTCGTTGCTGCCTAAGGCTGAGCTAAGAGCCATACCTTCTCGAGACTTTCATCAACCTCGAGATTGCGACGTCCCTCGCCACCCTCGAGAACAACAAAACCCGCCCTTTGCTGCCTTACCTCCTTATCACGCCTGGAACCACATCTATCCCTATCACGACACAATGTCGCTCTCCTACGAGTCGCGGGCCTCGTTCATGCCCGAATCCAACTATCCGCAGATGCAGATGCTCCAAGACCACCAGGAACAAGAAGACCTCCACCAGGACCAGCATCCTCGATACCCGTCTCCTCCGCCTCCCTTGTCCGAGAATCCCTACCATCCGCCGCATCTTGCTGCGACCCCAGATGATGGAATGGAGGTGCCAACCCTTCCGCCGAGCCATGAGTCCGAAGCGCCAACCTCTCCGGGCCGCTCGAAGCCAATCCCCAAGCCAGATCGAGAAGTCACAAAGGGCCCCAACGGACGTTTTGTTTGCACCTACGAGAACTGCACGGAGGAGATCCGAGATTTTGGGAGAAAGGTGGGCAGACCCATCCTTAACTTACGCGTCCTTTCTGCTAATCGTTGAACAGTGCGAGTGGTCGAAACACATGGATAAACACGATCGACCATACAAGTGTCCAGCCGAGGGTTGCGAAAAACTGCCAGGCTTCACGTATTCCGGTGGCCTCCTTCGACACGAGCGCGAGGTACATAACAAACACGGCGGACCAAGAAAACAACTGAACTGCCCACACCCGAACTGCAAGCGCCACACCGGAAAAGGTTTTTCGCGTCAAGAGAACTTAAATGAGCATCTGAGGCGGGTCCATACTGATACTAGCCTTCAAGATGGCGAACTCACAGAGGATGATGAAGATAACAAGACTGGTCAGAAGAGAAAACGTAGCGGAATGGCTCGAGGGAGCAGTGATGATCTTCGCGAAGAGATGAAGCGCCTGAAGGCCGAGAACGAGGAGTTAAGACGACAATCAGAGGCGCAAAATGCCCAGACTAATGAGATGATGCGCCAAATTCAACAGGTTCGTCTTCCACATCTCCTTGACCAGAGAACTGCGGCTGACAACGAGGAACAGTTACAGCAAGCCCAACTTCAGGCTCAGCTTCAGCATTCGCGTATGCCGCCGGCCAGCATGCTTTGATGGTGATTTGGCTTACTTGTATTATTTCTCAGACAACCAGGTTCTAGCATTCGCAGGCGTTACCGGCAGGGCGTAATACGGGACCATGGAGTAATCAAACATGCGGAGCACCGGGGCGGGGGGGTGGCTTTCATATCTCTCTTCTCAGCAATCGATGTCATGCTGAATGCCCAGAATGTTACATAGTTGTTGCTGTGTACTAGATAAATACTTCTCGACCTGAACCCCTTGAAGAAATGACGTTGAATTAAATTCAAAGCCTGAGGCCATCTGTGGTGAAAGTTCAACCTCAGTATTCAGACATCAATGCATCGTAGATCCGGACTGAGCCAGGCCACACACCTTTCAAAACCCCAATCTGTCCGTACATCCTTGAAGAATACAATACAATCCGTCCATCCATCCATCCATCTGTGATGACCACCATATATTATTTTCCAGACTAAAAGCTCCCATTATTTTATACAAGGAAACGTCCCTCTGTCTACAGTATTACCTACCTACCAACCCTGCCTGCTCTGTTGGATGCCTGACAGGCAGGCTACGATATTTTCGAGCAGGCAGAAGGCAAGCAAGCAAGTTCCCCCTTGGTGTTAGTTCCAGATCGCTATCATGTGATGCCGATTCGATTCGATTCGATTATCACGAGTACTTTGACGGGAAGGAGGAGTGAGTTAGAGGGTAAGATGGGTTTTATTTTTATTTTAGTTTATTTGAGATCTGTCACGCATAGGTAGGTATCTATGTATCTCATTGGTGATAACGGAAATATATATATAGCATTTCCAAGTCTATAATTGCCCAGCCCGGATTCGAGCGAGGGCGTGAAGAATCGAATATACATAGCATGTATGTATGTGCATGTATTCTAGAAAAAAAAATCAAATCAATCCCACGAGACGAGACCAAGATGATAGCGCGAAGCATTTTCACCCGTCTCGCCTCAGTCCAATACGCCGTCCCAGCAATGGCGTAACAGCACTGTTGCTGTCAAGGGCCGTGGCCCTTGGATGAAAGCATATCAAAACGCTGAATGGGTATCATACGCTAAAAATCAAACAAAAAATCCAAGCCCAAACCAAAAAAAAAAAAAAAAAATGCAAAACCATTAGAAGGTTGAGCTTCCCGCATAGATAGAAATGAAATTATCCTCCTCCACCATCACACCTCTTTAGACCACCTGTTGAAGATCCTCCAAAGATACCCTCTCAGATCATGGCAAGTAGATTATTACTTGCTCCACCACATCCGTTTGAAGCCCCTCTGCTGGAACTCTCGTCTGGCAGCGTCGTCGTCCTGGAATCCTTCAATCGAAGAGCTGATCTTGCTGCTCGGCTTGTTTCCAAAAATCCTGAGGAGGAGGACCATCACCACACTACTCAGGATGCTGAGGCAGAGAATGCCTATCATGGTCAGGTTGCTCTTTCGATACTGGTGTGGACCCGGCTTGGCATCCTCTGGCCAACCAGTATACAGTGCGTACGTAGTCGTGATGCTGCCTAGATTGCCGAGTCCGGAAACGAGAGCTGATGCTGCTGCTACGCCAACCTCCCCGTGCCGGCGCTGGAAGATTTCGTTCGTCCAGGCCATGCAGATGGGAACCGTTGGACCAAGCCCAAAACCGACCATGAGAAGGCCACCATACCGGCTCCATGGTTGCGAATAAGGCGCAAATGTGGTGGTAAGGAGTCCTGCAATTTGAATGCAAGCGGCACCAGAGAAGAACAGCGGTCGATAGTAAGGGAAACGGTCCGAAATAGGGGTCACTAGAAGGATTGCAATGAGATCCATCTGGCAAGGTCAATTTCCATTTGAGCTCGCCGGACAGGAAAGTAACTTACTATCCAAATTGGCGCAAAGAGCAAGCTGAGGATAGTCCCCGAGAAATTAGGATTGATCCCTGAGATGATGACGGTTCCATATAGTTGCGTTCCTATGCCGACTCCGACAACCCCAAAGTACATGAGTGTCAAGGGCCAAAGGCGCCAGTCAATTAGAACCAGCGCCAAATCATTCAGACCCCATGGACGGGAATGGTAGACCCTTGTCAAGTCTTGATAGTGAATTTCGGCATCTTCTCCTTTGAGAAGCGGCGGGCTCGTAGGGAGCCATTTCATCAGTCCAGTCCGAACTCTTTTCTCGCCGGGAGGCAAAGGACGATCTGGTAGCCACCAGAGCAGAGCGAATCCAAGAACAATTGCGCATAGACCGTAGATCAGGAACATCCACTGGAAGCCTGCTAGGCCCCTCATCCCATCCATCTGCTCAAACCCAGCTGACACGAGTCCCACGACCGCAGCAGATACCTGAGCTGCTGTGAAATACTGCCCGATTCGCTTCCCAGCGCGATTCGTCGGGTAGAGAATGGATATGAAGTATGCCATACCGGGCCACATGCCTGCAATAACCAGACCAAGAAGGAAGCGTAGAAGACTACCACAGTTAGGAGGCAGGTGAAAACGCCGAACACTTATAGAACTTACAGGAGGCTCCAAGCAGCTTTGACGGCCGCAAAACAAGCACCAATGATCCCAACAGCAAGGACAATCCTGGACAACCACACCCTTGGGCTGAGCCTAGTCATGATCATGTTTGAAGGAAAATCGAAGACGACATAAGCAACGTAGAAGAGAGCCAAGGCGGTAGATGTCTCTTTGGCCGTCAGATGCAAAACTTGAGCAAGGTCGTGACCCGCCGACGCATTCATAGTCTGTGCGAGACCAACATTAGAGCGGATAGCAGAGCACAAGAAGTACAGTATCCAAAGTGCTATTCCACGGGTCAGTATTACCGAAGTCATGCAGGAAACTTGGAGAGATACGTGGGATGACTCGACGGTCGATTTTCCTACAGGCCTGGTGAGCCTCATCCACCCATTGAGTAAGAATGATATACGTACTTGTAGATTTTTTCAGTTCTTGCAATGTCGACTTCTTCGACCCCGGCCTCTACATTGGAATTGGCCCTCTTCCCCGTCGATGTGGGGTCCTCGGGAAGTTCATGAACACGCAAAATTTTGTCTCCTTGTACGTCTATCATTTTCACTTGATGGCAATGGAGGTGCGTGCTATCAGTAAATATGGGAGACTCAAGTCAATTGGCCGCCTTCTGGGACGAGGAGGTCCAATGACCGAACGAAGTGGTGGAGAGTTGAAGAGAAAGGGAAGAGGTGATGAACACGATTGATACGACTCTCTACAATCTCAGGCCGAGTTCAGGTATGACCCTCCAAGTCCCGTCACAGACGAGCTATGTGACAACCTCATCTGCGCCCGTCGCGAGTCAGGCATGGGGCCCGCATATGTGGTCCTTGATTGACAAGGAGATGACACTGAAGGAGTGTACGGTATACTGCTGGGCCCCACCTGACGAACCATTTGATGGTGAGGAAGGGTCTATCTGGAGCCTAAACTACTTCTTTTTCAACAAAGATAGGAAGCGCGTAGCATACATCTACGTTCGAGGCGTCCCAGTGATAAACCATAGTCCTAGGCAACGAAGTGGCATGAGCAAGAGAAGTGGCAGTAGTTACATCCGCGGCGCGAGCAAGCGTGCAAAATACTGGTTGGGAGAACAGGCAGCCAATGTTACTAATGATCAGGACGAAGATGCCGAGGATATCACAATGTGGAGCGATGATGAAGCCGACGCAGACGACTTCGATGTGATATCTGACGGAGATGAATTCTGCGACGCTTACGACGACGAGGCCGATGAGTCGGATGAACAAAGTTGGAAGGGGCCAGTACGAGGAGTTAGTGAGGACATCGCTGCTTCAATGGACTTGGACCCTTGAATATTTTCCTTTGTGATTGTTACTGGTCAGGCGTTTGGGAACCGCCGGCAACGGTTCCACAAGCAGCTTGATATACCACTTTTGCGTTTATTATGTATGCTGTATGGATGTTGTAAGGATAAGGGGGGGCATATCGCGGCGTTAAACCATGGTCGGTGAGAGCGATTTTTGGTTGGCGTTGGGGCGTGTAATTAGCTGGAGTCTGATCCGCGTGCAAACACAACCTCATCATAACCATTAATACAGTTCTACTTCAGTGATTTGATTTAGGAGCATGTTCTTTTGAATCGTTAATACAAGGAATACAGTAGTCAGAAATCGGGACCGGGACATTGTATTGTGGGGTTAAGCGAACCCCAGTGAGGTCCACACAAGCGCTGGATTGCCTTCAAGCTTCGTTCCCTACGGAAATCTGCAGGTCTGAGAATATGCGAGAAATCATAGTCGGGATGGCTAGCATTAAGCGTGGCAATAAGGTATGCAAACGTGCGGCGACTTGAGATCTGGCTCAAGGGACCGAAAGGACTGGACCGGGACAGGTTCAAAGGCGAGGGACCAGACGAGCCTTGGGGTGGAGACACGGAGGCGGAAAGCCGAAGGAGGGATTCGTACTGGGACTCCAAAGAGTTCTCGATGTTCCGATATAGTTTTTTATCCGACCCAGCGGCTTTCGTAGTATATAGATCGCAACCGCCGATGACCTTACAATCGGGTGTGTGGAAGTTTAACGCGCTGGTGACGTCGTCGAAATCGCGGAGAGGTAGGAACTTCATCTTTGCTTATCGCAGTATTTCCTCGATCTAGATGGAAGTTTTACTCAACGCGACCAGAGTGATGTAGGTGATAGGGATGGGGAGTCGTTGGTGTGCGCGTCGTCGGATAGGGTATAAGCGTGTGGCGACCGATCCCGAGTGTTCTGGAAAGAGGGCAACCTTGCGGGAGATTCTTCAGACTCGGAAAACCGATAACCAGGAACTTGATCCCTTGGACTATCGCAGGGTGATGGAATCTATTTATCAGGGATACTGCAGATGCAGCGCTCTGATGGGGTGACTGGCGGTTTGGTGAACCTGCTGAGGCGGAGATTCAAGAATGACTTTCCCTCGCGCTGGCTGCGGAGGATGAATCAAATTGTTTCTCAGCTAGACATCAGTCTAGCAGGTAGAGGACATTGTATTTCGGGGGGATGCGACTGTTGTTGTGAGTGATGTCGATGATGTGATGATGGAGGAGGTGACTGGCAACGGGGGGAGGTGCGCCTTGTTATCAGGAGCGTAGTCCGGAAGCAGTTAGCCGATAACGCCAGAAGCGGGCAATCGCAGACCAATACAAGAGCGAATCGATCCACGAGGCCGAGCTGGAGATTGGAAGAGGTCGTCCTGTGTTAAAGCTGCCACCATGGAGTGAATCAAATCAAGGTTCCTGACTCCCGATAAACGGCTGATTGGGAGAGCTGCCGTGGTGTTGTCCAGAGGTTAAATATAGTGATTGGCTTTCAAAGTCATCAATGTTCTCGTTCTCCGCTTGTTCTTACGTAGACAGATAGTGGCTGAGGGAGTTTAGCAACACCTGGCCGGGAGGCTCGGGCTACAAACGCATATGGAACATGGTTTCTAGGCTTGCAACAGATGAAAATAATCTGGGACACCATTAGTGATCGATATAAAGAGGACTCTCTCACCGAGACGATGCAACGATAGGCAAATCATTCAATTCGTAAGCTGCCCTCGCATGCAAGGTTAATAATACCTAGGTAGCAAACTCCCTTGAGTAAGAACCTGTCGAATCCGTTCTGCAATCCATGCGCAACGCCTTGTCCCCCTTCCCTATTACCCTTCCAGTACGCCAGATCGCCCAAAGCCGGAGGTAAAGCAGTACAGTAACTGTTTGGCGAAAGCAGTCCGAGCCCCACAGACAACGGAGATATCAACATATGTCATCATTGGCGGTTCCTAAACCAAAAGACCGGCGTCTGTCAATGATTGGATGAGTACCTCATCTTCCTATAAGCACCAAAGCATCACAAGATTAGCAACGGAAGTAACTGAGAGTCTTGAAACTGTAATGTATTCCTATGCGCCCAAACACCAGGCACCGTATGCTCAGCATATTACATTATTTTTGTAACTTCCTCATCGACCTGGTGTAGGGGTTGCATGTGTCAGTACGTGAGACAGTATGGGAACTTTCCAGATAATGGTATTATTCCATTGAAACCCGAAACGCCAATGACTGCCGCCGCCGCCGCCCTGGAGGTCAAGAGACCAAGCTCAACTCACCTCAGTATCTTCTATTTGGTCTTGCGCCGATATCACTCTCAAAACGTTCTTCTTGCTACTCTCCTGCATCTCCCCTGCCAGCAGTAACTCGTCCAGGATGAAGTAGGCTTTCTGAAAGTGGAAGATTATGTCTAATTCACACACGTTTCCGTAGTACTTGTCCATCTGCTCCACGTAACGGTGTACGATCTCGAGGGTGATGAGCTCGTTGTCGGTTGAATTGCATCCGGCAATGAAGAAGAGGGATGCGTATCGACGGTAGACTATCTTCGAATCTGGACACACTTGTTCAGCAGTGCGCGATTGAATCGTAGCGGGGGTCTATCTCCACCTTTGTACTCCAAGAAATTACACATTCTCGTCCGTCGTGCCAGCACAAGTTGAGAGACATCTTTGATGATCTTCGCTTTCTCCTTTGGTGACAGAGTGGTGAACCACTTCGCGAGTCTCTGTTGTTCGTTCAGCATGCCACCTATGCATCAGGACCATCTTGGCGGTAACGTACGACCTTGCCCTGCCGCGAGAGCAGGATCAAGTAGCTGGAAAATATTAGTCCCAGTAACCATTTTTTAAATATTCTGTGGGTAAAGCTTACTTGATAGCCATTCGTACTGCACAGAGGCAAGTCTTTGAATTGCAGTTGGCAGGACGGGGGAGTCGTGTAGGAGAGGCAAGGCTAATAAATTTTAGGACCAGTGGGGCCAGGCCGCTGAGGGGCGGGATTCTAAATTCAGGGTATTCGCGGAGGTACTGCCTATGATTTTTCATTCACTTCAACCCACTCTTTGTACATAGAGACCTAAATACTATTCCTCAATTCACCTATTTTGTTGTTGTTCGCCCTTTGCCCTTCATATCTCCTACGTCTTCCACGGAAGTCCATACTTCCCCGATACCCAGTCCCATCATGACGCGATTAATACTTTCAACCTCGTAAGCTTCCCTCATCCGCTGCTCACGCTGAAGAGCCTATTGCTGAGCGCGATACGATACCAGCAATATTATAACCGGCGGCCCCTCCATAATTAGAAAGCCAGGCACCGACAGATCAAATCTCGAGCTTACAAATTCTCTCCGAGCGAACTTCCTCGCCGCCCAGGAGGACTGTTCCCCGCCCTTATCTACCACAAATGGAAATAGCAGAAGCAGCGAAGATGAACAGAGACGATCGCCTCGGCCGCAAGTCTCAGTATGGACAGCGCGCGAGGGATCCGACTTTTACATTCCTAGGATAGACTGGTCAATGTCGGGTCTTGCTGAAGAGCCGAGCCAATACGACATCACTGTCAAACTGTTCTATCTGCCCGGTGCAGATGTCAAAGAAAGAGCCAAACATACTCGAGATGCAATAGACTTGGTTTTAAAGGAGCTGGGCGTCCAGTCAATCGACCTTCTCATTCTATCCTTCCCCGGGATGTCCTTTGAAGGTGATTGCGAATGGGAAGCAGATAAGAAGAATGCGCAACAGGGAAACGATGAAGAGGAGATTGAGACATGGTCGGCAGTCGAGGAGCTATACCAGCAGGGCGTCGTCAAGAAGTTAGGCTTGGCAGAGTTTGGCAGCGAGAAACTGGCACGTTTCCTGGCGCGAGTTAAGGTAAGGCCGCAGGTGGACCAGATCAACGTCAAGGACTGTTGTAATGTCCCCCCTCCTCTTGTCGAGCTGGCAAAAGCCGAGAAGATCGAGCTCCTAACTCACTATGACTGCACGGACATCCTGCCCAGGGGCACTTTGAGGGAGCTTTTGGGTCAAGGACCTAATGGCGCGGGAGTGTTTGCAGAATCGAAGCATGGTGAAGATGGACTGAAAGGGGACCTGACTCCTGAATGGGTAGTCAAATACACAGCCGTTGTTCGGGACCGTGGGGTGATCGAGAACAAAGGTTATTTTGCAGTCGCAGAGCTGAGGGAGTGAGCGAGAGGTTTGAAATCGTCAATGTTCAGTTGCACAAATGGGAGGTCCTGGTCGATAGGCCGGATATGAATGGGAGTTTGAAGCGTGCATAGAGTTTCAGCATCGGCATGAATCTTCGTCGTTCAAGGAGTTGTTAAATAGAACCTCACAACCACACCTGGGGTGTGCGTGGAATTTGCAAATCCGAATGAATCAACCCAGCATACTGCGTTTCCTACCTCTCATCCTAACATCCTCCAACCGCTTCAGAACCACATCTGCCCCTTTAAAGCTCTTCCCATATGCGCCCAACACCACCTTGAACAGGCTCTCGGCTCTAGGATGAGTGCTCCCAAATGCCCGTTCCAGGACGTACAGATCCACCGCCCGATCCTCGTCCTGCGTACTCTGGCTCGCGAGCCCAAAATCAATGAGCACGATATCCCCCGCGAGCACGTCTCCCACCGCAGAATCCCCGTCTGGCCCCGCGTGCCGCCCTGGCCTCAGCATCATGTTGCTCGTCGTCAGGTCGCCGTGCACCACGCCCACGGCATGCATGCGCCCCACGGCCCTGCCTACCCTCTCCATCAGCCGCACCAGACGGTCATCGTCGACGCCCTCCGCGATCCCCTCGTCTTTCCGCTGTTGTAGCCACTCGTTTAGCCGGATCCGGACCACCTCGCCCTCGATCCACTCGATCATCAACCAGCCGGCCGTCTCGTCGAGAGCGTAGACCGCGGGAACGGGCACGCCCTCGCGCCTGCATTTTGCGAGCACGCGCGCTTCGGAGAGGATGCGGTGCTTGGTGAGACGGAGGTCGAGGGTCGGGTGTCGGTAGGGTTTTGGGGGGCGGTACTTGAGCGCGCATGGGAGAGTTGGGAGCAGATAGGTGCTGCGGTAGAGAAGAGCTTCCGCGCCTTGTGTGATGAGCGATGGCGGGACTGCGGAGGGGTATTGGAAGACGGGAGGCAGTGGAGGGCGCTCAATCGGAGCTGTCTCGATCGCTGGGATTGTTTCGGTTTCCATTTCGCCGTCTGGTTGCGAGGTTTGCGGCTGTGGAAGTTTGTGTGTTGTTTGCGTGACGCTGAGCCCGGGATTCGTGTTGGTGGGGTTTTTCGATGGCCTCCGCCCTCTCAGGTATTGGCGGGGTAGGATAGGACTACAGAACTCTAACTCCTCACCGTGAAGAAATGCCCACGTCGCTTTCTGATTTGCTCTCCTCCCTTTATATATATGCATCGATGTTATATATATCCGTTCCCCATTTCCCCATACATATCTCTACATACATCTTTAACCGCGTTTGGCGTGGAGACGGATCACAGGGAAAACCGCCCAGATCCAGCCATCTGCAAGTGCAGGGGGTACGAGCAAACCCAAGGGGTCAAGACCCGGCACACCACACCACCACGCTGTACAGTACATTTCTCTGAGCACATGAAGTCATCCAGCCTCACACTCTGCAATCCCCCCTCGAGCTCTCTCCACGACTATGCGACAGCATCGATAGCCCTCCTGCTTGCACCGCCCTTCCTCTCCATCTCGTCTCGCAAATGGCAGACTCCTCCGACCTGCCTGTGCTGACGATCCTGCTCCTGCTGACCGCCTGTCTGGTGTCGCTCTTCGTCCTCGGCCAGATCGCCTCCACGTACACGACAGCGTACCTCGCGGCCCCCAGCGAGATCACGACCTTCATCGACGCGGTCGACTTCTCCATCCAGGAGAACGAGTCCTACGACCGCGATGTCGCCAAGGTCGCGCGGCTCGAGGACAAGCTGCGTATGGGCCGCCTGCTCAGGGAGATCCAGAAGTGCGGCGACGACCTGAGAGAGGATCTCAATGGGCTCCTGATTGATGAGGGCGGCACAAGACTCCGCTCCAGCACGAGGCTGTTGTGGGCAGCCAAGAGGAAGCGCCTGGAGGAGAGGATGCGAAGGCTGGACCTACTACGAATGCGCTTCTTGGTTGTCTACATGGGCCTGATTGCCGCAAAGGGCACGACAGAACACGCGCCAGCGCGGGATCCAGAGAAGAACGACGCGCCCAAGACGCAATTGCGCCCGAGCCTGCCTCACGCCTTGACCGAGGGCATCACGAGAAAGCCCCCCCTTCGTCGCCTCGCGACCCAGGCCATGGGCCATAACGACCAGGTGGGAGGCATCCAGAAGTTGGGCTGGGCAGGAGTCGTTGCGGAGTTGCAGAATTCGCCCCTGATGCACAAGAGACATGCCTCGATCGAGACATCTATGGCCAACCCTCGCACCGCCTGAGTCAGCCCTGCCCCTATCCATGCCGTCCCTCAGGAGCAAAAGGCTCCAAGACCAATCTCCCGACTCATGTCCAGCCTCAACACTATGCTCTTGGCTGCTGAAGAACCCAGACACCACCCCTCTCTCTAATCATTCGTCACGAATTCCCTACTTCATGTTTATTTGACGAACGAACGGCCTTCACGACACGACTCCATGCCCGTTACGCCCCTCACGCCCGCACCCCACCATTTTCCCCAAACCGACCCGCCCCTCCCATCTGCCCCAGCTCCGGTCCAGATGAGAAGAGAAAGACGATGATCGCTATTGCAGCATGTATGCGATATGGGAGTTCTCTGCTGGTTGTTTCTTCCAAGACGTTTGGACTTTTATTTATTTCTTTGAATTTTCAAGATACCCCCCCTTTTGTTCGCGTACATACTTCTTTTTCCCTCCTTTTTTTGATCCGCCTCCCCTGGGCCGCCCCTGTCTGTATAGCTTAGGTACCATGTAATGATTGATGTTCATGATCTTAAGAAATGATTTTTATGTTTTTTATCTTTTAGAAAGACAAAAATAAAACGAGAATCTAGATAAAAATTAGATCATGGTGAGATGTATTTATTGTATGTAGAGCAATTACCTACCTTAGGTATGTATGTATGTGCTGCTGTGGAGATTCATGCATGGCTTTGATATCAGAATTCCACAGCCTACCCCGCTTTAGTATTCACTCCACCAAGATCTTCACACTCCTAACTTCTTCCTCTTTCGAGTGCTGTAAGACAGAAAACTGGCTTATTAGATCCGAGAATAAAAATAAAACAATCTATTTACTTTGTAAGGATGCAGGGAGTTAGTTGTTTGGACGTCCCGAACCCCCATGTTTCCCCTATACAGCATGAAAAGGATCGAACTTTGCAGCAGATACGCAGCGTGATTTCCCAAGCTATATTTACATCCAGTGCAAGTAATTTGATAAGAAGACTGTTGTAATGTCGTAAGAGGAATGTTCAATTTTCATCATATATCATACGGCTTTTTATTCTGTACATCTCGTTCAAAACGGTTCGTAAGATCCCCTCCCCTGCCTCAGAAGTCCGAAGTCTGAACAGTCCTTCCCTTGCTTAAAACCAAAAACCGCCATCGAGAAATATGCATGATGCATCATATGGTATCTAACAACAGATAAAAATGGAAATTCGAATATGGATGTGCAACACTGTATGTGTGCGGGTGAGCGAATGGTAGGTAGATAGCGATAGGTGACGGAAGTTCAACAGAAAACCCTCCTAGGTATAGATGCCATAGGTTACCCATATCTCCGTATACAGCAAAGAAAGAAATAGACACGTGAAGATCCCCGTTGCAAAGGTTCTAATGGACCTTCTTTCGTCCAAACATTCGGTGAAAGGTGCTTGATTCCTCCTTCTGCACGGTAGGCGCAAATGTCTTGGGTTGAGCTTGAGTTGGTGTAGGAGGCTCGCTATCTCGTAAGAAAGCCGCAAGGTCGTTGGTCCTTGTAGTCGGATACACGGCTTCCCTTGGCTGGTAGCTCTTCTGTACGACCTTGTTCCGTGCAGAATCGACTTGTGAGACGTAGTTACCGCCACGCGCCGATTCGTTGGTGGGTGGCTTGTAATTGTTGTTGATTTGGACAGAGATTGGAGTATGGTTAGAAACCTGGGATGCGCCTGACCGTGAAAGTGATGAGCGTGATTCCTGGCCGCTTGATTTTGGTTTCGAGGGTGATTGTTGGTTAGAATTACTACGGCCAAAGCGCGACATGATACTGGTTGTGCTTGGCTTCTTCTTGACATCCTTGCTCGATGCTCTGGAGGCTGTTTGAATCAGAGGAACTGGTGTCGGATCAGGTGGAGGAGGCACGTTTCTCAAGAAGTCCGCCAGCGATTCTTCCTGAACTGGTTTTGGTTTTGATTTTGAAACGGCTTCGTACTCTTCCTCCTCATCACTGAAGTCGATTTGGTACATATCTCGAACCCTCCGGGTCTTCCGTTTTGGCATATGATCCTCCATATCAAGGTCCCTGTTGGTTTGCGAGGGCTGAGGTTTACTAATATTTGAAGAACCATTCAATAAAGCGCTCTGCGATGTGACTGAGCTATCCACGGATACAGATGCTTGGCTATATCGGGCATCTGGAAGCGTTGCATCTGTCGCTTTGCCACCAACAGCCCCGGACATCTGGTCTGAGTCCATGGTAGTGCGGAATGGTGCAACTGTTCGAGGGATACGATGATTATCTTTCTCGAGCTGCGGACCACTTCTCACAAAATCTATTAGGTCTGAGATACTGTCGTCTCGAGAGACAGCGGCATCACGAGCCTGTAGCTTGGGACGGCCGTTCGAAGATTCTGTGCGTCTCGAGGTGGCGCTGATAGCACCAGAACGCGGTTCGGATCCGCTAGTACTCCGGGCGGTGCCACGAAGACTATCAACCGGTCCCGAACGAGGTGGCGCTTTGTGGCCATTCGCTGGGCCGGTCGATTTGATGAACTCTGCAAAGTCCCCCATGGATTCCCTATCAGCTTTAGCATCCCTTGGTTGAGAGATAGCCGGGCGCAGCCGTGCGCCCGTATTTGGGGCTGGCCGTGGTGCCGTCTTCATTGCTCTGGCGGACTGTGGGTTTTCGACAACGGCCGGTTTTGTGTACTTGCCAGTTGATGATGAATGGGATCGACCAGTTGCTGGTCTTGGGCCCTCTTGTGCGTTTACCCGCACTGGTGTGACAACGGCGCGGGGAGAGTCAGGTGCCTGAACGAATCAAGTCAGCTTCACTGTATAGCACTCCAAGGAACTACATACCTCAATATCACGCATATTTTGCGGCGTTAGAGTATACTGGATAGTTTGGTCACTTCGAATCAACTGCTCAAAACTCTGGCCCTTATCTTCAACCGCACTAGGAACACTCTCTTCGGATGTGCGTACTGGTTTCAGCTTGTGAGAGGCAGTGGAGGAAGATCCAGAGCCAGAGGTATGGATTGACCGTGGAGCTTTAGTCTCCTTCCTAGAGTAATCCTCTCGAGATGTACGTGGAGGAGAACCACGAATGGTACTGGCAGCTTGGGACCGGGCGGATCTTTGCGGGAGCGAGGAGCCAGAGATTGAGTGTGAGTGCCGGTGCACTCCAGGTTCAGAGAAACTGGGACCATCATAGCTTGGTGCCAGACTTGCTTCATCAGAAGTGTCCGGTGCGCCTTCCATCATTTCGCGTAACGGCGTGAGGGGAGGGATACCGCCATGGTCGCCTCTGGTTTTGGTAACTCCCAGAGCTGCGCTTGGCTGAGGGGGATGGGATTCAACGACAGATGCATTGGCATTCCCTCGGGAATTTCGAGAAGCAGGAGCGGCAGAAAGTACGAACGCCGCCGGTTGTGGTGTGACCTCTCTGCTCACAGGCTGTGAGGTGAATTGAGGCGAGACCGGTTCTGACCATACATCAACCCCTTGCATTGCTGCCGCAAACCGAGATGGCACAGCAGCCTCGGATTCAGACTCACTTCCGCTGGCCTCTTGCTCTACAGCTTCCGAGATAGGCTCCTCAGCGCTGGGCCTGGCTTGTCTACTGCTCGTCGCAGATCCATTGCGAGTAATGGGGCTCGCAGTTCCAACCTTTGAGATAGAACCCGCAAGTCTGGGGGTTGCCGATTCGGAAGGAAGATGGGAGTGTATACTACTAATACTACTAGGGCTCGACAAGGTGACAGCGCGTCCCGCGGTGAAATAATCGGTGGTATCGACCGAGATGCCCCTCAACTGCGCAGGACTTTTTGGTGAAGAAACATCAATTAGGCGTAGGGAATGAACGCTGTGAGAGCGAACACTGGATCGCCGAGAAGGAGCTGAAGCAACCTCTGGAGAAATTCGTCCCCCGATGGAAACGCGGGAGGATGTCAAAATCTGGGGCTCCTCGTTGAACTCTTCTTCAGCATCAGCTTCTTCGTTTTGATCCGGTTCCACCTCCGAAGCTCCGCCGTTTGCAGCCGCTGTAATTCCAGCGACAGCCACAGCCCCCACTGCAGTCGCGATTAAGCCCTTATTCGTGGATGATTCTTCAGTCAATGCATTGTGGGCCTGCTCCTCATCCACTTTACCCTCCAAGTCCGTGGGTTGCTCTTCTGTATTCTGTTCCACGACGTCCGTTCCTTTCGCATCCTCCTGATCTTCGCCCAGTTCACCATCAGAAGCCTTCGGTCGTTTCGAAGCTGGAAATCCATACAATGACGGGGCCGGAGAAGGTAGAGAGTAGGACCGCTTTCTAGAAGTTGGGGGGAAGAACATTGGTGAGTGTGTCTGCGAGGATGGCGGCGTAAGGAGGCCTTGCGTAGGTTGGGTGAAGATGATGAGACTTTTTGGACGGGGTGGCAGCTGGATAGCTTCATACTCGTTGGCAACGTCATCCTCCTCGTCACTTTGCAGAGCAAGTCCGGGAATCTCAATTTCCCGAATATCGTCCGCAGACAATGGGAGTGGAATAGTAGCTGCGTGCTCGTGTTCAGCCAGAACTGTCGCTGACGACAACGTCTGTGGGACTTCTTCTTTAAGGCGGTTCTCAGGGGCGACGCTGGCTGCTCGGCTAACTGCTCGGCTGGCTTGAGGTTGAGAACGCAACGATTCTCTAGAGAACGAGCGATTCAACATCGAGACGGAAATTGACGGTGAGCGTATGCGTTTCTTCCAGCTTCTCCACAATCTTCCTAGTGTCCTGTCGAGAGCCACCCGTTCCATATCTGCTTCCTCTACCACCACGCGCTCCGCAATCTCCACAGATGGACTACTATCTCCCCTTTCCTCGCGTTCATGTTTTATTCTCAACCTGTGATACGCAGCCTGTCCTGCAACCATCAAGACCTGCTCTCCCATGAATTCCAAAATGGATGTCAGGAATATAGCCACTGCGGGGGAAACTACAGCGGAGTTGTTAGAGAACTGATCAGGGGATCCAGTGGGACCATCCAGCTGCTCCTGCTCGGTGTAGAAATCCTCGTCTTCCTCCTCCATGTCACCAAGAGACGAATATACCATACACCGCAGTCGCGTTCGCTTCCAGACCAGCTCTAGATCCCAGTCAGCGGCGTTTGGTTCGGGTGCACCCTGAAGAGCTAATAATTCTTCATCCTCCCCGCCCCCTAGATATTCTTGTAGTTCTTGATCTGCTCCGCTGATTGCATCTCTGGCAAGCTTCTGCTTCAGAACTTCGCCTATAGCAGGTCGAAGGGATGGCAGAGAAGTCGACCGCGAGATCGAGAGGAAATTGTATAGGAGTTGGTCCAAAAATCGATTTACCAACGCTAGAGCAGGGGGGGCGACCAATGCCGTCTCCCCGGAAGGTTCAATCCCGTGCTGGTCGAACCAGGCATCCGACTGGCTGTCATGGTCGTTTGTGACGATTTGGGAGGCTGCAGAAGCGGCAATGAAGGCTGGTTCTGGGGAGATCGAGGCAGGAGGTGAAAGGAGGCCACCTACACCCGCCAGAGAGGGTCTATCGCTGGATATGCTTTGTGATCTCGTTGCGCGGGGAGTAGGGCGCCCAGAATCGAAGCGATCGGTCTGTAATGAGAGCTCAGGAGGAGCCATGGCTAATGTGAGTCGGAGAGCTCCAGCGCGCAGCGCTTCCTCAATGTGTCACGTAGGACGCCCAGGGTCCTGCCGATACCAGTATTCCTCCTTAGAGGTAAAATATGGAGAGGCGATAGGAGGCCTCTGTGGAAATCGGATCGAAAAGAACGGCGATAGGAGAGGGGCTGAGGTTTGCTCCTGTCAAAGAAACCTGTAGCCGAAGAGACCAATTAGTTTATACTGACAAAGACGAAACATTTCCAAGACAGTGAAGGGGCTTGGGGCTTTGGGTCAGGGGCAAGATGGCAGATGGTTATTTCGTCAATGCACCCCCAGCTTTCCAATTGAGATGGCATCCTCTAGCATAAACGTTGTTGTGGCACTCGAACCGCAGTGCAATATTGCCCATGTGCAGGCCTCGTGGAGTGAAATTAGATTGAAGAAACTCGCTAGACGTACCTGGAAAGTTTCACCTATATAAACAAAGAAAAGGGGAACCAGCAATGGGCAAAACCAGGAGAGCGCGGAGCCCAGGTCGGCAAGGTTCCCGTCGAGATAATGGCAAGATGGAGGGAGGCGTAAGAATCAGCCCAAGACAAGGCAGTCCTTCTTCCCAGCAAGAGGTCGCGCAAGGTGGTGAGCGAGAGTGAGGAATTGAGTGAGCGAGAGAGGGAGGGAGAGAGGGGCGAGAGTGAGGGAGCAAGTGCGCGAGTGAGTGAGCGAGTGAGATATGATAGATGCACGCTCCAGGATGTCTGTCTCCAGTGTCTTGTCTTTTCTTTTCCCCCCCGGACGGCGAAGCAAGATCTCAAGAACAAACGGAAAGGGGTCGGACCGGGATATTCAAACCAAAATACTCCGCACCTATCCGTAATAGGGGCCGGGCGACTTGAGTGACAGCGACAGTGACAGTAATGATAGGGATGATCAATGATCCAAGAATGGCGCGTCAGGATATTAAATATCCGCTATTCGCGAGGAAAGTCGCAGCTCAGGCCTCTGGGACATCCGGGCGTCGTGGGTACGGAGAGGAACGATGGGGCACGCAGGCCGCATAGGGGTCTGGCAGGGTCTCTCGCGAGTCGCAGGTTTCGGAGGGGTGGAGAGAAGAAAGGAGAGAAAGGGGAGGGAGGGGGAGGGGGAGAGGGAGAGAGAGAAGATGAAGACGGGGGAGGAGTAGGAGAAGTAGGAGAAGTAGGAGAAGACTCCAGGAAGAATCCAGGTCGCCGAAAGGTAGCACGAGCCGGGACGAGCAGATCATACGCGGGTCCCAGGATCTCCGTGCTCCTTCAGCGGGTGCGATGTTGAAGATTGAGAATTATAATTATTATTACTACTGTACTCGGTCCAGCTGCACACGATGCCCTTTCGCAAGGCTCGAAGGGGGGGGCTGGCTGAGTAGGGCCAGGGGCGTGGAAATGGATGATACTTCGGGCGCATCTGGTCGTCGCCGAGCTGGACCTAAGCTGAACTAAACTGGACCTAAACTGCATCTAAGCTGGATCTAATCCCCATAGCGCTCATCTCATCGCCCATCTGCCATTAGCACGTCCCCAAAGGGGAAAACGCACGGGAGGAAAACTAGCGATTGTTCGTTCGATTGTCTGGCCCGCAGGGCGACGAGAATCTACACTCCGTTCAGGGTCCTGTTAAGATGAACGTCTCGGAGTATTATTATGATTGTACATCTGTATATAGTATATCCAGCATCACACGTGTGTGCGCGTATCGTCATGTCTCCCCTCCATGTCATTGATGATATGGCGCCCTCGAGGGTCAAAGGATTCAATCACAGAAGCTGGCTGCTATTTTCATCCTTCTCTTCTCCTCGGCCGTTCAACAGGAACACTCCCCACCGGACACGATGCTGCCCCACGGTACTAGATGCCGAACATAGACCACGCCCGCGTACAGTAGCCATTCTCCTCGCCTGCAGCGAGGAACGTGGTCATGGAGATCTCAACGCCGCGCATCTCTCTCTCTACCGGCCACAAGTAAGCTCATACACTACAAGATAGCACGCAACTAGGCAGTTGGGCAAAGACCTACGGAAGATGGCCCAAGTATAGGTAGATCCATGAGATCCACGATGCCTCCATGATCGATCCCTGATACTCCTTATATCCATGATAGAACGATACAGGTAGATCCATCATCATTCCATCCAGAATTCTCCGTGCGAGATCGACTATCGATTATCGCTCTGCACCATCATCACTCTTCTCGGGCATATGATGAACACGATCAGCACTGTCCATGACGCTACAATACCGTAGGACACTGGCCAGGACTGATAGGTAGGTTGATAAAAGTTGATAACCACCACCACCGTACCTTGCGTGGTACCGAGGACTTGCGGCGCAACAGTCGGTGAGGCTAAGGGACCCATGAGCAAGTTGCCAGTCCGTAGTGGCAGGTCGGTCCCATTCTTAGAAGGTAATTCTTCTTGTTGGAAGAGGATCAACTTATCAAAAGGCCCGCAAGCTCAGGGCCCAGGACCCTTCGGCCCTCCGCCCCCGCTGCATGTATGTCGCTGCAAGTAAGTAGCCGTGTGGTGGCATGGCGCTGCTTAGTAGTAGTCCGTATGGCGTTGTACGATGGAGAGGCATGCCGGGGCGAGGCAAAACGCTTTATTGGACTCAATCGCAAGAGACCACTCGCTGAAGAATCCCAGGCACAGTCAGCGCACGCAGTCACAGTCGTACTGGACTACGGATGTGAGGCGTGATCCCAGGGATTATGACGGGGGCAGTGTCTCCCGTATGGTCGTCGTCCTATGTACCTTACACAGTACATCTCTGCGGCATCCTCTTACCGTCCCGTAACTCATCTCGTGAACGGCAAGGCACACGCACGGGAGGCTTTCCAGAAGCTGGTGCGTTGACGCGCTGACTGCCCGCAATCCCTGGACATGCAGGTTTTGGAACGCCCGGAAAAGGGAGATTCGAGGCCTCAAACAATGAGAAGCCCCAATATCGTGACCTTGGGACAAGCCAGACTGCCAGAGGCTATTTTAATTGCCGCATCCTTCTCGGTTATACGGTGCTAGTGTAATCTACCTTGTAGGTACCTTTGTAAGGAGCTTCAAGTCTTCAACTCCAGGCACAGAGAGCTACTCCGTGGGAACAAGACCATGCTCGTCTGCCACTCGATCGGTCGCTTTTCCACATCTGATAAATCGACATGAGCTGGCAAGTTGAACAGTACTGAGCAAGGGGAGTACGTACCGGACCTCATCTAGTCGCCGATCCAGAACCTTCAGATCTGTTCTGCATATACAACAGGCACCGGAGTCCGTGATCTCCCTTCCGCGAAAAAGCCATAAATCCCGCGTCTTTACACCCGTCCGGCCCAAGGAACCAAAACGGTCAGATCTCCCGTCCGGCCCAGCCCTTCAAACGCGTGGACTTCCCTCCCGCTGTGCCAGAAGAATCGGATACAATCCGATCCCATGGGCCATGCCGTCAGCAGTCATCCGCGCCATGTGTCACTCGAGCAGAGACATGCAAACCATTCAGGGGGGGGAGATAATGAGGAGCTTTTCTTGGCCCGGATCCGCGTCATGATTAACCTTTAAAAGATCGAAACCACCCCTCGAGAAGACTTGGAAGCTCTCTTCCCCCCCCTTTCTCGAGTCATGTCGTCTGAAATCTGCCACGCACAACCTGCCAAAGCCGGAGAAAAAGCACCGGCGTCCTATCATGGTAAGGCTGATAGCGCGTTGGTTAGTGAACCTGACATCTAAATACCCTTTTCAAAAGAAGATACAAAGTAAGCAGCTGGGCTCATTCATGTCTGGGTCACTTCTGTGGTGCCACGGATTGAAGTTTCATCAACGCTGCACATGTGCGACGCCTGTCGGGGCCGAAACAGTTTTGCTCTATCATTATTCCATTATTCTAAGAGAAGAGAAGAAAAGACAAGAACGTATCCCATCAGTTTCCGTCATATGAAACGTGTCCTACCTGTCAAAGAGGAGGAATCTTGCCTTCATATTTTCCCGTTGTCAGTGCTAGGCTCTCTGATCTCTGAGGCCCCTCAGGCTCGTGCAGAAGCTCAAACTCCCTCCACAGTTGATACTGCAGGCCGGCCTTCTTGCCTTCATTGTATGCGAAAGCTAGCTCGACTTTGAGGCTATCTTGAGTATTGGAGGGCTCCGTTTCAAGTGAGAAGTTCTTAAACGCTCGCTCCAGCTCATCCATAACCTCGTCGTTGCCACCAATGTTAATACCGCTAACCAACGCTGCTGCAGATATATTAGCTGTTGACTTTCCAGATCAAGTCAAGTAGTGGGAGGAGGTTCGACTTTACCCAGAAGATCTTGATCGGTAGGGTTATGGCGCATCTCAGACGAGACATCGATCTCGGCGAGGTCACCTATCCAATCATAGCTTTCCGCTGCGATCCTCCCATCCCTTACTCCTTTATTCCACGCCATTTGGAAGAGCTGCACCCCTTTACTCCTCCCTTGGTACGCGTTCGGAATGAACTTGTGCTTGACAGCGATATCACGAGTCCGTTTATCTATGCAGTCATCGCACCACCGAGGATGGGTGATCGTAATCCCCTGTATTGCAAAGACAGAACCCACCAGATCGTATCCCGAATTCTTATGCTTGACGCCAGGCACGTCTATCTCCCCCTCATAGTCATGTCCGCAAGCCCAGTGTTTGGCGCCATCTTGGGGATTAGCTGCTCGGTGCCAGAAGCTGCAGTCGTGACAGAGACCGGCTGTTCTTTGTTTAGTTCATTCCCAGTTCTAAAGGGATGGGAAGGTGCAATCCACTCACGATTTAGTATCTTGGTTGTCTCGGGATCAGTCTGATCTTTCTGAAGCCACCTTTCTTCTATCACCCCTTGGGGATTCCCAGGGTATTCGTGCCCGCATTCCACGAACGTGTACCGCATTTTCTGAAGGTGATGCGTACGGATTCTGATGAGATGAGATGCGGTACGAATTGGTTATTTCTACGCGTTGCCTTGGGTTTTCTCGCGTCGCTTGTTGCTGCTTTCATGCCGCGAGGCACAGTGAATATGAACACCGGATGCGTCCTTAGTGTCTGGACTGTCCTAATTTCTTCCTTCCTCCTTCTTCATTATGCATTGCAAAATCCAACTTCAACCTTTATCAACTTCCTTTACGTTCCTTGTGACCAGCGTAAACGCTGTCGCCGGGTAAATCCTTCATCAGCTGAGCCAAAGCTCAACAACAGGAGAGGAAAGCAGAATAGACCGGAGAACATAGACGGGATTCCTTTTCGGAACCTCAAGAGGGCAGCTGTTTAGATGGATTAGCAGCCCGAATATTGCAAGTTCTGTATATCTTCCTTACTATTGTACAGTGCTAAGGATGAGTTGGATCAACTCTTTCTTTACAGTATCGCTCTAGCCAGCTTCTCTCTCCTCCATCTTGGATCCTGTTCATCAATCGCATTCCGTTCAATCATTGCCTGGATCTTCCTCCCTTCAGCAACGCCTAGCAGATACCTCTGTTCCTCTTCACGCCGGCTCTCAGTCTCCTCCACAGCCTCATCGCTCTCGAGACGCAGCGTCTCCAACATCTCCTGCAACGTCAACGCCTCGCTCTCTCTCAAGGGTCTCGATAACGCCTGCACCCTCCCATCTCTTACCCCTCGGATATACGCCCTATGTTTCAGTTCTCTCTCTGAACTAGCCTGCTTAAGCCTGCCCTCGTATCCCTCCAATATACTCCTGCTCCGCGCTTCTACGCACTCGGGACACCATCGTGGGTGTGCCACGTGTAATATGTACAGTTCCGGCTCATCTTGCTCCCCGCTGGAGACGGCAGCGTTAAGCTTAAGGAAGTCACACTCAATCCCTAGGTAGGGGTGAAGACATGCTTGATGCAAGTGTTGGACGTAAATCTGGCCGGCAGGGAAGAGCTGCGTCCTCCAGGGCTGGCTGCTTCCTGCCATTGTGCGGACGATAGGAAGTTAGATTACAGGTAGGTGATCAGAAGATGCGCATCTTTCAGTGTGTGAGTAGTTCTCTGTTTATGTTTGTACTGTCGCTTTAGATGACTCACTCCCCAGTTGAAGATTCTTGATTCTCGCAGCTGGGATACACTCTTGTATTTGAACCATTTTCTCTACATAGGCCCGCCTTTCCATTGTTGTCGAATAAATCGAAGTCATACCTAGGCGAAGCTTTCTTACACGTTCCAGACACACATGGAAAACGCCACACCAGACTTCTACCTCTTCCCATTTCCCTCTCGAACCACCTCCAAAGCTTTGGAGATGCGATTATTCGCATTGCATCCCCTGGAAAGCGAGCCTCCAACAGAGGGCTTCAGAATCTCGTTGCAGCTCTATTTCCCCAATACCATACTCTATTGCAAAGGTAATCATTCCCCTTATCCTCCCACAGTTTTCGTATTCTCACTTGCAGCCAAGCCATCCCTCATCCTTTCCACTACACTTCATCTTCCTAATCTCTGACCTCTCTCTGCTTTCAGGCAAATGGAGCCCTCTCAAAGTGAGAGTCCACCGAGCACCGTGATCATCACCCCCACCTTCCCAATCGCCGCCCTGTACCTGCACGCCGGGCACCATCCCGCCAGGCGCGCCGCGCCCACCACGGTATTATTCCAGCAGCCGCCGCGCAGTCCCGAACCCGCGCCCGCCGCGCACGGCGTCTCAACCTTGGGCGCACCCCAATGGCCGCATGCCGCGAAATAGGTCTCGGTCATCCAGCACATGCTGTATGCTTTGCGTTGTGGAGGGGTGGGGATGGTGTTGAGGATTAAGAAAACAACATTTACTGCGCTATCTCCTTATACATAGCTTTGCATCCTTTCTTTCTCTCCTTCTCTCTTTCTGTCTTTTTCTCTTGGCTCTTACAGGAGATGGTTCTGCGTCGTGCTGCTGTATGTGTGTGGCCGTTGCGCAGGCCGACAAGAGTACGCCTATGCGATAATCAATCGCATCCTGAAGTGATTCCCTATAGGAATCTGAAAGAGCGAGCGTGTTCTTTGAAGGGAAGCTAGCGCTCTACAGAAGTCTCAGCGCGGGACTGCTTAGAGATGTTTGTTTGTTAGTGTGGTGTTGTCTTTGAAGGGTGTGTTTGCCTGCTCTGCTGTAAGTCCATGTCGCGATGGATTGTCGGTCTCTCGTGGCAAGTTGCCACCTAAGATATGCCATTATAGCTTTGCATTGCTGTTCTTCATGCCTTGAAAAAGTAGCTCACAGTGAAGGGTTCGGGTAGCCCCCATCTCAAAAAAGGGGGGTGCGGCACGTGACATACATCCTTCAAGCTTCTACAGTACCTCCTGCCTATATCCAAATATGGATCGAGCTCGTCATCGATTTGGTTAAAAACGACGTGCATAAATATTATTAAGGCATCTTATCTGTAACATACATTCCCCTCCACACGTTAACTCTGTTCCTCCTCTAATAAGTACGATACGGCGTCGTATGTAGGGAACCAGGTAAGGTCATCGGCCGCAGCCGAACCCCCTCCCAGCCGAGCCCTGAAAGACGCAGCCCGAGGCTACGAGACGGCTTCCACGCATCCTCACAGGTAGTAGACGACTGATCCGATGGCGACGATAATGGCGGCGGAACTACTGCTCAAGAGGCTGGCTGCCGACACGAAGGGTACCGCCCCCGAGACGTTCGCGTGGCCGGGCCCGGGGGTGACGTTAAAATGTCCTCCGCCGCCAATGGGGCCGCTGGGATGTCCGCCACCCTTTTCAGGGAACTCTTCTTCTTCCTCGGGGACTTCTTCCTCCTCAGGGACTTCTTCCTCCTCCTCGGGGACTTCCTCTTCTTCCTCGGGGAATTCTTCTTCTTCTTCCTCAGGTGCTCCTCCGGCAGCTGGGGCCTGTCCGCCATGTGGTGCCTGTCCTCCAAATGGGGCCTGTCCTCCAAATGGGGCCTGTCCTCCAGATGGGGCCTGTCCTCCAGATGGGGCCTGTCCTCCAGATGGGGCCTGTCCTCCAGATGGGGCCTGTCCGCCATGTGGTGCCTCTCCGCCAGATGGAGCCTGTCCGCCAGATGGTCCAGATGGGGCCTGCTTGCGGACAGGCTCCATCTGGCGGAGAGGCACCACCACATGGCGGACAGGCCCCATCTGGACCATCTGGCGGACAAGCTCCATCTGGTGGACAAGCTCCATCTGGTGGACAAGCTCCATCTGGTGGACAAGCTCCATCTGGCGGAATGGAGCTTGTCCTCCAGATGGAGCCTGTCCGCAAGATGGAGCTTGTCCGCCAGATGGTCCAGATGGGGCCTGTCCGCCATGTGGAGCCTCTCCGCCAGATGGAGCCTGTCCTCCAGACGGAGCCTGCCCGCCATGTGGAGCCTCTCCTCCAGATGGAGCGTATCCGCCAGATACTCCACCAGATGAGGGCTGGCCGGTTGATGGGGAAGGCCCATGGGACGGCGCACCTTCCTCTTCTTCCTCTTCTTCCTCCTGTTCCTCCTGTTCTTCCTGCTCTTCCTGTCCCTCCTGTTCTTCCTGTTCCCCCTGTCCCTCCTGTTCCTCCTGTTCTTCCTGTTGCTCCTGTTCTTCCTCTTCTTCCTCTTCCTCGCCTCCTGCGCTTGGGTGGGGCATAGGTGAGGCCGTGGGTTCAGGGCATTGGGAGTTTGGCCCGCAACCCGTCACGGTCATCCCCTGGCTATGTCCACCAGAACGTTAATTATAGCTGACTTGCGGGATGCAGGAGAAGAGGACATACCCTGCGGTGGCGTTCCTGTTGGCTCCATTGGGTGGGTCAATGTTTGTAGCCCACGTGGCAGTCCCGTTTCCCTCCGGGTCGTCGTTCGAGTTACTATCGTTGCGGTACGGCGTGGGCATAGCTTGGCGCTGAGCGATGGCATGGGGGAGGCGAGGCGCCGCAGCCTGAACGGTGGCAGCGAGGAAAGGTGCTGCGACAGCGATAAAAGCTGGAGAGAAGTACATTTTCCAAGTATACAAGAGATCTTGGGTAATTAGACTGGGAGAGCAAACGAAGGGTTGGTAGGAATTGCTTGTGCTTAAGAGGGTTTGTAGATGGAGGAAGTAGAAAGGGGAGAGGGTCGCAGCCATCATTAATGGAATCTTGCCATTCCCTGGATCCATTGCCTCATGCCCAAGAATACTGCAGCTATTGCGAAACGGTAACAATGTATGACGGCTGTCCGTTACAAGAACATACTAACCTACCTTTGCGGACTGTATATATACGGTTCCACTTGAAGCCGCCGTTAGAACTGTCAAATCTTAGTCTCTAATAACAAATCTGTCCATTATAGGGTAGTGAAGCCTCGGTACCAGCTTTCGTAGAATAGTGGTTGTGAAGGTATTTTGCTAGGACCAAAATACGCTGCCTTTAGCACTAAATAGAACCAGAGATACTGGTTGAAAGCACACACTCCCCTTTAGTATAAGATCTAATTATAATAGCGAAGGAGTGGTTCTATAAGGTAGGTCATGAGCCATCGTCTCGATCTTTACAGCTAGAGGAAGCGCTACTCGCACATACCTAAGAGATTGCTCGACGTATTCACAAGAATGGAAAAGAAGGGGGGCAAGGGTCCGTTGGATCAAGAAATGCTACTCATCATATAGCCAAGACTTGTTATAACTCCTTTCCTGTCTTAAATACATCTCTCGTGCAATTTCCACCACACGCGTATTCTCATAATCATTCAGAACAAAGGTCAGGCCTCAAGATATCGCACAAACGCCACGCAATGCTACACTCAGATACTACCTATCCTCCGGGCCGCCAGAGAACAGGCCTACCCGCGTGCGGTGGCTCTAGAGATGAAGTCAGCCAGCTCCACACACTCTATATATATATGCATTAGGGTACTTACGTAGGGCAATTTTGGTATCACAACTCCTAGTACAGCCAGAAAATTGATGGTAAAATACGTCAAGTCATAATGTGTATAGTGTGTGCTCAGAAGGAACAACACTATTGGTACGCTGAGAAGGAACTTCTTCGCAGGGGTGTATTGAGCTCCATTATCGATCTGTTCCCACATATTCAAATTATCGTAAGCACCAGAATTAAATTCAAAAGGGACTCCTCGGACCCAGTGGAACATGAGGAAAGAGCCGAACATATAGGAGATGTTCGTTAAGGTCCAAGAGGTTTCTTGAGACACTCCGGGGATTATATCGAAAAGGATCTTGAGGGCGGCAATCAGTACCAAATGGATCGTCCAAGCACCTTTAAGAAACATGTTCAGTTAGCGAATATTACTCCCAAAAGATCCCTAACTTGTGACCAGGGGCCTGTGGAGTGTGGAAGGTGGCCGAGATATTGATGCTCGGCAAATCCTCATGGTAGTTGACGGAGGACTGACCTTTCGCATTGACCCAGTTCGCATTCAGGTTTGGCAAGGCAGCCTGATCACTCATATGCTCTATCGTCTCCGGTGGCTCTTGATACAACAGACTGCTCGACCGCCGCCTCCGGCCAGTCTTTTGCTCGTTCATTTCTCGATGCGGACCACTCGGATGTGGAGGCTTGGAGGCCGCGTCGTATGAGACGGTGCGAGGAAGAAGGAGTGAAGAAGACACTTTGGCGGTGTTGGAGGGAGGAATGGTGAAGGATGTATACGCTCAAACGAGCGCCTCGTGTGTGATTTCTTGTAGATGGTAAGTAAAGACGGCTAGACGTGCCCGGGGGGTTGGAGGTGAATGATCGACAGGCTCGACTCTCTAGCAGAAGCAGGTCAAATATCAGCAGATATCCAACTAGAAGTGATCGTGACCACCGTGAAAGAAGCACATGGAGTGCGCAAGGGTTGTATATAGGACGAGCTTCGTAGGAGGAACATCCCAAGGCTGGCTCTGGAGGGCAGGATTCTTCTTTTGCTTACCGGTGCTCGTGGGTGGAAGCGATACGGAAGCTCAGGAAGAGCGGGTGGTGAAGAAGCTCGAAGACGAAAGAGAAATCTGGTGATAGTTGGGTAAAGGAGGATGGGTATGTCAGGGGTGCAAGATGGTAATAAAGCTGGCAGTTGTGACTTCGTGGTCTCCAAAAGTCGGCAAGGCAAGGGTCTCGCTAGCCATACGCGTCAGAACCGCCCATGTCAAATTATTCTGGTATTAAAATAGAAGAAAATTAAACTTCCACACAACGCCACCACCCAATTCGTTCCACCAGCAAGGAAGATTGGTTGACCTCTTCGCAGGGGCGAGCGCTGCATTATACGAAGGAACTTGAATCAGGTTGACTTCAATACGGATCATACACTGACTTGTGTACGAATAGGTGATCTTCTCAGCAATCTTCTGCCCAGAGGAACGGCACATGGGAATCACGAACCTGCTGAAAGTCTGCCACAATGGACTCAATACAGGATGAGACGGAGGATTCAAGGACGTCCGAAGTTGGCCGGAAGCGCGACCGCGATGCTTTCCAGACCACGCTCCTCCAAGACCCTTCGAGCGACCATTCCGACGATGATTTTGCCCAACGATCGCACAAGCGATTCAAGCAAGACCATGCGCAGTCGGGCAGTGAATCCGTTGAAGATGGAATCATAATCAACACTACTTCACCAATACTCACCGACCCGCATCCTGCCGAAACGTCTCAAACACTGCCGACTCAACACCAGACAATATCCCCGCCTCCCCCGGTGATGACTTGGAATAAAGGTGTACAGAGTGGCCTCCGAACCTCATTCGGAAGTAGGAGTCAGGCACAGGCTCGAGGGCCTGCTCCTACGCGCGGTGAGGGAGGTGAGGCGGTCCGGGGGAGCGAGACGAATCACCAGGGAGAGGATATTGCAGATGCACTTGAGTTGTTCTCTAAGGGCGGTTCAAATTTTGATTCGCCGGAAGAGAAGACTGTAGATGCACTCGAGTCTACTTCTGCCAGTGGCCGCATATCGAATCTCGGGGATACAAATCCGTCAGCCTCCCTTAGCTCCAGTGCTACTGAGGATCCTAAGCCCAAGAGCAAGAGGAATCATAAGAAGAAGACCCCATCTGACGCGGATGAAGTCGAAGAGGCTAAAGGAAAAAACTCTTCGAAGACTGCAGTATCCAAGGGGACTTCAGTACCTAAGGCGCCAGCGCCCAAGGTACCAGGCCCCAACCTCCCAAGAATATTGCCATTAGCCATGGAGCGTGTCTATAAGAATGGCAAGGGGGAATTTGATCTTCGTGAAATTCTTCGAGATGGCAAACCTATCGGTATTGAAGAGCTCTCTCTAGCAGAGTTCGTGTCGCATTTCTTGACGACGAATGCCGAGAAGCTGAATGGCTTGACAGGGAAGCATGTGAAAGGGGCTTTCAACGCATATATCGGTCTCTATTATGGTCATCTCAAGACGCAGCTTCTAGACAAGGCCCGAGCCCACGCTGCGACTGAATCTGCTCGTGAATTCTGCGCCGGTTCTTTGGCCCAAGCGAAGAAGGATCTGCAGAAACAGGGAAAGATCGGTGAAAATGAGACTTCTAATACCAAATTGCCAATTGCAAATTCCCATCAGAAAGGGGAAGGTATAGGACCCAAGGAGGTCGAAGAAGCAGCCTTGCCAGGCTCGGAACGCGAAGATGGAGAAATGTTGTCCCCTGCAAATGAAGATAAGGACGACGGGCCCAGCGACTTGGAGCATGAACTGGAGCGTGAACTTCTGCAGAAGTATTTCCCTTCCAGGGCCGGCAGCGCGACAGCACCACGCTGTCTATCATGTGCTAGTAGTGGCCATAAGACATATGACTGTCCAGCTCTTACTTGCAATATCTGTGGAGGAGGCCATTCAAAGTTCACTTGCCCGGAGAACCAGCGTTGTGGAAAGTGTCGACTCAAAGGACACCAGACCGCAGAATGTCCTGAGAAACTGTTTGCTACCAAGGCTGAGACAGGTGGGTGTGAAATTTGCCAATCCCAGGATCATTTGGAGACTGCGTGTCACTTTATATGGCGGAGTTTTGCCCCCAGGCCTGAAGAAATCAGGACTGTGCGCTATATCCCTATATACTGTTATGTTTGCGGCGCCAATGGCCATTACGGTCCGGAATGTGGACTACACAGGGGCAAGATCCTCTCGGGTGGAGTGACTTGGTCCAAATCAAACCTCCAGAAGTATCTTGACCCTGCTAGCAATGATCGAGCGATAGCTGCTGGAACTGATTACTCTTTACCAAGCCTGCCTAGAAAGGGCTTTAGTATCAAGGGGATAGCAAATGATCCCATCACACTAGATGATAGTGATGATGACCCCAACTTCATTCGACCGAAGGTTAATCGTCCTTCTACCAACAGTCAACGTGGCGGTACTATACGTTTTGCGCCAAATTCAATGGTTAATCAAGTACCATCTACTGAACCTTCGTACCAACGGCCCAGCAATCCGCCCAGACAAGCTCGTCCACAGTTCGGTGGTTATGCTGAAAGTGCGAGATATGGTCGCGAGAGAACATTTTCTCCGCCTCCAAGATACCCTCTCCGCTCCGAATTCCCGGAAGATGACCGTTACCGTCCACGGGCACCAACTCGTGAAGAATTTCGACCGCCTAGTGAAGCTCAGTATGGGAGACGGGCCATGCCAGTTGACAACGGCTTCCAAGGCGGCCAATCAGGGAGGGGACGAGGTACAGCAGTGAGAGGAGGCAGCCATAATCGTGGCAAGAAACGAACAAGATCCTCCAAGCAGGATCGACGTGCAGGTCGTTGAGGAGTCGTTCTCTTGAGTTTACTCATTTGGACGTAATTCCTCTTCGTCTGCCATGAAGCCCACTCCTTGGGTTTCCAATTACTTTACACTGCAGCATGAGGTATCTACTTAATCCTTAAAATAGAAGCTGCACATTGTATATATTCTTATCTCTGGGGCAGAGATTGTAATATAGTTACGAGAAACATGAAAAGTTCTGCATGTTTAACTCCAGTTGCACTGAACCACGTATCTGTACTGCGTTGCCTGTATGGCGACTAAAAGAGGGACAGTATTTGAATGTTCACAGTAAGATGAAGTAGGTATTTAGGAATTGGCCAATAATCCGGGTATATACGGTTCAGCGATTATCAGGTGATTCTACCTGAAGTCCGTGCTGTTCTGAATATATACAGGATTACAACTTTCCTAACCCCTTACCTGCTAGCACGAAAGTGGTTTCAAGAACTAACACATCTCCTTTCAATCTCTCATCATATAAGCTAAAGCTCCTTGAGAACGTACGGTATGGATACAGAAGTATCTCTGAATTTCTGATAGATTTGAAAAGCGGCTTGGATTCAGCCACAGTCACGTCTATTATTCTGCAGTCCATATTCCTGGACAGGATTTGCTTTGAGAAGAAAGAAGAACTGTTCACTGAGCCTCCTTCACGCCGTCCACGAATACGTCCACCTTCTCATTGTAGAAGCACAGACGTCCTGCAATCAAAGCCGATTCCGCAGTCGGATAGCGATAATACCAGACAGCGTCTTTAATCTCCTTCCCATTGACCTTAAGGTTATAGTAACTAAGCAGATGAAGGAAAGATATTAGCAAGTGGCTTGAACCAAGCAGCAAGAAACTCCGAGAAGAGGAAATGGAAGTTGCATACTTAGCCATGCCTTTGTAGGGACAATAAGTTGTCGTATCGCTTTCCGTCAAGAGCTCCCAGTTCACTGAAGTGCTCGAGAGGTAATATCTCGGTCTCAACATCGTCTCGTACAGGAAGATATTCTGCAAGCTCTTGGCTACGATTACCCCGTCGACCTCAATACGGATCTCGCGCGAAGAAGGGATGGTCTCGATGCGTTTATAGGGATCTTTCGGGTGCGAACCCTGGAGGACTTCATCCTCGACGAACCAGGCATCTTGGGACTCATTAGGATGAGGAAGGTGAGAAGAGCGCGGGACCATGCTTGCCTAGAGCGGAAACTTCTATGCGGACGAGGTTCCCCAGTGCCCCTGATGGTTCGAACGCGAGGACTCGCTCGGTGATCTTCCTGCCAGCGCTCAGCCTAGCTAGCCAATAGCCTTTCTTGGTGTATGGCTCAAGCCGCTCAAGCTTCTCTAAAACGCCTTTCGCGAAGGAGTTCTGAGGAATGTAGAAATATGGGTCTCATCACCGTGTCAGTTGCGGCGTTTCAAGCATATGTGAGCTGTGATGGAGAGGCGTTGCTTTGATTTGGGATAATACAGAGATCAGGGAGAAGACGAGAGACGGACAATATGGATGCTCCCAGACAAACTTTGCTTCCGTAGTATCAAAGACATATATACCACCAAGTAATCCTCGGACGCGGCGCGGGGTGCCTTCTACTTTATGGGGCCCTTCGGTCACGAGTTTCTCTCCAAGAGCTTCAAGACTTGAGCACACTGTCAGCTATATCGATGCGCTGGATGTGCAAAATCAACCGAACATCTCGAGACTTACTCGGCCATGTTTATAATATGTCTGTCCTTGTGAAGCCCCGCGAGGGTTTTCAGATGAGTTTGGGGATATGTTCGGTGGAGGTTGCGGCGGGTTAGGCCCACGAAGCAACGCCGGGCTACGCCTGTAAATGCGTACATTTCATTGGCTGAAGCATTAAGGTAGTTCTCTAACCCCCGCAGTCACAAGACCGGAGAGAGCTACTTATGGACGGGAGAAGGCTGCATATGGATAATGAGTTGGTTGTGATTTGTACCGAGTAGGTTCTAGAATATGTGATCGGATATACTGTACTATCTAGTACCTGGTAGTTTCAACACCTGTTTGCCGCTGTTTTAACACAGCCAATAGGTAAGGTAGGCAAGTGGGATGGAGTTAAGGACCGATTGTACGGAGTTATCACTATCACTGTCGCTGTCAATATCACTGTCTCGCTATCGCTGTCACTGTCTTGCTCGTCAGCTTACCTTACATACGCAAGTAAGCTTCAAGCAGCGGATTCATTCGCTCAGTCTGGTCATCTGTCTGTCAATCTCTAAGCATAGAATGTTGCGACACTATTCACTCCGTTAAATTTGAATAGTCCATTGGCTGATTCGGCATGTTATGCAGAGGCTGTTCCAGCTTCATGTTTGTTTTTCTCGGCCAGGGTGATCAACCCTTCCGAACGGATATGGAAGGCCAGTGAGATGTGTCAATCTCGCCGTATGGAGTAATCTTCCACCGAAGTAAATTTGCTTCTTTTGCATCCCTCTACGGAGAACACACCCCAAGGGTCCGGATCCTTCTTTGAAGAAAGCGTTTCGTCTCTGTCTCTCCCGAGCAAATAAAAGACGATATTCCGGTTGCTACTTTATCGGCATCAACAGAACTGCTGTTGAGTTGGGGATTGAAGCAAGATAGGTGGGAGAAAATGAAAGGGAGAAATGAAAGACGGCTTTTTAACTCACAATGTAATTGTCCACTTCTACTCTAAATCGAGCAGGCGGATGGGCGGAGATATGACGTCGAGCGCCCCGACAAGCCTGCGTGCCTCGCGGCCCCGTCGAGACCGTCGAGACCCAAGACCCAATATACGGAGTACGGAGTAATAATGGACCCAAAAGTTACCGATAACCGAGAGCCGGTGCCGAGCCGGCTGGGCTGATAACTAATCATCCCCCGTCCGCCGCGGCTCCGCCATCCAGGATGCCCCATACAGGATGCCCCATACGACACCCCCATACACGACGCCCCCATACAACATGCAGATCCAGTTCAATCCAACCCGCCCGTCTTCTCCTTGCAAGATCGCCTCCCGCGATGCACAATCCATCCAGCGGATGACGTGAAGTGCACTACATCACCTTCCGTAGCCTCTCGCGGCCTCGCGTTTTCCAAAGGCCCGAGCCATTTTCCAATGACCTTGCACGTCTGACTACGGAGATAAGAATCTTCGTGGTCTGGAGCCTGGAGGCAAACCTCGTAAAGGTTCAACCGTTCAAAGCCCACCCGGGTGCTTCACATGCCGCTAAGAGCCAGTCCTTGACTCCTCGCTCTTCGGCCTCGCGCCTATTTCGACTGCGCAGCCGTGAGGAGCTTCCGGGGTAGCGTAGGGCAGCAAGAGAGCGGCAATAGTTTGCTAGTTTTATGCCTTGCAATCCCGATCTCTTTATTATTCTTCGCATTCCCCTCGTTCTCTGTTCTCACTCCGGTTTTGCAAGCATTCCTTACATGGTTATATCCCTCTTTCTGCTTTAAAGTTTCTGTGGGAACTTCCTGATTCTCAATCACCAACCCACCCGCCAACCCACTCGCCAGACTTACCTCTGGGGTGCGGTAGTAAGCAAGGCTTCGGAAGATCCATTTTAACTTTTAGGTACTTCCTAGCGTCCTTTGCCCCATCAAAGCTTCCTCCGTTACGAAGGCTTTTTATTTATATACGTCTGCCCTGGCTTTTTTTTCTTTTTCAGAGGATGTCCTACTCCACTGAAACCGACCGAACTCAGGTACCCACGGGATACAACACAGAGGAGGAGCACCTCAACACACTGTCCGAGAAGGGAGCAAATATGGAGAGCCATCCGGACGAACCTCATGGACCTTCCGATCCTCGCTTCCAAAACAACGGTCTGCCAGGGGCACACAATGATGTCAGTGACAGCAACGTTACGGATAAAGACTTGGAGGCGGGCGAAGGTGAAGAGCATGATCCAGAGGAGGAGGAGAGGGAGGAGGAATTTAGACAGCAGGAGAAGGAAGCAGCAAAGGATCCCAACCTGGTGGAATGGGATGGTCCGGACGATCCTGAAAATCCAATGAATTGGCCTTCAAACAAGAAGCTAATCGTGACCTGCTTTTTGGCACTGTTGACCTTCGTAGTGACCTTCGCGTCGTCTGTCTTCAGCAACGCCACGATCCCCGTTTCTGAACTGTTTCATGTGTCACCTCTTGTATCCACGCTCGGGACGAGTTTGATGGTCTTTGGGTATTCTGTTGGCCCCTTGGTAGGTACTATATCGCCCCGGACGTGTTCGATAACTAACCCCATTTGCTAGATTTGGGGTCCTGGGTCAGAAGTTTTTGGGCGAAAGGCACCACTGTTCTTTGGATACGCAGTATTTGCAATCTTCCAAATCCCCGTCGCCGTGGCACAGAATTTACAAACAATCATGCTTTGCCGTTTCTTCGGTGGTGTCTTTGGTTGTGCACCGTTGGCTATCGTTGGCGGCGCATTGGCAGATTTCTACGGCCCAGTGGATCGGGGTGTTGCTGTGTGTGTCTTCGCTGCCGCAACATTTATTGGACCAGTGGCCGGGCCAATTATGGGGTATGCTCTTTTAATCTACGTCGTCGAGCCTTCACTAACTCTTGAGTAGTGGTTTCATAACACAAAGTTACCTTGGCTGGCGTTGGACGGCCTACATCACGCTTATCATGGCCTCCTTTTTCGGGATCTTGGGTATCCTCATCATCCCCGAGACGTCACATAGCAAGATCCTTCAGAGTCGTGCCAAAAGGCTACGTTTCGAGACCAAGAATTGGGCAATTCACTCGCTGGCCGATGAGCGACAACTGGATTTTCACTCCATTCTCCAGGCTTATTTCCTCAGGCCATTCATCATGCTCGCTAAAGAGCCCATTCTGTTTCTCTTGACATTCTATATGGCTTATATCTATGGTATCTTGTAAGATCTAAATCTGGCGGCGTGCTATATATACGCCACATAAACTCCCAGCGAGGCTAACAAAACTAGGTATCTCTTCTTTGAAGCTTACCCAATCTCTTTTCAAGAAGAGCGCGGCTGGAACCAAGGTGTTGGAGCTCTTCCCTTCCTCGGCATCTTGATCGGTGTGCTGCTTGGATGTATTACGATCGCGGCCGTCACAAAGACCCGGTTTGCCCGAAAGTTGGAGAAGCATGGGAAGGTCATTCCGGAAGAGCGACTTACTCCCATGATCGCGGGGGCCATTATATTGCCTATTGGTCTCTTCTGGTTTGCTTGGACGAGCAATCCTCACATCAATTGGGTGCCGCAAGTCCTCGCTGGTATCTTCATCGGATGGGGAATCCTCATGGTTTTCTTGCAAGGGTTGAACTACATCATCGATGTTTATATGTGGTATGCCAACTCAGCTATTGCAGCAAATACGGTGATCCGTTCGTTGGCCGGTGGTGGTAAGCAGCTCTCTCATTCAACTGCATGTCATAAGCGAGGCTGAAGTGAAGCCGGCGATTACCCGACAATGACGTCCAATCCTAAGTCCTGCGCAAAGTCATCAGACATGGTATTTGGAATCAGACGCTGATCTTTCTAGGATTCCCTTTATTCGCCTCTGCTATGTACCACAATCTTGGTGTTGCCGTAAGTGCCCTCGTGAAAATCACATTGCATCCTCTGTTATGCCGTGATCGAGCAACTACTAACTTACCCTGCGTTGTCTAGTGGGCTACGTCCTTACTCGGATTCCTTAGTATCGTCATGGTTCCCGCGCCAGTCCTGTTCTTCTTCTACGGAGCGAGGATCAGGAAGATGAGCAAGTTCAGCCCTTCAGTGTAACGAACCTCAAGAGTATGCTGTTTCTCGTGAGAGGAGCATTTTGCATCCTCGTCAGAGTTGAAGTGGGGGTGTGGAGTTGTGGATCTTCTACCCACCCCACTGACCCACCATATCTGGCCTTACCTTAATAACCTGTATCAAAATCTCGCAACTTTGATACGGTGACCAAGTTGATCATTAGAATCAGACGTATACATTATACCCCGTATTTTATGATGAAAAAGGACAGGCGTTCAGGGGAGCAAGTTCAGGGTAACCTTCAGGCTGCATATGGCATCAGGATAATGGGATCTATAGAGGATTAGAACGAGCAGTAAAATATAATTTTTATGTATCAATTTTGAGCGCCAGGACACTCAATACAACACTCAACACACCAAAAGGTGCCTTGCCCCCATCACCCATTTACACTCAGAAAAGTGTGTCCAACTGGTGTCATGATCACAACTGAGAAAGTGGGTCATTGAATGAGGTCCTCTCACTGTCTCTCACTACCATTGTCCGACAAGTTCCAAGCAGTATTACCTCGAAGATTCTACGGACATGAGAGCTCAATCCACTCTTGTGAATTTTCTCTATTCGCTGATTGCGTATTCTTGGTCTCTCACAAGCTTCGCTCCTTTGGCCAACAACATCTGAGATGCGGGCTCTCTTAACAAGATCTGTGGTATATATGTACTAGGCTTGAGATCTCTTGCTCGTTAGAAGCTCCTATATATCGAAGGTATCTCTTAAGCTAAATTTTAGGTTTGAAAGTGGAAGACTATTGGCAGTCATCACAAATGTCAAATTCGCAGGGCACTTTGCTATTATAGACCGCTCTTCGGTAAATGGGGAGTCTAGATGGACTGTATCGTGTTGGACGTTTTTCTCTCGAGTGGTCCTCAAGCCTTTGGAACTGTTCTTGGAACAACAAAACAAAGATAAAGTACCTATAACAAGAGAACACTAACTTCGCCATCAAGAATAGGCAGCTTCTGTGGACTACTGATAGCCCTCACCTATGACCATGTTCGGCCAACCATCAGCCATAATGAGAGTTATTGTCAGATGATTGATCGGATTCATCACAATTGCAATCCATCTAACATAAGCCACAGGGTTACCACATTAGATACAGATTTATGTGAGATGTAACGTTCAAAAGGCAAGGCCCAAGTTTCGGTTCCTGCCTAAATGGAACACCGTACACCGAACCGCGTAGACCGTATTTTCGTCCCTAGCTCTTTACGCGAGCAAACGCGACTCCCGCATCAGCGCGTCTCCCAGGATTCTGAAATATTTCCTTACAACAGAGATATCTCTCCGCCATCCACTGAAACACAATGGCACTTCTCGTGGACAAACATCGGCCAAGGTCTCTTGACCAACTGTCCTACCATAAAGATCTCTCCGAGCGTCTCCGTTCACTGGTAAGCAACCCTCTCCCCCCTCCACCATCCTCCTCAACGGCTCATCTTCTTCCAGGCCCAAAGTGGAGACTTCCCTCACCTCCTCGTATACGGTCCCTCTGGCGCAGGCAAAAAGACACGGATTGTTGCAACTCTCAAAGAGCTCTACGGGCCTGGCGTTGAGAAGATCAAAATTGACTCGCGAGTCTTCCAGACAACCTCCAACCGGAAACTAGAATTCAACATCGTGGCGTCCGTGTACCACCTGGAGATCACTCCTTCAGACGTCGGGAATTATGACAGAGTCGTCGTGCAAGATCTGCTGAAAGAGGTGGCGCAGACACAGCAGGTTGATCAGAGCGCCAAGCAGAGATTCAAAGTCGTGGTTATCAACGAGGCGGATCATTTGACACGAGATGCGCAGGCGGCACTGAGGAGAACGATGGAGAAGTATAGTCCGAATTTGAGACTGATATTGTTGGCGAATAGCACAGCGAATATCATTGCGCCAATTAGGAGTAGAACATTGCTAGTGAGGGTTGCCGCTCCAACAGAGGACGAAATTTGCGATGTGCTTGCACGGAGTGGGAAGAAGGAGGGGTGGCCTTTAGCCAAGGAACTGAACATGAGGATTGCGAAGGAGAGTGGGAGGAACTTGAGGAGAGCGTTATTGATGTATGAGGCTGTTCATGCGCAGAAGTATGAGGCACCCTATCTCCTTATAGTTCGGACACTGATACATCTTTTCCTATAGCGAGAAAGTAACGGACAGCACACCAATCCCACCTCCAGACTGGGAGGCGCTTATCAGTCAGATTGCCAAAGAAATTATGGAGGAGCATTCGCCGGCGCGTATCCTCCAAGTCCGAGCGAAGCTTTACGACCTCCTAACACACTGCATCCCACCAACCACAATCCTCAAAACCTTAACATTCAAACTCATTCCTATGATCGATGATGCTTTGAAAGCGGATGTTATCAAATGGGCAGCTTTCTACGAGCACAGGATCAGGATGGGCACGAAGGTTATCTTCCATTTAGAGGCTTTTGTTGCGAAGTTTATGCGAATACTGGAGGAGTATCTGATGAGTATGGACTTTTGAATGGATATCTTTGCTTGGATGGTAGCATTTTTTCTGGCGTTATACATGGGGATTATGGAGTCATTACGTGCTCAATGTCTGAGCTAGTGGTCATGAATAAGATGTCTGAATTATATTCCAGGTGATCTTCCTTATGTTGTCTATTATCGGAAGACGACCTGCTGCATCAGTGTACATTCCTGGCCGTCAATCATAATCCGATTGATATGTGAATGCGTGAATTACTTAAGAGTCATGTTTGATGTGATTATTTCAATGGCCACTTTTCTGGAACATCCAGCCAGCACTGCACTGAACTTCGCCCATTCCAAACGACTCGCTGCTTTAGATGGCGGTTCCCTTGATGTTGACCCTCCAATCACAAAAGCCCGCCCAATGATTAACTTCTGGTTTTCCAATGTAGGACAACGGGAGACGTTATTCATCAATCTCTCCTTCCTCGGCATCCTCCATTTCCTCTCTCGATCTCTTCCTCCTAGCTGGATCATCCTCTAAGTACTCCACTGTCAACCCAGCCATCGGACCCGTCGGCGGTCGAGGAAAGGATTTCTGCGGCGGAGGCTTGAATTTTCCATCCTGCAGCGTCCAGCCTGCCTTCTCCATCCTCTGCCACTCGTTTGCGAGGGCGAAGCGCACCAGCTCGCCGGCCGCGTTGGCGTCCTCCTTGCTATCGTGGCCTTCCATCTTGCCGTCGACGACGACCTGGATGTGTCGGTTCAGGTGCGTGTGCATGAGCATCTTGAGGCCGTTGCGGTATGGCAGTCCGGCTTTGTGGGGGAAGAGGAGAGCGGTGTCGATGATTGTTGGGTGGATGATGCGGGCAGCGTTGAGATCGTTTTCAAGGCCGTGGCCGATTAGTGGTGTCTCGGGCGAGAGGTGGGAGAAAAGTAATGCTCGGGCGGCTTCTGGGGAGTCGACAATGCGCAGCCTCCGCTTTGTGTGGGTGGCTTCCTCAGATGTGGGGAGGCCGGTATCAGGTGGGGCATCCCAGGGGATGGCTTCCGCCATGTCCTTTGGCCATACGCCTGAGTATCTAGAGTTGAGGTCTAGGATTTCTCCGATGGGCCGGACAAGGACGTCAAACAGCTCCTTGCCACTGGGCCACGAGGTTGCTGTAAGACGAATGAGTTCAAGTCCATAGACTGTATATCCCATCTCTCCATCAATGCAAACCGGCCACGCCGGAGGCTTCTCCGGGGTGTCTGGCGTCTTCTCGAAGTTCATAACCGTCGCCATTCTCTTTACTTCCGAGATCTTGAATACGTGACTATCGGCTTGAGTACAGCCTGGCGAATCACCCATTGACTGACCACAGCATCGGTACTTCTTCTCACGCTTCGCTCCTGGGTCGACTGCGGACCGTTCTTGCCAATATGGCTTCCCGAAATGATATGTGCATGTTCCGCCAGATGTGAGAGCACCATCCTCCTCTCGCCGTCCTGGGAATACCTGGAAACGGCTCTTGCATCGGTCACAGACCTCCCATCCCTTAGCTGCTTCTACACCCTTCTTGGCTTTTTCTATTTCCTCGTTGCTTGGGATGGATGTCACGTAACCGTGTTTTGATAAGCCAGTAATCGGTGTGTAGAGTCTTGGAAGTAACTCAAGCTCCTCTTCGGGGCTCAATCTAGTCTCTATGGGCTTCGGAGGTTCCGTGGGCTTGGAGACTGGAGTGTCTGATATAGAGGCCGCTTCCGCAGCCTTTGCCTTCGCAAGTTCCTTGCCCCTCTCATCCTTCCATTGCGGGACTGTCATCCGCTTGTAGACGAGAATCTTGTTCTTCACAATATTGGAGTAGATAGCCGTGCTGAAAGCCGCTTCCTCTTCAATATCCAAAGCCTTGGTAATTAGCTCTTGCTCCGAGAGCACCAACTTCTCTTCCTCGTCATTTGCATCCTTAGCGAGTTCGGAATTGAGTCTATTGAGCTGTTCGTGTAGAGCCCTCAAGAGCCTGTATCTCATGTCATGTGATGCAGGGGCCTGTGTCTTGAGAACTCGAGGATTCAAAGACTCCTTTTTGGCTGGTGCCTTGACGGGTGTCTTTGTGGCAACCTTGGGAGTCATCGGGGTGGACGTTGCACTGGACGGCTGAGCCTTTAGAGGGGTGCTACCCGTGCCATTGCCATTATTATGAGCATGCGGTTGCTTGGCGGGCACCGAGGTTCCAGGTTGTAGCTTCTTTCGAAGAGGAGGGGGAGATATCTCTCGGTCTGTTGTGAAAATCTTCTGTTTTGTCTCTCCTGGGGCGCCGGGCAACTGTGGCGAGGCTTTGTGAGGTTCGACGTGTCTGTGGGCCTCTACCTCGTGGGCGGATTTCGATGGAGCAACAGGGTTAGAGGTCAGGTTATTGTCGTCCAATTTCCGTCGCTTTCGGGCTTCGTCCTGATCACTGGTAGCATGGGCATTGTCTTGGAGGTTGGTAGCAGGCACTGCAGTCTTGACATCTCTCGCCGCATGCTGGAAGATACAGTTGGGCAGAATGCAGTTTTGCTGATGCGGGCAAGGCACCTCGGAGAAGAAGCCCTTTGAAGTAAACATGACTGGCAATGTACTGATGCTTCGTTGGCATCAGATTGAACGAATATCATGTAGTCGCCCGCAGGGTTGGAGACTCGAGGGTTGAGGCGGAACGTTCTTAACCTTACCTCAAGGTAAAGCCATCGCGAAGATCGTAGGTCACGTGCCCATGAGTGAATCGTGTGCAGGCACGCGATATAGTTCCTAATCAGGGTGAAATGAGGCGATTCACAAAACGGGTGGTGCTTGACGGCGGTCTAGGTCTCTGTCCAGCAAGAGATGGATTCAAACGCCGCTAGGTGGGGTCCCGTGTCTAATAGACGAAGACCAGGGGACTAATAAACTCGGGTCCACTGGGCATACTCTGTAAGGTAAAGTATAGAAAGATTTTGTTCCTTTGTGAAGGCTATTGCTCTGTTCACCAGGAAGAAGATCTTTTGCCTCACTCACGGCACCGCATATCCTGGCTACCTCTCTTACTCCGTACTACATGATATGCTTTTTCCTCTATACACAACACAACCTTCTTCAGAGAAGAAAAGCCGCGGCCGCCTGCATCTGTGCCACCAGATCCTTCCGCAAGACCACTCCGAGACTGGCAGTAAGTATTGTCTATCTATTCAATTCTTGCTCTAGTCGGTCCAGCAAGTCTCCGCCTATCTTCGTTATCTTTCGTTTCGTCGTTTTATTACTGCCCCTCACCTCCACCTCTTGGCCCAAGCACCGCGCAGGTTATTCCCCCGTATATTCGAGATCCTTCCAAGCCTCTTCTTGATTTTTCTTCTTCTCTTCAAACATCCATTCTCTGTCTCTGCTGCATCCGTTGTTCAACCCAAGAGCGCGTCCGTAAAGTCCTTGTCCATAGTCTCTGTCTCTGTCTCTGCGTAGACAGGCCGTAGCGAAAGATCCCTGCGGAAGTCTCCGCCCCGCCGCCGAGTGGTCAACCTGGTCAGAAGTGTGTCGCATCCAAAGGCACACTTCGATCAGCTTGGCCTCTTCTCCCCCGCCGTCGCATTGCTTCCCTTCTCGTTCTCTTCTTTGGACCGGACCTTCCTCTCTAGCAGAGTGATGGACTATACCGGTGCCAGCCATGAAGCGCAGCATCTCTGCGTCCTCGTTCATGGGTAGGTATCCGCCGCGTAGGCCGAGTCGACTGCGTCAGTACTGACCGAAAGTAGTTTATGGGGCAACCCAAACCACCTCGAGGCCATGGCCAAGGCTCTTCGAGCAAAACACTCCGAGGAGAGTCTACACATACTCGTCGCTAAGCGCAACAGCGGCAGCTTTACCTACGACGGGATCGAGCTGGGCGGCGAGAGAGTCTGTCAGGAGATAGAGGAGGAGATCGAGAAACTTGCGAGAGCAGGACAAACGATCAGAAAGATTTCATTAGTTGGGTATTCCCTTGGAGGGCTTGTGGCTCGGTATGCCGTAGGCTTACTTGATAGCAAAGGAGTGTTCGAAAAGATCAAGCCAGTGGTACGCTTCCTCCCCTGAAACCCGAACAGAACCAAGTCTTAACACCCACTAGAACTTCACAACCTTTGCAAGCCCTCATCTCGGTGTACGAACGCCTCTGAGAGGCTGGCACAACCACATTTGGGTAAGTTGTCCACTTACGCTCATATATTTAAGGGAGCGCAAACTGATCGTTCATGCAGAATGTACTGGGAGCGCGAACCTTATCAGCTTCTGGCCGACAACTATTCACCATCGACAATTTCAGAGACACAGGAAAGCCATTGTTGGAGGTACTAGCTGATCCAGAGTCCATTTTCATCAAGGGTCTTGCAAAATTCGAGCGTCGAACATTATACACAAATATAGTAAACGATCGAAGCGCAGTTTATTATACCACCGGAATATCAAAGACTGACCCTTTCACCAACCTGGACAACGTCAAGCTTAACTACTTGAAGGGCTACGAAGATATCATCCTTGACCCGGCAGCTCCAGTTACTTCTAGGGACCCGGAAGAGTTTGATTTAGCCTTCCATGGACGAATTCTGAAAAGCTTCAAGACTACAATTGATCGCCTACCATTGCTCTTGGCTTTGATCGTTTTCATACCAATTGGGGTTGTCGCTTTCCTTATCAACTCCGGATTTCAATCCTTCAGAAGCAGCAGGAGGATTCGCCTCCATGAGAGCGGTCTGGCCGGAATCCAAACCGGAAATTATCGAGTCCCGCTCTTGATCACGGGCGTACGGGAGGCCGTCGAAGATGCCTATGAGAACTTGAACAGTACCCAAAGCAATGAGTATCTTATGTCTGGCACCGAGGAGGAGGAGGTCGCCGCCCAGGGCAAGCCAAATTCCCCAACGGGTGAGAGATCCCAGTCAGTCAGAAAAAGCTCATCTGCAATCTCTGATGGAGATCCTGAAAAACCAGAATCTCACAACCCAGACGTCCCAACGCTGGCCCTTGCGCCGTACCAATTCCGGATGATCCAAGCGTTGGACAGTGTGGGTTGGCGTAAATATCCAGTCCATATTCACAAGGTCGCACACAGCCACGCTGCCATCATTGTCCGTACCGAGAAGCCAAGCTTCTCAGAAGGACGGGTTGTTTTCCGTCACTGGCTCGATGAAGAGTTCATCATTTAACTTGCCATTACCAGTGCTAACGAAGAAACTGACGAGTGAGCGTACTTTTATGATTTAGAGCGATGCGAGCTGTCTTCGAGAGCGATTCCACTACATTGTACCTCTTGCGGTATCCAGCGACGGCGTTTATAGAAGGCGAGTCCCAATGCAGCATCTCTTATTCCAGTTTTCTCCGCCCTGTAGTATAGCAAGCCAATATATAAGTCCCATATATCCACAACCACCCGGTCTCCCTCGAATGACATCATTTCATCATCCCAATAAAGTTGAACCCTCTCTTCTACCAAAAACGTAAAGCAGTATCACATCACTCGCCTGTACGGTTAAAATCGACACTTATGTATTGCCAGTGGAGAATATTACATTTTGCTAATGGTGGTACACTGAACTCCCTTTTCCTTCCCAAATCATCCATATCACCTGCTCAAACCAAGCAGGAACTTTCCACCTCCCTCCTTGCCGTCTCCACCACCGGGGAGATAAGTAACATTGGGATTGCTGGCCAGCGTCTGTGCAATCTCCTTACTGGCCTCGATTCTTCTGATCATGATCAGGCCATCACCAGCCTTGGCCACAGCCTTGCTAATCGTATCCGCAGACTCGGCTTCTCCCTCAGCACGAATAACGTTTGCCTGTCTTTCTTGCTCCGCCTTCTCTACGATAAATCTAGCTCTCTCAGCATCCTGTTGCGCAATCTGCTTCTGCTCGACCGCACGCGTGAACTCCTTTCCGAACGTCATGTGTGTAATGGAAACATCCTCCAGAGCGATGTTGAACTCCTTGGCTCGCTTGAGCAAGTCGGTACGGATTCTGTTGCTGACAGCTTCACGTTGTGTGATCAGCTCGGCGGCGTCGAACTGGGCGACGATAGCTTTGAGGACTTCGTTTCCGATGGAAGGGAGGACACGCTCATCGTAATCTTGGCCGAGACTCTAAAATCCATCATCAGTCCCCAAATCCCTATATCCGCGAGCATGGAATCCATACCTGGTAGATCTTGGGTAGCTGTTGAACCTCGGGTCTGTGGAGAACCCTCAGAGTCAAGCTGACCATCTGCAAATCCTTACTTCCGGTAGTCGTCGAGATATTTCTTGGCTTCGTCCGGACATCGTAGATAATGCTCTTCTGCAGCCAGGGAATCAGGAAATGCGTGCCTTCGTTCACAACCGTATCCTTCACTCCAGAGTATCGATCGAAGATGACGGCTCGTGTGCCTCCCTGGACATCGTAAATCGAGGACTGGATGAATGTGGCTGCGAGTGCCAAAGGGATGGCGGATTTGTAGAGACCACTCAGTGCTTGAGCCATCTTGATGATTTGCGGAGAATCGGGAAGTCAAGCTGGTGATCGCGGAGCTTCGAAGGTTGATGCTTCTTTTACAATTTCGGACGATTCGCGCGCTAGCGCCTGCCGGGTTCAAATGCTTGGCGAGGATGAACCAATTCCAACGTCGACACTGGTCCCCAAACCACAACTCGAATCAATCACACCGCGATTCTATACAAACACATTCCACGATGAGACCTACGCAAATCCTTCGATCTGGTGGTGATGGAGAGCTGGGGAAGTACGGAAAGTGAGTGGGACCCGTCCCAGAGCGTGCCGCAAAGCTCTTCCTAGATCGGATCTCCCGCGGAATGGCCGTCAAGCTTTGCATTGGCGTTCGAGGATGACAGTGCTGGCAGTATATCTTACAGTGGCTAACTTCCATCTTCTACAGGTACATGGGAACATGGGGTAACATGGGTGAGTCTCCAGAGCTCTTCCGCCGTCTATCCATTCTTTTTCGGTTCCTCGGGATTCAGTACTGGTCGACCATCTCCATCCATTGGCATTCGGCATCGACATAGCCATGCGTTTACATACTACTGGAAATCTATTCCGATTCAACGACGGGGGCCGATGAGACGAATTGAGCGACGAGACTAATGCGTGACATTCACAGGCTCCCAACCCCAGAAGGGCATTGTTTCATACGCCCTCAGCGGCAACCGACAACGGCCTCTTGCTGGCACACTCCACGCCGCCTTCTTCAACACCTGGAGAAGATTCTCTGGCCAGGTCCTCTATGTCCTCCCTCCATTCATCGTCGCCTATGCTACCATGAGCTGGGCCATCGAGAGGTGTGTTCCTCTTCGACTGGGACTCTGGTACGAGATTTTGCTGACGAGACTCTTCAGAAACCACTACTTGAACTCCAAAGCAGGCCGCCTCGAATTCGCAGACGAAGAATAGAGAGGAGTGTAGTTATATGTTCGATGCTGAGGAGGGTTGTATTGCACTTAGCCGATGATCCAAACTGACGACAATTCGGTGGTTTGCGATATGCGGTTGAGGGCAGGAACCGGGTGTATAGTAGTAGACTAGATTTCAATGAATGTCTCTGACCAATGTTCCATTACCTAGGTACTTTCAGTGATCGTTTCAGAATCTAGATATGCCTATAATAGGACCCTTATATGTGACATGAAAATAGTAAATAGTATCCGTATATTTAGAATACGCAATCAATTGGGGATGTCGGACGGGCCGAACAGTCCTTCAGTGAAAGTCTTATCTGGGTTCATCCGATGTTGTAATTCAACGAAACTGGCATTGGCATGTCGGATTTTGATAGAGGTTCGTTTGGGACTAGCGCCAAAATTATTTTTGAGCTCCCCGCGAAAAAAGTCGCTTTCCACAAACCTCGAAATCCAACCCTCGAAAAGCCAACCCTCAAGCACAACCACACCGCCTCGTCAAAATGGGCAAAGAAAAATCTGAGAAGAAGGACAAGAAGGAGAAGAAGGAAAAGCGAAGCGAGGTTGACGGCGTGAAGAAGTCCAAGAAGGAAAAAAAATCAAAGCTCACTAGCGACAACATAGCTGCAGCGATTGAGGAAGTCAGCAAAGAGACTGCAGAGTCAAAGGAAGTCGAAGTCAAGGCTGTGACCGATGGGGAGGTTGTGGTAACTGCCCGACCTGTGGGTGCTTTGGTACCTTTTGCGAACCCATTGGCCGATGAGAAGGTCACGAAAAAGGTTCTCAAGAGCGTGAAGAAAGGTAATTCGCCCCAGTCCTCTTGGCATTGAGAGCAAGGAATTAACGTACATCTGTGTTGCAGCGGCAAAGAACAAGACCCTCAAGCGCGGAGTCAAGGAGGTTGTCAAGGCGCTGCGGAAATCTCCTCAGGGCGCGGGCAACACCTCTGTGCCGGGCATCGTGATCCTCGCGGCTGATATCTCGCCCATGGATGTCATCTCACATATCCCCGTCCTCTGCGAGGACCACAACATCCCGTATATCTACGTCTCCAGCCGTGCAGAATTAGGCGCTGCAGGAAACACCAAACGGCCAACGAGTGTGGTCATGGTATCCGAGACGAGGACAGGCCCGAAGAAGGCGGAGAAGATTGAGGGCGAGGAGGAATTCGCCGAAGTGTATAAGGATCTGGTGAAGGTAGTCGAGAAAGAGTCGAGAAACGTGCGGATCTAGATGTGCTCGGGGAGAGGGTTTATCGAAGGGTATTTCTGTTTCTGGCTATGGGAGGCTCACAAACCCGAGTTTTCTGTATCATATTGCAAGGACGGCGCAGTTATTGTGCATGGGTCACTCAAATGGCGTTTCCGGGCTGGTTAGGAATGAAAAGTCATAAGTTCAGAGCCTACCCTCCACAGGGAAAGGTGGTTTAGTTGCCAAAACCATCGAATTTGTGTAACGTCTCGCATTGTATAGGTAAGCACGTGCATCACTTTCCTAGAATCCTTTCGTTCTCCTTTGCCTTGTTCTTCAGTACATGCGTCTTCTAGCCACTCGAGCCCACTGCCTTTGTTCAAACTCTCGCAGTTGCTCACGGCTGGGAGTCTCAGAGCTCTCGCCGGACGGCTCAGAGACCAAGGTCAGTGTGCTTTCGTTAGACAGAGTATGAACGGTATCGCTGGAAGAAGAGCTATCAACGGCAGTTTGCGAGCTGGTAGAAGGCGAAGGTGCCCTAAGATCAGTATTGATGGGCAAGACTGCATTCATTTTACCTTTATCCTTTTTCCCCTGTTCGGTTGTGCTCTTGATGCCCTTTAGTCCCCCGTGTTTGAGCTCGGGCCGGGGCTCAATTTCCGAATGGCCATCTACCTTCACCTCTTGCTTCTTCTCGAGATCTTCTAGAGCAAACTCTTCGAGGAACTGTGATGCCGTCTGAAGCTTGTCCAAGAACTTCTTTGTGTCTTCAATCATCTCTTCTTGTACAATCAAAGCTCGAGAGGTGACTCCAAGCTTATCTTCGGAGTCAGTGCTCGAGGGAACAGGTCTGGTCTCAGTTGCGGGGGTCCCTTCTTGCGGTCCTGTGCCTGGAATATTGCGCCTACTCGGACCCGCCTGAGTGATGGGAATCTGACGACTATATCGAGCGATGCCAGAGGATGAAGAGCCAAGACCATCCTCGGCGTCCAGTCCAGCTCGAAGCTGTCTTCGACACTGACACCCGCAGTTACTGGCGTGCACAGGTTGTCTCCAACCCTCTCTGATCGCCGTTTGTAAATTCCCAATCGCATCTTCAAGTCTTTCCATCAACCAGTCCTGCTCAGATTCCAGAATTGGGTGCAGCCCTGTGCTGAAGGGTACATGATTGTCCCTCACGTTTTCTCTCCCTAGCTCCTCTCCCCCAATCTCGTCTTCTCCATCCAGCAGCGGACCTTCCACGTCATCAAAGTATCTATCCCCTCGCAAGATGTCCTTGTAATGCTCGAGGTCTTCCAGCAGTCCATCCAATTCTCCCCTGTAAGAGCGCCAAGTTTTCCTCTTCCTCTCAGCTCTCTGCGCATCTTCAATAGCCGACCCCACCAAGCGCGAGAAGCTGGACCACGGCTGCAGGCCTCCGTATCTGAGCAGCAGCCATAGAAGGAGGATAGTATGCGATTCGGAGATTTCCACGGGGTCGGATATCGGGTAGTAGAATTCTGAGCAAGAGGCTATGAGGGATTCTATTGTTTCGCCCCAGTGTTTATCAAGCTCGCCGATGGCGAGCGCGTCTCGTGTGTTTTTGTTGAAGGAATCGAGGTTTGTGCAGACGAGTAGACGGGTGAGGATGGAGAGGTCGTCGGCGACGTAATCGTTGCTGGAAGTAAGGCTCATGGTGAGGATTGGAGATTGTCTTTTTCAATGTTCGAAGAGATCTTGAACACTCTCGGGATAAGAAATGGATGATATTCTACCCTATACTGGTCTTGTGTGTAGGGGAAAGAGTGAGATGGGGATGGAAGGGTAGAATCTTGTCCTTTTTATACTGGGCCTCACACTCTCTCTTCCTGTTGTGAATCACTGAGCAGAGCGGGAATTTTCCAAGGCGCAGTGATTCAGTATCCACTGTGCGCGTTGTCTCGAGCAATGAACTACGAATTTGGGCATTGAAGTTGATTTCACTGCTTAAACACCGCATGTCAATTCAAAGTTCGATATTGACTATGCCGCTTGCTTTGCTGGACTACCACATTTTATACTCCCCGGTGGGTTCCCTTGCATCTTAGTCCAGTATTAGAAGATACAAAAGCGTGACTATTTAGTTAAATTGGAGCATAACTACCAGACGTATCTAACTAAAGGCCCTGTTGCTCTCAAGCCTTGCTGTCTCCCAGCATCACGGTGTGCAATGTGACTACGTCGTACTTCTCTTCCCTATGCAGAAGAAACAGTGCAAGCGCCGCGATACGTGACAGGAAACTTCCCTGGAGATGGAGCAAGTCTGTCACAACCTCGAATAACCAAGCATCAGATACGAGGATATCCTCACGACACTCACCAGCTTCTACGAACCGACGCAATCTAGGTGATCTGGAAGAGACAGAGGGTTTGCTCGGGAATCAGCCTCGAATTCCTCTTGAGGAGCGAAGCCCGTGAGGAAGCATTTCATTCCTGGTAGTGGCAGGAGAAGGAAGCAGCAAAGAATCCTGATCTGGTAGAATGGGATGACCTGGACGATCCTGGATCAACGGAATAGTTACAACTTTCACTTCCTTTCCTTTCTTTCTTCAAGAAACACTGCCTCGCCTTAACTTCAGGTAAGTAATCTCTATCCTCTCTATCCTCTCTGTTATCATCATCTCTGTCTAACTCTTCTTATAGCACGTGAAGCCCTACAAGTTATGATCAATCTAGAGGGACTGTCATAGGACTGTCATGATAGCCCTGCGCCCCCCTTAAGGTATACAGTAGTAAGTTATCACACAACAGTAAGTTATCACACAGCAAGACAATGGGGGATTCTCCGAAGTAAATCTTCATTTTCATTTCAGGTTCATTCCTTGATAACTAGCAAGTCAAGGATTGATGTGTGTAAAAAGTGCAACGCTGAGCTGTATGTGCATTAAGCACGCACAGAAGAAAGCAAATCGTAAGCAATGACCACCAACCAACCAACGCCATGTGTGGAAGAGCCCTGGGTATCTCCGTGTGCGCCTGTCCAATGCATGCATGCAAGTAAAACGTGAGGTTAGGGAGGGTTGGGAGAACGAGGTGATTAGGCCACAGCGCTAACACCCTCACCACCACTACCGCCCTCGCCATTATCCTTGCCATCCTCAGCCTTGCGCTTCTCGGCGGCCTCGGCAGCGAGACGCTTCTTCTCCTCGGGGTCGATGAGGTCGTCGTCGTCGGAGAACTCAGAGTCGCTGTCGTGGAGGTGCGGGAGGGCCATGCGCTTCCAGGAACGCTTCTCCTGGCGGAGGGCGATGTTCTGGATGCGGAGTTCGTTCAATTCGTCGTGGTCTGTGAGCCAGCGGCGGAGGCCTCGGAGGTGTTCGTTGGCGCGGCAAGCAGCGGCCTTCATGTCGTTGATCTGGTTGCGGAGGTTGAGGTTCTCCTCACGCTCGTCGGCCAGCTGCTTGCGGTAGTTCTTGTGCCAGGCAAGGGTATCCTTCTCGTGCTGCTCCTTGAACTTGTGCATCTTTTCGAGGATGTCGCTGAGGATGTTTGCTCCGTGGACAGCAAGCTTCCAGTTCTCAACCTTGTTGTACTCAGACTTGTCAAGCTGCTGACGCAACTCGGAATTCTCCTTCTCGAGGTTGTTGGTATCTTCTGTAGTCGTAGTCAGTAGTGCAAGGACGCGTCATAGAGGGAAGCTTACCATTCATCTCGGCAGAAACGAGGGCAATCAGCTCATCGTTGGTGAGGTCCATGTTCTTGGCTCTCTCACGAACCTTACCAATCTTCTCGACGATGCTGGCAGTCATACGCTGGTTGATCTCCAATTGTCGCGAGAGGTCCTCAACCATCTGCATGATGAAGTTGAGATCGGACTGATGGCCAGCTGGGGTAGGGAAGCCGACCATGCCGCCTCCGCCGCCCATGCCAGCATTCATGCCATTGGCGTGGCTCATGTTCTGGGAGGGAGATGGGGGAGCTTGACGAGGGTTGGATGGGCCGGCAGCTGGCTGGTCGATGTAGTTCTGGTAGTTCATTGTAGTAGTCTTCTCAGCTCGACGGCTCTGGACGCGATTGATATCCGGAGTTGGGAGAGGTTCGCGCTTTGGGGCTGATCGGAAAGGGAGGCTCTCAAGCTTTGGGGTGCTTGCTGGAGAGATCGCTGGAGGGCTTGGGGGAGGGATAGGTGCGCTCCGCTGTGGGGTAGTAACAGTAGCAGTAGCAGCAGAGGTGCTCGCAGCAGTAACAGCAGCAGAGGTCGCAGCAGAGGTGCTCGCGGCAGAGGGGGTTGAGCTTTGCTTGGGGATGGCGTTGACGGCAGCAGCAGCAGCAGCAGCAGTGTTGTTAGATCTGTTGATGGACTGGATCAGGCTGACGAGGGAATTCTCCTCCGGGGTAAGAGGCACTTCGAGGGGGTTGGTACGAATGGAACCGCTGCGGGCGCGTCCTCGAGCTTTGGGAGCGGGAGTTGGCTTCGAGGGTGAGCCTCGATCATTGCTTGGGGACGCCATTTTACTGCCGGGCGGCGGCGACGGCTGTTACCCAATACAGTATGTTAAGCGAACGCTCTCGGATAAGGAATTCAAAAGGGATGGGGGAGGGGTGGCTGACTGACTGACCTTGGTGGTTGTTTGTTGAAGAACAGAAATGTTCATGTGTGGGTCAGAGAAGAGGTTCCTGTGGGATGGTAACGTCAAGCATTAATTAGTGCCGTTTTAATTTCCTGCTTAGTCGTTGAAACCATCATTTGCGTCATTGCTATCGTCTGTCCTTCGATTTCGTCCTCCCATTCCAGTTGTTGAGCAGCGTCCCGGACTTGGACTTGCAGCCACTGCCATTCGTCAGGCCACGACGGTTGTCAAGATACTGGAATCAAGAGTGCAAGCTATCGAGTATTTGCAATAAATCATTATATGTTTATTTCATTGGTATTTTTGTTTATTTCATTGTGTATCAAAAGCAAAGCCTTGATGCGTTTCTAAGGTAACGGTGGTTCGTCTCTCTTGAATGCTGAGTGGTCTTCGTCACTGCAATCTTCTCTAGACTCTACAAGCGTGAACCGAGTGCTCCATCTAAACCAAACCGCGCCATCCGACGTTCTATAGCTTGAACATAAGCCAAAAAAGTTCCTGAGGTAGAGGAGGGGGTTGAGAATGAAAGGAATTCGGATACATACCGGAAGTCTGAGTTCTGTATGGGTTCTTGCTTGGATCTGCCTTCTCCTAGGTAGTCATCCCATTACTAGGTTTGAAGCCCATCAAGCGCTCTTGTTAGATCCGTGGCGCGAGGGGAGATATACCTCTCTCGTGTGAATGCGGATATATAGAAGTCAACCCTCCTCAAACACATCCCTACCTACCACCAAGCAGAGCCAGCACCTTCCCCTGCTCGTCTACATCAACATCGATATCCATTTCCTCCCCCTCCCCCTCCCCTCGCTTCTCCAACCCCATAATTCCCCTCTCCACCCTCAACATCAACATCCTCATCCTCTCCAACTCCTTCTCCATCTCCCCATTGCGCGTCACCAGATTGCCCTGCACCCCCGCATCGGCCTCAAACGGCTCAAGCAGCTTCTTCATCGCCCTATACCGCTCCAGCTTCTCCCTCGCCGCCCGTCGCTTCTCATTCAACTCCACCAGCTTCCGCTGTAGTTCTTTGTATCTCGCTGCTTCGGCGGGGGCTTTGGTCTCCGCTTCCTCACTCCATTCCTCTGGTAATTTCTCTATCAGGGTTTCCTTCCCTAGATATACACAACACGATCAGTTATCTCTCCCTTACACACACGAAACACAAAAAGAAATTCGAAAGGAAGGAAGAGAAAACTTACGCAAATCCGCCCCCCTTTCCGCCCACTCCTCGCCCATTCCCCCTTGCCATCCACCCCCCCTCTCCCCCGCTTCCCAATACAGCCTGTCAATCTGCTCTGCGACATGTCTCTGCGCCTGCGGTCCATAACTCAGGCGATTATGCCGTCTCAGCAACCCGTCCAGCTTCTGCAGCGCATCATCGATCGCCTTCTGCCGCAGCTCCACCTCGTCATCGCTCGCGCGCCGCAAAGAGGTTCCTGACGGTCGCAGCCGCTGTGAGAGCAGTAGGATCTGCCCCCGCAGGAAGGAGAGCTTAAGCTCGATTATCGTGGGCGCGTCGCTGGAGCTGGACATCTTCGCGTCGTCGGGGTGAGGGCTGAGATGCGTCGGAATTGGGGATGCGCGTGTGGGAGACGCGATGGGTGAGGGGTGACCACGTGATCGTGGTACGGAAGGAGAGATTTTGTGTGTTGTTTTAAGGTTTGAGAAGAGCGCTTGGCTTTAAGTGTGGTTCTGGGTACATTAGGTACCTATTGTAGGCATAGCAGATGTATCAGTACGGTATGTTGATAGATATTATATACAATTAAATCCTCCTCCAGTAAAGCAAAACAGTAGGTACCTAAGCATAAATATCCCCGTGCTCCCATCTGATCCAGCCTCGCGAGTCGCGGTTCTTGTCCAATTCGCAGGCTCCTGAATTACGGTCCCTCAACATCCTCACAGCGCATTGCTTCCGTCAAAAGACTATAGGTAGGTCTGTAGAAAACAGAAGCAAGACTTTGCTGAAGAAGAAAAATGGGCGGGAAAAAAAAACAAGAAAAATAACATACAACAGCAGGTATTCGCTGGTGGTCACCCACCCAACTACTAATCTGCCGATCTGAGGCTTATGTATGGCAGAGCGGACGGGATGCCCAGTATTCCTCAGTCTGTGGTCGTATGTACTAGATTTTTACTTATTAAAGCTTATGGGGTACAACCACATGAAAGAAATTCAAGACGCAAAAGGCAAAAAAGGCAAAAACATACAACAGCAGGTATTCGCTGGTGGTCACCCACCCAACTACTAATCTGCCGATCTAAGGCTTGTGTATGGCAGAGCGGACGGGATGCCCAATTCTCCTTAGTCTATGGTCGTATGTGACAGATACCTTTACTATAATAATAGATATACCAATTGTTGTTTCTGAAGAGAAAGAAAGAGCGCCTTCCTCTTTGGCCCCTGCTGATATAAATTCACCTTTCCAGAACGCGAAGTCGCGCTCAAAAGCTGCTGCCGCCATGCCAGTCAGTCAATGGGTAATGTTTTCTTTCACAAGTCTCGCGCAATGCTTTCATAACCATGATACTTATGCAGCGTCTTGGGATTTTGTATTACACGTTCCTCCTTTGTGATTTTGTCTCTGCTCCTGCTCCTTATTGGTCGCATTCTATCATTGTCTAATGCTCGACATAGAATGCAAGCGCCACTCCCTCAAAACCTTAATACCCTCTTAAGTCGAGGTCCAGGGAAAGAGTCGAGTCGAAGTACGATATGAGAGCAGTACTTTCCGTTTGCAATATCCATCTATAACAAGGCAATATCTCGCCTTTTTCATCTCTTCTTCTCTTCTTTAACGGTATCGATATATCAACATTCGTTCGGTCAGTCATTGTCAATAATCCAACCTGCCGAAAGACGACATACTTACGACGTTTGTATATAGATAACAATATTATCGCAACATTCGCTATCCCACATTCGCTATCCCACATCCATTACCAGCGTGTAAGCATTCCTGGAACCAAGACATGTGGTTGCGAGAAAGTCATTAGCTGACCTTGTCCAGGATTCTCATATATATATATATATATTATGGCATCATTAACGCCAATCAGCGTCTAGTATATTGCCTCACTTCTGGATACATCCTCTATCCACGGCTTATGCATTTTGCTAACGAGTTATATAGCCTGGAAGACAGCCCACAGCGCCACTACGGCAGCAGCGGTCCCTCCGAAACCACACCTCTCCAACTGCCGGCCGACCCGGCCCGACCCCCCCACCCCAACGAGATGTACGTCTACTGACTCTACTCTCTGCTCGCCTTGCTTCAGATCCTTCTAGACTCGCACATACTTTTATCCCCAATATTCTTTCGATACAAGGCATGTGTTAACATAGCGATTAGGCGCATCGTCTTTGTGCAGCAGAAAATGGTGGGAGGGGTCCCGGGCCAGCCGGCAAGTTGGAGTGGAGGGTAAGTACTATGGTCAATTCCCACTGCCCAATGTCCTGAGTTAATTTCGTGTAGAGGGTGGAGGAACCCTGTTGTCGCTGTCCAGGTGGTGGTTGGGCTGTTAACCATCGTAGAGAAGCTTAAACATATTTTTTTTAAAAAACGGAATAAAAGCGTCAGCGAATCATTCTTGATATTCTCTGCTTCTGTGATTGCTGTGTCACTTGTGTCGGATCAGGGGCTCCATGATTCCATTGCTCACAGTAGAATGCGCTGGAACTCGGCATTATGAATTTATGATTCTTCTGGAACTTGGAAGACCGTTCAACATGAGGATACACACTCTCTCAAATTATAAACATTAGACCTCCGGACTCTATACTCAATGGACTTATACTTGCTCTTATGGATGAGGTTATAAAGAGTAGACACGGAGGTGAAGGACGATCTATTCAGTCTAGGCTTGGGGAGCTACTATTGAGCGATTGCTTACTGTAACTAAGTACGTGTGCCTGAAGCAGGTTTGAGGCAGGCTCTGCCTGACAATGATTCTATCTTTATCTCACCACGCATCAGACACTCATTGTCTATCCGCCTTGCCTCCAATCTCTCCTCAATTTCTCAATCGTATGCGTACATCGCCAGACTCGCCATAGCAAATGCAAGTTCTGGCGGGTAGATAGCCGAATATAGTGCAAGTTGATCGTAGTACCTTTGGTCTGGATAAGGAGCATGAACCACCCCTATCTTTACCACGATCGTTTGACCGAGACCCGCCGATACAGTTACCCCGCTTGTAGCCTGGTCCTGATGCTCATCACGTTTATGTGTCTCTGCCCTGTGACGAGCGCATTCCACGAGGCCTATTCTGCACAGTACGGAGGTCCAACTCAGTCTCTCAGCGGCATGCGATTGTTGTAGTTGAGTATCGATATTGTTGCCGGGATCGGATTCCGCTGCGGTACCCGTATTGCGTTCCAGCTTCGTGTTTCCGTCTTGGTTATCGAGTGGAGTAGTCCCAGGTTTGTCGGCTTCGTCCACTGTGTGCTTAAAAAAACATCGACGAAAAAAATTGAAGATAGAATGGAAGAGCATCATGTTGTTTGAGTGGGGTGATTTTTCCTGGATTTTGATCTTTGAGGCTTGTTACGAAGTGATAAGTGGAGAATAGGCAGCGAGTGAGCTTTATTTATGTAAAGCTGTGGACCGTGGTTGTGTTGAAATAGAATAAATATTTGACCTCGGTCTCCCAGATGGGAGCCTATTTGTAGGACCCGGATTTGATATTGGACTGGTCTTTGTGGTTTCGGGCACGAGACACTACCCAGAACCACGTGCTAATACTTGCCCTAGGTACCTTAGGTAGCTCGAAACTCTTTGGTTACGTGGGGATCTATCTACATGTTTGTTTCCTTTCTTCAGAGATTAAAATTAGAACTGCTTCTCGACAAAGAGGGGTTAGAAGAGTTTGAAAAGTCGTTTGTAAATCGTAAGGCGTGCTGTAGATGAGGATGGTGATTATTTATAGTGGATGGGCGCAAGGTTGATTAATTACTCTTCTTCCAGAACGGCTGAGGGGTTCTGAAGATAGGAAGGCGTGATATCTGCTATGAATCCAGAGGAAACAATAGTATATGTAGAGAGGGGACTAGAGGCCCAGAGAAATGGTGTCTATTGTAAAGCCGGCGTTACATCTTGTCTTACTAACCGTGTCCCTTTTTTTTTACTAGAGTGACGAGATGAGACAGACAACAGAGATCTAAAAGCTCACGGGAAAGGGGTAACAGTGCTAGTTCCTGAGTCCAGGGGGTTCGAGAAGAGTGGAAGAAATGGTAGGTTGAAGTGGTAGTTTTTCTTCAAGACCATGATAAAGGGGAGGAATCTGGAGCTCCCCCAGATATATCCAACACCCCCCTATACTTCCAAACCGCTACCCCGTACGTGCCCGTGTCCATCCCACGCGTCAGACAATGGAGGGGATGATATAATGATCGCCCACGAGCACTGCTTCCCGAAACGGTGTTCAGGATCGCGATCCTCATTTCTCTGCACAGCCCTATGCGCCTCGTCTGCTCCCGCTGCGTTTCAGCATCCACGTTCAAAACGGGGGGGGCACGAACTCTGCAGGGCCAAGCTGTCAAAAGGATGAGGCACGGAAGCAAATAATAGAGAGTGAGCAAAGCAAAGCAAAAGCAAGATGGTTACGGAAATAGGAGCCGCAGGGTGAGAAAAGGGGGAGGGTGTTTCATCTCCTCGTTTCATAGTTGATGTGGGAGTGAGACTTTCCTTACGCCGCGGGGGCGCTGGTTAGAGATGTTAGGTATGGATGCATATGCGTGAGGCTTTTGACGTGGAAGCAAGAAGACGCGGTGGCTCCTCGGGTCGTTGAGTTGATTATTGCGGGTGGATGATTACCGCGTAATATTGAACAGATAGGAGGGCGTATCATAGCAAAGACTATCTACGCAGAATACGCAGAATACTCCTCGTAAAAAGAAAAGAAATAAGGGCCGCCAAGGCGCCGCGCAGCAAATGAGGGGCCCACGGTGCGCCTCAAGCGCGAAGCAGCTGCAGAAGGGCGTTGATAGGCTGGCACCGTCCCACGACCGCGAGCGCCGGTCTGCAAGTCATGCCCGTGTATTTGCTGGAGACGAGTTGGCAGGAGGGAGATGCATCCAAGCGCCCTGACAAATGCACCAGCTGCAGGCTTCTTCACAGCGCACCCCTGAGATCCAGGAGGAGGGGGAGAGGGAGGGGGAGGAGGGAGAGGCTGACGGATGGCTGGGTCCTTGGGTTCGCGATTGGGGTGGACCAATGGGAGGGGCTTGATACTTGATAAGGTAGGGTGATAATACGGGGGAATACAGTAGTAGCAGTCATAGGAGGAACAACAGGAATCCTCTGTGACAGGAATAACACGATGGCTAAGTTCTAACAGTACAGTAATAACAGCCGCAATAATAGAGTCGAGCAAAGAGGACCAGAGGCAAAGAGCCCAGAGGAGGGGCCGCTAGAGAAGCACTAGAGGAGCCGCGTGTGTTCTAGGGTTTCCATCGAAGAAGTCTACGGAGCAGAGGATGAATCCAGAGCAATAAGCATCAATAATAATAGACTGCGTCGTGGAGGGGGGATTTTGAATAGGAGAGGGCAGAGCAGCTCTGCCACCCTGCAACCCCCTTCCATCGATCCCTTTCAACGACTTCGAGAGTCAATTGAGACTGGGCGTTCTATATTGGAGCTTGGGTCGGGTCTTAGACAGCTGCTACTGCACCCGTATAGGGCACAAGTTCACAACGTGCAACTATTCGCGTGCTCTACCTTAGCCTCTAACCCCGTCCGGCCCTGCGTAGTTCGCCTCTCCTACGGCCGGTTGCCCTCTCAGAGGCACGAAACAGACTGCAAATATCACTCCTTTGCCGCTTTGCCAGAGCCAGAGTCACTAATCACACTTCGCTACTCCTTCAACTCTGCTTCTTGCTTCCGCTTTCTGCTTTTGCTCTTCTCTCTCTCTCTATCTCTCTCCCTTCCACCACCACACCGCCTTTCTCTCTTCCGCTATTACTCGGTCACCTTCCCTCCTCTCCTCCCCTCCCTCTCTTCCCCTTCTCCCGTCGTCGTTCTCGTTGCGGTCCCGTCGCCGTTTATATTCTCCCGTGAAGCTCTTGGGTTCAGAGAGAGAGAGAGAACCGCGGACCGTGAGCCTGGCCCGGGATAATCCGTTGCCCGTTTGAGCCATACCAACACTATTATATTCTCCGGCGGCAACATTCCCATTGTTCTCGCTCGGTCTCTGGTCTGGAACTCCCATCGTCCACAGATCCAATCCTTGCCGTGGCCTCCGGTCCCAAGAGCCTGTCGTCAGGATTCCCCATCGGTCGGTCCATCGGTCCCCACCTCGCGCTCGCTCGCTCGCCTCTCTCGCCTCTCGCCTCGCCTCTTTTCCGGGCCAAAGCCAAACCAAAACTCCCAATCCGACCCAAACTCTTTTCCACCATCTCTCTTACCTACCGCCCCCCTTCGTCTTTGCCTTTCAACCATCCACACCACCGCTCTTTGTTGATTGCAGAGCGACCGTGCTTTCCGTCGTCCCCCCCCCCCACGTCCGCACTTCCGATTCTTCGTCCCTCGCAAACCCACCTCTCCCTCTTCTCTGCTTTCACCTCCTTGCGGTAGACAACCCTCTGTAATATCCTGCCAACGATCCCCTTCAGTCTGCGACGACGCGTCTCGTTTTCTCGGGCTTCCCGGTTCTTGTCTGCTCACGCGCCCCTCGCGTGCCCCACGAGCAAAAAGCTTTTCACTACACGCTTCACGCTTTTCCCCCCGGCGTCGTTCACTGCTGGCTGCCTTTCTTTGGCCGCTTCCTTCTGGCTCAACCCTCTGAGCTCCTCTTCTCTCTACTTCTGTTGCAGCAATAATCTTCTCACGCCCCTTCATACGTACTCATTGATCGGTGCTCCCGGTCATCTAATTCCTTTAATCCCATCCCGCCCTCGCTCTCTTCACCTGAGCACCTCCCCCTCAAATCCGACCACCGCTCATCTCTCGACGTCGGATCTGCTAGGAGACGAGTCCTCCAAATCTCCCTTCATCGATCCCCACGAATCTCACCTGTACAACATCACACCATGAGTATGGACGCAGGCGGTCTTGCTCATATGTCCTACAACAACTTCCCTTCCAGCAACGGACTGGGCTTGCCCAGCTCCGGCTTTGCTTCTAGACGGGCAAACGGCACGAACATCAAGCGTCTCTCGTTCGAGCCCACCAAGCCATCCGACCCTCTGGATAACGGGGCTCCAACCCCTCGCACCTCGAGATCTCACCTGCTTGCCGGTTTGAGAACTGCTCCCAAGTCAGCGACGTCGAGCGCCTTCCCCTCCACCGCTCCGCCCACCACACTGCAGCATCCGAACGGACTTGGACAGAGCATTTATGCCGACCGGGAAACATATGGCGGCCCAAAGACATCCAGTTATCTCGCTCCGAATAACTTCGGACAGATGAACCGCCAAATGTACTCAGTCCCCGAACAGATTCTCGCGCCGCCCGAGATCCTCATTGATGAGCACGGCCAAGAACAGATGGACCCGAACCTGTACGCTCAGCTGGTAGCTACTAACATGTACCTTGCTGAGCAGCAACAACGTCTGCAGCAGCAGCTCATCAACGTCCAGGCCGCCGCACAGCAATTCCAGGGCATGAACTTGGGTATGGGCAACCAGATGCAGCAGTTTGCTACGCCACCGGTCACTCCTCAAAACATGTACCAGCAGCAACAGGTCAAGAACAACAACGTGCAACCCATCATCACCCCAGTGATGGGCGCTCAATCTGGAATCTACTCGTACTACAACCCCATGACCGGACAGCAGAGCTACTTCATGGACAACAGCGCGCAGCAGAACCTGTACATGGACTCGCAGCCCGGGCTGCCATCTCTAAATTACTCGCCGCCTCAGCAGCCCGGCACCCCACGGTTCCAGGTCTCGCCGCCTCCGCAGTCGGACAGCCAAACATTCACCCGAAGCATCAGCCCCCCCAAGAAAGCCCCAACCCCGCCACAAGACCATGCTCCGTTGCCCCCGCCTTCTGCCGGTGCTTTCCGTCGTGGACACCGCAAGGTTAACTCTATGGCTTTCGTGTCCGACAATTCCATCCCTGAGGGCCCAAAATCTGCGGTCTTGCCCAAGACCGCCAGCTTCCCGCTGACCCCAAGTACTGCTGGTTTTGGTCCGGGACAAGCTCGCGCTGGTGAGCACCCAATCCGTCAACCTCGTGGGCCCCCCTCATTGGACGAGTTGATTGCGAAGCCGACCACCAAATTCGAGGGCAGCAAGAACTTCGCTGCTCGCACTCGCCGAAATGCTGTGCATAATCTTGTTCGCGCCGGAATGGAACGTCGCAGGGCGCCTGGCAGCTCTGGTAGCATGTCTCCCGCCTCTGAGACCGGCGAAATTACGTTCTCGGTCTCTTCGGACAATGATTCAGACAGTGGTCGCAGTGGGAGTGGAAGCCTTTCCGGTCGACCCAGTCTTGGTGGTTCGCGCACCTCGGTTCACGGTGCTATCGGTTCCGATCGCCCATCCTCCCGTCAAAAGGAGCACTCAATTGAGCGGAAGAAGTCAATGTCCACGGACAGCAACTTTACCACCGCGAGCGTCAGCAGCGAAGAAGGGCTGTCGGTTGGTGGCAGCTTTGCCGCAGTCTTCAAGAACGGTGGCAAGAAGCCCGAGGCGAACGAGGTCCAGCGGAAGGCTCCTATGCTGGTGCTCACCTCGGCCGAGAAGCGCAAGAGTTCAGTTTTCTGAACTGTCTCGCAAAAAGAAAAAAGAAAAAAAAGCACCGTCAAGGCAGGGTAGATCCCTGCGTTGATATCCAATCCTTGTTTTGTGTCAATTTGATATTGCATTCGACTGTGCATATTACCTTGCTTCTTCTACCCTTAACGATCAATGACGATGAAATTACCGAGTCCCTAATTCGACATCATTACAAATACCTTCTTTTTACTTCATGTGGAAGAGGACAGTTTGGAACTGTGGATAGAATGCATATGCGTGGAGGTGGGAGAAGGTGACAGAGCCATTGGATTGTATTCATGGTTTGCATATTTTGCTGGCTAAGTTCTTGGGTCCGTCCGCGTTTCTCATTTTGCCTGGGCTTTATGCGGATTGGCTTGGCTTGGCTTAGGTCTTGGAAGAAAGGCGCGTCCTTTTTGATGATTGAAATTGAATGATTATAACCAGCCTGGATTGCGAGGTATGAGGGGATGATGGGAATTTCACATTCGGCGTGGGGTTACCATATCGTGGCAGGGGAAGCAGATGGTGAGAGAGGGGGCGAATATCATAGCAAAGGCTAGGAGATAGATCAATGATATCATCATAGCAAAAATCCTTCAGTCAGTGAATGAGCTGGACTGTGCGTCCTAGATTTTTAAAAAAAAAATCGTTCGTCCATGTGCGGGTATACATGACAACTTCTACCCGCGACTCTTTCTCCATCTCCCCATACCTCCACATCCAGATATCCATACCCATCCTTTTTCCTTTCATTCGGTTAGAGTCCCTCCTCCTCGCCCCACATACTTTATTTCATCCCCAAGCAGACAATCCAACCAAGCGCCTTAACCAGATCATAGAAAACATACCTTCCTACACTCCTACACTCCTACACTCGTTTATATCTCTCAAGGCCCTTCTAAACAAACCCCCTCTCCTCCCCAAAATAACATACTTAATCCACTCTACTCCAAAACATCCGCTCACAGCAGAAGTACTCTAGCTATATACCAAGTAATAAACCATTCCCCTGTTTTGATTTCCCCAAGGTGGAAATATTTATAGATAGATAGATACCTACATATGTAATTATCTATAAACCTACGGTTACGTCTCGAAAATCAATATGAATTTTATCAAGCCCTAGGCTCCCTCTTCCTATGTAAGATAGAAGATAGGAGATGGGAGATGGGGATGGGAGATAAATCTTCTCTTTCGATTTATTTTATTTTATATATTTTTTGTGCATGAGCCTGCGGGAAGGAGGGGTCATATCCCCCCCCCCCCCCCCCCCCCAAAAAAAAACCAAATCAAACCCCCCAAGAAGTCATACACCTCACCTACCATACGATACCTCGCATCCCGCCACTCCTTCCACATTCCATTCCTCGCATATCTCCAATCTCTCACAAACCTCTCGGAGATACCCCAAGTTTGGCTGATTCCGCTTCTGGTATCCATTGCTGTAGGATCGCAAATTGAATACTATCGCTGGCTTTTAAGTGGAGACGATTGGGGTGGGAGGGGGGTAGATAGAAGAGAGGAAAGGAGGGGGGAGGGAAGAGAAGATATGAATGTAAAAGAATGAATGAAGGGAGCATAATGTTAGATCCAGAGTTTGTTTACTATCTGTATATATGTCTATATGTCTATGTGTAGAGAGTAGGAAAGTTGAGATAAAGAAATTGGGGGGGAAGGGGGGGTTTATAGAGAAGGTGAGTTAGTAGATTTATGGAGTGGGAAGGGATAAGGAGGGAAGATACGAAGCAGATCTGATACAGAGAGGGGGGATGGTAGGGTCCCATGATTGCAGGACGCAGATAGGAGTGAGAATCAAGCTTTCAGGGTAGAGTTGGGCGTGGACGAAGATAGGGATTTACTGAGCAGATCGGGAAGGGCAGGGAACAAAGCTTGGCGCGCGTGCGAGAGAGATGGCGTGCTGGCTTGATACAGAGAGAGAGAGGGTTCCGTTACGTGCGTGTATGATATGCATGAAGTGGGGGAGGAAGGGTCTCTCTCTACCCAGGGTTGGGAATAGGGAGGGGCCTGATGGAAAGGTCTCGTTGGGTGGCTGTGAGGGCTAGAGAGATGGCTGAAAAGTACCTTAGGTACCTAGCTGTAGGAAACAGGACTGTGGGAAGTAAGCTTTCACGGTGGAGGAGGTGGGGAAGGAAGGGTCTCTGCTTGGAGATCGGGGTCTGATGGAAAGTTCTCGTTGGGTGGTTTCTCTGAACTGCATGATGCAGGATTCTGGATGATCGAAAGAGGAGAGTGTGAGATGGCGAGGGAGAGGAGAGCTAGGCGGATGAAGGGTAGTCGCTACAGGTGCAGAATCATGCAGAGCATACATGATACTGGGAGAAGAAACTGCAGATTGCAGGTGAAGGAGAGGATCGCCGTTTCTAGATCCCAGGGTGGTAAATCGAGAGGCAGATCATAGACGGGTTGGATGAGGAGGGAAACGCAGGGTAGTCGATGCAGACAAAGGGGTTCAAGTGAGAAATGCATGCTGAGGAGGTGCAGGCTGGAGAAGTATCTGGAAATTCTGATCTCAGGGTCTTAGAGTTAGGAGGGCTGGGAAGGGGGATGGTTGGATGACGGAAGAGGTGTGCAGATCAGGAGAGGGGAGAGGTCGAAGATAGAGAGGAGGGTTGCGAGGTCTGGACTTGGGGGGTGAAGGGTAGTCGCTCCAGGCAAGTCTGCGGAACTGCGGAAGCGTTCAGGGGGGAGGGGGGAAGTAAAGGTGTAGGTGCGGAAGATCTGGCCATTCCGGGTCTCAGGGTTGTTGATAGAGAGAAGAGAGTATCGAATGTATCCATCCTTCAACTCTTCGACCTATGCTAACCCCGGATATCCGGGGGTGTCCTTACTAAGGGCTGGCCTCTAACCACTTCCATGCCTCCCCGCTCTCTCCCTTCTTGGCCATCTCTCTAGATCTGGCCCTCGAGAGAGACATCAAAAGGTCACGCGCAGAGAACAACGAGAACCTTCTATCGGATGCCTATCAACAACCCTGAGACCCAGGATGGCCAGACCACCTAGTCCCTTGTACCTGTACCTCACGGTACTCACTCTTCCCAGGCAGGCAAGCAAGAAAACAAGCTTCGCGCCATCCTGCACATTTGCTTACCTGCCTAACTCCTCTTCCTGCCTCTGGCTGCAGCAACTGCTGACTAGGTGGCTTTTCCCTGACCAAGTATATTTACCCCAGATCTGGTAGCCGCAGTCGTCTATTCGCTGTGTGTTGAGACCGCGAGCTGCAGCAGAAAAGACGGATGCTCGGAGGGGGAGGGGAGTGCTTCTCAGCCAGCCAGGCAAGGCATAGTTAAGCCGGACATAATAATTGCAGGAGTTTATTCGTTGTGTGTTGAACTCATAGAACTGCAGGAGAGAATATGCGGAGGGGCATGACGACGCTGGTGTTTCTGGTGACTCGATACCCTAGAGATACTGTCTCTGATTTTACATGACTTGCATATGCTAAGGGAGAACCAATGCATGGCGACGCAGCCAGTCTCTCCCCATCGATCGACACGCGGGAGGCCCTTTTGTGACGCGGGGGGTTTGTGAAGAAAACAAGCCTCAGACAAGGGGTTGCAACTTGGATGAATTGAAGAGAGGTGCATCGAGGAACGGGATATCAGGAAGCGGCGGCACCGCCCGGATCGACATTCTGCTGTTGTTCCCAACGCTCACCTGGCATGCCACTTGGCCTCTGGGGGAGAACGACCACTTGATGATATGATTCAGAAAGAGTATCGAGTTGATTCAAAGTGATGTCAGTACCTGGGCGTCGTTTCAGGACGGTAGGAGCGGCTGGATATTATTGAGGCTTGAACATACTGCGTAGCTGCATCGATAGATCAGGAGGGATGAAGTGTCGGTACGAGCCGGATCGACATTCTTCCAACTTCCACTGGTAGTTGGAAGGACGACCACTCGATCGTCGAACAGTGTCAGGACTTGGCACCGATCTTCGCGGGACCTAAGGAGGACCATCCGAGATTTGGATAATCGTGGGAGAGTGCCGGGCCGTCGGAAGACCCACAAACCCACGATGATGGCGCCTCCCAGAGCAGGAACAATAAACAAGGTGGGGTTGCCGTTGGATACAAGATTGCCTTGATCCGTAAAGTCAACCCGGGACTCAGAATATGCAGCTATTCCCAGCGCAAGAACCGGCAACTCGTAGAGAGCGCGGGGTCGTAGATTGCCTTGAAACTCGAAGGCATCCAAGAGTCAGGGTATGCAGCCTTCCAGAGCAAGAACGGCAAAAAGTGCGGGGGTTGGCGCTGGACGTAAGATTACCTTGAGCCGTGAAGTCATCTAGAGTCAGGACTCAGGAGACAAGACTCAGTCAGGAGTTGGGTTTAGCTAGGGGGCTGGACTCGGGAGGCTTGACACTGGCGGGAGCCGCGTCAAACGTGTCTTGGGCACGCCACATCCGATGCTGCCGCAGAACAGTCTATTTCGAGGGCGATGGATGGCTATTGGGCCCGCCGTGCTGGAATTGTTTGATGGTGATAGTCGCGCACAAGAATAGCGAGATACGAGATCCACGGTTGAAGAGCCAACTGAGGCCGTGGCGAGCGTTGTCCCCCTGAAGGTTGAACCCGAGACGTGGATACTAAGATAAGCGATCAGCAGATCGACGCAAGGATGAAGCCGCTGCCCAATAATAGCCTTGTCGCGCTTTAGCTCTTGCTATCTTTTCCTTCTTTTCTTCTTTCCCCTGAAGCATCCCGCGCGCATAACCCCCACGAGGCGTGCAGAGCCCTCTTTTCAAGAGACAAGAGGTACGCGTTCGGGGATATTTGTCAACGCAAGAGAGACGAGAGACATGGGGAAGAAAAGTTGGCAGCAGCACTCGGGCTACGCCAAGAAGGGGTCTTTTTGGGTATTTTCTGTTTGGTGTTTTGTTTCTCTTTGCCTCGTTTCTTGCCTTTAGCCTCTCTTTCGCCTCCCCTCTCTTTGGCTCTCTCTCCTTGCCTCTTGCTTCAAAATTTTTACACAAGCCACCGAGAAGCTGACCGAATGCTACTCAGCTAAAGCAGAGAAGAGAGCCCAGACGCAAATCGACTGAAGGCTCGGAATTGCCGTGTTTTGCGAGGGGGGCTCTTCAGGGAGTGCAATGCTGTCTGTGCCTGTCCGTCCCTCAGCTATGCATCAGGTATGGATGGGTAGGAATGACTCGGCCAGACCAGGCGAAGAGAGATGAACTCTCAAGGGAGAGCGACCAGGAGACCCTCGGGCCCTGAAAGAAGCCAGCCCATAAGTCCATGGCTCTAAGTACACGGCTCCCCGTTACCCACAATAACCCACTCCGGACCACCGCCCGCCCGCCCAGACTACCTTAGTCTCCCTCGAACCCGACCAACGCCTCTGGCTACAAGAAACCAAACTTATTATTTTGTCTACCCATGAAACAAAACAATAACGATACCGCACCGCTCCACTTCTTTGTCTCGCACTGCCCAACGTCGTCAGTTTCGGTGCCAAAGCAAGACTTGCCTCCTCGTGTTCTGATTTGACAACGTGGAGACGTTCGACCTGGGCCTAGCCATCATCGCACGCTATGCATTACAGGACTGTCCTCTCTTTCATATGTAAAGTCTTTCCTGCGAAAGACCCTGACTCTTTAGCCCGCTCTATCAATATGCTTCACCCTCCCTTTAAATTCTCTCTTCGGCCCTTCCATTGCCTGCTGCTCCTCACAGCTGCATAATGCTTTAATTCTATTTTCTATCGTCTATCTTCTTCCGTTCACATTCACATATTTCTTCCATTCAGTGGCAAATCTGCACTTTCTTTATATATACTTTTAGCAGAACTGGGGCAACGGCGACCTGCCCCGCCTCTGCACGTCATTATTCCCTCCCTACTCCTCCAGACCCAACAGTGATGTATTACATATTTGGTGGATGGTTTTGTCTTCTTGGTTAGCCCGCGCGGGCCTTAATCCTAACGACACAAGTGATTGAGGGCTTCACTCAACCTCGATCATGTCGAGCGAGTACCTTACGGCGAGCGAAGCTGGGGATAGCCGAAGGGGGTACAGCGTCCCTCCCTCCCGTCCCGGTTCCAGTTCCAATGGCTCCAGTTCGAATTCAAGCAGACGGGGGAGTGCTGCTGATACTCGTACTGCGAGGAGGGGCAGAGTTCGGTTCAATAGCACCAGCGAGGCCAACGACCCAACGAACCAGAGAACCAATGTCCCTACACGAACAGACAGAGCAGACAGATCCGTATCACCAACTTCAGTTCCCGCAACTCCACCATCGAATATTAGGATCAGTCCTCCCCGCTCGAGAGATATCAGCCCTACCTCGTCGAGACATACACCCGAGAGCGAGAAAGAGAATCCCTTCCTGGACGCCCATGAGACTCAGAGTCCAATTCCCAAACCGAGACCCAGCGTTCTCAGGAACCCCTCGAGCTTTAATTCAATGACCGATAATGTCGAGGAAGAGTATGATGAGAAGGCCTTCTCGGCCTTGGCAGCGCAAGAGCGAGCACAACGAATAGCGTCTTTAGTGGGAAGTCACTCTGCGCCCGCATCAAGAAGAGGGAGTTTGGAGGAAACCGACGAGGAACTCCCACCACTTCGACGGACGAAGGCGGGCAGATTTCCTTTCAGGCTTGACGATATTCCGTTGACGGATATGGACGAGAGGAGAGCCGCGTATGATAGAGCTGGAGAAGAGAGTGATGAAGGCGAGACGAAGGGCAAGGGCAAGGATTTGGAAGCCCGTAACTTGGTAAGATCTCACTCGAGGAAGTATCGCACGGAAAGGGTACGATCGGCCTACGTATCAGGGACTGTTACGCCCACGGAAGAGCAGGTTGGCGAAGATTATGTCCCGCGGCCCAAACGCTACCGACCTGGTATCTTGTCGAATTTACTGAAGCTCTACAACCAGCCCGCGTCAAGGAGGGGAAGTGAGGCGTCTGTAGAGAGCCCGTTGCTGCCGCCAGGAACAGCCAGTTCGGTGGGATCATCAGGCACGACGACACCCAGACAGAAATGGTATCATCAGAGGCCTCGTTCAGAAGACACTTTATCCGGCCTCATCGACACTTCCTCAACTTTGGCAGGCGTATCTCCTGCTGCCAGAAAGAAAGCCGGTCCAATCAGGCCCGGCTTGGGCAAGAGGACGCAAAGTGGGAATCTCATCACTGCCGCTGTCCAGCGGATTGGTGGGAGGAGGTCACGATTAGAGGAGGAGATCAGGATCACAATTCATATTGCAGAAATTCTTAGTCGGCAGAAGTACCTTCTGAAGCTTTGCAGGGCGCTGATGAGTTATGGTGCCCCCACCCATCGACTCGAGGAGTATATGAAGATGAGCGCTCGGGTTCTCGAAACCGAAGGCCAATTCCTCTACATCCCAGGCTGCATGATTATCTCATTCGACGACGCATCCACCCATACCACCGAAGTTAAGCTTGTCAAGTCTTTCCAAGGTGTCGATTTGGGCAAGTTGAAGGACGTGCATCAGGTATATAAAGAGGTCGTTCATGATGTCGTCGGCGTTGAAGAAGCTACTCACAGATTAGATGCCATCATCAATGCGAAGCAGAAATTTAACAACTGGTTTCTGGTATTGGTCTATGGATTTGCCAGTGCTACAGTGGCTCCATATGGTAAGTCTGGCCTCGACGCTGAACCACATCAGCATACTGAACACTAGCTAACCCAGTCTTGATAGCCTTTGATGGACGCATGATCGACCTCCCGATTGCCTGGTTACTAGGTTGCCTTCTAGGCTTCCTCCAGTTGATCGTCGCACCACGCTCTGCCCTCTACAGCAACGTTTTCGAGATATCCGCCGCAGTCCTAACCTCCTTCCTCGCCCGAGCTTTTGGTTCAATTAACAATGGGAGGACTTTTTGTTTCTCGGCCCTGGCCCAATCATCGATCGCCCTGATTCTACCAGGATACATGGTGCTCTGTAGCTCACTTGAGTTGCAGTCTCGGTCCTTGGTTGCTGGATCCGTCCGGATGGTGTATGCCATCATCTACTCACTCTTTTTGGGGTATGGAATCACAATAGGTACTACTGTGTACGGACTAGTTGATGGGAATGCCACCAGCAGTACGAGATGCCACAATCCGATGTATGTGTTTTCTTGATGACCACCCCTTTCACACATCAGGAGCTTACCTTCATCTGTAGGCCGCCTTATTACAGATTCTTATTCGTCCCGGCTTTCACCCTCTGCCTCACAATAATAAACCAGGCGAAGTGGAAGCAGACACCTGTAATGCTCATAATTTCATTCGCCGGCTATGTGGTCAATTTCTTCAGCACTCGCCGATTCCCTTCAGCTCCACAGATCTCCAACACACTCGGTGCCCTTACTGTTGGAGTGTTGGGTAACCTCTATTCACGGGTGCGCCATGGCGTGGCGGCTGCGGCTCTGATTCCTGCGATCTTCGTTCAAGTGCCATCTGGACTCGCGGCCTCGGGCTCACTGCTCGCAGGCGTGAGCACCGCAGACCAGATCACAAATCGGACGGGGCATGGCAATACGACAACTCCTGTGAGTGTTCTGTTAGGTTACGGAAAAGGGGAGTTCATTACTGACTGATATATTATAGCTAGCTGGAGGTTTGGGCAACCAGTTCAATACCATTGTATTCAATGTCGGGTTCAGCATGATTCAGGTGGCGATTGGCATTACGGTTGGGTTGTTCTTAGCAGCATTGATTATCTATCCGTTTGGGAAGAGGAGGAGCGGACTTTTCAGCTTCTGAATTGGCCTTTTTCCTTTGTTTTTTGCGTATATCAAGCGTCGGCGTTGGGTACAACAAACAAGGGTGGGCTGGGTCAGTTGACTGGAGATTGGGCATTTGGAGATTGGAGAAGAGGCGCTAGCGGTATATTGAACAATTATAATGTTCAAAATACTCTCCAGAGATTGAGAAACTCAGATGAAGTTTGATCTGGAAACAGATCTGACCAAGATTACAAAATCAAATATTTAGCATAATCTAGTGATTGAATGAAAGGTGTGATACCAGAACTAATCACGATCAATAGATTCTTGATCCTTATACCTGGTCCCCTTCCACCGTTGGGAGGGGAGCTAAGGAGTCTTGCGCCACGAGAGAGGCCACTCAAGCATGAAGCTCAAAAGCAAAATACCCGGAAAGATAAAAATCCTCAAGATGAAAACAAATGGGTATCATAATTCAGCTCATTATCTATCATGCATCCCATATCCCATATCCCAGCGCACACTCCTGCACGCTCACGCATTCCCCACCGATCGATACACCTCCCTCAAATCAAAGCCCTCGATCTCGCCCTCTGCAATCTCACCGACGACGCGGGCCGGTCTCCCGGCGACAATCGAGAAGCTCGGGATCACCATGTTGGGCGGGACAACGGCACCGTCTAGGATACGCACGAAGTCCTTGATGATGACGAACTTGCCCACCACGGCGTTGGACCCGATATGTACGTGGGACCCAATAAGCGCGGCTTCCACGATGGAGCCAGGGCCGACGAAGACATGGTCTGCGATCTTGAGGGGGTAGTGAGAGAAGGTGCTGTATTTTTTGACGATGGTGTTGTTAGTTTGGATTCGTCCGTTCGATTTGAAGCACATCTCCAGATTTCCAGATTACCTAAGAACGCCAACCAAAGATAATATAAAATCAAGGAGAGTAGAAGCAATGACAGATATATTGCTGTATATATATATATGTATATATTGCGCAAGCAAGAAAACGGGGAACGCACCCTCTGTATAGCTTCCCCGGCGGTCGCAGCTCACAGCCCCGACTGAAGAAACAATACCGGCCGATCGCAACCGCGACGGGATTGCCCTGCTTCTCGCTCGGGTTCGAGGGCGGGTACGTCCGGAGGAGATCCCCGCGGATGATGACTTCGGCTTGGATGACTGTCTTGCCGCCGAGGATGATGTTGGTTGTGCCGATGATCTGGGAGCGCCGCGAGACTTTGTTGCCCGTGTCCTGTGGGGAAGGTGAGCTTCTGTCTTCGGGGGCAGGGCGAAGTTTTTCTGGAAGAAAGATGTGGGAATGGAGGAGAAGAGCTTACGGTTTCGATATACTCGCCCTTTACTGGCTTTTTGGACATGGTGACGTTGGCTACATGTCAAGTTGTCGTCGGTCTTTATCGCCCTTGGAGATCGCGGTGCTGAAAGCTCGGTAAAACGCGTGCAGCGCCAAGTCACGTGCAAATCCATCCCCCCTTTTTTTCTTGATCTTTCGGGGAAGTGCTTGAAGAGAATACTAATTTCGCTTTAAGGGGTATCTTATACAATTTCATCTTTCTCGTTATAGAAGTTCCTTGCAGTAATACTCGAGAACTCTGATCACAATTCCGAAAGACTGACTCCATGAACTTGTCCTCAAAACATAGATTATCCTGTCAATATTTCATACAATAACTTTTACAATCCTCAGTTTACTGGCCCTAAAGGATGGTCATATAGTGGGTATGCCGACACAGGTAGCTGCGCGGTTCCATTCCAAGCCCACCTGACTAAAGCGCCCTGACTTGGTTGCTCCAGTTAGCATTAGATCTTGCATGCACTTAGCAGACTGACAATGTTGATTGATCCGCTTCGCCCTCAGCGGGCTCAGGAACAACATCCTCTGGATCTTTTACAAATACCCCATCCTCAACAGCTTGCCATCCATTGCGTGAGCGCTTGATGTACGCGACTGCCATGTCCCAAGCATCCTTATCGGCGGCATCGCCGGATTCGAAAATTTTGAGGTACCTGTAGTTCAACTGTGGCGGGGTGCTGAACAATTCTCTTATCAGTATAGCATAGCAACTATTTCTCTCCATCCAAAGATCCTCTGCCTCGACTTGAGCCATCTTTTCTCGGTTGTCAAGGATACCATTTCGAGGCACTAGCTGCACATATAAACGATCTAGCCTTGGACAGTGTCCTGTTAGTGTAGCAAAATGAGACGCCATGGGAAATATGCCGATATATGACATATCTCGGATGGTTGGACTGATATAGGCTCCGTAGGTATTTCCTTCCATGTCATCTGCCCCAACGAGATCTGGCAAGATCTTGAACGACGTTAGAATCAGACATTAAACGTAAAGTTGACACTCACAGAAGGTGGTCGTCTCAACCAGAACTCATACGTAGAGTATGCCTTGATGAAGGAACCTTCATTCAATAACAGAGACGACCATGGCCGAATTTGGAAAACTGCGGAAGATCCAGATGCGAAAGAAGAAGCTGCTTCGGGCTCGATAGAATCCCTGAGAAGTGGAGGCCTTTGCAATCGAAGGTAATGGCATGGACAATCGAAAGTCCAGCTATCTTCCATATCAATATGGCAAGAAGTAAGGGCCCCAAGAGCCTCTGCAGGGGCGACAATTAGCAATTCAGCAGGGTCGATAGTGCCGAAAAGCGCTTCCCAGAAAGCTGCAAAGCCATCCAATCTGTATAAACCATCCGGGTTATCTTTTACTTTTTTATCATGGACTAGCAATGTGAAGCTTGTGATGACCTTATGTAGTGAGTTCTTGCTAGCAAAATGAAGGAATGGCTGGATGGCCTGACTGAGAGCTGGCCTGTGTATTTTGGGCTCAGGAACGATGAAGCGTGTATGTCTGAACAGTATCGGTAGAATAGCATGTCTCCATCGTTGCGACACAAGTGATACAGCCTTCAAGTCCGCCACTTCGGCATGCGTTAATTCGAACGTGGGTTCGTCATAGAGCGCTAAAGCAGAAGGCGGCGGTCCATCGAGAAAACCAAATATATTTGAGAGAAGTTCATTCGGGAGTATTTGGATAGTAGCAGGATAGGAGATCTCGTCCATTGCACCGGAGGAAGCTCCGCAAATAGAGAACTCGGACGTTGAGGTAGTTGACAGTGGTTGCTCGAGGCTATTACGAGAAATGGGGGTCGTGAAGGTACGCTCGGAAGGCCCTCCTTGTGGATTTGTAAACGCATATCCTTCCATATTGATCTTATATTACTACTGATGTGCTCTGGCTTGATGTCGTGCCCAAGAAGCTGACCTGCAGCGTAGGCGAAGTTTTGTGAATTACGCTAGGAGACTGATCAGCATCCAGACTGGTACCGCATTGACGAAGAGGGTTACTTAAAGTACCTATGAGAGCTTGTACGCTCCTCGAGTATAATTGAGGCTCAACTGCCACGGCGGTGGCGGTACAGAAAGTATGATTTTGGCCCTGACGGATATTACCTATTGCTGACGGATTATCGATAGAGCCTAAGGTAATCCAACAGGGGTCCATGTGGAGCGCATCTGGAAACGCTATGAATCGGTGCTGTCGGCAGAACAACAACTGAGAGTACGGAGGACAGTATATCTATCCCTTTAGGCTTGAAGTTTCGAATACACGAAGAATCACAGGAGGCGACTTTTGATAGCCGTCTCTATCAATGCCTCGGGGACTACACAGCGCCTCAACCATGTTTCTCGTTCCTCGTGTTTTCGACCGGGGAGGGATGTCGATCTAATCTTTAGCCAGTCTAGGTTCTTAGGCAGGCCGAAAATGCAAGGATTTCATGGAAGATCATTGGTGGTCGGTGGCTACAAACTGAGGGGCAGATGAAGGAAGCGGAGACTTCTGGGATTCCCCCCTCGTGCCCCTCCATGGACGGCATTTCATCTCTTGTTCCATAAGTAACGGAATCCCCCACTTACCATAACAGTTCCAACAGTTATAACCATTCTTGCTTTCCGCAACTCTACCTTGATTTTTGCGAAAGCCATCGTCCTGCAAACATGTCTACCAAGCTTCACCAAAGACCACCTTTCAGAGCTGAGCATCTAGGCTCTCTTCTGCGCCCCACCCCGCTCCTCGACATCCGGCACAAAATCAACGGGGGAGAAAAGGGCCTCGAAAATGAGCTGAAGGCTGTCGAAGATGAAGCTGTGAAGGAGACCGTCAAGGAACAGCAGGAATTGGGTTTCCGCCCTGTTTCTGATGGAGAATTCAGACGCCATATGTTCTGGTAAGTTGCGGTGTACTAAACAATTTTTTTTCGCCTTTTTGAAAAGGACACATAAATAACAGTCTCTTAGGGGTACCTTCTTCCCCGGACTGGAGGGATTTGAAGAGATTCAAAACCCAGACATTGACATCTTCCGCATGTACGTCCCAGACGTTGCAGCCTTCACTGAGAGCGGACACAAGCCCGGAGAGACAGTCATCTGCACAGGAAAGATCAAGCACGTTGGAAGCACATACATCGACCAATGGAACTACCTGAAGAACCTCCTTCCCAAGGAGAGACAACATGAGGCCAAGCTCACTCTTGCGGCACCAGAGTGGTACCACCTCCGATACAAGACCGGCAGGGCATACCCCAAGTCCGTGTACGCCAACGACGCCGAATACTTCGCAGACATCGCGAAGGCATACCGTGAGGAGCTTAGAATTCTTTACGAGAACGGCTGCCGCAACATCCAGATCGATGACCCCAACCTTGCCTACTTCTGCTCCGAGAAGATGCTGAAGGGTTTCAAGGACAACGGCGAAGACGCCGACGCTCTCCTTGACGCCTATATCAAGCTTTACAACGACTGCCTCTCTGAGCGCCCCGCGGATTACCACATTGGTGTCCACCTCTGCCGAGGAAACTTCGTCGGAGGCCGACACTTCTCCGAGGGTGGATACGATAACATTGCCACTAAGCTGTTTAACGAGCTGAACGTTGACACCTACTACTTGGAATACGACACTCCCCGTGCTGGTGGCTTTGAGCCTCTCAAGCACCTCCCCAAGGGCAAGAACGTCATTCTGGGTCTGCTCTCCAGCAAGTTCCCCCAGCTGGAGGACAAGGAGGAGATGAAGAGGAGGGTGTACCAAGCAGCGGAGTTGATCTCTCAGGGTACCGGAGAGACCAAGGAGGAGGCGCTGAACAGAATTGGTGTTTCCCCTCAATGTGGCTTTGCAAGCCACAGTGATGGAAACAATGTTCAGAAGGAGGATATGGTCAAGAAGCTGCAGTTGGTACGGACGCTGGCCGACGAGATCTGGCCTGGCCAGCCGTAATTTTTTTGTCGTTAGTTCTGGGGTTGGGATTGGGGCTGGGGAGCTGGGGAGCTGGTGTTGACGAAATTATGTTATGAGGGGGTTTTGGATCTGGAAGGTGGGGATGGGGCGTGAAAACCAAAAGTTTTCGACTGTGTTCAACCGGTCTGGATATGAATATTCAACATATCTTATTTTTTTTTTCTAAGGTCATGGTTCGACCTCACTATCATCTTGAGGACAACTAGCTATTTAGCCAAGTACCTTGTCTATATACCCTCAACGACTTCCATGACTACCTACCTTCTTCAGAACTATTACTTGTGCATAAAGATATGCAGCGTCTCGCCAATTGCATAACATCCTCCTGTAAGTTTTCCATGATATGCAGTTCTACACGCAGGTCCGGAAACGGTTGGGAATTCGGGGGAATAAAGTGGTGCCCCTGAAAATTGAAACGACTGGTTCATTCAAACATTAACCTTAATTGACGCACGAAGAGGCCCATATTAATAATGGGACCTCGCCGCATGGCAATCTTCGAATTTGCTCGCAGCCAATACATTTGGAGCGTGGGAGACGATACGATATCCGAATACCGGCTACTAGCTGGGGGAGCGCTACAGGGTTCTAGTATAGAAAAATGAATGTATGGCATTTCGATGTGATTTTAGCATGAATATGGTATCTTGACCGGTGTATTTCTACTGCTAGATGATGTTGGGTGGCAAAATAAGAAAAAGGGGGGAGGGGTAAGGGGGTTATGCAGTGCGTATTTTGGAAATACTAGGGTTCCTGCACGACAACACTAGAAGAGCATCAAGTTGTGAGACATGGATAAAGAGTCGTATTATTATGCAGTTGAGGTATTAGTCTACTGGGGAAAAAAGTCACGGATTTGTTGTAAATAGATGATCTAGTGTAAGTGAAACCTATCAGGGTCACTGTTCGAAAGGGGGTCTAAATGTATGTATTCTTTGCGCAAGAGTTACCTCATTGATCATAAGGAGTCTACACAACACATCATAGAATCAATTACCTGTTACTTCCACTTTTAATTGGAAGGGTCCGAAGGGTATCTGCGAATATACTCATTTGCCAAACAATGCCTTCCTTGTATCGTATGTGTATTCTAGAATTTGGTTAGCGTATAATAAGGTGTTAGAGAATCCTTTACTCACTATTTAAATCTCCGCGCCAGTAAGTTTCCGTGTCTGTCTTGCTCACCTTCCACGCTCTGTCGAGAGCCTCTACTACTTCGTCCGGAAGAGGTCCCTTTTCACAATCCTTCAAATTATCATCAAGTTGTTGAATGCTGCTGCAGCCAATGATGACACCGTCATTTCCATCCTTGATATTCAATGCGGAATGGTGGACTACCCATCTCAGAGCCGTCTCTACCATTGTCAAGCCATGCTTCTCAACAACGGGTTCGATTATCTTCAAAGCCTCAAATGTTGAGTCTCTGAAGAATCGCTCTCGATACATTTGACCCGTTCGATTGGCAACGTCACTAAACCTTCCCTCCTGGGGAATAACATCCTTGCTCTTGTATTTGCCTAATGCGCTGGGTCAGCGTAAATTTCGGGCATAGAATAAGGGTACGTACCACTGAAGAGACCCCCAGCAATCGGATTGTAGACAACTACATCTAGGCCGTATCTTTTGCAGGCAGGAATAAGTTCCTGATCGAGGGAGCGCGTAATGGCATTATACATTCCTAAAATTGTCAGAATTGGCACGTTCTTGACTACATTCCCTGACACGGCATGATAGCGTGCCATGGGTGGGTGCAAAAGGTTATCGCAGCCCATTACATTGGCAAAGGGAGAAATTAAATGGATTTTCTTACCCTGGTAGATGGTAGGTCGAACCCAATTATTATAATGGCAGGTCATGACTATTTCTGCCACCTCATAGGCTGCAAAGTTGGACAAACCTAGTTGCACAAATTTACCCCTTCAATACTCAGCACACATTTCTAGTTGAAAGGCAGAAAAAGACCAAGCTCACTGCTTATGCAGTTTGTCGACTGCTTCGAGCGTTTCCGCGAATGGGACTGAACGATCCTAACGCAACGATAAGCCATTGGCCATAGATATAGGAAAGCATACAAACAGGAGCGTGCAAATAGAATATGTCAACGCAATCTGCTCCAAGCTCCTTCAAACTCGTATTAAAAGTCTCCGTTAAAACATCAGGTTTATGCATGCCCGGTTCTCGCGGCCAGACTTTTGTAGCAATCGTGAGCCCTCTCTCCTTCCATTTGGCTTCACGGGTGAAGGCTTCCTGCTTCCCTCCTACGTATATGCGAGCCGTATCAACCTCATTATAACCGGCAGCTTGGAAATGGTCGAGGAAGGCGTTGTACTCTGAGAGAGATGTGATTCGAGCGCCTGCGGATGGGTCGGGCCCAAAGGTCATCAAACCAAGGATAACCCTTGGTTTTGGGTTCCTCGCAATGAGTGGCATTGTAGCTTTATTGTTCCGATCTTGCCAATAGAGAGAGGTTGAAAGAAACTGTCGTTGCTGACTCTGGGGATTGCGGGGGAGAGAGATAGTAACAGGTACATATTGCACGCAAAACCTCTCATTTTGCGGGGTATCGGCTCCGTCAGCGAAGGCGCCAATCCTACAACTAGGTACACATCGACTAACACGGTCCAACTACAGGACCTACTCACCATACTCTCTACGAGTCTGCGGAGACCTCACGCCGTGTTGGACGCGTCTCGAGAGATTTTCTGGTGGATGAAGCCATCACGACCCTGAAATCCGGCTCTAAGTCGTTGTACCTACCGGTACAACTGACTTGACTACCGTGTAATCTTGCGGCTCCGGCGTCACGCGTGCCAGTATTCAGAACTCGGCATCCGTCAAGCGCGTCATTCCACCACTTGTCCACTATAAATAGAGATTCAGAGGGTCAATCAAGCTGGGCCAGGTGGGCAATCGAATCTGTGATAACACTTAGCATTGTAGGTAGAGCCCACAGCATGGAAAATATCCACAAGGTCATCAAGATCTTGAAGAGAACCACTGGTAGATAATAATAGATACGCTGCTGTTGAAACTTGAAGGCAGATATTTTGGGCATGGACTCGGGGGGTCACTCTTCAGCGGGACTGGCCTTGGGTACCCGCCAATACGGTGCCAGATCTGAGATGTTAGAGCCCCCTTTCCTCGCAGTATGCCAGTACTGTACATGACCATCGACGAAGCTGAAGCCTGATGCTTTCCGTACCGCGTGTCGCTCGTGACAATGTGACATCGACCGCTTTTGCGATTTATTTTATGCTTAGGAGGGGCCAAATTCGCTACAACTGGCATGGTTTTCGTTAGTGAAATTGCTGTGGTTCAATGACATCTGCTTTCATGACTCGGGGCTTCTACATTAAGGGTTCATACATGAACACATAGTGACATACATCCTCCGATGCACAGAGTTGATTCGCGAATCCCTCGCTGATGAACTCGAAACTAATGGGGCGTTATTGATTTTCCACTTATTACCGTGTGTACATTATCTCAGGAATCGTCAAGGCTGTGTTATTTACAGGACAAGTGTCCTATACCACACATTCTTCGTATATTAAGATAGCACATCTACTAGAAGTTCATTGCCCTTTCTGCTTGAGCAAAACACAGGATTTGAATGATTCCTTATTGTGTGTGATGTAAACTGTTAAGCGCGTCGACAATCTCAATCAGACAGATGTCGGTTCATGGGCACACACAGTACACAGGCGGGGACGTATTGCACGCTGCAAACCTGACCCGGCCGTCCGGAGTATGGAGTATTGTTCAATACGTGATTTACAATTGCCTTGCTTTGGATTGGGCTCTGCAGAACGTTCAGTTGGGGATCTGCTGTGCAGAGATCAGACGATTGACAGCTGAACGAAAGGATTGATCAATCGGATTCAGGGATTCGAGATAGTGATGTCCGGAGAATGTATGTGCTGTACATACAGTACCTGTGCTGTGCATACCTCCCTACTTATGTATACTGTACATTCGTAGATACATGTCTGTACGAACCCATGCAGCTTATTCAAATTTTTACTGTGCCTTACTATGTATAGCCTCTCTTTTATACCTTGGAGGCTTGGAGAGTCCGGTTCTAGCGAAGGGCGCGGACCTACCATTCCCGCCTATAGGGGTTTTTGGCCTCAGGCTTCAATCTCACCGGCCAAACATTGGTTAACCGGACACCCCCAATTGCCGATATGCCAGGTTTCGGTGATGTTTTCCAACCCTGTTTTCTCAACTTCATGCCTTCTGCGGAGAATTCATCAACATCAGACCAATGACTTCAAGTGAAGTAGGTTCTTCAGCACAGACTGGAGACGCAAACCGATCTATCAGCCTCTGAAGGCATAGTTGGAGGAGACCTTGCGCCTGCCATGTCATCCGTGTCCGGATGAATTTCATACCTGTCGATTCGAACTGACTCCGTCTTTCTGCATACTGTACCCGCGCTATGTCTAGCCTGCTTTTGCTCTTCTCAGCATCTCTGTGCCTTGGGCTGTAGGCGTCAAAGACATGTCATTTCGCGGTTTCTCATCCAGTCAGCCTCTGAGATGCTTAAGCCTTCACTGCAATGCAGGGCCAGTTGCCAAGCTTGAACCTTCGATATTTAGTACAGCAATATTGGTGCGCTAGTCTGATTATATACAGGCTACGGGTCCAAGCGAAGAGTCCACTCCGGACAAAAATGAGGCTAAGCAGGCTGAGGCTAAGGAGTATCAGGACTGACCCAGTTGCCAATGTTTACTCCGTGACCCCGGGGGAGCGCGTCCTGTTGACGTACTGGTCAAAGTATCAATACGATCAGACTATTGATGCGCATAGGAAAGCACTCCGTAGGTCTAAAGCGCGAATGAAGTGGGGTGGACGCGAACCAAAGACAAAGCTGTGGGTTAGCTATGTACTTGTCCATATCGATGCCTTCCATTATTCGATGCAGGTTTCTCGGAGAGAAACCACGCGATCCCTACAGAGTTCCTCTAAGGCTCTTATAAGAGGGCATCCCGCTCATTCTTGTTCCTATTGCTCCAGTCCAGTAGTCGCCCAACGCCCATCGCCCATCGCCCACCGCCCATCGCCCATTGCCCCTGGCCGCCGCTCGTTCGTTGTTCCTTTGTATACTCGCCGCCATTATGAGGGCCACCCTCATTACCTGTCTGGCTACATTTGCCCATTTCACTTCAGGTTCAGCAATTCCTTCTTCTCCTAGCTATTTACCCCGGAGCTTTCTCAATGACACGCTTGATTGGAATGAGACGATTTCCAGTATTTCGCCTGTCGTGTCAGACGCCATTTCGGCGATTTCAGCGGTTCCATCGATTGTGGCCGCTGGCACGTCTGCAGCATACGCATCAGATCCCCTTTGTGAGAACAGTGCTACTTCCAGGTCATGCTGGGGGGAGTATTCTATAGATACAGACTACTATTCTGTTACACCCAGCACAGGAGTCACCAGAGGTACTGCCAAACTTTTCACGTCTTGGTAAGAGCAAGTAACTAAGCAAGCATCACAGAGTATTGGCTCTCTGTCGAGAACACAACGCTAGCACCGGATGGATACGAACGACAAGTCCTGACATTCAATGGAACCTTGCCAGGCCCAGCCATCATTGCTGATTGGGGTAAGAATCTGAAGAACACATAATGGTCCATCATAATGACTGAGGAATTAGGCGACGAGATTATTGTTCATGTCACGAATAATCTGGAGCACAATGGAACTTCCATTCACTGGCACGGTCTTCGACAGCTAAACAACAACCAAGCTGACGGCGTTCCGGGAGTTACCCAGTGTCCAATCGCACCAGGCGGAAACTACACCTACAAGTTTCAAGCCACTCAGTACGGCTCATCATGGTACCACTCTCACTTCACTCTGCAGTACGGCGAAGGGCTCTATGGACCCTTGATCATCAACGGCCCTGCGACTTCAGATTATGATGAAGATCTCGGCGTGTTGTTCATATCGGACTGGTCCCACCAGACTCTGTTTGAGTTGTGGGATTATGCTCAAACAGTCGGGGCTCCAACCCTAGACAACGGCCTGATCAATGGGACAAACACCTATGACTGCTCAAACTCTACCGATGCTAACTGCATTGGTGGCGGAAAGAAATTCGAAACTGTCTTCGTCCCTGGCACAAAGTATCGGCTGCGTCTGATCAACGTTGCCACCAATGCTCACCTTCAGTTCTCTATAGATGGGCATAATTTGACAGTCATCGCCAACGATTTGGTGCCTATCGTGCCGTACGAGACCGAAAGTATTCTTCTGGGTATCGGCCAACGGTACGATGTCATTGTTGAAGCCAATGCTGAGCCTGGTGACTACTGGCTTCGTGGTGGTTGGCAGGAGTCGTGTACAGTGCCAAACAACAACGCTGCGAATATCACGGGAATTGTGAGATATGACTCGACGAGTACCGCTGATCCCACCACCACCGGCGTCACAATTAGCGAGACTTGCGGTGACGAACCTCTAGCAAGCCTTGTCCCGCACCTCGCTATTGATGTCGGTAACTATTCCTCGATCACCGAAGAGGATGTAGGCATCGCTTTCGGCGACGCTGTGACTTGGACGGTCAACAGCAGTACGCTGTATCTGAATTGGTCGGACCCAACGAACCACAGAATAGCCACCAATCAATCCATATTCCCCACGGAGTACAACGTCGTTCCTGTCAATGTATGTTGTCTAATCAGTCGCGTGTAAGCTAGAATTGGATGCTAACTTCATTACAGAAGACGAATTCCAGTGACGAATGGGCGGTATTTGTGATAGAAGATCAGAGTGGTGAAGGGTGAGCCATTCTTCCCCGTCATTATGTGTGCAAGTTTCCTGACTTATTCCAGGCTGGTCCATCCCATTCATCTTCACGGTCACGATTTCTGGGTGCTTGCGCAGGACTCGGGTCACTTCAACGGCAGTGGCGTGAACCTCACAAACCCACCCCGGCGCGATGTCGCTTCACTTCCTGGAAATGGCCATCTCGTCCTTGCCTTCAAGAAGGACAACCCGGGCTCGTGGCTGCTCCACTGCCACGTCTCATGGCATAGCAGCCAAGGATTCGCATTGCAGTTTGTGGAGTCGGAGAGTGAGATCGCGGGCACGATCACCGAGACAGATGCCCTCATTGATACCTGTTCGGCCTGGACGTCCTACACGGCTACTGAACTGTATTCCCAGGAGGACTCTGGGATATAGGGAGGAGACCAGCTGGGTCTGATCTTTCAACGAAGTTACGACTTATCTGGAGTTTGGCCGGGGCGTTCAGGACAGGGACTATCACATATCACGTAGACTACCTACTTTTATTATCTGTAATACCTATAGCCTAATACTTAATCCGGGAGGCTTTTATCTGGAAGAGGAGTGTTTACCTTAGGTTTTGAAAGATGTGATTCTAGCACGTGCCCACAACTGTATCTCGGTATTTGCCTACCTGCCTAGCTTCTCCGTCGGCACGTAGGTACCTTGAGTACGGGTATTCTGCCTTACCTAAGGTCCCTGCGTAGTACTTAACGCCCGGGAGGAGAGCCATTGTGGTGGGAGTAACGCCACGCCATGAACAGCGTCAGTTTTAGGCTTGTTTGTATTGCGGGGTATGGGAAATAGAGTAATGAATTCATGCATGTATCTACAAGGGAGTCTCCCTGGTGTGCTTCAGAGAATTCTGGGCTACAGAATGTATAAATGTATATTGTAAATTTGGTATACATAAGGTACCTGGCTAAAAGTACTTTCTCACCTGAGGTAAGCCTGAAGGCCCTGAAAGGTCCAGACACGGTGAATATCACGTGCGCTTAATTTTTCACGCGGCTAGCCCGTAATAGGTTACCCGCCCTGCAGGGTTTGCTGCTGCGACCCACGGTTCAGCAGCCACAAGTGACATCTAAAATTACGGCTAAATCTGCTAAATCTGCTAAAACCGATTTTAACATTGCTGCGCAGCGAACGGAGCAAGGGACCAACCAAACCCGCCTTCGTCAACCCCGTCAACCCGTGCAATCCGCCTTTCCACTGCAACACCCCAATCTCCCCGAAGAGAGAGTTGTCCGTCTCCCTCTCTCTCCTTTCTCCTCTCCAAAGCCCCCATCCTCCTCCCCCCTCCATCACGCCCGTCGGATCTTTTATTTTATCTTTTTTTCTTTTCTGCTCTTCTTCGACCTCTTACTTTGTCACGCCGCGGGGCCTTGATTACATAAAATATTACTCGTCATTTAAAGGTTTCGCTGTCGCCCAGGACCTTTATTAGTAGTCGACGCAGCAGGCTCTGTTTTGCTCTGCGCCTGCCGACAACGTCATCCGCCCTCCTCTTCCACCCTCCTCCAGACCGGAATCCCCCTCCCTCACCCCGCCGAGCATTGATCCAGCATCAATTGCCCGGTCAGCATGTCCTACACCCAGTACCAGCAGTACGGCGGGAATCCATATGCCAACGGCGCCGACGCCGAGGCTGGCCAATATGAAGGGGTAAGCCCATCTTCACTCCACGTCGACGCCGGACCCGCGGAAGGACTGACATTTGCCTCTCTCTCGGACAGAATCACCTCGCCGCGCCTCAAGCAGAGCATGAGCTGGAAACTTATACCCCGTCGCAATATTCGAATAACAACCTTCCCGGCGCTCCCGCCGTCACGACTACTACCTACGCCACCCTTCTCACCCAGCAAGCTTTCCTCGAGCGCGTCGACTTCGCCAAGGCTGAGATCCGCACTCTGAGCTCAAACATCCAAGAAATTGCATCGCTGCACCAACGTGCATTGTCGTCCCCCGACCCGAGCTCCTCCGCCCAGCTCGAGAATCTCGTTGCTCAAACACAGCTGAAGAACACCCAGATTCGAGATCAGATCAAGTACCTGGAATTGGATGCTGCCAAGACCCAGGATGGGACGAAGGGTATCAAGGCTAGGCAGGCCAAGCAGTTGAAGACGGAGTTCGAGAAGGCTTTGGATGACTACCGGCAGGAGGAAGTTGCGTACAGACAACGCTACCGGGAGCAAATTGCGAGGCAGTACCGAATCGTCAACCCCGAGGCAACAGAGGAGGAGGTCAATGAGGCCGCGGAGATGGACTGGGGCTCCGAAGGTGTCTTCCAGACTGCCGTGAGTGCTCCAGGAAGCTACCTTGAATCTCTAGCACCATTTACTGACATACTTATAGCTCAGGACCAATCGAACCGGACAGGCCGCTTCAGTTCTCGGAGCTGTCCGCGCTCGTCACAATGAGCTCCAGCGTATTGAGGCCACTCTTACCGAGCTCGCAGCGATGTTCGCCGATATGGCTCAAATCGTGGAAGCACAAGAGCCAGTAGTCGAGCATACTGAACAGAACGCCATCAAGGCCGCCGAAGATGTGGAAAAAGCCAACGTCGAAATCGCAAAAGCGAGCGAGCATGCCAGACGTCGGAACAGACTAAAATGGTACTGCTTGTTGGTCGTTGTTCTTATCGTTCTGGCTATTGCTCTTGGTGTTGGATTGGGTGTCGGTCTGTCGCGTTCCGGTAGCAACAACAAAAGTTAAGAAGACCGCAGTGTACTGTATAGGGGTTTTTCTCTGGAGTTCTGTATTAATCAATAGTAATCGCCGAAACCACACGGTTCTCTGTACTTATGTTGGTTACGGATGACATGGCTTTTTATTTTTTCCTTCACTTTGAAGAGTTCATAATTTGAGGGGTTGAGGAAGCTTTCTGTGAAGCAGCTGATAGAACAATGGGATAGCCACAATCAGATTCTCAGTCTTTCATCCCATATTCAGTCCTAGATTTACAACGCCACCATCCGGCCTCTGTCTGAAGAACTCTACATATATAACGCCATAAAAGTATCCTCCCTTACTCGTTAATGTTTTAGCAGCCAGTATGTATATATGATACACTCAGTCATCATTTTCATATGTCCTCCCATTGAGGACTCCTTCGCTCTGTTTTCTACTCCGTTTGCCAAGCACCGATGTTGCCCATTCCGTCAAAGTAAAGCCCCAATGGCCAGCAACTAAGACGCCACTGACGACATTGACGACCTTGACGACGAATCTCAAGAAGCCGTCGCGGCTCTCCTCGACCGAGAGCAGGATGGGCTCAATGTCATACTTGAAGAAGATGCCAGGCACGGTTCTCTCGCCCACCATGTGGGATTGCTCGGTCACGGCGTACTGGTTGGTGAAGATGGTGCGGGATTGGTAGGCATTGCTGGAGCTGACGGTGTACACGGTCGGGACTATCGAGAGGAAGTACTGGAATTTATGGAAGTGGTTTGGGGTCTCCTCAACGGTGCGGTCGAGGGGGTTAAGGAGCGAGGGGTAAAAGGCTCCGAAAGAGAGCTCCGAGATGATGTGGGAGAAGTTGAAGGCTGTCCACATAGTCAAGATTAGCTCGCGCGCCCCCTCTCACAACATATTTAGTGGGACATACCATCATGGTCCAAATGGGCGCCGAATTCTTGATATCCATGACCACGCGCCGTGATATGGAAATCTCCCTGGACTTTGTTCACGTCCAGGCTGCCGAAGATTCGGCAACTGTCAGGGGTAACACGGTTCCTCCATCGAGGCGTCTTCGCAAATTTCGCGCGCCGTCTACCACCAGCAGCAGCAACGATATCATGCACATGCTCCTCCCCAAATCCCTCATCATGGTAACCCTCTCCGGTAATCAACCTGCCCTCGGCATCCTTCCCCAATCTATGCATGCCCTTGGTATCAACCCACTGATACCAGTTCGTAGGATCCCTCTTCAGCATATCTGCCGCCAATATCCTGTCGCCCGCCGCATCCTGAACATTGACGTGGAGATCCACGCACTTCATCTTGACCACGATGTCCAGATTGATCTGGAGGTTGTGCCCGACGCCCTTCTCAACCGCGAATGTGTGCGTCTCGTGCCCCCGCCACCAGCGTGTGAATTCAGATAGCACGAGCATAAAGGACACGATTAACATTGCGACCGTCCATTTCCCGCCCCCGGCTGTCCGCGTGACATATTGGGGTTTTGCCTTGGCTAAAGGAGGGCAGTTAGCAAGCAGCTCTCTACGCGAACAGATTGCCAGCACAAAGGAATCAATTGTGCACTAGCAGACCCAGAGAGAAACCTGCATAGCTGGTAAGGGAGGGCTTACGAAATGCATCAAAAGCCTTGACGATATTGCCTTTCTCCGCAAAAGCGTCCTCATCGAGGCCGTGGCTTGCAAAGCCGTTCATCTCCTCCTACTCTTCTCTTCTTCTCTCTTTACAATCAAAATTCCACCAACGTATGAACATAAATCCCGAGCTGGGAACAGGGCAAAGGAGCGTAGGTGCGGGAATCTCGTCGTCGTGCCTCGAAAGGCTGGCCGTCGAATAGTCGAGCTGGGGTTTATTTTGGTAGGACTTGGGAGTTGAGGACAGGTGGAAGGGCATCCGATCGTTGATTGGCTAGCGCGACAAGGCTGAAAACCCACGTGAATGGGCCGGCCCGACCGCGCGACATGTGAAGACGCGCCGCAACTTCTTTGGATCGATGAGGCTGCACGGATTCTTCGGCTTTGCAGAAAAGAACCACCTAATTTCGGTCAAGCTGTAAACTTGCTTGTGCTGAGTACGGCTCTTCAGAATGTGAGTTTTCTTACAGTCATTGGTCTATTGTTAATTCATTTACGATGTCGGACTGAGAATGCAATTCAGTTTTCTAGCATGCCCGAAAGATTTGATAGGACAAGCTCAAGAATACATAACGACCTAGACATCGGCTTCTTTTGATTTCCTTTTCCATTACAGAAAGCATTCCTCATTCCTCAGCAGGAAGGCTAGTCTTCTCCTCAAAGTTTCTAAAGACCTTTTACTTTGCAACTTGCATAGCCTTGGAACAGCAAATTTATCCCGAACCCACAAACTTGCACTTCTATTTCTCTTCATAACGTTTTCTGACATATGGTTTTACAGCATCAGCTGTGAAGTGTCATTCTCAGTGCATTTTCCTTCTTTATGCAGCGAGCCGGCGTTCCTGGATGGACAGGGAACCCTAGTTCAAGCTGGCGCCTATCTTTACATCAGAATATCTGTTGATGGATTCTTATCGAGTCCGGCCTTGAGCTGTAATGGCAGGGCCTCTATTGCGAACGAATTGCGAACCCAACGGTGGAGGCCTGTCTCGTTTTTTCCCATATGCTGACTATCAACATAAAGGCTTGGTAAGGTCCAGTTTGAGCTTGTATCATGCTGATTTCAAAACGACACATGGGTGAGGCCAGTATTGCATCTTCTATAATATTTGGGAGCGATGATGTTGGGGGCCGTCAAGCAGAGCACCTGAACACTCCAGGGGTCTCTGAGCACGATTCCGAGATACCTGGGCTGCGTTGGATTATGATGGCAAACCACTGATGCGAGTGCAACACACATCTCGGCCATCCCGACATTAGTACGGATGCAATTTTGGGTTCCTTTCCCGAATGCTACTATATAGCGCTCCAGACGACGGTCCATTGCTTCCTTTCCCAGCCAGCGCTTGGGTCTGAATGCCAGGGGATCCGGGAAGATATCGGGGTTGAGGTGGACGAAGACGGAGGATATGCTGAAGGTGTACCCGTGGGATGACCCAGTCCTGGTAGTGCAGGTCTTCGTTGGAGCAACGCGTTGGGTGCGGGCGGTAACGTCTCCGTGGAGACGCAAACCCTCCTTAATAACTGCAGATAAATATGGTACTTGCTCGAGCTGCGTCAAGGAGGGCATGGTCTTATGGTCCGGCATCAAGTTTATGATTTCGTCCTGTACCCGTTGTAAGATTGGCGGGTTGCGTAGGAGATAGAAATGGATAGGTGAGAGTGTCTTTGAGGGACTCTCGCTGGCTGCGATGATCAGGATGGTAGCCTCGTCAGTGTGCCTTCGTACAGTCTTCTCTTCGGGCGGAAGTTCGTCATTATCGCGTAGTCTCTCGAACATCGTATCGCCCGTTGTTGACTTTGACGAGGCATTGTCATAGACGAGGGCCTCTTTTACCTGTTTCTCGATTGTTCTATTGCACATATTAAGTCAGCCAGAGAATTCTTGAGATAGTTGTCTCTCACTTGTATCTTTAAGCTCAAGCACTGATAGCTTTCGTAGCGAATGGAGGCAGCATTTCCATGAGCCGAGGGAGCCATCTGAAGTGATTCATTATAGCAGTGCTTCGCATTACGGTGGTTATGGTATCTCCACTTCTGGCTGAATTTCTCTTGGGAAAGGAGTGCTGAACTTCTGCCAAAGGCGTACGCCGTAGCGATATCCATAGTCATAGCAAGGTACGCATTCGTCAAGTTGATCGTTTTGTTTGCATCTCGATAGTCAGGGATGCGCTCACAGAGATGATCGACAACTTTTCTTATTGTGCCCTCAAATATCAAGATATTACACTTGCTGACGAGTGAGTTCAAGCGCTTCTCGGTGCAGGCAATGCTGTTCATGGAAAATAGTAAATCCCATTGCTTGGGCCGAATCTCCACTCTTGATTTGCCAGGCAGACTTGTCACGTCTATGTCCCGCATATATCTCTCCGTAGAGGTCTGGGCCTGCGATGTGGAACTCGTAGGGGCTGGTTCGGACAATGGGCCCTGGATTCTCATCAAGTCAGCATAGGTTCAACCTGTGCAGAGCAAGGGCCCATGTCGTATATTTTGTGCAGTCTCCCAATTTCCTGGACGTATAGGGCACCGCCTTGCTTGAGGATATCAAGATGACATTCATACCACAACGTCAGAGCCGCGAGCTTGGGACCCGGGAATCGACTTAATGGACCGAGGTATAGCCTCCAGAAGGCTCCGTATACTACCCATCCCATGATACCCAAGGCGAAAGCCTCGAGGAGCGGCAGGCCTATCATGATCATAGACCCAAGAAGTATCAGAAGTGGCAGATAGAGGTCACCTTGGGAAAACGTAAAGAAGAGGGGGGAGAGGCTGTCTCTGTAAGTCACGGCTCACATCAACTCTCGCAAGAGTCTAGAGAATCAAGGTACGACATATGATCAGCACATCATCCAACTTGCTGATAGCTGCGGCAACGAAGCTTTATACAGATGCTCCATGCTGCCCTACTGCGTGGTGCTCGACCCTGCGTCGCACTCAGACAAGAGGAGTACATCAGCCGAATATCTGTGGCAAAAAGCGTCTCGAGGCTTCCCACTAATTGTCGATAAGCAGAGTGGTCGAGGACGAGGACAATGGGAAGTCTACAAGTACCTATTTGGGACAATCAACTTGTCCTTCATGGAGCAGGGCCTTACCCCTTGGGTATTACCTATATCAGGTAGCCCGTGAGCATTTTTATGCCAGGTAGATAAGGTACTTACTGGATGCCGTAATACTACCTAGGTATCACCGGCCATCTTCACCTTGTCACGCTCCCAACGCCAGATATCGATACGAGACCGTCGCCACGAGGGTGCATGTAAAAGTTGAGTTGAGTGACTCGAGTGGGAAGGGATGTCTTCACGGTCGATATGACAGTAAGTTACTGTCACGGCGTCAGGACATACCTAGGAATGTATGCCGTCCAGGGCGGAGCCGAAGAAGTCATCAGACAAAAGTAGGCTAGCTACATAACAGAAAGCAAGTCATCTCAACATAAGGTACGCATCCATATCCAACTCAAATCCAACGAGACATGGGGCGCCCATCTTATAAGTTATACTGTATAATGTGACATAATCTTGCAGAGGATTGATGCTATTTGCATGAGTGCACTGCAAATTAGCGGTTGCCTCAGGTTTAACTTAGTTATTTTGTCGAGGTTGACGGATTGACGGGGCGGACGCGCCCAGTAGTACCTTGGTACCCAGTCGCGGCTGGTGGCGCACGGATACATGCGCCTACGCTTTACCCGTTACGTCATTAGGCAGGGTGTATGCTTACCTAATGCTCTTTATTTCAACTACCTACCCGCACGGAGGATCGCCCAGCATGGTGTCGGCTGGATATGGCACCTTCGAGCTGAACAACCGTGCCTATCAATGGATTACCATTATTGGTGCAATTGTCTTCTCGACCCTTTTGCTGTAAGACATGCCTGATATCTCTGGGGATGCAGCACGGGGGAGGAGAACTCTACCTTTGGTGTATGGCGAGAATGCAGCATGATGACTGATTGCTGTCTTGATCTTGTTCTGATCTGGTTTTTGCCCCAAGTTCTGGGACCTTGGCATTGCTAGTTATTTCGTGCTGCTGAGCGTTGGAGGCTACATTGCGTTTCGTCTCTTATTTCGATATGTCGAAGCGGATAAAGTCAGTTGGGAATTATGTTGCCTTGGGATGTCCATAATCTACCTCCTTCCACTGTTTCAAAATCACGATGTTCTCATTCGGTTTTGATGCCTTTGTCCTTAGAAAGGAGGATGAGTAGTTTACTCGGCACAAATATCAGGACTTTGAGATGTCAGTTACCGGCCTCTTGGAGAGCTTTTTTTATATAATTTCTCTTTCCATATCGTGGTAGAAGTCCCTAGTGGGTTCCAAGGAGATGGCAGAAAGAAAGATAGAAAGAGTGAATTTCTTTTGTTTTCTAGGCGCTCTCCATTTTATTTGGAAGACGATAGAAGAAATGCCTTCTATTGTAGAGCTTGTTCTTGTTCTTGTTTGCCCCATTATCATGTGGTTCGCTTTAGGGGCAAAGGTGTTGGACTTGGGTCTGAACAGGGCGCATAGAGTATGGTGCTTAAGGAGGTCGAACAGCCATGGATTGTGTTTATAACTCTGCGTGCCAGTTTGAAATCTATCCCTTGATCTTGTATCGTCCACCTACCTAAGTCAAGAGGTCCTCTCCAGCCTATCAGGAAAGCTCGCCTAAATATTGATTCCCAAGGTTCAGCAACCATCGGCCAGCGCCCGTAACAACTTTATCACCGCATCAATGTACCACTTACACTACTATGCTGCATCTCTCTTTTGTGACAACTCGGCATTTTGTTCCAGGGATATCGAACAGTTTCATGTCTTCCCTTCCGTTCCGCTCCACATTCACCTCGGGGGACTTGGTGTGGCGCAAAGAACAATCGTAAGCTTTAGCGAGCCGTCCCGATTGTCTCCACCCCTTTCACTGCGTTCTGCTGCTCTCAAACTTGACTCGGACGATTGTGTTCCTCTTGAGATTGTTGTTAGCCATAATAGGATATGATCAACTTATTATTGTTCATCAGCGCTTTTCCCAGGCTGATATACGTGGCCGCCGAAGATAAAATGTTTGTGAGATATGCTTTATAGAATATTTGGTACGAGAACAATCTAAGGCTTCCTATTATTTGAAGACATTGTCTCCATCATCAGCTCAGGATACCGAGTATTTAATCCCCTTCGTCTCTCGTTCCCAACTCCAGCTTCTCTTTCCTTTCTCATCACTTCGTTCCTCTTCATACGAACACCAACCTGTTCAATCCTCTTCAAGATCTTGAAGTATTCGATTCCACAAAAGTGCCTTAGACTCTCAAGATGTCTTCGTCCAGCAACTCCACTTTCAACCCTTACACACAGCCTATCACCTTTTACAAGGCTGATGGTGTCACTACTGTCACCGTTTTGCTTTCCGACATCAACGCCGGCAATTTCTACAATACGGCATGCAGCATCAACTACAGTGCCCAGATGGGTGCTTGCTTCGTCATGTTCTTTGTTGTCTTCGTTCTCACCAAGGAATCAAAGCGCCGTTCTGCTATTTTCATTCTCAATATTCTGTCCCTCCTCCTTGGTTTCCTTCGAGCTTTGCTTCTCGCACTCTACTTCGTCGGTCCTTGGTCCAATATCTATCCATCGTACTCTCTCGATTTCAGCTACATCCCAAGATCTGCATATGCTACTAGCATCGCTGGCGTTGTCATTCCTCTTCTCATGACGACCACGGTCAACATGTCTCTTATTCTCCAGGCCTACATCGTGTGCAAGAATATGAGCACCGTCTACCGGCACATTGTTGTTGGACTCTCATGCAGTGTATTCTTACTTGCTGTTGGGTTCCGTTTTGCCGAAATGGTCACCAACTCGATATCGATCATGTCAAGCGAATCTTACTACGCCAAGGAGTGGATCCAAACTGGAACTTTGGCAACCGAGACCAGCTCGATCTGGTTCTTTTCCATTATATTCACCGGAAAGCTCGTGTGGACTCTGGTCACCCGTAGGATTATGGGCTGGAAGCAGTGGAGTGGTGTACGAATCCTTGCTGCAATGGGTGGCTGTACCATGGTCATTCCTGGTAAGTGTTCAAGCAAACTCATCTTTGAATCGAACTATGCTAATGCACGATAGCAATCTTCGCGATTCTCGAATATGTGACGGTTGACTCCTTCCCCGAAGCTGGCACTCTTGCAGTCACTATGGTTGCTCTCTTGCTTCCCCTCTCCTCTCTGTGGGCCAGTATGGCCATCGATCAAGAGGCATCGACTCTGAACCTCTCACAACTCTCGGGATCCCATGCATCGCGCCGTGGCTCCGACCATAGCTCTGATGCAAGCAAAATGTCTGTCAGCCAGTTGAGCCATTCAACTTCCTCTAGGGTCGAGTATCTCGCAGACAGGAAGGGCAGTTTGGCTCATGTCAGCCCGACATGCGTCGATTCAAGAGTTGAACATGTTCAGCGTTCTGCAAGAGATAGCACTGAACTCGACCTTGAGGCTATGGGAGTCAGAGTTGACAAGTCATACACAGTCCACACCGGAAAGTGATGAGGAGCGTTTGGATTGTCCTGAAACGCCGAGGCAGAGTTAAGCATAGGCAATAATGAGCAGTTCTTTAATCTGCTGATATTTCCTGCACGGTCGAAGGGCAATTGAACGGCGGTTGGGCCATACGCATAACTCCTTGCCTCCCTTCTGCGTGTTACATAGTGACGGGAACTAAACCCGTCAAAGCAAATGAATCTCCTTCTCAGAAATGTTTTTCTTCCTAACTCTGCAGCAATATAGAGAGGGTAAGCGCAGCAGGTGAACCTACCATAATTGAATTTAAATGTAAGCAAGGAAGGAGCAAAGCGACTGTTAGTTCATAGCCATGAAATATGCTTCTCTATTGAGATCAATTGTGGTTCACCAAGTGATCAAGGTTTCTCCTCCGCAATTAACATTAGTCCACATTGGCTTTGCCTGCAAATCCGCCGCCACCATCATCATAAGTTCCATTTGTTCAACCTTTCTTGAATACGTGCTGTAGACCGAAGAACCACCGCAGACATCTCAATCCACGTCGACCTTGCAAATACCATGGCCACAACAGTCTTCGTTCACTAACATAAGGAGGACCGCCATGTATTCCTGTCCTACCAAATCCGCTTATAGCACACCTTCGTGTCACCGATGTCAGTCTCACCAGGCTCGCCCATATCACATTGATTATCGACCGTCAGACAACGAACGCCTCTCAAGTAACGATCAAGATACTTCAGCCCAAGGTTTCAAATACCAAAGATCGCCATACCGTCCCATACCAAACGTCTCACTTGATATTTTCTCTCTCATCCGCAAGTTTGAGGCACTTGGACCTCTGGATCTACCATTCAAGATTTCAAATCTGCAGTCAGCACCATCCAAAACTTCACAAACTTCACCAAGAGGCAAAGCGGAGGAGACTGGAACTTCTCAGCCATCTAGACCTTTGATCAGCTTCAGTCCAAGAAGTTGGGGTGGAAGTAGATTCAAGGATGTACTTTCTGACGACAAGCCAACCTCGGCGCAAGAGGATAGTTTCTATCCTCCTTCCTCCACATACGGTAAACGGATCAGGAAGTCTGATTCAGAAACGCTAGGCCAAGTTCAAAGTCCGTATAAAGCAAGCAGCATTCAATTTGAGAGTGCTGCTCCAGATTGCAAACCCCCCTCTCTGCTCAAAGAACACATGCTTGCTCCACATTCACGAAAGGGCAGGGCAGTTGACAGGAGAGGAAGTACTGTGAATGATAAAGTCAGGCTCTTTGACGGAAGCTTGGACAACACTATTGCTTCCTGTAAGCTTCGCGTTCAGGTCTGGGGACTCGCTGACATCGTTCATTTTCTAGCATCGTCGTTCGTAAGTGCCAGAGAGAGATTGTCATCCGATGCTCCTTACCCAACAAGCCCGCCTTTTGGGGAAAGAAATAACGATATGTTGCCGCTCTCCATACCTTCGACAATAAGAGGGGCAGATCCTAAAATCTCCCCCACCAAATCCGATTCCCCTTTATCTCCGGGTAAACGACACTTCGTTGTTGGAGATTCTACACCGAATCCATTCCTAATTCAGAACCCTCACTCCAAATCTCCCCTTCAGAGAACACTCCAGCGTACATCGCCCAAAACAGAGAGGGATCTCAGATACCTTGCCACTGAGTGTAAGTCCTGCCGTGAGTGTTCATTAAGGCACAATGCGGTGACAAGAATACCCGAACCAGAGGAAGAAGATACATCACCCGATGATAGTAAAGACATAAGTCTGATCAGAGCATCCTCAGAACCAAGATCCACAATGACGGAGCAGACAAGAATTGGCGACAAGATTGAAGCTCTCTACCGTGCAAGGAACAGTGAAAAGAAAAAAGGATATTCATGGGAAGTTTCTCGAGGTAGAAATATGGTCCGTCCATCAAATACCAGGCTGATGAGAGATATATTTGAGCCTGTTGGTACCACTAGGAAAGTTGATGGAACAAACCTCCCGACAGGAGAATCGATAGTCTCAAATAAAAGGATGGCTTTCGATGGAGGACAAATCACCAAACAGTCCGGCCCACAGGATTGTCCATCATCGTCTAGAGCTTCAAGAACGACCGCCTTAGCAATCAGGAAAGAGAAGATGTTTACTGGATTCCCGCCTCCCCCGCCTCCCCCAGCACCGCCGCTTCCACAACACTGTATTCTAGGCATATCTGGAGCATCTGCAAAAGAGCATGGAATAATCGCACCGCAGATTCCAGATGCTACAGGCGAAGGCGAAGTCAGTCTGCCAAACTCAACCCCCAAGAGATCTCGAACAGTAAGCAAAGCCATTGAGGATAAGATGAGGTTCTTCGAAGAGACACCTGAAACCACTGCGGTTATAGACACGAATCTCAGGGGCAGCAGTGATTCGAAAAGGGCGGGAAATTCAATGTTTGAGATACGGAAGAGATTATTCGAGGATATTGGTAGAGAGAGACATACCACGGACGGGTTGGGGAAGAGATTAAGCATCGGAGACATAAACGACATCATAAATGAATTTCAAGTTGTGGAAGGAGACAACCTGGGAAAAAGAAATGGTGTTGTGGGAAAATGGAACTTAATGGCTGAGCCTAGCTCGATTTCAAATCGAATGCCAGTCGAACTGAAAGGTCCAGTGGCAGTGGGTGGCGCGTCTCGGGATGCGATCAGAGAAATGGTAATTAAGGAAGCTGAATGTGGGCTAAAGGAGCCAAAACCACTGAGATTGGCCGAAATGAAGAGGATGATGTGGATGTGTACAGAGAAAGTTGACAGCACTCGAATGAGGAGAAAGGCAGTGTCTAAATCTCCAAAGGGGAAGCTTTAACATAGCCGTTTTCAATGTATTTTTTTTTTTTTTTTCATTTCTTTATCATCACTAAGTCTTCGCAAAGAAGCCAGCGAGTTGCGGGAACACTGCATACACTTACTGAATCATCGTAGGTGTACTCTAATAAACAGCGAGTCCCATCCCCTGTCCGATCTTCTTCACCAACGCCTTCTTCAAATACCATTCCCTGGCCAAACTCCTCGTCATCTTCGCAAAGACTGCGGGGCTTATCCTCCCCCTTTCCACCGCCCTCCCAAGCACGAACAATGCATCTCCCAAACTTCTTTCTTCATTGACAAGCTCATATAGTTGGTTCCCAACAACTGTAGGAGCCACTAATATCTCATCGATATCAGGCGCTGTGCGATGTTGGCTGGACTCAATCACTGCATCAGCATCATGAAGCGCCGTATGAAGAATGTTAGTATTAGAAGACAAGAGATTGTTGAGAGACTCAAGAGCCTGCATCTCAGCTTGCATGTTGCGGAGGGCACTGAGCATAGCGTTACGTTGGGATTCTAAGCCGGGAAGGCTGGAGCTGGTTTGTTCCCGGGTGTGTTGCCGTTGAGAAGCAAGAGCCTTGCCGATGTTGTGGAGAAGCATGTCTTTCTCTGGGTTCGGGGGTATAGGGGGAACAGGGAGGTTGGAGGATGATTCGGCGGGTATACTGAGTGTTAAGGGGGCATCGATAAGATCCACCGGTGGTGGAGGCTTGGGTTGTGGTTGCGGCTGCTGCTGATGTTGAGGGTATTGTCGCCATTCAGGCGGTGGGCCAGGATATGGGGCTTGCTGCATATATGAAGGAGGCCTGTTTTGCTGTGGACTCGCTGGTTGCGTGGGATGTGAGGCATATTGTGGTTGTTGAGATGTTTGAGTATATGAAGGTCGCCGAAGGAGATCTTGTGACGGGTTTATGGGACCGACAGAGCCATAAGAGGAGTTTCGCAGTGCCTGCTGTCTTTGTGGTTGAGGAGGTAAAGGGGGTGCGTTCTCGTACCGGAGACTGCTGCTCCTTTGAGGAGTATGCACAAGCCCATTCGGAGGAGGAGATATTGGTGAGCCATAGTGACTGTTCCTAGGGCTAGGTTGTGCAGGTAACGGTGGTAATGGGGGGCCACTGTCTCGCCGCGATGGGTCGGATGACAGATAGGGTTGTGCATTGTTTGTCGGTTTCGGGGGAGGAGGCGGTGGTCGAGTTTGTTCTATAGTGTCTGATGGGATGGATGGCGGTCGAGCTATGCCAGGAGGAAGTGGTGGTATAGGAGGCGGTACCTGCGCCGGCTGAGGAGGAGGGGCATGTTGCTGTCGTCGAGATATTACTGGAGGCTCTTTGGCAAAGATGTCTCGAAGAATTGCCAAGAAATCCACAATGTTGGACTTCTAAATCAACGCAAATGATGTCAACACATTTTCAATTGGATCCCTCTTTCGGGATATCTTTCCATAGCGATCACTTACATCCCAGAATTCCGACCACCCCACCAAGTAGGGATGATAAATCATTCCTTGGGGATCGACATGTTGCCCAGGTCTCACCATCATACCTTCAGTAGGAGTCACATATGCCAGTGGCGCTTCTCTTGGATATCCGTGCGGTATCCATAGTGCTATAGGAAACCTGTATGTTGTCCCTCGAAATGCGACTGGGAGAGTGCCCGAAAGGTGCAGGAGGAGGGCCGATGCGCCATTCTCGTAAGCTGCAACACTCCGGTTAGCTTTGCCCTACTACGAATAGATATGGGTTTCTTCTGCGCACTGTAGACATCGGTTCGAGGAGACAGTGAGGAGTAATGAGAGAGTGCCTGGGCGACGTCGTTATATGTGCGATTCACATCTTTATATTCCTGGAGCAATGAGCGATCATCCATAAATGCTTTGGAGGGGGCTTACACTTGTGAGGACACTGTACAGCCAGTTCAAAACCTGCTGTTTCACAGCGGCCATTATCATGTGGGTTCTGGCATGTCAAAGCCCGCGAACCTGAAGCTATTCAGAGTGTAAGGTGGATAGGTACCTTGGTAGGTAACGATTGGCCCAGCTCGTCTTGGCGCGAACATGTGACCTGGCCCAGATGCGGTCGGCGCAACGATATTCCGGAGCTCGGCTGAACGGCCAACATCGCGGTCTTTTTTCGCCCTGGTGACAAAGCCATCTGATCATGGAGGGCTCTTTGGCGGGGGACGCCACCATTAATAACAGTTAAAACCTACATTGCCTCCGCAGTATCACATAAACACTCTCTGTTGATGACCAGCACCTACAATATAACCCGAAGGCTGAGGAGTATCGGACGAAGATCTGTATACTCCTTGCGTCAGAATTGTTCGTGAACCCTGATCTGAAAGAGCAATGCTTCCATCCATCCCCGTCCTTGGCGACTACGGAATTTCACCAGAATATGGTTTTCTTCCGGCTGAATTGCCTCTTGCGAGACTTCCTGATCCTTACTACAACAAGTGGGAGGCTATTGTAGCAAACCTACAAGGCCTGATCTTGAGTAGGCGTTTGCGCGGGGTCATCGAACGACTTCCTGTTCTCTCCACTGCCGGTCTGGAACACGATTCGGAATGGCGAAGAGCATATTCGTTGCTGTGCTTCATGGCTCATGGCTACATCTGGGGTGGTGACAGCCCTGAAGAGGTTTGTGCTTCTCGTCTTCCCTTATTTCGTTACTCTTATACTGACTTCGCTACCCTGCAGCGTTTGCCAGCCTCAATTTCGATCCCGCTGCTCCATATCTCTGCTTACCTCGAAGTCCCTCCGGTCGCAACATATGCCGCCGTCTGTCTGTGGAACTTCAAACCACTGTTTGCGGACGAGCATGTTGACAACCTGGAGAACCTTGCAACTCTCACGACATTTACCGGTTCTATTGATGAGTCGTGGTTCTACTTGGTCTCGGTAGCCATTGAAGCACGAGGAGCCCCTATCCTTCCGCTCATGCTCACCGCTATCCAAGCAGCTCGGGTCAACGATAGTAGAACGGTAACTGCTTGTCTCCGAGCATTCGCTGAAAGGCTGGATGATCTTGGAACCCTCCTACAACGCATGCGCGAAGGTTGCGATCCCTACGTGTTCTACAACCGCATCCGACCTTTCCTCGCTGGAAGTAAGAACATGGAAGAAGCCGGATTGCCAAACGGCGTTCTCTATGAGGATGGTACGGGTACCGAAACGTACCGACAGTACAGTGGTGGTAGCAATGCGCAAAGCTCTATCATACAATTTTTCGATATTGTTCTGGGTATTGAGCATCGTCCAACTGGTGAAAAGAAGGACGTATCTTCAGAACGCGAACTCGAAGGCAGAGCACCTCCTCCGAAGCACAACTTCCTACTCGAAATGCGCAAGTACATGCCTGGGCCTCATCGACGGTTTCTCGAAGATGTTGCCACTGTTGCTAACATTCGAGACTATGTTGAAACACACTCCAACGACAAAGAACTTACAGTGGCATACGATGCATGCCTAGCGATGCTACAGGCCTTCAGGGACAAGCACATCAACATCGTGACTCAGTATATCATCATCAAATCGCGCGAATCAAGATCTTTATCACGGTCCAAGAGCCCCGAGGCAACGCGCCGAAAGGTGAACATCGCCACATCATCTAAGCAGGGCAAGAATGAGACTGGGGGCAAGAAGAATCTGAAAGGGACTGGCGGTACAGCCCTCATCCCCTTTTTGAAACAAGCTCGAGCCGAGACAGGAGAGCCTGCCATTGATTCATGGGCTAAACGTGTGATGAACCGAGACTTCAGCACGCAAGGCCGGGGAGATTTCTTCCTAGGCAAGCCCGAGGCACAGGCAGATGAGGGCTTGGAGCGATGCGGCATGGCCGGAACGTGGGCCACTGATGATAATGTTGGTGGAATATGCCATTATTAATCCGCTGACTCGTCATTCTCCATATCTTTTTTAGTGTATAGGTGGTCTACAGTAGTAATGTTGTATGCATTGCACTGTTTATAATGTTACGATTATGGGTAGATAGTTACCGCAGCTTATCTAAATATTCTTCTCTCTTGAATAGGCCTACTGTACGTAGTATGCGTGAGATAGTATACATGTCTGCCCCTCTGACAATAAGAGATATGTCGAATGCTTTCAAAGGCCGTAATTACCTATGCCTGGGGAACTGGGGGAAAAGAAAGCCGATTCCGAGTAGGCGCTCCAAGCTCTGTCACGTGAACATGCACGCCGGTAGAGCACGATTCGCCTGTTAAGGTAAGGCAGGTAGACTCGCGTCGTCGAGCAGACGCGTTCTCCCCAATTCATTAACTACCTGCGATATAAATAGCCAAGATGACTGGGAGAGCAGTTAATGGTGAGGTCATGGGACCTTTAGAACGAGGCCGTAGTCGATATCAGCAGAAAAACTATACTGGAGCTCTCGACGCTTTTACTGAGGTAGGCTGGGCCACGTGTGCATCTATTCAAGTCCTGCTTCATCCGAGAGAGGTGTGGATTTTCTAGAGCATGCTGACCTGGCTTACAGGCTGTCCAAATAACCACTGGAAATCTTTTGCTCACTGCTCTTGATCATCGTGCTGCAACATACGAGAAGATGGCTCAGCTTCAAGCTGCACTTCGAGACTCCAAACAAATGATTGAATTGAAGCCCGAACTTGCAAAAGTACCAGCTCATACATACTCGATTTTTCAAGATGCTAAGCAAAGACTCAGGGTTACCTTCGATGTGGGAAAGTTCTGCAACTCAAAGGGGAGAAAGAACTTGCTTTAAAAATCTACGAGAGGGGTCTCAGAAAAGTTAAAATTGGCACTGATAATGATCGCACTGTATGTGAAGATGGCTCTCTATTTGGGCATACATTAATTAACCTAGTACATAGACCCTTCAATCGGCGTTCAACAAGTTACGTCAAGCTCTAGACCCTGGCAAAAGCCTTGATCCTCTTCAGTTCCTACCCTTCGAATTGGCCGAGATGGTAATGCAGAACCTTGAGATTCGAGATCGAGTGTACGTTTTGTTTTGTCAAGTCATTTCGTGCTTATGACTATCTACAGTTGCGCTGACTTTCTCAGTATTTGTTTGGCTGTCTGCAAGTCATGGAAACGCCTGCTGGAATCTTCTTACAACCTTTGGACTATTCTTGACACAACATCTGCACGAAGACCGGTTACCCAAAACTCACTAAAGACGTATCTTCGACGGTCAAACTATACTCTCGATAAAGCCATTATCAGCATGAGAGCTAAATTCGACGTGCCAAAAATGGTATATTTAACCAGGACCTGCACGCAACTCGAGTATCTCCAAATTTGTGGCAGTGGCGTCATTGGAGAATCTCTGACCACGGCCCTTCACTTTGCACAAAATTTGAGCACAATAGTCATCTCCGCGAACTGCGAAGTCAGTCTTTTCACAATCCGCGATATTCTCAGAATTTGCCAAAAGACATTGGTGGAGGCGACGTTTCTCCGTGTCACGGGGCTGGACGTCAGTCACTGGCCGAAGCTCGACTCCCTGAGACGTCTGAACTTCCGAATACGCAGTCACGTGGAGATTGACATAGTAAGTCGACGCCTTACCTAAAATCCATGGCGACGAGTTTCCTCACCCCTCCTCGATTCTGAGACTAACACGGATCACAGGTTCAGCTTCTGGAGTCCGCCCCAGATATTGAATCTTTTACGCTTGACGGTGAGGTTTCGATTGACGTTCAGGGACCACGACTCGATTTAACCCGGTACAAGCATCTAGAACATCTACAGCTCAGCAACGGCGCCTGCCAGTTGGTGCCCATTTTCCCTCCCACTCTCAAATATCTGGATATTAGCGGAAACTTGAGATTAGGCGAACGCGGCATTGGGGACGATGAGCTCTTTGAAATCCCACTACTGGAGAGTTTCAATTGTGAATCCACCTGTTTTACCGGAGCACTGATCGAACGAATTACGCGGCAATCTATCAAATCTGGCAATCTCAAAAGCCTTCAAATTGGTAATCGTATCGAGAACCCGAATGTCCGACCTCTCGGAGACAAATATCTCGTGTCAGAGACAGTCGAAGAACTTTCGATGGCTGGTATGACGAGTGGGGAGCGACAAGTGCTGGACACTGTGAAATTATTCCCTAATCTCAAAAAGCTCGATGTTTCGATGACCAGGATCACAGGAGTCGCTGTTAAGGACTTTGTCAATATGGGCATCAAATCGCTGAAGCTTAATGAGTGCCGCTCTATCAGTCCTGATGCGGTTGAATACGCGCGAGGGAAAGGAGTCCAAGTTGAGTTTAACTTTCCCAGTGATCGCGCACGGGGCTTCAGAGACAGTAATCTTTTCTGAATTCTGGGTATCGTCTCAACAAGGAACACTACAGAGGCTGTTGGTGCAATGTTTCCTTGTCAGCAGTTCGAGAAACTGGTGCTTTAAACTTGGTACCCATTACCAACTGCATCATGGAGAGTTCCCGTTGATATTTTAACTCGGTATACCATGTCCCTGATCGAGAAGCAAGAAGATGGCAGCAGAGCGTAATGTTTTATCCTTCAGCATGACTAGCGAAAATAGTTCTACGGCCGCAGAGGCGTCACCTATAGAGAGCGAAAAGTCAGCCAAGACTGTCCATCATAGAAACCACCCACATTATCATACCCACCACTACTCCATCAAGCACCGAAAATAATCCCTTTCACTCTCTATAGGGAATCGAGAAATTATGGTTGGTAGCTAGGAGAAGGGAAAATGGAGAGAGCGCAAGTGTAATAGAATAGCGAGCAAGCAAGCATACATAGGTACATACAAAACAGCACTCTCTCAATTCCAACAAACACTTTTTCATACACGATAATTATTCATTAATTCATTTCTCCCGTAAAACCCGACGTCCAAACCTCCTCGGAAATCTACGGAGTAGCGAAACAAACGAAAACGAAAATAACGGTCATCGAGAGTCTGCCTTGTGGGAAGGTGTCTGCCTGACTGACACTGACAGGCACATCCATCCTATCCATCCATCCATATCTATAAATAATCCCACCCCGGCTCCGGCCCGCCCGGACCAATCATCTGCATCACGATTCTCGGATCCTGAGTCTTGTAGATCAGATGATTTGGAGGAGCTTTTTTGTGGCTAGGGATTTCACGCGGGGGGGGCTTTTTTATGTCAATAATTCTGCTGTGACGTAGGGTGGATTGACAATGGGACGGGAGATATCGTGGTCTTAGTCTTCTATATTTTTGATGTTTAACTAGGTAACTAATTTAGTACGCCAGGTACCAGAGACATGATGGTTAGATAGATCTAGCTAGACGATGGGTTCATGCAGGAAGGCTGCCTGAGCCGGGTTGTTGATGCATGAGAGAACATCGTCGTCACACGAGCAAAGAACCCCGCCGGGGAGGTGACAGTTGACATCGCAAGAGGAAGAAGAGAATCAGCGCAGCTGATACAGGCCATGACATGATCAACATGCGGCGGAATGAGCAGTGACATGAACTCGGAAACACTGAAACACAAAAACTGGTACGAGAAATCCTGCAGGCCCAGCCTGATATCCGTCCTATGAAAACAAAGTGCTGCCTGCGCGGGAGACTGGCTCCTATAATCTGGGAAAGACAAGTATGAAATTGCGCCTGGCAAGGAAGCAATGAATCACAGATCCTGCATAGCTAGGAGAGAGGAATTAGTCCGTGTCATTTCAAATGACCGGACGGGAAAGAAAAGTCCGGAAAATATCCTCCCAAACACCTGGTATCGTTCCCATGATATGCAGCCCAGGAGAAAACAAAAAGGACAGTAGCAGCGGAAGAAAATGAAGGGCAAGATGATGTGCGCTGGAAAAAGCGCCAACACCAAGCCCGCTGACCCATTACCCGCGCTTTTCTATGGAGCCCCGCTATGCAATGCAAATGTCAACGATGCGCCGTGTATGTTTATGCGTAGGGCCGAACCCCGTCCGTCCCTTCTTTTGCGTCTTCGATAACTTCGTGAGGATCATGGCATCGCGCGTTTCGGTCGTTTTTTTTATTATATGTCGTGAGGGTGCGTAGAGAGGCATGGACGCTGACGTCTCCTTGGAGGGGTTGCGCGGACTTCACGGTGCAGATGAAGACATCACCCGGTCATGGCCGACAAGCAGGAGAGTGAGTTGAGAAGGTGGTGCCGAAGAGGTCCTCGCCCGGAATGAGAAGAGATATCTAACCCAGTGTCCAAACTCGAAGAGCACTAGAGGTCGCGACTGCCATGAATAGCCAGTTATCGAAGACAATACGTTTCATCTCCGGTGTTTGTGCGATGAGTAGCTATGTGACCCGTGACTCGCTGTTCCGTAACCCGAGTCTGAATAGCCCCGTGATGATGAGCCTTGATGTGCGTGATGTGTAGAGTGCTTGTCGCAGGCGTATCCGACCCAGACGGTCCTCTCTTGAACTGGGTGTCCTTGTGTGCCATATGCCGCGCACATATCGACACTATGCCTGTAGTACACGCAATGGCAGACCGAGAACCGCTCGACGACGAGGTAACACATGACGGCGATGCTGTAGGGTTGACGATGAGGAGTGTAGCAGAGTAAACGATCGAGTGGATATGCAATGGGATTCTGAATTAGGAGAAGATGCCCTGAGCCTTGGGCAGTGACGGAAAGAAATATATATTAACGAGCAGACGGAAAGAGAAGCCTGAGCAAAGAAAGTCTAGGAGAAGGCACAAAGGCAGCGATGATGCAGAAGAGAAGAGTCATCTGGACGGGGAGATGCGACCGCCTTATAGCCTCCGCAGCTTGCCCGGCCATGGTAGGAGGATAGCACAAGGCAGCCGTGGTGGGATGGTGGAAGGAGGGGCAGATGGCATAGAGAGTACTGTACTTCGTATGCAAGTTCAAGCCGCGGGGGGAGGGAACGAGCTATGCCGCGAAGCAGGGGAGGGGAGGGAAGGGAAGGGAAGGGAAGGTTGAGGAAGAGGAATAGCGAAAGGGAAAGGTTGAGTCGAGGGCGCAGTGTCGTCAGACCAGACAAGTGAATATCACAAAGGCACAGACGGGAAGCAGATGCGATGCGCGATGGGTCTAGGGGCCGTTGTGGCTGACCGGGACCGAGTGCGAGGAGGGGCCTGGGGGGCGGAAATAGCATCATCGCTGAGTAAAAGCTGTCAGCCTCGAGCCGCGGGACGTGGGGGGGGGGAGGATTGGAACGAGGTGAGTAGTAGGAGTAAGGTACAGTAGTAGACTGTAGCAGACAGACAGAGAGACACGGAGAGTGGAGCACGTCGAGCGAGGATGATGCTAAAGGAGGAATAGATAGGAATACGGAGTGGAGTATAGCAGTCGATAGGCACAGACAGATAGGAAGAATCGAAGCTCTGCAAAGAAAGAAAGAGAGTCCAGGAACCCAGGAAGCCCGTGCCGGAGGGCAGTGCAGCAGCGTCATGGTCGTTAATAAGCAACAAAACAGATTGATACTCCATAAAAGGATGGAAAAAAGGTGCTTCCCTCTGAATAGCTGCATATCTGGCCTTTCATCCGTAATTGGACCAATCAGCCACATCTGTCCCTGGTTCATCTGTGGCTCTTGGATGCCTGAGGTATGAAATAGAGCAGCCTGACATCAGAGAGGCTGCCTGACTGGTAGTTGAAGGTGAGTCTATTCTGAGCAATTCGCAGTCCATTCCCTCGCTGATCGTCAATCATTGCTGCAGTCGGGATTGGTACATCACGCCGTTCAACGGGAATTCTGCAGCAGGTGGTTGTACGGTGGTAGATGCCTCGGGGCATATCATCATATCATTCATCCTTCAGATTCAACTGAACCACTTACTCCGCCCATTCCCCCGTTTTGTTTTTCCACTATTGATTAGGTTACGATTGAGAGGAGCATTTCACAAACACTGCATCACATGTTGTTGAACGACCTGTGTTCATGACACTGACAAGTAATGCCGCTATCCCAGAGTCTGTCTGCCTTACACGGTGCCTTTTCCATCTGCAGCCTCGTCCGACCCTTATGGCTGGTGAGTTTCCCCCCATGTCGTAAGGCGGCCAATAATCCCTTCCCAAGCGGGTCCGCTGCGCCTCGATTACCCCCCAACCTGTGGCTTTACTTGTGATCTGTACATACATAGGTACATACTTACATACATACATACATGTACTGTACATCTCTGTCGGATGACTGTGTCGGCATCCATATCGTCGCTTATTTCTTCTCATCCGGTCACGCCGCAAGTCCAAGGCAGCAGTTTACAATCACTTGCAGAGCACGAGTCAGCAAGTGAGTAAGTGAGTGATTGTAGAGTGTGAAGGCTATGGCCCCCGTTCACCGAGGTTTCTTCCAAGACAATTATCCTATGACAAGGCACGGCTCGTAATACTCAATTACCGCCCCTCATGAAAAGGGCTCATGGGAGAAAGTACTCCAGCCGCTCCTCACAGATCCAAATCGAGAAAGTTTGCCAGCCCCTACCCAAAGGTACAGTAATGTAAAGAATATCTTCCAATTCTTACAATAGTACTGTCAGATCATATCAGGGCGTTTCAGCTCCTGAAGACCGCTGAGATTCTGTGCAAAAAGCCGAGGGTGTATGAATCGTGCGGTCCATCATGTCCCACTGGTCTGGACAGATCATCATGTAGCGGAAGGCTTTGCCAGGTCCTAGGCAAACTTGGTGATCAAAACGCTGGATGCCCCGTTTGACATGTTTGGGTCCAGACTATCCCGATGACGTTGGCTGAATGCTTTTCTAATACTCTTTTGTACCCCGATCCAAATTACCGTCTTCTCATCGGGCGAAGAATCTGAATTGGTTGTACTGGTCGTGCAAAGAGTTCCTTCCAAAGCCGATCCGACAGCTTCAACTCCATGCCAATAGAGATTTAGATAGTGAGAGTCGTTCTTACGGTGGCCCAATTCCCTCCAAGTCTGCATCTATGGAAGTGTTCAACTTTGGTTTTTGAAAAGCCAATCCGAGTTCGCATCGACCATGAAGTTTGTGATGTTGATATCATTGGATCCGTTCGATACTTCAGGCATTTGCATATTCCCAACACCATTTCCAGATATTTGACCCATTTCACCACCTGGCGCCACCGGCAGTCTTGGCACGTTGAAGAAATCGAAAACATCCAGGTACTCCAGTTCGTTAGGGTTAGGTGTTCTAGAAGGCGTTACACTCGGCATACGGGACACGATGCCGACGTGCTTCGGCTGCCTCGATATCAGGAAATCCAGGTCGAATGCGCACCGTCTCATATCTGCCAAAATCGTGACTGAGGACGGAGTGACCAGTTCGCCGTTGGCTTCGGCAGCCCGTTCAGATTCCCGGTGTTCGTCAAGCACACGCTGGAGTATTGTCGTATACCGCTCAGCCACAAGCCAGTATCGACCCATCTCCCGGAGGGTGTCGACAAAGAACTGGATCTCTGGGCTGAGTTTGTGCTCAATAGTTGAGCCATGGACTAGCAGCAACCGAGCGGCGACCCAAAGGGTAAATGCGAACGGCGGACCAAGTTTTGGAAGCATGCCATTCTGCACTACGTATTCGCCCAGAGCAGCAATATTCTCAACGGCACCGTGACACCGCTGACTAGCACTATACGATGGCGTAAATATAGGGGACCGAGTTGTTGGGTACGCCGCAGACGAGTGAAGCCGAATGACGGCAGTGTGATATGTGGCTATCAAGTTGTCAGCTGTCAATATGGTGATCAGGGAGCTGTCTCGCTTACCATGCAGCATCACCCAACCACAGTTGATAGACTTGTTCCCTCCTGGTTGGAAGAGTTTTGCCATATTCCCATAGTCCCCAGGAAGATTGAACTTCCATGACGCGAGCATGTTATCGAGCTCTCGGTATTCTCCTTGCCATCGTTCCACATCTGGGAGAGCGCTAATATCGACAGGCTTTTTGAGGAACTGATGAATCCTTGACAGGATACCCAGAATCTCAATGTAATAAGAGAAAGCACCTAGGTTTTCTGGCTTGTCAATGTCATACTCTGTCCGTTCGGCTGTACGGAACCATCTGGTTTGGACCGCTTGGTTCTTATTCCAGAGATCATCACGACAAGGTAATGTGCGGTCAATTTCCTTCTCGTCCAAAGCAAATTCGAAGGCAGTAGCAATAGTTGCATATCGATCAAGCAGGTAGACCATCCAGAACAGACGCCTCCGGGATTCCTCTTCGATGAAGTTATCTGGTTCCGGTAAGACCATAGCTCGGAGAGTGTATATGGAGGTGTAACTAGGTGCGACTGAGAAAGAGGTCGTCTCGACAGCGAGCCCCAATTGGACTACAGATCTTGTGATTAAAGCTAAGAGATTCCACCCAGGAGGGCCATTACTGCTTCCCACAAGATCGAGAGCCAGAATTACAAGCGCTTGCAATGCCTTGACCGAAGAATTCTCGAGCCCATATAGGAGAACCTTTTGCTTCGAAATGTCATGGTAGTGTCGCCTTCTCTCTTCGGTTAACCTCTGGTCGGTTGAGAATCGGAGAGTGGTAGCCACAATAGCGTGTAGAAGTATCCGATCAGCTTCATCTAGAGTTGATGGCCCAAAGAGCGAATCTAGTGTGGTCCTCCGATGCAGGATTGGACACCAGGTGTTGATGTGTTTGAAGTAGAGGTCTACCAGGGCATATAGAAGATCGTAGGGGGGGAGCGCATTGTCCGTAGACAATTCAGTCTGAGTTTGGGTAATGTTGAGGGTAGGCGATTGAAGAGGCGGTTGCGTTGTGCTGTAAAATTCGGGGGCCTGACCAGTTTGTACTGGGTGAAGGTGGTTATGATTGTGGTTGTGGTTTGATTGCTGCAGTCCCTGGTTATGGAAAACGTCTCCTCCATTAATTGGCGGCAAGGATGAGGGCTGAGATATTTGATTCGAGAAGTCCATTGACTGATTAACTGACGGGAAGGTGGATGGCTTTTGGAGGAACAGAGCGGTCTCTGCGCGAGGCACATGGCGACCATCATTCTGCCTGAAGGTCGGCACACTCTGTGGTGTCTCGTGGTCGCTGGGAAGGCTCTGGCTGTTGTTGCCAAACGAAGATTCAAGAATTTGAGCATGGGATCGTAGGATTTCTTCCAGCCTGTCCAATCTCTGTTCCAACTCACGGCCATAACCAGCCCTTAACCCTGGTTTCTTGCGCTCCTTGTATTCACAGGTAGCCCCATTACGGCTGCACCATCCGCACGAGGGCTGCCCGCGATCACATTTCACCTATTCAGGGTCAGAGATTGCAGAATAACCAAGACTAGGGCAGTGTGTAAAGGTGACTGAGAACGAAAGCCATCTTCAAAAGTAGTTCGAAGCCTTGCAAGAACCTTTAGTAGCTAGATCGCCCTTATAGAAGGCATTTGGCCTCACAATTGACGGTCACCAATGGTCACCGGACTTGATTCCGGGTCGAATCGGACAAGTCCATTGCGTAAGAAGATATACAGCCAGTATGGCCATTGAAACTACTCACTACGCCAAGCTGCTTTGGAAGGCATACATAATTTCAAAGTGATCTCTGCGCAAGACGGGGAGATGCCGGTACCGTACCTTTCTTTGCTTGCAAAGCTCACACCTTGGACGAAGAGTTAGCCAATACCGATCTGGATTGCTATTTGACGGCTCGTCCTCGTATGCAGATAAGGAGGGAGGAGAGGCAGAAAATTGCACATCGTTGTCATTATTGGGGGATACGAGAGACATGGTCCTTACGAGACTGACATCGGCCTCCGCTGCCTTTTGCGGGGCCTATCGCCATTATCTGCTGCACTATCGTCTTCATCCTGGCTGTAATACTGGTCACCCTGGCTTTCGGCATGTCCTGCAGCTGAGGCGCGGGACGGGTGAGGCGGTTGCTTGATATCCATCTGCGGCATAGGCGACATGCGAAAGGGAGGATTGTCTGTCTCTGCTCGGGGGAGATGGGGACGAGGTTGATGTCTTCGGTGTTTAAACAGCGAAAGAAGGTTTGGGAATTGTGGGGAAGGGGAAAAGGGCAGAAGGAACGGGCCTCGGCAGATTCGAGTCGAGATTCGCGTGTCAGTAGTCACATCGGCAGCCGCGCAAACCAGGCGGTGAGGGTGAGGACGGTTCTACCGCAGCACCCGGAGCGTGAAAGAGAGACGTCGGATATATCAATAGGGGATGTCTGGGCGGTGAGACATTGTATGCTACTATAGGTACAATGGGAAGTAAGGTACTTGGAAGAAGGTGGTGATTCTCTACTAGAAGTTGAAGATCTTATTTATGTATAGGTAAGCAAAAGATCCGCCGAGAGCTTATCCAACGTTCGGCTATGGCAGATAGGGACAGAGCTCCATTATCCCGATAGCAGGACAAGAAAGAAACAGAGAATACAAGGAGCAAAACAAATAGAAAGTGCAGAGGCAATTGGTAACAATAGATACGAAAAATTATCTACATATATCAACTAAATCGCTCCCAAAGCTGCAATCGGCAACATTCATGCTCCTTGAGCTTGTCATGAATCAAGCCGGGCTATCTTGCCCCGAACATGGACATGACCCCGCCATAGCTGCGCATCTCCGTTCCTCCCGCATAACCCAAGACCTCCCATCAGCATACCGAATGCAGGACACGACTCTGATTGTACATAGGTAACTAACCAAGGTACTTATGCTCATTCCTCTGCTCATACTAAATAACATCCAAACCTCCTCCCTCGGCTCCTTGACCTCAGATCTTCACAATCCTTTGGCATAGTCCTGTGGCATAATGGCGTCTTCCACAGCCCGCAGCTTCCCTTCCATCAAGGCAATTAGGACGTTTGTGATCGATGGAGTCGGATCTGGAGGAGATTATCACAATGTCAAAGGTGGTCATTGGTGAGTCCCAAAGAAGCCTTCCCACCGCCGGCTCAAGTTAACATCCGGGAAGGCTGATTGACACTCCCATATCGACACCGATGTCACGATGGGAGAACTACCGAGCTTCAAGGACGAGCTGGGGCATCAACGTCCTGGGCTCGTTTTGCGTCGAAATAGAAGCTTCGGATGGCACGGTTGGATTTGCGACGGGTTTTGGAGGTACCTTACGCTCGATTTCCCATGGCGTGAGAGCAGGGCTAACCAGTACACAGGTCCTCCGGCATGCTGGCTTGTCCACCAACATTTTGAAAGATTCCTCATCGGTGCCGACCCGCGAAATACAAATCATTTATTTGAACAGATGTACAGAGCCTCCATGTTCTACGGTCGCAAGGGGCTTCCTATCGCTGTGATTTCGGTCATTGATCTTGCCCTCTGGGACCTGATGGGCAAGATCAGGAACGAGCCGGTGTATAAACTTATTGGAGGTGCTACGCGGGATAGACTTGACTTCTACTGTACAGGCCCAGAGCCAGTCGCTGCGAAAGCTATGGGATTCTGGGGTGCCAAGGTCCCATTGCCATACTGCCCGGAGGAAGGTCATGCCGGTCTCAAGAAGAATATTGAGTTTCTACGAAAGCACAGAGAGAGTGTTGGCCCCGATTTTCCAATCATGGTAGACTGCTATATGAGTCTGAACGTTCCATATACGATAGAGATCGTCAAAGCTTGCTTGGATCTCAACATCAATTGGTGGGAGGAATGTCTGTCTCCTGATGATACGGACGGATTCGCACAGATCAAGCGCGCTCACCCTCAGGTCAAATTCACGACCGGAGAGCACGAATATTCGAGATACGGTTTCCGAAAGCTTATCGAGGGACGAAATCTCGATATTATTCAACCAGATGTCATGTGGCTTGGTGGAATGACGGAGCTTCTCAAGGTGGCTGCGATGGCGGCTGCGTATGATATTCCCGTTGTCCCTCACGCAAGTGGACCTTACAGTTATCATTTCGTGGTATCTCAGACCAATTGCCCATTCCAGGAGTATCTCGCAAACTCACCAGATGGAAAGAGCGTGCTTCCAGTCTTTGGGGACTTGTTCCTGGATGAGCCGATCCCTGAGAAAGGCTACCTGGATGTGACACAGCTCGACAAGCCAGGCTTCGGATTAACCCTCAATCCAGCCGCGAAACTCATCCCCGCACAATATCTATTGACGCCAAATCCCGAGAGACCGCTCGGAAAGCCAGCGGTTGAGAAAGAGAAACCAGAGGGACAAGCAGGGCTTGTAAATGGATTGGTTGAAGGCGTAAAGGATCTGAATGCTTCGTAGAGCTATGAAGGCGTGGTCAAATTGGACATTCGGTTGTTAGGTGGATTCATGGCTTGGGTTGATGCACAGCTGCTATTCGTATACTATATTCCTCAATTCCGTCTGACCTTAAATGGTGGCCTATATGATCCGCATCTCCTATTGACATTTCCGGGCCATCCGCTCGGACAACATGACTGGCGATCATCCTCTTCAGCAGGCCACGTAAAGTGCGTAAATCATGTGAAGTCCTGGATGGCCGAGAGGAGTGGCTCGGAGGGAATTGAGTCGAGAACCCGAATCGCGGGGCATCTAAGGTACTTTACAGGGATCACGATTCACGATTCACGACATCCGGAATCCACAACACCACAGCTTCTGAATATCCCATCCACTTCAGATCCGCATTTCAAGTTACAAGCTGCCGATTTCGAAGATGGCAGTACATGTTCTATGATCACCATCAACATCGCGTCAGAAATTTGACAATCCTTCTCTCCCCCTGCCTTTCACAAAACCTTATCCCCACCGCTGTTCTTCTACCCCGCCTCAACCCGACGACCCCCTAAGCGTACTATGCCTCACTATCTCCTCCTCTCCAAAACCGCCGCCATAACGGGCGGCACCACGGGCATCGGACGTGCCATTGCCCTCGAATACATCCGGCAAGGCTGCAACGTCGCCGTCAACCACCTCGACCTCGCCTCGGACGCGGTGCACAAAGACTCGCTGCTGGCCGAAGCCGCGGCGATTCGAGAGAAGGACGAGAAGGCGGGCCGGCTAATCGAGGTAGCGGGCGACGTGACGAAGCCGGAAACGGGGCGCCATCTGGTGGAGGTCGCGGTCAAGACGTTTGGGAGGCTGGATGTGTTTGTTAGTAATGCGGGGGTTTGTCAGTTTGCCGAGTTCCTAGAGTAAGTCTCTTCTTCCCCTTCCATTTCTTTCTTTACCTTTTTCTTTTTTTATATTGGGCATGTTCTGGGGACGAGAGTGCGTGGTGTGGAGAAAAATGAAGATTGTGGAATGAATGGGCGCATACTGTAGCTAACACCGCCCGCCAGCCTCGACCACGATCTCTTCGCGTCAACCGTCCGCACCAACCTCGACGGGGCCTTCTACTCATGCCAAGCAGCAGCGCGCCAAATGGCCACGCAAGGCGACGGCGGCAGTATCATAGCCATCTCATCCATCTCGGCCCTGGTAGGCGGCGGTCTGCAAACGCACTACACGCCCACGAAAGCCGGCGTGCTCTCCCTGATGCAGAGCATGGCGGTAGCGCTGGGCAAGCACCGGATCCGATGCAACGCGCTGCTTCCGGGCACCATCAAGACGCAGCTGAACGAGGAGGATCTGAGTGATGAGAAGAAGCGCGAGTATATGGAGGGCCGCATCCCGCTGGGCAGGACGGGCGAGCCGAGGGATATGGCGGGCCCGGCGGTGTTTTTGGCCTGCGAGGAGTTGAGCGGGTATGTGAATGGAGCGCAGCTGCTGGTTGATGGAGGGCTTTTTGTCAATTTGCAGTAGGCAGCAGCAGCATCAAACTAGTGTATCTCATGGTGTTGGTAATGGCTGCGTCGATGATTGAGCCTCTCCTGAGAGCAGGTTTTGGTGTAGGAATGTAGATCTAGCAACACTTCCAGAAACGTAGGGGTAAAGGAAACTCCCAAAATACCCCAGGCAAACAGAATAATACATGAAGATCATAGATAGATACTGCATATGCAGGGTGTTTCAGACTTTCAACACACTGCATCCTTCAACCCATCCCAACCCAACCCCTCTCTCTCTATCAATTCTCTCGCCCAAGTTCCTCCAACCCACTTAGAGAGCTCTCTCTCTTCCCACCCCTCAATCAATTAACCCCAAAACTAACCTCCACCCCCAACCCCAACCCCAACCCCTCCCTCAAAAAGAGCAAGCAAGCAAGCAAGCAAACAAGCCAGCTCAAGTTGCTCAACAAACCAGTTACAAAAACCAAAGCTTACTCCCCCCTCCCCACCAACCAATCAATCGTTCTCACTACCTACTGCAACGGTTTCTAGTTTGGTTTTGCTGATTACGCATAGTAAGCATAGCCAATAAGCTCGCGATTTTGAGACGGAAACGGGCTGGGTGAGACAAGATCCAGAAGGGGGACGGGACGGGACGAAACGAGATGACACGCCAAAATGGAATGAGATAGGAGAGGGGAGAAACGGTTAAAGGACTGCCAAAGGGGAAATAAAATAGAAGAGAAGGAGAAACAAGATCTCGCTCTCTGGTGCGAAGACGTTTGATGATGATGTGTCACTGATTCTATTATTTAGGGGTGTGGTACTTTTGGGAAGGGTTGTAGATGGATGGATAGATGTGGTGTCTTGTCTTGTCTAACGGCTTTCTAAGTAAGGTATACTTGGAAAGACATCCATCTCTTCTGACTGGAGGGAATAAGGGAGATAATGCGGCAGTTCTCTCATTTTACTCTCACATCATGGAGCAGAGTAGTGCGTGCGTTCAGCAGCTTTTGTAGGTATCGGAGAATAATATTGCATGAGGCTTGGCTGGTTGCCTAAGGTAATGAATGAATCGAATCACATGAAATTCCGGAAGAAGAGATTCGTCGAATAACACTAGTAACTCAAAAGACACACTTTGTGAAAGATGGGCCTGAAGATTAGCTGACCTAGATTATATCTATTTGAGTCATTTTCACCATAAGAACTTATTTTCCTCCACAAAAGCCCGCCGTCCAAAACTAAGCAAGTCCAAAGCAAAATTTGCTGCATGGCGTCAAACTGTGGTGCACCGGAATGCAACACTTTCATAACACGAAATACCCTACCCCCAGCTTGCCTTAATAAAGTTGATGTACGTATGCGTAATGCTGTGTGCGATCGAAACGAATGAAAGAACCATGTACACGACGTGAACGCCTCCAATGGTATTTTGGAAATGATATGGTACAAATGACCCTTAATGTGAAGTTGCCACTGCTCCTCGTAGTTTTGCGGCTGCCCAAAATTGGCTCTGAAAAACCATGTCCGCTAGAAGTTCTGCGAGATGCCGGCGCTTTGTTGTGGAAAATGTGCCGGGTTCTCTATTCGGGTGTTCCGCCGCGCCTGAACGTCCCGAATGACAGGCTGCCCTGACATCTCCGCTCGTCCTGGCGGGCTGCCATATGGCGTGTCGGTATATGGATTTCCGGCATCATACTGATTGGCGTAGTATGCTCCCCCCGCAGCGACGTCCCCTGAGTTGTCTGACCTATTTGCGGCGCTATATGAAGAAGATGCGTTGGAGGGTCCTCGATTGATATCTCCATTTCGATTGCCGGATACGGCTGGACCCATGGCTCCCAATGGCTCCTCCTCACCGGATCCGGGACTATTGTCCATTAGTTGATTATCTGATCGAGTATCAGACATGGTGCCATGTGTCGGTGAGGCAGGGTCCGAGTAAGCCATGCCGATACCACCTCCTCCCGACGATGGACCAGACAATGTCGTTGAGGGTTTCCGTCCTGATGATGCGACAGCTGTAGTTCCCCATCCGCGGTATCCTGTCGAATTCTCTTCTCGCATCTCGAATGGACCATCATGAGCGCCACCACCTACAGCAGGTAAAGTTGGGTCATTGTTGGGGTTATATCCGTACTCTTCCACCTCCTTCCTCCTCAATTCTTCAGCATCCTTCCGTGCCTTTCGCTTCCTCCACAAGAATAGACCGGCCAAGAGTATCAGAGCAACTGCAACAATAGGTACAACGACGGCAACTGCAATTGTCCCTCCCCCACTAAGTCCCCCTCCTCCCGAGCTCTTGACTGAAGTTTGTTGAAGTCCAGGGGCTGAACTTACGGTCGAAGATGTGGACGAAGATGTGGGGGAGGATGAAACCGGTGTAGATAAGGTAGTGTAGACAATGACAGTCGAGTGCGGGTTGGTGCTAGTTGAGGCCTCTGTTGTGAGAGGCGCAGAGGATGTTTCGGAGGTAGTTGGAGGGGCCGATGAGGTCGAGGATGAAAACGAGGACGAGGATGAGAACGAAGATGTAGTGGATGAAGAGGTTGATGTTGAAGTTGGAGTTGAGAATGAGGACGAAGAAGATGTTGTGCTTGTTGTGCTTGTTGTCGAGGAAGACGATGTAGAAGTCTCAGATGTGGAGGTTGATGATTCTGAAGTGGTGGAAGAAGTAAGAGGAAGACTGGTGCTCGAAGAGGCAGAGGGGGTGGAAGTCTCCACACTCGAGGCTGTGGTGGGACTGTTGTCAGCACTTGAACTCGTGGAATCAGAGGAGCTTGGCGTCGCTGACGGCGCCGCCGCTGAGGAGGGCGTCGTCGGCGACGGAACTGCGCCCGTACTTGTAGAATTAGAACTCGACATGGTGAAATGACCGAATGCGAGCTTCCCTCGATGCCTGTACACTGCCATGTCAGTAGGTAGGAGACAAAGATGGGGATGCGCCCAGCAGATCCAACATCCGCCGTGAGGCAGGCAAGGGGTCCATCGTACCTCAGCTATGATTACCCTTCAAACCAAGGATCCGCGTCGGGGACCAACAACACGTCGAAGGGGAAAAGGGAAGCGTTAGGTGTCTCAAGGAGGAGGAAAGAGCGTCAGGGCCGTCCAAGCAGCCCTGTTGTTACTATTGGGCAATGAACAATGGTCGAAGATGGGCAACGACGTTATGGGGGAAAAGCCGGGGAGGGCCTTCGATCAACGAGAGAAGAGAAGAATGTGAGTGAGGGCGAGAGGACGACAATCCAATGCGTCCACCACCAGACAAGCAGCTGTTTGCGAAAAACCGGGGGGTTCTCTGGTGAATGAGGGAAGGAGGGTTTAAAGTTGAAGGGAGTTGGGTGCAGGATATTCGTACGTGGGGGGGGGGGGGGGAGGGAGGGATTGGGGGAGAGAGAGGGAGAGAGAAACGGCGAGACGAGACACGACCAGACGGCTGGGAGGATGGTCAAAGAACGGACCAAGAATGGTCAAACCGGGGCGGAAAGGCCAAGACGAGAATTACTGCTTATGATCGTTATTATTACCATTCATAATTATTATTATTATGGGGTATTTATGACTTACTCCGTACTTCGTTCCACTCGCGAGGGGGCGCCTCGGCAAGCGAACACGAAATGAAAGGGATATTAATAGCTGCACAGTGCACTGCCGGCCATTGAAAGGCGGGCTGTGTAGATAAAGTTCAACGAGCGAGTACGAACGAAGATACGCGGTGCAGTTACGAAGGCGCGGAGAGGCACGATTGTTTTCCGCGTACGTCGTGATGCTGAGAGGTGAAAGGTTTAAGGGAAAAGGAATTGGAAAAAAGGAGTTTGTTTAGGTCCAGGGCCGAGAACACCCGAACCGTTAAGTTTCAACGCCCACACACACATACACACGCACACGCACACACGGTATAACCGGACCCGGGACCATATACCTGCGAACTTTATGTAGGTAGGGACCTTTCCTACGTACATCTACATGTGCTGCAAACCGTACTGTTGTTGTTCTGCGCGGATCGGTACGACGAGCAATGAGCTCTCCGCATTCCAATCCTCCACGACTCAGTTTATCAGTTATCTTCGGGGTAGTAGGCCCTACCTAAGGTACATAGCACCGCACTACCGCGTGTCAAGAACGAATTCACCCGCCCCCGAGAACTCCATGTCTCAAAAGCCAAAAATATACAATAATAATAACATCATTGTCGTCATCACTCTTTCTTTGCCCTGGTCTACCTTCACTGTCGGACTTGACAATCTGCTCGATGCCATGGAGAGGAACGGCTTCCAATAGTACGTCGAGACCACACGGAGTAAAGTTCTACCAGCATTGCCGCCTGCATAGCCGTTGAGGTACGGCTCCTCACTTCCGCCGAAGTGCGAACTCCTCCCAGCAGAACCCAGCCGAAGTCTCTGATTCCCGTCCTAACCTCTGTATGTCTGCACTTTTGACAGTCAGGAACAGGAGGCCTTGACCTACGTGCCTGAAAACTCCGGCACCGTAAGGGGCATTCTCTCACCACCACCCGATCCAGCTAGACTTGCAAGTTGCTGTGAACTCTTGGTCAGGAGTGCTCACTACCCGCCACGTAACGACGTCGAAAGTAACAGGCCCGTCATATCGACCATGAGAACGCATCTTCTTCATGCAACGATGCAAAAATTCATGAAAAGAATCATATTGCCTGTTGTTATACAAGACGCCAGACTTTCAATATCCGCTTGTGCGGTTTCTTATATACAACGCCCGTGAAAAGCCTCCCAGAGCCATGGTCCCCCATCTATTACAAGAAATACATTAACCAGGGTAGTATTTGCGTGGCAATCTCGATTGATCATGCACGCTGTCAGCTCCGTGTGACATGATATGCCGTTGCTACCAGAGTCATATTGCAGGGCCCTAAAGGCATCGAAATGTTGTCGTGAAATCAAAATGCACGCTCAAATGCCTCGAGAATGGTCGTCCAAACGGGATGTACCATGAGGAAATAACTGACATCGATCGTAACATCTAGCTACCAGCTCGCATCCCCCACTGCGGTTTCAGAGCAGCCATATCGTCCTTGGCGAAGACCATATCCTGAGGGAGGCGACTGACACGGTATGCTCCACTGCGAATGGCTCCCAGATGCATAGCTGAAATTCCACTTCTATTGCTTCGAATACTGCCTGCATCACTCATCGAGTCAGGGTCCCTGATTCTCTTAGGTGGGGCGAAGTCCAAGGACGTGAATGTTCCGGATTTTCGAAGCAAGTGACTGTCCTTAAGTTAGTCTATAATTGAGGTAGATGTTTTATCATAAGACTTACGGGCTTGGTATAGGTGCAAGTTCATCGAAGGCGCTCACAACCGGAACGAATGATGGCACGGCAGGAGAGTATGGGCGCCGCTCACCCAGCGGGCTCTCTGACCGGCCGGCGACGCGATCTCGGAAAGTCTGAGGCGGTGCGAAGTCCAGGGGATTCATTATAGCGAGCGTGTCATCTCTGAGTTTTGATGGAGTCGGCAAGGTGGTGAGGGCGGCAGGAGGTGGCATCGGTTTTCTCGGAGGTCCCATGCGTCCAGATGCGGACGAGAAAGCCCTTGGGCCTTGCGGGCCTCGCATTCCACTTATACTACTCATCCCGCCCATGGAGCCATGCATGGCACGAGGAGGTCCTTGGAACCGGGGACCCGGCATTCGAGCTCCTTGGAATCGAGGTCCACTAGGGGGCGGTGTCATTGCCCGACGGGTGACGGGCTGAGCATATGGCATGACAAAGTTATTGCTGTCTGGGTCGAAGTATGCAGCGTCGCCCAAGTAATTTTCGTCATAGTCTTCATGATACTGGCCCTCTGGAGCAGGCTTGGACTCGTCGAAATATTCCTTGTAGAAAGATCTGATCCTGTTTGCTCTGACTTCAGGGTCATCAACCTCAGTAACAGCGTCAGGGGGGAGAGGGCGGAGTCCCATTGAGAGACGGCGCGGATCCAAGGCAGGTGCATTTAATCCAGCATGCGCGAACTCCTCAGGCGCAGCACTCATTGACTGCCGTTGTCCTCGCGTGTGCTCGGCGTCCTTTTCGAGGCCAGGGGATGGTGGCGTAACTTTGAACCCATCGCCTATTTCATCCACTTCACCACTGAGAGACTGATGTGATGACTGGAGTATGTTGAGCGATTGCTTTCGAATAGGTTGCGGGTTCGCTGGGAGAGGGCTGCGCTCAGAGGTCAATGCAGCTCCTCGTTCAGCTGTATTATCGGGAGCTGATGGGTCTTGTGCTTCAATGATAGATCCAAGATAGTTATTACTCTGTCTTAGACCTGCGTCGCCACTGCTAGCGTAAGACGCGCGTCCATCCATGCTGGTATTCAATGCTGGAGCAAGGCCATGATCCGGAAGAGGGCCGGCTGGTGAGCCATTTCCGGGGATACTTGATTCGTGAATGTGTGCTTGGGGTGGCTCTACCGGATAAGGTGGGGGTGATTGTGGTGTCGAATCTCCAGCATTAACCTCGACAGTGTTCACGGAAGGATTCTTCTGAGGGAGAGAATTTTGACGCGGTGGCGGGATGAAAGCGGTGGCCACCGGAGGACTACTTCGTGACATTCTCGCTGCGTTTGCGAGAAGACCCTCTGTACCGTCCTGGAACTTTGAGGCTGCTTTGCTTGAGGACGTGTAGATTGATGCACCATCCGGACCTTGTCGCGACTGTGATCGAATAGATGCACCATCTCCGGGATAATATTGAGTTACCGGGCGATAAGGATCTTCGTTTTGGTGGATAGTCCTTGAAAGGGAATGCAAGGATTCTCGAGAACTCTGCAATTCCGGTGGTAAGAGGTAAGGGCTTGTCATGCCTAGGTCCATCGACATCTGGTTGTGCCTATGAGCTGACTTTTCTCCAAAGTTTGTCTCCAACATCCCAGGCATCGGCCTCTTTTTCGCCCTTCCAGGCTGGGGTACATCACCCATTCCAAAATCCAAGGACGCATGACGGTCATCATTATCCTCTTCTCTCTGCTTCCGAAGATGCCTGCGATGAAGGATTATGAATAATATTATAGCGGCGACCACAGGAATTCTAGAGTCCATGTTAGACTGGGAAAAGCCTTATATATATTCAATAAACTTACACAACGGCAAGAACAATGGGCAATGTGTATGCCGACGAGTTAACGGGCTTCTCGCAGCGACCCGAGTTGTCACCGGGTGCACATGACGCAGCGCTGGATGGAGCCGCACTGGTCGCTGCACTTTGTCGTTCAACAACACGGCTTGGGACAACGACTTTGATAAATGAATCCATGGTTCCAATGGTACTGGCTGCGCGGATCATGATTCCAGGATGCAACCGATTGGGAAGGGCTACCTTAGTAGCTAGGTGGAAGCAGCGCCAGATTGCTTCCTAGAACGGGCGACCAGCAGGAAAGGGGGCTGGTTGCAACGGGGGGTTTCGCAGAGGGAGCTGCGCCTAGTAATCGAAAAACGGTTGGTAGAAGTAGAAGGCAAATGTTGTCGAAGTTGTCAATTGATTTGAATGTTTCGTAAAATGTATCCTCCACAATATGGTCGTGTCTGTACAGAGTGTATGGAGCTGCTCGTGGACCCAAGCCAACTGCACGCAACAACTGCACGACGACGACGGTCGAAGAACTCGAGGGAGTGACTATGGTCGGTACATCAGTAAAGAGTGAATTTATCGATCATAAACCAGATGAAGGTTGGCAGGCCCGCTGCCGGGCTTTCAAGAAGGGCGATGTCGAGGTTGGAGAGGAGAGGAGAGAGAGTGAAGGAGTGAAGGAGTGAAGGAGTGAAGGAGTGAATGAGTGAGTGAGGGAGTGAGGGAGTGAATGGATGAATGAATGAATGAACGAACGATGAAGGAATGATGAACGAACGAACACCCTCTACAACAATGGAACTTGGAAGGCGGAGCGAGCAATGGGATGAACTCCTGACTCGAATTGGCGGCTTGAGGTTGATTGGACGAGGAGGGATCTAACCGGGCCGGGACTAGTTCCCCTAGAGCATTTCAGGGGGGCGGGCAGGGGGGAGGGGTGGACGAAACAGACCAACATCTGAAGGCTAAATGCCAACTGCGGCCAGAATACAGATGAATACAGGGGGATACAGAGGAATGGAGAGTAATACAGAGGAATGCAAAGTAATACAGAGAGGTACACAGTAATAAGAACAGGTACTGTTGTACAGGACGAAGAACCAGCGATGAAGTCACAAGGAGTTACGTTGGCCAAGTGCCTGCAACATTCATTCAGTTCTCTGGGCCTACGTAGTTACCTTATGTATAGACAATTTTGTGCATCCTCATTATTGAGATGGTTGCTTTTGAGAGGCACAAGACGTTTCTAATTATATGTGATTCTAATATAGATGTACATGATGTCCAGTATATGTAAGTACCAGCTTCCAAGCAAGCGTCCTTGCGGCACGTCCCCGTCCCTCTAGTCCAGATGCCGCGCTAGTCTCGAGACGGTTACTCAGGCACCCTACCGCGCGTGCCAAACCAATCCTTTCCCTTCTGGGACATCGGCCGCCCAGACCCTGCACGTTGGAGACAGGGGGAGGTCTTGATGTCTGCTGCTGGGCGGTTTGATCCTTTGGAACGGACGACGCAGTGGATAATCCAGAAAAAAAATACAAAAAATGCATAAAAATACATGGAGATACATGGAAGAGCGCAGTGTTCCATATAGACTGCGCGATTTACTCCGCAGACCGTATCAGGCTGTTTTGTTCGAGAAACAAGTACCGAACAATTCCTCCACTCTTCGAAGATACATCACCGCGCCTCCTTTTACTTCGCTCTCGGCCCAAGCGACACTACGACACGACCCACACCAGATCTGGGCCCGTCCAATCGTTGACGAGGCCTGGTGATTGGCTGTGGAGACTCTGGGGAGATTAAGATCAGCTGTAGCTTCAGCGAGATGGGTAATTTAGCACTAAATGCACAATAAAGACTCTGTACCTCTCTAATGCTCTGTAATGCTCCGTATATCGATCCTGTAATTTGACGGGGTTGCTACGGTATGTATTCTGGTCCCGCGATATCAATGTAGCCATCTCTACAAATGTGCTCTACTTTTAGGGTTCAAAGCATTTGTACTTATCGCTGTTCAGTTGCACTGCACAGTTGTCGTACCAAGAAGGTTCGGTCGGTACTTGATGTCGTCTACAAAATACTTCGTGCCTGACTTGTAAGGCAGCCAGCCTCAAGTGACCTCAAAATTCGATTCGAGAAATATCATGTCGCTCTCCTCGTGGCTTCAATCTTCACGCTTCATCCTAATAAATAAGTAGTTGTAGCTTAAGAAAATGAGGATCTTGCAGGTCCCGTGGCGTAAGGAGCAACCTCAATAATGGCCGAGTTCGACCTTGCTGCCAGTTTCATCCCTTCCCTGCACAAGCCTGCCTCTTTACTGCCTATCGCTCGACACCGGCAAAGTCTTCTCTATCTCATCGAGACATATCCAGTCACCATTGTTGTTGGACAGACTGGGTCGGGGAAAACAACCCAGATACCTCAGTATCTCGAGCAGGCGGGATGGTGTTCGGACGGTAAAGTCATCGCTGTGACCCAGGTAAGTAATCTACTCCGGGGGCGAAATCACACCAGCTAACTCTGTGCAGCCCCGTAGGGTAGCAGCAACAACAGTTGCAATCCGCGTTGCAGAGGAGGTGGGCTGCAAAGTCGGTGCAGAGGTCGGCTACTCCATCCGATTCGAAGATGTTACCTCTGCTGCAACCAGAATCAAGTTCCTGACCGATGGCCTACTTCTCAGGGAGGCCTTGGTGGACCCGTTGCTTTCACGTTACTCAGTCATCATGGTTGATGAAGCTCATGAGCGGTCTTTGAGCACAGATATCTTACTGGGGGTGCTCAAGAAGATCCTGAAGAAACGGCCAAACGATTTACGGATTATTATCAGTAGCGCAACGCTCCAGGCCGAGGATTTCCTCAACTTCTTCAAGGGAGATGCAGATGCTGAACCTAAAGTTGAGAAATCTGACGCGCTGACTCTGGATGAGCTAATTGCTCAAGGCAGCTCCAACAACCAAGGAGCCGACGCTGAGTTAGGGGGGAGTATTGGTCGAATTATCAATCTGGAAGGCAGGACTTATCCGGTTGATATTCTCTACCTGGAGAAACCCGCTGAGGACTATGTTGAAAAGGCCGTACAAACAGTGTTCGACATTCATACTAAAGAGCCAGACGGAGATATTCTCGTCTTCCTCACTGGACGAGAAGAAATAGACACGGCCGTGCAGGCAATATCTGAGCGAGCTGCCAGTCTCCATCCCAGAGCGCAGTCCTTGATGGCTCTTCCACTCTACGCAGGTCTTTCAACTGAACAACAGATGTATGTCTTCGAGGAGGCACCTGAAAACACGAGGAAGGTGATCTTCTCCACAAACATTGCTGAGGCTTCGGTCACTATCGATGGGATCGTGTACGTTGTGGACAGTGGATATGTCAAGCTTCGTGCTTTCAATCCCACAACCGGCATCGAAACATTGACCGCAACACCTGTATCCAAAGCGTCCGCAACCCAACGTGCCGGCCGTGCAGGTCGCACAAAGCCGGGCAAATGCTTCCGTCTATATACTGAGGCTAGCTTCCAGTCACTTGAGGAAGCTACCGTTCCCGAAATCCAGAGGTCGAACCTTGCGCCAGTCATCTTGCAACTCAAAGCGCTCGGGATCGACAACATTGTCCGATTCGACTTCATTACTCCTCCGCCGGCAGAGCTAGTCATCCGAGCCCTTGAGCTGCTATATTCCCTGGGTGCTTTAGATGACTATGCTAAATTAACCAGGCCACTGGGAATAAGAATGGCTGAGTTAGCAGTAGAGCCCATGATGGCCAAGACGCTTCTTTCCGCGCCCTCCTTTGGGTGTCTCAGCGAGATTCTGACAATTGCAGCCATGACCAGCCTCGGCGGAAACATCTGGTTCCATCACGACGGCGAGAAGAAGCGGATGGAGAGCGCACGACGAAAATTCGCCGTCGAAGAAGGTGATCATCTCACACTGCTCAATGTCTACCAAGCATTTGTGACCAAGGGTCGCAAGGAAGCCAAATTCTGCCACGACCACTATCTCAACTTCAAAGCCTTAAGCAGAGCCGTAAGCATCCGCGCACAGCTGAAGCGCTACCTCGAAAGATTCGGCATGAACGTGGAAGAAAGCCTCTCGTCCTCAAACGCCAACAAGCAACCGCTCTCGGTCGGCGGCGGCGGCGGTCCCGACAAAGGGGAGCAGATCCGTCGCTGTCTCACGACGGGCTTCTTCGCCCACGCGGCCAAGATGCAACCCGACGGCACGTTTCGAAACGTGGCGGGCGGCACCGTGTTGCATGCGCATCCGAGCTCGTTGATGTTCAATAGGAAGGCGGATTGGGTCATCTTTCACGAGGTCATGGAGACGGGGAACAAGACTTTCATTCGGGATGTCACCAAGATTGAAAAGAACTGGTTGGTGGAGTACGCGCCGGAATTCTATAAGATCCAGCGATGAATCGATAATAATATCAAACAAAATAAAATAAAATAAAATAAAAGCATTGAGTGGTTCTTGCTTGCCATATCTCTTCATTCCTGCTGCGGGAATTCTCAGTAGCCAGCGATTCATTTACTTACTGCCCAAGTTTGATTCATCCAAGATGGTCGGCCGTCGGCCCAGTGAGTACTTACTGTTTTTGCTTACTATCTATTCCTCACTTCCCGAATGTGTCACGCAGATCAACTTCTTCTTCCCTTCACTTTTCAGTATCCACCCCCGGCTGTTCTTGATATAGAGGAAAGTTGCTGCTATATTCCTTGATCTACCAAGTAAATAAAGGATCCTGCACAACGACAGGAACGTACAGTACAACCCCCACGAAACAAAATCATAAACGACTTCTCCACAAGTCGAGGAGAAAAGTAAAGTCCCAAGAAGATCCAAAATACGTCTGAATTCAAACGCTTAAAAGGCTATCAATACATACAATACATACGTATACACCCGATCTATCTATATGCGATATTCCTATTTCATTTCATAATTCGAATAACTCCGTCCTTGCCCACCAAAACCGACACTCCTCGAGCGCCCACGTATCGTCCATGATCTGCACGGCCGTTCCTTTGTTCTGCCCGCCGGCGTATTCGTCGTTGCCGGCCCCGAACACGATCAGCTTCCCTGCGTCGCGGGTATATGCAGGCCATGGTAGTCTGTCTGGATATCTGCCCTCGATAGCGTTTGGGTCTCCTCTGTAGTGTCGTGGTGTTAGTAGGGGCTTTTCTTTTTTCCTTTTTTATGTCCACAAGGTTCACTCGGTGTGTAGTCAGGGGCGGTGAGGTTATATCTCGGAAGAAGAAATGGGGGTAAAGAAAGGTTCCATACGTAGTGATGAAGCTCGTCCAGTAGGCGTGCATCAGTCCCGAGATTTCCTCTATGCTATCCGACCTCTCCCGAATATCTCTGTTGTAGGTTACGAACGGGGCATGGTTTCCATGATCCGCACCTCCTATAACACTGCTGTTTACGGCGAAATGGTAGAGGTAGACGGGAGCATCGCCGTCCGCTGCTGCAAAGCGGGCGGTTTGGCGGACCGGAGCCACGTATGCGAAGTGGCCATATGCCTGCTCTAGCCTCTTGAATTGCGCTCCTAGCCCGACCCCCTTCCTCGTTTCCACGTACTTGGAGTCTGGGTGGGAAAGGGGATCTGGGTATACGTCGTTGAGGATCTCGAGATCATCTTTTGATAAACTGGGGAGTAGCCGGTGGAGGAACGCTGTGAATTGACTTGCTGTCGAGATCGTCTTGGGGACGAACATAGCACCTTCGTTGGTGTTGAAGCCTGTCAGGATGGGTACTTTGTGCCATTTACCTGAACGCCAGGCATCTATCGGGGGAATTGGAATCATACCGCCTTCTCCGTCGATGACGGGTTGAAAAGGCCATCGGATTGAAGGATTATAGATATTGAAAATTGTATCTGATGCCTCCTTGATCTTTTTAACGTCTAACGTACGCAATTCATCCATGATGTATGGCTCGGGAACATCTTGGAATCCAAGTTCAGTAAGAAATTCTTGGAATTGCTGCTCGTGCATTGGGTTTGTTGGCGTATAGACCGCTCGGGCAGTAGTTGCGCCTGATTCTATGATCACCTTGTGAAAGGGCGGTGGCCTGTCCGTGTTATGCATTAAATGGTGTCCTATCTTATCAATTGTAAGTTGCTGTTCAATGAAGTGACCTGATTTTTTCCGATACCACATAGGAAATAGACAGCTCCCCACGCCTTTCCGGGTCACATGATATTGACAGCCTGGTGATCAACGAAGTCCACAGTAGGAGTGGAAATAGTACTCAAAAACCACCACCTAATTAGTTGAATTTGAATCACTAGAATCAAATCGATAGATCAAGAGAGTTCGGGTTCGGGGCCCAAACCCCAGATGGGAATCTGTATCACGCAAGATACGGCCATGAATCTGGATCGTTTGAAGCCATAGTCATGATTTGGAAAAGCGCACTCCCAGACTCCTGAAAGAAATGAAGAAAAGCATACCGAGTGTGCTCCAGCGCTGACGCCCATGAGTGTAACATCATCCGGGTTCCCTCCGAAAGCCGCAATGTTCTCTTGAACCCACTCGAACAACAGGGCCTGATCTTTCAACCCGAGATTTAGGAGGCCCTCTTCTGCTGTCAGCCTCGAAGGCAGGAACCCGAGGGCACCAATGCGATAGTTGAAGCTGATTCCGATGAAGGGCTCCGCAGACCAAGCAACCAGGTTCGAGATCTGCCGATTCGAGCCGAAGCCAGTGTTGAAAGCACCGCCATGGACATGAACCAAGACTGGTAGTTTCTTGCTCTCATCTCGCGCTTTGGGTCTGTATATATTGAGATTGAGGCAATCTTCACTCTGGGGAAAGCCGTCACGACTAGGCCCCGCCGGACATCGATCTCCATATTTTGACGCGTCAAATATCTCTGTGGAAGCGTTCACACCAACCGGTGGTCTGAAGCGCCGCTCGCCTGCGGTTGATAACCCGTACGGAATACCCAAAAACATCTCCAGGGTCTGGGGATACCCGGTTTTGACCTCTGAGCCGACGATAACCCCTTGGCGTACAGTGACTCGGGGCCTGGACCCGATGATGAGAGGCAAGGGATTTTCCCCGGGAGCAAAGTCCCAAAGCCATAGTCCCAGTAATCCAATGCCGACAACTGATATCCACGCCAAGAAGACAAAAGATCGTAAGGTTGAGGGCGCCATTACCATGTTATCCAAGACACGATGACCCTCTCGCAGGGCGTCTTTTTGACCTCAAACTGGTTGCGCATTTCCTATGTGATGCCCATTGTCCATGATCCAGCTGATTAAACGAGTTGATGTAAGCCCTGTAATACCTTGAGGTACTTAGGTACCTCACTACCTCAACAAATCTCCACGTGATCTCCTGTCACATGATGTCACAAGAAACGCATGATACCTATTCTTGTCCCATTCATACTACCTATCTTGGGTATTCAACAAGATTGCTTCACGGTTGACGAATTCAAACGGCTCAATAATGAATGATAATTAATAATAATAAAATGAATTAATAATAATAACAATAATAATAATAATGCTATAATAATAATAAAAAACAGTATGATTTCCCCCCCGNCNCNCNCNCNCACACACACACACACACACAC